ATATCCCACACCCGTACCGTTTTGTCGTCGGAGGTAGAGGCGACGCGCGACCCGTCGGGCGAGAACACCACGCTATAGACCTCACTGGAGTGACCCTCGAGTGTCTGCTCGCACGCGCCCGTCTGTATATCCCACACCCGCACCGTATTATCCCCGGAGCCAGAGGCGACGCGCGACCCGTCGGGCGAGAACACCACGCTGTAGACCGCACTGGAGTGACCCTCAAAAGTTAGTAAGCATGCGCTCCACCGCTCTGGGATTCCTCTTATCACTCGAACACTTTGTAATGCCTGATCCTGAAAATCGTTGCGGACAATGCTGGCGAGTGGGCTGAAATGCCAAGCACCTGCATACGCCTGTAACGGCGCTTGCGCAAGAATGGGATTGAATGTTAGCACAAACCGTCGCGCATCTTGTAGAAAGGCCGATATTTGGCTGTTCTCTTCTGCCACAAGCGATTGTAATGTGACGACGCAGTTAACGCTCTCGGAGATCCTCCCCAGAAGGCTCAACGATTCGAGCCAATGTAGAAAGTGCTCCCGTAGGAAATTGGCAGCGACATCATCGTTACGGATCTTGCGTCCGCTGTGCTGGAGGTGGTAGACCCAGTAGCGGCAGGCATATTGGAGAGAACGTGGAATGTGTTCGGTAACGGTGGTCTCGTCGATGTCTTCTCGCAAGACACCAGGGTGCTGTAGTTGGCAGATATCCTTTCGAAGACCGCCGGGACTCTGAAGCAGTGCAAGGCATTTATCGCTCAGATTTGCGTGCGTGAAGAACTCATCGATCGCAAACAGTCGTGCTCGATCGGAGTGGCCTTTTTTCACGAGGAATTCCCGGAAGGAGAGGTGGAATAACGTAACCGGCGCTTCAGCGTTGGAAGGCACAGACAGCACCGAGTGGAGAAGTCGTAGTTGGTGATCAATTTTCCGTCTAGGAATCTGGAGTAGTTGGGAGAGGGAAATCGTGGACAAGGGATTGGCCAGGAGAATGATCGATCCCACAATTTTACGGAAATCGCGGCAAAGCTTATCCCTTTCCTCGGGTTCCTCGACGTCGACTAATATCTGATAGAGCGCGGGGAGATACGTTTGCTCCATTTGGGTCATTTGCCCAGTGTTGAGCTGAGCGAGAAACGTCGCCAGTCTGTCGTGGGGGTCGCCGCGACGGTCACCAATGAAGCGGGAAATCGTGGCAGCCACGATGAAAAGTGGATCGGACAGTTGAATGAAGGACTCCAGAGTCAGCCGGCCTGGCCAGTGGAGAGCCAGTGCTTGATCAATTGGCCAAAGACAGTTATGCTCATCGCGAATCCGTTGGAATTCACTTTCCAGGTAGACGGAGATGTCATGGCGGATCGTGGAAGGTGGAATGTCGTGAAGAGCGACATCGTGATGCGTTTCGGTGCCGATCTGTGCAAAACAGAGATTGATCGGTAGCTCCGGTCGACTGGTCAGAAAGACTTGTACATGGACTGAACCGAGTCGTCGTACACTGGCCAGGAGAGAGAGAATAGTGCGTATGTCTCCTTCTCGGTCACACTCGTCCAGCGCATCGATAACTAAGATAGGTCTTGCAGACGAGGTAGAACCAATGGCGGCCAAAGGCTGATAGATAAGCTTTTCGAACTGTTCCCTCAAAGCCTCGCGGGCGATCCCGGGGTTCTCATCGATCGCCTGGTGAATGCGGGTTGCCAATTCCGGTATCTGGCGGACTAAGTCGACCGCGATAGTGGTGAAGAAGAGACTCGCATTCTCACGATCGTGCTCGCCTCGCTTGAAGAAGAAACTGGCGCCCAGCCGCCCTTTGTCGGCGAACGCCTGGGCGACCGTGCGAGATATCGTCGACTTACCCGTCCCTGCCTTACCTCTTAACCAAAAAATGCATTTTCCATTGATGTCGTCAGCCCAGTCATAGATCTCCCGGAGTAAGTCTACCCGAGTGTCTGGATGACATCGAGCATCGTGTTCGCTTTGGTAAGAGTTGAAAGCGGCCCCCGTTGCCACTGGGAGCTTGCTGAGGTCGAATTTAGCCTCTAGTTTATCGATGCCAGTCCGTAGAAGATGTATGGTTTCCAACTGCTTCAAAACTTGCCGGAGATCTTCTTGTTGCCGTTTCACCTCCGCTCGGTTAGTAGCATCCAAGTCTCGATCACAGTTGCTCGCCGCGATCTCGGCACGGCTGGCCATTTTATTGCACGCATTCTCAAAGGTCGACACATCTTCGATTCGCCAGAATGCGTCAAACCCACGTGTAATGCTGCTTTTTTGACAGATGCGAACCGCGCCTGCGAGAAATTGTAATATCAACGCATAAAACTCGACCAAGCAGGTTTCGAATTCGGTGCAAGCCTGACTAGCCGGAAGGATGTTCAAATATGCCTTGTACACTTGGAGACGGTTTGAGAGGTAGAAGGCTGTTTCAAGACCAAGGAGGAGGGCCGCCATCTGGCTTTGCGCGGAAATCGCGGCCTAAGCGCAGTCAGCCTGAAGTACATTCCCATTTGCGCCGTATATGTAACGGCTTCCACAAGATCTACAATACTTACCTCCAAAAGAAGACGAATGCCAGCCCACGGAAGTCCCACATGCACAGGATCGACGTTGGAGGCAACATCTCCCACCTGCTGAAAGCGATCTAGCCATTTTATAATATTGTCTGCCTTTTCTCGTAAGGTGACAGTATGTCCACGAAATGTCCAAGTCCATCTTTTTGCCTGGCATATCGTCTGCTTCTGCCTCGTCGCCGCGAGAGCTTCCTGTACGAGTGCATCCACGTCCGTTGTTTTCGTCAGGCTGTGTTGTTGAATGGTGTCTTGATCCTGCGGGGAGAGAAGAAGTAAAACTCGGGTTTGGAAATCTTGCTGCGTCGCAGTCGACGTTCCCGAAGCGTTAGACTGCGTGGTAGGAGCTGGGGATGCTGCTGGCGAGTTTGGTTTGCCAGGGGGGGTGGAACCAAGGGAGGAGACCCATTGTCGGAAACGGCTGCGCTTACTGCCCGGGGTTGTTAGGGACATGGTGAGATGGCGTAGGGTGAAACGAAGAAGGTGAAATACCGCTTAGAGACGGCGAGAAATACTCAACAATTGAATTCGAAGTGAAAATGTTCCCTTTTTAGGGTCAGGCTGAGTACCGGCGACATCTGAGTATATTCAAGCCAAAGCCGTGGCTGAACTGCGCAGCCGCTTTTCGATGCAGCTCTTGTCACGTGTAAGTGAGCGGAACCTCAAGCAACATGCAGGGCGTCGAGACCGGGAATAGGTCTGACCAGCACGTAGTATGCACAAGTTAGATATCACCCGCCACAACATTCCGGCGGGCGGCGTCAAAACCACATTCAGCGTGCAATCACGTCACTGGTAGTGGTATAGCTACAGTACCCGTAATAGACGACTTCTAAGCAAGTCTTGGGCAACCACAATTTTGTCCATTGGCGCAGTATCTTGTCTCCAACACTTGAAAGATTCTTTCTCCATCCAGAACTTCGGAACTCCATGGTCATAGATGAGCCGTCGCGTTGGATGCGGCTTCCGGGATGCAGAGCTGAGGGCGCCGCAAGGTCCACCGGCACGATCCATGTGGTTATCTCCACGCCAGACTGGTCGAATGTTGGCGTCGTGCACGAGCAATAGCACTATTGAGCTCCAAGCCCTCTGATGAGTCAAGAGCTGCAAACAGCACACGGACACACGGATTACGTCGGATAGACATTGTCCCGTCTGAACTATCAATGCCTATCCCTTGTACCCAGCGAGGACATCTTTTGCGAAATTTGCAACGGGGCCCGACTCGCTGGACAAAAGACGCAGCTATTCGCTAATGCACCTGCTGAGGCTGCGCAAGAATAGCTCATGAATTTTTGTGGGCATGCGCAGCAAAAGGTGCTCGCTCGAAGGAAGATAATCGAAACTCTGCTTCGAGATTATTGCCTTTTCACCGAAGTCTAAAGGAACTCCGACATACTGTACTCGTCATCTCGTTGCAGAAACTCTTTCACAGCATTTCACTCCCTCCTGTCGACCTTGTGTAATGTCTGGGTTGCGCTACCAGACCTTTGATTTGCGATCTTCTGCCAGATGGAGGACTTGTCACGCGCCACCTGTTCGTCTGTTGGTGGAGGATAGGGTGGGTTGTGAAAGCTCGAAGGGGGGTGACTTCTTCTTTTATCGTATGTTGGACCACTCATCACAGATGACTGCGAACCTGCGTCGTGTAGCTCTTCTGGAGAGCCTTTTCGGGGTCGTGCGAAGCAAGGCTAATCTGACGGGGTGACGCAACGCGGGATATCCTCGGCTATTCTAAGTTCAGGCAACCGTCTCGCCGTATCTTGTACAGTATTCTTCTGTACTGTAATTCAAGTGGAGCAGTAAGGTTGCACTTAACTATTTAAGTGATGCGTCTTGCTGCAAAGATCCACTCGAGTTGTCCTAAAACCTTTGTTTTGTTGGCCAAACAGGACATCGAATTCGCACATCACTGTATTCGGTATTCGCCTTGGGCACAAATGAAAACAACCCCTCACCAGCCCAATGCCCAATAGGGACAAAATCATTCGAAAAACCCAGCCCGCGGCCATCACGCATAATGTGTCAAGTCCTAGCGGAAAGGAAAGTCCAGGAAGCGCCCTGGCTGGCCTGCTACATAGTTGAGACAGACATCCCGAGGGGAGCTGTGACGCCATGCAAAATGAGAAAAGAGATATAAAAAAAGCCCCGCGACCAAAGTTTATATGATGGGATCCCCGAACCACACCTAATCACCAAGCAAAAACAACCAGGCTTGCAAGGAAGGACAGAAGGCGTCACGTCTGCAGGGAGGATAGCAGGCCCCCCTTATCTTCCGGCGGGGTAGGGTAGAGGGCAAGACAATGGTACTGTATGTCGGGCCTGCTCGTCCATGGCCTATCAGACCATTCACTTCCCCGGGAAGCCATTCGTCCACGCCAGGGGGGATGAATGCTATGGATGGGGAGGGCGAAGCGAAGTCAGATATGACATGCCGATACGTCTTAAGGACGAGCTCGACGCAGACGAAGCATAACACTGAACAGAGATTGGCACATAAAGTACATACAAGTCTATATTATATTTATAACTATATGTGAGTTTTTTGGGGTGGTGGGATTATATATTTAACTAGTCTTCTCGTGATCATTAACGGGATAATGTTATAGAAACAATCCAAAACCTTGAGACAAACACCAAAATGCACGATGCGGTCTTCGTGGCAGCCAGCATGACTCCTTCATTAGGCCCCCTGCATCAGCCTTCCCGGCTCATTCCGTGCCGGGTCATGCTTCAGCCATGTTCTGTGATCCTGTGGTATCTATGGTCTCTCCCATCCCGTCCTTGCCATGATGGATAACCTCAACCTCGACAAGCCGGCTGTCGAGGTGCCAGTAGTCCTCGAGGAACTCCCTCGCCCGGCGAAACGCCTCGAGTTTGAGCTTCCGCTCCTGCTCGTTGATCCACGAGTCCGGGAATTGTGTCCATCCGTGCACCACGCCCTTGACCTCCTCGACGATCAGATCGTCCCCTCGGCCCTCGTCGCGCACCTTCTGGATCCAAAGCTGGCTCTGCGCATTCAGCGAGTCAAACTGGGGCAGGATCAGGAGCATCTTGGCTTTCGGGTGGAGGCCGAAGTTCCCTTCGTCCTTCGGTCGAATGTCTGCAAGGCCAGGGCTTGCCCGTGGATGGCACCTCTTCTCCGGAGGCAGATATGTCGGCATCAGTTCCTTCTCGATCTTCCAGCGTTCAACAAATCCGGTAGGAGGATCAAGACCTTCCGGCCTTGGCCTCTCATGGGGTAAGAGCCGGGCGTCCAAGCTTGGATAGAACAAAAGAAGGGGAATATCGTTCGCCCAGTCCCAGGGCAACGGACTTAACCAATCAGTTTCCATCGTGGGGTCGTCCTTGATGCTGAGGGCCAGGTTCAAAGCAATATTTCCACCAGAGCTGAATCCCGAAATGGCGATCTTCTGCTCGTCCAGCTCAACAGGTTTCCGGCCCTGCTTCAGCAGCTCCCACATCTACGGATCGGCATTAGCGTGGACCACCACAATCGATGATTTTCAGAATGATCATCTATTTTTGTCGGGATCCTTTCAGAAACAAGGAGAACTTACTATCCCTTCCCGGAGCGGCTGGAACGCTCTGTTGCTGGGGTCGATCACCGCTTGGACCACATCTTCGGCATCCAGATTGGCTGCAGGAAACTGCGCATACGGACCAAGCCGGTAGTCTACCGAAATGACAACACAGTTCAGCTCACGGCACATCCGGGCACAGAAGGGAGCTTGCTCTTGGCACGAGCCGAGAATGAAGCTCCCGCCATGGAAGTCGATCAGGACGGGCAATTTGCCATCGTAGTCTTCGTCGATGCCGATGGGCCGAAGAGCATTCTGCAGATGCGTACCAGCCGCGTCCTTCTGGTGGTGAAAGAGATGTCGGTGGCGGTGCTTGCGGACGGGTGGGACCCAGACATAGACGGGGATCAGATGCTTGCCTCGCGAGGGGATGTCGTAGACGATGGGCTGCGGACCCTCGGCAGTGGTGAAATTGAGGACAAAGTCGGGCACGAGGCGAGGGATGGACACCAGGGCTTTGCGCCATGAGATTCCGAAGGGCTGCGTGAACATGGCTTCGGCAGGGTTCTTGTCATCGGTATACTTGTGCTTCATGGGGAGGAGAGATTGGCGTAGTAAGCTGTGCGGAGGAAGGCGGAGGAGACTTAAGAGACATCAGTATGCTTTCAGAAGCCTGATTAAGGTTGCTGTTGAACTTGTGACTTCATCAATTAGTCTTTCAATAGACCTCGACAGCTGAAAAAAGAAGTTGTAAGGTCGGGCGTCGGTGGCCAGTTGGTCAGTTAGTCAGTTGGTCATTATTCGGTCTGGACTTGCTGAGGCTGTGCTGGCAGTGGGGGAAGCGGGCGCCGGGAGTTGATTGGCTGTGAGATGGTGCTTATATAAGGAGTCGAAAGCGCGTCATTCGGCTGCCGCTTTAACTGCCGCACGGACGCGTCTTCTCGAATTCGCACACGCGACGCGTTCTTCACAATGGACAATTCTATATTGGACAGGTGACGAATGTATTTGCACCAGCCTCGGGCAGAACAGCCGCCTGTAAGCCGACCGAGTCCTGGCAACGCATCATCCTCGACTGGTTGGCTCGCCTGGTCCCATTTAGACAGAGCCTCAAGAGGGATACATGTGTGGGAACGAAAGGTGGATATGCATATTATGGACAGGGTATTGCTACCTCAGAGCGCCACTGCAGATTCTGAGAGACGGCAACGGCTGAGGGGAATTCCACGTCTCCTCCCGTTGGCTTCATCACCAATCAATGCTATTCTCTCAACGGCCCTCGGACAGGGCATCTAACTTGATAGGCATCGGTCACGCCATAAGAGTCCCACCATTCACCGCCAAACAGACGCCAGTCATCCACCTGGCCCTCTCCTCGCAAAAGAAGGCGGCCGCATACGCCATCTCCTCCGCCTCCCCAATTCGTGAACCTGCGGGAGTCATCTCCAGCATCGGCTTGAGACTGTCTCGAGTCGCGCCCGTCAACGTGTTGAAAGCGTCGGTACTCGTGGCTCCAGGACAGATGGCATTCACGGTACACTGATATTCTCGGCCAAGTTCACTTTGCATGGTGGAACGGTCAGTCATTGAACCTTGCGAGAAAAGGGCAAGCCGCTAGGACGGGTGGGCAGTTCGGAAATACTCACACAGCCCAGCATCGAGTAAAACTTTCAATCATACTTTTCGTCCCGTTATAAATGCTTGCCCCTGGATAGGGCTGTCTCGCTCCGCTTGAGCTCAGGTTCACGATCCGGCTCGGCTTGGCCAGATGTGGCAAGACGGCTTGGGTCAAGAGGAGCGTCCCGCGGCCGTTCAAGTTCACCTGCGCGTCCCACTCCTCCATGGTGATATCTTTGAGGAATGTCATCCTGGCAATGCCGGCATTGTTCACAAGGATGTCAACTTTTCGGCCATTGGTTCTCCTGACGGCCTCCTCGACCAGGTATTTTGGGCCATCCAAGGTCGACAGATCCGACTGGATGGCGAAGCACTCGCTGACATGGTTCCCACTGGTGGCCCGGATCTTCTCCAAAGTGGTTTCGGCTTCTGGTTCAAGTGAAGTGTACGGATAGTTTATGACCACGAGAGCGCCTCTGGTTCAAGGGAGCATCGTCAGCCAGGGCTCGTTATAGACAGAGTACATACACAGACACAACAGATCGATCCAGCCATTCCTATTTCTCATACCTGGAGGCAAGCTCAATCGCTATGGCAGCGCCAATGCCTTTCGAACTCCCGCTCACGATGGCTAACTTTCCATCTAGAGTCTGCGGTTTCTGCGCCATCTGGAGATGTCGAGTGAAAATGATGCAGTGAGATGGTGGACGATGACGTTTGGTGCTTGCTGTGCAGCAAGGAGAACCCAGATGTCTTACACAGAACAGACTTCATTTTCCCTTAGCTGGAGTTGGCGCTTTACATATACCGTCAGTTGTGCTGCCGCTGTGCTTCTGCTGCTCTCCACCACCACCCATCACCCGATCGAAAGTCGCTCGAGGGTTAAGGTACGTACGACTGATTGCATTGGACAATTGGCCCACCCGCCAACGCACTGTTCGGGAGGAAGAGTACGGCCCATGTTTCCCCGGCTGTGTGTGTGTGAGCGCTCCTGTGTGATTGCAGATGCACCTTTGGTCGTGTTGAAGCCCCATTGGGCCTCTTCACTGGTCCATCTGCATGTATCCTGGCATTCGTGCGGCCGCTCTCCCAATTATACCATCTCAGACTGCGACGGCGGTGCGACGGTGGTAACCTGCAGACGCCGGCATTGGCAGAGGTGGGAACTTACTAGACAAGGGAGAATTCCGGGGCTGGACACCATTTCTTCGCGTAGCGACGAGAAGCGTGCATTGGTCCCAGTTCTTGTGGGGGATTTTGATGCCTCTGTCATCATGTTCCTATCACGTACCAGGTACCTACCTACCGGACGGACCATGCGAAAACCAGGCGCCCGAATTCTCTCATGAGAGCAGGAGCGCATCAGGGGCGACCCTGAGGGCACGAAGCAAACCGTGCATGTTTATGCGTTACAGCGCCTAGGGCGCCGCAAGCGGCCCTTGGAGCAAGATCGCAAACGTCAGTTGTTGGCGTCTTTCAATGGCCCCGTCGAGAAAGCTCGGAAAGTCCTTGGCCTGCCCGTTCCCGAAGCATGACGTGGATGATTACTTTATGGTGATTGAGAGGGACGAGTCCTTGTTCCAATCGGTGCTGGGAATGACATGATGACATGCAGGTTTATATACTGGCGAGCGCATTATTACTGAGCCCTGTCTGCGCAGGCAGGACCTTGAATCAAGCTGTCCAGGTCGCCGCCATCCGGGAACGGTGCGGAACGACGCTTATCAACCGTGCCGCCCACAATCGTCAACGACGTCGCAGAGGCGGTGATCACAATGGAGAAGATGGGCGGGCGACCGGGGTAGGCGGAAAAGACATGAATGAAGCAGTTGCCCGTGTCTTCCTCACCTACGCGCCCGGTGGAGGCATCGAAGATCAGGCTCTTGTCGAATGGTTGGTTTGTCTCGTCTCACTCCGTGTCTGCACGCCGCACACCTGGGGCACACACACACACACACACACACACACTCTCTCTCTCTCTCTCTCTCTCTCTCTCTCTCTCTCTCTCTCTCTCTCTGTCCATGCATATCAGACAACTCCTCAACCATGGAACACTTTGGGCGCAATGGGCGCAAGGGAGAGGGGCCCCCCGGGGGGAGCAAGAACATCCTGCTAGTGATTGGGTTCAGGAGAGAGAAGGCAGACCCGTGTGACAGACAGACCGAACCGAAGACAAGGAAAGGAAAAGATGCTGCTGCTGCTCAAGATATTCTTTGGTGCTAGAGTCATGAATGTGGCCATGTGCTATGCGTGTAGATTGCTTCATGCCGCCATACACTCTCCGGTGAATTCGTTGTATGTATACACTGTCGTTATCTGCCCTGTCTGGGTCGAATGGGCTCACTCTGCCCCTGTGAGCTGTGTTGTAGAGACGTTGGCGTCTACTTCCCGTTATGTCCATTACCACCGTTCTTCCCCTTCCCACCGGTCCTCTCCACCCGTGCCAGGACCTCTTTACATTCATCACAGTACCACTTGGCGCTCTTGGGCACACTCTTCAGCCCAATACACTCCAGATGGAACCATTGCCGGGGACAATCGTCCCGGTCGCACGCCACCATCTCCCCGTAGCTCACGCCCTGACAGTAGCAGTATCTCTCTTCGTCTTCCTCCAATCCGTCGTTTTCTTCTTCCTCCTCGTCTGCGTCTCCTGCGTCGGTATGATTCACGATGCTGCTCGCCCCCAAGTCACGCTCTGAGGGAGTCGACGACTTGGTGGGAGGGTCCGTCTCGTCTTTCACGCGTTGACTACCGGTAACGCTTGCTGTAGATGGAAACGACAGACTCGCACTCTTTTTGTGAGGCCGCTTCATCGGCAATCCTTTCGGCGACAGGGAATCGTGGAGACCGTGGTCCTTTACTCTCGGTCTGGCAGGTCGTTTGGCCTTGTTGGCGGCACCGCCATTCCCACCGGTCGACGACGTCTCTGCGGCGTCAACCTCGGCGAAAGTGCTCACGACGGGCGTTGAAGTCTTGGAGGCTCGACCTCTGCCCAAGCGCTCATTCTTCAATTCAGTCGTCTGCAGGACCAGTGGCAGACGTGGCGATACAGCCTCCTTCGCAGATACCTCATCGGGAAGATCGCCCTTGGCAGCATCTTGTCCACCAGAGGTCTTGTCCGTCGATGCGGTTCCTTTGGCAGGTTCACCGCCATCTGCATCCTTCAGACTTGCAGGCTCGTCTTCCACCAGCCGCTCTCCTTTGTCGGTCTTTGTCTCTTTCACATTATTCTTGGATTCTGTTGTACCCTTCCCACTGCCGGCAGCCAAGCTGCTCAACTCCGATGTACTGGCAGTCACGTTGTTGCCATTCCCATTTCTGCTCGATGTCAGGGAAGAAGGTCTTCCCTTCACGCTTTCGACGGTCTGTGCAGAATTCTGGCGTCCTCGTCCCGTGGCAGGGCGGACGGCAGAGAGGGCAGGGCTGCGCTTGTAAGCTTCTTTCCCCGTGGATCCGGCGAGCGGTGACGAGGCAAGCTTGGGGGAGTCTTGAGTTGCGGCATTGAGACTGAAAATGAAGGTTAGCAGTATTCTCAGGGTTGTTGAAGTGGTTGTCTGGCACATACCGTTTCCGGGCCACAGATGTAACAGCTGCGGACGCCTTTCTCTTCTTGGAGTTTTCCTGTTGAGAATTCTCTCGTGACATCGGACGGCCTCCCAGCGCACTGCTGATGGAGCGTTCCATGGCCACACCCGCGGTCGCAGGCTTTTCAGGTTTCTTCCTCTTCCCTGTGCCTACGCCAGTGATGCCCAACCCTGTAGGGTCCAGTGCTGCATCAGCCGCCCGCTTCTTACCGCTGGTGGTTGTTTTCCGCGTAGGCGCTCTCGAGTCATCGAAGTCAGAATCTGCATGATGGGCCGTGCGCTGCCTCCTGGCAAGGACCGCCTCCCTGCGAGCTTCACTCCTGTGCGCAATCTCGCTCTCATGCAAAGTCGCCAGACTCGCAGCCGCAGCTTCTCTGCGCGTAGTGGGCGCAGTGGGCTTTTTGACGGGGTTCGTCTCTGTGTAAGCCCAGTGCTTCAGGCTGCCCAGTCGGGCTTCTTCCGAAATCTCGTCGGCGATGTGTGGCCAGATGCGGTCCAGTCTGCGAATGTGCCTGCCCATCTCTTCGTTGGCGTTGTTAATGACATGGTTTTTCTCGTCCATGGTGACCATGATAGTCATGAGGGTCTGTCTCAAGGCGTGGAATTGATGCCGGCGCTGCATAATGATAGGGTCGGCAGACCGAGCTGAGGCGAGAGAGGCGTTATCGAAGGACGCACCGGCGACGCTGTTCACTTCGCTGAGATTGAGAGCATCGTCAGCCATAGTCGACGCCGTCAGGCTCTGGGACGCGGCAGCTAGATCTCTCGTTGTCGTCGCACTGTCGGCCAGACAATGCTCCAAAATGTCTTGTAGACTTTCCTCGGGACCCCACGCCTTTGCGTCCACCTCCTTCAGTAACGAAGTGTGCCGCCGGTATTCTCGCGGCAGCGCAGCGATCGCATCCGCGAAATGGGTGATGGCAGGGTACATGCCCGGTGGCTCATTGCTGGTCTGGTTCTGCGCGGTGACAGCGGTGGAGGAGGATGCCAGAGCAAGGGCACTGTTGGAGACCAGTGAGTTCTGGCGCAGGAGAGTCGATCCGAGGCCCTTCGAGGCTCTGGCAGGGTTGATTCGAGTCAAGCGAGATGGGCCGCCTCGCACATTGGAGGTGCCCAGGGTGGTAGTCATTGTCGTCGTGGACATAAGGATATCCGACGGTGGTAGAGGTTTGGGTTGAAGGAGAGTAGAGCTGTGAGTGAGTGTGCGATCTGCGAGGATGACCTGACCAGAAAATTCTCGCAAAGGATCACAGTACCGGGCAGCACCAAATAACAAGGGATTAGAATAGCCGAACGAGGGCACTCAAAGAAGTCAACAGCATCATGAAAGAGAGAAAAGGGAGTTGCTGGTCAACGAGGAGGAAGCGTGGTGGAAAATGTAAATGTGAGCCAGGAACAAGCAGCCATGGGGGAGCGCAGCCAGCGTTGCGCGCATCTCCCTCCCTCCTCCTTCTGCTCCCCTTGTGCTCTCCAATCGGCGGTTGGTGACATCAATCCACCGATCACATCCGCCATCACGTGTATCGGGGTGTTTCTCAGCAGACCCCCACGTGACCCCTCAGTCTTTTCTGCCAGAGCTAGATCACGAAGTTCAGTCCGGGGAATAATTATCCGTTGCATTACACCGATGGCTAATAATCATTCATTATCCACGCTCAAGTCAAGCAAACAATGACCGATCTTTGCACGAGACAGTAACAGTCGTCAGGGTCATAACCTCTCTCTTTCTTCCTTCTTTCCCCTTCCAACAATCTTCTTCTATACGAATCATCGTCAATCAATGTTTCCCCCTTACTGCATCAGAACTTCATATCCACCCGTCATCAACTTTTGACGCCTGTCCATGCCCAATGCCTACATCTAAGGCCAGCTGGGGAGGCTGGTCAGTTTTCTTTTTGACTGGACTTTTCCTGGGGCTTATTGTGTCTCTTGGTGGTCCTGCTCTGACGTCTTCTACCGGCCACTCGTCAGCCTTCGCTGCCGCAACCCAACATTTCAGGCCTTCGTGGACTCCAGAATAGAACTTCTCTTTGCATGTTCGAAGACTTCCACCCATTACCTTCTCGAAACCAGATTGCTTTAGCTCCTCCCGCAGTGCGTTACGGTCGGTCGCAGTCGGAAGACAGGCGATCAACCCGTTCAGTAAATCCAAATGAGTCGCGAGGTACTGCGTCGCTTCCCATTCAACTCCTCCCACGTACGGAGCTGCCGGGTGTGGTGGTCGAGGAGGAGGGAAATGGGCTCGACAATAGTCCACTGATTCATCAACCTCGACGATGGGGATGACGTTGAGATGATGCAGAAATATCCAAAACACTTCCTTCGTGACATTAACCACTTCTTTGCACCAGACTCGATAAGGACGAGGGGTATGCATTTGCGACACAAAGTCGAGCACCTGCTTGCCATCCTCTGGCGCCGGATCTCTGAGAAACCCAAGAACTTTCTGTGCTCGTGCATGAGAAAGCTCCTGATCAGAGCCCGCAGCCGCTGACACGTGCGCGAAGAGGAGCGAGATGATGACGCCTCTGGTGTTGAACTCCGACGGGCCCTTCCGTTCGGGATCGAACAACATGTGCAAGAGTGCTGGGAAAAACTCGTTTTCCACTTGCTGCAGACGTTGTAGCGCAAGGGAGGTCGTACAAAGTCCTTTCAGACACAGCAGTGTCTCGTGAAGGAGGTTGTCTTCATGTTCTTCGCGCCACTCGATCTTCGAAATGCGGTAGTAGAGTTGAACCAGTTCGTCCATGCCGCCCTTGCTAACAAAATGATCCGTCCACGAAATCGACTCATTCCTTAAGAGAATCCTCAGTTTGTGCAGCTTGCTCACTTCGACTAGTGCCGGCTTCTGGACCTCTCGGAGGTAATGGATGAAATCTCCCGGAGTGGTGGCACTGTCTGCCGCATTGAGGGATGCCAGCGACACGGTCGACGCCATGGCTTTCGCTGAGGCTGGTCTGGAGCTTGTCAAATCGGCGGATTTGTTCCGGGATTTGCTGCGTGATCTCAAGGAAGAAGTGGATTTGTCTTGTTTCGTAGGTGAGTCTTCCTCCCGTCTGCTCAGAGTCAAGATACGACTTCGAGGACGGGATCGCGATCGGGATCTTCTGTCTTCCTTGCTCTCCTCACCCTCGCTTTTTGGTCTCTCATTCTCCTTTCGGCGAGAGCTCCGAGCTGATGCGCCGGCCTCGGAGCTATCGGTGAAGGCTGATGCCGTGGATGAACCACTTCCAATGCGATCACCCTTCATCAAACCTGCCTTTACATCGGGCTTGAGATTTCGCATGTTGTCCCGCATGTTCAGTGGAATGTTCAGAGAATCCAACACCCTCTCGAAAGCTGAGTCAAGCTCTTGAGGACTGAGGGGAGAGGTTGCAGCGTTCGGAGTTTCCGGCACTGGGCGGGTGTCCCTGCGAGCCCTCATGTTGAACGTCTGGATTGCCTCAAAGACTCTTGAGCCTAATTTGGCTTTGGGATCTGCTTGTGACGAGTTTGCAGGTTGGACTTGAGCATTGGGATGGCCTTCCACTTTGGAAGGGGAGGTAGGGCGACTGATGGGCTGGTCCTCACCCTTGGGCGGCTTGACATCTTCGGCATCATCATCAATGTTCTCGGTGAAGATGGAACTTCTGCTAGATTTGTGCTCCAGAAATGGTCGTTGTGGTGGCTGATAGTCCAACGCTGGCGACATCGCCGGCCCGTAACCATAAAAATTCCTTTGCTCCGAAGGACGAAACTCGGAATAGTCTTTGGGGGTGTACAGTGTTATCTCCTCTTCAACAGTCCTTCTTTTCGATACTGGATATATCATCGTGCCATCCGCACCCTCTAAGGGCTGAGTAGCAAACTGTGCCCAAATGGGCGTGGGACTCTCGACAAGAGCTGTCTTCGATGGCGGGCAGTTTTCTTGGTTGCAGCTGCTGTTGTTGTTGATGTTGTCTTCTTTAAGGTCCTTCTTGGATCTCCGTTTCAGTAGTCCTGTCAGGTTACTCGCCGATTTCACCTTCTTAAGCTTGTTGTCGGCCGTATGCCCTTCGATGGGGGAAACGCCGACAGTGCCTGCGCTCTTCTCTTTACCCAAGATGATCCCTTTCAACGACACCGAGCTCCCCGTCTTCTTGTGCGAACGGGGGAGAGCAGGGCGAGTAGGCTCATCGCCTGATTTGGTTGCAATTCGTTTCGGTTGGGGTGGGCTGTTGATGTGTCGCTCTCCCAGTGGACTGGCGGAATTGGCAACGCCTCGACCAGACGGCTTCTGAGACTTCGTAGGGCTACAGTTGTCCTTTCGCCGCCCTCTGAGGACGTCTGCAACAGAAGGGGTTCGGTTATGGTTCGTTCTGCGTCCCCTTTGCTGAGGCTCCGGATCCTCGAAAATCTGGGCGACCTGATGGACGGACGGCGCCATGTTGGGGGGTTGAACAGAATATATTTGGGCACGGTGCCTATTCAGATACAGCTCCTCATTCCTACAGAAACATGAATGCTGCTTGTGCACGGAAAATATGATGATCCAAGGTCGAGGCGCGGACGTGGAGCCGGCCTGGCTTCACCGCAGCCCGCGTTGAAATCGCACTTGCTTTGTTTATATGGTTGCGGCTGCCACAGCAACCACCCTAGCCTGGGTCTTATCACGTGTACCGCGTAAACGATCATAATTCCTTGTCCACATGGAAGTGGAAATGGGAAATTAAACGTGCAAGAGGGTTCCAGCATACCTCGTACCACTCTACCCTTAACAATTAGATCACATACCAATCCCCCCCGTCCCGCCGTTATACCAATACCCTTGCCACCAATCTGGTCGTGTCCTTGCTCATGCTATTCATACATTGTCTTATTATTCCATCCAAGTGATTAGAAGTTCCAATGACAGTGGTTGTCTTCTGCTTCCAACTCTTCTTTGGATGATACCCAACGAGGAAAGGACATAGAGGGTACATGACAAAATCAATGCGCCAGACTAATGTAATCATTGTACAATACTCTGCCGCCAGCGATCAATTTGCGCTCGCTGTTTGGGATCCAAAGGTGGGCCCATCATTGGGTCTGGTATATATGGCTGGCTGCCATACGCGTAGGGATATGTCTGTTGCATGTAGGTGGGCAACGGGGCACCGAATCCTCCATTCACGTATCCAACGTTGTTCGGGTGCCCATAAGACCCAATAAAGGCCATGTTTTGTTGAGGGTAAGCCCAATTGGGATTTGGCATCGAGGTGTATACCTGGTTCGAATTGCTCCTAGGCAACCCTGGTTTTGACGGCGCACCCACTGGATGAGCTTGGAGTAAATTGGCCAGACTATGCATGGGTTTGACTTGTTGACTGGCCTGCGGGTTGGCAGATGCTTCCTCCTTCAACCTCTTTCGCCTCTGTGCCAATGTCTCCTCTGCATCCGGTGTCTTCGATGGTGTGGGTGCGTTTTTCGTAGGGTTGAGGCCTAGTTGAGAGGTCAACTCTTCCGTAAATTGGCCTCCAGTCCCCTTTTCCTTCTCCAGCTTCATTCTTGCCGCTCTCTGGGCCAGTGTCTCCTCCTCATCTTCTGTTAGGGGCTCTTGAGCAAGGCCCGGTACATCTTCAATGAAAGGCGGCCGACTCTCCTCCTCGGCCTGTCCCTTAGCCTCAAACTTTGCATTTTGGAGCGGCCCGCCTTGCAGTCTCGCTCGTCGTTGACTCAGAGGCTCGTTGTCCTCCAACTCCCGCTTCTCTAGGAGGCCAATTGGTCTATTAGCATTTGCATGCTCGACTCTATCCTTTTCCGGGAATAGTATACCGAGGGGCACATCTTCATCGTCGAAATTTTGTTTATTCGCTTCGTCGCGGTCCTCCCAAGCCAAAGTGACATGTTTGGTCTTACGGGCTCTCTGTTGAAGCTGAGTAACAGCGTCCAGCTCAAGCAGAGTCGAGTGCATGCCATTCGGGAAGGCGTCTGCCGCAGTACGATTGCGTAATTTCTGTTGTTCCTTACGCATTTGTAACTCGGCAAGGAGAGTCGTGGGCGCAGTCGAAAACCCTGGCGGGGCGACAATCTTGTCCTCCTCCTCGTCGGGTATCTCGTCGGCATCCGGTGCTATGGACTCCGCCGCCGCTCGATCCAGTTCATCGCCACTGGCTTGGTCTTCAGCATCCAGATTTTGAGAACCTCTTGATTTTGAGCGCAGCAAACCCGAATTGGACAGGGCAGTGCTCGATCGTCTCGTCTTGAGCATCGTACTGATAGAACTTCGACGTTTCTTCGTCTTTCCTTCGGCCAATTGCATACTCTTTCGAGGAGAGGCGTCGGGACCATACACTTCCTTTCCCAGATGGCCGGCAATAGGATGGTCAGTGAATGCAGAGACAGGAGCGTGTGCAGCAGCGTCCAAGATGCTGTCCAACGTCTGGACAGCTGAGCCATTCTTGAGTTGTAAGTCTTGAGTGACACTGGGCTGTTCGAAGAAAGCGCTGGCTCGCAACTGGGGTGGTAATTTGAGTCCATTGTTTTGACCTTGCAATTTGGCGGTGTCTTCCTCTCTAAGCCAAACAGCCGACTGGCGCACATCGTCCGGAATGCCACTGAGTGCTTGGAGTCGACGTTTGTCTCGTTCGCTGATGTTGAATTTGGAAAGTCTTTGGGGCAGGTTCAACATGACTGGAACTGGCGCGGGATAGTAGATCATTCGCTCTCCTGGTTGGGGTTCTTTGTATGCTTTCGAGTCCCTTGCGAGCGGAGGGTGATTGAGAGATATACGTCGTGATATAGATGCAGCGGATTCGTGGGACCCCGGGGCGCCGTAATGCACCCCATCGAAGTCGTTGAAGGCAGCCTGCGCTTGGTGATAGGTGTCGTTGGAAGCCGATGTGGTCGGCCTCTCCTCCTGCACCGACCCGTCGGACGCTCGACGCAAGGGATTCGGCGCAACTTCGTCTTCGGGGTAAATGGAGATAGAGGCACGACGATCCGGGCTCAAATCCAGCGGCCGGCCTTCCAAGGGCGGCAGAGCATGGCTGCGACGACTGCCCTTGGAGGAGTGACGTTCAACGTGCTGCTGCTGTGGATAGGGTCCAGAGCGAATTGAACCAGTCGGAGATGTTATCTGATATCCTGAGGGAGAGTATCCCCCCAACCTGGCCGTTTGATTCACGCCAATGATTGAATTAGACCATGAACCTGTCGAGTATTGTCTCTGGACCGCGGGCCGAAGGACGTTGTCCAGAGTCGCGGGCGCCGAGGACTGCCGCTCCAAGCGTTTTTGATCTTGCTTCATTTTGTTGAGGCCATCTTCCAGGCTCGAGGTCATGCTCAGCCGCTCGGCGCTCTCTTCCAGACGTTCCACATTTTTGACCAACGCCCCTTGCAGCGACTGCAAATCTGGGGTCGGGTGGTTCAAGGGCAGGTGACGGCTGATTGAGGCTGTCCTGATTGGAGGATCTTCTTTCTGGAATGCGGATGTGTCCTGTGCGGAAGGCAGACCGTCCATCCTCGATCGCGGTACGACAGGTTCTGGATATCTGGGCATAGGCTCCTCGTAGTCGTCCTCTTCCACCATCTGGTACGACTGCGAGGAAGACAGCGACTTAAGAAGAGGCCCCACGCCTACGGAACTTGGTCCCGCCTGCGAGAGGACCGAAAGATCGCCATCTCGGGAGAATTGGTCGAACAGTGGCAGGGACAACGGTGGACTCGAGATTTCCGGAAGGATTGGAGAGCGGGTAGGTGAGTAGGAGGAATGTGGATGATGAACGGCGTCAGCAGCTGCGGTCTCGCGATATACGGCTTCATGCTCAGCCTGGGCGACCGAGGCATACGCCATTTGATGGAGCTGACGAGCGGTGCAGGACGCAGGAGTTGGAGTTGGAGCAAGATCACGGGTGTGAGATGGAAGAGGCTGTGGTGGTGTCTAGTGTCGGACCCTTACACGTGTGAGGGCAAATAGACCCTGCAGGTCATCTTCAGGATCATGATTCGGTAGAGATGGATGTGGTCTGGTCAGTCGACGGGCTGTGATGTCCTCGAGCCGTCTGTAGTGAAGACGAAGACAAGACACGGGGAAGCAAGACGGAGACAGCACTATGATAACTGTGCGCCGACCACATCTGGACGGAGACCTTGTACATAGGAGGGCGCAGTTGAGCCTTTCGCCGGATAAGCATAGACTGGGGGCCCCGATAAAAGTGGGTGTTCCGGGCAAGGCAGGCCACGGCTGGCTAAGATTAGGGCACAGCTAGGACCCATTCGGGGGCGTCTGTTTAACTACAACTTGACGCTTGGTGGCCGATTGAGACCACCGCACTACGTCTCAGCAGGGTTGCCCAAAGCCAAGGGTTCCTCGACACTCCACGGAGGGTTTCTCGTGGAAGCAGCCACGGCGTCTCATCGTCCTCCTCATTGCCATATCAGTCTTTCAACAAGCTTTCTGCACTCCTTTCAATAGTCCTTTGCCCCCTTTGCACGCAGAAAGGTGCATGAACATTTCGAGTCGATCGGCAACATCTTTTCTCCTGTCTTGTGCCGGGTTGCCGCATTTCCCCCAGGATACACAAATGTCTGTCAGGTACACCAATCACCGCCAATCAGCCCTCTTTGTCGACCCTTGTCCTGCCCTGATTCCCGAAGTATCCACTCCATCCTCCATGCCTCTTCCAAGAGATTTGAACTAAACCCATATGTCCTACGAGTGCTCTCCTGTTATCTCGAAAAGCCACACATCACCTCAGCGCGTCGATCAAACCATCCTCGAAGGATCTCGTATCTCGCCTCCACCTCGGAGCACCACAAGACGTGGCAGATCACACTCATCGATTCAACAGACCCTTCCGATTCCAGTGGTCGACTCGTTCCCAATGAGATAGTGAGCGGTGCAGGATTTCAGACACGACGAGGATTTAGGACACTACTATTATGGGTTATCCATGCGGATGAAGCTATGTCGAGCTCCTGTCGGCCCTGCAGCCTGCCAGCAAATAATGTACTCGGTACAAGGGGACGGGTTTTGTCGAAATCCACAGCTTACCTCGTACTTATCCAGCCACCTGTTCAAACCAGGCCGAAGATGAACAATGTTCTGAAACTTGAGTAAGAGGAGATCTCAATGCCGCAGAAAATCTAGTTGCTTGTCTTATCTACATGATCAACAGGCATCCATCTCTGCTGGTAACTATCGCAAGCCTCGCCATGTCATTCATCTCGCTTCTTATCGGTCTCCGGTCTGCCACAGCGGATAATAGTGTTGATATCTAGGCAGCCAACCTCCTCTTGTTCATTCTGTTCGGAGCATGCTCGACGGAGTTCTTATCCGCCTTGTTCTCCCATCTGGGGTGAAATATGCGACTTATCGAATGCAGGATTATTGTGGACTCGAGGCACAGGCACAGGCACAGAAACAAACAGCAGGGGCAGGGAACGTTCAGATAGCAACGGCGGGCCCTGGTCCTAGCTTTGCGCACAGACGCTGGGAAAAGCCCCGATATTAAACTTAGAGCAGAGAGGAATCCAGATACCAAGCTGCTTCAGACAATACTTCGTGTGATGCGGCACTTGCGCAAGGGTCTCCATTGGCCTCCCAGCTTGCTACTGCGATGCTGGAGCTCAAACGCGTTTCCCGAGTTGAGATACAAGCGGTGTGTTATCGACACTCCAACAGCTGAGGAAGACACAAGCAGCATTTTCGGGCCCTAATCTGATACGATGGCAGCCTAGCTCTTTTATGCTTGTCCTGATACGGCTACTACAGGTAGACGGATGGCGATGCCAACTATGTAAAACCTTCCAAAGAGCGTTTCCCCAATCTGACACTCTCATCCATTGCAGGCACGGATTTCGGGACTGTGGGATACGACCAGCCTCGGAATGAGAGCTACGAGTAGAAACACGCCAATATCGGGAGTCGAGGCTCAGTTACCAGGACGAAGCAACCACGAAGGATCTGGAGATACTCCATGCCGTTATTATATCTGACCCATGGCCCCAGCGCGATGGCGTTAGGATCGAGCTCCACCCACGCCCACACTCTGAGACGACTAACTGGTTATGTTCCTGAGGAGAGGTTCGTTCGATCTGCTATTTTTAATCTTCGGGGTGGCATGTCCCGCACTCACCCCATCAGCCAGCCTCTTCACTTCGCTCGACAGAGAAACAAGGCGTTGCTTTGGGTTGCTTCCAGGCGAGGTAAGGGTGGCTGCGAGACTTTAACGCGTCAGGCAAAGTCTGATGCCACTAGGGCCGATAGTCCAGTGATAGTGGGCGGGAGTTTACTGCCAGAGCCAACGACCGCCCGAGCTTTGACATCAAGGTTATATGCTTTGTTGAAAGGTTTCGATGACAGTTGCTATCAGAGGATTGATTGCGAGGCAGAATCTTGAACAAGGCTCCTCGGCAAACACCCTCAATGAACATATTGGAAATGGTGGCTGCACGAATTCAGCCGTCCACAGCCGAGCGAGGGTGGCAGACGTTCCGTCGCGACTTGGGACACGACTCATGAAGCATTTCAGAAATCTCGATGCAGCTCTCGAAGTAGGTTGTACTGGCTTCTTACCCGTCTGGGTACCTTTTCTCTTTTCTCTCCTTGATCTGATATACATCATCCTCTTCTACGTGGCCGATCAATGTCACTTCAGCCCACCTTAATCGATCCAAGCATTCCAGGAAGAAAATTTCGCTTTGGATGCAGGTAATGTGGTTGACTACCTTCACAGCCCCCAAGTTTCATGGATTCGAACTGGGGTTGGCTGACTGGGTTCAAACATCTCTCGTCGCCACGGACCACAAATACGGATCATTCTCCATTGGGAAGAATCAACTGCGAAGCGGCCACAGGGACTTCAATGGAGACGCGTGTATGCAATGTCCGACGCGAGGAGATTTGAGAACGAGTACCGAGTACGAGGTACTTTGTACTACTCCGTCGAGTCCTCCAAATAGTATTACTCAGGAGTAAGAGCTCATACTCCGTCCACACAATCTCGCAAACAATCACAGACGCCACAAAACGATGGCACGAGATTGGCTCCTCGCACAAATAACGGGCCAGAACGTGGAAGCCACCAGCCACCACAAGCCACCGGGATGCGCACGACGCACCTTCGCGACTTGTGATCCGTCGACACTATAGTATGTATTATCGAACGCCCTGTGCTCGGTGGTAGTCCTGCATCTCCATCTCCTCGGGGACGGAACTAAAGGCTCCCCGTGTGCCGTTGTTGTTCCTCACTCTCTCATCCTCTCATCCTCATGGCTGGCACGGCTGGGTACCAAGGTAACACTTTTCGTTCCATCGCTCGAATGTCCGACCAACCGACCGGCCGACGTCATCAGGGCCAAGTCGACATACTGTAACCAAAAGTTTCGGCCTCCGAACATCCATCCCATACTGTGTACCAAGTATTACTTACATATTAATCGACCTATCCCGGTGACTAAGAGGATTACCTAGGTTGGATGAGTTACACGGTGAGCTCCTGCTGACTCGCAGGCAGGTCGCAGGTGGGCATGGCATGGGCAACGAACACGCCCAGGAACTAATTCATACCCCATTATCGATATTAATATTACAATGCTGCGGGCTCCGGATCCTAATACAGTAGGATGCAATGTATGTATGTATCAATGCGGGACGAGAAACCTAGTGACTGCTATTTGTAGCTAGCTATGCATGCGCGCGCGCGTGTGTGTGTGTTTGTGTGTGTGTATCCATGTACCTCGCGAGCACTGTTTTTTATGAATGATTGAGTGAGAAGAACGATAACAATACCTTCTTCTTCCTTGCAAGGATTCTTCATCCATTCATTCATTCCTGGCTTGGGGTTTATTTATGTAATATAAGCCATACCGAGTCTCGGGAGGAGGAGAGAAACTGTCCTATGTATAAGTGTGACGTGACGTGATACCACAGTATCACCGCACAGCGGCCAAGGAGGACCTGTAGAGATAGATATCCGCTTCCTACGTTATGTGTACGAGGAATAGAAATAGAGGGAGGCACACACACACACACACACACACACACACACACACACAGGTAGAGAGAGAGAGAGAGAGAAGAGGGGGGAGCGGGGAGGGGCTAGTCCTTCAAGCAGGGACACTGTGTATATACGTGTTAGACGGCTTCACGAGTAAGGAACCGAGAATAGAAATGCATTTCGTAATTGGAAATCCATTCTGCGCCAGCCCATTTCAATCTGGCTCTGGCTCTGGTTCTGGTATCTTTGCATCGTTCCCTCATCACATCATAAACCGAGTAATGACACTTCGGTCGTCCCGTGTTCCTCTTTCCTGAGCGGGTCAACATCGCCCTGTGCGTCCCCAACACTAACCGGTACAGCACAGTACAGTCTTGCTGCCCGAGAATCGCCCTATCGTCGCGCCATCATCCCATCCCGAATCAATCAAACCTTCTCGCTCGCGACCGCCTTGTCGTCCTCGCTGGAATCTCTGTGCTCCACCGGAACCTGGTGGTGCCTCAGATCCATGTGGGTAACCTCGGCCATGTCCTCGTCGTCCTCCACGTCCAAACTCCTGCCTCGCCTCTCTGGTCCGATCAAGGTCAGCAGAATGACATAGGCGTAAACCGCACCCATAAAGATGCAGATGACCTTGCCGTAGTTGTATCGTTTGACGGCTTTCCCTTCCTTGTTGATGAGAGGCGCGAGGGGATACCGTTCGCCGATGGTGGACTCGATCGTGGAAGAGGCCGACGAGGCCAAGTTGCCGAGTTGGTACGAAGTACCCACGACAAACGTCCGCAGCGAACCGGGAGAAAGCTCCATCAGGTGAATCGGAATGACACCCCATGCGCCCTGGACACAGAACTGCTCAAAGAACGCCGCCGCAATGACGGCCTTGGAGGTGACAAAGGTGTAGGGATACAACAACGCCCCACCAACGATCGAAATGAAAATAATGCTGAAGCGACGGCCGAAGATCTGCGAGCAGTACCCGATGACGGTGCCGCCGGTCATGGCGCCCAAATTGGCTACAACCTGCGTGACTGTGACGGCGTCGGCGGAGAATTTGAATTGGTTGGTCAACATTGTTGGATACAAGTCCTGGGCTAGTTCTTTGGTCAGCATTTCGAATTCTTTGTGGCGCGGAGGCAGTGACCAGAAACTCTAGAGAGAAACGACTGGGGGGAGCTTTCCGGGACAAACTTACAGCCATGGCTCATAAAGTTAAAACCCGCCATCAAAAGAACCAAGTAGATGAGAAGCATCCAGTGTCTCTTCAACGCGACTCTTCCCTCGGAGATAAAAGTGCCCGCCAAAGTTCCTTGCTGCGCACGAATAGCCTGGCGAGCGCGGAAAGTATTGGTCTCGGGGAGACACAGACGGAACAAAATGATCAGCACTGGCGGGCAGGCGCCAAACCAGAAGAGCGGCCTCCAACCGTGCGAGGTTGTGTTGACCAGGGCACGAGCAAATGCCGTGGCAAGCAGATACCCAAATGCGTAGCCTTGTTGCAGCATTCCGGAAATGATACCACGGGCCTCTGGGGGGCAATCTTCCAGTGCGGTCGCTGCTGCGTTACCATACAAGCCGCCCATGGCAATGCCAAAGAGGGCGCGCACGGCGAGAAATTGGCCGTAGGTCTGGGTAAAGCCGGTGCCGAGTTCGAGGGCAATGAAGAGGATATTGTTGACAATGAAGGGCCTTTTCGAGTCAGCTTAGAAGTTCAATAGACGCATTGAACCGGACTAAGACATACCACTTCCGTCCATATCGGTCAGACGCGATACCGAAAATGGTTGATCCCACCGAACGGAACATGAGCACCAGAGTGATGCCCCACGTGATATCCGTGTTGCTCTTGTTGAATGTCTCGGCCAGGTCAGACACGGTCAACGACACGGTGAAGAAGTCAAAGGCATCCCACGACCAGCCAAAGAACGCCACGAGGAAGAAAAGCCATTGTTGGGTGTTGAGCATGGCCAGCAGCGTGAATGGATTCGGTGCCTTTGCCATGGGAGGCTTGAGGGTGCTGATTCTGGTCGCCGCATATTTGCCTGGAGACATGTGCGTGCTGTCGAGCTCGTCTTCGTCGACGTAGTGACGATTCGCGGGCACAGTCTCCTTGGTGGGAGAGTGGACGTGAGCCATGTTGACGGGGTCTGTCTGGCTGAAGTCACACGTCTACAAAGTCTTGTGTAGCCTCACGTTCCACAGAGAGGCGGGTCAGGCTTGGGGAAAGAGGCACAGCGCATTCACCGGAGGGCGCGATCGACCCTTTTTATCTTCTTGCCCCCAAGGGCAAATGAGCGGGTGGTCATGAGGCCCTGCAAGGGATGCTGGTCAACTCGGTCCCATTTTTCACCTGGCAGCTCTCTCGTGGTTGCACGCGAGCAGGGAAACGGCAATTGATCGGCACAGACCCGACCTTTGCAAAGATAAGTGGTGTGTGGTAACACGGCAAACGGATTGCAGGTGATGGCATCTATGTGGTTGGTGGGAATACTGGAGCATTCCTTCGTGGGGAAGGGAATCAGGCTCGCAGCTGGTCTGACTGGACCCTCTGGCTGTCCAAATTGCGGGGGATCTGGGAGCGAGCAACGAATAAGACGAAGCTGGAGGAGAGGCTGCTGGCGCTAGAGCGTCAATCACAGATGCGAGAGCGTCACATCGCTCGGCCTTCGACCGGCGCAGGTCGGGCATGGCTATCCCATCGACAGGGGGATGCACGACTGCAGGCAGTCATGACGGCTGCTGGCTCCTAGGGTTCACCCTTTTGGTGCCACTATTTCTCGATTCTAGTCTCTTGATAGCCCAACGGCGAGGATAGATCGGAAAGCCTGACGCAAGGGATGAGACGGCTCGACGGGAGGAGATGGAAGGCTTCGGACTGTGTTCTCTGGACATTCCACGAGATTACTGCTTTGGGTTTCCGTGAGGGCTCCGGATAGTGTGCAGGACACTGGAATGGTGAACGGTAATGGTGTCTTCGTGGAATGTCGGGAGGAAGTCATGTCCTTGCAGACCAAATGGTGGGCTGACTAGATACCGGGCGCAGCTTGGCGTTACGTGGGTGGCGGACTCAACGGGCGACAACTGTCCCAGGCCAAGCCTATAGCCAGGCCTCATCAGGCCCGGAAATTGCTGGGGGCGTTGCTTAGAGTTGCTTGGACGATTAGGGAGGGCTGGGCACTTGGAAGCCGGGAAACAGGTGCCGGGAAAAAGCTTAAGACAGCTCTACCTCGCTAAGAGCAGCACCTACGGTAAGTGCTAGTATACTGGCTGGCCCCCCAAAGACCGAACGGCTCACGTATCGAATCATATCGACGACGCCGTGACTTTTAGCCGACCACTTTGCTGCCACTTCAACTCCCTCTGACCACACTTCATTGATAGTCCAAACACCGACAACGTCCCCCATTGTACGCCATCCCGTTTGCTGTGAACAGGTGCTCTCTCTCATGATGCTCCTCCGCCACCCGTATGATGCCGTTGCCACCACCACCACCACATCCTCCTCCTCGCTCTGCCTTCATTTCTCTCCCGTTATTTCTTCTCGTGTATAGCAGGCAAACCCACTTGCTCCAGCTAATCTGGACCTCGACCTTCGCGGCCAGGTCAGGATAAACTTCGTTCCGGACTCTCTCTCGCACATTCGTGAGGGTTGCCATACTGTTGTAGAGCTCGTCGGCCAGCGTGCTCGCAAGGAAATGGAGTTCGCTCGGTGTTGAGCCTTGATAGGTACGGACGGCTGGGTGTGCTTTTAGAAAGAGTGCCCTTGTTCGCGCCATCAACCGCTCAAATGTAAGTACTGCCGTCCCAAGATACTCTCTTTCCCCGACATTGTAAGTGCGGACGGCCAGGATGGTCACCAAGAGCTCAGCGTCGGTCTTGAACAACGCCCCCTGGAGTCGACCGTCGCGTTCCACCATCCGACAGACATCGACGATTTCCTCTTTGGTCATCTGGAGAGAGTCGCGGATCTTGTGCAGCCTGCGAACGGCCTCCTCTGAGTTGAGTTTGGTGCGGACGCGAAATGCTGGGGGTGCTATTTTTGGAGTCGCGGGCCAGAGCCACCGTCTGAGAAACTGAGAATCCATGGTGAGGAACAAGGCTTTGTGGTTCTTCTTCCCTTGGCACAAACAAAGGCTCTTCCTGTGAAGCACAGAAGCTTCTCTGCTTCTTCAGTCGCGGTGGGGTGGGCGCGACAGAGAGGACAGGTCCGGCAAGACAGGCGCGGCGCGACAAACTTCTTGGATATATCGATCGCTCTGACTGGAGATGTGCCTGGTCTTGTTCTGTTGTCACTAGGGTCTAAGTACTCTCGGAGGATGAGGTCCTCCTCTCACACAACTTTCACATTTACTTGACGGAAGATTCACTTCACAGTCCTCCCACTAGCACTCGCTAGGTCGACTTACAGAGCTGTCGCTCCCGCTGTTCCATGGGTACCTATAGCTTAATTCTCCTGGACCGGCAGAATCTCTGGCCCATCACCAGAATGTCACACTTGGCGCACGTACCGTGGTGGAAAAGGAGGTCCTCATGTGAAAGACAGCCATATAATCGCTCAACGCTTCTTCTACTCTGCTCGCATCTCTTCCGTCTTCACCATCTCATTCACCATATCACCAGTGCTGTCTTGACACCCCAACTTCACACTTGCAGAACCATCTCACCAAGTCATGTCTTCATCCTCTTCTCCCATCCCACAGATCTGGCGGAACACATCTCCGTCAGGAGCCCTCCAGCGCAGGCGAGGTTTCACCTCTACAACCAACATGTCACCAATTGCCGCTGGAGAGCCCTCGAGCTTCAACCAAGGGGGAACGGTGGTGCCCATCTCAGCGGCCGCCCTGGGTAACTTCCCGGTCAACGGGCAAGGTTCTCGCTTTGTGGAGGACCTCGCCGCCGCGAGTCCTGCTGCTGCTGGGGCCGGCATCACCATCATCGAGACTCCCTCTCCAAGGCCAGCAGGACGACAATCATCACGATCACGGCCGCCGAGCCCATATATCCTCCGGCCCCCGACTCCCATGGGCACGTCTCGGGAGAAGCCCGATGCCAAGTCGTGGAGGGCGATGGACATGGGCCTGCTGGAGGCCTCGCGCGCGTGCCGGGGCTGGCTCCAAGCATTTGGCAACCTCCGACGGGAGTACGAGTCGGTGTTCGCGGCGCTGTTCGGCGGCAAGCTGCGGGAGCGCCGCCTCTCGCTCTTCAGCTTCAAGTACCGCCGCTTCGTGGGCACGATCGCCGCCGTCGAGCGCATCCTCGACAGCCTGGCCTCCCTGCTCCTGGCGGCCGACTACTACGACCACGAGGCGCTCGTGGAGCTCATCGACGCCTTCGCCGCCTGGATCGTCGAGGCCGACTCCTGCTTCAACGCCATGACCCGCGACAACAGCCCCCTCGACCTGGCCGACTCCCAGGATTGCGCCGGCCGCAAGATTCTCATGGTCGGCATGGCGCCCGAGCTAGCCCGTCTGACCCTGCAGCTGAGCACCCGGGCACAAAAGCCTCTGCGGAGGTTTCGTGCCCTGGTCAAGTCGTATACCTAGGTCCATGGATAGATGCATTGCTGTTGTTGTGGTGGTGGTGGTGGCGACGGTGTGCCCTCTTGGAGGCCACTGGAGCAACGAGATGGTCGACTTAGACAAATGCCTTATGATGACGATGATGATGTGGATGTGAGACAACAAGCGAAGTGGCAGTATATGTAGCGAGAGTCTTTTTGGGGGGGGGGGGGAGAGGGGAAGGGGGGCACCTCTCTGTCCAAATCAAACAACCATAGTTTGATAATTACTCCCTGTTGTGAGCCTACCCTTTAGCAGGGGGAACGGGAGGGGAAGGCAGCTCATGCATTAGAATATGTACGCTGTCTGTATCTATTCCATCTGCCAATACGTACATTTCACCTCGTACGTACATACATACATACATACATCCATGGAACACATCCATAACACACACTAGTTACATACACACATAATTGTACAAAAGTCTTTTCTAGGCTTACTTACTTCGTCGTCATCCCGTCCCCGTCCCTGTCCCATCTATGACTATCAGCCTATGTATGTATGTATGTACAGTAAATTCGAAAAAAAAAGGGAAAAAAAAAAGGGGTTTAGTCAGTCAGTTAGCCAGCCAGCGAGGCCGATCCTTAGCTCTTCCCTCCCCTTACGGCGCTGCTGTTTGTCTGTCTATCTATACTCGATTTGAATCTACCCAGCACGTCTTAGAGATTGTCTCTCTCTCTCTCGCTCTCCACATCTCGTCTCGTCTCGTCTCTCCACTTCGTCCTGTTGCCAGCCAGCCAGCCAGCCAGCCAGCCAGCCGCGTCGAGTGGGTCGGTCGATCTCTATTTCTTTCTCACCGAATGAAGTACATAAATCACTGCAGGGGATGGGGGATGAGAGATGGGATGAGATAAGATATAGACACTTCGTGGGAACTGACTTTTAGCCGGCCGGCCGTGGGATTGTCGACAGGTTGTTGAGAAAGGGAGGTAGACCTCAATCCCTACTACATGCCATGCCGTAATCGTTTCTGCAGGAGAATGCGCATATGTGTGTGTGTGTGTGTGTGTGTGGGAGTGTTGAGTATGATGATGTTCGCGGACTCAGCTGAATGCGTCTGAAAGGGCCGAGCGAGTGACAGTGAAGGCGAGAGAGCAATCGGTCGGTGGGTAAATCTGGATCTGTGATGTGAGGCTTCTTCTTTCCTGGTGGTTGCTTTCGAAGTCTCTTCTCTCATGCAATGTATCTGGTTGACATCACGTTTGTCGACTACTCCTCCTTGTTGTAGAGTTGTTGTCACTCCCTCTCTGCTTCCCCCAATACGCATGCAACAACGACCTCAGTCAATGTCATTCATCCTTGACCTAAAATCGTGCGATATTCGCTTGCAGTTCCCCGCCCTTCGCTATGCAGAACTTTTTCAGAATGATGTGGAAGGAGCTCAAGTTGCTCGTCTCGCCGTAGTGCATGTGCCACGGGAAGCCCTCAAGGGGCACGCAGCCGGTAATCTCTTCTTCATCCCTGCTCGGGCCGAGCTCCCTTCAATCCTGACCGCAGCGTGGAGCCCAGCTAAAAGTATCCAGCCGGTCGATCAGTCCAGCAGCTGCTGGATTTATTCTCTCGCCGTGGCGGGTGCGAGCGGGGTCTTTTCTAACGCCGGCTGAATCAACGCGGCAATCCACTCATAGGTGGTGAAGAGGATGCCGCCGGCCAACACGGTCCGACCCAACCGCATCGTGCTGCCCCTCCAGAGTCCGCGGAAGCCGTAATCGGCCAGGACGCCGTTCCAGGCCTCCACCACCCCCTCACCCCGGACGGACTGTGCACGGGTCTTCAGCGTGTCGAATGGCTGCGTGGCGAAGACCACGATAGTGCCGGCCACGGCGCCGTTGGCAAACGTGGTCAGCGTGGTCTGGGGGATGTCGCGCAGCCGCTCAAAGTCCTTGAGGATGTTGTACGTGCCGAGCCGCACGGCGGTGGTGCTGGCTTGCTTCAGCGTGGTGGTGACGTAGCCGCGATACAGGGCCCTGAGGACGCCGTGCTCCTTGATGAGCGTCGCCATGGCGTGGACGGGGCCGCGAAACTTGCGCTCCGAGCGTGCGTCGTCGATCAGCGCCGTCTTGATCCGTTCCGTCGGCGTCACCGCAAAGGTGCTCGCGACGACGCCCGCGGTGATGCCGGCCATCAGGTTTCTCAGAGGAGACAGCGTGCCGGTCTCCGGGTCCTTGAACTGCGCCTTGATGGTGTCGAACGAGATGAACCGGATCGCGTCCTTGGCCACCGTCCCCGCCACGAGGGTCGAGCACCCCTTGTAGAGCGACCGCGGGCCTTCCTTCTCGATGACATGTTTGATGACGAGGAACGGGTTCCGGGTGGGTGTCTGTTCGTGCAGCTGCACGCGTGTCTTTGCGAATTCGAATGCTGCAAGGATGGTGTCCAACGAGTCAGATTGCTGCGCTTACTCCCATATCCACCGTCGGTCTTTCGTGCAGTATCCCTCGAAGAAGGAGAGAACTCGTCGTCGTCCAAGGTGCAAGAAAAGTGACGGTGAGAGCACAACTTACGATAAGTGATTGTCGCTTCAACACCCCCCGCCGCGCCCCCGGCAATCAACGACACGAGTGGCGATTTGTTCGACGACTGTGCACCACAACATTAGCCACAACCATAAAAAGGGGGTGTCCGGCCATTCAAGTTCGAAAACAGGGGGAAGGTCGAGAAACAACGTACGTCGTCAGCCACCATTTTGCCCTACCCCGTGAACTCTCTGCTTGCTCGCTCGAACCAAACCCGTGAATAACAAAAGGAGCAAAGGAGGAGGGAGGGTGAAACAGGATATGAATTCCGCTCGCAGGAAAGAGAGAACAAAAGGGGGAGAATATCAAAAGCCAGACCCCAGGCTCTTATTATCGTAGTCGCAAAAGACACCACCAGATCCGACTTGTCACTCGCTTGCTGTCTATTCGATACGCTGTTGGCAAACAAGATAAAAGAATGTGTTGTGCACGTTTTGTCATATAAAAAAAGAGAGAGATTGTTAATTCTATCGGACCCCCCTTTTGCGTCACAGGGCAAGACAAGACGTAGGACCTTTTTTAAGATCTGTACGAGGAGAGGAGAAAGAGTATGTAAGAGGAGGAAGCAAGATCCGGTGTCGGGTCGATCGCCGTGCGCCGCTTGCCTGTTAATTACATAATTACCAGCAGCCTCGGGTCTTTTCGGCTGAAGTTCGCTCGATAATATAATAATAAGACACAACCAAACAACACAAACACACATATTACAATACACATACACACGCAAAAAGGGGGCCCCCTAGAGACGGCACGTTGAGCGGTTGTCGCGTCGTCATCGTCGGCGTTGTCTTCGAAGCATTGTCAAAGTCTACCTCTTTCGACCATGGGTGAATACTACATACAAGGGGAGTTACATAGCTACATTGGATGACAAATAAACAATTCAACCAATCTATCCATCAATCTCTTGTCTTGTCTTGAGGAGAGACCCCTTGGGTGAGTGATCGCAAGCCTTTCTTATTGATAACACGGTTGGACGAATGCCGGCCCCCTCCTTTCTGAACCCCTTGTCTTTTCCCCTTTCGTCTTTCCCTTGGGAAAGGGAGCTGGCTGCATGGCTGGCTGGCTGGTCCTCCAGAGTGACTTATGTAGTACATACACCGCCATTCACCACGTTGAGTAACAACATCAACAAAAACAAGAAGAAACGCCGTGTGCCTGACACCGACCAACCCTGTGATCCTTCCCAGCTGTCAAAGTTTGATGCGTCCCTCGCTCCAAGGCCCCATAGTCAGTGCCCTCCACCATGGACACCGGCAGTCATGGTATAAGCATCTGTGAATGAATGCACCATCCCCAACTTCTGATCGGAAATCCCTAAATCATTGTGGCCCGTATTTGCCCAGAACATATCATTCGCATCACGTGCAGACGCTGCCGCACCGCTCTGGGGATAAACCTCCCTCTAGAGCTCCATGGTCCTTGCCTCACCCGAATCAGCCAGGTCGTTGACAATGATGCCTTCGCCTCTGTCACCGTCCGACTGGAAGCCAAACTTCTGGCCCGAGTTGCTGGTGACCGCCTCTTGCATCATCCGCATCCCCTCTTGCGGGTCCTTCAGGCTGGCTTGACGGAACGTGTTCTCCATCTCCTTCATCCTCTTCTTGAAGGCCAGGCGATCCAGAAACAGTTGTTGTCGGCCTTTCTCGAGATCCCGACGCTCGGCTTGCACGATTTCTTCCATCTCCGCGAACTGTGCCATCTTCAACTCGAACTTCTGAAGTGTCAGGTTGACGGCGGCCGAGACCATTCTCGTGATCTCTCGTTCCTCATGGGATGCAAGACCGCTGGCGCGTGCAGCAGTCGTGGCCAATGCTGTCGTGGCGATGTCGTTGATGACTTTGGCCCCGTTGGCTTCCGTCGTTGGCTGCTCGGCCGAAGGAGCGGACTCGTCCACTTCCATCTGATCCTCGGACTTGACTTCTGCCTTCTCCGTCTCACCGCTCGTGCCCTGCTCGGCTCCTCCCATGCCCTTCTCAAGCTGGGCCCGCAGCTGCTTCTGCATAACGGCAATAGAGCGGTTTGATGCCGCCGCAACCACGTCGGGGTCCGCCAGCTGCGCAAGGAAGCTGACGACCGACAGCACCGGATTGTCCAGTTGACTGATGGCGCTTCTTCCCGTCAGGGTCTTCAGCGTGGAGGAACCGTTCAACGGCCCATCTTCGAGATACTGATCCTGAATGTCGAGTTGCAAAAACTTCAGTACACATTCTTCCCTGGTTCGCGTACCAACATGTTTGGCAATCTCATTCCAGTCATTGTCAAAAGTCTCCAGACCTTCCAAGAGCAGGAGAATTTCAGAATCAGTCCACGCGGCACTCTTGTCGGGAATGTGGGAGTACGCGGGCTCCTCCATCTTCACAAAATCGGACGAGCGATGGTTGGACGGCATTCGAGACTGGAAATAGCAGTTCGGGCATAGGTCGTACTTGAGCTCACTGGGATTCGCGGCGCCTGCCACGGGATCGGATTTGGCGTAGTGGAAGCGACATCTCGTACAGTCGATTCCACATGAGAAGCAGTTGAAAGATTTGATGGGTTCTCGTGCGGCCGCGTCCATGGCCTTGGTCGTCGCAGCTCCGGAACTGGCGCCATTGGCAGTCGCCCCTTCGCCATTTGTCTGTTTCTCTGCGTCTTCGGCTTTCTTGACTTCTTTGCCTTTGTCATCGTAGACGTTTCGTCGAAGCTCAAGGTTCAAGTCGGCCTTTGTTGCGGGAGTCGCCGAAGCTGCCCGCTCAGTTGCTGGATGTGGTTTTCCAGGGGTGGTGAAAGTATTTTGGGCGGGTTGGAATGGTTGCAAACCTCGAGGCGTGTCCGCGGTGACTCTGAAATGGCCGGTAAACGGAGGACCGATATTCGCAGGGCGTGTCTGTGGATCAACCTGTTACAGTCAGTATCGAATCGCTCAAAATGTCAAGGGAGACGTTACTTGGTAGTTGATCAGACCCCATTGTTCGAGAAAGGCATGCACTCGCATTATCGCGCAGACATCGCCAGCCAGATTTCTTCGACATGCAGTCACTGTGAGGTACTCGACGGGGTTCAGGCGGTAGGTGTTGATCATAAAGTCGCGGTAATCTTTGTACACGGCCGGTGTTTTGCTGCGGTTTCGGCTGTTGAAGAATTCGGGCAGCGATTTCTTCTCCAAGGCGTGAATCGTGTGCATGTCAAACCATGTGCTGTAACTGGGAAGGATGATCTGATGTGTCTGAGCCACGAGATGTGAATTGGCCGCAGCTTCAAGGCTGGACTTTGCCTGTGCTGCCTGACCATCTGCGGCTTGTGTCGTGGCTGGAGTCTCTTGAGAATCTTCGGCGCCATCCTTTTCAGCATCAACATCTTCCACCTTTGCGTCGTCGTCGACTCCACCCATCTCGGCATCCTCCTGTTCGCCGTCTGGATCATCTTGAGCCCGCGGTGTCTTGGAGGCATCTAAAGCATTGGCCGACGTCGTTCCATTCGAGTTGGCTGACGTTTGAGCATCTACAGAGTCTCGTCAGTTTATGTTTTCGAGCCAGAGGGTATTGGCAGGTGAGCGAGGGGAAAGTGACATAGTGACGCGCGTACCTGTTGACTGTATCTCTGGCGCATCGTCGGCAGCGACTTCAGCACCGTCTGCGCTAAGGTCGACGACGTCTGAAGACTCATGCTTCAACTCGGGGGTCTGGTGTGAATCGGACATTGTGGTATCGTGAAACTGGATGAATTATCGGAATCCACCACCTGAGCCCTTCAGGGCGTCGCGCGAACCTCCAGCACGGGGAAAAGAATGTGCGCGCAGTCTGTCTCGAAAACTTCAAGTGCCTAAGGCTGCGAGGGGGGCTGGATGCATCACTCGGGGGGGTGCGTTTTGATGTATTTGGCTGGAAATTGAAACCCTGTCGCGAACTGCGCCGCGAACAAACACGACCGTCCAAGTTTGCGGCGATCGAACTGCGATCCGCCGCCAAGCAGGTTACTCACGTGACCTGGACGACGGAAAGTTAATCCGGCTGCAATATCCCTGCACTGTTTCTCGTCTCTTGACTTCCACTTGAGAACGTAGAAAGGTGCAAGAGCGACTATGTGGTATTAATGCACCATTCGGTCAAACAAATAGCCAATGTGATGGACAAGGCTCGAAAGACCGTGTCAACAGACCTTCGGGTCTAGACTTCCGGATGGAAGGCTTTGAGGTATTGCTGAAATAAGGTATTATATCCATATCTCAAACTCCCCAAAACTTCACAGAGATACTGGAGCCTAAGCTAAATGACCTGAGATACCATTCAGCCGGCGGTTCCTGGACCAGCTCGACAAAGCGATCTTCCATACTTTTTCCGAGAGCGTCCAGCGACTGGGCTTCTCAATGATATCTATCCCAGCAGGAGAGGTCGAGAATGCATTAAAGGTGACGGATGGGTGATTCGATCAAGGTACTCTCCACCTGTCCCAGTGGTGGTCACTGACCGCTCGCCACATGTCTTACCCTGTGGTATGCCGTTGGGAAGTGGTACAACCACAAATACCACTGCTTTGAAACAGTGCATGTACACCGTACAGGAACAGGAAACACAGAGACCTGGTTGTTCGATGTGCACATTACTGTATTCCGTCAGGAGGAGCTCACGTGCCTGGCCTCTAGGTGCCCTGATTTCTTTTTCCAATGCTTGCACTCCCCCTCAGGACATATCCTTAAATTTGACCGTCTTGTGGCAGCTCTCACCGTCCTCGTGCTCATGATACCGACATCCGTTACCCTCGGTTGGATCGTCAAACAATAACCCGCCACTTCCCTCCTTGATCGCATTGATCACGTCGACCGCAAAGTCTGGGCTGATGGCGAAGCACTCTCTATAACTGGTCGCGTCTTTCTCCGAGCTGGGGTCCATGATCTGTCGCGCAGCAATCTTACTCACGAGTTTGCGGAAGGGAGAGTCCGGAGCGGTCTTCTCATAGATGGGTTTCATCTCTTCCGGACCAGGAACGAGACCCGCTTCATGGCATCCTCGCCGGAATTGGTCGATGGCTTGGTTTTTGAGTTCTTGCAGCCCGATGGTGTCGCACAAGAGGTAGAGTTTTTGACAGGTGAACGCATAGTCCCATTTGACATCCTTGGGCATCCACGAGACGTCGTCGATCTTGCCCTGGTACAGCCACTTCACAAGTAGTTCGAATGCGGTGGGGTCTTGATCGCGGAGTTCCAGTTTGCCATCCTCGATGCGCTTATGCTCTCCGTTGACTGTGTAGGACTCGTCGAAGAAGCGCGCATGGTGGACGAGGAGATTTTGATGCAAGGACCAACGGCGGCCCTCGGGCCCGACAAAGACGTCCAGCAATGGGCCGGATAGCAACCTTTTTCTCGCACGCATGGGTCAGCGCAATCTTCTTACTCCAGTTAGATCGGTTGTCTAAGGCACAAAAGGCTGTCACAGAGTCGCCATGGAGCTCCACTTACTCCGCAAACTTCTTCGCAGAGATGTCGCCTATGTTTTCTCGGTGCATCTCAGCTTGAGGCGATCGGTGTCGGTACGTGGAATGGATGCGATCAAGTGTATTCGGCGGATTGGGGGTCGCATTGGTGCGCAAGGCGGGTTTTATGGGTGTCTCGGAGACCAATGGATCGATGCGACCGGAGACATGCCCCATAAGACATTGTTTTAGTTATTGAGACTTTGCTGGAATATAGCAAAGGTATTGTAGATACGAAGAACCGAGCTGCGCTTCTGAAGCGACTGAGATTTGAGAGGCAAAAAGTGGTCTCGTCTGACAAAAGCGAATTCCCCACCTCGACCGGGCGTTCAGTCCCAATTTTGCCTAGAGAGCTGTTCCATCTGCCGAAGAGTATTCAAGTCAGACAGAATGTAGCTATTTCCGCATCGTATGACGAAAGATTTGCCGGCGTCGGAGTTGGTTGGGCTGCAGGGTCCCGCTGTTCCGGACACTACGCGTTACAGTTCGAGAAGCGCGTCGCGCGTGTGTGCGCGGAACAGTTTGTGCGCGGAACAGTTTGGCCATTGGATTCTTCTGCAACTGTGATCAAAACCAACGGGAGATGTCCTTCCTTCTTGACGACAGCAAAATCGAAGACATTAATCACAACGACAGCACTTCTGCACATACGAAACATCTCAATATCATCCCGTCGTCTCCCAGCCCCGCTGACCTCGAAGCCCTTCACCATCGCGACCTTGATCCAAAGGCCGATCTGAATGCTTTTGCACATGCAACTCTGAGCAACTCTGATGTATTGCAGGGTTTTCAAGGCTCCGAAAACGGCCTCACATCGGATATAATGACGTTCTCGTCATCTCCCATATCCTATGCGCCCAGCTCCTCACCACAACCTTTGCCTGCGAACAAGAAAAAGCGCCGATTGTTCCAACCTTTCCCCGTCGAGCAGCAACCGAAGAGGTCCAAGACGGTGGGCGGGTTCATAGTGGAAGATGATGAAGACGAGGACAAGCACAATCCTGAACCTGGGCCTCAGAATGCTGATCAGCCAGTTTTGCTGGCAGACAGGGTTCCAACCCTTCCATCACCACGAGAAGATCTCGCAGAGATTCCACGTGTAACTTGTGTATCGGAAACTCCGACAAGCCGAAATACTCCGTCCAGCTCATACCTACCTCCTCTTCCTCGTCTACTTCTCAGAAAGCGGTTACGAGGAGGTGTAGACCTGCAGACGTCTTCTGGCACGTCCCTGAACATTCCCGTCAGACAAAAAGCCACAGCTTTGTCATATGAGCAGACCATTGCGCAGCGCTCTGTGACCGTGGGAGGTCGTGCAAAGAAGGCGTACTACGGCATTGAAATCCACAAGCTGATGGACGACGCAAAGACGCTGCAACAACTTGACAAGTTTGAGAAACAGCGGCAGGATCAGCAGCATGCCTCGGAGTTGCCCAGAGCCATGAAATCCGCAGATTCAAACCCCGTTGCCCATCAAATGTGGACTGAGAAGTACCGCGCAAAGAAATTCACGGAGCTTGTGGGTGACGAAAGAACCCATCGACAGGTCCTTCGGTGGCTCAAAACGTGGGATGAAGTGGTCTTCCCGGGAAGCGCAAAGCTGAAATCCAGGAGAGCCTTTGATGGCAATGATCCAAGCCAGCAACAACGAAAGATCCTGCTTCTGACTGGACCCCCTGGGCTCGGAAAGACCACTCTGGCCCACGTTTGCGCCAGACAAGCAGGATATGAAGTACTCGAAATCAATGCCAGTGACGACAGAAGCCGCGACGTGGTCAAAGGAAGGATCAAAGATGCCCTCGGGACGGAGACGGTGCGTGGTATCAAGGAACAAGGCAAAGCTAGAAAAGCTGGACGCCCGGTCTGCGTTGTCGTCGATGAGGTCGATGGAGTCACCACAGGGTCCAGTGCAAGTGGCGGTGAAGGCGGATTCGTCAAGGCGTTGATCGACCTGGTGCAGCTCGACCAGCGAAACTCGTCGGGGAGTGGAAACCAAGATGCTGCAAAAGGTAGAAAGAAGGGTGACAGATTCAGAATGCTCCGTCCATTAATCTTGGTATGCAACGATGTTTACGCACCTTCGCTTCGACCATTACGGACGAGCTCGATCGCTGAAATTGTCCATGTTCGGAAAGCGCCGTTGGACAAGGTCATCGCTCGAGTCAGGTCAGTTTTTGAGAAAGAATCCATTGCGTGTGACAACGATGCCGTCCGCCGGCTCTGCGAAAACGCTTGGGGTCTGGCCATGCGAAAGCAGAGAGGTCCAGGCTCTCGGGGTTCCGGAGAGGGCGACATCAGAAGTGTGCTCGTACAAGCTGAATGGATTGCACATAAACTCCGTGCCCACCAAACCAAATCCCGGCTTACACGGCAATGGCTCGAACCCCAGCTTGAGGAGGCTCGAAATGGACAGAAAGGCCTTGGGCGGGGCGGAGTTCGAGAGGTTGTTGAGCGAATATTTGTGGAAGGGGCTGGCTTGCCTAATCTTCCGGCTGCTCTCAGCGCAGACGAGGCGCGACTGGTTGCTGATTCGCAAAGCAACCCTGTCGGAGTTGCCAATCTTCGTAAGCGGGCAGCAATCACCGCCCTCAGAGAGATGGTCGATACCTGTGGAGAGCATGACCGAGTCATGACTGAGTGTTTTGCCACATATCCAACACAAGTATTCCAGGACGACGTACAGCTGACAAAACCAAATGCAAGTTATGAATGGCTTCACTTTCACGACAGCTTATCAAGTCGGGTGTTCGCAGGCCAAGAGTGGGAATTGATGCCCTACCTCAACACCAGTGCCTGTGGGTTCCACCATCTTTTTGCAGCCGTCGATAAAGGCACAGTAGCGTGGAATGAAGAATCGCCTGAGGAAGAAGTCAAGGACATCCACCCGTTCAGTGGCCTGAAAGCCGACTTCGCCGCTTATGAGGCGGAGAAGCAGAACCGCACCTTGCTCACTGAGCTACAGTCGAGCTTTTCAGGGTCATTGTTAAGACTGTTCAGTTCTGTGGACGACATTGCGACAGAGTTGATACCGAATGTGGGCAAGATGTTGGCTCCAGACGTGAAGCCTGTCGTGATCGGGGGATCCGGGAGCTCTGCCAGTGTCGCCAGTGTGCGAAAAGAGTCTGAGAAGACATGTATTCGCAACGCGGTTCGAGCCATGTTGGCTCTGAATGTTTCGTTTGAAAGAGTGCACGTGGAGATCGAGGGTGGAGGTGCTCACTCGAACGGCGGATATGCATATCGGATGGAACCGTGAGTCAAATATCCATCGGATTGAAGATTCCCCTGCTAACAAAGATGGCAGACCTCTCGATACACTGCTGAGCTATCACATGGATAAGTCGAGCTCAGCCGCCGCACCGGTCCGGTATGCAGTTCGCCAGGTGCTCGACCAAGAGCTGAGGAAGGAGAGACTATTGCAAAACTCTGTCATCCGACACGCTCGCTCTGCTACTTCGGACCTGAATGGAGGGATTGATGTTGAAGCCAACAAAGAAAATGAAGGCGCTGCGGATAAGGCAATGGCGGCATCTTCCAAACACGCTGGAATGAAGCGCGACTTCTTTGGTCGGATCATCAACGAAAGCCGACCTACGTCGGCCGGAAAAGGGGCGAAGGGACATGCAGGGAAGCTCGAGACCAGAGCTGAAAAGCGGGTATGGGTCTCCTTTCATGAGGGCTTCTCAAATGCCGTTCGGAAACCGATTACACTGAAAGACTTGCTGGACGGATTTTGAGGCTGAAGGTCGACACGATGGCCAGGATAATGAACGTTTGGCTGCGTGGACGTGGTGATTGTGGTTGTTCATGCAATGAGATACGAGCAATGAGAGGTTGTGGTCCAATGTATAGAGTATCACAGTAGTCAAAGCATTACTTAGTATGTCGTCTGTGCTGAACACTGCATTAAATGCAATACGTCATGTTTTTGGAATCAGCACATGCGTATATCGACCGAGGCTTGTGGCTCCAACGCAATGGACTGTCCACCAACACCGGACGCTTCCCGCCTCGTCGTCCTCTGGACTTACATAAAGCATGTGAATAAAATCAGACGGAATGTCAAGCCAGACGTCTTAATCATGGGCATGACGATGCTGTGATAGAACCCCTTTGGTCTTTCTTATCCATCTCACCTTCAACAGCTCCCCCTGCACCGGCACAATGGCAGTCCAGTCCAAGCTGCTGCCCCCCGGCCGCAGCGTCAAGCAGATCATCTCGCAGTTGACGTCCCTCTACCTCAAAAATCGCACGAGAATCTCCCGCACCATTTATATTACCCTGGTCATTGCCCTGATCCATCGAATCCACAATGCCATTTCCGAGCAAAAGGCCGCAGCCAGGAGGCAAGTCGAGATCCAGCGTGAGCGCGCTCGGCACTCGCAGCAGACAGCGGGAGATTCAGATGCAAAGAACGACAAACAACAGGAGGAACACAGAAAGAAAAGAGTCGAAATCAATCGAGAGTTCTTTCGCAATCTCCTGCGCTTGCTGAAGATCGTGATCCCCGGCTGGAGAAGCAAAGAGCTGAGACTCATCGTCTCCCACAGTGTCTTCCTGGTTATCCGCACCCTCCTGTCTCTCTATGTCGCCGAACTCGATGGCAAAGTCGTGTCGGCACTCGTCCGGGGCAAAGGTCGAGAATTCGTCTTGGGTCTTGTGTGGTGGATGCTGGTGGCAGTGCCCGCAACCTTTACAAACTCGATGCTTCAATACCATCAGACGCGCCTTGCCCTGGCTTACAGGACACGGCTGACACAGTACATTCACGAAAAGTACCTCAATAACATGACGTTTTACACGCTCTCGGCGCTCGACGATCGAATAAAGAACGCCGACCAACTCATCACCGTCGACGTCTCTCGCTTCTCCAACTCCCTTGCCGAACTCTACTCAAACCTCGCCAAACCCATCCTCGACATGGTGATATACAACTACTCCCTCTCCAAGTCTGTTGGCGGAGAGGGTCTCTTCGCCATGGCTCTACTAGTACAGATATCCGCCAACGTTATGCGCGCTTTGACACCGCCATTCGGAAAATACGTGGCGGACGAGGCGCGATTAGAGGGAGAGTTCCGCTTCCAACATACCAGGTTAATTGATTACAGTGAAGAGATCGCGCTATACGCAGGCCACGAGGCTGAAAAGGACGGCCTGGACAAGGGTTATTTTACATTGATCAAACATGTTAATCGCATTTTGAGGAGACGGTTTTATCACGGCTTTATGGAGGACTTTGTCATCAAGTACTTCTGGGGTGCTCTTGGCCTCGTGCTGTGCTCGTTGCCCGTCTTCTTCAAAATCCCTGGACAAAATCTCACTGCGGGAGAGTCCAGAGGTGACCACACGGAGTCCTTTGTTACGAACCGGCGCATGCTTCTGAGCAGTTCGGACGCTTTTGGCCGCATCATGTTTTCCTACAAAGAAATCACGGAACTGGCAGGCTACACGTCTCGTGTTGCCGGGTTATTAGATGTCATGGACGAAGTGTCGGCGGGACGATTCGAGAAGAAACTGGTCAGCTCCGCCTCGACGGAAGAGAATGCCGCGGTGCTCCGAGGAAGAGGGTCGATCGAGGAGAGCGAGAACATTGAATTCACCGACGTTCCCATTGTGAGTCCCAACGGCGACGTGCTGGTCAAGAAGTTGACCTTTGCCATCAAACCGGGCGATCACCTGTTGATCGTGGGTCCGAATGGGTGTGGAAAATCGTCGCTTTTCCGGATCCTGGGAGGGCTCTGGCCTGTCTATGGCGGCTCGGTGAAGAAACCCCGGTTCGAAGATATATTCTACATTCCTCAAAGACCCTACCTCAGCCGAGGCACCCTGAGAGATCAAATTATCTATCCAGACACGCTGCGGGAATTCCGGGCCAAGAATGGGTCCGAGGAGCAACTTAAGCAGATCCTCTCCATCTTGGAGATTGAAGCCATCATCAATCGACCAAACGGATGGGACGCCGTGGAAGAATGGCGCGACGTCTTTTCCGGGGGGCTGCAGCAACGGATCGCCATGGCTCGGCTTTTCTACCACAAGCCCAAATATGCCATTCTGGACGAATGTACCAGTTCTGTGACTCTGGAAATGGAACGGAAAATGTACGAGACAGCCAAAGGCCTGGGCACGACATTGATGACCGTGAGCCATCGACGCAGTCTGTGGAAGTACCACAGCATGATCTTGCAGTTTGATGGGCAGGGCGGGTACGTGTTTTGTCCATTGGACGCGGAGAGGAGGATCAAGCTGGAAGACGAGAAAGAAGAGCTGGAGACGTTATTAAGAGGCGTAGACGCGTGGGAGGCACGTCTGAAGGAGCTAGAAGAGGTTTGATGACAGCGCCGTCGGTGTGTACCAGATCCAACGACCTCGCAGGTCAGTGCCGCGGGTCTTTGGAATTGGATTCAGACGAGCTCCGATGCAGATTCCCCATCACACTAGCTGGCTGGCAAAGGCTATTCGACCTCTTACACCTGGACACATGCTCTGGGCCCTTGCTCATGACAACTAAAGAGCGGATCGGATCGCCCAAGCTAGTTGTCGCCAGGAGCCGTTGTCCCAACCTCACTGTTGATCCCAAGCAGGATCCGAACTACAGCGAGTGATCAACGGCGAGGGAAGATCTATCCTCGACATGTACTAAGGCTACAACAAGACAGCAATGCGAAGCAAAGCCTTCCGGGAATTGGGGACTCCAAAATGAGGTGACAGACTGAAGGTCAGCCGACAAATGCCTCCAACTAGCCACGAGCGGATCCAAGTTCCTGCTGGCTGTGACCGGGATTTCAATCCATGCGTGGAGCTCTTCTCGCGGGATAGACACACGGGAAGTGTTCGAGAGGGTGAGAAGAGTACCACACGGAGGACAGGTACGGAAGATGTACAGAGTAGTATTGCAAGGAGCATTATTGGAATACCTACTCTCTTTGCCGGACCACCGCTACTGTCTATGGAGCACAGTCTCCATAATACAGATGAAACAGGAGCAAACAAATCTCGCATATAATCCTACGAACAGATAGCCCACTCATTGCATAAGGACGAATAATCGAATTTATATCACCAATCACCGGCCACCAACACCAGCACCGTCAGACGGATTGCCTGAGAGGATCCTTCCCTGTATACCAAAGACTCAGTCGTGTCTGATGTGTTCTACGCCCAGTTTCGAAGCCAGCCAATGTGCCTCATGCCTCGTACGTACGTATTCGCAGGTGATACACAACGCCAAGCGAAGGGAGCGGGACGGACGGCCGCAGAGATCTTACAGTAGTAGACGATGTATCATCTCTACGTACTACCAAGCTGGTAGGTTCACCAAGTTTCCAAGGCGTGCAAACATCATATCATACTGGACGGCCTTCCCTACTCCGATAAGCTCCAGTACCAAGACTGGCTAATGTCCATACATAGCTCGTCACTTCGACTGGCTAATCTCTCTGACTTACTCCGCCAAGGTGGCCAACGTCGTCCCAAGCGGCGTATACGAGAGAGTACTAATCATCACGAGAATGTCTTACAGCACCCCCGTGTTTGACTGAGCTGCGACGATGAGGCCGCAGCTGGATAGGACATGGAGCTAAAGCGTCGGCGTGGCTGACGATACCACTGATCGCCGGTAGTGATCACTGATGATAATATGGCCAAGCAAAGGTGAGCGTCTTATGGTGGAGGAAGGGATTTCCTGTACATCGCCTCGTTGCCATGTCAGCAAGCCGTTGGTGTTACTTAGGCCAACATTCCGCCATTAGTCCCCTGCATGTGGGATAGATACGCCCGACGTCGAAGGATAACAGCAGCGTCTTCGAGAGAGCATGACACCGGGGCAGAAAGGCCAACACTATTTCATCTGCTATTAGCCTGCTTGCTTGCTTTGCTGGGCTGGGCTAGCCTGATCTGAATTGACAACGTCTATCGCTCTTTTTTGACGACACGGTGCACAAGGTCGACACGACCACCTTTCCCTGTGAAACATCACATCTACGTCAAAGAGCATTCAAAGATGGCCCTGCCATGGTTCCAGCTCCCAGCAGAGATCCGCAACAAGATCTACGAGTATGCCTTCGAGTCCCTCGTCTTCACACCGCTCCAACCGCCGTCCAACGTGGACGGACCCAAGCCCCGTCGACCGCATTCCACCGCATTTGCGTCCCTGGCCGTGTGCAGAAAGTGGCAGAGTGAGGTGACACCGTACCTCCTGCCACGGGCCACGTTCGATTTCACCGACCACCCGGGAGACCCGCCGCCCCAGCTCCTCTCTGCCACCACCCAGGCAGCCTGCGCGGTGATGCGGCACGTGGTGATCCTGGAAACGCACTGCTTCAGCACGGATTGGCTGCACGACGTGCTGGGCAAGATGGCCCACCTGCAGACTGTGACCATCCGGAAGCTGAGGAAGACCGGGCCCGTGGATGGCAGCGTCTTTGACGGCCCACGGTTGACGCAGGATTTCATCGAGAGGGTCAAGTGCAACCCGGTCAAGACCCTGTTGACGGGATATCGGTTCGATCATATATATATCAAGGAGATGCTGAAAGGTCGTCAAGGTTGGCAGGAGAGAAGACTCTTGCTAGAAGGGACACTGTGGCTGGGGGACAATGCGGAGGATGTTCACTCAGTAAGGACGATACCTTAGATTCCCTTTCCTTTCTTGCTTTACTTTTGCTTCACATGCCATGCCAAGTCCACTAGTACTGACTGTCTCCTGTTGCTGTAGAAGTTCGCCATCGACCTGGACTCGTGGCGGGTGCGGATCGAGGGCGTCCTCGAAGGAGGCACGGTATACGAAGTCCAAGCAACCGAGCCTGTCCCGGTCAAACCCGCCCGTTTCGAGGACGAGGAGGGCATGTTCGAGTACCTGATCAGCCAGCATTGGGCGTCCTTGCAGCACAGCCAGGGCATCTACTGACTGTGCCATGTGCGTGCACGCCTTGGCCCACGACGAGCCGGAGAGAAGAGAGAATGACCTTCCCGCATTCTGCAGTGCCTCATAAAATATATATCTATCAAAGGAGAGCAGCGAACGAGCTCACCAGGGAAAGCCGCCCAGAGGCCAGGTACTGGAAGGCTCCACTGTGATGTTATCACGACGCTTCCGCTCCCTTTACCTCCGGGCCGGCGACTTGACTTCAACCAACAAGAGGCTCGAGCATTTGGTGGCTCAATGGGGGCGAGGAAATTGAGCGCGTGGAGAAAGAGACAAACAGAAAAGACACAAACAACGACAAGGGTGGCGATCCAACGCCTCCATATCAACTACGGCGGCCGAGAGAGCGGTCCCAGTGAAAGAGGCCATCAAGGTGTGAGCTGCCGGGTTGTGCGTGGTTCTCTCGCTTCTGGGCGCATCGAGAACGAATCCGAACCACCATGGTGGTGTTTTTCTCTCTCCTTCACTCTGTCAAGCGAGCCCGGCGGTCTCGTTCCATCCTTTTCACGACGCCTTTACCCGCGGGGGATCAGTTACAGCTTATTACCCTGGAACGCCGCCGATTGGACTTTGGGGGATCTTATCTCTCTCTCGCTCTACCTACGCGACGCTTGACTGATGGAAACGAAAGACTCTTCTCTCCCTTCGGTCCACCCTTTTCTCTCGCCCAGCATATTTATCCATTCCCATCTGTCTCTATATACACATTTACACGTCAAAACCTAGCGACCGCTATATGTCGATACTGCAACGCTGAGGTCTTGTTCTCGGTCCTGTCGACCGTCTCATTCTTCTCAATTCCCTTTGATCGTCTCCCTCGGCGGCACATCAGGAAACACACGAACAAGTTCTCTTTGTGATTGGGGACAGCACCGAGGAGGGAGGGCCGTTTCAGAGAGTCCACCTGATTCCGTTTAAGCGTCCTGGAGTCTCTCCTCCACGACCTGTTTTCCGGTTTGGTCCTCCATCAAACTACGAAACCTGCTCTGCCTGTGGCCAGCCTCGGCCTAGAGAAGACTTTCAGACCAAGCGGAGGCAACAGGGAGACAGCACAATGCATTACCTGCCGAGAAAGGGGTGTTTCCTATATGTCCAAGAAGCGCTCCGCCGTCGAGGTGTCACTATCCAGCCCGTTTCATACACTGCCAGCAGCGCCAATCCAGCAGCCACAGACTCCTCGCTTTACACTACCTACTGTTACTAGTGTTACCCGTGCTCGCTGGCCTGAATTCTACCGCCGTGGCCAACACACCACGGATACTCCCGCCATGGCAGATGCGAGGAAGGAACAGCTAGCAATATCAAGGGAGCATCGAGTCCGTCGACGCAGTGGCGAGGCGAAGCGCGTTCCAGGAACTTAGACCTGGAGGTCTTAGAATTTATATCATCTTTCAGTGGTTACCGGTTGTTCAATCAGCTCGTTCGAAACACACCCCCGTGATATGCTTTCTGCTGTGTTCGGACCAGCTTGGAATGGTCGTCGCTTTGCTGGGTCTGTCCGATGGTGTTAGGGATCCTGCTTTTTCATGACTACAAACATGAAGCGTGTCTCGACATACTGTTACAACGCAGCCCCGTATAGCCAACGCATCCTTGGGTACTTCCGAACCAACTATCCCATCAACGCAGCCACGAAGGCTTTGTCGTTGCCCAAACAACAAGGGAGGAGGAGTAGGACGTCAAGGGAAGGCGCGTGGCCTAGGTGGTGGGTGTGTCGGAAACATGTGGAAACAAATTCGTGCAAAGAGGACAAGCATTATATGTCCAATGGTTGGTTGCTTGGTTGCCGAGGGACGACGAACAAGAACGCCAACAGGGCAGACAACAGACAAGAGGCGAGCTCGAGACGAGTTGAGGATGACGTGACAGGAACAGCGAACCCCCTCCCCCCACCAGCAAAACATATGAGCTGAGGTGGCTGGTTTGGTTAGTTGGTTGCCCTGCAATCAATACCAAGGCTGGGATAGAACATGAAAAGTCGTCTCACGCGCGGGAAGGATTGTGAAGCAGGGGCAAAAGCGGGCACCCAGCTGGAAGGAAGACCGGAGACACAGACAGACAGCAATACATAACAATAACGACTCATCCTCGAGGGGATGGTAGGTAGACAGACAGAAGCAAGCTTGTTACTTACCTATGCAGTGGAAAATGGAACAACACACTGAGGCCTCAGTCTTATCGGGGGTGCTGGCTGTGTGCTTCTTCGTTCTTTTCATGGTGCCATTGATAAGTGGAGATGAACCATGAAGAGCGAGGATGAGAGCTGGCAATGGAAGGGGGACAGGACAACAAGATGCTATCGCTGAATTTGAGGGGATATCCAGGGCTTGCTAACAGCTACTCCTTTCTTGCATGCCTCCTAGCTCCAATCTGCAGACTCATCGCCTCACTTATCTATTCACACGTCCCTGTTGACCATATTTCATCCAGTCTTCGACATCCCTGTTCTCGTGTCGTGCTCCTTCGTCAAAGCAAAGACAATCTCTTAACTCAAAAGCCCGGCCCCTGTCCACTGATCCTCTTTCCAAGCCCAGCCCTGCCACAACCTTTTTGCACGTCATGATCTCTTCACCACACGCCTCATCGGCTCTCCTTCGTGGGGTGAACACTTGTCTTCAGACTCTACTCCACCGCAATGCAGGGTAGAAGCCATGGAGTCTCGAACCCGATAGAACCACGATCGCTTGTGCCTGTTTCGAGGGTTATCGTGGTGGTGAACAGAGGAATAGACATCAAGAACCCGCCTCGGTCTGGGGGACGAAGCGACAGGCGGCAAAATGGGGACCAGGTGGAATACATCACCTTTCAAGACTGCCCCAGGGCATTGTCCACTCTCTTCACGTGCAGCGCAGTGTCGGCAGAGGCGAAACTTGTCGTGCTCGCAGAAACCAGAGCCGAGGTTGGCGTTGACAATGCACTCTATCAGTTATCAACCTTCGGATGTAGGGACGACCAGGGATTCACAGATGCGAATACCCCCTGCCAGCCAACTCGAACTCCGCGCCTTTCCAGGCGGACCAGGAAAGCCTTTCGAGGATTTCCGGAGATGCATCAGCTCCTTGAAGGGGTTCTTGACACAGGTTCTGTCGATGCTGCGATACGAGCTCGAGAGTGTGAATACCTACTGCCCCTCTTCGACACCGTTAGAGAACCGTCATAGTATATTTGCCACCTGCAGGGCATGGTTCACCGTGCACCGTTCACGGGAAGATCCCATTGCCACCTATCGCAAAGCTCATACGCGTTGATGTCGCCCCGGAATTGTCCGGGCAGACAGACCGGCTGAGAGGAACAGCTGGACAACCTCTGCATTGTACATGGAGCGCATCTAAGCTGAGATCAAAATTCATCTGGCCGTCGTAAATTGGATATCTGGCGAATCGCCACAGCGGATTGTCCGCAACGTGCACCGGGTACCAAAAATTGAAATATCTCGGCACTGCCGTGGTCAGGAGGTTGGTGCGAGATACTGATAGGACGATCTTTGTTTATGGATCCTCCTTTTGCAGAAAATTCTCGAACAAGGCACGCAGTGGTGCCCGCAGAGACACAACCAGCAAAAGGAGTCTTGTGAACCGGTAGTGGGCTAGCATCTCGACCCTGATCTCCTGTCCCGTTGAAGCTTCTGGGGGAAGAAGAGAACACCGCGTTGTGACTGGGCCGTCAGGAAAGGGGACGAAAAAAAGTTCTCGATTCCCAACAGTCAATTCGGTAGTCCTTTTCGTGGCAAGATAACGGAGGAAGTCAAGCTCTGGACTACCGGCCCGAGGGAAATGCAGACGCACGCGACAACAACGCGAGAGACGATATCAGGGAGGTGGATCTGGGAAAACACATGCTCAGCAAGGACATGCAGGAGGCCGCTCCAAGAGGCGAAGATCACCTGAACTGAAATCTCAGAGTGCATCGAATCTTCTGGGCCCCTGGCAACAGTGTTTATTCTCCATGCGCGTCGTTGGAGAACGTCTGCGCAAAGATGGTCTCCGCAAGAGGGGCCTTCGCCTGGTTAAGGGTGAAGTTTCCAGGTGTTGATGCTCTGCCGGAAACGGTAGCACACCGTTCGAGCAGTCGGGAGAAATGGAGAGCACAGCTTGCGAGGAACCGGAAAGATGCTTCTGTCGACAGATATGGACTGGTCAGACAGTATTGGCTCGAGTGTCTCTCGAAGATTGACCAGACTCGAATATGGCCCGTCGACTGGCTCCAGACAGTGTCTGAGCAGATTTCTCTCAGAACATGCTCGCTTCGGGTGCCAATGCTTTGATTGGGCGACACGAAGGGTGCGGAACTTGCCTGACATCTCAACCATTTGAGGGGCGAAGCTCGAATGCGAGATTCTCTGGAAATGCCTTCCTGATTGAGAGGATTTTGCAAAACACATCCAATCGACTTGTGCATGGCCTTGGTCTGCGTTAGCAACCACGCGACTTGCGAAGGAGGGTGACAACCTTTGAAGAATATGCAGATCACAAAGATCCTGTTATTTTGTTTTTGAGACAGAGGTCTCTTGGTCGCGGCAGCAGGTCTATATACTTTTCGGGTAACTGTGAAGCGTCGTTGTCGGCTATATCAGGACTAGGACGGATTATACTTCGTTCTAGAACTGGTTCTTCTCCCCTTTGAGCATTGAATTTATCAATGCGTGAAGATCATCGCCGAATGTGGTTGTGTGGCTCGTTTCGTCCAGATTGGGTGTCTTGAAGCCCCTGCGTGGAAACACCTGTCCCATTGATCCATAACTAGTTGCTCTGGGTGGGCATCAGGCGATGTCATGCTTGTTTCAGGAGACGGCTTCGATGGGTCAGCTGAGTGCAGCCGTGAAGGTTGTTGTCGCGGGGTTCTGGTAGAAGTATCCATAGATAAACCCACTTCTGCGGGGATGGGTGTAGCGGCAACAGGTACGGCGAAAGGTTCGCACGAAGTGTTGAGGCCGTTCCCCAGGGGTAGGTATCGCCTCCCCTGGCATGGGTGGGTATCCCCTGGGATACGCATTGGTGGGAGATCAGAACCGCGGGCTCAATGTCGGCTCTGAGGTCCGTACGAAAAGATGGTAGGGCTATCTTTGATTGAGATGACGGGAGACAATGGAATTGATCTGAGTGAGATAATAGCTGACCACCGATGGTGATCTGAAGAACGGACCTTGCCGTTGCCGTCCGGGAAGGAATGAGCTCGCTGGGCGATCAAAGTGCTTGCAGAGGGTGGGTGACGCTGTAGTCATCGAACAAGCCCGGGCCGCCTAAGCTCCAGTGTAGCGGGTGCCTAGTGGCGTAGTGAGCCTGCGAGCCTGTTCCCACCCCCGGAATTAACCTTGGGACCTTCCCTGTTCCTCGAGCAGAACGCCTAGAGAGCATCGGCCTCTGCAAGGTACGCGACCACCAGATTCCACTTTGAAGCCCAAACTCATCATTTATTACATTTCGTCAGCTGACCAAACATAGTGCCAAACGTCGTTCTTTGTGTTCCACCCTTTCAAGGGACCGTCAGACATGCCTAGCTGCGATGCAAACCTCCGTGGCAACAGATACAAACCTCCAAAAGACCTCGCGGCTAGAAGCGACATGTGGCAGGCTTCGACCAGACAAGAGAGTGGAAATCTAGATCCAGACGCAGGTCAAGGTTCAATGGATTTGATTCAGGAGCACAATTGTGTAACCCAGCCTCAGCCAGCCATCCGACAAGTCATTCGACCGTGAAAGCCACCAGGCTTGTGGCCGCTCAGCAGTGTCCACCTCAACACACCCCGCTCATCAAACTTTTGCAAGGGCGTGTTCGGCCTGACCGGGAGAGAGGAGAACTGCTCGTCACTGTCTCCAGCCCTAGAGGAATTGGTGCGTCATCACTCAAAACAAGTGTTGTTCACTGACCCGAGACCAGTATCGAGAAATGTCACCTTGAGGCCGCTGTAACCTGCTCACACGCCGTGAAATTCTCTGCACGTCGGATGGCCCGATCATACACTGAACACGGCGAAGAAACAAAGACCAAGACCTCTGCTCGCAAGACATTGAACGCACCTTACCTGCTTGGGCACAATTAGTCGAGGTGTGCCTGATCACCTTGACTTCCCCTCCATTGAAAGTCTCATGACCACGCCAAAATGTCAATGTGGCTTGACATTGGGGCGATCTAAACGCGAACCGAAGACTAATTGCCGACCGCCCTGTTGGGATGTCCCCAGCGAGCCTGCGGCTTAGGCGATCAGCACGAGCCCTTGACGTACAATCTCGGGAAACTGCTTGACAAACAATCAATTGCGACCGGAAGACCCCTGTGATCTCTCTGATGGCAAGACCAACTCAATTCAATTGCAAAAGGAGGAAAGCTCAGCTACACGTGGTGCCCGGGGACCGACTAGCGACGTGGCCTGGACGTTCTTGGGTCGCCTTCTCGTGTCGAAACCCGTATTTGAAAGTTGCCCTTGCAACCGTACCTGGCGCCAAACCCAATGCGAGATGCAAGGGGCTCGAAACTCTCAATCGCGACATCAGCTGGGCCAGTCAGCCTACAAACTTCCCGGCCACGTCGCTGTAAGGCTTGTCCTTTTGCATCCATCCATTACGGCAGGGAGAAATGGATCCTTGACCTTGACGTTTGCAACCTAGCTGGGGTGGTGCCACCCTGACCAGACACAGCCTGCCTGGCGTTCTCTAGGCCCATCCTCGCATGCCACTGCTGGCGTGGTTCGAGATCCCTTGCCCGCTTACATTGGCTCTTACCGCGATGTAGCCGTGCTAACTTTCCAGAACGAGTAGCGTCCAAGATCCTAGTCTCCCGGTTGCTGCATGGACATGGGGTTCTGGCTGCACATACACAGAAGAATCATGGACATGGGTCCCGGACGGTGCGGGATACATAAAGAGATGGAATCCCTAGCCGCATCATATGTTTTCCCACATGCAACTGACTGACTTCCTCATCTCAAACACCAAAGGTTTGACCTGCCAGGGATAGATATCTGCGGAAGACATCGGCACGAAGACACAAACACTCCAGTACAACATCATGCAGACGGTTCCCATCATCAGGGAGCCTACTCCCCGCAAAGCTCCTTCGCCGATTCGGTCCCGGTCAAAGTCGCCCGCCCAGAAGAGATATTCTCATCTTCTTTACTTGTCAGAGGCAGAGCGACAGATATACGTGTCGAAGATGGAAAAGTCATCAGCTTCGTCTCTTCGCTCCTCCAACTCCGTCCGCTCAGACCGCACCGCCACGTCATCGGCCGGGTCACAAACCTCGGTGTCGACCGGGATGCAATCAAAGCTCAGCATGCAAGTGCCTCGTTTCGTGGACGACCATTATCCCTTGATCACGTCCATCAACCTGCACAACGTTCCTGCTGCCGTACCCAAGGATCATCCAGCCTTCTGGTGTGCCCGTCAAATGGCCCAGATCCACAACACCATCATCCGCGCCCTGAATGCATCGTGGAACCAGTCGATCTTGGTTCAACCTGATACACAGGAGGCCGCCGATTTCCTTCTCTTCAACCAAATGCTCTTCAACACCCTGAACCATCACCACCATGTTGAGGACGATTATATGTTCCCGGCAATCGAGAAGCTGCTGAACCAACCCGGTGCCTTGGAAGAGAACACCAAGGGCCACGAGTCATTTGCCGAGGGACTCACCATCTTCCAGAAATATGTCTTCATCACCAAGTCGGCGGAGTACAATGGAGCCACCCTTCGTCACATCATCGAGTCTTTTGCGCCCAATCTTATCCAGCATCTGCACGATGAGATCCCTACCCTTGCAAACCTCCACACCGTCGACGGCAAGGAGTTGATGAAGATCTGGAAGCACGCGGAACATATCGCCACCAAAGACAACAGCCTCTACACCGACGGCCCCTGGACACTAGGGTGCCAGGACAAGTCCTTCACTATCGACGGCGAGAAGTGTAGCTTCCCCAACGTCCCTTGGGTGATCGAGGCCGTGATCAGGAATTGGCACGCAAAGAAGCATGCAGGTGCTTGGAAATTCTGCCCCAGTGATCTGTCTGGAAGGCGGCGAATGCTGCCCGTTGCATGAGTGGCAGATACCACCATTCTTTCCTTTGTTCGACACGATTTGATGACCATTATGCCCTTTGGAGGGGAAAACGATTCGTGCATGTCTAGCGTTCAAGCATCGTCCTGTTTTCAGTGATCCTTCCGAGGAAGAGCCTAGGGCCGGGAGAATAGCATTGTATTTGTTTTTAAAAAGTGTACCACATTCTAGTACCCCACCTTATCATACTGAACCATTACTGTTTTTCAAAAGTTCCGGGAATAGATCCAGAAGTTGTACGAGATCACTGATCTGATACTTGCTCGCCTTTTCAGGCGGATCGGGCACGCCCGGTTCGACGAGATGAACTGTGTTGCTCCATCCACGCTCGTACGCTGCTCGGCAATTCAGATAGGAGTCGTCCACGTAATAAATGGGGGTCTCCGATGTCGCGCCAGCTTCCCGCTCTGCCTTGGTGAACATCTCCGGAAGTGGTTTTGGCACGAGTGGCGTCTGAGAATAATCGCAGTATGTGATTCCCTCGAAGAGATCGTCGATGCCCAGCAGCTTCACGACACGCATGCCGTGGGTAATGTGCGCATTCGTAAACAGCCACAGTTTGACTTTGGATTTATCAAAGGACTCCAACATGGCCCTCGTTTCGGGGTGCGGCGACAGAAGCTCGTCCAGGGGCAATGCATCGTCGACTTCTCGATTGAAATCTAGTGGATCGATTTTGTGGAAGCGTGACAGACCCTCGATCGCCAGGCCGTAGTCCTTGTAGTACTTGTGGTGCAGGTACGTCGCCTGCTCGGCCGACATGTCGAGATGCGTCACAAAGTATTTGTTGATGAGGAGTGCCATGTGGTCGTGGACTTTCCTGGACTTTGCGTATAGGCAGTTGTCGATGTCAAAGAAGAAAATAGCCCGCTTATCGGCGGTGGTTCCGGGTTCAACTGAGCCCATGGTTGGGGTTGGAACGAGAACTAGGGGGCTGAATACAAATGCTGTGATGGAGAAACCAAGAGAAACAAAAATCTATGCAGCCAAAAATGAGCGCGTCGTTTCACAACTGTTCCCCGTTGCAGTCGGCCGCCGAAGTCGTCGATATAGGAAAACGGGAATGAGTCTATGACTCTTCAACACGGTGGCGGCGGGAAGATGGATGGGAAAATGCATGAAGTACCACGTGATGTGCCACGTGATGTGCCGCTTGCTTGGCGATGGCTGGGTTGTCATCCCAAAAACTTGTGAGAGATGCGCGAAATCAATCTCCTTTTCTTGCAGTCTCATCAACCTACAGTATTATCGAGAGGTGTTCCTGCTTGTCATTCCCTGGGACTCCTTGTTACCCCTTGTCGACCTGTTGACCAGCATTCTCTTCTGTCTTTCTTCTTCCTTGTCGCTCTTTGACCCTTGCCATGCGTCTGTCCAGGTAGAAATCCAGTCTGTCAGCTACGCGCAGCTCAGACGCGCCTCCCTTAGGCATGGCCGCATCTACTGGCCCTCTACTGAATGGCGTACTGCCGACTCCCCTGCAACCCGTCAATGAGGCCTTGGAATATGAGAAGATACTGAGGATACGCGACGAGGTATTTTCTGGAAGTCATCCTAGATTGACAGTGCCAGCCCATGCCGTCCGAGTGCCTGCTTCTCAAACCCCGTCGACCCTTTCACAGAATCAGTTGAATGTACCTCCTCCATTCCTTCCCAGTGCGTCTCCAAACCATCTGGGAGCTCAGGCCAAGCGTGAAGATGAGATCACACCAATTCAAACAAAACCAAACGGTGTTCCCGCCGCAACTGCCAATCAACCTACCAGTAATGTTTCTGAATTTGACCCGGTCCTTTTGACAAAGTCCGATGATCTAGTTCGGGCCGAAATACAGCTGAAGCGACAACGACTCGAGCGAGCTCTGAGAGAACAATTTGAACATAGAAAAGCAGATGCCCGCAAGAAGCCCGCGCCAGCTGAGGCCAAACCCGACTTTGACCTCCCAGCCATCTTTGCCAGAGTGACGGGTGCGGTCAAATCCCCGTCTTCTAAAGAAGACGCCGATGCTACCGACTCCTTCGACGAAGATGCCTACTATTCTAGCAAAGCGCCCGATTCCACCCCCGAGAGACCTCCTAGCGACTCTGCCGACGACGTTGACGAAGAGCAGACAGATGAGCCTGCAGGCTCACGCGTCGTTAGCGCCGTCATGGGAGCTCCCTTGTACGCTGATGCTGCTGATGGTGTCTCTGCTGAAGTCGCGCCGCCGGCGCCCCTTGCCGTTCTCCCTCCCAAACCTGCCCCGACCATCGACACGGCCGCGATGGACATGGATGAGGATGAAGAGGAAGGAGAGTATTCACCCCCAGAAGCCATGGTGCAATATCCCACACCCAAGGTCACTCAAGCACAGGAAATGCCGGACAGTAGAGATCCACGTGGTCGTCCCCTGCGCAGGTACTCTGAACTGGAAGACGGTGGAGGAAGGCCCGGTTCACCCTCGGAAGCCACCATGCGGATAGTAAGAAACCATATCACCTCTCCCATTTGCCCTCAACCGTCCCGTGTGTCGCCTCTGGCTATGACTAAGGATTCTCCCCTCTTACAGAATGCACGTCCCCGCCGGAAACAATGGATTGGCAGACCAGGATCTCCCCCAAGTCCTGATGATAACCAAGCATTACCGCCCAAGAAAAAGAGAAAGATTGATGGGCGTGAGGCTCGCAATAACCGAAAAGCCCGAAGAAACGGTGGTGGATCTCCAGACACCCTGATCAAGGAAGAAGACGTCTCCCCTCCGCCATTTCACGACGTCCAACCACTTGGTTCTGGCAGATACCGAACCAGCAGAGCAGACCGTCCCATCGTCATTGATGACGATCCAGTCCAAGAAGGACGTTACATGCCTGCTCCTGAACGGTATGTGCAATCTCCCTCGCGACCACTTCCGCGTCGGGTTGAACAGTTGATGCCTCTGAGTGAGCCTCGCCCGTCGTCCAGGTCCAGTGTGAGGCCCGCCAGAGACGACCAGGACTTGCGCCGCGTGGCAAGCATGCACAGTCTCCGCCCAGAGCAGCCACGAGATTACGTCGACCAATACTATGAAACGCCCTCTCGCACACGTGCCATGTCCTACGCCCGAGTGGAGAGTCCTGCCTTGGTGGAACCCGCTCGACCCCTTCGGGAGGTTGCCGTGGAGTACGACCAGCCTGCTCCAGAGGTCAGGGTTGTGCGCACACCAGCCCCCGTTTATCGGGAAGTCTACGATGATCGCGACGGGACTTATCATCGCTATACCGTCGAGCCCATGCCGCCACCGCCCCCTCCCGTGGAGCGCATTGTCATCGACCAGTACGGCAGGAGATTCCGCGAAATTATCCAGGAGCGGCCATCTGTGGTCCCTCGAGCAATGTCAGTCCGAGGAGCTGAAGCGGACCCGCGCTTCGAAGAATATCCCCGACAAGCCCGTGCCGGCTCAGTCTTCGTAGAGGCAGCGCCCGAGAGAGTTTATCCTTCGGAACTGCCTCCCCCGCCAGTCTCATACCATCGTCTCGCCGAGCCACCCAGAAGTTCAGCCGTGCCCGGGCCCGTCCCTCGAGAATACCTTGAGCCGGGCACACCCATACGAAGCTCCAGCGTCCAGGTGATGAATCGCCCCGTCCGACCAGCCGTCTACGCCGATGAGCGACCCGAATTCCGGGAGCCCGTTCGTATGGGGAGCGTGCGGCCCCCAGCAGCATTGCGATACGAAGAAGTTCAACCGGTGGAACTCGTGACCCGAGGTCAGAGCATGAGGCCTGTTGGTCGTGAAGGGAGCGTGTTTGTGGACGACAGACGGCCCGTTCTATCGGAGTATGTTCCTGTAGAACAACCTAGATACCGCCCGATGGAGCCAGAGAGGAGGTACGTCGACGTCGAAGACAGGGAGAGACTCACCATGGATGCATCAGTGGAAGGCAGACCGCGAGTAGTGGAGAGGTACTGAGCTTGCATTGGAGAGGAAGATGAGATTTCGGGGCTTCCTTTTTTTTCCCTTGTGCGTGGAGACCTGCAGTGTTAGTCTTCAGGATTGCTGGTGGAGAGTGAGCCACGTATTATTATGTGCGAGTATGTGTACAGGTCTGGATTGCACCAAAGGAAACCCAAGAGGCGCGTGTGGCTGTTAATACGCAGTAATATGAAGCCAGGCGAGCTGAAAGAACCACCTCAAAGCACCCAACCACGGCGACCATCTATATCCTCCGTCTTCATCTCTGTGCCTGAAACCACGCCACATCAGCCTCCAAGCACCGTTGCTCGTATTCTGCGATTGTTTCATCGTGTTGTCAGGAGTGCGGCGTAGAAAGCAGGCTGCAGCGTGTGATTGGCTACACGCCAACCACCTAACCGCCGGCCTCATCTTCCTTCACACTTCGACTTCTGCGAATAGCATCTCGCATACTCCGGACACCTTGATCACCACTCACGCCGCTATGCCATGGCTTGGGCGCTTGGTGAGCTCTGGAGCCTCTCGGATAATTGCTGACCTGACTTGACCCTCTCTGCTGGCAGCCTCTCATCCAACCACGTCGGTTTCGATGCCACGACTCCAGGCTTCATCTCGCCGCAAGGCCCCCTTTTTCACTCCTCCCTCAACCAGTACCAGTCGTCAAGCGCCCACGAAAGAATGTGATTGAAGGGCTCTCGATGGCTCCGCTGCAACGGGCCAGGAGGTAAGTCAAGGCAAAGAAAATGAGCTCGTACCGTTAGCGGGAACTGCGGTTCCCCCACAGCATGCCATGGTTGAAAGCTACGTTTCATGTCCTTCAAAGATCCCTCTTCCTCTGGCCAGGCCACTCGACCTCTTCCTCCAAGGGAAGAGTGATAGTTTGTTGGGCTGCAGCTGCAGCTTTGGAAGCATCACGCCTTCCTTGTCCTCCCTTGTCCTCGACCGTGGTTCCTCGTTTCTGTTCCTGATTGATGCTGGCATCGTCGATAACGCCCGTTAATTGTCAAGCCTTAATCGTGCAACGACCCCTCGCAACACTGTGTGTTGAGCCGTCGTCTTCGTCGCCGCCGACATGAGGTCGAAGACCGCGCCGGAGGACTCGCTGGAGCCCACATGCCATTTCGAGTTCTTCGACTGCCTCTTCGCGAGGGACGATGAGAAAGAGTTGGAGAAACAGACACCGGCATCTGGTTTGTGATGCTCTCCAATACAAGGGCGAGAACAGTTTATTGACATATTCACAGGCGTGGAACGAGAAATGCGCATCATGTATCAACAACCTCACCTTGTCCCACCCATGAAGCTCACCTTATTCGACGGACTTCCCCCAACTCCCACACCGCCACTACCTTCACAACTATCGCAATGGGTCTCTCACGGCAAAGCCTCCCTCAGATCAAGCCTGTCGATCCGGAGACACGCTTCAAAGCCCATAATCTCTGGCCCGCAGCCTCCGCTGCCTTCGGCGCAACAGCTTCCTCTCCGACGAGCGGCGCAGGAGTTTCGTCCACTCGAGCTCAGTATCTACATGCCTAATAATCGACTGTCGGACCTGCCAGCTTTTGATCGGCTGAGCTTTACAGACGGTGGTGACATCAAAATCCCACCTCGAGCACTGGTGCGAACCAAGTCTGAAGAGTTCCTTGCACACAAGGTCTCTCTGCTGCCCGCCCCGGTAAAGCCTGTCTCGATGATTGAACAACGCCGCATGTCCCACGTACGACCTGACACATCGTCAACCGTCATATCCATGTCTCGACCGCCCTCGGAGTACGATGCTCTCCACTCCCACCCTGTTTCGTGGTCGTCTTTCCCCGGTCTACCTCCACAGATCCACTTTCCTGGTGTTCGCTCAGAAGCATCTGTGGCCATCTTAACCCCAATGCAAGAGGAGTTCAGCCCTCCTGCGACCTCGGTCACGATTGGTGATACCGTGCTTGACTTCCCCCGAGCCGTTGAGACTTCAGCAGAGCAACAGGACGTTGTACCCCCTGAAGCTCCAGCACCGCCGCCAATCGTGCCTTCCGCACCTGCCAGGAACTTCTCCAAGCCAGCTGATATGAATTCGCCTTCAGGCTACTTCCATCCCAACTATCAGACACAAAAGCGAATCTCTCAGTGGCTGGCACACCGCAGCCATTCTTCCTCCATCAGCACCACTAAATCATCATCGACGTCGTCCTCCTTTGCAGAGCATCGTCGCAAGCGAACTCAATTCTATCAACTCTCCGCGCCAGCGGCAGCACCACCCAAACCGTTGAGTCTCTGGCCACGCCAACATCACAGAACAGTGACGGAGTCCACCGTAGCCAGTACCATCGACACTGAAATTCTCTCCTATGGCAACCAGAGCCAGACAGACGCCACCAGTGTCACCACCACGGCAGTCGGGGATTGGCAAAGTCGAAGTGGCACGGTGAAGAGTGTCTCCAAGGGAGGGACTCTAAGGCCCATTGTCAGCGGTGTTCCTGATGTACCGCCTTGCTATGCGGAGATCATCAAGGACGCGGACGACATCATTATCAAAGAAATTGGTGGACCCTTGAGAAGTCCAGGTGTGGGAGTTGCTTTCTGAGATGCGAGGAGGAGCACGCATGCAGTGGCAGCAATTTTCCTTTGTTTCGATGATATCTTCCATCAGAAGATCAACTTCTATTTCTCTAACGCTTGCTCCAGTCGGCTCTGGCGCAGCCAGGACCGAGGAGCGTTGTCATGCCAAAAGTTGGAGGGTACATTCGTTTTATTCTTGGCTCAGGCATTTGGACCTTCGAGACACTCCTTGACTTATTTTGAGATACCCCTGTCGGTTTGGTTCATTTCGATACTGGAACGGAAATTGGGAGGAAATAGACATGGAGGTGTACACCGCCGTCAAAGAGAAGGACGGCCATCATCCGATCCGAGAGCATTACCTACTAATACATCCCCTTCGTCGTGGCGGACGAAGTGGCCTGGGATTACAGGCTCTCGAAGAGACAGCGAGGATTGGCAGATGTGGAACTTGTATATACCTTTCTCTGGAACCAAAATTCACATACCATTAATGGAGATATGCTTACAGACTCGCTGCGGTATGTTGTCTATTCGCACAAGTAAGTCCCTTTACGCTCCAGCTACAGGGCTGGCTAGCTGGCATCAGGAAACAACGCCAGCACAACTCGTGGGCCACATGGGCTTTATGTATTATCTGTCTTGTTTCTCGTAATCCTTTCTGAGAAGAAAGAAGGCTTGCTGACTGACTGACTGACTGACTGACTGACTGACTCTGGAACCCACCATCGACCGTGGTGGCAGAAGAAGGGGGGAGAGTGTATGGTATGTATACACACGGGGACACAGGCAAACTCCATCCATCCATCCATCCATGTATTGCCGACTTAGATCGATGTGATGTATGTAGTGTGCAGTGCAGTCCAGTATCATCCGTGCTTTATTGCTTGCTAGATAACGACTGACTGACTTATTCATTCATTCATTCATCCATCCAACCAACCACAAGAAATACAAAAAGAGAGAGACACAGAGAAACATACATACATACATATAAACAAACAAAAAGGGCTCAAATGTCCGCTAACTATTTCACAACACGCTCACCGTCCGCTCCAAAGGATTCAATAGACATACGTACACACATGTATATGTATGTACCGTGATAGGGACAGACGCGTAAGTTCAAAGGTCGTACCCTTCCTTCTTCCTGCTTTCTTTATAATATATGTGTAGCATTAATATTCCAGTACGATAAATCTCTCCTTTAGCTTTCACTTCCCCATCTCCAGACGTCCTCCTGTCCGTCTTCCGTATTGCTTTGCCTTGCCAATGCCCTGCCATGCCATGCCTTTGACCAAGGAAATTTTTTTGCCAAAGTGCCGTCATCATCTCATCCCAAGATACAACATGTACATATACTCCAGGATCCGTTGCAACCGGTCTTTTCTTTCGCTTCTTTTGATCAGCAAGCCTCTTCTGTGGCCGAACATGAAAAAGTTGATGGCAGATCCCTTCACCATGACGCTACGCCGGATTGATCCTCTTTTACATGTTCGCCAATTCGCCGTCGATGGCTTTATCCAAGAACGTCCGTCTCTCCCCAGCAGGCACCTCGCATTGTAGCCTCTGCTCTACGAGCGCCCGGACTTGCTTCTTGGTGACTTTGTCGAGATCCACCTCGGCCAACACCGTGCGAATGGCCTCAACGATGTCATGATCGCTTGGCCCAGCCGAAGGAACCGTTCGGAAATCCATCACCGTGGATGCTGGCCGACTGCCCGGCATACCCACGCCCAACAAGCTGGGTCGGCTGGCCGAATGTTGCATGCCTCCCTGGTACGGGCTGCGGCTCCGCGGGTTATCCTGATATGGCACAGGCGAAGGCGACTTCAACCGCATTTGGCTGCCCAGGCTCATCATACTCATGTTCCGTCCGTGCAGGCTGACAGGTTGATCCTTGAACTGTGTGAGGCCGGTCATGGTGCTGGCGCGATTATTGTGCATCGCGGTGAACGGCGTCGTCGATCGAGGCGGTGCCATATATGGCCCTGACTGGTGGGGGAAGCCGGCCAGAATCGTGCTGGCTGGTTTCACGGATGAGTAGCTTGACTGCATGTCGTCCATCTCCATCATGGCAGCGTCATCAGTGTAGCCGTACTCAAAACCCTTCTCGGGGTATGCGCCAGTATTTCCACGACGACCTGGAAGGTTGTTGGCAGCCGCGTAGTCATCCCACCTCTGAAGCGGGATCGACCGGGGGTCGAAGCCTTCATCCTGAATAGCAACCACCTTCTTGTCACCTTTCTCTCCAATGACAATTCTCGTGTTACCCCAGGAGAAGTTGTCTTGATTCCAGAATGAGTAGATTGGCAAGACGAAGCTGTAAATAGGATACGCGCATATATAAATGAGCATCCATCCCACGTGCTGCCACTGTCGTTTGATGATGAAGATCACCGCTTGCAAGCCATAGACTGCAGCAATCATCACAATTGAAATGAGAGGAAATTGGCCGGTATGCGATGCGACTCTGTATATCAAGTAGCCGAGATAGGTGCAGGTGGCAGGAAGGATCAAGGTACCGAACAGGTCAATGAAGACGACAAATCTCATTGAGAAGCAACAGAAACCACAAAGATCTTTCAAGAAGACGAGCTCGGCAAGGTTGTGGATGGTCGAGTTGATCCATCGTCTCCTCTGTGACAACAAGACAGACCACGATTCTGGTGCTGCAGTGAGGGCATAAGCGTCGGGGACGAACTTGTAGGACATCGATGGGAAGTGTTTGGTCATCAGCGTCGTAAGATATCGATCCTCACCCAAAGATAACAAGTTCTTTTTGTGAAGAGTATCAACATCACAGTCCGAGTACTCCTGAATGACCTTGTCGGAGATGATCAGTGGTCGTCCCTTGTCGGCGGTCCGAAGGCGATACATGCAGAAACTATAGACCAGGTTAGCAATGGTGCGGAACGGCAAAGGTCAGAAGGACATACCATCCGGGCAAACAAGTGACGCTGCCGAACAAGGACTCGAAGGCTTTGGCGAGATGATGCGAGATATAGTATTCGTAGACTTGAATCATCGTCCACAAGCTGCGTTCTTCGTTCTCCAAGCTTGTCTCGCCACAGATACCTGCGATCTTAGCATCGTTGGCACAAGCGGCGACCAGGCGGTTGAGCGAATCTTCTTTGACCATAGTATCGGCGTCGACCATGAGAAGATACTCATACAGCTCAGGGTCGACACCAATGACGTTGTTGATCTGGTGGAAGATTTCCAATTCAAGAGGAGACATGGGTGATCTGTGGTGGACCCGATTCAAGAACTGCATCAACAAGATCTGAGAGTCTCGTTTACCACGATTTCCAGGCTTGGATTTTGTTTGCTCCGATTCCTTGCCGACCTTGACGATGACAATATAGGGAACAACGTTGCCCTCATATTCGTAAAGTCCAGAGTATACTTTGCCGTAATTGAGTTGTTCGTTGCCATTACCGACGGAGCGGAAGGGTAGAGCTGGCGGATCAATCTTTGGATCAACACCAAGGACATCCAGCACAATTTTGGGCGTAGGTCTGTCGTTGCCGCCACCCACGATCATTCCATCGCAAATGACACAAATCAGCTTTCTCTTGTTGTCATACTGCAAGGCCGTGAGAGAATCTAGAGACTTCCTCAGATGGTCTTCACCCTCGGTATAGGCAGGAACCTGGCATATGACGAACTTGTCTTGTGCAGCTGGTCGGCGTTTCGACCCCAGTTGAAGGGCTGCCAAAAACTTGACTAAAATGACCGCACACAAAATCAAGGCAAAAGCCAAAAGGAGGTAGTTGTTGACTTGACACCTTGGAGAGTCCCGGAAGTCGACCTTGCCAACGTAGAACGCATTGTTCATGCAGTTCAGACTGTTTGCGAACGCGGCGTCTGTTCCCCATTGGCTTGTGATATCCGAGCCTGGATTGCTGTTGATCAGGTCCGTCACCTCCTCGGGGAAAAACTTGTAAGTAACAAAATTGTTCATCAGATTCAAGGTGTAGAAATAGTCGGTAAGGTCGTATATTTTCTGGTGGATGATCACCCACTGCCGCTGGTCATTCTCAGCCTGACTCTTGATACTGCCCTTTGACACGACGAGGTCTCCTTTGTAATATTCGGTGATTTTGGGCAGGAAAGTGTCGCTGTACCAATCCCAGCTATACAATGCAGACTGTTGATCTGGCTGATACCGATGACCGGAGGTGTGCACAGCGTTCGGGTATTGAATGGCGTTGGTGTCATTGTGTTGCAATTGCACACTCTCGTCGACATTCAGTCCCGGACAAGCTCGACTCAAAGGAGGTGGGAAATATGCGTCCAAATTCATTCCCGCCAGTGGAAGCATATTCTGCGCATTCGTCTGGATGGCCGTGTCACTGTGTTGTACGCGGTAGAACTTGGTGATATCGTAGACTTTGCCTCGAATGCTGACATAAAAATCATTTGTGCCCGTGTGAAAACCGACTTCTTTTGCGTTCCAGGCTTTGTCGAAGTTCGGGCACAAAAGCCTTCCAAACTCGACGATGTAGAAGACGATCAAGCCGTTCAGCAGGAAAATAAGGAAGACCAGCACCACCTTCTCTCGCCACGCCATGCGCACATCGGGACGCTTCATGCGACCAACATAGCGCAGGAGGATAGATGGTATCCACCAAGTTAGCGCCCAGACGAGAGACACCCAAGCTTGTCTACCAGCGGACGTCTTCTTAGACTCCACGTTGCGAGGATCAGCCAGCTCTGGATCCATGCCTCCGACATACTGCCCAAGGTCTGGGTCAAAGACTGCGTCCTTGTGGTCGTCGCCTTTAGGGCCAAGGCCATAGTCACCACCGACAGTGTGCATCGTGCGTGCCATTGTAGGTGCAATTGATTTGGCCCGGTCTGCGCCAGCTTGAGCAAGCAGGTTCTCTCGACTATCCTGAACGCTCAGGTTATCCCCCATTGGCGGGAAAAAGCCACTGCCGTTGTGGGGAGTATTGGCAGAGTAGCTGGATGCAAAGGGGTTGAGGGGCTGGCCGAAGGCAGGATCGTCGGAATAGGCACCTTCGACGGGTAACATGTCGAGCATTGACTCAGCTTCCCACCATGCACTTTCACGCATCCAGACTCGTTCTCGCCCAATGATGACTTCTCCATTTGTCCAGCCTCTTTCGAGCAAAAAGCTTTCTATCCCGTCTTTGCCATCTTTGCAGCCGAGTCTGGAGTATCTTGTCACAAACTCTTCGAAATCGAAATCAGCCGTGAAGTCGAGTCGCCGGTTGCGGTGGTTGGCCCATTCAGGCAGTCTCCATGCTCGCAATTGTCTTGATACCGCTCCCGCAGACCATGCGGAAGTCGTCGAGGCCAGTGCAGCCAGAGAACTGGGCGCATCATCGGTGGGGTGGATAGAGAGCTGGTACCATGCTCTACTGCTGGCGAGTGTAGCCCCCAGGTCATAACGGCCCTTCCGGCCGAAATTCAGGCCTTCGCCGTCGACTGGGTAGAGTAGGGTGCGAAGGAAGCCACCGGCCTCCGCCTCATTGCCGATCCTTTCCAGGATGCCTTCCCTGCGATCCCGGTCGTGCTCTCGCTCCCGACTGAGCGGTCCTCCTCTAATACCTAGATCGGCCTCCACCTCCGCAATGGCAGAGTTCATTTCCTTGAGAACGGAGTGGCCTGCTGATACAACCTCAACGCCATCATCTTTCATTTCAGCGTTTATCCCTTGGGTGTCGTCGAAAACATTTCGCAAAGCCACAGCTTTTCCGAGCGGCTCGCCTGGAATTTCGATGACGGTGAGGCTGACCTCATCACCGGTCTTGGTGCTAGAGTCAGGTGTGAGGGCACCGGAGCGTAACTCGGCGGCAATGGCGTCGTTGGCCTTTGAGAGAACCCAGTCCACCAAAGCTTCGTACATGCCTGCGATCAGAACCTCACGATCATCCGTGGAACACTTCTTGACGAGGACTTCTGGCTCCAACCCAATCAGGCCGCCTACATCCTCACATATCTCTTCGAGGACATCGGAGTCAACCAGTAGCCCTGTTGTCTCGCCCAGTTTCAACAATCCAGCCAGGCACGACAAAAGGCCACGGAAAGCGGAGCCCTTGATGCCAATCGACTTTAAGGCTGAGCGGAAATCTTCAGCGGCTGCTGCGTCATCGGCCGATGGCAGGTATTTGGGAGGATCGTAGTATCCAGATCTATTTAACAGGGTGTACCTGGATGGATGTTGCAGACCCAGGAACTCGCGCTCAGCAGGAGTAGATGCTGATGTCAAGAGGTAGTAAAAGACGTCAAAAGCACGATGGCCAGGCTCAGAGGGAATCTTCAGCAGCCCCCTTTCAACGTCAATCCCCGAGCCAGATAATGCGAGTGTGAATCCCGTGACTGTGCCGGTCAAGGTGACGGTATATTTGGCAGCGAGAGATGAATGTCTATAGGTTGTCGGGTTGAGGGGTGTGACACAGGATAGGAAAGGGCGCAAAGCCGTTAGAGCAGTGTATGCGATCTCTGGTGTGGGCAGGGGCATGACTTGGAGAAATGCCTGGAAGAGCGAGGGTGTCGACGGGTGCAAGGACCCCAGAATGATACACCCATCCTCAGCTCTTCGTCTGGCATGTTCCCAAGCTCTTGAAGCGATATCTGCGTCGACAGTACCTCCCACCCGTCCTTGGGCATCGGGATTGATTGCACTCAGCCACGTGTTGACTGCAATGCTCGTGCTCGAGTCGAGTTGGTAGGTTTGGCCGGAGGCATAGATTGTGTGTAGGGAGTTGAGAAGCGTAGTGGTCGAGACTTGGGTAGGCTGTTGAGCTGCCGTTCTGGCAGCACCAACTTGTGAAGAGTTGTTCGAGTACGTCGAGTACCGGTTGGCCATGTTGGGCCCCTGTCGACCCGTTTACTCGACAGGGCCTCCGTCAACCGTTCGAAGCAATGGTTATCCTGGAAAACAACGCCGCCCGTTTGTGAAAGCCTCCTCTTGCAGGTTTGTGTGGTCAACGTAGACTGTTGAACAAGGCCGAGATCGTGGACGGTTCAATGAAGGGATGAAACAGCAGCGAGTCGTGTCAAGTCGTCAATGCAACATTTCAGAAGGCAAAAAGTGAACGCGAGAAATTCCAAAGCGGTAGACAGGCAAAAGCTAGCAAGATCTGCTGCGAATAGATTCCAACAAAGTAAGCGAGAGTGATGTTCGTAGGTCAACGAAGGTGTAGAGGGTGAATGAAGGGGGCAAGAGGAGGTTGTCGCGGCAAGCGAACAAGACCATGGCGGAGTGTATCCAAACGTTGTTTTTTCCAGGTTAGGGAGCGTGTATTGAGCGTTACCAATACCACAGCCTGACGACTGAATATCGACCCCTGGACAAGCTTCTCCTCGATCCGCAGCCACGGTCTCGCTGGGTCAAGAATAGCAGCCAATCTGCAGCGCCAACTGCGCCTAGACGCCCATTTCCGGGCACCTGAGCCCCGGACGTGCTCGGCGTTATACTGCTCTAGGCGTAAGCCACTCGGGTCGCTGCAGGGGATCCCGGGATCTTAAACCACCGGTCAATCTTGCCCAAGCCAATCATACCAACGGTTGATGTGCTCCAGGGCAACGGACTCGGAAAAATCAACAAAGCCTCATGTCAAAAGTCGCGTCAAGAAAGTCTGATGGCTTCAACATTTTACGTACGACGCCATGACAAGTCTCCGACAGCTCACGCACCGCATTCATCTTGACCATTGTCAATTTGAAGATGAGACACGCACAGGGACACGGGCTTCGTCGATGATGAGATGTTTGATGAAAAAGAAGATTCTCTGGGTCCTAGTTTCAGTTTGTTCCCACTCAATGCACATCGTATGGTGCTGGGGTGGCACACGATTGTTTTCGCCTCAAACCAGCGCAGGGCCCAAGCCCCATCACGGTCACGTGACAGCCACCCAGTCAGCATGTGGCACGATTCTGCACCGTCTCGCTCACCTGCAGACTAGGTGCTGCATCATTTGCGTTTGTCTCAGTTGGTCTTATCGGCAACCGGGCTACATGTGTGTGCGTCCGTGGTCAGCCTCCAGACACTCCGATTCCGAAGATGTGGTCACTCGCTGATCACCAGCGGAAAAGGATGAGCTGTTGGAAAATCCTCGTCGCTTGTGTGTGTGTCGACTGGGGAAATTCGTGCGGAGAGCGAGGCACATAAAAAGTTCAAAGGAGCGCAGCCCACAACAAAAGAACCACTATAAAAATTTCAATAATGGACGAGGCCTCCTTTCTTGCCCTGGTGATTCTGGCCTCGGACTGGGGCCTCTTCACAGGACTAGGTACGTAAGGGCATGGACATGTTGTGTTACGTCGGAGATCCCAAAACTCAGTGCCGAACCCGAAAGACATGTAGTGTGTGTTCTGCAGCCTGCATACCGAGGGCATTGAGGGAGCATGGAGTAGGAGGTATGCCTTCCATCTCTGTCATTATTGGATGGCGACATGTGCAGTTAGTGAGCGAAGCACACCATTCCCAACCTCCCCTCTGTATCTCGTACTGCGTATACCTGCCACTGGAGTCCAATGCTCTGTCGAGTCGCCGCGCTGCAACTCCGTCTGATGACCCGTCCGGCCTCGAAAGGCTCCGTAGAGGAAAGCTCGACGGTAGCCCTGACTGTAGCTAGGGAGTCCGGTAGGGTGTGCATGACAATAAGCCAAGTTTGTAGGTGAGGTGACCAACTGACCAGACGCTATACTTGGGACACGGTACTCTATACTCGGCACTGGGTACCTCATATGTCAGCACCAGAGGCCAGATTCGACACTCACGGTCACAGTACCGGTGCTGGAGAATGGGAGGCGACAGCCGACTGCGGCGCAGTGTGCTCACCTCACTGCTATGTTGGTAAGATCTTAGACACAGGAAAAGCTTAAACTGCTATTATGCGAAGGTCTCAAAATGACATGTTTTGGGTGTTTCACTTGTAATGACCATTACCAGCTCCACCCAAATGTCTCCATCCGCCAAATACCGCATTCTATGCAGTATGGAGTATTGGTCTCGCAGGCCGACCAAAACCCCCCCTGCGCAAGCCAACTTTGTTGCTCTCGCTGTTCGATCATTCGACTTCCTTCATGTTGATTTCATGTGTGTTGGTTCTTTCAACTACAATCTTTGCTACGACTTGACGATCTCTCGCTATATTTCTCTCGCTCTGCATATTTGGTTGTATCGGCACACATTGACGCTCATTGCCCCCTAACGTTCGCTGTTGCAAAATCCAAAGACTCCCTGCCCGAGTCAACAATTGCCCGACCGCGCAACTTCGCTCGATGAATTAAGGACTTGAGTTATCGAACAGGGCGTGTGAGCCGACTCGAGGCTCTTTGGACTTACTTTGACGCGTCCAATACGTCTCCATCAATATGGCTGCTCGTGGCAATGTTCCTGCTCATTTACAGGCTTCATTGCCTGCACTTCCTCCTCATTTACAATCAGACACCCACTTAACGGCCCACCTGGCTAGCCGATTCCATGTCTCTCTTCCTACAGCAAAATTGTCCTCCCAGGCCTTGATATGCCTCAATACATATACCTCGTCAACCAGGGGACCAAATGGGGAAAAGGAGGGAAGTGCTATGGGCGAGGCCGAGGATCTCGCCCGTAGGGCATGGGCAAGACTGGGAAATAGAGCAGAAGACCAGGCCATTGTCTTCTTGTATGTCTGCTGAATGATAATCTGGCATTGATATCTTGCTAACTGTGCGACAGCGGAGAGTCGGGTTCGGGTAAAACGACAGTCAGGTCGCACCTGCTTTCCTCCTTCCTTTCGTTCTCCTCCACACCCCTGTCCTCCAAACTGTCCCTTGCCGCCTTTGTCTTCGATACCTTGACCACGACCAAAACTACCACCACTCAAACAGCATCGAAAGCTGGCTTGTATTACGAACTACAATACGACGCTTCATCATCGATTCCCACCCTCATTGGAGGCAAATTATTAGACCATCGCCTGGAAAGGAGTCGAATTTCACATGTGCCGACCGGCGAAAGGAGCTTTCATGTGCTGTATTATCTTCTGGCCGGAACAAGTGCGGCAGAAAAGTCTCATCTCGGCCTCAACGGACACACAAACATCACCACGTCTGGTGCGGGCCTGACGAGGTCTGCCTCCGTGGCACAGAAACGATGGAGATATCTTGGCCACCCCACGCAAATGAAGGTGGGCATCAATGATGCGGAAGGCTTCCAGCACTTCAAGACAGCGTTGCGGAAGCTGGAATTTCCGAGAGCAGAAATCGCCGAGATATGTCAAGTTCTCGCTGCTATCCTGCATATCGGTCAGCTCGAATTTGGCACTGGCCAGGCGACGTTGACGGCGGCTGAAGAAAGTGGCGGATACTCCCACGAAGGTGGCGAGACAGTCACGGTGGTCAAGAATACTGACACGTTGGCTTTGGTCGCGGCTTTCCTAGGACTGAGCGTTCAGGACCTAGAAGAGAGCATGAGGCACAAGACAAAAACGCTCCACCGGGAGCGTGTGACTGTCATGCTGGACCCCAAGGGCGCTCGAGAAAATGCGGATGAGCTTGCAACGACGCTCTACTCGCTCCTGGTTGCGTACATCATTGAGAGCATCAACCAAAGGATTTGTGCTGCAGAAGACGCTGTTGCCAACACCGTCTCCATTGTCGATTTCCCGGGGTTTGCGGACCATTCTTCCACTGGATCTGTTCTGGATCAGCTGTTGAACAACGCAGCAAATGAGTCGCTTTACAATACTTGCCTCCACGGCTTCTTCGAAAAGACGGCCGAGATGCTGGAAAGCGAAGAGGTTAGCGTGCCTGCAACCAGCTATTTCGATAATTCGGATGCTGTCCGTGGCCTTCTCAAGCATGGCAACGGATTGCTTGCTATTCTTGATGATCAAACGCGTCGTGGTCGTACGGATACCCAATTTTTGGACAGTATTCGTAAGCGATTCGAAAACAAGAATAAAGCGATCACGGTGAGCAGCGCTACGACCACCTTGCCCGGAAGCAACTTCGCTACGACGAACCTTTCGGCATCGTTCACCGTGCGCCATTATGCTGGTGAGGTGGATTATCCAGTCCACCGCTTGGTCGAAGAAAACGGAGATGTAGTTTCTGGGGATTTGATGAACATGGTCAGAAATACGAAGAGTGACTTTGTGGCTAGCTTGTTCGGTCAAGAAGCCTTGAACACTATCAGCCACCCTTCAGAAAAAACGGCCATTGTGCAGGCCCAGGTCAGCTCCAAGCCGTTGCGCATGCCCAGCCTTTCCCGGAAGAAGCATGACCAGCTGCGCCGAATGGGTAGCCGAAGAGCAGATCGCTCGCCTGCTCTACAGGAAGACGCAGAATCGACACATACTCCAGAGGAGTCGAGAACCAGAAAAACAAAGGCTTCTGCGACAGGACTGACTCAAGGTGCAGCGGCACAATTCCTGTCGTCTTTGGACAACATCACCAAATCGCTGACTGCGCCAAACGTCAACAACTACTTCGTGTTTTGCTTGAAGCCAAATGACAGGCGAATTGCCAATCAATTCGACAGCAAATGTGTCCGTCAACAGGTTCAGATGTTTGGAATACCCGAGATCAGTCAACGACTTCGAACTGCTGATTTTAGTGTGTTCCTCCCATTCGGGGAATTCCTGGGGTTGACTGACGCTGATCCTGGCGTCGTCGGAAGCGATCGTGAGAAGGCACAGCTTGTTCTGGACAACAAACAGTGGCCCGGGAATGAAGCCAGAATTGGAAATACCGGCATTTTCCTCAGCGAACGCTGCTGGGCGAGTATTGCCCTTACCGGATCTCAGAGCACCGCCTACTTCGGCGGCGAAGTTCCCGCAATTTCCAGGCCCGATACGCCAAGTCTCAACCCCTTTAATGATTCGAAAGCTCGATTAGTGGCCTCACATGAGGGAACGCCTGGTTCTTTTTATGGCGACGAGACAAAAGGTGGCTACTTTGGCAGCCGAGAACTCGACGCCAAATCTGATGCTGGCGCCTCAGCCTTCAACTCCGGGGATATGTTCCGTAACCTCGAAACCAAAGAAGAACTGGCCGAAAAGGGCAACAGAAAGAAGATGGAAGAGGTCGATATTGTACCCGTTTCGTCGTCACGTAAAAGATGGCTGGCGGTTGTGTACTTCCTTACCTGGTACCTCCCTGACTTTGCCATCAAGTGGGGTGGCGGCATGAAACGGAAGGATGTGAGAGTCGCCTGGAGGGAGAAGTTTGCGATCAACATCCTGATTTGGATCAGCTGCCTCTTCGTGGCCTTCTTCATCGTCGTGTTTCCCCAGCTCATCTGTCCGAAGCAGAACGTGTACTCTGCGGCCGAACTGTCATCGCATGACGGCAAAAATGGCCACAGCGCTTACACTGCGATACGGGGCGTAGTCCTCGATCTAGGGGCATTCGCACCCGCCCACTATCCGAGCATCATCCCACAGACGTCACTGGAGAAGTACGCTGGTTTGGACGCAACAGGCCTGTTCCCTGTCCAGGTCTCGGCTCTTTGTCAAGGGAAAGACGGCCGTGTGGATCCTACAGTACAGTTGGATTATACGACAACAAACATCTCAGGTTCTGCTACAGTCATCAGTACCACTGACCCGAATCGCCGGTATCACGATTTCCGCTATTTCACAAATGACTCCCGCCCGGATTGGTTTTTTGAGCAGATGATCATGTTGAAATCCAACTACAAGAAGGGAAGTATCGGATACACTCCTCAATATGTGCGCACTCTTGCCAAAAAATCTCATTCTATTGCGATATTGAATGGCAGAGTGTACGACTTCACCACCTACAACCAGGGCGGACGCAGCACCAGGGCTCCCCCGGGTCAAACAGTCCCAGCCGGGGTTGACACTGATTTTATGGCTGACCTTGTGGTTGATCTGTTCACGCAACGGGCCGGACAAGACGTTACCAAATACTGGAATGCTCTTTCTTTGGACTCTGGGTTGAGGAGTCGAATGCAGCTTTGCCTCGACAACTTGTTCTTTGTTGGGGTCACAGACACCAGAAACTCGGCCCAATGTCTCTTCGCTCGGTATATCCTCCTGGCCATCTCCATCTTACTCTGTACCGTGATCGGTTTCAAATTTTTGGCTGCTCTCCAGTTTGGAGGCAAGAATGTACCTGAAAATCTCGACAAGTTCGTCATCTGCCAGGTTCCCGCCTATACGGAAGACGAAGAATCTCTTCGACGAGCTATCGACTCAGCAGCACGGATGCGATATGACGACAAACGCAAATTGCTGATCGTGGTCTGCGATGGTATGATTATCGGACAAGGAAATGACCGACCGACGCCTCGTATTGTACTCGATATTTTGGGAGTATCAGAGACAGTCGATCCGGAACCACTGAGCTTCGAATCTCTGGGTGAAGGCATGAAGCAACACAACATGGGCAAGGTATACTCTGGTCTGTATGAAGTGCAAGGGCACATCGTTCCCTTCTTAGTGGTTGTCAAGGTCGGAAAACCCTCCGAAGTGTCCAAACCTGGAAACCGAGGCAAGCGTGACTCCCAGATGGTCATCATGCGCTTCTTGAACCGCGTTCACTACAACATGCCCATGAGCCCGCTAGAACTGGAAATGCATCACCAGATCAGAAACATCATCGGAGTCAATCCCACGTTCTACGAATTCATGCTCCAGATCGATGCCGATACTGTTGTGGCTCCCGACTCGGCTACTCGCATGGTTTCGGCATTCCTACGCGACACAAGGCTGATCGCCGTTTGTGGAGAGACCTCGCTGTCCAACGCAAAATCATCCTTCATCACGATGATGCAGGTTTACGAGTACTACATTTCGCACAATCTCACAAAGGCATTCGAGTCATTGTTTGGTTCCGTCACCTGTCTACCAGGTTGTTTCACCATGTACCGAATCCGAGCCGCGGAGACCGGAAAGCCACTCTTTGTGAGCAAGGAAATCATCGAGGACTACTCTGAAATCCGAGTCGATACATTACACATGAAGAACTTGTTGCATCTAGGCGAAGATCGATACCTGACCACGCTGCTCTTGAAATATCACTCCAAATATAAGACGAAATACATTTTCCACGCCCATGCCTGGACCATTGCACCGGACAGTTGGACAGTTTTCATGTCTCAGCGACGTCGGTGGATCAACAGTACTGTTCACAACCTGGTTGAACTGCTGCCGTTACAGCAGTTATGCGGTTTCTGCTGTTTCAGCATGCGATTTGTCGTCTTCTTGGATCTGTTATCGACTGTGATTGCGCCGGTTACGGTGGCCTATATTGTGTACCTGATTGTGCTTCTCTCCACATCGTCCGACGTCATCCCTCTGACGGCATTCATCTTGTTGGGGGCCATCTATGGTTTACAAGCCATCATCTTCATCCTTCGCCGCAAATGGGAAATGATTGGGTGGATGATTGTGTACATTCTGGCCATGCCCGTCTTCTCTCTGGGTCTGCCCCTGTATGCGTTCTGGCACATGGACGACTTCAGTTGGGGTAACACACGTCTGGTGACTGGTGAAAAGGGTAAACAGATTTTGATCTCCGACGAGGGCAAATTCGACCCCGACTCGATTCCGAAGAAGAAATGGGAAGAGTACCAGGCAGAACTGTGGGATGCTCAGACCCAACGGGACGACGCAAGATCCGAGATTTCGGGCTACAGCTACGGCACGAAGTCGTACCACCCTGCCGCGTCCGTTTATGGCGGTGGCCCTCACGGCTATGAAAGCAGTGCACATCTCATGGCTCCTTCGAGATCTGTGTCACAGCTCGACATGCATCTGCCTGCGTATGAGAGAGGGTACAGCCATTCCAGGATGTCTCTTGCGCCCTCGGACATGCTGGGTGGCGGCATGATGGCAGGAAGTCATTCTGTCGCCGACATGGACATGGCCGATCTGACTGGATTGCCGACTGATGATACGATCCTGAACGAAATCCGGGACATACTCAAGACGGCGGATCTCATGACCGTGACGAAGAAGGGTATCAAGCAAGAATTGGAGCGACGGCTCAACGTGAATTTGGACGTCAAGCGTGCCTATATTGGCAGTGGTAAGTTGTGCCCAAGCCTCGAACCTTGAAAGAGAAACTAACCTCTGGCGCACAGCAACGGAAGCCATTCTCTCGGGTCAATTGTGAATTATCTGCATAATCTAGCGTCTGCTCTGCTCTAGCGATATGTTTCATGGCAGATTGCAGGAGTCCAGGATGACCAACCAAAACGGACGGCGTTGGGATGCATTGGCTACAAGCGAAGGGGACTCCATGGCTTGCCTGTAATCACTCGGAGGATGAATTGCAGTTGTAATTGGCAGGGAAGAAGGACATCAAAATAGCATAGATGTAGCAGGATCTAAAGGAAACTGGCATGTATACCACCAGTATTGTAGGCTCTGGGTTAACATGGGAGCTGCTGAAGAAGAAACACTACGACACATACGAGCCTTCCACCAACTTCTGTATCTCTCGTATATGGTTAGTGTTCCTCTGGCGAAAGTCCAACCCTGCACTCCGTCGAGATGATATCACTTCAAGAATCAAGAGTGGGTGGGGAATGCCATCCACGAGGGCGAAGAACTGTTACCTCGAGCTACTGTGAACAGGGAACCTGAACAAGCTCGCCAAGCTTTCAGTTGAAGCTTTTAACGGGCGAGGGGGGCCCAAAAGTCCCGCTCCAGGCGGTGCCCAGCTCTGCGAAACCCCGCTTGTGTAGGACGTTGTCATCATCGAACGCCCACAATGGTGCCGATGACGCCCAATCAACGCCTAGACCAACCGTGCCAACCAAGCTGCTGGGCATCCCTCACGCGATAAAGGGATTATTTTCGCCCTCGCAGGCCAATGACCGCAGATCCTTGGTCGCGACTTTCAAGATTCGGGTTTGGCTTGCGTGGCCCTCAAAGTTCCTGGCCCCAATCCTTCTCTCGCTTCGTGAACTCCTTCAACAAGTGCTTTCAAGAGCTACCTCGAACAAGACATCGTTCATTTTCCCGTTTGCGACTCTACCCAGATTTCGTGAGAACTATAAAGCTGTCCCAGCCCTCCAGCCCTCCAAAGTGTTCTCTTCCCAGTGATGCTCCAGTCGAGACTCGTCTGACCACCATCACTGCCATGATTCCCAAAAAGATCTATGAGCTCTGCCAGCGCAGCGAGACAATTACTGCCGAACTGGCCAAAGATCCGTCCCTGTCTCCTCACGAGGCAGCCAAGAAGCTCTTTGGTGTTGACCTCGATGATGAGGTCGTCACCAAGAAACTGGACCTGGGAAAGGAAGAACCGAGTGACCTGGAAGAGGCCCGACAATGTGGAAAATGGGGCAATTCCAACCCCAGCGATTTGTTTCTGAGGGTGAGAAAACCCTGTTGACTGCAAGGAAGTGGGACGGGTAGATATTGACCCGGTGGCTAGATCTACCACGATGTCTTGTGCACGTTGGAAAAGAACCCTCTCGTGGGCTTATGTTCGCCGTCGCTCCTCGGAAGTAATGGAGTGTGCCCGCTCACAATCATGGCGAATGTCCCCGACATCTGCCGGCACATGTCCAACGTGATCGCGAGGGCAGAACAAGAGGTCTTCCTCGCGACCAACTTCTGGATGTACTCAGAGCCCACCAGGCTGATCACCAATGCGCTGAAAGAGCTGTCGAGGAAGGCTGTCCTGACAAACCGCCGAGTCGTGGTCAAGATCATCTACGACCGGGGAAGTGCGAAGCAGGTGAGTTTGGAGTCTCGTGCTCTCTCCCAGGTCCGTCTATTGACAGTGGAAGTTGGTAAAAAACCACCTCATAGTGCCACCGAACGAATTTGCAGACCCCAATGGCAAAGTTCGAATCCCTCATCCCGATGAGCTGCCCAACATCGATCTCGAAGTGATGAATTTCCACCGACCCATGTTCGGGACGTTCCACGCTAAATACATGATCGTGGATCGCCGTATCGCCATTGTGCAAAGCAACAACATCCAGGACATCGACAACCTCGAGATGATGACGCAGTTGGAAGGACCCATTGTGGATTCATTCTATGATCTTGCGCTCATTTCATGGCACAATGCGCTGCACCCACCCTTGCCGCTGCTGAACCGACCTGCTGCGGACTTGCCCATTCCCACATTCTCGACCGACAGCTATGCCACCATGTTCGATGAGAATGGGAAGCTGGTCCCCGTGTATCAAGCGTACGTTGGCAAATAAGCTTCCGTTGTGCTAGCTGACCCCTACTACAGGCCCACGCCGGTTCCGGGCGGACACGAGAGCTTGAGGGAGATCGCCGAGCATGGATCGCAGATGGACTTGCCCCAGCACACATCGGAAGACCCCCACTACGACCCTGACATCAAGTCGGAGGTGCTGCGCGCCGTGGCATTTTTGAATCCACGGGAAGGAGAGAGCCGGATCAATGCAATCACCCGCCTCCTCAACACGACGATCCAACCGAACACGAAAGGGAGCGCGCCGGATATTGAACCAGCCGACGCGATGACCCCTCTCATCCCCATACCACGACATGACCCTTTTCCGATTGCCATGGTATGCCGACCGCCATGGGGATCACCCACCAAACACAGTTTGCACACGCCGCAAAATGAGGCATTCACATCTGCCCTTCGTCATGCGACAAAGTCGGTCTTCATTCAGACCCCCGACTTGAACGCCGAAGCCCTCCTGCCCGAAATCGTCGCCGCTTGCAAACGAGGGGTCAAGGTCTCCTACTACTACTGTCTGGGATACAACGACGCGGGAGAACTGCTGCCTATGCAGGGCGGACATAACGAAATGATCGCGCATGGACTGTACCACGAGATCGGCCCCGAATATCGCGACAACCTGGACATCTATGTCTACGTGGCCAAAGATCAAATCCATCCGATCCACAACAAGTTCAAGCAGCGGTCATGTCACATCAAGCTGATGGTGGTGGACGACCACATTGGGATTCAAGGCAACGGGAACCAGGACACACAGAGCTGGTATCACAGCCAAGAAGTGAACGTCATGATTGACAGCGCGTTGGTGGTGGGCAAGTGGATGGAAGGGATCAGACAGAATCAAAACACGCACATCTACGGGAAAGTGCAGAACGACGGACCTGATGCTGGATGTTGGAAGGATCCCAAGACTGGGCAACAGGCCGAGGGCGCGATTGGCGTGGATGCAGGCAAGTTTGCATGGGCCAAGGGGATGGTCGGGGCGGTGCAACGGGTACGGGGGGTGGGCGGATTTTGAGCCTGGAGATGGGCAGGTAACATATGGTGCTGGCTCGGATCTGTGAGGGCAATGTCGCGAAGGATAGCGATATTTACGGCGTTGAAGATTATACGAGTGCTGACATTCGACCACAGATATAAATGGATCTATCTCAACTGTAGGACTTGGACAAGGCGAGTTGGGACGATATACCAAGTACGCGGCTCGAGGCTGTCGGAGAAATGATCCTCCAGATTCCGCTGGGCCTTCCGGTTCCGCCTCTAACCGAGCAATCAATGTCTCTTGCTATCAATTACTGTACGCCGACGACGAAAAGGAGTCTAGGCTCAATGGCACGATGCAACGGAGCACATGTTATTTGGCTCCCTCCGCATGACGAGCAGCTTCCGTTCCGCTGTAGATGTGTCGTGCCCGTGCACATCTCGCAACACTCAGGCGATTGGTGTCGGTAAGAGGTGTCCAGCTCCATATCCTGTTATCCTTTGATCTGGGGGAAAGAAGCATATGTTGCGTGACCACGACAGTCTAGCTCCCGCTGCCCAACTTCATCGTGGGCACAATTTCTTCCTGTGTGACCCAGCTTGGCTGCCACGAAATGACTGAGTTGTCGGGCCACGTCGCCCACGACCCTGCAGTGACGATGATCAAGGGTCTGAACTCCCAAGGTGAGGACATCCGAATGACGAATTCAATGTGCATCAAGTGTGTCCTTGCGAAACTATGGCTTGAGCTTGTGGGAGTCAGCTCTGCTATAAATGCCTTGTTCCTGGTACCTAGGGCACATCTTGAAGCTCCAAACTTCGAATTCCTTCTCCATGCCAGACCGTCGAATCTCAGCGATGGTCTCTGTCTCTCACGAGTTCAGGCGTGTCCCGCCTCCCCACGCCTCCATTGGCCACTGGCTTCCCAAGGATCGCGCCCATATCAAACAATGGCTAGCCACCAAGCTGGAACAGCTAGAGAAGAAGCAACAGCTTCAGCTCTACAAGAAGATCGCTATCACGCTAGACCCCAGCATCGTTGCCTTGAAACACCTCGTGGACGCCAGTCCCAATCTCACGAAACTCTCCCGGGAAATGTTCACCCAGATTCCCCCGGCCTACAAAGATGACCCGACGGGCCAGCCCCAAGTTCGTGATTTCGACACCATGCTGGGCCTCGTCGACATGATCCTGAAAGAAGGACCACAGTGGTTCGACATTAAGGATCCGCCGACCGCGATGGGGCTGATTGGGTTCCCCATCAACGCTATTCTCGACTGGCCGATGGGTACCCTGGCGGGCTATCTCTTCTTCATGGACAGCCAGGTCAACAAGATGTGGCAAGGCATCCTTGACGTCTGGGGGGCATTCCTTCAGAGCCCGGCGTCGGTCAGCTGTCTCAACGAAAACAGTGGGTGGCTGTCCACGGACGCCTTGAACGCGCTCGCCGCCAAGGGCAACGACGGCAAGACTCAGTATACCTTTCAGCAGCTGTACGCGTGCAACCCAGCACTGCCGTCCTTCGGGTTTGGTTCCTGGGATCAGTTCTTCACACGCAAGTTCAACCCGGGCATCCGACCCGTCGCCTTTCCAGACGATCAGCCGACGCCCGAGCAGCCGGACCCGACGCAAGTCATCGTCAACGCCTGCGAATCGACGCCGCTGCAGTTCGCCACCGACGTCAAGCTCCGCGACACCTTTTGGCTCAAGGAACAACCCTACTCCCTGGCGGAGATGCTGGACAACCACCCCAACACGGAGCAGTTCGTGGGGGGTTCGGTATATCAGGCGTTTCTGAGTGCCTTGTCATACCACTGCTGGCACGCGCCGGTGTCTGGCACGGTGGTGGACATCCGCCACGTACCCGGGTCGTACTACTCGGAGAACCTCTCGGAGGGCTTCGCGAACCCCGGGTCGCCCGACGCCGCGGCGCCGAACAACTCGCAGCCGTACATCTCAGCTGTGGCGGCGCGGGGGATCATCTTCATCCAGGCCGACAACCCACACATTGGACTGATGGCCATCATCTTCATCGGAATGGCCGAGGTGTCGTCGTGCGAATTCACCGTGCAGCCGGGACAGCACATCGACAAGGGCCAGGCGATCGGAATGTTCCATTTCGGCGGCTCAACGCACTGCCTGGTCTTCAGGCCCGAGACCAAGCTGACCGCTCAGAGCTTGGTCAACCCACCGCCATACGACCCGGACGCCTCGATCAACCTGCCGGTCAGCAGCGCTCTGGCGGTGATCACGCCGCCGGCGGGAAGTGGCGATTGAGGACGGACGAAGAGAGGGAAGAAGATTGGGGGCGGAAAGATCACGGGACAACAGACCTGTTCACGAATTCACGAGCAAAGACAGCGATGAAAGAGGGAAAAAGTCACTCATTTTCCGATGAACCCTGCCCTCGCGAGGGCAGCAGCAGCAGCAGATCTCTATGCACTCTCTACTACTGGGTATGTAGAGATCAGATGGCAGAGAGCAGGTGGCAGGTAGTAGTAGTATATCGTACTTGATGAGTTCTCGTCCTCGTATGTCCTGTGGTATATACATACTGTGTTGTACTGTAGTGTAAGTTGTTGCGGCGTCAATTCCGCATTCGGGGTCGCAGTGACGGCAGGAAGGAAGCCATGTGTAAATGAATGTCCACCCAGCAACCGACCGATCTTGGGTCTTTTGGAGCCTCCTGGTCTTTTTCGTGGTTTGGTTTCAGGTTCCCACATTTAATTACATCCTATGTACCTACGGTACGAGGAACATACAGTATGTAGATATGTTCTATTCGAGCACGGCAGATATGGTCGGCTTATTGCCCCCCCATACGTCCCCTCCTCCTCGCGACAAAGCAAGCCGACACCGACATCGGCAAATGAACAAGGACAAGCTTGGAACCCCACAGTTTCCACACAAAACCCAGGGACTCGGGGAGCTGGCAGGGAAGGGAGGGAGGAATCAACCCGCGCTGTTACCGTATGTTCTTTTTTCTCATGCTGGGCCATACATACCCTTGGTCATGGCATTCATGATGACAATGATACCCGAATACCTAATACCGCCGCCCCTTGGCCTGCCCGGTGATGGGACCGTTTTTACCCCATGATTCATCCCGCACGCACCCATCGGCGAGTTGTTTATTAGTCTTTTGATACCCCGTCCGGCCAGCGTCGGGGCGGTGCCGCCTTTTTGCCTCGATTGTTTATGGTGGAGGAGGATTGAAAATAAATAAACATTATTTATCTCATTTGGAGAAAGATGTCCCTCCCTCTCTCCCTTTTTTTTCATTTCGTCTGTCTGTTGTCTGGGATTATTATCATTATTTTATTATTTATACATATTTCCTCACTTCGGGTTGGACGCATTGAGTACATAGCATCCCGTTGGTCCCTAGGGTTTCTGAAAACGAAACAAAGGAAGACGGTCGCTTGCTCTCCCCCGCCCGCCTTGTGGTCTGTCTGGTGAGACGCGACGAGAATTCATTGGTCTGCCCATACGGGCCGAATCAGAGGTAGAGAGAAGAAAGACACACACGAGGATATATTATATCTATCTCAACTGGATTGAGTAGTGTCTATCTCTCGACGAATCTCTCTCCTACACCAACCAAGCCCGAACCAACGGCGGCGGTCGATCGACCACCGACCTACCTGCGACCAACCACCATGGGTTCTGTCGAGAAAGCGTACGTCTGTCTGTCTGTCTGTCATTGAAGCTCCCGTTCCGTGGGCTGGTCAAGAAAGAAGAGGGCATATGAAATTTCAAACACACTCTCACACACTCAACATGCCGAGAACGGATTGATCGACTGACCCATGCATGTATCTATCTCTATAGCGAGTATACCACCTCGTACGCCTTCTTCGAGGCCATCTGGGAGGTATGTACCGTATTTCTCCACCCCAGCCCGGCCTGGCGAGGCCAGAATTGAATTATCCCCTTTGAAAGAGCAGAGGAGAGGAGAAAGACAGAGAGAGAGAGAGAGAGAATGTGTGTATGGTTGTGTGTTCATCCATAACTAATCCCGTCCTGCTCCTCCTACAGGCTGGCATCACCCATGTCTTCGTCAACCTGGGCTCGGACCACCCGTCCATCATCGAGGCCATCGTCAAGGGCCAGAAGGAGAAGCCGACAGAATTCCCGCGGATCATCACCTGTCCCAATGAGGTACGCAGAAGAGAGAAAGACATGCACATAAACCCCCTGTTTTGGAAGAGAAGAGAAAACTCGAGCTGAGAGACGAATAACAAATTTCCTCCCCCATATAGATGGTCGCCCTGTCCATGGCCGACGGCATGGCCCGACTGACCAACAAACCCCAATGCGTCATCGTCCACGTCGACGTGGGCACCCAGGGCCTGGCGGCGGCCGTGCACAACGCCTCGTGCGGCCGGGCCCCCGTGCTCATCTTCGCCGGCCTGTCCCCCTACACGATCGAGGGCGAGTACCGCGGGTCGCGCACCGAGTACATCCACTGGATCCAGGACGTGCCGGACCAGAAGCAGATCGTGGCCCAGTACTGCCGCTACACGGGCGAGATCAAGGGTGGTCGCAACGTCAAGCAAATCGTCAACCGCGCCCTGCAGTTCGCCACCAGCGACCCCTGCGGCCCCGTCTACCTCTACGGCGCCCGCGAGCCCATGGAGGAGGACATCGCACCGTACCACCTCGACCAGCAGGTCTGGAAGCCCGTGGCGCCCGCCGCCCTGCCGCCCGACGCCGTGGCCCTCGTCGCCGAGGAGCTGGTCAAGGCTCAAGAGCCGCTGCTCGTCGTCGGCTACACCGGTCGCAATCCCGCCTCGGTGACGGCCGCCGTGGCCCTGGCAGACAAGATCCCCGGGCTGCGCGTCCTGGACACGGGCGGCTCCGACATGTGTTTCCCGACCGACCACCCGGCGGCGCTGGGCTTACGTTACGGAGCGGACCCGGCGATCACCACGGCCGACTTCATCCTGGTGGTGGACTGCGACGTGCCGTGGATCCCGACTCAGTGCCGGCCCAAGCCCGACGCCCGGATCATCCACATCGACGTCGACGTGCTGAAGCGGCAGATGCCCGTCTTCTACATCCCGGCCTTCGCGCGATTCAGCGCCGACTCCGCCACCGCCTTCACCCAGCTGAACGAATATCTCGCCGCAAACGCGACGCTGTCCGCGACGCTGTCCGACGAGGCCCACACCGCCGCGGCGCGGAAGAGGCAAGAGTCGCACACGGCGCGTTGGAGCCAGTTCAAGGAGCTGGCCCGGATTCCCGCCAACCCGGCGACCTCGTCGATCAATCCGCACGTGCTGGGCGGCCAGATCAGGGCCGCGGTGCCCGAAGACACCATCTTCGCCGTCGAGGCCGTCACCCTGACCCTCGCCATCGCCGACCAGATCGCCCCGGTGCGGCCGAAGACGTGGATCAACTGCGGCGGCGGCGGGCTCGGGTGGTCGGGCGGCGGCGCGCTGGGCATCAAGCTGGCGTCGGACCTCCAGCACCGCGACATCCCGGGCGGCGACCGCTTCGGCACCAACAAGGGCAAATTCGTGTGCCAGATCGTCGGGGACGGCACGTTCATGTTCTCGGTGCCCGGGTCGGTGTACTGGATCGCGCAACGGTACGGCATCCCCGTGCTGACGATCGTGCTGAACAACAAGGGCTGGAACGCGCCGCGGCGGTCGATGCTGCTGGTGCACCCGCACGGCGAGGGCAGCAAGGTCGACAACAAAGCGCTGAACATCAGCTTCGACCCGACGCCGGACTACGCGGGCATTGCGAAGGCAGCCACGGGCGGCCACGCCTGGGCTGACACCGTGCGCACCGTGGCGGAACTGCTGGACGCGTTGCCCCAGGCGGTCGAGGCCGTCAAGGGAGGCAGGTGTGCCATCCTGGAGGTCCAGCTGGGAGCCGATCTGCCCGTGGTGGCGAAGCAGGGAGAGTTGAAGATGGAGCAAGTGGCGGCGACCAGTGGGTAGTAAAGTAAGTAAGTAAGTTGTACGGACTGACGGGTGGCATGGGATAGACGAGTGAGTTATGTGGGTGGTGGATGGGCAAAGCATATATATATATATCTATTATATCATCCCCGAACTGTGCTTCGTTCATTACCACTTTAGTTCAGGAAAGGGAGCGCGGCCGCTTTAATCGGGCACGTGACGGAGCATCGGGGGGCGCCCGGCCGAGCACGGGAGAGCGTCGTGGGAGCCACGACCGAGCATGGGGGAGGTCGCCTGAGCACTGCGCGAGGCCAACAGGGAGCGCTGTCTGACGCCCATTCGCAGAAACCAGTTCGGGCTCAAAGAGCCCCTTTAGGCCTCGGCCATACTTACAGTACTGCTCGGCGAGGCATCTGTTTCAGATGGGCGTCGGGAAACCTGGTAGATTCCCTGCCCTTACGATGATCCCTAAATTTTGTGAATAGTGGCGGATGTGTGGGCTGTGCTGATCTGACAGAGCGAGGATCAGGATCCTACGGGGCTCATTTTGGGACCCAGAGGGTGCCGAAATAGATCTTCATCAAGTTTTGGAGTTTCTTTTGCTCAAGATGAATATAGTTTTTCTTTCCTCTTCAATCCTTAATGCCCCAGTTTCACAGTCCTCGCCGATTGCACAGACGCGTCCGTCAAGAAAGCGGGAAGGGTGGTGCGAGGTAGAAGTAGTATCATGTCCAGTTAGCTGCTGCGCTTGTGTATGGTTGCGATCACCTACGCGTAGCAATTGAGATGCTGTGTGGCTGACCTTTTGATGAGAAGAGAGAAATCGACAATCGACTCACCTGCCACTGTAAAGACTGTCTTCTTATTTCAGCCAGGTTACGACCTCTCGGTGACGCCTTCTGGTTTCATCGTGTGTCCAAAAAGGGTCTATTTAAACTTCGCGTCGGGCGGCACCTTTCAATTTTCGCCGCAATCAATCTGATTTCACCTTCACCTTACTCAGGATCTACGGAGTACTCAATTGCTCAATTAAACCCATCTTCTTCGTGGGCCAATGGAAGGCCCTTTGCTCACAGAAGAGTCACAGCACCATCAGCCTCCTGTCTGAACGACTGCGTTGGACGGTTGGCCAAAGGTCCCCGCATGGCTTCCATCATGGCACATAGTCCTCGGATCCCATTGGGAGCAGGCGGAATTGTTCCAGGGCTCACGACTGGCTGTCAACTTGCCACGGCTGCATGTCGAAGCTGATATTTGGTGCTGTGGCTGAGTTCGCCGGTCAGGTTTAGCTGCATGCCAGTAGTCCCTGACCCAACATCACTGCAGCCTGATCTCCGATCCATGATCATGCTTCTCGCATATACGTTTGGAACTCCTGGTCGCCACGCAGAATTGACAGTGTACAATAGGCCTCTGACAACCCTACTCGTTGCGGATCCGCAAGGCCTCAATTTCCACCAACGGAAGCAGCTGCCGCTGGATGTCCATTTCACTCCAAATTACGGCTGCGGCCAGCAGTGCCTTAATCAGTCTGCTTCACCAAGTTCAGGATCATCCAGTTTCGCTTCTCGAAGTGTGGCCACACGCCTCAGCATCAACATCGCCGCCATGCACCTCTTGAAAATTGACAGTCGCGGCAGGATAAGCCAACCCATCGAATTCGTCACCGATATTCCATCCTACGCGGTCCTGTCTCATACATGGGGCGCTGAGGCCGACGAGGTTACTTTCGCCGACCAACAAAATGGGACTGGCATGAACAAGGCTGGTCATGCGAAGATTCAATTTTGCGGAGCCCGAGCTCGGGAAGATGGAATACAGTACTTCTGGGTAGATACCTGCTGCATCTAGTAATTTCATCTCTACGGATCTTTCCGCAACGAATCTTGACTCCTCCGAAGTCCATTTCCGTTTTAAGACCTGAGCACCTGCCAATTTATCCTGAGCCTGACTAGGCAATCGTGAGCTGTGGCCATGCGATCCTGAGCACCGCTTGCAGGCCCTGAGCCCTGCCCTGAGCCCTGCCCTGAGCAGCCTCAGTACAGCCGTGAATGCCTTGCCAGGACCCATAACTTGGCCCCTAGGCCCGAGTTTCCGACGTTTTACCTATTCGGAAGGGCTGTCTTCCGAGCTCCCTTGCTCGGTTATTGTTGCCAGAGCGCCACCCTCTTGCAGTCTCCTGAAGCCTAGCGGTTGCCTGAGAGTTCATTGGTTACAAATTAATACTGCGTGAATATTATCCAGCTTACTGTTATATGGGAGATAGTGCTTTGAGACGATGACGATTCCGAGGAATTCTCTTCCTTTGCAGTAACTTATCCTTTCTCGGCAATCATCGAGCAAATTTTATTACCGCTGTCCTAGGTTGGGTAGGCGGTAGGGATGGGTATTGACACGGACAGTGCATTCTCAACGTATATTGACCCAAGAGGTACAGGCAAGCTTGGTGAATAGACAGGACGTAGCTTAAAGGAGCTACAAGCCGCGTCCTGGGCACGCGACGCGTATATCTACTCCCAGTATTGTAACAACGGTGCCACGGAAGGTAGGGCTGTCACGATGGGAGGTTTGAGAGGGATCACAGAGCGCTGCACAGAACACAATGTAGGGGATGGGATGGCACTGTACTGAATCCTGTCTACCCATCTAAGGTTCTCGAGCAGCTTTTCATACTCTCTCCCCTCTTCCTAGGCTCGGTGGCCTCCGTCGATAAGGCCGTGAAGGCATCGGACAGCACCGTAATAGTCTATCTAAAGCGTCGAGTGTTATACCATAGTAGCTAGGATTTTCGAGCCGCCAACTCAGCTCGTGAGGCTTCCCTGGCTACCTTCCGCCGACTGACCTTTGTTTCTCATCCTTTCCCTGGCGCGTTTTTTGAGGAATGAATGTCTGATTTTGGCATTGGCCGATATTACAGCAATCACTCATTAGGAGGCCGGTGTGAATTCTCTCATTCTGTCGAGGCCAACGAGAGACGATGTTTAAGGTGCAGACTTTTGTCAGCCTCGCGTACTTGGAGGCTGTGCCCTCGTCAGCATGCAAATGTCGCTGCGGGGCTGCCTCATACCTAACCCCCATCCCGTCTGCCAGTGGAACTTATCCTTAATCCCATTTCACCCGTAGTCGGGGGAGCTACTCACCACTACTGCTGAAACCAACAATAGCAGATGCCGGGCTTTTTACGCATGACCCCAAGGTGCAGGAAACCTTTCAAGCTACGCCGATGACTATAGTTATAATGGATGCCTCCAACTCGTCTGTCGCCTTCACCTCATGCGTGAGCGGGGTCGACTCTTTCCTGCCACACACAGTTGATGAGCTGCGGACCATGCTCGTCCCACCTCATCTTCCCCCCGATAACGAAGAGCCGTTTCTGTTCATTCTTTTCCGACGGACTAACGCTAATTTCAGGAATGCCCTCGAAAGCACCACATCCGAGATCTCACGCCGGATAGCTATTGTCGAAGACGCGATAGAAAAGTACAAACATATCGTCGAGAATTCTCAGGAGCGCGAGTTAAAAGTCAGAACCCATAACATGGCGATTGCCGCACTAGAGCTACGCTGTTTCCTATCACCTTCCACGAAGCACCGAGAACAATACATGCAATACTTCAACACCGCAGTGCCAGACATCAGAGACCATCCAGCCGAGTATAGCTTCCGCGAAAAGTGGAAGAGAGAATTACAAATGGCAGGCGCGGTCGGCGGGGAGATGCCATCGAGCAGCTCATCGAACGGCGCCCAGCCTCTCAGCCCCTCAAGTCAGGCTGTCTTCCCCCCCGGTGATGATGAGAGAATCAAGTTTTCGAGGCGATATGCAGCCGTAGCCGAGCGTTTCAACTCTGAATACGACAGAACGTATGATGTCAAGCACCTAGCCGAGTCCGTGGATAGCCTGAAAAGGGCAGTTTACCAGCTACCTGATGGGTTCAAGAAGGAGCAGATCGTGCTAAAGGACAATCTTTGCACAAAACTTGGGAGGATGGCAGAGGCGACGGGGAGTTCTGCTGCTATATCCGAAGCGTTGGTTATTAATAAAGAGTGCCGGGAAGCGGCCGAGCAGCTCCCTGACAAGGATGGGCGTATTGTTTTCGCTCGCACTTTACTACATGCTGGCATCCTGCTCAAGATGCGTGCGCTCAGCAACGGGACTTATTCAGACCTGGATCAAGCCATCGAGTGTCACGACGGAGCCTTGCAAGTTCTCAAAGCTCAGTCCGGACAGGAGGTGGAGGCGATGAAGGTCGCTCTGACAATCGAGATTACGGCCTGTCTTACAAGGAGATTCTGGACATTTGGGGGATGCAAAACCGACGTGGAAAGGGCCGTCAGACTCTGCACAGTGGCCCAGAGAACGCGGCGAGGTTATGAAATACAGGCGACCTTGTCCGAAGCCCTACTGGCAAGGTATCACGCCACTCGCTCACCAGACGACTTCCATCGCGCCTTCGTTCACGGCGCGAAGGCTGTTCTCCAGACCGACAGAAACGACCCCAAGTATGCAGAATACCTGCAATTTCTGGCGGAGATATATTTGGATGGCTACGAGAACTATGCGAGACAGCCTAATTTGCGGTTCATCAGAGCGAGAGCGCGAGCTGTTCGACCGGGTATTAGCACAGCTCTTCCGCGGCGGAGATATCGTCGCATCACGAGAGTCACCTCGGTGAAGACGGTGGGCCTAGCTGTTCCGACCCATCGACAGCAGGATCTGAAAACAGCACTGCTGCTACTTAGAGTGGCGGCCACCTCACCGGCCGTCCCAATGACGCGACTTCTGGCCTCAGCGCGGCTGGGTCTGTGCCTCTGTTACTTGCGGAGTTGGTCTGAGGCGAGCGCTGCGTTGGACGCGGCTCTAGCTCTGCTGCCCAGGGCGGTGCCTCGCATCCTACCGCTCCATGATACCTTAGGCATCCTAAAGAAACTATATGGCATGTCGACATTGGCCGCTGGTGCCAAGCTTCGAGCAGGAAAGAGTGCCTGCGAAGCATTGATGGCACTCGAATCCGGACGGTGCTATTTGTATGGGATAATGCTTTATTCTCGCCCCGTGCAAGCTGCTAGCCCCGACCTTGCGAATCAGCGCAATGCAATACTGGCCCGAATCGACACTTTCCAGACGCAAGATCCCGGGTCCCCGGTTGTATCCACCATTTCAGAAATGGTCAAGAATATAGACACTCTGAAGTTACTCGATTCAAAGATACGTCAACATCCTGGACTTGAAAACTTCCAACGGCCACTAACGGAAGGTGATCTAATATCCCTTGCTAGTGAAGGGCCGATTGTCTGTTTCATCACCAACCAAGCGGGGAGTTACCTCATCGCCGTCACGCAAGATGATATTAGAAAGCGTAAACTAACGGGCTTAGATGAGTCGAAGCTTCGCGCCGACGTCCGGCTCGCGACAAAACCTAGACCAGTCACGAAGGGAGTTGCTCAAACGCTCCAGGACTATAACAAGGACCTAAGCAAAATCCTTAGCGATTTGTGGACTATGGCAGTTCAACCGGCGTTAGACGAATTGGGACTGCTCCTCAAGCCGGCCACCGGCTTGACCTCTAGGATCTGGTGGATCACGTCCGACCTCATGGGTCTGCTGCCCATCCACGCGGCGGGGCAATTCAACCTCCCCGACAATAGCCTGCTTTTCGGACAGGCCGTGCGGGAAAGTGCAGGCGACTTCATTGTTTCCTCATATACTCCCTCATTCCGCCTGCTTCAGGAGTCACGGCGCAACCGCACCGCGCTGCCTGAAAAGGACCAGTGTCATATCCTCATGGTTGCGATGCCCGAAACTGCTGGCTGCGATGACCTCAACGTCGCCCAAGATATCGAGTCCGTCCAGCAGATACTGAAATTGGCCGGATGGCGAGAACCAGTAGTCCTGATGTGCCCCTCCAAGGCCGAAGTTGTCGTTGCATTGCTGAAATGCCACATCGCGATATTCGCATGCCATGGAACAGCCAACCGTTTGGACCCGTCGCGCAGTGGGCTTCTGCTCCGTGCCAATGAGAGAGGGGTTCCGGAAATTCTGTCCATGACAGACCTGCAGGGACTGGGTCTCATGCATGCCCGGCTAGCCTGTCTACTGGCGTGCTCTACTGGCAAGAATGCTGCGAGGTGGCTCTGGGACGAATGCATCCACATCGCGGGCGGCTTCCAGCTCGCCGGATTCTCTGAGGTGATCGCGACGCTCCATCCGGTGCAGGACCGGATCGCGAGCAGGGTCACAAAGGCACTCATGGGCGAGATTGTACAGCGACGGGAGGATGTGAGCTTTGCTGGAGCTTTACACTCGGCGCTGAAGGCAGTGAGCAAGGATGACAACGTGGTGGAGTGGTGTCCTTTCGTTCATTTCGGAGCCTGATCTGGCAACAGTTATACATCTACCTCGCAATTTAGTGTATTTAACCCTAACCAATGCCGCTCCTTAAGTACGGGGGAGTTGATGAGGAATAATATACTTCTCCTGTGGCCCCTCGACCGTCTCGTGAGGGATCTCGGGGACGAAATCTCTTTTGTCAATGTCGATCTCGACAAAGCTCTTGGCAGCTCGGGACGAGCCGCGATTTGAAGTGAACAGCTTCCACCTATTTGAGCCATCCAAGGTGCTTTCCTGGCTGAACCAAGAGAACTTGAGCTTCCTGTAGCAGATGCAGAAGATCTGCTCGCCGTCGGCTTTGTAAAACACGCTTTCGAGCGAGTTCTGGTTCATATGAGCCGTGGTTTGAGCGTCCAAATCTCTGGCCGTCGCCATATTCGTCGCCGCCCCCGCCGGAAGAGGCAGCGTTGCGTCGAGGTTGCTTTGAATCTCTCCACCACTAGGTCCCCTGACGACAGTGGCGCCCGTCATGGTCAAGTATCCGACCACGAAGAAGAGGTCCTTGTTGTAGTTGTAGTTGTCGCGAATCCACTCACGGACGCTCTCGATCTTACACAACTTTCGGAACTGCATCTGAGGCTGCAGCAGGGTGTACTTCTGCGCCTTCGATGCAGAGACGTGAATCCTTTCATCGATCTTCGCGTCGGATATACGGGAGAAGATGGTGGACACAGCCTCCTTGAAGAGGGACTGTCTTCCCTTCCCCACATATGCACTGTAGTCCTCGAAGAGCGCAACCGACCAGTCCTCTTCGTCCATGTCGGCGCCTTTATAAGCGTCTTGATGCGGCGACTGCAAATTGCATACGAGGCTGGCCAGAGGCAGGTCTTCTTTGAGGAGCGGATGATTGACGAGGATGTCGGTTCGCGCCATGTGGCCAGTATAGACAAGCCGAGACAAGGGACCACTTGCTGCCTTGATCGTTTCAACCAACTCGCGAGCTTTCGCTCCTTCGGCCGGCGGTATCATTGATAACACTTCCCTCGCGTATGCTGCTGCTGTCCCTGCTGCGTATGCCTGCCACTTCTTGTTCTTGTGTGAGTCGGCGTAGTCGCAGATGCCCCGTATGACAAGACACGGAAAGCCATTCATCAAGCCAGCGGCTTCCATTTCAAAGCAGAGCACACCTCCAAACTCTTTGCTTATGCTATCTCTCTGTGCAGCATCTTTGACGACTTGATTACCCGATGCAATTGTGCCGTAGTGAACCACAGGCTCTTCGTTCGATCGTGGCTGTCGAGTAACCTGCTTTTCTGCGCTGCAGGACTGGCATGTCGGTCCTCCCTCGTGATTGTAAGTATATTCGAACAAAACGTCTGGCCCAGCGGCCCCGCGTGTGAATTCAGGAAGATGGCGAAGCTTGGAGATGTGTTCTAGGAGCTTACTCGTCCCCCGGAGTTGGTTCGTCCGTGCCTTTGCAACCGCATTTAATAGTAGTAACGGCGGAGAGTTCAGAAATCCGGTGCGCTGAAAGCCACTAGGAGTCGCCTTCCCAAAGTCGTACTGTATCACACCGCCATAACCTTGATTTGGGTTGCTAACTACCACATCTCCGAGCCGAATATCTGCTTCTAGACTTGGAACGCCGCCTCCAACGCCAACCATCAGGATAAATTGCATCGACCTGAACGTCGACATCATCTGTGCCGCCATTGCTGCAGCAGTGTTGTTGCCTATTAAGCCATTTGGCAAGCAGACGATAACAACATTGTGCTCCCCTATACGCCCGGGCGAGTACAGGTTGTTGTCGCGTGCATCCTGGTCGATATCTTCGTGCTTTTCGTCGAGCATCTCCTCCGCAGCCGCCCGTTCGATCGGGAGCGCGCACAGCCATCCAACCGTGTATTCTTCGCGTTGAAGTCGGCGGTGTGCCATTCAGGTAGCCACTGTGATGAGCAGCTGAGCACCACAATGCAGCGGATCAGAGAGATCGCTAAGGGTCACCAAGGGCCGTGAGAGGTAGGGAGTCGTGGAGCGTCGTAGGTGATGAGATCTGCAACATAAGTTCACTAACGACGACCTGCCATGAAGACAATGGTTGGTAATTCCATTATTGCCAGATTGCCACCTATTGCCCACTCAGCCTCACAACTTCGCAGCATGGCAGGCGCTGCAGCTGGCACCGGACACCGTTGGGGTCTTCATCGGATAAGGCTACAGGCGAGAGTGGGTTTCCAAAAGTCACCGGACACCTGCGGATTCTTGGCGCAATCCGAAGAGGAAAAGTCACCCTCGAGCGTGTTTATGAACGCTCACGCTCACGCTCCCCCTTATCTTCGCAATCACCTTGCTCACTTTTCACACTCACCTTTCATCCTGACCTGCTCCACCACGTGCAGCGCCAGCATGGACCCAAAATTGGCCTCGCGCCAAACTGTTCCCTCTTTGACGCTTTTTCGATTTTCGACGACTTTCCTGTCCTCTCATTCGGACGGACTCTCCCTTCTGCCAATGAAGTACTAGAACTTCTTCCCGCCCTCTCGGGTTGCGAGCTTTTCTCCTCTAGAACGTAACCCTCCTCGAACGACAGTCCTACCATTACCGTCATCACAGCCCTCCCACGACGATCTCCTAGAATCTTGTCACTTCCACCACCGCCATGGGCCATATGAGCCAGCAGAAGCTCATGGCGGACGAACCGCTGATTGCTCGTGCGGAAGCTAACGGTTGTTGGAGAAGAGCACATAGAGGCTGACGAAGTTTGTGGCCGAGATATGCGTGCCTCGAAGACGACGAAGAACTAAGTCTTCTAAGATTCGATTCTACGGCGAACAAGTCCATAAGGGCAACTCAGTAAGTCTGGGTGGACACATAATGCATGTAAGAATGTCAGCGGTGCAGACAATCCATGCGAGAGTAGGAGCATCTGCGGCCGTGAGTGACGAGCCAAATCCTCAGGCAATCTTCCAGGCCTCTCAGTTGACTCAGTTTTCGGTGCTTCGATTGCTCGAAAGGCTCCAGTTCCGCGCTCCTGTGCATGGTGACATCTGGTCGCTTTACCATCAATTTCTACAACCGACAACTACTTCGACTCAGAATCTCTAAACCACATGCCTCATCCCCATGCTGTTCGCGCTCTGTCACGACGTCCGGTCGATTCCGTCTCGAATCCTTCTCTTTGTCTACTTTGATGTTGCCTAAGACACGCTTCTTCGAAACATTTCTGTCATACAAAGCCGTAGAGGGGAAATCTAGCATTGAGAGTATATGGCTCACTTGGATGCCTTTTGGATGTCGAAAGTTAGGAGATTGGGATTTTTAATATGCCTCCTGGTCAAAAGACAAGGAAATGTCGGGCTTGACTCTTCAAAGGGCGGGATCGAAATACAACTGATAACTAGCGATACAGGCTTCCATGCTCGCAAGCCAGTAGCACTGCGTTCCTCGATAAGATGGAATTTCTCATCTCCTGGTTAGCGGTGGTCATCTCTCTTGGTGCATGTTAGATTTTTTGTGCTGCAATTGATCCTGTAGCTGTTGTTTGAGGTAGGCGTCCCTCCATGATATGGATCCAGCGATCAATAAAGTATCCATCAGCCTGGTCGAATTTCCAGCCTTGGGTCAGATGATGACTGCCACCGAGCATCTCTCCTGCAATTCTGGCTTCTCGAATCAGCCTGCCAAGTGTAGCGGTATCTTCAAAATTGATTTCGTCATCCAGGACCAGGAGGCAAAACGTCTGGGTAGTGGAAGGCCAGCTATCTGGCTTTTTGATCAAGATCGTCTGCTTTCTGGATCTGGGAATCTCTAAGAGACCGGTGGATGTAACTGGTGCCTCCAGCCTTGGTAGTATTCTGTGCAGAGCAGGCGCTTCGACTGTATAACGTTTCGAGAGTTCGCGACCCTCTGCAGCAGTCGACGTTAGCTGGCAAAGCTCGTCGAGGGTAAGCTTGCATTCACCATGGCTGAACTGTGCCCATTCGAAATCCAGTGTGTCACCGTTATTCGAGGCAAGCCTGAGGCGTAAAGGATGCCCCGCAAGAGCCATCTGAGCAGATGTGTGGCCATCAACAACCTTTAATGAGTCAAAGGCTCGATTGAAATACTCTTGTGCATGAGCATTACACACAGTCTCGAGTACACATTCGTCCGCTCTTCCTGCGATCCTTGCTAGTTCTTGCAATGCTCTAACACTGCAAACCACCTGAATCAGCTGTCGTGTCAGCTGCCAGCTTTCTGGATTCAGCTGGGACTGAACGTATATCAAAGTTCTCACTGATATCATCGAATCAAGAGATTGATCATTCAGCCTTGACATAGCCCCATTATTCTTAGCGATGGTAAAGCTGTCATCCTCCATGGTTTGCAATAGCCGCATGGCAGCGTCTTTGATATTGACGCTTGGACAGCATGATCGCAGATAAAACTGGAGCATCTGAGTATCCTCGGGTAATATCAGCTGTTTACGACTGGTTTCAACCAAATTGACATGCCGGATTGTTGCTTTTCCGACCCACTGTGGACTCCCTGGTTTCATTGTGGCCCATCGTAGCCACTGGCTGTAATCTTGTTCCCGTGCCGAAAAATTGAAAACAGCTTGTGCAGTATAGATCGTGCGAAGTAATTCCGTTGGCTGATGCGGGCAATCCTCGAAATCCTCAGTGGCAGTTCTCGAACGAAGATTTCCTGGCCGGACCAAGTGTCGCAACTCAACGTCTGCTGCGCTAAGTCTATCTTCCCAGACAGCATCGGATGTGTTGTCGGCAAGAGACGGTGCGAGGATTCTCAGATTCTCCGGGGTCCCGGCTAGAGACATGAGTATACTATCCCTGTAGACATCAATAGCCCAGCTGTGGATATAATCGACGATTAGGAGCAATTGAAGCGCTTCATTCTGTGAGAGCAGACTTCCACGCCATAGGCGAATGACTCGCTACATCCCCAGTCAGTGTTCACTCCAGCAAAGAGAGCTTTGTCGTAATACTAACTGTTCTGTGGCCCTCCGGTACAGCGCCATATAACCACCACATGTCACCCTTATATGCGAAGAACCATACTAGGCACAAGTGTTGAGATCCTGTTTCCGTTTTGATACGTTGTTGAAGTCTCAGGCATGTCCGTACTGGAAATGCGCTTTGTCGTTCGATTGCCCCAAACCCACCATCCGATTCCTCGGATTTAGCTTCAATGACAATGAAGGGAAAGACGACATATTCATCTTTGAAAGGATTGTATCGACTCTTCCTTGACGAGAGCAACTGCCCAAGAGTCTCTGTATATCTCAATCCAATCACCACGTCGGGCTCTTGATCCGTGATGGCTTTCTTGTCTGCTGTGGTGACATCTTCGTGGACAATCTTGTGACTAAGTCTTTTGGAGAACCAGTGATTTTCAGTGTTCGGGTAACTGTCATGAAGTTAGCAATTCATCTGCAGGGATATCTTTATGAGTACGTACGGATTCGAATTTGCACGGTCTTTGAAGCTGCAAGGACAAGATCTTCTTTTGGCACGTTTCTGTCGAAGTCTTTGGACCTCATTGAGATTGATAGGCCAGGCTTCAAAATCCGCCGTCCGAGTTAGAGTTGAATTGGGGCAAGACCGACTGGCAAAATCAAAATTGTAAGCCCAACCTTGTTCCTTCTGTTGCTTGAGTCCTTACCAAATAGTTGCAGAGGTAAAAGGAGCAAAAACACTGAATTCGACAGATTCCCTCCACTCCATTTCGTTGGCCACTTTCTGCCGACAATCCTGAGCTGAAATCATGAGCTTTTCAAGTCGTATGAGTGTTTTCATGGTGCACAAATCGTTTTCATTAGAAGCATTGACGTATTGCTCTTTCCGGATGTTGCTCATTTCCTCAATAACCTGGAAAGTGTTTGCATAATCGCTTGGCCACTGATCCGGAGACAACATCCCCTCAAAGCAGATGCCATACTGGTTAATTAGCCTTCGATAAGCAGCGTCCCGATACGTGCCCTTTCTGCCATTCGACATCACTACACAACAATTGTTACACCAAACAAAGAGCTGTAACTCATTGTCAGGAGTATCTGAAGGCCTTCCTGATTTTGCATTCAACTAGATGGAGGATGTTACCGCAGATCAGACTGAATATCCAGGAATCCAAGGACACCTTGTTGGCCAGCACTGCAGGCCCAAGGTCACTGTAACAGCACCTGAAACATGCTACTGCACGACAAATGTGATCTGTTCTATGACCTTTCCCATTTCTACTGAGAGGTAAAGAATATATCCCCTGGAAAGGATAAGGACAAGGCTCCGACCACATGCTTTGGACCTTTGACCCACTTTTGTTTGAAGGAGCCTCCGCTGAGAGATCGCAAATGCTTCTTATTTGATAAGTTAGCGCCGGCTGCCTAGCCTGAGGTGACATGCCTGTTGAAGCCGCAGGAGGAAACCAGGTTGCCGTGTGTGATAACCCCGCAACGGGCTTACTGGCGCCTTGAGATCCGGAACAGCCCGCTCATTCTGCGACGTGCCAAGTTTTAGTTCTGCCCCTAATTGTGCAGATATCTTTACCCAATCTGAATGTCTCTACCAGGTTTCCTCATCATCGTGCCTCTAGGGAAACAAACTCGACAGGCGAAACAGAGAATCCCCAGTCAAGAATTAATCTGATCCTGCTTCGGGAGCTATTGAACTTGCTATCCGACCTCTGATGAATGATTCTCTTTCAAATTTCATATCCAATATTCACACGAAAACTCAGAAAGATGCTTTCACAAAGTCTTCCAACACAGCTCGACCGGCCACAAATTGCCCTTGAAAGGAATGGGCTTCTGACGTCGGATTATACACAAGCGAAATGTGATGGCCAACAGCAGCATCATGATGAGCTGCAGGAGATTCGCATTCAGTCAGAGATCGAAGTCCCTAAGAGTGAGATTCGAAATTCGAAAGTTCCAAGGTTCATCATTGCCATTGACTTTGGGACTACCTTCTCCTCTGTGGCATATTTACGGATCGAGCCCGGCGTCCAGAGGCACCTAATTGAGCCCAGTTCCATTCAGTGTATCGATAACTATCCCGACGCTCCTCCATTTCGATTTAAGCAAGCCACAAGAGTTCCCTCAGAGCTTGTATATTGTACACAACCCACGAGCAATGCTGCAAACGACCAACCGCAGAACTCTCCAAATCCCATCTCAGATGATGAATCTGACAACTCCTTGGAAGAGGATTGGGCCTCCTCAGCCACTGAGGACTCTGATCCAGACCAAGACCTACCGCCACCTAAGCGAACCAAGTACTCAACCCGGAGCAACTCGGCCTGGGGCTTTGGATGCCACAACAACTTGAAATATGTTCAACCTGGCGCCGCCGCGTCCGGCCCTAGAATCCTGTCAAGATTCAAATTGCTCTTGGACGACGAGCCCAGCACACAGTCTGCCCGTGAGTGGATAAAGGTGGACGTGCGGGAATTAAAAGCTATGGATGTTATTCAAGAGCCTTCTGACCTCATTGCCGATTACCTCCAGCATTTGTTCACGCATGTGAAGACTCAACTGGAAAGTTATTGCGGATTTCGCGAGGGAATCCCCGTGGAATTTGTGATTTCGGTACCTACACGATGGTCTGCTCAAGCTTGTCGCAAGATGCACGCTGCGACAGCAAGGGCGATTGAGAGATCGCGGTTTTCGCAGCTTGAACAGCGAATAATCGAAGATCTGTTCATTGTTGCGGAATCTGAAGCAGCCGCTGTTCTTGTCCTCGATGAAGCTAAGAAGTTTCAAAAGTTCGAAACAGGCCATACATTTCTCATTGTCGACTGCGGAGGAGGTACTGTTGATGCAACAACCTACACAATCTCTCAGCAAAACCCATTGCGCCTAAGAGAGATGATGGAGGGGGAAGGTGCCTTATGTGGATCGAACTTTCTGAACGAAGAGTTCAAACGCTTGCTCTTGACGCGGCTACAAGGTGCTAGGATATTGGGTAACGAGCAATCACTTGATACAATCATCGAGTCCTTGACCAATATATTTGAAGTTGGGGATAAGAGAAGAGTTGATGTTACGAACAAGCGGGAAACTTTCGAACAAATGTTCATTCCAGGACTTCAAGCAGACAAAGAAAGACATTTCCGTCCAAGTTTAATGTCTTTCAGCAGAAAGGAAATGCTGCAAGTCTTCAAACCATGTCTTCGCGGTGTCGCACAACTTATACGAAAACAACTTCGAGGCGCGGAAGAACGAGGAATCAACATTAAGTCAGTCATCTTGGTTGGCGGGTTTGCGGATTCCCCGTCACTCCGGAGATATCTGCAAAAGATATTTCGATTGGAGCGAAACCTTGAAAGACAAGCTATCGACATCCTGTTTCCTGCGGTTGGCGACTCCGCGGTTGCGCGGGGATCGATATTGAGAGCACTAAGGAGAGAAGACGGCCCCATCAGAATCACCAGAACTAGTTACGGGATCCTGCACAGGGTTCTGTGTGACCGCAACAATCCGAAGTTTGGATGCGTCCGGGAAGAACGAAGTCAACTTGAAGGGGAGCTACACATCATGAACACAATCTCCTGGCTAATCTTAAAGGTTCGTAAGACATGTGTCAAAGGTGATCAACATCACGATCTAATATTATTGGTCCTCTAGGATGAAATCGTTCCTCCAATACATAGGATCTGCGTTCGGTCGCACCATACCTTCAAGCATTCCACTACAGAGCTCTTGTGTGAAGAACGACTCTATATGTCGGCTAAAAGACATGAATCAGGGCACGGATTTCGGCATCTGGAAAATCGAGGTGAGTCTGTACTGGTGAATGAATCAAACCACAAGCTTTTCTAACCTCGCTTTGTCACTAGGTGCCGAACTCGGAGGCAGAATCATTTCCGACCTGACATTTTTGAAGAACCAAAATCTGATTCAGCCAGTCGCCCGAACCAGCATAGGGGGAGAACCATCGTTGTTCTATGAAGTTGAATATGACTTATGGCTGATAATCGAAGGTCGGCATATGCGCTTCGAGGCTCGCTCCCCGCTGGATCCAGAACAAGTCGTCGTATCCGCTTCATTTTCAATAGCTGCCGATTTTGTTCCTGGTACGGAGTGATTGAATACTGCTGGAGTTCGTCTGAACTACACAGAGTCTGCCGCACTTCCAGTATAAGAGCATGAAGGCCAATTAAATATAGCTGCTCTTTCGACTATATAATCCGTTCTGGCCTTCGGGACAGCGTCAACCTCGAAATGGAAAACAAGCCCTACGTAGACGAACTGCAGGACCTTGAAGCAGAACTTTATGCGGAACGATATGAGTGGATTCGACTCTTCATGCGTGATTCGACTCCCGAGGCTTACTCTTCCCAGGCCAGTAAGGTTGAAGACTTTTGCTCCTCGGTGAGCCCAGATGCCCTCTTCGCAGAAAGTTGCGGAAAACTGCCTCTTGTTGCTTGGTTGGATGAAAGGGAATTCGTCGATAGTGATGTTACACGTGCAAGGCCCAATTGTGGACCCTTGACAGCGGCCCAGCTTTGCCGGGAATTACGCAAGCCGGTATGTTATTCTGATTGTTGGGTTCAAAACTCTGTTTGAACAGAGTGGACAGGGGCTGACCTACGTGTAGCGGTTCCAAGCGAGGAGAAACCCCACGCTCTGGATGTATACTGTAAGATCTCCGGATACTAATCCTGTGACCTATTTTCAACGGGAGAATCAAGGCTGACCACAGTCTGCTCTTCGTGCAGCCTTCGGCAACTCCTGGCTCAGAGCAAGAGGAACCTGATGTGCCCAATGCTGATAGACGATTGATGCGAGGAACACCGAAATCATTGACTCAGTAACAGCGCTTCATACTGACCGGTCACAGATTCATTACTGATTTGGATATATAGAGCATTTGTGCGCTGATCCTGTCAGCTTCACGCCAGCAAGCCATCGCCCTCCGCGACGCGCTTAACAAACATTTAACCTTCGAGACCTTTTTTAGAGTAAAGATTAATGTAAGCATGAGCGCTTCTAGCGCCTCGTCGATTTGGATTACCGAATACTCACAAGATTACGGTCTAGCCAACGGGACTCCGCACGTTTCAGCTGGCATTCCATCTGCCATACTACGTGTGGAGGAGTTCGCCCAGGCATGACGATTCCCGTCGATACCCTAACGGAAATCCCTTGCGGCAAACCCGGGATGTCTCTTTCCTAAGTTGGAACACTGCTGGGACTCCCATCTTCCTTTACGAGGCGCAAATCTCTTGCGTAGTGAATGGTATTGATAACTGGAGATGGGTGGCCCATTGCTTTGTCGACAACTACTTCGACGATGTCGAAGAAAGAGAAACGGTTGAAGACTATGAAATTACTCATGACTGTCAGGGTTTCTTCTCAGATCCTTTGACACGCGGTAATCTTGACTTGGACCTCACAATATGGAATCCCAGAAAATATTTTCTCCAGGTATTCCGTTTTCGTCTCGACCAGGTTCAACGTGAGTGGGAGCAAGTAGTTACGAGGCTCCAGGAAAGTGTCCGTGGGTATATGCACGTACGTCCCCTTTTCTTCTTGACGTCGATTGAAGTTACTTCACCCTTAAAGCCGATTCACGGCGGATATTGGTGCTGTGGAAAGACTGTTTCGCGCTCTGTTTATTGACACATATTGTACAGAATCATCGAGATTCATTGGCCTTGTCGACACGGTACACGGCTAGCGACACGTTTGGTGGCTGGTCGCTTACCGAGCTATTCCTGACATGCATCCTTGGGCGATCTTCTTCGAAGGCGTGGACAACCCTGCCGGAAAAGTTCGCAAATACCGTGACTGGGCCGTACGGATCAGGACGCTCTCGAGCGAACTATGGCAGGACCTATCTAAGACGCTCGATGCGTACGAGATATTTCGTCTGAAACATGTAGTCTATTTCCAGGATCTTCCTGATTCTCACCCACACCTTCTCGCCGTACATGAGATCTTCGACAAACTAGAAATGCTGAAGAAAACCCTTCAGTCATTGGTGGAGCGCTGCAACGGTTTGGCTCAGGACCTTCTGGCCTAACATTATTCGATATTGCCGACACAGCAGTGATTTGTGCAAGGATAATTTCGAAGCCACCTTGCGTGAAAGTTATCCGGGAACATGACTGCAAGATCAACGAGGTCGACCAGACATATATTGTGGCGTCGTGGCCGACGGACCCTGCGAGCCACACTCGCGACTCGCGATAATGCTTTATCTCGGCCCATAACCCGGATGCATCATCTGAGATGCCAGAGATATCTCCTATTGAATTATACACAGCCACCTCGCTTGACAGAATTCGCAAGTTTTTGGAAGCGATCATCCACACAGACAGATAGCAAACAATCATCCACCCAGGCCAAAACCTGTCGGAAACCGGAAATGCAATGTGTCCAATATTGGAGTACAGTTGACCGACTCTGTTCTCTTCTCTTCTTTGCCTGTGTCGTCTATCGAGGTGACACTATTTATAGTGAAGGGTTAGGCTCACGGTCCCTGCCATGAACAGAGGCACTAACAATGATTGAAAAAGTCGTGCGAACTAGCTAATATTTTCTGCATGCCTACCGATAAAGACTCCATGTATGCAGAACGCAAGAGGTTCGTACCCGTCCAGCTATATACCCCAGAGCCGAGCCACCCACCCCACCGACCTAGTTGCCTTGGGATTTGTGAATGTTCCTTCGCGCTTTGTGTTCCACTAATGACACCTATTTAAGGTCATAACCTTTAGACAACCTAGTTCAGCTCAGTCCCAGGTTCAATAGGTTTGCTGACCGGATCGCCATTTACATCGGCGTCCGCAATCGGCTTCCAGCCGTTCTTCTCCTCTTCATTAAAGACTTCCGCCGCGGTTTTCTTTCTCTTCGGCATTAGGAAACAGCGAGTAGGACAGGAAGCGTCGGAGGAAAGACGAGCGCCGAGAGAAAAGGAAAAGAAGACGACTAGGGAGGGAGGGTTAAAGTACGACGAAACGCTAGTAAGGTACGTTTTGGTAGTCAGAAGACTAAATAAAAGGAGTGATTTATACGATAAGTAGAGGGAGGGCAGGGGAAAATGTAATAACCGAGAGAGGGAGAGGGAAAGGAAGAAAGGACAGTAAAAGGAAAAGAGGGAGAGAAGCATTCTCCTACAGAACTGGGGGATTTAGTTGACCCTGTCCAGCGACGTAGTAGGGCATCCCTTAGAGATCCCACCTTTCATCAGGGCCGAAACGGGCCCTTATCGATGTGATCGGGTAAAGTTACCACGAGGCTGAATATACGTAACGTTAGCGCCTATAGGACTGGAGTCTAAACGGGAGCCTCCCTAGTAGGGGAAGGAGCACAGTAGGAGCGGGCCAGAGCCGTGAGGGAGCAGAAGGGAGTGGAAGGTGGAGCGCGAAAGAGAGGAAGGGAGCAGAAGAGAGCAGACGAGGGAGCGAATGGACTACTAAATAGTCGTTAGCGGGAGACCCCCAGGAGAGCAAAGCGGCGGGGGATGAGTCAGCCGAATGGGTGCGAGGGACGAATGTTCGGGGATATTATACTGTATATAATCCTGTTGAGCGAAGCGAAAACAGTATTACAGGGCAACTTCGTCAAAGAAGCCGCGGATTTGATTGGTGCGGAAGAATATTGAGATCCTATTGGCTGTTTTTTGTAACGTCACGTGCCAGTTGGCCTTTGACCAATAAGGTGAGAATACGGACAGCGATTTTCACAGCGTCTCTATCACTATCACTACCACTGCCACTAGCACTACCACTAGCACTAGCACTACCACTACCACTACCACCACTACTACTAGTGTCTCGTGCGTAGTATCAGTGCGTAGTGTGTAGTGCCAATACGCAGTGCGTAGTCCCAGTGCGTAGTCCCAGTGCGCAGTCCCAGTGCCAATGCCCAGTACCCAGTGCCCCGTACTAGTACGCAGTGCGTAGTCCCAGTGCGTAGTCCCAGTGCGTAGTCCCAGTGCGTAGTCCCAGTGCCAATACCCAGTACGCAGTGCCCCGTACCAGTACGCAGTGCGTAGTACTAGTGCCCGTCTTTTTTCACCTTCAGTCTTTTCGCTACGCTTAGCAGGTCGCCTTAGGGAGTCACGCGGTGAAAACGCCGCCCTACAGCCGAATAGTCGACGCCCAGTGTCATTTCGCAGACTCATCCCTCGCCGCTTTGCTCTCCCGCTAACGACTATTTAGTCGAATCGCTCCCTCGTCTACTCTCTTCCACTCCCTTCCTCTCTTTCGTTCTCCTCCTCCACTCCCTTCTGCTCCCTCACGGCTCTGGCCCGCTCCCGCCGTACTCCCTTACGTGCCGGTGAGGCGCGCCCGTTCGGGCTCCAGTCTCACAGGCGCCAACGTCGCGCATATCCCAGCCTCGTGGTAACTTTACCCGATCATATCAATAAGGGCCTGTTTCGGCCCTAATAAAAGGTGGGATCCCTAAGGGAATGAATGCCCTGCTATATTCGCTAGACCGGGGCTCTTCATTTAGACCGAATAAGTTCTTAGTTTTGGCAGCGCCATCGAACGACGCCCTTATCGTGTCCTTGGAAATACAGTCTGTTGGATGACCGTTGTGATTTTAAATCTCCTGCGTTGGGTAGCTCGCGAATTCTGCGGAATTGGACGAGGCTTGCTGGAAATGAACCAAAATTGAGTCTACTCCTCCTTGTCCCGTCGACTTTAATCACGATGGGCTAGAAAAGCAATACGAGGATGCACGAATGCCCAATAAATTTCGTGACCATTCTTGAAGCTAGCTAGCGACACATCTGCCACATTTCCTCTGAGGTATCGGTTAACTTGTTTAACGGATAGATGGGAGAACGGCCTTAGGAAAGTGATCAGGGAGGTTATGGAGTCCCTTGCAAATCAGAGGAAAAGTGAAGAGCTTCAGCAAAGACTTTGTTCATGGAATTTGACTGACTGAATACCGATGTCTCCAGATGTTCTCCAATCATGTGAACACCAAGTCTCATCTCTTCTTTGGCTTCGTGAATGTCGCTTGTTTTGATGTTGCGTAACAGAAGTTTGTGGTGTCATGTCCTGGGGATCAAGGAGGCTCAGCTCTTCATCACCTCTAGGTTCTAAGTCCGAGAGGTGGTGGCTTTCCAGACCCTGTGAAAGTCCTGGTGATGAAGGGAATTGTAGATCCGATTCCTCCGAGACTTCAAAATGTATATCTGCTGGTATTGCATCGATTGCAGAGCAAAGCCTTTTGAAGTGAGCAGGCATCCAGGTATCATAGACACTCTTGGTAAACTTGTATGCCGTCTATTTCTCCTTCCCATCCAATTCAGTAAAGCTGAAGTCACGGATCGCATGACGGTAGAACGTAGTCTTTTTGCCCTCAATCACGGGATAATGACCATAAATCCTCGCCGATCGGTTGTCGTGTGAGATGGAAAAGGCGAGGATCTTCCGATGAAGCTCTTTCTCGCGCTTCACGAGCCTGAACAGTTCCACGACTCCTCGAACCGCGAGAGTCATACTGTGCGCGTTCTGTCGATCCGCCACATCGAGTGCGGCCGCACCGCACTTCACTTCGCTCGAGAAGAAGGGGAGGTACATATACCATGTACCCATGAAAAAGGAGTTGTCCGTAAGGTCGCCGACAAATGGTTGAAGTTTCTTGAGTTGGTCTTCCGTAAATGCAGAGCGTTTGAACCCCACAGAGTAGTCTGGTTGAGGTCGTGTTTTAGTAACAGGAATAGAATTATTCCAACCCTCGTTGACGCTTTCAGTGAGACACCTTAAATGCTTCGCCCCTTGAACCGCTAGTGATTGCGCGGAAGGGACAATGAGTCTTGCGATGTCCTGAATGACCTTTGCTTCATTTCTGTCCTGTATCATACCGCAGGTGTCCTCGAAGAAATCATCATGAAATAAGGAATACTCGGGAACTACCTGCTCGGCTTCAAGCAAGGACTTGTACTTTTTCTTACTTTCTGCTGTGGGACCCTCTTCATTCCGGCCAACATACTTGCCCATAAAGCTCCCTTTTGCCTCGAGAAGCGACCTGTAGCGCGGGTCTTGATAAGGTGCACTCTTCTCCTCCCTAGGCTTCTGGTCACTCGGCGTAGTTGAGCTGGGTGCACCGGACTCGCTATCCGATCGCTTTCGGCGAAGAGAGGCGGCGGATTTCTTTCTCGCTAATAAATGACTAATTTCACCAATTTCGTTAAAGTATCCTCGCGGCCAGCGGTATGTCTACGTCCAATACGTAATTGAATCAACGTCTTGAGCAGAGGGTCTGGGAGATGTTCGCTGTCGTTTTGGATAGGGCGGGTTCAGTTGCTGTTCGGTTTCTCGTTTTCGCTTGGAAGGCCTCGACGGTAGAAGGGTAGATGGTGGGTGCGCACGCTTTCTTGGTCAGTCTTTCATCACAGAACAACGGTGGCGGTCTTACATTTGGACTTTTAATGTCGCTGACTGGAGATAGTAGAGGCTGCTGGCTGGTTTTTGGATGAGTCTCAACAACCTCGATTAAACGGTCCAAACGGGTGCTCCGTCGAACAGGATTTCGCTTTTCTGCCTTCCTGATACCTTGAGGACGATTCCCTATGCTAGTCAGTCCAGTACTGAAGATGGAAGCGGATAAATGACCTTCATGGGGCAGCTTCAGCTTCAGCTTCAGGGACTGCCTTGAGGTCTTCCGAGCGGTTGCACTGTCTCGACGTGCCATGGTTGCTCTAGATGAGGGAGAAAGGAATGGGCGGCTTCATGTAGTTGCAGGCGAAGTGCCGTCGCGGTTGTCCTGAAGCGCCCAGACTAGGTGACATGTGACATCACATGAAAAGTAGACGGGTCACAGCGCTTCTTACAGTAGCAAACTCGAAACTTATGTGGGGGAGCGGCCCAGGTAACAATAGTCGAGCCAGATGTCCGGAAGGATGGCCCTTCCGAAGACGTTGAAACACCAAAAATCGGGGAACTCTACGGGGGTTAAGCTGAGGGAATCCTATATACGCTAGGCAACTATAGTTAGGGCCTAAAGGCGAACAACTGTTAAGCCCGAATTGGCACCTAAGAACGGGCATCTGACGAGCGCCTCCCGGTGGCTCACCCAGTGCTCGGGCGTTCTCCCCTGGGCTCTCCCGTGGTCAGCCGGGCCTCCAGGATGCTCCGTCACGTGCTCAATTAAAGCGCCCTCGCTCCGTTTCCTAAATGAAAATGGTGATGGGTGAAGTACAGTTCGAGGCATATATAATGTATATATATATATATATATTAGTAAATAACGTGTGTAAATGTCTGGTAGCTGGCTGTGCACGAACAAGATTGTTTCACTCCAGGTTGTGGTGAAAGGAACTGGTATTGAGCGGCCGTGTAATCGCAGCACGGAAAAAGTGGCTGGAGGCTGCGTGCATTTTGTATAGTCATGTTTCTTCCCTTTTCCTCGTCGCAGCAGACGATCAACCCCATCGAGGTTGAGAGTCCATTTCATTTGTCCACTCCAGGGTTGGGTACGAGACATGGCTCGTCCATGCGCTCGAGCACAGCACGGCCCACTCCAGTCTCGACAACGACGATCATGTCCCCGGGATTGATTGAAGATGAGAGTGCGACCTTCCCCGGGCGCCTCGCCTGAGAAAAAGGACCTCTTCAGTGATTGTTCCAGGGCATGCCACGTGCCACGACGCCGAGCGAGCGAGCCCAGCAAGTGTGGATGGCTGTGGTGTCCCGAATGCGATGCACACGGCGACGGGTAGGCAGATGGGGGTTATGCCCAACGGGACTGGGCCAACTCAGGCCCTTTCGAGCTGCAACGCCCATCAGATGGGAAAACAGCACATGCTGGACACACGTCTAGCACCTGTCCGGGGTTCATCTTCGGTCGGCCTCCATGGAGACCAAGCATTACAAGTCTCTTCCGGCACGGTATGCGGGGGCTGGGTGTTCCACTTCGATGATCAAGGAGACACAAATGTACCTGTCCGGAACGGCTAGGAGATGGTGTGATCAAATATCGCTCAGGTTGACATGGGAGGTTGAGTCAAGTCAACACCAGGACACGCTGTCGGCAGCTCCATTTCCTTCCCTGAACGGAGAATGAGGACGCATGGCCCTGATTGGTAAGATGCATGTGTGTGGGCGAGCACCAGCCCGAGCTCCTCCTCCTCTCGCATGGCGGGGCTTCTAGAAGCATGGAACAAACAGCGCAAGGGTGAGTGGGTTGGCGGAACGGGCGCTATGACGGACCATACAAGCCCCGTAGAGGAGTCTTGGATGTAGGATTGGAAGAGACAGACACACAGGCTGGCTGGAGGGCTGGAGGGCTGGCTGACTGACTGACTGACTGACTTCCCTGCATTCCGCCTGCTCATGTCCTCTCGCATGCGTCAAGATGTGGAGAGCTTGGAGACACAGAGAGAGAGAGAGGGAGAAAGGAGAGGTGGTGAATCAGTAATTGGTAGGTTACCTTGCATGTATGGAAGCTTCTGTGGAGACTCGTGGCGAGTCAAATGGGCCGTATGGGAGAGGGAGTGTACTACTACTCCCAAGAATGAGAGGATGGATGGGAAGGCAGAGACAAAACAGACAGACCTTCGTGGTGCACGGCAGAAGGACGTATCCACCACCTCGTATCGGGCGAGAGTTTGTCTGTCTACTCTGCCTGTTGCAATACGCAGCACCGTTTCGCATCTCCACCACGCTTTATCTATCCGTGCTCCGACTTGTTAGCGGCATGCACGGAAGCCCTTTGGAAGCCAGCCCCTTCGCTCGCCCTGGAGTCCGCGCCCCATTTGGTGTTCCGCTATCGGCACCCGTCCCCAGAGAGGCCTAAGAAGAGACGTGAGCTGGTTCGTGGTTCTGGAGAGTGTGGTGGGAATGGGAAGGGAGGGAGGGAGGGAGGGGTATCGTGAGCGAGTGAGTGACCAAAACTCAGTAAGTAGTAACATCTCGTAAAGACCTACCTTGTTCCTCACTAGCTCCACGACCGTTGGGAAGTTACAGGAGGCAAATCACCCCTGGTAATAACAATAAGGAGTCCGACCCCAACATACTGGGCGCCAAGGTTCGGATGGGCATTGGCTGCCGCCTGGAAATGGTGTCGCGGGGTGGCTTGTGGCTGGAGTGACGGTCAGAGATACATAGGTACATAGACTCATCGCGGAGTACTGGGGCATACACCGTCAGATAGAGGATGGAAGCGGGTCGGAATGAAGATAGGATAGGTATACTCGGTACACGGCACAGCAGAGAACTGTACGACCATCATCGGTCACGGCTTCCTACAGGAGGGGCGGCGTACACCATGTGATGCTAAGATACTCAGGTGGATGAAGAGAGAAGATGGAAAGCCATGGGCACCTGTTTGTGTTTGGAGGCCTGATTACCATTGGACTGAGCTGTAGCCTTCGTAGACCATCCCTCAAGGGGGTCCTCGTCTTCTGTGTCGTAGCAATTCAGACGACAGCGACGAGATAATGATACATGACTTGAGTTGCACGGTACAAATGCTCAAACCAATGTAAGCAAGACGTGGGCACCACATTGAGTCGCACAGGTGGTCAGCACAATGTCCAAGAAATGCAATAATGTTAAAACATTCGTTCTTGTGGATGGTGGTGATATGATGGTCATTTCACTCCTACTACCGCTTACTGCCTTGGTAAGGCCACCGCCAGGTCTGTCGGTCCTGTCTTACTATTGAATAAAAGTATCAATTTCAACAGGTATTTCTCCTCACCCTGCTACGCCTCACACTCGCATCTCGAGAGAGCCATGAGACCGGTTGGAAAGGACCATCCGCACAAACAATCGCTCCCGAGATGCCGGAGATGCCGGCTCATCCGTCCATCTAGAAGACAGAGCCCTTCCTCTCGACATCCGCGACGATCTCCTTGTTCAGGACACCACCCTCGTTGCCCATCTGCTCAGCGAAAGTCTTGGTAGGCTTCCACTTGCTCGAGGTGCGAGGGGTCGACTCTTCCATCATCTTATCAACTTGTTCCAGTGTCAAACCCTTGGTCTCGGGAACGAGGAGGTACGCGTAAAGGAAGGCGCAGGTGCACAAGCCACCCCAGATGAAGAAGACGGAGGATCGCAGGTTTCCTTTGTCCTTGTTGACCATGTAGGGGGTAATAACGGCAATGATCTGCAACAGAGAAGAGGAGAGGTCAGTTTAAACTGATGCCAGCAACAAAGCACCGCGGCGCGGGAGGCTACTTACAGTGTTCCAGAGCCAGTTAGAGGCGGTCGAAAGACCCACACCTCGGGATCGGATCGGGAGAGGGAAGATCTCTCCGATCAGAATCCAGGCGCCAGGGCCCCAAGTCGAGGCGAAGAAGAAGATGAAGATGGCAATGAACGCAATCTGGGCATTGACGGCCGAGATGTTGTTGGCAACGCTGTCGCCGTTGGCGTCGGTGTGGGTGTGGTTAAAGCCGACCGTGACACCGATGATACCCACGAGGAACTGGCAGATGAGCATGCCCAGGGCGCCGTAGACGAGCAGAGGCCGACGGCCGAATTTCTCCACGGTGTAGAAAGAGATCGGGGTGGAGCAGACGTTGACCAACGTGAAGATCAGGGAGATCAAGAAGGTGTTGCTAATGGCATGGGTAGATTGGAGGAAAGGCGTGGAGTAGTAGAAGATGAAGTTGACACCAGTCCTGCAGGTGAGAAAGAAATGCGTTAGCTGACTGCCGACAGGGGAGGACAACCTGAATTCGGTTGCTGGGGGGGAATTGCTCACCATTGCTGCATCATCTGCAACGAGGTGCCGAGAATGGTACGGCGGAGATTGGACTTTTGGTTGCGGAGACCGCCCTTGAAGCAGTTGTGCCAGCTGGAGAACCAGCCGGTGGATGGAATCATCTCACGCTCGTACTCGTCGTTGGCGATGATCTCGGCAATCTCGACTTGGATGTACTCAGAATCGGTAGGCTGACCACGGAGGCGGGAGAGTGACTGCATGGCCTTCTCGATCCGACCTCTCTTGACAAAGTATCGGGGTGAATCCGGGAGGAACATCAGACCGCCGCCGAGAATCAAACCCCAGGCAAATTGGATACCGATAGGGATACGGTAAGAGCCTGTGTCACTACGGTGTTCTGTGGCATAATCGACACAGGAGGCGAGAAGCAGGCCGATGGTGATGCAGAATTGGTATCCAGCCACGAGAGCACCGCGAACCTTTCGGGGGCACTGCAAACACGCGACAATTAGCCGAGGAAGAACGTATACAGCTCATGCGGTTTGCACTTACGATTTCGCTCATGTACAGGATCACGGTAGCGCTTTCGAAGCCAACACCGAAACCGGCAATCAGACGACCTGCGACGATGACGCCGAGACCGTGGCCGGGCCCAGTGATCATCTGAATAATGACACCGATAATGTAGATGAGGCAGCCCATGATGACAGTCCATTTGCGACCAATGAAGTCGGCGACGTCACCGGCGATGATAGCGCCAAAGAAGGTACCGCAGGAGAGGATAGAGACGATCAGAGACTGGTGGGAGGACGAGAGAGCCGTGGCATCGGGACCTTGGACGATGTGGATGAACTCCTTGACGCCGTTGACACCGTTGATGTATCCGGAGTCATACCCGAAGAAGATACCGCCAAAGGACGCAAAGGCACAGATGAGGTAGGCCTTCCAGGTCACTGGAGCCTCGACGCGGTTCACGTCATTGGTGGTAGAGAGGGCACGAATCTCGCCCGGCATGTTGGAGGACTCTTTGGGAGGGCTTGAAACAAGAGAAGGAGCAAAGAGATGCTTGACGAGAAGTCAAGAAGGAGACAAGAAGGACAAGCTTCTCAGACGAGGAGACAGCGACTCTTTAAAGAAAGCTTTGGGCAGAGGCAAAAACCGCCCAGGGAAGTCACAAATGCAATGGAACTCTGGAGCTTTCACTGACCATTGTGGCTTGTTACTGGTCACACGCCTAGGTAGGGTGGGGAGAAGTGCCGCCTGCTGCAGGTGATTGATACCAGGAATTCCTAATTTGAATGGGCCATGACCCATGGGGGAGGGCGGTCGAGACTGGCACGCTGAGCGGACGTTGTTGTTCACACGGTGGCAGCCCCTCCTCCATCGACATGGAGATTTCCTGGGAAAGAATCTCCAGATGGAATTTGAGTGGCCGGGCAATCGAGGCAACCCACCTGCACCATGACAAGGGGAAATGTGGGTTAGTAGCGTGCCAGCGTGCCATCGCCAGAATTTTAGTTGCCCCCGTGATATATGTGTTTTGGTGAAGAGGCCGCATTCCATTGGAAGGACTGGGTCACCCTGAAAAACGCGGAGTTACGGAGTTGGTCCAGGTTTGTTTGCCCGCCTCGCCGCCAGCCCCGCGCAGAAGCCAACGAGGCTCTCCAAGCCGAGCTCGTAGTTGGTGATCCACGGGCTTGCCGCTGGCCTCCACTCGCATCCCAGTTGCAACCAGAGAGTGATGTTCGGCGTCCTGCCCCAAAGGGGACTAAAGGCCTCCGGGGTGGCTGAAAGATGGCCTTCTTTGAGACACCATCCGACGTCAGTGGCCCCAGCTCAATAGAAACTTTCAATATTGGCATCTTGACGTGCTTGTTTCCCTGGTCCGGTCATACTGGTCGTGGACAGTCCGTTGATTTCTTGCTCAGTGCTTGGCTCCCCAATTGAAGGAAACGAGATCCCAAACCCAGCTCTTTTGACAGAGCACCCCCTCATCCCCGTGGGGCAAAATGCTGCAACCAACACTGGCTGCTGACCCATGGGTGTTCGTTTAGCGCGCTGTAACGTTGGCCAGGGGAGGTCAAGGTCCGGGGATCGAAAAAAGCTTAGGCTGTTCGCAAAAAAATCTCGTGAACTAACCTCGTCCAAGGGCGGTGGTTCCGAGATTAGATTTGCGGAACTCGCTAAGCGGCGAGAAAATGTCTGATCTTTGTTCCCATGAAGTATTATTACATATGGCATGACAATAAAGAGACTTTTACAGGCCTGCAATTGACGTTGGGAAACGTGAGACCGTTGCCCCGAAGAGGGGAGGAATCTACAACCAAGAACAGAACCAATCAATGCAGAGAAGCCAATGCAGGAATCGGTCGATGGAGAGCATGATGGACGGTGATGATTGAGGTGAGGAGTTGTCAGTGATGTGAGTGATGACGACAAAGAAAGTGAGAGGAAGGAAGGAGGGGGGCAAAGAGCTAGAGCAGCTGAGCAGAGCCACTGACGGGCCACGCCCAGGACAATTTCCTCGGGTTGAGCCACTGCTAAATCGGTGAGTATTGACTTTTGCAAGCAGCTGATCGCGAGCAAAAGTTGGTGATCACCGTCCTAGGCATGCGACGAGCAAAAACCCTAGTACAAAGGCCCATTGGGGATGGGCGTTTGACCATCGATTACGGCATCTGGAGGCGCCGGGGCACTGTCCTAACCGTACTTCGCATACGCCGAGGTACCTACTTAGGCATTACGTGCAGGCTCCTAGGCGCTCTCAGTGCCTGGCTGCGCGGTCGTTGCAGCGCTGAAATTATTCGGCACTGGCAAAAACTTTTCCAGCGCCAGCCATCACCCCGTCATCATTTCAACTCAAACTCCGTCTGGAGTGTCATTCTGGATGGCAAGATGCCACAATTATGAGACAATGCAATTTTTTCCTCTTGTGGTTCCAGCTCCACTTGAGTCGGTGGTATGATGGGTTACTCCCTCCTGAATCCTTCTAGAATCATGTTCCTCTTGCATCCCATTGTCTTGTATCGAGCAAATTCGCATCTCGACTCCACTCCTACCACGTAACAGAGGTTAGCACGACCCGCCTCGCCGCCTCTGGATCTCACTAACGCACCCAGTATAGCGAAGATTTGCCGATGCTACCTCACCATGACCGTTGTGCCATTGTCGCCTCTTCCTACTACTCCAGCACATGGACTCCGCGTGGTCTTTCCCACACCCCGGTGCCCAACAAAATGGCCATATTGTAGCAGCAGCAGTCTGCAACCCTCTCAGCTGCCATCTGTGCTGTCTCCCATTGCTCCGCTGGTAAAGCCTTGCCCCCATGGGGTTGTTGGTTCGCTGACGCCGCGCTGTGCGTGGCAGCAGGATCGTGTTTGGGGATCTCAACGCTTCCACGCGTAGGATCTCGACCCGACGTGGCCGTTGATATCGTCAAAGCGCGTCGTCCCGACCTGAGTCTAGACGAGATGTTGCATGATCGGGCTGTTGTGCTTACCAGTTCAAAGTGAAGAGGAGGAGGGGCTGCCCAAGGACCGGAGCCTTGTGATGCCGAAGTTGATACGAGCGTGGCGTCAGCCTCTGCAGCGAAGTTCCGGTTATGAGTCAAACGTGACCAGGTCAACCTTGGACACAGTTTGGTGTGCGCTTGACCACCTTGGAGGCGGACTCTGGCATGTGCACACAATGGGCATGCTCCCACAAAAGGGAGGAGCCGGGTTCATGAGAATGCCCGCCTTCTCATCTACGATGACCGATGGACCCGTTGAAGGCATATGGGTCCAATTTATGCTTCCTCCCTGGCGACGGAGAGAAGCTCCAGATCGGCAAGGCTCTCGAGTCTAGATCAATGTAACATGTGTCTAGACGCCGCCGGCCTAAGAATGGTCGAATCGGGGCGGGTAGATAGACAGGAACGGTCTGTCTCCCCTGCTTAGTTAGTCTCAGAACTCCATAGGGAGACTCTCCTCCCTGAGATGAGTAGCCCAAATCAATGCGAGGGACCAGGATATTGCACATTTATCCCGCTGAATCATATATCGGACTCCTGGTAGCAGTGTCCGAAACACATTGGCTGCTCCGAGACGTCTATACTATTCATGTACGTTTATGGCTATCTATGAAACTGCCTTCTAAGACCAAACAGAAGGTTCCAAAGCAAATCTTCCTCGAGTACTATGGTCACCGTCGCAAACTTGGTGAGTGCGTCTATTGCTAAATACTCCGCTGTAGTCGTGAAAAGCGGCTTATATGCTCGTCCGAATCAATTTACGCGCTCCACGCGCGACGCGTCCCTTGGGAACGCGATTCCTCTTCTCTCAACCCCATGTCCCACCCTTTAATTCTCCCCTGCGCAGAACCTCCCTCAACACCCGCCCACAGACAAGTCGTGCACAATGGCGCTCAGTACAACTCAGCTTCGTGATGAAGCGGTCCGCGACAGAATCAGGCTTGCGACAGAATTCCTCGACCCTACCGACGATGAAGCCCGATCCTATCGCGCCGACATTGTGTTAATGCTGAATCGTGGTCTGAGACGACTTGTGGTTAGCATTGATGACATTCGAGCCCATTCTCGAGAACTCGCGGACGGCATCCTGCATAAACCATTTGACTACTCTCTTGCCTTCGATGCGGCGCTGAAAAACGTTATTGGTACCATACCCAACCGTGCCCCTTTCGAGCAAGATGAAGACCGATTATATTACGTGGCATATTCGGGCTCATTTGGGGAGAACACCTGCAATCCGAGGACATTGGGAAGTTCGCTCCTTAACAGAATGGTCTGTCTGGAAGGCATTGTTACAAAATGCAGCCTGGTCAGACCAAAGGTTGTCAAAAGCGTGCATTGGAATGAGAAAAAGGGCACTTTCATGTTCAGAGAATACCGAGACCAGACTATGAGCGCCAATGCTCCTGCAAGCCTGAGTGTCTATCCACAAGAAGATGGAGAGGGCAATCCTGTATGTTGAGGCCTGACCGCCTGTTCCTGAAAGTGATGCTAACTATCGACAGCTGGTCACAGAGTACGGTTATTGTACGTATCGTGATCATCAAACAATCAGCATCCAAGAGATGCCCGAGCGAGCGCCGGCCGGACAACTCCCCCGAAGCGTTGATGTTCTTCTGGACGATGACATGGTTGATCGAGTCAAACCTGGGGATCGCATCCAGCTGGTGGGCATCTTCAGGTCACTGGGAAATAGAAATGCTGGATCAGGGTCTTCGATCTTTCGAACCCTTATCTTAGCCAACAACATCGTCCTCCTGTCCTCAAAAGCGGGCGGAGGAATCGCTCAAGCCACGATCACCGATCAGGATGTGAGAAACATCAACAAAATGGCACGTAAGAACAACGTGTTCGACTTGCTGTCACAGAGCTTGGCGCCCAGTATCTATGGTCACGACTACATCAAAAGGGCAATCCTGCTCATGCTCTTGGGCGGAATGGAGAAGAACTTGCCAAATGGCACCCACTTGAGAGGCGACATCAACATCCTCATGGTGGGAGACCCTTCAACTGCCAAATCTCAGCTTTTGCGCTTCGTGCTCAACACCGCACCATTAGCAATCGCGACTACCGGCCGCGGCTCCTCCGGAGTCGGTCTCACTGCTGCCGTCACCTCTGACAAGGAGACTGGGGAGAGGAGACTCGAAGCTGGTGCCATGGTTTTGGGAGACCGCGGTGTAGTGTGTATCGATGAGTTCGACAAAATGAGCGACGTCGACCGTGTAGCCATCCACGAGGTTATGGAACAACAAACCGTCACCATTGCCAAAGCCGGAATTCATACCTCATTAAACGCTAGATGCAGCGTCATTGCAGCCGCGAACCCTATTTTTGGTCAATATGACAGCAACAAGGATCCTCATAAGAACATCGCCCTCCCCGATTCACTCTTGTCCCGTTTTGATCTGCTCTTTATCGTTACCGACGATATCAACGATACTAGAGATCGGGAAGTCAGCGAGCATGTCCTTCGAATGCACCAGTATCGTCAACCTGGGACTGAAGAAGGAGCTCCGATCCGAGAACAGTCCAACCAAATGCTTGGAGTTGGCGTCCAAGAAGACCAGAATGCCAACCAAACATCGCAGGTGCACGAGAAATTCAACGTGGTGCTGCATTCCGGATTCATGGTTGGTCGAAGGACAAGAGGAAACAAACGAGTTCAGCCCGTGAGCATGGCCTTCATCAAGAAATATATTCAGTATGCCAAGAGCAGATGCAAGCCTGTTCTGACAGAGGAGGCCAGCGAATATGTCGTCAACGCCTACGCCAACCTTCGGAACGATGAACTACAAGCAAACAAGCGCAGAACCAGTCCCATGACCGCAAGAACACTGGAGACGCTGATCCGCTTGTCGACTGCCCACGCGAAAGCTCGCCTGTCGAGCAGGGTCGAGGAGAGCGATGCCATTGCAGCGGAAGAGATTCTTAAATTTGCCCTTTTCAGAGAAATTGCGGTCAAAGAAGGGGGACGAAACAAGAGACGCAAGACTCGTGATGGGAATGGTGATGATTCTTCGCAAGCAGATAGCGAGTCTGGCAGTGACGACGACGATGACGATGACGATACCGCATACCGTGGGGCAAAGTCAAGTGGTACCCGTGGGACAGCGGCACAGACGAGGAGTCAACGCTCAACTCGCACCAATGCCGCGACGAATGGCAAGCTGAATGGAGGAGCAAGTGGCAATGCCAATGTTGACAGCGACGATTCCGCAGAATCAGATGTGCGGGCCAGCTCCTCTCGAACTCAACGACAGACAGGTGCAGAGTCGCAAATGTCCCGCATGAGCATTGCCAGCTCCATGCCCAGTTCACAGCTACCATCCACTCAAGCCGACTCACAATCTCAAAGTGTGGGGACAGCACCGTCCGGGAGTCGACAACAGGATTCAGGGCCAACTATTTCACAGCCACGTCTCGCATCATTCCGTGCTGCTTTGGGTCCCCTGATCCAGACGTCGTTGTTCCAGAACGACATGGCCACAGTCGCGGATGTCACGGCTGCGGTCAATCATCGGGTGTCTGAGAGCAATGGAGAGGAATTCTCCCAGGAGGAGATTACTGCTGCGCTTAAGACAATGAACGAAGCGAACCAAATCATGTTCTTGGAAGACAGCGGGGAGGTTTACACTCTGTAGGGTAAGATTGGTTTGGAATTATTGTATGTCGAGCAAGGGATGGTCAGATGTGCGAACGCCAGGCGCTTAGTGAAATAGTATTGATGTCCAATTACAATGATCAGTGAAACGACTTGACTTGCAGCTTTTCTCACAGTCCTGTACAAGAACGGACAGTTTATCTTGTAGAGAGAGGAACGACTCTAGGTGATCTGGTTTATGAGGGAGAATAAGATACCTCTGATATCAATGTGATTGTGGAGTTAGAACGTCAACAAGAGTGGCCTCGAAGCTCTCGTTGAGGTAACACGAGAGATCAAACCCGTAGGGCGAGGGCGGTCAACTGAGGCAGTCAGTATCGACGTCAACAACAAGTGGGCATCCGATGACCACAGACAGGCCGTGCAATGGGACCCTCAACGAGGCCGAGGTGAGACGGGTGGTCAATCTACGGTGGACAGGCGACGATAGGAATGAAGAATGCAGTAACCAAGCAACACGCAACGGGTTGAGAGAAGTGAGAGCTAGCTTCAACGATGATGAACAAGTCTGTTGTTTGTCACTTGTTGATTTTTGTGGAATGCCTTTTGTACATACCCATATTACTTCAATACTTGATTGATGGTGGATATGTTGCGCTCTGGACCAATAAAATCTTGCCGGCATGGCACGCACTAGTCTGTTTCCGGGGACGCGTCTTGACCTTCATTCAACCTCACAACAGCAAAACGCTCAACGCCTGTCCCAACGTTTAACAGCGGCATTCTTTGTTCTTTTCGAGTTTCATCGACAAGCCTCAATGGGCCTTCACTCGTCGTCGTCGTCGACGTCCCCCTCGTCCTCCTCCTTGTTCTCCTCCTGGTTCTCCTGTTTCTCCCCCTGGTTCTCCTCCTCCTTCCCTTCAAGACCGGCCAGCTTACTTTTCAGTTCCTTGAGGAACCTTTGCGATTCGCGCGTCCACATGCCCCAAATATGCAGGTTTGCCCTGGCCCGGTAGGCCTCCGCAGACTCCCCTTGACGAGCCGGGTTCTGGCTGCGCCAGAGTAGCCCCAGCATCTGTACTGGGTTGTTGGTTGCCATTTCCAGCCCAGTATCGGTCGCATATGCGTGTCTGATACGCCTGGCCCAATCTCGTCTCATTTGCCTCCATTCCAAAAAGGCTGTCTCTCCGCGGGGACCATAACTACGGATGATCTCCCGGACCTCCATGGTTTCTGCATGTGTGATCCTTGCTATCTCCTGTAGGTGTGGGAAGGTCAAGTCGGCCGCCGTGAGGACGGGCTGGCCACCCTGAGCTGATGGTGACGGTGTGGTGCTCTCTGTTGCTTCAGGAACAGCCTCTGCATCTGACTGATCCTCTCCCGAGTCATTGTCCTTGGATGTCCTTTCCCTCTTTGGGGGTACCCGGTGCACACCGGTGTCTTCGAAGGCCATGCGGTCGATCTCTCGACCCATGGCCGCCTGGATATAATTCCAGGGTCGGGCGGCGCTTTTGGTGTTCCTCATGTCTTCGGGCATGAGGCGCCAAATGCGGTCTGCCGGCCACCCTTCTGCAAGAAAGACTCTGAGCATGGTGCCCCAGGCGTGCCTTGGGTAGGAACGAATGATTTGTTCAAGGGTCAGGCCTGCCGGCAGTGGAGTGTCTTGATGAGGGTAATGGCCTCCTCGATGGCGGTCATTTCGGCCGCGCTCAATGATCAGGGGCACCCTGGTCACAGGCTGAGAGGTACCTTGTCTGATCACTAAGAGATTCCTCCCGGAGTTGAGTCCCGAGCCAATCCTGGTGGCCGCCGTTGGAAATTGAAAGTCTGCTGGTACATCCTGATGTGGATCGGAGCGAGGGACCGTCGGGCGGCTACGTGGTGCGCGTGATGACGTTGTGGTCCCTTGCTGTCTTGTCCGTGAAGGGTTTTTTGCCTGCGGTCTTGTCTGTGAAGGGGGTGTTGGCGGCAGAGGGCTTGCCTGCAGTGTTGTCCGTGGAGGACTGTTTGTCTGCAGTCCTGTCTGTTGAGGTGACATCGCTGACAGTCTTCTCTGCGGAGGGTACGCCTGCAGTCCTGTATGTCGAGGTGAGGGCGGAGGCAGTCCTGTCTGTGAAGGGTTGTTTATCTGCATTCGTGCCCATGAAGTGCTGTATGACGGCAGTCCTGTCTGTGAAGGAAACGCCGACGGTCTTGTCCATGAAGGGCTATATGCCTGCAGTCCTGTCTGTGCAGGAAACGCCGGCAGTCCTCTTTGTGCAGGATGTCCTCTCTGTGATGGAAACGCCGGTGGTCCTGTCCATGATGTGTTGTTCATCTGCAGTCCTGTCCATGACGGGCTGTATGCCTGCGCCCCTAGCAGGGAAGGGTTGTTGATCTGCAGTCCTGTCCGTGATGGGTTGTTGATCTGCATGCTTGTCCATGAAGGGCTGTATGCCTGCGGCCCCATCTGTGAAGAGCTGTTTGTCTGCGGCCCTAGCTGTGAAGGGTCGTTCATCTGCCGTTCTGTCCATGACGGGCTGTTTGTCTGTGGTCCTGTCTGTGAAGAGCTGTTCGCCTGCGGTTCTGGCTGCGAAGAGGTGTTTGTCTGCGACCCTATCTGCGAAGGGTCATATGCCTGCTGTCGTGTCTCGGAAGGGCTGTTTGTCGGCGGCAGTCTGTTCATTTTGTCGGTTGAAGGTTGGACACTCTTTTCCTCGAAAGGCTTTGTTCTTGAGTATCGCGAGACAAGGGAGCTCTTTGAGTTTCGTGAAAGCAAAGACGATGGAACGATCTTGCAGTCCAGCAAGCACGAGCGAGCTTTGCGAGAACAGAGGGCAAATGACCTGGATGGTGGTGGTGCGGACGAAGATGAAGATCAGAAAAATTTGCTCCCGGACGAAGAGTTTTATACCGGTCCAGTCGATCTGAATTGATCTGAGGCGTGAATTGTACCGGTACGCAGTTGCACACGCCAGGCGGCCTTCGAAGTGCTTTGTTCCGATGCGGTGAGGCAGTATGGTTTGGCTGTCGGAGGGCTTGACAGAACTTGGCTCGATACCAGGACTATATATACTATAGTCTAAGGAGAAGAATCTTTCGATCCGAAGATGCGACTTAAATGGTGTGAGGGTATCAAACCGACCTCCCTCACCCTGAACAGCAATATATATCCCAAGCAAACAGGAGAGGCAGCAGATCTCGAGTCATGCGACAAATTCCATGCTTCAAACTGCATGGTGAATTGATCAGCAGTCCGCGGTTTCAAGACCACGACGGAACAACCAGAGATCGATTGTATCCGCCATCAGCCGACATGTCCTTCTTTATGCGCGGCACAAGTCCAGCAAACCATCTCGTCTGGCACCTTTCTTACGGTCGACAGTCAAAGAGGCAATCACTCACCACACTGGCTGTGAGTGTGTATGTGGAAACAAGAGACTTTGGCCTTCATGACACACTGTAGACAGACGAGGATCAATAAGGCTCTGTTTGTCAGGGGTGATACTCCAAATTCGGTCGTTGACCCGCCGACAGCGTTATACTATACCAGTGGCCGTGCAACGGAGGCAAGAGTCTCTGGCTCTCGATCTCACTCGACTATCTTGTTTGAATATCGTGAAGAAGGTTGGAAACGGTGTCAAAAGTATAGGACACCGACACCTCGATCGGTCGACGTAAGATAGCCTGCGACATGATGCAACGCAGGCGAAATGAAGTGAGTTTGCTGTGGGAAATACAGCGGGTATATCATCTATATTTCTATCAAAGAATTCTGATTTGCTGTCTTTTGCAGGGAATAAAATGAAACCTGGGAAAGGGCATGTCTTACCAGCAAGCAATGCGTCTGGCTGTACAACTACTTGGGAACAATTTCGAAATCCTGTTGCGCATCGCCTACCGACCTCGAGACTTCTAGCAATAACAAACACAACACCGTCGAGTACTACCATACCTCCGCTCGGGTTGCCTTTGACTGCTCTGCTTTGTCTCGGTTATCCCTTGCTACATTCCAAATCCCCCAATCTGCTGAGGTTTGTTGAGAGTCTACACCAACCGTGCAAACCTGTGCGGCACAGTTCAAACATCATCTCATCCTTTCGACATTCAAGAACAAGACAAGAACAAGATTAGGCAAGCACTGGAAAGAAACAGGTGTACAGAGATGGGCATCCACAATAGCTTTGCTTGAAGCATTCAGTATTTGATCGAACTTTCCAAGAACAAAAGGAGGATATGTGTCGCCCACGATATTTTGTGGACTGCCCGGGCTGGACATCCAGACAACCATGGACCGGACCACATCTACCTATATCACCAAGTCTTCTTGTTACGCGAGCCAACAGTTTATCCCTCTATCCAGAATTCATCCCTGCTGTTTCTCGCACATCCAGTTTCACGCCCAAGGAAACCAATACAACACTGCGTTCATGCAACGTCACAGACGCTCTTGCAAGACAAATACCGAATACAAAGACCCTTGGCCGACCTCTGTCATTGTGATCACAGATAAGAAATCAAGCGTATCCATCCTGGCTCCCCGACGGGGTTCCTATGACCTCCTTCAACCAGTCTGGATCGTTGTCGCCCAGCTCATGCAGCTTCCGCAACGTCGCAATCTCATTTCCAAGCCTCTCCGGCGCATTTCCTATTGCCTCTCTCAACCAGTCTGGGTCGTTCTCGACAAGCTCGGGCAGCTCCCAAGACATGGTTGTTTCGTCTTCAGTCATGATCATCGCAACATCGTGCTGAGTCGCCGCCTCCGAAAACAGCCTGGCACACTCGGGATCATTGTCTTCAAACACATCTGAGTAGTCCTCTGCTGCCAAATCGAACAGGACATCCAAACAATCTGGAAGAGGAGTCAGTGGCAGACGGTCCAGGTCGAACTCTTTGAGTAGCACTTGCATCGGTGGGTGGTGTGTAAAAAACACATCTTCCCCCTCGATCGCAGGATTTGCGTGATGGACACTGAGGTCTGAGTCTGGCGACAACATGCCTGCATCTGTGTCCTGCTGTAGTTCCTCGAATTCGACATCCACATCTCTTGTTTGATTTGCAGGTTCGAATTCGGTGACTGTGTCCGCAAATCTCACTCGTTTGACGGGCTGCACTGCGGTTGTGGCATCTGGTGTCTCTTGTTTCAACGGAGTGACGGGGTCGCTTGTATGTGGACTTCCCTCTGTTCCCAAGTCGCTCTGGTTGAGGGAATGGACAGCTTCCTCCTGTGACTTTCGGTCTGTTTCCGTCGCATAGGAGACCTCCCATTCAAAGTCCGTGTTCCACGACATGACTTGATCCACCAGGCTGCCTGTCGATCGTCCAGCCCGCGAGGCCGTCAACACGCCTTTCAATCTAGCCAATCTGGCTTTCTGGGCTGTGAGAACATATGAAACGGCAGACTGTCGAGCCAATGGCAGGTTATGAGCTATATCCGCGGGCGGAGAAGAACCCAGCATATCCGTGACAGTCGTCACAACCAAGTCGAAGATTAAATTTTCGAAAGCAAGGCAATCTTGAATATGTTGGAAACTGAAGAACGTCTCAGTAGCAGCATTGCATGGCCAATTTGTCATCTCCAGGATGAGTATGTTGCGTCGAGTTTCCCGGCTTGCACAGTACTTGGGGTCGGCATCAATGATTTCTTCGGCGCGCGCCCGTTGATAACCCCAGTAAGTTGCCATGCTTTGGCTGTACCCCTGGAGTTCCTTGGCTGAATCCCAAAGCTGGTATTCCTGGTTGTTGTGCACAAAAGTTTTCATCAATGTCGATACTCCAGGAGTCCTGCCATCTCGGTGGCGGTGAGGGTATCTTCGAATTGCCGGAGCATTCGGGTTGTGGAATTTGCCCTGCAGCTTGGACGCGCCGTATTTCTCTGTGCCATTTATCATGCAGGGTCGGATCTTGGGAGCCATACACAGCGCTGTGACTTCATCTGCAGAAAGTGCCGACAGTCGGGCGTCGAGTCTCTTCGTCAAGAAGTTGGCTCGGTTCGCGAAGGTCTTGCAGGTCGTGATGCCGAAAGCCTTGAAGTCGTTGATGGCCGCCTGGGTCAAGCAAGTGTACATGTCGGTGCCAGACCAATGCCACTGGATGAAGGCGTCAAGGTAAGAACCTCGAAGGTGGTTTGGGTATTTGGAGCAGATCTCCTCGAGCGATGTTTCGGGCGGTATCGGTTCGTCGAAGGACGGGAAGGATGGCAATTCGCAATAGACTCGAGGCTCGGCATCTCTTCGCTTCTCGTGGATTCCCGGTCTCGTCCGCGACACTATCGGGTTTGGAGCCGTATTTGTATATGGTACTATAAAGTACGGGGACTCACCAATCCTCATCGAGGTGGAGTATTGCAGATCCATGAGCGGAGCGGTGCTGCTGTCAAGAAATCGAGTGACGTGCTGGCAGAGGGGACGAGGTACTTGGTGAGTTTTGTTGAAAGGAAGACACCGGGTCTCCTGGTGGCGAAGGTTGATGCTGTTTGGGTGACTGACTGTGTTATGCGTGTGTTGAAGAGTGTTGACTGACTGCCCAAGGAAGAGCGAAGAGGATGTCGTTGTGAGTGTCCAAAATGCGGAAAAGGAAGCGGCATCGTGGCTTTTAACGGACGACGCGGTCCAGCACGCAAGGCTGTTGCTTTGCTTCGAAGTGCCTTCAATCACTGCGTTGCCAATGCCTTGCCTTGCGGTGAAGTCTCACCTGCAACAAAGCACACTGCCCCGGACATCGTGCTCGAATAAAGCACCAGGGGCAGTCTGAGACGCTGCCTCGAGCATTTTCATGATCCGGAGCCTTGTCACCTTGTTGAAGACAGGGGAACGCTCAGAGTGAGCACAGCCTTGCCCCCAAGCAGAAAAATCGCTTTGTGTTGCCCTACAGCCTTGGGGAACAACAAAGGAAATCTTCGCCAGGGGTCTCAGACGTGCAGCCAAGATACGATGGCATCACTCTTGGGTCTCGGATCCCCGAAACGCCAGCCTCGTCTTTCAAGGTCTCGAGAATCAGGGGGGGACCCTTTGTTCCTTCGCGCCTCTGGACCAGCTGCACCAAGACACGCAAACAAAGCCGAACAAAAACAACACAAAGCACCTAACGAACTGTCTTTGATTTCCTCGGTACATTGTTCGAACTAACCATCATCAAGCAGCGACATGCCCTCGGTGCGGCGTCTCTGGTGCCCTGCACGTGACGGGTGGGTTTACAATGACACGAAGACGCAGTGAGGAGACACAGCTGAGATGGTGAGTCTGTTTCTGTTCTTGTTTCTTCAAGCGTGGGCGGTGGCTGCTCGCTTGGTCGGTCGGACTTCGTTCACAAAGCCTGGGGAAATCAGTCTGTTGTTCTCCCGTTCCCTTGCCCGGTTCCTGATAGCCTGATTCAGCGTGAGTTTTTGTCCCTTTCCTTTCCCAATCGTTGTCACCCATCCACCTACAGCCCTTTTGTCCGAGGTCGATCATCGATCCATTCCGGCGTACTGTACTGTACTGAGCCGAACTGAACTGGACTGAAGTGAAAGAGGTCAGGGGCATCCCAGCCTTGCCAAGAAGAAGAAGTCGACCTCTCAGCCTTCGGCCTCCATCCAGCCTTGCAATCTCTATCAAGCCATGGACGGAGAATCAATTCCAGGTCCTAGAAATGTAATTCGTTCGTTTCGAAACAAGTTTGATTCCTCTGTTCTGTTCCGTTGTCGAAGGATGAAGGATGTAAGAAAGAAAGCCTGAGTAGTGACGCTTTTGATCGAGCTCCTTGTAGAGAAAATGTCCTGCAGAATCTGGAGAGTCGGTTTGGCAGGCAGGCAGGCAGGCGGGCGGGCAGGCAGGGCTGGCATGTACTGCAGTGAGGGTACGAATGTAAGTAGACACATTGAGCGCAGGTTTAAACCACGTTCCGAGCCAGCTGCTGAATACGTAGCTGAATGATGGCATACATACATGTATGTATGCATTTAGATATCAATCTCCTCTCCAATTTGCAACGAGGAAGGGACGACATGAACTCCAGACAATGAAAATGAAATGACCGTGCTTCAATCTGGGAATATATTTTGACCCTGACCTGGTCGCCGAACGATGATATGCAAATAAAGCTAGCTCCCTGCGTGGCCATTTACCTTTTTGAGCGGTATTTGTACTGATATTTGAGGCTGTGGAATCGACATTTCGGGTCGGTGCAGGGCATTGCCGACGATCGAGTCCCATAAGGAACACCACCCCAAACAACGCCGACAGCCCTCGATCCCGTTATTGGCAACTTCCTCCATGCTCGCGGCGGCGTTGTCACAGCCTCCTACTTCCATGACAGATCCTCGTATCTTATCATTATCATCATCCGTCTACCACCTTCGCCCCTGTCACACCGTCGGCTAGTCATTCGCCCTTCAACTTAGCCTGTGTGACCTTGAACGCCTCTTCGAGCAACGCTTGCTCTTCCTTGACGTGAGTGGCTTTCAGACCTGTCGCCACGGACGCACTGGGGTCTCGGCCTGCATACATCACGTGCCGTCTGTTATGATGTTCTGTCTCGTTCAACAGCGTCTCAATACGCGGTTGGACAAAACTCCATGCTCCGGCGTTGAGAGGCTCCTCCTGACACCAGACGATCGTCTTGGCGTTCTTGTAGGTGTCGAGGTTCTCCTTCAGCAGTGCCCATGGGAACGGGTTCAGCTGTTCGATACGGGTGATAGCAGCGTTCTTGATACCCTTGTCTGCTCGGTGCTTGTGCAATGCTGCATACACTTGACCAGTACATAGAATGACGCGGTCGATCTCGTCTGGCTCAGCAATTCCCTTGCCGTGCTCTGGATCTGGGATAATCCATTGGAAGTAGGAATCACCGGTGAAGTCTGCCAGATCAGAGCGTGCGATAGGATGACGGAGAAGAGACTTGGAGAAGAATATGATCAAGGCTTTGGAAGAGATTGTATGTCAGTTGAGCGCCAAAATTTCCCCGAGTACTAATTTCACTCACGTTTTCTGAATTGCCTGTTCATTTGTCGTCGGAGGATGTGGAAATAATTCGAGGGCGTCGTCATGTATGCTACCTGCATGTTGCAATCTTGATGCTGTCGGTCGAGCTTGTCCGGCGATGGAAATACTCGAGGTTCCTCATTGCAAAGTTGCAGGTACCGCTCCATGCGACCACTGCTATGCTGTAGCACCAGAATATCAGCCTCGCTGCTCCTATCCTCGAGGGGATTGCTGCAAACTTACCTCGGGCCCTTGTCCATCATACCCATGAGGGAGAGAGCAGACGAGACCAGACCTTTGAAGCCATTTGACCTCTCCTGAGGCAATGAATTGATCGATGATACATTGAGCATTGTTGGCAAAGTCGCCAAATTGGGCTTCCCACATGACAAGCGCATTGGGCGAAGAGAGTGAGTAGCCATACTCAAAACCGAGAACACCGTATTCACTCAAGGACGAGTTGGAGATTGTGAAAGCTCCCTGCTCTTTGGAGAGGTTGCTAAGAGGTGTCCATGTCGCTTCAGTTTCTTGGTCGTGCAAAACAGCATGACGCTGGGAGAAGGTGCCCCGCTCGACGTCCTGGCCAGATACACGAACATGGTGACCTTCGAGACACAGAGTGCCGAAAGCCAGAGCCTCAGCCGTCGCCCAGTCAATGCCGCTACCCTCTTCAACTGCCTTCCTGCGACCAGCCAGGATACGTTTGAGGTTACGGTGGACGGTGAAACCCTCTGGGGCCTCGGCAATCTTGGAACCTATCTCCTTCAACATATCAGAAGGAACTCCGGTGGGTGGATGAGGGAGGACTTCCGTGGCCAGCTCCTTGGGAGATTTGAAACCGTTCCAGGCGGAGGTCAGCCATTCCTTGCCAGTAGGTTGATAGTCTTTGCTTCGGTCAAAGCTGTCGTTGAGCATCCCCCACACCCATTTCTTGTGCTCGTCAATGTCTTCTTTGGTGAAGGTGCCTTCTTGGATCAGCTTGTCAACATACTTGTCGATTTGAGGTTTGATGGACTCTATGCGCTTGTACATGAGCGGTTGAGTGAAGGCTGGTTGATCCGTCTCGTTGTGGCCCTGTTTCCGGTAGCAAACAATGTCAACAACGCAGTCTTTCTTGAAATCAGCTCTCCAATCAGCAGCCAGCTGGCAAACAAAGTTGACGGCTTCGACATCGTCGCCATTGACGTGGAAAACCGGAGCATCAATTGCTTTGGCAATGTCTGAGCAGTAAGGGGTCGATCGAGCGAATCTAGGATCGGTGGTGAACCCAATCTGATTGTTAACGATGATGTGGATGGTGCCACCGGTGGAGTAAGCAGGAAGAGCATGGAAGCCGAGAGTTTCGTAGACGACGCCTTGAGCCGCAAAGGCAGCGTCACCGTGAAGCAAGACACCCATTGCTGTTTGGTGTTTCTTCTCGTCGTTGTTGTAGTGTTGAATAGCCCGAGTCTTTCCTAGCACAACCGGATCCTCAGCCTCCAGATGGGAGGGATTGGCGACAAGAGACAGCTGGACACGTTTTCCAGACGGTGTCGGTCGTTCGAAGTTCATACCGAGATGGTATTTGACATCGCCAGAACCTTCATCGCTTGCCTCAGTGGTGCCCGAAAATTCACTAAAGATGGACTCGTTGGGCTTGCGGACGACGTTGCTCAGAACGTTCAGTCTTCCTCTGTGCGGCATCCCGATGACAATGTCTTTGATGCCGTAGTCCACGCTCCTGTCAATCATGGCTTTCATGCCCGGCACGAGTGTCTCACAACCTTCCAATCCGAAACGCTTGTCATTGGGGTATTTGGTAGCCAAGAAAGCCTCGAAGCTGGAACTCCAGATCAATCTGTCGAGGATGCGGCGCTTGTCGTCCACTGAATATTTATATGGGGTCGGAACCTCGATCCTGTTTCTGATCCAGTCACACTGCTCTCGATCCGGGATGTGAATGTATTCAACACCATACGATCCGCAATAGATCTTCTCGCAGGCAGCAATGATATCGCGAAGTTTCATCTTCGGTCGAGACTCTGTGGCGAATCTAGGGAGAATGCCGGGCCCGAGAACAAACTCTTGGTCTAGGTCGGCCTCCGTGAAGCCATAGTGGTCCAACTCCAGCTCTTTTGGTCTGCGATACCCAAATGCTTCGGCCTCGCCACGAATGCCGAGGGGATCGGTCTTGGCTTTGTGATGTCCGGTCGATTGATACGCTCTCACAAGCAGTTGTACCTTCAAGTGGTTCGTGACGTCTTGACCGGCAGTGCCGGTCACTGCGCTCGGGGCAAGGCTGGCTGCCCCTTCAGCTTGGGAGATGAGGCCCGGCGGAGGTTGGAAGGCTTTGGACACTGGCATAGTGCCTTCTTCCATGTTGTGAAAGTAGGCTTGCCACGAAACATGGACGGAGGACGGGTCTTGTTTCCATGCCATGTACATCTCATCAATGTAGTTGGCGGTGTTGCCGGAGAGGAAGGAGTCGTTGGGATCCTGCCGGAGCATTTAGAAAAGCATTCTCTTTGCGGACCAGCAGCTAAAGAGATACATACCACGCCCTTGTTGGTCTCTTCAGCTGTCATGGCATAGCTCCTGCGCTGCAGTGAGCTCTGAGCCGTGACAGCTAGCGGTTTCCTCCCAGCAATGAGGGCATTCTGACGGCCTCCGGAGGCTGCTCGGAGGTTAGAAGAAGTGCAGAAAGTCCTTGAAGCTTGCGCAGCCCTCAATGGGAGCTTGCCCGCAGCATAGCGATACATGATGTCGAAGTTGATGGTGAGCTAATGATACAGAGAACGATCCATAGGAGAGAAGGACGGGTCCAAAATGAGTGAACCGCACCACTGACGAGAGGAGTGGAAAGCAATTGAGGCTAGGAGAGACACTGAAGTGTCGGGACTAAGGTGCACGAAACGGAAGTGCGAGGAAGTTCAGATTCAAAGGTCCCTTGAAGGCTGTTACGCAAATCCCGCAACCCTGTTTAGGAAGATGTGACGGCCCGTAATAGGAATCGGTGGACGGGGAAACATAGCCGAGGCCAAGACATGCAAGAATGCTAAGCATGCTTTGATTGGCGCTGCTAGTCTTGGCAGGAACGCCGAACCAATCGTCTCGTTTGTTTCAAGCACTTCCATCGTCATCAGAGTGATTTCTGAATTGTATACACAAGCATATATATTTTCCAAGTTTCTATGGGGTATCATTATCGTCGTGTCCAATGTGCTTTTGCAAGGGCCATAATCTATATCCAATCAATCGGCCCTCGTCTTCCGGGGCTGTCCTTACACAGCACGTATTCTCTCAGATCCGGGCTCCGGCTAGATACTCTCGGTCAATAACTTCGGTTCCACTCCCTTCGTCGGTCCTTCTCCTTTCCAAAACCCACCCGCCGTCTAGATCACGCTTATAGCTCACACTTTCCGCGCCACTACTGGTGCGGCTGTGGTGACCTTTCCATCTTTCACCACCGGCGGATACTGGAGACGCTGGCAGTTCCTCCTGCGACGTTACCACCACCGGTTCGCTCATCTTCTTGCGCGGTGTATTTTGCGTCAGGGTAGGTCTCTCAGAATCATCGTCCTCTTCCTCCGATTCGGGTATTCCAGCTGGTGACGTCCGACCATGGATCGAGGAGGACATCCGGCCCACGTTAAGATCCGAATGAGGGAACGGATGGTTAGAAACGTGGGCGAGTGGTGAACTGGCAGGGTTTCCTGCTGCCGAGCTGCTGATGCTTGACGAACTACCTCCAAAGGTTCTGCCACGGAGCTTCATCAGCCCACTAAAGCTCATATCATCGTCATATCCAGGAGACTCAAGTTGCTGGAGCAACTCCGCAATCCCTGGGCTGGGCATCGAATGGGCTGAAGCAGGCATGCCGCCTGGTATCGCCAGTGACACCACCGAGTTGCGAGTACTCCACTCACTGCGTTCGGTGATGGGCGTCAAGCTCGGTTCTTGGAAATTGGCTTTCCCACTGTGACTTCGCTTGACGCCATTCGATCCCCGGTCCGCAAAATAGCCCCCGTTGACAAGCTCTGCATTGTTTTTGTTATAGGATCGAGCATAAAATCCAAACTCTTGACCATAAAACCCTTCGTCGTCGTTCTCCAGAACCTCTGCGTTGGCCTCCGCAATCATGGGGTCGTCATCCATGTCATCGTCGAATGGAAACCCATCGTCCTCAGCAATAGCGGAGGAAAAATTGTAGCTGATACGGCTGTCTTCGGAGACAACACCAACTTGGCTGCTTTCAAATGGTGACTGAGAAGTGTCGTCTGAATTCTGACTGAAGCTGACCTTGCGATCGAATCTGCCATTTGCAGCAGCTTGAGTAGCTGCAAACGCCAACGCGTCGTGATACGCAGCAAGATTCGTTTCAGTGAGTCCAGTGACGGAACCACCTTGCATGAAATTCCCTTGGCTCTTTAGATGACCACTAGCAAATTCTCCTGAGGTTTGCTTGGCGCTGGTCCGATGCTCATTGTCGTCGAGCGAAAGTTTTCCGACGGCATGCTCCCAAGGGTTGGCGACCTTCACTTCTCCGTCCATGCCTGCTGCCTGCTTGGCCGCCGCCAATTTTCGAGCATTTTCAGCCGGGATATCACGAAGCTTGCCTGTGTCGTCATCAAATAGTTGCTCATCAAAGGTTGTTCCCGAAGGATCGAACTCCACCTGGTCAAACTCGCCATCGTCAAAATACAAGTCTTCGTCGTCAAAAACCCCTCCGTGAGGACGAGAGGTCTGTTGCGTGCGCCTGCCATGAATTTCTGCCGTCGTAATGCCAAGCCCTCCGAGCATCGAAACCTTTTCAATGTCGATGACGCTATCCTTCTGTGGGAATTCCAGGCCACCGTCCTGGGAAGGCTCTCTTGAGTCGGCAATCCCAATAGCAAAGCCTTCATGGTCCCTCGGGGTTGGCTGTGATGCATTATTGGTGCTGGTTGGGCTGAATGTCATGGATTGAGGAGTAAAGTGGAAGCCTTGCAGCGAGTGTCTATGTAAAGTGGTGGTCTTGACATCCGATACCACAGGTTCTTCGGTATCGGAAGGGCCGTAACGAGCTACAAGCGCATTTCCTAACGGAATGTCGTTGCCGAAACCATCGTCTTCCTCATAGTCCGCGTTGACCCCGGGAATCATCTCTTCCAAGCCATCATCCGCATCGAAGTCATAGTCAGCATAGTCGTCCTCTTCATCGGCGCCTTGAGTAGTTGTCTTTTTGATTGCTTCCTGTTGTTTGTGTTTCTCTTCGAGCAATTTTTCCTGCGCTGATGAGCCTCCACCACCGATTTGGAAGCTAAACCGGGAGGAAGTGCTGGTCATGTGCTTTGGAAGTGCCGCTGGAGGTGGAATATCAAACTTTGGTGATGGCGTGCTCTTAGGCGGAGGTGTTGGAGGCGGAGGTGATGGCTCTCCTATTGGCGGCAAAGGTACATGCTCTTCCCCTGGTGGTAGCGGTGGTAGTTTGGTTTCTCCTACGAGTGAACCAGATTTAGAGTCCTGCCCAGCTTGCGGCACAGCGGACGGCAGCCGCCTAGCGAAAGCTGGCACGGTACTCTCGTCTTGGCGGTCATTGGCCAAGTTGAATGCATGGATATTGTGCAGATAGCCCGTCCGATCGGGTTGTAACGACGGACGGTCGTCTTGAAAGTGTTCCTTGAACATCGGACTGTGTGGAATGCTTGGTGTTCCAATCGGCGCCAATCGGGAATTAGGTGAATCATTGCTTCGGCTAGTGTCTAGGCTGTACCCAGAGCGCAAGGCTGGAGATTCTACAGTGCCAATGTCATTGTGAGAATAGAGCCTTCGCGATCGTGGAACAGAAAAGTCGTGTACGACTTTTCCTCGAATCCTTGGGTCGAAATTATCCGGCAAGGCTGGCACAGACAATGTGAGATTGACATCTTCGAGCTTCTGATTCTGAGAAGACCTGCGACGGGCCAACAGGCTCATTGGATTCAGAAGATTCAGCCTGCTCTTTTTCCCCGTGTGTCCTTTTACCGAAACCGGTTCATCATGCGCAGACTTGTCCGAGATTTGAGTGGAAAAGCTGTAATTCCGAAGGCTCGGAGAGGATGCATTGTCTCCGAGCTTAACAGGTGGATCGAGCACCTTTCTCTCTCTACCGTCGAGACGGATGGAAGGCAGTACTGGAGATGGCCTAGACGCGTAGTCTGATCCTGTGATCGATGATTTCGCATGGGAGACGGGAACAGCGTTGTTTGGGTCGATCGCGTCACTTGTCGCAGGACGGACAGTTTCGTCTGACAGTCCATATCTGTGGCGGTTGGTCTCATCAGACGATCTCTGGTATTGTTTTGGTTCTACCACAGGAGATCTGGAGAATGGAGGAATCGGTGGTAAGGGGTCGTACACCGGAGACGTCAGAGTCAGGTTGAGACTGAGCGAAGGGCTGTCCGATTCATCGGTCGCCGACAGCGTATCGATTGGGCTGAGTGCCTCGCTATGTCTATTAGGGCGGTCAATAAGTCGTCGTGGGTAGGAGGGAGAGGATGGTGAAATCTGATCGGATCTGCGCCTGCGACGCTGCAGAGGGGCGTACGACGGTTTGTTGTTGGAGTTCATGATGTGAAGGAGAAGAGCAATGGGTCGAAACAACCACCACACGCTCACTGAAGACCATTCTCCGACTTTCCCCCTGACCTATAAGACTGATGGACTATGGATGCTGCATTGCTGAAGGTGAGAAGAACAGTCGCTTGGGTTCGCAGGTGGTGGACTCGACTGCAGTCTGCAGCTCCCGCAAGCCGTGGGCGCAGTCGTTCTCGTGGCGCAAACTGATGGCGGGGAAGCCTCGAAAAGCGATCGGAGCAGAAATGTTGTAGAGAAATCTGGACACCTTCTGACGGATTGTTGACGAGGCTGGATACCATTGAGACGAAGAAAGTGTCAAAAGATCAATCATCCCACGCACTCGGATGTCGAGACTCGACCTGTCGCGGGTTGAGAGTGGAAGGGTCAGCCAATTGAGGCGCTACGTTGGCAGTCGTCAGCGATCTCCACACCACTCTTTTTTGAATGGCGTTTGGGAATCTCTAAACTCGGGACGGCACTGACTGACACCTGTGGCACGGGCTCGTGGGCGCTGGCCGTTGGTTCTGGGCAAGCGGAACGCCTAGTGGCCCTTTCCAAAGGGGGCCAAGCCCAACAACCTCGAGGCTCTAGCTGGCCTTTTGAGCCCAGAAGCAAGCCACTGGGCTTGGAAAGTCCGGGGCTCGCTCACCGCAGCGCCTATCGCTAGGCACTAGCCACCTAGAACGAGGTACCACCAGGACTCCTCACGGGCTGTGGCCTTCTCCGCTGTGGGATTCTTTGATATTTCGCTCCCGTTCCGTCGCCTTCATCACCATGCATGAGCCCCATGAGTTCATCAACGATATAGAGAGGAACATAGAAAATGATAATGCCCTAACCTCGACTCCGGGGGATTCAATTCTTGAACGCTTTTCGTCTCATGATTCAGCCCATTCCTCGTTCCTTGCCACCCGGGAAATTCCACACCCGCGCCCTACCGCTTCAAGTGTGTGCCTGGTACCTGAATTGAGGACACTTGCCACCCTTTTTCAGCACCGATCTCACTTCCATTCATCAGAGGTAAACCCGATTCGAGGACTTCCGACCCCTGTGAAAAGACCAATTCCTCCTTGTCAGCTTCGAAGCCTAACCAAGCCCGAGATTTGCTTCCAAGAAAAGCTGCTGACGTTTGGCTGTGTCACTTGTCCGCTGCTCGTCATCCCCGTCACTTTCAGATCGATCTCCTTACCCCCTCACCGTACCGAAATCTTGTTCGGGAGAAACCGTGTACGGGGTAAAAGGCCACGAAGTTGGCTGCAAGTGATATAATCTCTTTCACACTTCCTTACTCCTCCTGCTTTGTGTCTGTTCTTTCCCCGAAGAAGACCTGTTCTCGAGAGCATCACCATCATGAATTGCCCCTCACGCACCGACGACACCGAAGCTCATCCGGACTGGAACCAGAATCCGCAAGCCCTGAGCTCGGACCTGACCACCAGGGCGGACCTCAATGGGATTGTGAATCTCAGAGAAGAGCGAGCCACAGAATCGAGTCCGAATAATGAAACGCAGGAAGACATTCGGATTAGGCCTATTGACAGTCCAGAGTCAATCTCCGGTGGCTTCAAGTCACCCACCGCTGTCAAGGTTGATCCGCAAGAGCAGCAGCGAGCGGCCCTTCAACAAACCCACCCACGACGATTTCAGTCTTTCCGCTCCCCGAGTGCCTTCGTGAGCAAGGCTCTAGTCACTGCACAGAAGTATGTGAAGTTCGTGGGTCCGGGATTCCTCATCGCCGTCGCCTACATCGATCCAGGAAACTATGCTACGGATGTCCAGGCAGGTGCGGCAACGAGATATGCTCTTTTGTTTATTATTCTCATGTCCAATCTGTTCGCCATCTTCTTGCAGTCTCTCTGCATCAAGCTGGGGAGCGTTACGGGCTTGAACTTGGCTGAAAATTGCCGGAAATATCTGCCCAAGTGGCTAACTATTGTCCTTTACTTGTTTGCGGAATCCGCCATCATCGCTACAGATATTGCAGAGGTAAGTCAAGTTCTGGAGCGAAAACAGCCCATTCCGTTGCTGCTTTTCTGACCACTTGATTCATCTAGGTCATTGGATCGGCAATAGCTCTAAATCTTCTGTTGCACATCCCGCTAGTTGCGGGATGTGCCATAACAATGGTGGACGTCCTGATTCTTCTCATTTTCTATCGTCCCAATGGCTCGATGATGCACCTGCGGCTGTTCGAGTATTTCGTCATGAGCCTTGTCCTCGGTGTCATGGTGTGCTTCTGCATACAGCTCTCCTACATTCAAGACACTACCATTGGAGAAGTATTCAAGGGATACCTTCCGTCTGCAGCAGTGGTCGAAGGGAACGGTGTCTACCTATCCTGTGGCATCATGGGAGCAACCGTCATGCCTCATTCTATCTTTTTGGGATCTGGCGTTGTGCAGCCGCGCCTAAAGCAATTCGATAGGCAGAATGGACACATCGCGATGGCGGCAGAGGAATCGGACAGCGAAGAGGAGAAATACGTGCCGTCCATCTATGCTATCCGAGCATGCCTCAAGTACTCGATCGTAGAGCTTGCTTTCTCACTCTTCACTTTCGCCTTGTTTATCAACTCGGCCATCCTCATCGTCTCCGGGGCGTCACTTTATCCGCAAACCGCGGCCACGCAGGCAGATCTCTTTGGCATCCACGACCTCCTCAGTAAGAACCTTTCCAAGGCAGCGGGCACTATCTTTGGCCTCGCTCTTCTGCTGTCGGGTACTTCTGCTGGCATCGTCTGCACCATGGCGGGTCAGATGGTGTCTGAGGGCATGCTGCACTGGACTGTGAAACCCTGGGTCCGCAGGCTCATCACCCGATCCATCAGCATCATCCCCAGCATCATCATTGCGGCGGCCGTGGGCAAAGAAGGCTTGAACTCGGCCTTGACTGCCAGTCAAGTGGTGCTGAGCGTCATCTTGCCATTTGTCACTGCTCCCCTCGTCTGGTTCACCTGTCGAAGCCAAATCATGACTGTGCGAACGGATACCACTGGAGAAGCTGTGAATATGCGGAATGGTTGGATTGTCACGATCCTTGCTGCAACTATCTGGCTTGTGCTAGTGGTGATGAATGTGGCTCTGCTGGTGCTTGTTGGTCTGGGAAAAGCATAGAGAAAAGAACGAAAGAGGTGTTGTTTCCGGTCGATGTGAAGCTGACATGGAGAAAGAAGGAGAAAGAAAAGATGACTATCCCCGTTCCACTGTCCCCTGGCTTCTCGGGAATTGAATGGAAACGTCAAGTCAGGAAATCGGGACACTTGATGTTACATGAAGGCCTGGAGTGTAGATAAACGACACAGTATAGATAAGCTTACGGCTACTTTTACTCAAGACGTCGCGGTTGTAGGAGAAGTTTCAACAGGGTGCTTCATCTTCTTCTTCGCTTCCTCGCTCAACTTGTCCGCCTCTTCTCTAGTAGATTCAGGCAACTGACCCAAATTGCCCAACTTGTCGAAGAACCATATACGAAACTGCATCAAAACTGAGTTAGCCTGGATGTTCCCATTCCCACAAGAGCAAGAAAATAAGGGAGACCACTCTTACCCCGTCAAACGGCGTGCCCATGCCGTGACTCGGCTCGCAGATGAAGATGAAGTAGATGAGGGTCGCGGTGATCAGCGTCTGCTGCAGCAACTTGATGGCCTTGTTCCACCTGGGGCGCGCCCACTTCAGGGCGGCTCTCCTCCGGTACGTCTTCTCGAAGTGGAATTGCTGCTTGGGGTCGAGGTTGCGGAAGTCGGGGGGCCACTTCTTGCGCGCACGGTACGGGTTGTTAGTCACGCGGAAAGGCGCGGGCTGGTACGACGCCGACGGCTTGGGCGCGATGCCCAGCAGGGAGAGGAACCACGTGTAGGGCGTCAGTCGGGTGCCGGGGATTTCGACGGGCGGTGGTGGTGAGGGCGGGGAGCGGGATCTCGGGTGGGCGTAGAGCGGTCGTGGGGTGGGGAGGGAGGAGAGAACGGAGGAGGAGGAAGGCGATGGGAAGGCATTGTCGTAGGATGTGTCCGGTTTGGACAACGATGCCGCTGGGGGAGGTGGTGCATGGCGGGTGAAGTTTGAGGGTGCGTAGGGCGACGGAGAGGAAGCAGCGTCGGTCGAAGAATGGCGGCTGGTTATCGGGACTAGGCACGAGCGCCGGCAATGGTGCATGAACAGCAGAGCGCGGGAGGCTCTCGCAGACACGGCCATCTTGGAGTGCGGCGATGGAAATATCGCACAGTGCTGGGCTTCAGAAGCAGGCACTGAGCATTGAGCTTGAACTTCTTTCTCTCCTCACGATGGGTCTGGAAGTAGAGGCGGAAGAATAGATTTTCCGAGCCAGTTGCTGTGGGCCTTTCACGTGCCACTCGTATCCCGTAATTATTGAGTCCCTGTAACAGTCCTATTAGGGGGCTCGGTATTAGGGCTCATTAGGCTCACTATGTAGGCTCATTAATAGGCCCCTGACCGGCGTGACCGGTGACCGAACCATGACTTCATCAACGCTGTTGCGCTGCAACAACCCACATGCCTCGGCATCGACACGCAAAACGAACGCATATGCTTCTTGATGAGGAAAGTCTAGAGGAATGGATTCAAAAGGTTACATACATGCCTTGTGACTTTCGGTGATCATAAATCAATTCTACTGTCCGTTCTCTCACTCATTTTCTCCTCTTCTTCTTCTTGACATCTTCATCTTAGGATTCTTTCACGTCTGTTTCTCTGGTACCTTGCTTTCTCCGTGAACTCGCTCTACAAGTCAGCATGTCTGCAGGTATGTCAGCCCGCCATCTTCAGGAGCCGTCTTCTTGTCGCTGACATGTGAAACTCTGGTACAGCTCAAGCCCGCCTCTCCCAGGTTTCCGGTCACCTCGGTGGCAGCAAGCAATCCATTCTCTCCAAATCCCCCGACGATGTCGTCGTGACCTGTGCCATCCGCACGCCCTTCACAAAGGGCGGTAGGGGTCTGCTCAAGGACACCGCCGCTGCCGACCTTCTGGCCCTTACCTTCAAGAACCTCCTTGAACGCTCCAAGATCGACCCCAAGCTTGTCGAGGACATCGCCACGGGTTGCGTGCTTGCTCCAGGAGGTGGTGCCACCGAATACCGTGCGGCGGCTTTGGTCGCAGGCTTCCCAGAGTCGACCGCAGTCAAGGCCCTGAACAGGCAATGCTCCTCCGGTCTACAGGCATGCGTGGACATTGCCAATGCAATCCGCGCTGGCATGATCGACATTGGCATCGGCTCTGGCGTCGAGAGCATGTCTTCCCAATACGGCCCCGGTGCGGTCACTGAATTCTCGGATCTGCTGGAAAACCACATGCAAGCCGCCAACTGCAAGGTCCCCATGGGTGTCCTCTCCGAGCAGATGGCCAAGGACCGCAAGATTTCCCGTGCAGACCAGGATGCCTTTGCTGCTGCTTCATACCAAAAGGCCCTGAAAGCTCAACAGGCCGGTCTCTTCGACGAGGAGATCGCCCCCATCACTGTCAAATACACCGATCCCAAGACCGAGGAAGAAAAGACCGTGACTGTCACGAAAGACGACGGCGTGAGACCTGGAATCACCGCGGAGTCCTTGGGCAAGATCCGTCCCGCCTTCGCGAAGGACGGCTCCATCCACGCTGGCAACGCTTCACAGATCTCCGACGGCGCTGCGGCTGTCCTGCTCATGAAACGCAGCACCGCTGAGCGGCTGGGCCAACCCATCCTGGGCAAGTTCGTGTCATCATCGGTGGTCGGTGTTCCGCCTTTACTCATGGGCATCGGACCTTGGAAAGCTATTCCCGTGGCGCTCGAGAAGGCCGGCATTTCCAAGGACGACGTGGACATCTACGAGATTAATGAGGCATTTGCCAGCCAGTGCGTCTGGTGCGTCAAAGAACTCGGCCTGCCTTTCGAGAAAGTCAACCCCAAGGGTGGCGCCATCGCTTTTGGCCACCCTCTAGGCTGCACCGGCGCCAGACAGGTGAGCACCCTCTTCACGGAACTGAAGAGGACGGGCAAGAAGATTGGCGTGACGAGCATGTGTGTGGGCACGGGAATGTGAGTATTTGGTTCTTTCCCCTCTTTTCTTGCTTCTCGCTTCTATCGCGTCGCTAGTTCTCTCGCTAACAAACTTCCCTTTTTTTTTACACACACAGGGGCATGGCTGCCGTTTGGGTTGTGGAGTAAGAGCAAAGAAAAGGAAAGGAAAAAGGGAATATAAACAATAGAATCCGGTTCACGCAAAACACACCTCTTACAAGCTGCTTTTGGGATGGGATGACGGAAGACAAAAAAGAACATGTACGTATGTGCATGGATGATGTCGCTGCATGACCTGCGCACACGTCCTTGGACCCTTTTTTGGCCACCATTCCACCTCCCAGAATCGTTGCTTCCGGGAGTGCTGTTCCACCATATCCTCCCTCCCCCGTCTCTCTACGACGGTGTACAGTATTCATGATTGCCACAGTGTGTTGTGCGTATCATGGCTGTGCTGGACTGGACTGGACTGGACAAGGAGTGTTGTTCTGAATTTACAGGGGCGGGATTCGATAGACTTGCCTGGACACATCTATCCATCCATCCATGTCATGTCATGTCATGTAACGTGCTCAATGTAGGAAGGAATACCCACCAACTAATCAATCAATCAGTTGAATTGCTCAAACCGGGTCCAGTACGACAGATCATACGAGGAAATGTACTTACTGTACACCACCACTCCGTACTTCCCAACGACATAAACACCAACACCAACGACGGCAGAGGACAGTACACACACACATGACCACCGTCAATCTCGTATTGAGGAAGAGGGATATCGCAGGAGATACGATATATATGTATCACGTGGCTCTAGCACGGTCACTCCGTGATTCGAATCGCAGTTTGTTCTGAGCTAGCTATGTGAGAGCTATGTGTGTGTGTATGTGAGCCATCTGAGGTGATTCGTTTTTGTGAGGAATCTGTGCTTTCTGAACGAGCCGCGTGTTTTCGCTCACCTCACCTCGCTGTCAACTGGAAGGTGTCGATCAAATCCTAGCCTTTATCCTGGCCCAAGCTTCAGCCGAGCTCATTCACTGTGTCAAACCCTCGTAATTTCTCTGTTTTTCCGCTGTTAGAATGAATCCGCTTTAGCTCTCAGCGATTGAATCCTTTCGTTCAACCCATATTACCAGCTAATCAGCCATTCGTTCGCTCGCTCGCATTCCATCGTCCTCGGTATCCATGTCCTGCTTGCTGAACAGCCCAAGATCGTTTGCTTGATTTCATACCTCTCAGCTCATCGTCACTTCAACCCGACCAGCCATTGCCTCTCGTCAGCCACATGGTCGACTTCCACGTCCGAACTCCGATCGCGAGGATCCAAACAACAAGCAATCCGTGTCTTCTTTCTGTCACTCTCTCGTATCTCGTCCTGACTTGTGGTGTTAAATTCACCTGCTCGTGCAATGACGGTGACTCTGCGTCTCTGTACACTCAAGCCTGGTGCACCTTCAACTGCCCATCCGACCTCAAGCCGGCCATCAACGCTCTCAAGTCGCCACTCACCTGCGTAATGCTCTGGGGGCTATTGACATCGTCCAAGCACGAGAGCGAAGTGAAGAGTGCTTCAGCCTCCGTCTCGTTAGAGTCGTAGTGGCGTCTGCCCCGGGCGCTGAACGCATTGACAGACTCGCCCATGGGCCAGGATGAAAGTGACAGGGAACGGGAGCTGGAGGCGTACCCTTCCTCGTCACTCTCGCCTCCCCGAATCTCTTCGTTGCTGTCTTGGCCCTCGGCGTCTGCATCAACCGCTGCAGCCACATCCTTCAAGGTAAGCGACTGAGCGTGTGGCACCTCAAAAACTTCGGTGATCTCAATCCACGTCTTGACTGTGCGCTTCTCGCCGTGGTCGTCAACCTCGCGCTTGACAGAGTGTTGGTGACGAACGCTGCCGTAAGTGGTGATTTTGCTGACGTGCTCCGGGAGGTCGAGGCGTGAGAGCTTCAATTGGATATTGCGCAGCGACGACTTGGACCTCCGTTCGACGTGGGAGACACTCGAGGCCGAGGCTGAGGATGCCTCATGCTCGGCTCTGGCTCTGCAATCTCCATGTCTCCACCTCTTTTCATCTGCGAACGCACCTCCTCACTTCCAGACGCAGCCGCTAGCATACTGTTGGCTCTGCTTCTCATATCCGAGATCCCGAAATTTCTCTCTTGGCCTCTGGCCCATTTCTCTGCAAGCTCCGCATCCTCACGGCTGGCCAAATCAACCGTGTATTCGTTGAGCAACAAGCGCGCTGTTCCCCCTCTCGCAACCTTCGCAGCCATAAGGTCCATCTTGATGGCACGGGTTTCCTTTTCGAACGTCTTTGGGTCTGCGGCGTGCTGGAGGCGATACTGTTCGACCAGCTGTTGTACAGACATAGGGTGGGTGTTCGGAAGTGTAGGCATCGACAGAGCCGCTGCCACCGACTTCGTCCTGTGGAAAATAGTTTCAGGGGGGGTTGGGGGTGGAGGTATCAGGTGGCGGCGCGGAGGATTGGGGATATTGTGGACAGCAAACGTCCCGTAAGATTGAAAACCGGTGTCAGGTGCGGCAGCATCATCATCAACTTTCTTCACTTTCTTTGTCCTGATGGACTTGTTCCTCGTGGCGTCATTGCTCTCGTCCAACTCGCTGTCTTTGCCTTTGCCTTTGGCTTTCTTTGCGTCCTTCAGGGCCTCACGCCAAAGGTTGATCAACTCGCGTGCTTCATCGCTCGCCTCGATCCTGCTGGTAGGGCCCCAACTGACTTTCTGCACCGGATCGGTAGTCGTAGTGACCGCCGTACCACCAGGGAGGGGGCATTGGACAGACATGATGGGGACGCGTTCAGAATCCCAGGATTGGGTAAGTCCACTGTGATCTCCATAACCAACTCGCTTATCTCCCTTGCGATCTTTGTGCATGTAGACTGGAACTCTCATCCCGGGAAAGACGGCTTTGTGATATTTGTTGCTGGTAGTTTTGCTGCTACGGTCAACCTTGGTGGGATCTCCACAGCGTCCGCGTCCGCCCGATTTGGTACTTCCCTCGCGGTCTCTCACGGAGTTGAGGGGGAATGAGTGGCCATAAGGAGGAGAACCGGGAGAGTCGGCTAAGCTGCGACCTCTGACAGGTGTGCTTACTGCGGGAAGACCAGGGTAGAGGGCTGAATAGCTATAAGGAAGCAGATCGGGAGAGTTAGCCAAGCTACGACCTTCCACGGGTGTGCTTATCACGGGAAGACCATCGTCGAGGGCTGAATAGCCACGAGGAGGCAGACCGGGAGAGTTAGCCAAGCTGTGACCTCCGACAGGTGTGCTTGTCGCGGCAAGACCAGCCTCGGAACCCTGCTGCGAGCCATCTAACAAATCGTCCGAGGGCGGATTCCAGACAGGGACAGGACGCGGCTTTGCCATCTTTGAGATAGTACCGGAGGCGCGGCGGTCTGGGAGGAGACTGAGAGTGCGGATCGACGTCGGTCAACGCGCTTAGCAGGTGTCGTTCGATGAACAAAGGGTGTAGAAGGATGGCGCGGGATGGAGGAAGCACAATGTCACTGGAGATTGATCGGTTGGTGGCGCAGGTCTTGAAGCTGGAAGTGAAAGAAAAGTGAAGAACAATACAAACTGAGATTTCGTGAAGCCGCGACTTCACCGCCGCAGGGCAAGAACGTGATGCCGCGCCAAGCGCAATAGACTGGATTCAACGTACCGGACTCACAGGGAAATGGACTGAGATGGACGTCTTGCTGGTCAGAGTCTTTGATCAACAGGGACGCTGTATGTCTTCTACGTTGGCGTGTCACTTACCACCATCTCCGTGTCCATCCCCCGGTCAATAGCCGGTCAGTAGCCTTGCTTCTTCTTAGGCATGTATGGCTCCTCGAGGTATTTGATATCCTCATCACTGAGCTTGATCTTGCAAGCCTCGACGGCCTCATCCATCCGCTCCTTCTTGTTCAAGCCCACGATCGGACAGACGTCCTTCTTGCTCAGGCACCAAGCGATGGCAATCTGGGCCATGGTCTTGCCCATCTTCTTGGCCACCTCCTCGACCCGTCCCACGATCTCTTCGTCCACTTTGTCCTCTCTCGACCGAATCTGGGCCTGGAGGTAGTTGTCGGTCTTCTCACGAAGGGTGTCTCGGTTGTTGAAGGGGCGTGTCAAGGCTCCACGCGCCACAGGCGACCACGGCACCAGACCGACGCCCGTGTGGTTGCAGTAGGGAATCATCTCGTGCTCTTCCTCCCGGTAAAGCAAGTTGTAATAGTTCTGCATCGAGATGAACTTGTGCCACCCGTGCTTGTCGGCGACGTTCTGCAGTTCCTGGAACTCCCAGGCGGCCATGCTGGAGGCGCCAATGTAGCGGACCTTGCCGGATTCAACAACATCATTGAGGGCTCTCATGATCTCTTCGCGAGGCACCGAGCGATCCAGGCGATGAATCTGGAGGACGTCGATGTACGTCCCCAGTCGTGCAACACTCTTGTCCACGGCATCGAGAATGTGTTTGCGGCTGAGGCCCATTTGGTTCAGCATGTCCCCATCGTTGATGGTGACGGCACTGACCGGGTTTGAAGGTTTGTCAGGTGTCACGCCGAAGTAGCATTTGCTCAGGATCACGAGGCGTTCTCGTGGAATATTGTATTTCTTGATGGCCTTGCCGATGATCTCCTCGGATCGACCGTGGCTGTACACGTCGGCCGTGTCCCAGGTCCTGATGCCGACCTTGTAGGCATGTTCCAACAAAGGCAACGAGTCTTCTTCATTCAAGACCCAGCCTTGCCATTCTGGCATGCCGTAGGACATGGCTCCTCTGGTCCGTGCGGTTTAGCATGGCGAAATCACACCAACACCATCGACTCGACTTACAGGATGACCTTGGAGACTTTGAGCCCGCTCCTGCCGAGATATTGATATTCCATCTTTGGCGTTTGAGATAACCCAAAAGAGCTGGTGGAATATGAACGAGATGGCGCACGCTGTTTGAGATGTACTCAAGGGCCGTGATGCGACAGCAGGTCAGTTGCACTTTGCTTCCTCCTCTTTCCCTGTTGCTTGAGCTGGATTGAGAGCACTCTTTTATACATCGAGCTCCAGGGCGACAGGGACGGAGGGCGCTCTTGGGGATTGAGCTCTGTGCTGTTGCCAGACATTGGTCGCGTCGGTGAGTGTTGATGGAGCTGACATTATCTCCAGCTGTCTCCAGGAGATGCCAGGGCTCAATGCCTCGAAGAAGCGAATCATCTCGACGTCATGATCGGACCTAAAGATTCAGCACGGAGAATCCTCTTTATCACCGAAGGTGGTGGCTATTGTCAAGCAAACTGAATCATGGCCGCGCCCATGTCGACGCTTTCCACGGTTTGTCTCCGTTCTCGGCGCGGCCGCCGCGGCCGCAGGACAGACACCGCATGCCTCCTGTCTGTGTATTTTGTCTCCCTGCCTTCTTGGGTATTCGATGAGCACAGTACCATAGAAGCTTCTGAGAACAACACGTTCACATGTCGGCTACGGTCACGGAAATGTTCCGACCAATTCTCGAAAGGGAAGCAGCCTTATGGACGACACTAATAAGCACGGCAATTCTTGGGCTCAAGGCAGTGGGGAACGCGGTCAACGTCCGGAGATGGAAGGAGTCCTTGGTAGGCATCGTCCCGCCGCTGCCGAAGGCTAGTGATTCTTATTGTCGCTCTGTGCAGGAACACCATCGTGCTGGAGTGTCGGATCAGATGGATTTGTTTCGTACGTGGGTCATTGAACAAATGGTATGTGTTTAGTGATACTCGTTTGATTTCTTGGAAGGTCTTCTTTTCCAACAGAGGTAAATGCGAGACAAAAGGCTCCAACACACGCCCTTGCTCCTCTAAAGAAAGCCCATCGCTATGAACACTGATTTCTTGTTGAATCATACCAAGAATGCCCTTGCCTGTCACCACTACCTGCGTGGGGTTATGCAGATCATCATTATCATTGTCTTCGATGGTCGTAAGAATCATGCCATGTACTCCCTCACCGCGGCAATACCTCTCCTCTTCTTTGCTCCCCCTTCCAACGCCTTGGCCGCAGTGTCATTCGGCTGGGCATCACCAAACCCACATCCCCCGTCTCTCGTCTGAGCGATGATTGCCCCTGCGCACTTTCCAGTGTTGAATCCACAGCAGCCCGACGCACAGTCTGCGTCACTGAAACATTGCCCAGTGATGAATTGCGAACCATTGGCTTTGCCCACGTTTTGAGAGCCCGGGATGGTGGTGTCGATGGGTGGATTCGAGCCACTGGTTCCTGATCCGGAGGAAGAGGAGCCAGATGTTCCGGTGCCGGAAGAGGCCGTGCTCGCGGGAGCCGGTGCAGAAGAGGCAGCCGAAGTGGGTTGTTCTCCACGGAGCAGTTGTGCAGCGTTGTCGTTGGGCTGAGCATTGCCGAATCCACAGCCGCCATCTCGCTCCTGGGCGACAATGGCTCCCGCACACAGACCCGTGTTGAAGCCGCAACAGCCCGAGGCACAGTCCGCGTCACTCGTGCATGGCCCCGTGATGAATTGCGTTCCGGTCCCGACGTTGCCGTTGTTGGAACCCGAGGCAGCGGCAGTGGTGGCTGCGGGGGCAGGGGCTGCCGTCGCTGGGGAGGTTGCTCCCGCTGCCGCAGCCGACTGTGAGCTGAAGAAGGCTTGAGCGGCGATGTCGTTGGGCTGTGCGTCACCAAAACCACATCCTCCGTCGCGTGTCTGGGCTATGACGGGGCCGGCACACAGACCGCTGTTGAAGCCACAGCAGCTGGATGCACAATCGGCATCGCTCGTGCAGGGACCAGTGATGAACTGTGTGCCTTGGCCAAGGACCAGGAGTGCCACTGTGCCGTCCACTGTCAGCACATGTTTCGATGGCGAGACTTGATTGAGAGAAGACTTACAGTTGAGTACTAAGAGTACCAGAGAAGAGGATCTTGAAGGAGTGTTGGTCATCATTTTGAATATAACGTCGCTGAACTGAACCGGCAGTTGCTTTGGAATGGAATGAGTGTGAAATGTTGTCACAAAAGATGAACGACACAAGAGCGGGCTGAAGGAGAGACTGAACGTTGTTGATGGATCAAGAGAACGAAGAGCTGCGAGGTGCAGCGTGTTGTATTTGAATACATCGATCACCAGGCATCAAGGACGCAACCTACCCAGGGAAACCCCTTTTCCATTAGCAAATGGAATCTAGTTCGGTGAGCATCCAAATACCATGAGGCTGGATGGAACACCTCACAATCTCCAATGAAGTACTGGTGGGCAATGCAACCTCAATCCAATGGACAACCAAATCAACGAAGAAGAGGTTGGGGGGTCAAACAGCGGCCGGCAAGGCTGCGACGGTGGATAAGGGGAGCTTGTTCCAGCATCCAAGGGGCATGCGGGGATCAGTCTGGCGATTGGCTGCTTCGGGCATTTCTGAGGCACCAATCGTAGCACCTTGAGGCCCTGTCTGAAGTCGAGTTTCACTTTGTCCACAAACAATAGTAGTCTTGGGAAGAGCATCCACACAAGGGGGGTACGGTGGCTGGGGAGGTACGGGGCACAGTAGAAGGTCATGATGATAATCGCTCGTGGCCATCCTGGGGACCAGTGTATCCCCTTTGGCACAGCGCGTCGTAAAACAGTCGACGCATTCGGGGTGCACGATACACGTCAAGCTGCCTTTTTATCACCAGTGCAGGCGTTTCATCAAAGACCGTGAGGAGGTACCATGTTCCCTCGCCAATCGATCGACCAACCCTGCTGTTAGATGAAGCGAGTTGAAGCGATCAACATGTTTCTAGGTATTCGGTACAGTGAGTGCTCAAACTGAGTTCCAGGCGGTGCAGGTGATGATAATTGGTGCCAAATGACTATTGGCGGGCCTAGTTATGCCTAGTTATGCCCAAGTCACCACTGGTTAGGCTCTAGTCTTGGCAAACGGGGCTCAAGGACCGACTACCTCGTAATCCCGAGTACGAGCGAGCGAGGTACTCGCACCCAACTCGTAGGGACTTTCTGGCTTTCTGTCAAATTTTACCATACACTTAATAACACGACCAGACCTTGTGCGAACACCCCGGTGCTTCTGATTCTAAGCAGCATCAAACCACCATCATGCTGCAGAACAGTGTAATAACAAGCTGGTAACATGCCATGACTTGGACACCGTACTCGGTTCCTATGGGGTGAAGCCCTCAGCCCAGCTGCAAATCGTTCCCAAGTTCATATCCCCAAGTGCCGTCCAAGCTGCGGTATAGGAAGGAGTTTGACGTATGTTAACGCCGTCGATATTTCTGGCCAGACTCTGCAATCAACTCTATCACATGAAGATTGGGCCGTTCGTGATCTTCTCAATGTTCCACTGAGGCTGGAATTTCCCAACTCACGGACATGTGCACACTATGCGATAACCTAGCATTCTCGGCGCCTTTGCTGTCCTCATTCGTTTCGCGGTCTTGTCCGATCGAGGCTGGACATGTTGGATAAATGAAGCGTGTGCCCTTGCCAGGCGACGATGGCCGCGGACATCGTGTACCATATTCCTGACGATGGATATCATTAGGACCAGCGCCGACGGCTACCAAGAAATCAGGACCGGGTTAGGATGGCGAAGGGTGCTCTCTCCAGCCAGCACCGAGGCCACATTCAGCCTTCCCGTCATTGACATTGGTGATATGGGCCATCCCGATCGAGAACGTCGAAGGTCCGTGGCGCGAGAGGTATGCCATGCTGCAGCCAATGTGGGTTTTTTCTATGTCAGCAACCATGGCGTCCCAACCAGGGTGATCGAATCCATCTTATCAGAGACCAAACGCTTCTTTCACGACCTGAGTCTCGAAGAGAAAATGGAGTATGACACAGAAAAGCACGAGCACTACTACGGCTACTATCCGATCAATCTTGACCCCAATCTGCCTGCAGGAGCAAGTATGTCCCAACACAACCCCAGTCTTAGCATGCCTCACACTCTATAGAATTGAATGAAGGCATCAACTATGGGTATGAACCCTCAATCGACCCCGGAGCCGCTACCTCGGACAACAATGGCGACAACTGGTGGCCTACAGAGAAGCGTCTCCCTGGCTACGAAAAGAATGTCAAGGAGTATATGTGTCATGTTCTCGCGTTAAGTCGAGCTCTGCTTCGGATGTTTGCACTTGGCCTCAATCTGGACGAGCACTCGTTCGACCACCTCGCTACGAGACCATACTCCATTCTGAAGATGGCACATTATCCTGGAAATCTTTCTGGGACAGATGAACCGTCATCAATCCGGCCCCATACAGACTACGAGCTTTTGACCATTCTCTTACAGGACGACATTCCCTCACTCGAGGTCTTGTCCAATACTGGGCAGTGGATACAGGCGAAACCCATCCCAGGGACATTTGTGGTCAACATTGGAGATTCCATGGCGATGCTGACGAATGGCCTCTTTGTCTCCACCATGCACAGGGTGCTCAACCTCTCAAGGCGAGATCGCTATTCGGTCCCATTCTTTCTGGGCGGTCAGTATCCTCCATGAGTCCACCCTCTACTGCGTGCTGATTTCATGACAGCCAACCAAGAGGCCGAGTTGAAGGCTCTTGAGCAATTCGTCACGTCTGATCAGCCGCCCAAGTTCCAACCCATAACTTCAGGGGAATACGTTCGTCGATCCTTGCAAGCAGTGTATGCAAAACCGAACATAGAGATTATCCGGGAGACAATCGAACTGCAGGGATAAGGACGCACTTGAGACGCACGCCTATTTAAGCTCTGCGGATACTCAGCGCTTTACACCATCTCCGCTTCTGTCGTCTTCCACGCATGAACTTGCCAGAACCGGGGCGAACTGTATTGTTGTGTCTTGTGAAAGAGCCGCCTCGCTGCTTCGAGCCATCTGGAAGGACTGGGAGACTCTGATGGCGTATGCTTACACATCAATATCTCACGGACTGAAGCTCCGAGACCGATACTGCCATGACCGTCAGCAGCTGTTGGTCGCATAAACTCAGGCCATCACCGATCTTGATGTTCTAACCCTGAAGGTGCTTGGTGTTAATGGGGATCGATTAATCTCTCTCTATTAACTGAACAGATCAAACAATGTTAAAGGTAGATTCGCACCCGAATTCGATAGGGAACGCGGACGGAACAGGGTGCTCTCATGGCCTTGGTCTGCATGGTCTGGCGTCGCGTTTGCTGGCCTCTGTGCTTCGACATGAAACACCAGTAAGCCCAGGTCTCGGACCGGTCCGCCCTCTACTCTTCCTGGACAAATTTGCGTATTCTCTTGTTTCCCGGCAGCCGAGATGGGAATGCTTGTGGTTAGTTGCTGCTGTGTATACGCATTCTTCTAGCGCAGGATGCCTTACATTTGAACGTTTACGACTCTCACAAGCCAAGCACGTCGGATCTTAAAGTCCTCGCAGCATCGTCTGAGACAATGCAACCTCTACTTGACTTGCTGTTCTAAAAGCCCGCCCCCTTCGACACGCTGGGAGCGGGATTTTCGGGCAAGCATCCACGGCCACCCCTCCAAACAGTCCAGTTACCGTTCGGGAGAAAATAGCGCAAATCGATGCCACAGCTACAGATCAGCTCAATGGCGTACCTGCACGATTCGGGGGCGTAGCTGCTCAACATGCCAGGAAGATCCAGCAGAAGTACGATGAAGAACAGCAGAAGCGAAGACGACCGGACGGCGATGCGCAGTACGTTGATCTGGCACTGTCAGAGCAGTTCAAGCACTATCGAGAAGGCTCCTGGTTGGATGGACGCTCCGAAACGGTGACCATCGGTGACGGCGAACACATCAAATATCTTATCCTGGGAGCGGGATGCGGCGGTCTTCTCTTCGCCACCAAGCTCATCAAGGCAGGCATATCAGTGTCCGAGATCCGTATCGTCAACTCTGCAGGAAGTGTGGGAGGAACGTGGCATTACAACCGCTATCCGGGGCTGATGTGCGATATCGAGTCATACTGCTATCTTCCCCTTTCTGAAGAGACGGATTACATTCCGAAACACAAGTATGCGTACGGCTACGAGTTCAGGGCGTACCTGAACGCCGTCGCAGACAGATATCGACTCTCGAAAACGGCAATGTTCCGGATCACAATCAACAGCCTCCTCTGGGACGACTCGAGCTGCCAGTGGAAAGTCGGCATGACCAAGAAACGCAAGTCAGGCCCTGAACTGAAGATTGAAGCGACTGTGGATTTTGCCATTGCTGCGTCTAAATTCATTCTATATCCAAAACTTCCTACCGTTTCTGGGGTCGAGAACTTCAACGGCACCTCATTCCACACATCGCGCTGGAATTACTCTGTTACTGGCGGCTCTGAAGACAACCCCATCCTTGACAACCTCTCTGGCAAACGGGTGGGCATTATTGGTCAAGGTGCCACGGCAGTGTAGGTGGTTTCGCACCTCGCCAAACACGCCGGTCATCTCGTTGTGTTTCAACGGACTTCGTCCTCCGTCGACATACGCAGCCAGCGCCCTACTAACAAGTACACATGGAAATCTACCGTCGCCTCCCATCCTGGCTGGTGGAAAGAGCGGAATCTTAATTTGGCGGTCCACCTTTCAGGCGCACCTCCGCCTGCCGACCTCGACCTTGTCAATGATAAGTGGAGTACCTACCTCTCATGCCGTGGCCTGCTTGGAGGCACCGATCCGCCGTCTTCAGTGGATGAGATTCCGACCTTTGTGGCACATCAGTACGCTCTGGACCTGCCTCGCGCCGAACGAATCCGCCAGCGGGTCGACGAGATCGTGGAGGACAAAAGGAGTGCCAAGACCCTCAAGCACCGGTACAGCACTTGGTGCAAGCGACCAACATTCCATGACTATTTACCATGCTTCAATCTCCCAAACGTCGAGCTTGTTGACACGGATGGAAAGGGTGCTGATCGGCTGACGGCCACGGGAGCGGTTGTAGGCGACAAGGAGTGTCCATTGGACATCCTGATCTTTAGGACCGGCTTCCGGGCCCCTGGAATTGGCAGCCCTGCTTTTCGTGCCGGCATGATAAGTTCACGCTCTCTTTTGGTGGTCTACTCTGGTCTTGGCCAAGCCGCTCGCATCAGCTCATCGTTTCCTGTTCTGGGCTAACAGAAATCCATAGAAAATCACGGGCAGGAACGGTAAAGACATGGATGCAAAGTGGGAAGAAGCCGTGGCCATGCTGCACGGGACCGTGACGCACGATTTCTCGAACTTTTTCATGCCGGGCCCTTTCCACGCAGCTGCAACAGGGAATCAGAATTCCGTGCTCGACATCATGTCCAATCACGTGGCCCAGGTTATCACCCAGGCTCAGACAAAGCATCGGGCCGGAAGATAGTCATCGAGCCGACGAAGGAAGCGGAAGAGAGGTGGTCCGAGGAAGTTGTCAAGAGGAGCGTGGCATTTGCGGGCATGGCGGGCTGTACGCCGGGATATCTCGATGGAGAAGGAATCCTGGACACACTGCCGATGGAAGTGAAGATGAAAGCTGCCCCGAACGGGGATCTGGGGCGAAGGCATCCAGCATTTTATGGAGACGCTGGAGGCTTGTGAAAAGGCTGGCCAGCTGGAAGGGTTGGATGTGAAGCCAGTTTCAGGTCACTGCAGAGAGACGTTTGTCCTGGGCGCCTGGTGGTCAGATCGGTGGATTGGAGCTTACTTAGAGTTACCCGTCTGTCCACTACCCACGCCGTCCACTATAGAAGGATGCTAGAGCCAGATAGAGCGGAGCATCGTCTCCGGAAGAATCTCTTTGCCCCGGCAAAAATGACGTGTCGGTCGCCAAGCAAAACTCGGCAGTCGGCGTCGAAGCCGCGACGTCGACACCGACGGCCGGTCCGACTTCCATCTTCATTTTCTCGTCTCGCGTGACCTTCGTGTGAATTGTTTTGCTTCATTGCTATTTTCATGGAGATAGACAGAAATGCCAGGCCGTGGTCGGCTGGGAAACGGGTTTCCCAGCTCCTGAAGAAGCCCAGAATCCATTGAACCGGCCCCCTCACCACGCTGAATGCTTCAGGGGAGGGACGTATGACACGACCGGAGCCGAATTAAGGCAGTTACGGCTCGTTCCAAAGCCGTCACGCCCGCTGAGGACGCTGGAAGACGAAAGCTACGCGGCCGTGGCCAAGGACTTCACTACCAGCGAATTCGATATCGTTCACTCACTTGGTCCGTGGGCCAGGACTGTCAGACGATGGAGGCATTGAGGAGGGACCAACAGAAAGCCCTTTCCTACGTTGATCCATGGGCTATGGGATGACGAAGCACATCCTGTTCCTCATGACTTCACTTTCCACAGCGAGAGTTGAACGGGAGAGATTCGGGCTCGAAAGCCAGGCGGACCTCTATCACCCACTCTTTGGCGTCGACTTGTGGGAAGAGAACGGGAGACTCCTGCCTCAGAGCCACTCATCCTCAACACAATCTCTCGCCATTATGTCGCTTGCCAGGTGAAAGATAAACCCCCTTCGAGGACACATGCGACCTTTGTGCTCCAGGAAAGCGGTCCACCCCGACGACCATCCGGCTGTCTCTCCAACTCGAAAATCAATCAATCTGGATGCCCCCTGCGCACAGACCATGGTTAACAAGAGGTTTATGAGATCCACATACAGGTCGACTATAGATGTCTTCCCTCTCTCACACAAAGGTCGACCGTCATCTTCGTCCAGATTCGAACAAGCTTCATGGTAGAAGGGTGAGTCCGCGGGCCAACAACCTTTCTCACTGGCACGACTGTATGATTGAACCAACAAACAACTTTGTTCTCCAGGCCTATCATGCGCATTGAAAGGTCAATATTGGATTACCGCCAGCTGTCTCACAGAAGACAACAGGTGTTGGGCGGTGTGGGTTTATCATTAAAAGATGGCGCAGAGACTGATAAGCCCGACCCAATAGCTGCCCTTGAAACCGCCTCAAAGTGTAAGCTCACGGAGTTAGGTTGACCAGGCCATGGCCATCACATTGTTCGCAGCCAGACACGCCGGGGGTTCCCGCAAAGGAAGGTCTGGGGTTGCAGCACGGATCCCAGGCAGCACAAGCTCGACAAGCCGGATTCTCGTCTCAAATGGGCATTTCGCTGGTCTTTGGTCAAAAAGAATTGCAGGAATGTTTCCCTTCCAGATGTCAAGCCTCACACTTTCGATCGCCAAGCCCACGATAGGGAGAGAGCAGGGCTGCAAATTGCCTGCTTTGATCCCCGAAGCATCGGAAATCTCGGGGGATGAGACAAACATACCGCCTCTTGATCGACAGCAGTGCCCAGGAAGTGGCTGGGTCAGGAACACAAACCCCAATTACGATTGTGGAGGGTTATCGAGATCCGAGCGCACATGACGAGTTTCTCTCCAAAGGGCCTTCTGGAGGCGATTGGGGGGGGAAGATCCGCGGTCCCCAATCATAAAAAGATGCTGAAGTGAACAGCTCACAGGCGCAGGGCAGGCATGCCGTAACCGCCAGTAACCTTAGGTCACCAGCGTGTCGAGCGGCTTGGGCTGATAAACTAAACCAGAAATGGGGTTGCACGGCGGCCAGGGTTGATGGGTTTTAATATGTCTACGGACATCCATTATCTTTTTCCCTCGACATTTTTGTTTCCACCGACCGACCGACGACACCCCCTCCGAAAAATTATGTTGCCGATGATTCCATGAACGGCTCCAACATCAAAGACACAGACTTGCCCACTGGCATCGATGCCTTGCGACAGGCCAGCATCGCCGCCCACATGGGCGCGATAACCACAGGGCCACAGTATTCCGGAGTGCCGGCCACACACATTTTACAGCCCCTCTCTCCTCCGAGGTACAATAATGTCGACACGCATTTTTATTCCAGCCTGTCACCGAGCGACGCCGGACATGATTCGCAGCAGATGTTGGGACGACTCGATTACTACATGCAAAGCCCCGACCACGCTGCCGACATGGCGGCCAAGGAGGAGAGGCGCAAACGCAACACCGCTGCCAGTGCACGGTTCCGCGTCAAGAAGAAACAGCGGGAACAGGCCTTGGAACGGAAGATGAGTCAAGTCCAGGACCGCAACGCAAAACTGGAGGAGAAAGTGAATCAGCTGGAGATGGAGAACAAGTGGCTGAAGGATCTAATCACGGAGAAGAACAAGAGACCAGCGAGCGAGTACGGAGATGGCGACGACGATCTGGAGGCGTTGGCACATGGGCGTATGGTTGTTAACGGGACAAGCGGAACCGACCACGACGGATAGATTTTAGGGATCAGAGCGCCCTTTACGAGGTCCTTGGTACTTCTTGGGCTATGGCAATTTTACTACCACGACGACGCGGCAGGGTGTTTGAAGGGGGCGGGCGGGCTGGTGTTCAAAGTACAATGCAGAAGGCCCCCAAGGAAGTAGTGCCCGGCACGCCCACCAGGTGGAAAGGTTTCGAACGAAGTTAATACAAGGCTTGAGAAGCATATTCTATCATTGCAACATACGAACGTGTCTCTTCTGTCTGCTGTTAGTCTTGCTTACGCACCTTTGTCGTTGCTACAACGTGCGCACCAGTCCCAGAATGTCATTTCCACCACGCTTTGGCAACCCACGGATTCCGTTTTCATGCATTATTCGGCTGATGGGGTGAAGTCGTCATTAGAGCTGCAATAGGGATTGGAGTCGCGGTCTGATCACGCCATTCTGTGGGACGAGCACGTCTGTGTAGCCAGCACTAGGCATCCGTTACATACTGTAGGTAGGCTATAGGGGGTGGGCTACCCTGGGTCTCTTAGGGGGAAAAGGGCTTGTTCGGTGGAAGTTCGGGGGGCTCACTAGGCATGGTGCAGCCTCACTAGCCCATTGTTCCCCCCCCAATTTCACCGCCTGGGAGGAAACTGACGGGGTGAAGGAACCACCAGCTTTCGACCACCCACGTACGTACTGTACCAGTAAAATGGATTCTCGTGTGATCGGAGTGACCTAGGAACAGATGCAAAACCACTGACCTTCAGGAGAGGACGGCGCCATGGTCTGGCAGAAGTTGTCGTGGTGGCTGGTGTTCTTGGGTGCTGCTGTTGGGAGTCTGAGCACCAACGCTGCCCTGCACCGCAGCCATGAAGGAGGCGACGACAGAGGGTGGCAGCAACATCCTCTCACACTCGACCAGCAGCCATCCAGGTCCAGGCCCAACATCGTCTTCATATTGACTGATGACCAGGACCTGCGCATGGACTCGCTGTCTTACATGCCCCATGTGAAGAAACACCTCATTGATCAAGGCACATTCTTCGAGCGCCACTACTGCACCATTGCCCTGTGCTGCCCGTCGCGGGTGAGTTTGTGGACAGGGAGAGCCGCCCACAACACCAATGTCACCGACGTCAATCCCCCCTATGGTCTGTTCTGTTTTGTCCTGCGCCTCTCCCTGTACTTTCCCTTTCTGACTTACTTCCTAGGTGGCTATCCGAAGTTCGTCAGTCAGGGCTTCAATGAGGCCTGGCTCCCCGTCTGGCTCCAAGACGCCGGCTACAACACGTACTACACAGGCAAGTTGTTCAACGCGCACAGCCTGAGGAACTACGACGCCCCCTTCGTCAAAGGCTTCACGGGCTCCGACTTCCTCCTGGACCCGCACACCTACGAGTACCTGAACGCCAGCTTCCAGCGCAATCGCGAGCCGCCCGTGAGCTACGAGGGCGAGTATTCCACCGACGTTCTGGCGGGAAAGGCGTACGGGTTTTTGGAGGATGCCATTGGGGAGAAAAAGCCGTTCTTCCTGACCATCGCCCCCAGCGCTCCTCACAGTAACGTCAATTTCGAGGAGAATTGGTTCAATGGCAGTGCGTCGGCCCACACGATCGTGACCTCCCCGCCCATCCCGGCCGAGCGGCACAGACACTTGTTTCCTGATGCTGTGATTCCGCGCACTCCCAGCTTCAATCCCGACGAGGTGAGTGGAAGTTGATCGTGCTGCTACAAGGCTCAGACTGACCCATCGAGCGCAGCCTCACGGTGTGTCGTGGATCAGCAGCCTACCGAAGCAGAACCAGACCAACGTCGACTTCAACGACGAGTTCTACCGCAACCGTCTGCGCGCCCTCCAAGCGGTCGACGAGATTGTCGACGGCGTCTTTGCTCGTCTGGAAGAGCATGGGATCCTCGACAACACTTACGTCTTCTACTCGACCGACAACGGCTACCACATCGGCCAACACCGTCTGCAACCGGGAAAGGAGTGCGGTTATGAAGAGGACATCAATATACCGTTGATCGTGCGTGGCCCGAGGATACCGAAAGGGACGTCGCGTGCTATTGTCACTTCTCACACGGATTTGGCGCCGACCTTTTTGTCACTCGCGGGCGGAGAGATTCGATCGGATTTCGACGGCAGCGCTATCCCCTTGATCTCTCCCGATGACGATGGTGCTGTCGAAACCCGGGGAGAACATGTGAATATCGAGTACTGGGGGTTTGCCCTGGCGGAGGGCAAATACGGCAATGCGATGTACTGGAACAACACCTACAAGGGCATCAGAGTGATTGGCACCGGCTATAATCTGTACTACAGTGTATGGTGCAGTGGTGAACACGAGCTTTATGATTTGAGGGTATGCCCGTTGACTCTGGTATTGATCATGTTTGCAAGACTGACCACTCCTCCTACCCAGAACGATCCGTATGAGACGCATAATCTGTACAAATCGAATCACTCCTCCGTCTTCGAATTCCCGGCCATCGCCACCACCACCTTGAGGCACCTCATCTCCCGACTCGATGCCCTGGTCATGGTCCTGAAGACGTGCAAAGCAAGGACGTGCACTCACCCGTGGGAGACGCTCCACCCCGACGGCGACGTGGACAATCTGCAAGATGCCTTGGCCGCACGCTACGACGACTTTTACGAGCTGCAACAGGAGCGGGTTCGGTTCGACAGGTGCGAGAAGGGCTATATCCTCGAGAGCGAGGGGCCCCGGCACGTCAAGGCATTTGTGCCTGGTCCCGGTGGTGACATGGGACCGCGGGGAGGAGGGCAATGGAGTGAACTTGTATAGAAACGAAAGAAAACACGACAGTATATCGTGATCATTTAGAAATAAAGGGGAACGCCATGGAAATTATTTCGGCACCACCTCTAACATTTCCCTACCTCGTACATACATAGTATGTACGCTACATCCCACTTATTTCCTTCGATCTCCCCAGCTCCCACGCCCTCGGCAACATTTGCCTCCTGCCTCTAGCTCGGGCTTCGTGCGAAAAAAAAAAAGATATCGAATTGTGCCTACCAGCAGAAAAGGTTTCACACTTTGACAGGACAGAGAGGCGTGTGTGTGGCGTGCTCGAAGAAAGACCCCAGTCCGTTCACGACCTGACTCGACGCAGCTAGCCACAGTTGATGTCCTCGATGGGCCTGATGCGGTGCGTGCTCGCCTCGCGATTTTGCGTGATCGCACACAATAATGCCGATCCTTCGACAACGGACACTGGTCACACTGGCATTTCCCCCCGGTTCAGGGCCCATCCAGACCATCATGCATTATTTGTTAGATGTGCGAACATTGTCCGTGATTGACCGACATTTGACGCCTTTTGGGGGGGAGGAAGGGAGTCCTCCGACTGGATGGGTCGACATCACCTCCAGTACACTCTATCGCTGTGCTGTGGCATGGAAGTAAAATATGGTTTGTTTTGTTTTGCTCTGATCTATTGACTCACGTCGTCGCCCCGGCGAGATCACACGACTCCCCCTTCCGCTGCCATGGAGGAAAGGAACAGACAGGGGAACAGGGGGCATGTCGTCGCCGCCGCAGACGAGACGACAGCACTGCTGCGACACAGCGACTCCGAGTCGTCCTCCTCCTCTGCCTCTTCTGTAGACGTCGAGCAGCAGCAGCAGCAATCATACAGGACATCACTACGCCGTCATTCGTCCGCGGCCAATCTCCCTCCATACCATGAACACCACCCTGCAGACCCTGCTACCACCACCACCACCACTACTACTGATACTTCGCCGGAAGCAGCAGCAGTAGTAGCAGCGGGAGGGGTCGCTGAAGAATCTTCGGCGCTGATCATCTGGACAATTGTCCCTGTTTCGCTATTAGGTATGTATATGTATGTATATATGTCTACTAGAAGAGGGAGAAAGAGACGACCAGACCAGACAAAACAAGACCGGCCAGCCAGCCAGCCATTGAATACTCATGCTAACCTGTGTGCCCGTGTTACCAAAACAGGTGTCTTCGTCGCCAACCTCGACGGCAGCCTGATCATCGCGTCCAGCCAGCAGATCGCGTCCGAGTTCAACGCCCTGTCGAGCGCCTCGTGGCTGGTTACCAGCTTCGTGCTGGCCCTCTGTGCGAGTCAACCCCTGGTAAGTAATATAAGACGACACTTTCTGCCGAGTGATACATTGCCCCAACTCTACTCAACGTCCGTGGCTGACTGACCACTACTAATGCCTCAAACCGACACAGTACGGTAAGCTGAGCGACATCTTCGGTCGACGGAGTAACCTGAGCGTGGCATACATCTTCTTCGCGGTGGGATGCTTTCTGTGGTGAGTTCCCACGAGACTTTGAGTATGGGGCCAAGTCGTCCATCCATACTTACACCGAACCATACAGCGGAATCGGGCGCGAATACTGGCATGTGGTCGCCGGTCGAGCCATCTCGGGCATTGGCGGCGCGGGCATGACGGCGCTGGTATCCATCATCATTGCTGGTACGGTTACATATCTCCCAAAGCTGATCCTGACCTACGACGACACCTACCTTGACTAACCCTATTTACCTCTACCTACAGACATCGTTCCCGTGCGAGAAGTCGCCACCTGGCGGAGCTACGTCAACGTCGCTGCCACGACGGGGCGAGCCGTCGGCGGACCCCTGGGTGGCTGGCTGTGCGACACGATCGGCTGGCGTTGGTGCTTCTACGGTCAGGTGCCCCCGACGGTGCTGGGTCTCGTGCTCATCCTGTGGAAACTGCCCAAGCGGACACGAAAGAGAACGACAACGGGCACCAAACCTGACGGTGATGACGACAGCGAGGGGGAAACCGCCTCGTTCCGCCGGAAACTGGCCCGTGTGGACGTGCTGGGCGCGGTGACGCTGATCGGAACCATCATCAGCTTCCTGGCCGCGCTGGAGTTTCTGAGTGCGGATGGTCATAACGACGACGGCGCTCTCCCCCTCGCCTACACACTGGGACCCGCGGTGCTGCTGTTCCTGACCTTCACGGCGCTCTTCTACACCGCCGAGCGCCGCTGGGCCGCCGAGCCCATCCTGCCCATCGAACTGCTCACCAGCCGCGCGACGCTGACGGCCTACCTGCTCGCGGGCCTGCAGATGGCGGCGCAGTTCAGCCTCTTCTATGCCGTGCCGCTGTACTTCCAGACGGTCGCAGGCACGAGTGTGAGCGACGCGGGACTGCGCCTCGTGCCGGCCGTCGTGGGCAACGCCACCGCCGGTCTGCTGGCGGGATACACCATTTCCAAGACCGGGCGGTACCGGCTGTTCACCGTGCTGGGCAACGCCGTGGGCTGTGTGGGCTACTTGCTCGTTCTGCTGCGCTGGCGCGGTACCGTGCACCCGGCCGAGACGCTCTACGTCTTCCTGGGCGGCTTCGCGTCCGGCACTAACCAGGCCACCACCTTCATCCACCTCGCCGCCAGCCTGGACCCGAGCAAGATGGCCGTCGCGGGCACGACGCTGTACCTCTGCTACAACCTCTTTCTGCTGATCGGCATCCAGCTCTCCACCGCGCTCTTGCACGCCCGTCTGCGGAGCAGTCTGGAGTCCGGCCTGGAGGGCGTCAAGAATAAATCCAAGGTATGTCCTCTCCCTCTGCGTAATATTTATCTACTACTTCGCAGACACCCCAGGAAAGGGGGCCCAAAAAACCGAGATCTCCGATCTCTCATATTCTCTCCTTTTCCCCTTGCATCTGATTCCGACACTAACACCGACCTGTTTGTATCTGGGGGACGTTACAGATCATCGAGTCCGCCGTCTCCAGCGTCAAATCTATCCGCGACCTGCCTCCGTGGATCAGGGACATCGTCCTGCGCGCCTACCTCGACGGGTTGAGCTGTACCTTTGGTAAGTCATGCGTCGTTCGATTTGATTTCCCCCCTTTCCTCTTGCGCATTCAGGGAATGAGCGAATGATACATCATCCACGCTACACTATACAATACATCCGATCCATCCCATCCCATCCCATCCCGCCCATTGCCTTCATTCAACTCCATCTCGTAAGAGAAACGGAAAGGGGTTGTTGGCCTGTCATGTCCCCCCACCCCTATTCCCTTTTCCCTTTTCTCTTGCCGGCCCAAAGAAAAGAGACCGTCCACATTAAATCGATAAATAACTAACATGGACCATCTGCATGAAATCCACAGCCATGTCTCTGGCCTTTGCCTTCCTGGGCCTGTTGGTCGCGATCAGCATGAGGGAGAAAAGACTATAATAGGATATTACAGCGGGCGAAAAGGACCGAAAGAGGGGGGGAGGGGTGGGAGGGAACGGCCAACCACGCCCCTCCTAGCACAAAAGGAATAGACAGGAATGGAAGCGGGAGGCACGACGCGTTACATAGATGTGAGTGTAGATACGGGAGCTCTCTGGCACTGAGGCATGACCATTAGTGATATACACGGAGACAGGCAGGAAAGGATAGATACATGGGTGTCTTGGGGGGGGCAGGGGACAGAACAACAACAACGGTAGAAGAGGTCGAGGGGGAGAAAGGACAAAGACAAGGACAACAACGGCGTCATATATCTATGTATATATATATAGAGAGAGAGAGAGAGCGACAAAGAGATATATTCGTCTGCATATGCCCGACTATCTTTCTAGGACGAGAATTGTACGTGACGATACAGGGGTCGTGTAAGACCAAGCGATGTGACTGTATAGGGGGATAGGGTAAGGGGAGAAAGACATGGTAGGGAGGGCGCAAACTCCAAAGAGATCGGTCGTCGGCCTCAGTGAGCAAATCTAAAATCCAACCTCTTGTTCCCTTTGTCCGTAGTCGTCTGGAGGTAGTGAACCCTCTCCTCGCGGCTCATGGCGTACCAAACCCTGTCCCGGTCGGCGTTCTTGCGGACGTAGTAGATCTTGGCGCCGATGAAGACGATGACGTTCCACGCGACGACGCCCAACAGCGCCTTGTTTCCCGTGTAGTAGTACGGCGCGTCGTTCTGGCGATAGATCTGCGACGAGAAGATGTTGGACGCCTGCACGGCCATATTATACAGCGAGGAGCCGACGGTGCGGGTGCGCACGGAGCCGGCGTTGCGGGACGTGAGGGCCACGAGGATCGCGTGCACGTACGGGTAGCCGACCAGCAAAGTGGACAGCGTCCACTTGGACCAGTTGGAGCCGTGGAAGTGAGGGGGCAGCGTGACCAGCGTGACCAGCGCGACCAGCAGCGGGAGACACCAGATCTGGCAAATCACGCCGAGCAGCAGTCTCTGGTTGATTCGTTCCGACACCCACGTCCAGAACAACAGCTGCACGATGAAGAGGGTGTAGGCCGGGATGGTGAGCAGGTTGGTCTGGAACGTGTCGAATCCCAAGGCCTTGCACGTCAAGGTAATATATGCCTGCGGAGGTGTGCTCGGGATGGTCCACGAGAGACCGATCAGGTAGATGGGCCACATGTCGTAGTCGGTGAGAGCCGACCAGAAGAGGTCGAAGCTAAGACCTTGCCGGTTGTGCATGGTCGCCTTCCCGGGGTCGTCGCGCAGGATGCGGGTGACCATGATGGTTTCTTCCCGCTCCGTGAACCAGCCGTTCTTGGGCCGAAGAAGCCCTTTGGTCCAGATCTTTCGGCCATTCCTCCGAGCAGCGGAGTTACGAGCGGTCTGGGTTGGCGAGGCCGGCAGGTACAACCAGGTGAGGATGCCAATCAGGCCGGTGAGGGCGCCTTCGATCGCGAACAGATATCTCCATCCCGCAATGCCTCCGTGGCCGCGGAGATGCAGGATACCATACGCGAGAAAAGCGCCCACGATCTGAGTCGATTGGTACGAGGTCCAGAACCAGCTCAGACGCTTTGGGAGTTCCGCGTTCGTGAAGAAGTAGCTCAGGTAGAGGATGGTGTCGGGAATAAACCCTCCCTCGATGAGCCCGAGGAGGAACCGGCAGATGTAGAAGCTTGTTTTCCCAGACAACGCAGCCTGCGAAGCCGCTACGGCGCTCCAGGCCACCATTTGGATCGGAATCCACGTATCTGGGCCGAGCTTCTTGCTGATAAGCTGCGACGGAAGCTCGGCAAATAAGAAGGAGCAGTAAAAGATGGTCATGCCGTTATTATAGTTGTTGGTGTTCATACCGAGATCCTCTACAGACACGCTCGTCAGTTCCCGAAGACGCTAATGGTGAGGGTCTTTTCATACTTAGCATATTGTCCGACAACGCTTGGGTAATGTTGCCTCGATCGAGTTGAAGTGCAAAGAACATGATGCATGTTGGAAGTGCAATCCGCCAATCGAGCTAATAGACGGTGTCAGCGAGGAGCAAGACTCGGTGCTTGTTCGAGACATACCCTCCTCACCAAAGCCTGTTCCTCTGCCTGGGTCCATTCAGCCGAGGGATCGAAACGATGTGTGCCCTCGAATCCCTCGATTGGCTTGTAGATATCCGTGGCTTCGGGAGCTTCGTAGACGTTGTTCACGTTCTTGACGACCGAGGGGTCAGTCGGCTCCAAAGACGACGTCTCGGAATCCAGCTCGATGTCGGCGTCGACGGAGACATGGCTGATATCCTTGCCACCGAACTGCCACCACCTGCGAGGTTTTGGCTGCCTGGTCGCTTCCTTGTTCCTTTCGGTGGTAGACGGGATCACCTCGGACTCGATTGACTTGTCCATGGCTACTGCAAGGGTTGGGCACGAGGATGTGATGCTTTGCTTTGCAAGACAGGAGACTAGGGCGCAGAAGAGGGTTATATAGAGCACAAACCACGGTCTCCCGCCACCTCTCGGATGGAAATACCTTTCAGCGGACGGGCTTCACAGAACGAGTTCTGGACGACACCAGCCCCGGCGTTTCTACCTTTTTTTTTCAGTGGCCATTGCCACAGCGAGCTGGTGGACGGTGTAGTCAAATCGTGGGATGATTGCGTGATTGTGTCGCTCAGACTTGCACCCTTCCATTTGGAAAGTGGTCTGTGAGGGGGCACCCTGCCAATATGCTCCTAAATCCACCGAAGGTCTCAACGCCGTTGCTGCTCCGGCCATGTGCCGCTCCATCTGACTAGAAACTGGCGTCCCACGCTTGCTGATCCGTGTCGTCGCGCGGGGAAAGAGACTTGCAATGCGTTGTAGAAATCCTGCAGCTCACAAGATCGATGCTCGAAATATCTATCCAACAAATAGGCACCCTGCAGGTCCGAGACTAAAGCTCCCGGTCCGACGAGCACCAACGCTGGTAGCCCCAGAGGCTACAAAGCAAGGAATTCGACATCTCTAGATCGACTGGCACATGCTTGGTTCGCTAAGACGGTGGAAAGGGATACAACGTGGTGGAGATAGGGTTTGCAGAGAAAGACATGATTGGTGGAGCGCGACTGCAAGCTTGATGTCGAGGTGCAACCGACGTCTTGGATTGAAGAAGCACGCCATCACGAACATTCTGACACCTTTTTCACTCCACTCCGGGCCGGTCGACTCTCAATCCAGACTTCATGGGGCGTTCTGTGCTCTGCAAAGGACGACAACTTCTGACTTATCTCATTGGTTCTCTGGTCAAGGCAAATTGGCCTTATCATACCCGCCAGTCCATTTCCCAGTCTCGACTGCGAGAGGAGAGAGGGGGTGCGTGTACCTCACATACTGATTCACTGATACGTGCATATCGGAGCATAGTGGTCAGCTCGTGTAATATGCCGGGCATTGGGAGGAGATGTCAGTCAACTTACGAGTCAGGATAATCAATGGAAGGATGTTGGGACTCGAGATTAAGATGGAGACGTCGCGGACGCCAAGCCGCACGTGATTCATCGGGATATCTCAATGTCCAGCAGCAACCTGCACAATTGATACCTACTGTGTGTGTGAGAGAGAGAAAGAGAGAAAAGTCCTCCTCGTCTCTCTGCTATCCTCCAGTCCGCCAGAGTCGAGCCGTGTGCCGAAGTGTGGATTCGTTTTCACCCATCAACCCCAAAGCATTGTGGCTTGAAGTGGGCGAACACGAGTGGTTAAAAAATTGTCGAGGATAGAACAGCACGCGAAGCTGCCGATTCGCGCCATTCCAACCTCAAATGGTGTCAGCATCTCGGTGAGCACCGGCCATGAAGATGGGCCCAGATACGCCGCAGATTGCGGAATCAAGATGTCTAAGCAGACGAGGTTGACATTGCGTCGAGAAATGCATCTGTGGCATCATTTCATCGTCGCCTGCAGTGTGCCTGCGTCCGATAGGGTTCAATGTCGATTTCAGAAGACTATAAAAGTGTGATGTACCCAGGGGTTGAAGATGAAGGATTTGCTGCAAGAACAGAAGTACCGTTCACGTCGCCCTTTTGTTAGTCGACTTCAAAATGGCACCCTCCGCTGTCGATATTGACGCCCCCCAACAGGACTACATCAAACAGAAGACCTTGTTCGGCAGGGAGCCTCTGAAGTCGTCTGGCTCTCTTGACCAGTTTAAATCCATTGACATCACCCCCGTTATTGGGACGGAGTTTCCGGAGGCCAATCTTGTTGAGTGGTTGAATTCACCCAAATCCGACGAGCTCCTGCGCGATCTCGCAATCAAGAGTAAGCCCATCCGGGCCTATCTGCGGGTGAAATGTTACTTATCATGTCAGTCTCTGAGCGTGGAGTCGTCTTCTTTAGGAAGCAGGACAATCTCACAAACGACATACAGAAGCAGCTCATCCAGCGACTCGGCGAGCTGACCGGAAAGCCCGAGACGTCGAAACTGCATATCCACCCTATCCTGAACTCTGAGAGAGAGCTGGGAGGTAGTGATCCAGAGATCAGCACTATCAGCTCTGTTCAACACGACAAACTTTATAAGAAGACGCCATATGACCAGAGCAAGAAGATCCAGGGCAGCGCGCAGTGGCATAGCGATATCGCATTTGAGCCAGTTCCCGCGGACTACACCTCACTTCGGCTGACCCAATTGCCTCGAACGGGAGGAGGTCAGTCACATTCGCACACCGAACGAAAAGCGAGGATTACTGACACAATGCCAGATACTCTATGGGCTTCGGGTTATGAGATCTACGATCGAATCAGTGAACCGTACCAGAAATTTCTCGAGACCTTGACCGCCACGTTCGCTCAGCCGGCCTTCAACGAGGTTGCCGACAAAGGAGGCTTCCAGCTCTATACCAAAGAAAGGGGAGCTCCGGAAAATGTCGGCGGCGAATTGAAGGCCATCCACCCTGTCGTTCGAACTAATCCGGTGACTGGGTGGAAGAGCATCTTCCCCGTGGGCGGCCACGTCCGCCACATTAATGGACTGACCGAGCAGGAGAGTAAGAACTTGCTTGACTGGTTTTTGGATTTGGTGTACAAGAACCACGACCTTCAGGTACGGTTCAAATGGGAGAATCCAAACGACATCGGTAAGTGATCATGGCCACTTCCGGAAATCGTCTGTCTGACAAAGAGCCAGCTATCTGGGACAACCGCAGCGTGTTCCACTCTGCGACCTATGACTATCGCGGTGAAGGAGAGCGCTTCGGCAACAGGGCAGTTGGTCTGGGGGAGAGGCCCTACTTTGATCCCAACAGCACATCCAGAAGGGTTGCGCTGGGGAAAGTGGACAACAATTAGACGGAGTAGTTGGTGCATCGTACCAAACGGCACATTTAGACCTACTCTCGTCGGCTAGTGAAGCTCACCCGAGTCCGACAAATCAAATATACTATCCTTTTAACCTGTATCCCCCCAGCACTGTCTATGTCTTCACTGTCCCGTGGCTGAAATGACGCAGTCTTGTGGCGTGGATCAAGTACATATTCGTCCGAGCCACCACGGTCTCCCAGGAGAGCAGTCGAAGTATTCTACCCTTACGGGTAGTATCAATATGTTGCCCAAGTCTCGTATCACTCTCTTTCGGTTTGGTTTTCAGGCGTGCGTACACGGAGCAGGGAGCAATGCTGTAAGTACTTTTATTGCCTTTGAGAAAGAAACTGTTCTGCCTTTAGTACCATTTAATGATCAACTCCAAAGAGGTGATTCGTTCTTCAGGGTTCCAGCCGCCTGGTCGATTGAGTAAACCTACTTATTGCAAGTAGGACAATCCCCGTATCTATCTCCCTCTCTCTCCCCCCCTCTCTCTCTTTCTTTCTCCTTGCTCCTTTCGAGGCTTGCAGCAAATTTCCAGGGTATTCTACTCATCCAGGGAAATACTTCATTCCACCATCACCTGTCCACATGCCCGGCGCGACTTGTCGATCTGCTCAGTGTCTCGAGAGCCAATTGCCGCACGGTATTAGTGTGTAGTTGATTGGCTCCTTTGGGGCAGACTCGGTCTCGTCCGTCATTTACGTATCACACCTGTGCTCTTCCCCGCGCCGGTGCAACCAACCAACCAGTCAACCGGCGCCCAGTCGCGACGCGCCCTTCCCATGTCATTTTGCAACCTTCTTCTTGATATACGCGACAGTGACGAAATCGCAATGTTCCTAGGGGCATGAAATGGGCTCTACGTGGAGATGAAAAGGACTTTTATATATTTATATATACATACATATAGACCCAGGAGGCTAGGATGAATCAATGAATAGAACCTACCCCAGGGGGGAATTCGGGTTCGAGTGTGATGTGCTGTTGATTCTCTTGACATACATCTGACCCTGAACCAGTTCATAAGTACTTACCTACTTGGTACATACGTAGCTTGTTCTCGTTCCATACGTACCTCACTCAACCAAACCACCCCCAGAACCAAAGAACCGAGCTACATACATCTCAAATCCCCCAATCCCTTCCCGCCAAGCTAATGATGGCGGATGTGACGGTCAAAATCGCATGCCACTGCCAGCTGACCTCGTTCTCCGTCTCGATCCCGCCGTCGGCACTGCCCCTGAAATCGGCGCTGTGCCACTGCTCCTCGTGCCGCCATGCCACGGGCCAGCTGTTCGCGACCTGGGCCGTGATACCCGCGGTGCTGCCGCCCGGCGTCCTGGACGCCACGGGGGACGGCAAGCTGGTTAAGTACGCGTCGTCGGCGACGTGTCAGCGCTGGTTCTGCAGGCGTTGCGGCGCAAGTGTCATCAACGTCGATGGGGGACAGGGTGAAGAAGAGTGGGAGGTCGGCACAGGGGTGCTTTATTTCGACGACCAGCACCAGGCAGGGATCACGGGGAAACTAAATCGCGTGCAGCTCTGGGTGGAGGATGTCAAAGGGGACGGGGGCGCGGTGGGGTGGATCAACCAGGGAAAACTGCAAGGGATGGACAGGCATTGGAGGGGACGAGACAGCACGATGGTCAACGACGACGAGGTCAGGGACCTCATGACACGCAAAGCCGATGTTCGAGACGACACGGAGCGGCTCGTGGCGCAGTGTCACTGCCAAAACGTCCGCTTCGAAATCTCCCGGCCTCCCAGCAGCGACTACAATGCAGGAACGGGCAAGTTTGAAGCGGGCCTTGACGCATGCACGTCCTGCCGGACCGTGACGGGACTCGAAATCACCTGCTGGGCTACGGTGCCGAGGAGTCTCATCGTCGTCGTCGGCGCGGATTCAGATCTCGAGTCTCTGCTGGCGAATACGGTGCGGCTGGGCCACTACAAGACGTCGGTGGATGTGAGTCGGTACTTCTGTGCCAAGTGTGGTGCCACGGTTTTCTACTACAAGCACGGCCTGAAAACGATCGACATTGGCCTGGGACTTCTGGTGCCCACAACCGAGGGGGCTGTTCGTGTCGAGTCGTGGCTCGCGTGGCAAAAGTATCCCAAGTGTCTGGGGTATGAAGAAGATGCAGTTGACACGGCTTTCGTGAGGAATTTGAAGGAAGGCATCAAGCATTGGAAGGGCAGCTGAGCGGTGATTAGCAGGGAAAAAGAGGCTGTTGTCTTGTTCTTGAGCTGGCAAGCTAGACACAGTCACATAGCTTCTCGCTGGTGTAAGATTCATTTGATTACCTGCTCGTGCTGTACATGATTCCAGTTATTTGATCTGTTTAACTAGAGAATCTCTTCTCGGCAGCCTTCCAGTTGATGACATCCCAGATGGCACTGAAGTACTCGGCCTTTCGGTTCTGGTACTGGAGATAGTACTGTTTCGTGGTCAACAAATGCACAACCCTATAACATGGTAGGGGTGTCTCTCTCTTACAGCATGTTCCCAGGCGTCAACACCCAGCAAAGGCTTGTATCGACCAACGACGGGATCCTGGTTCGCATATGTCTGGATCGCTATGTTGCCGGTCTGGGTGTCCTTGACTAGCCAAGCCCATCCGGAACCTTGGATACCGGCCAGGGCGGCATTGAACTTCTTCTTCAACTCTTCCAAGCTTCCATAAGTACTATCAATCACCTTTGCCAGCTCTCCCGAGGGAGGTTCGCCGCCGCCCGAGTTCTTGGGTGCGAGGTTCTCCCAGAACAAGGAGTGGTTGACGTGGCCACCACCGTGAAAGTTGATCAGCGGCTGCAGGGCAATCTTGGCGGCAATGTCGTCGTTGGCTTCGGCGGCGGCATACTTGTCGGCGGCATCGTTGTACGAGTTCACGTAGGTCTGGTGGTGTTTGCTGTGGTGCAGCTCCATGATCTTCCCGGAGATGGCGGGTTCCAGGGCACCATAGTCGTCTGGATGGGATGTCAGCCCAAGGTTTGCAGCGCGGGAGGTGCGCAATCACTTACAGGAAAGGTCAGGCAGAGTTGCCTTCATCCGAACAAATGTCTTGTCGGCCGTGGTCAGGCATCGAGCGGGATTGGTAGCTGCAACAGCTCTGAGGGTGGAGGGACGGGCGACAGATCGGAACAGGGAAGCCATGGCTGAGATGGTTGCTGTGGAAAATGAAACCGATGGACTGGACCGAGATAGAAGAAGCTGAGACGTGTAAGAAGAAGGAAGCTGGAACTGGGTGGTGGTGCATTCGGTCGGATGTTTATTGGCATTGGAGAGAAGCGCAGATGGAGCTGCACAAATTACATCACTCTGCCTATTCCGGAAATCCTCGTGCGAATTTCGGGCTTCACGTTGGAGTCGCCCAGAACTTTTTGTCGCAGGCAGATCGCAGATCGAACCAACCCTTGCATGTGCCGCGGAAACTTCGTCTGGATGCGGTAGTCTTAGCAGGGGCATTCCATTCAACTGGTATACAGATCCATAAAACAACGCCTTTTCTGGACGGTCTCAGTCCGCAGTCTACGCTCAGGCAGCATGAGCGATTCCTCAGAAGACGACCAACCCTTCAACCTTCGCGACTACGACGACGAAGAGTCTGACGATGAGCGACCACATAAGAGACGGAAAACAACAAAGATTCTGCGGAGTCGAGGGCTAGGGTTTGTCAAATCTACCGGTCAAGAAGAGGGGCAAGACGGTGCAGAAGACAAGGACGATGAACATGAAGAACAAGACGTTGACGATGAAAGACCCTCCATGGGCATGGGCATGGGCATGGGCATGGGTGGATTCCGAAGCTCGTTCAATATAGGCGAATACAACGACGAGGAAGCAGAGCCAGAAAGAGCCACGCCGCCGGCGGACATGTCTCCCCAAAGGCAGTCAGAGAAGACGCGCCGCATGGGCCCTTCAGCGTTCGGTGTCGGCGGACGCATGAACAAGAACTCCTTTGCGGCGCGAATGATGGCCAAACAAGGCTATGTCGAAGGCCAAGGTCTAGGAAAATCGGGTCAGGGGATCACAGCACCTATCCAGGCCAAAGTGCTGCAGAGTCGGGCGGGCCTGGGTCAGGGAAGCGGAACGCCCGATCCTCCTCGCAGAAGACAAGACGGAGGAAAAGAAAAGACGTCTTCCAAAGCCTCGACGCCCGGCACCAGCACACCACGGATCAGGGCCCCCCCCAAGGCCAAATATGCCGTGGCAGCGATCGAGTCGAGGGGTCTCCACGTCCCCGAAGCCATGAAGCAAATTATTGTCGATGCCACGGGAGCTGAAACCAAGACCGTGACCTCTTTATCAGGCTTCTCAACTCCGACCAGAGAAGCCTCGCCGTCACCTGCTCTCGAAGCGGCAAAAGCCACATCCCGGATCAAGCTCCAATTGCAGGCCTTTGCCGACGCGTGGGACTCGACCAAGGACCAGGAAAGTCATCTCGAGCAGGAGGAAATCCAGCTGGGCGCCGCACTGGCATTGCATGAGGAAGAGATCCAACGCTACAACGACATCATCTCCGCCTTTGAGCGAGTTAACGTGGACGACTCGAATGAGCCCCGCGACTGGGACGCCTGCATCTCTCGCTTGCAAGAGATTCAAGTTCGCTCATCCCTCTACATCACGGAGCTTTCACTCCCCGAAATTACCGCTTCCTGCCTCGAAACACCCTTCCGGCGCGAGATGGTGGATTGGGATCCTCTGTCTGAGCCTACTCACCTAATAGACTCCCTGAAGTCGATCGAGCAGCTCCTGGAGATTGAAAAGTCAAAGTCCTCCCGCCACCGCAAACGAACGACATACTTTGAGTCGTTGCTCTTGTTGCACTGGTACCCGCGCATCCGTACGGCGTTGTCCAAGGAATGGAACATCTACGATCCAGACCCGGCGTATAATTTGATCGACGCCTGGACGCCACTCCTCCCTCCTTTTCTCATCTACAAGATCCTGCATGAGGCGGTGATCCCACGATTAATCGAGGCCGTCAAACGATTCCCCAAGACGCTGGACTCAGGCACGTCTGGTGCGGATCGAAGCAAGAAGTCTAGCAGAGCTCCGGACATGCACACCTGGCTCTTCGACTGGTGGACCCTCATCTCTTCGGAGAGCCTCGACCTCGAGCGTTTCCCCGAACTCAAGTCCCTGGTCAAGTCCAAAGTCGACGCCGACTCGTGGGCGCACTGGAAGCCGCTGCTCGGGTCGAGGAAACCCAAGCTGCTCCCGTCAGCAGCCACACCGACCACACAACACACCGCCGCGTCCACCACGGCCGGGCTCGACGAGGCCATGGAGGAGATGACGTTCCGATCGCTCGTCGAGGACTGGTGCTCTGAGCACAACCTCCTGCTGCAGACGTCGCACAAATCCGACGCCTTCGGTCGCCTGCTCTACCGGCTGCAGGACGCCGAGCGGCGCAATCGCGGCATCCTGGTGTATTTACAGGACGACGTCGTGTTCGGGGCTGACGACGGAGAGCCGTACGCGCTAGACGAGCGGTTGATCGCGAAGGCGAGGGGGAAGTAAGCAGATAACGAGTGCCCGCCCTCCTGGAAAGCGAGACCGACATCAATCCTGACAGACAGAGAAGATCCGATGCTGGGAATACTCCCGAAATATGTTCGACCGTGCTTCCTCTGGAAGGGATATGTATCTACGCACCCATATATATGAGACGAGAACACAGTTGAGTGAGCAACCCACGGCAGTCCCCCCGAAGTCGCTTGGAGGAGCAAGAAAAATAAAAGGCCATGATGAGCATACACGGTTCGAACCGACCGCGCTTTCCCGTCATGAGTGAGGTTCATACCTCAATCAACAAGTCCCACAGAGGTTTCTCTCGCATCATTTCTTCCTCCGGCAGTCGATGATGGATGAGACAAGATGCAAAACAGCCCGTAGCTAAGTACGCACGTGCCCGGGGTGGACGAAGAACTCATATGTGTACGTACACCCACGCACCCACGTATATGGACGCAAATATTTATACACGAAGCTCCGGCGCGGTGGATGATGTGCTTGCCGGAGGTGACCGCAGCAGGGAGGCCACTACTCCTTATTGATACTATGAGTAAAATGCTGTGACCGGACCTTATATGTATTCAGTCGAGTCGCTCTAATTACCGAATACACTCGAGGCACATACAGTAACTATGTGTATGTTCTCGTGCCAAGGATGGATTCCTTGGGGTTGTTATTGCTGAAAAGGGGAACCAAAACAAAACACAAGAACAACTTTGTCTCTCTGTGTTGCATGGGAAAAATCGAGAAGCGCGCTTTCCTTGTATTCTTTGAAAACCCCGGCCCCTTGTGTCTAAAGTAGGTAGAGAGGTACGCGTACGTACATGCGAAGAACTCCCGCGCCGGCAACGACAGACAACATTTTAATCACTTTCTTCCAAAACAGAGCTCGCGTCAAGACTGTGGCACCGGGGATAGACGAAATGGGTGAGATATATGGCAGACAAAGGTATCCAACTGCATATTGTCCGCTTTTCTTTCCTCCCAACGACCAAAAGAAATCCAACATCTTTGCCCATCATAAATTATCATCGGTCACAGGAAAAACATGTGGAGGCCCATCCATCTATCTCTTGACAGCTTGCTTGCTCTCTTTCGGAGGATTGTTGTTCTGCTTCCCCCTTGCCCCACCGTTACCACCTTCATGTCATGTCTGTCTGATCGGATCTAAAAATCTCATCTTCTTTTTTCTTGGTCTCTTTACATGCAAGCGGCGCCGTCAATGCCGATGATCTTGCCGTTGACCCACTCGCCGTCCTGCGAGGCCAGGAAGCAAGTGACGCGGGCAACGTCAATGGGCATACCGACACGGTTCATGGGGGACCAGGTGGCGGCGTACTCGTCGACTTGGTCGTCGGTCAGGTTCATGCCATTGGGGATGTATTCTCTGCAGACGGCGTGGTACATATCGGTCTTGATGCCACCGGGGGCAACAGCGTTGACGGTGATCTTCTTGTCACCGCAGTCAATGGCCATGCAGCGGACAAAGGTCTCAATGGCGCCCTTGGAGCCCGAGTAGACAGTGTGCTTGGGGACACCCTTGGCCTGGCCAGTGATGGAACCCATCAGGATGATGCGGCCGCCGACCTCAAGGTTCTTGTATGCCTCACGAGCCACGAAGAATTGGCCTCGGGTGTTAATGGCGAAGACACGGTCAAACTCTTCCTCGGTGACATCCTTCAAGTGACCGAAGGAAACGACACCGGAGTTGGAGACCACGATGTCCAGCTTGCCGAAGTGCTTCTTGGCCTGGGCGAACATGTCGATGATCTGTGAGACGTCCGACACGTTGGCTTGGACGGCAATGGCGTCGCGGCCGAGGGCCTTGATCTCGGCCACCAGCTCGTCGGCGGCCTTGGAGGAGTTGGCATAGTTGACGACAACATCGGCGCCACGGCGGGCGAGTTCGAGTGCAGTCTCGCGGCCCATACCTCGCCCTGCATTATGTCCAATCTGTTAGCTTTTCTTTCTGCTTTCCTTATCTTTTTTTCGGGGGTGGGACACGAAGCTTCGTGGGAAAAGAGGCGGTGAAGGGTCAGGTCGAGGAATCTGTGTTCTCAGCGGACGGCTGCTCGCTCACAGTCGTCGAACTGGATTCGACCTCCTCTTGCTGGTACGTACCTGATCCTGTCACGAGGGCAACTTTGCCAGTGAGGAGGTAGCTGGGGACGGGCTGGTCAACAGCAGATGCAGAGCCATTGGCAAGTCTGGTCGAGTTGCGTTTAGACATGGTGGAGGCGGTGTGGAGGGTTGTGTGTGTGCAAAAAAGGTCCAAAAAGACAAGTATATATTGTTCAAAAGATTGCAAGAGATTGAGAGAGCAGAGGATATGTACAGCACTCGAAGAAGAAGAGAACAAAGTCGAGGAAAATGAGTTTTATTGAGAGGTCACGGTGTTAGGATAAGGGGTGGTGATTGTTTGTGCCCCCCTCTTTCCGGCTTCCCTTGACCAAAAAGTTCGATTGGAAATATTATTTTTAACAGCCCATCAGCCGCAGCTAATGGTTTGAGTGGGGGATGGCGATCGGCCTAGTGGGCTTAGCGGCCACTAATGGACGACGCTCAGGGCCTGCGTTGCTGCCAGGGGCCCGACGCTGAGGGGCACCTGTCACTGGTTCACGGGGATCGTCAGGTGCGAACTAGTGGATGGAGGGGCATGTTAACGACTCACTACTCCCACCACTACCTCCCCAACCGTCCTTCCTCCCCCTAGGCATAGCCACAGGAGAGGGTGGACAGGGGGGCCGACAGCCCGAAAGGGTGCGCGCCAGGTGCCCACCTGCAGTTGTTGTCTAGGTGGCTCTTTCTGTCTTGGATTGGGCGTTGAACTTGTGAGATCTTTCACCGCCCCCGGGTTCCGGGTTCCTGAACATGACTTGATGGGGGGCCCGTCTTTTTCCCTATCCCCCACTGACCTCAAGCAAGAAACACCTACATATCTCCCGTTCACTCGTCGGCTGGGGTTCTTTTTGTTGCTCCCCTGAGGACGCAGGAAGGAGTTTCTGAGCTGGTGAGACACTGCACTGGGCGCGCATTCAATAAACTCACCCTATTACTGGGCATGGCCGACACGAACAACCCGTTTCCGGCTGCATTGTGCGCTCCTCGGTGCCCTCCCACGCTTCGGGCCCGGACTGGGTCTCGCTCTCGGCTTCTGACGAGTCGGCAGCTTTGCATGATTCAGGGGGCCACCAAGGGGGCCTTTTGGTAGAGAGAGGGAGAGAAATCTTGGCATCTTGTTTCCTCGTACGAACGCTATCCCGAGGCCGACGGTAATACTGCGTAGCCCATTGGTACACAGTTCCGTACATTTGAGATTGTAGGAAGGAGGCATCATCTCGGAGATAGGCTCGTGGCAATTCTAAGCCCTGCTCTCCATCAGAATGAGAGGCTGTTCTTGGATGCATTATTTTGCGCCTGTCGGCCTGAGACTGATACTGATGCGTACAAGTACTGTATGTGTTATTTATCCACCCCATTCAGTGAACCAAAGACAACCATGATAAATGCTCTTGTCCTACCAGTTCCCCCCGCCCCCCTGTCTTCCCCCGTCCCGCCCTGTCCTGGCCTGCAGAAGGAAAACTCTCCCTCCGCGGGCTTCATCCGCGTACACATACCGCTGTGTGTTTGTTATTCGCGTACCACTTGATTTATTTGAATCGGATGTGCGTGGGCGTGTGCGTGTGCGTGTGTGAACGCCTCGTACAATTCCTCGCAAACTCCGTTGATGCCACTATCTGAGCCGGGTGTGTACTTGGAGCCTCGTGGCGGACGCCAGTAGCAGAAAAAGGGGCTCCGAAAGCGGGGTGTTGGACTCCGGCGCTAAGAAAGAGGGCGAAAAGGGTTAGTTGAGGGGGAAAAGAGAGTGTGAAGAAGGTACTCCGTACTCGGTACTTGTTAGTATTCGAGGGAGTGGGAATTTGATGGGGGATTGATTTATCGCAAAGCTGACATGTCAGTGGCGGATCTCCACGTGCCGTCCACGTGAGGGGGGATTTGGTGCCCATCGTCGCTTGCACCCATCCTTGACCCAGCCGACAACAAGCACATCGTCCTAGTTATGGACAGTACTGATTGCCTTGATTCCTAGAATTGGCGGTCCGGTGTCTTTGAACACCCGACCCTGCTAGAGAGACTCGAGAGATCCTCCTCAACACACGTTCCCCCGGTCTAAACAGGTCTCCGAGCTACGGGATCGGCTCCAAATGCATCCGAGTGTTGACAAGAGAGCATATCAGACCAACAACGCTTGCGCAGCTCGGTGGAATGTGTTGTATCACCCGAACTCGACACCCTTGACCCTAGCCTCATGTCGCAGTTGCAGAGTCCACTTAGACAATCTTGTGAAAGCCTCCATCTCATAATAGTTCAAGGCTGATCCCAGACACCCGCCCCAGTAGTATCTGACGGTCGGCCCAGGAGACTTGGGGAATTGCTGAAGGATAGCCCGGATGTTCACAGACAATCCGACTCGTGCCCGGCTTGCTGTTCGCTCCTGCATGCAGCTGTCATCTCAGAGCAAAGATTCTGGCGTCTTCAACCGCTACTCTGATCATCTTTTTCACTTCAGCTTTCCAGTTGCTTTCACGCCACTTGTCCCACCGGCCAAACCCTTCGTCCACTTCGAGATTCAACGTTTCATAGCCTTCCTTGATGACCTTTTGAATTGCTGCCGGTGACTGATGCGTCTTCTTGCCATGTTGTACTTTCAATAATTCATGATAATGAGATGAGACGCTGATCAGCGCCTCGATCGATCGCTTCAAAGTCTCGGAGTGGGCTCCGTCGCAATATGCTTGTTTGAACCTGTGCAGAACATCATTTGCCTCGATGAGCTTGTAGAAGAAGTCGTCAAAACTGGACGGATCTGGTAAAAATCCATCACCCTTGGATAGGCAGAATGCAGCGAGACTCGCGAGTGTCGCACACAAATCTTCTCGAATGTCCCTGACGTGCTTCAGATCGCTGGCGTACTGCGCAAGAAATCGCATGAGTGACAAGAGCGAGCCCCAAATGTATGCCCAATGATGCTGAAGACGTGTTTTGGTCTGTTCCAGGTGGGTAACTATACGTAAGATGATACCCAAAGCAAGGCTGTACAACCGCACGTCCAGCCTCTTTCTCAGATTGTGGCTGAGAATGTCCGTACATACATCCAGAATCGCAGTCGCTGGGATCCGGGCAGAGGTGACCAATGGAAGGTGAGGTGGCCTTTGACGACACAATCTAAATAAGGTCTTCGCATCCGCCGAACAAATTCTTTTGGCCAGGACAGGGTCCTCTACGATGATCCTGATGGACAGCAAGCTCAAAACAGCGTACGTTGACTGTCGTGGTCCCCGGTAGGCATGATGTGAGATATATGAGGTCATCGACAGGAACGCAGAAAAGGGTGTCTCCCGGTCTTTGTCGGCGGGCAAGTTCAAAAGATTCGCGGCGAATAGTCTGTTTGCCTGGGTGAAAGAGTAGAGCGAAAGAATACAAGCCGCATCTTCCCCGGGCAGGGAAAGGAGCAAAGACTTGGCTTCCTCCTCCGAGGGAGGCGCTGGTTTCTTTGCGTCAGTTGACAACGCCCGAAGTCCGACCATGACCAGTGTCGAATTCAGGCTCCATGGTGCAGGATAATCATCTTGAACAAACACGTACTGTTCACGTATAGCCAAACAAGCCGAGGCGAAATTACGAACCAGAAGCCGGATTGTTTCCTCGTTGACGAAATCCTCCAGCCGGTTCTGGTACACGTTCTGAGCTTCAAATTTGTTGTAACTGGACAATATACCGATGACAATGGACGATTTGAGAGCGGTGATGGGAGATTCGGGTATATCGTGGACATACTGGATTCCAGATGAGTTATCACTCCCATTGTTTGGAGAGTGTGCTTACCTTTGTCAACGCCGAGAACAGATCACGGTGCATGAAATAGGTAACGAGACTTGTGTGAAATCCGCCCGCAACCAGTGCCAGGACGGTATCGAGTGCTTTGCTTCGCAAAGCATCTTTATCCGCCTGGCGGATGGTTGTTTCAAGTATATGGACAAGGTCGGACATCAATCTATCAATCGTGTCCAGCCCGGCAAGTACTTCAATGACATCGGTATTGGGGTTGGTGTACTTCTTGGTAAAGACAGCGCACAGGAAAGCTGTCAGGTTCTTGAAGAGGTCAAATTCAGCTTACCAGGAGAAGAAGACAGGAGCGACGTACGTCTAGAGCATTTTCATTGCGTGGGAAATCTCCTGAGCCTGCTTCAGCTATGGCACGCTTGAAGAATACCCTCATCTGAGCCTGATGGTCCATTAGATGTGAGAAACGAGCAGACGAAAGTGTGAGAGCTGACTATACTTGCATGTGGACCAGATCAAAAGCAGTCATGGGCTCGAGAATGTCATAGAGTCGCTGTTTGTCGGGCTTGAGCAGGAAGAATTCCCGCCAAAACCCTTCGGAAGGCACCACATCATAGACATCCTCGTTTGCAAGAACGTTGAAGAGATGGAGATAGAGCTGGATGATTTTGGGTTCAAAAGAGTCTGGCCTTGATTGTTGGGTCAAGGGTGTCTCCATGTCGATGGCAGGCGTTCGGGAGTGGGTTCGTTGGTGAGCCAATATGAGTTCATAGTCCCAAATCTGGACAAGAGCGGCTACTATGGAGGCAAAAGAAATGACAGGAGCCGTAGATGAAGTGCGCTTGCTGAACGATGTATGCAAAGTTGGACAAATGACACTGACAAGAATCGGCCACGTAAGTGTGGTCTCCGGTCAGATCACAATTGTTAGATGCTAGTACCAGAAGCGCAGCGATCTTCTTCCTCTGGAGCGAAAGACTCACAGACACCACTTGTTTTGAGTCCAGATTGTCGTTTCAGCCATAAACAGACAAAAGCATAACTAATATCTACCGAGAAGAAGGAAGATAAATTATCGGTGTCACGTGGCGCCTCATGCTTCGTGTCACGTGGTGATTGAAATCAGTCGGCGCCGATTGGCTGGCCAACGGAGCGAACTCGGCTGGAAGGCAGAGAATGACGGAACTGCCTCTTTAAACTGCGCCTCCATGTTTAACTTGAATTCTATCCGCCATATGTTTTTATATGCCCTCGCACATGCTCTTGTCCCTACCGCTATAGCCTCATCTCAGTTCTGACGGACCAGACAGTCACTGACATACCTCTACAATGTCGGCGACGCAGCTTGTCCCCATATCGTCCTCATCCATTCTCTTCTTCCGAGCCCTGGCAATTGCCTCGACCGCCCGGTCATGCCCCCACCATGCCTTGAGGGCTTTCTCGTCCAATATAGCCACCCGGCAATCATCAAAGCGAGAGCTATACACCACTCCATCCTATCAGCCTCATACGCTGCCTGCCGATTTCCCTCTTCCTCCTAGAAACACCAATATTCCGGACACTTCAATCGCCGGACCCAGGCCGCAACTCAGTGACACGAGACAGAATCAAGGCAATGCGGCGCAGGAGAACAGCCCTGATGAAACTGCAAGCATAAGTGTGCCAGAAGGAGTGGCGCAGAAACCGAAGCCAGTACAGACGCCACAGCCCGAGCAGGCCAAAGCAGCGAAACCTCGGCGAAGCAAGTTACGGCCTCGGAAAGCTGCCATGACGATAACACCGAATGCGCTGTTTCATCTGCGCGAACTCCTGGATCAGCCCGAGCCCAAAATGATCAGGGTCGGTGTCAAGAACCGTGGCTGCTCAGGCCTCTCATATCATTTGGAATACGTGGACAAGCCGGCCGCGTTCGACGAAGTTGTTGAGCAAGAGGGAGTGAAAGTCTTGATTGACAGCAAAGCACTCTTTAGCATCATCGGCAGTGAAATGGACTGGCAGGAGGACAAGCTGAGTGCTAGGTTTATCTTCAAGAATCCCAACATCACTGAGCAATGCGGTTGTGGCGAGTCCTTCAGCGTGTCATAATAGACAAACGTATCGGGTACTCTTGGCTCAACAAGACCTATTTACGAAGAGCCCAAGCAATGATCGGAACCTTTTGCAGAGCAATATCTTTGATATGCAGGCCAGCATTGAGAGCCATTAGCATCCCTTAGTATACACCTTTCTCATAATCGATGACTCGGACATCGTCGAACCTCGGACTGTTCTTCTTGACGAATGCTTGGTGGACAGGATCGTCGGCAACATAATAGTCTCGGTCCTCTTTTGAAGCGAACTCGACGACGAACCCATGGGTGAATCCTCCCTTTGACTCGGTCAATATCTTCCTTTCACCCCACGAATGGATTGTGGCAACAGACGAACCTGGGCTCCTTCCGGGCTGTTATCTACTCCGCCAGATGAGGAAACAATGTACGGTCTATTTTGTGTTGGGTGGATGCAAGTGTCTTTCAACGACAACATGTCATCGCAAAACTGTTCGGGTTAGAAACTAGGTCACCAATGCGTGTATCGGCAGGACAGACCTCTTTCTTTTCTGCGTCGCTCAGTGCAGCCTTGAGCTTGAACAGGACAATATGGACGATTGCCATTGTATGATGCTTCGGTCGAGCTTTTGCTCCTGTGGATCGAAAACCTCTCTCTTATCGAACACCTGACCCCTTTCCTTTCTCAATCGAAATAATCTATCTGAATCCGTCCTCAAGCGGATGATATTCCACCTTGCTCAGTTGGTACACCGTGGACTCTCCTCTCCGTGCGGGGTACATCTGCATCATTTTTTGAAGTCATTTGCCCCTCCCACACAGCTTGTGATAGCGGCTCTCCTTGCCAACGCGTCAACTCTCTTACAGCAATTGCATTTAGTACGACTTCGAGCATAGGCGCTCCCCGGGGCTATAGCATTCATATCAAGGGCGGGATCCTGGTATATCTACACTGCGACTGAGTTCAGCCATCCCGCTCGTCCTTCTGCTTCCTCGAGTCTGGATATCTGCGAGACCTCTATAAACTTCTCCTGCACGCCCCAAACAGACCACACCATTCTGGCCTTCAGCTGAAACCTTCGGGTCTTTCCCAACGTCTCATCAGTCCTCATCCTCAACATGGCCAGCCACTCTCACGACGGCGGCCTTGCTCACTCTCACTCCCACGATCACACGAACGGGGCGCCTCATGGCCACACGCATGAAATCCTCGATGGGCCAGGTTCCTACCTGCACCGCGAAATGCCTATCGTCGAGGGCCGAGACTTTGGCGACCGCGCATTCACAATCGGAATCGGTGGCCCTGTGGGGTCGGGGAAGACAGCGCTCATGCTCGAGCTTTGCCTCGCCCTACGAAAAGAATACAATATTGCAGCCGTGACCAACGACATCTTCACGAGAGAAGACGCTGAATTCCTGACGAAGCATGGCGCGTTGACACCCGAGAGAATTGTGGCCATAGAAACAGGAGGCTGCCCGCACGCCGCTGTCCGAGAAGACATATCTGCCAATTTGCTCGCGCTGGAGGGTCTGCACGCAAAGTTCCAGACCGACCTGTTACTGATCGAGAGCGGCGGCGATAACCTCGCCGCAAATTACTCGCGCGAACTGGCGGATTTCATCATCTATGTTATTGACGTCGCTGGCGGGGACAAGGTGCCCCGCAAAGGAGGTCCGGGAATAACGGGCTCGGACTTGCTCGTGATCAACAAGTGCGATCTGGCAGACGCCGTGGGCGCGGACGTGGATTTGATGGAGAGGGAGGCGAACAAGATCCGGGAGGGCGGTCCCGTCGTGAGGGCCGTGATCAAGACCGGGGTCGGTGTCAGGGAAACCGTCGATCTGATCCTGTCGGCGTGGAAGAGCACCGCAGGATATCAGCTAAGTCGGGAGCGGTGGGCGAAGGGCGTGCCTAAGGGTAGTGGCGAGCAGCCTGTTGTGAATAGGTACACCAGTGTGTTTGCCGGCTCAAGATAGCCTGCATCTGGCTGGAATCGTGTGGGAAAAGGGATATTCAGGTCAATGGCGACCAGGTCACCCATGGATGGCATTTAGAGCTTAGCGACGGGAGGAACTAAGGAACTAAGGAACTAAAGGACGATATCACACACGGCTGGACACCGCTGCATCCGGCCTGAACAGGAATACAAAGCCAGATGTTTGCTAAGGACGAACATTGTGGCCACCTTTTACAAATTTGGTCACCATGATAGTATTGGTTGGATAGCAAAATACATTCCATCTATCCATCTATGATAGGCAACCCCATCTATGCACCTCTCCTCGCGAACCTCGACAACGCCGGGCCCAGCTCGAGTTTATCCTGCTTCAACTTCTCCCTCTCCCTCTCCGTCCTCTCCTTCTTCATCTCCTCGAGTCTCATCCTCTTCTCGTCGATGATATTCTTCCCACCCTTCTTGCGCAAGTGTCTTCGGAGCGCACTGTTCTTGCCTCGGCCCCGATTCTTCTCGCGAGCCTTGAGTTTCGCGAGAGGATCCTCGGCGGGCGCGTCGAGGTCTTTTTCACGCCGGCGCTGCTCCGCGCTGCGCCTGTCCAGCGTGCCGATGAAGTTGGGGTCCAGGGCGATGGTTTCCGGCTGGAGTTTCGTGAGGAGGGACTTGACCTCGGCCTCTTGTCGCTGCTTGCGCGTCTCGTACGGGTTGACCTCGAGGGCATCGTAGTTGGGTTCGCCGGCGCCGGGCACGATGATGCTGCTGAACCCGTCCGCGTGCGAGATGCCAAGGATGTCGTCGAACGGACAGAACTGCACGCGTTCGACGCGGCGGCCGTCGTTGCCCCAGTTGAGATAGGGCGATTGGACTTTGGGAGGTCCGGAGGACGGGGAGGTGGTGAGAAGGTCTCTCCAGATCGTCACGGCCGTACCGCTCGCCACGGCTGCAAGGCCACGGTCGGATATATCGATCGAAGAAGCCGGCTGCCGCGTCGTGTACGAGTGAATCTCTTTCCAGGCACGGATGTCCCAGAGTTTCAGACGCAGATCTTGTCCACCACACAGCATGTAATTGCCTGAGCGGTCGATTCCTATGGACCGCACAGGACCGGCATTGGATTGGATCTTGACCAGGGGCGTCGTGGAGTTGGGCGACCATAGCGAGACGGTGCCGTTCTGGTGACCAACGTGAAGAATGGCATTGTATGGATTTTGAGCGAGAGCCGTCGGCGCTCCTTTTCGGGTTGGGTGCTCAGCCACTACCTGACCGGTTGAAGTATCCGTGTATCGAAGAAATCCGCTGTTCTCGATGCCAGCAAGGAGGAAGTGGTAGGGCAAGAATTCGAGATGTGTGGCCTCGACATATTTTCTGAGACAATGGATCTCGACTCCGGCATGATCGTAGATGTACGTGTGTTTTTTCTGCGCCACGGCAAAATATTGATCGTTGTGCAACCATTTCGCATCTCTTACTGTCTCGTTCAAGTGCAGCTCACATCCTGGCTTGCCGGCGCGCCATTCGCAAGTGGCAATATGGCCTTTTCTTCCGGCGAGCAGCAAACTGCGCCCGTTCCTCGTGTAGTCGGAGACGTACGGGCCCAAGTCGAGCTTGAATTCAATCGACTTGTTCGCCTGCTGGATACCGACGGCGTCCAGTATGTCAGCTTGTCGGACCTTGTATGTTTTCTCAAGTTCCGTCTCCGGTTGCAGAAACCCTTCCTCGTTCTCGTACAGGATCTCTGCATCCTTGGCGCTCATGACCGCGGTGCGATATTTGTTCTCGATCCTCTTCAGGTTCGCACGTAGTTTCTTGTCCTTGACCTCGTTCACGCGGACAGGGCGCCCTCGACCGTATTTTCGACGTGCGTCGGCCACCCGTTTCTGGTTTTCCTTGTCTTGGGCAGTCAAGGGCCCCGTACTCGTGGGTTTTCGTTTGGTAGGGGGCGAGAGATTGTGGATGGTGAGTTGGCCATCGCCATTCTCAACGAGGGTCTCCATTGTCCCCAAGTCCGTCACGAGTCCTGAGGTCAGAGGGAGTTATTCGCGGCCGTATGCCATACATAGTGCACGGTGGAAAAAGATGCTTTTCAAAAATTTCAGGTCTCCGCACCCGAAGTTGTACCGGGATCCACGTGCAGCGAGGGTGATAATGTCACGTGGTGATATTACGTGGTGAGTTGTGACCACGTGACCTCCTGGTGCCACCTCTATCAATGCCCTCATACTGGAGAGAGTGACGAGGCGAGACCTGCCCGATGTGTTGAGCTGCTGTACGTGTTATCATGAGCGCTCAGACTCCGTATCTCACTCATCTGTTTCTGTCTGATGGTTACGTACTTACTATGTGTGTACCAGGAAAGGTAAAGGCCAACCCCGCCTTCTCCCATCTTGGTCGAGGGAGGGACAAGCCTGACCAAGGATTTCTTCTCCGGAACCTGTGGGATAGGCTGACTTGGGCAAGACCCAGGCTGTCGTCTGCAACCAGCTGATTCGAAGTCTCGTCCGAGCAAGTTGGGTGATTGGTCCAGAACAGCGAACCTTTCCTACTTGCGGCCTTTCCAGAGCTTCAAGCTACGAATCATGTTCTTCTCGGCTAAGCCCCATTGATGAGACGGCTCTTAGGCCTCATTAAGGCCGCAAAGCTGTCGCAATACTGGTGCCAGATGGACAGCCTCATTTGTCCGTGCCTTGGAATAGGCCGCGTTCACAACCTCTCACACAAGAGGCTGACGAGTCCACAGACGTCAGAGGCTGTGGCTAAAGCTCTGCAGCCAGAGAAATAAATCTGACGCTGTGTCGCACATTGGAGCTGAAATCACCTCGCCGAACACTTACCATCACTAAAGGAAAAATGCTCTCACTCAACCTTCTCATTGCATACTTGTTGGCGACCGTCGCCGCTCAGTCCGCAGTCAAAGTCCGCGACAATGTCCACAATCTCACCTACGTAGGCCTTACTTTCTCAGGAACCGAGCAATTTCAGGGCATCAACTTCGGCCAGGACACCTCTGGCGCCAATCGCTTTAAGCCTCCCAAGGCCTTTACCTATCCCACGGGCACCACAGTCCAAGCCACGGCCGCCGGCGCTGCTTGCCCGCAAAACACGAACTTGTCTTTGCTTGGGGCCATAAGCGAGAACCCGGGGGTCTTCAATCTCTCAGAGGACTGCCTGAACCTTGAGGTGGTGAGGCCTGCAGGGACAAAGCAAAATGCGAGGCTCCCTGTCATGGTCTGGATCTCTGGCCAAGGCGACGAGGAAGGCTCTTACAACTACACGTTGTACAATCCCACGGCGCTCGTGGCCGGTGCCGCTGCCAAGGGCACGCCAGTGATCTATGTCTCGATGAACTACCGGGTCAACGTCTTCGGATTCGCCAACAGCCCGGCGCTGAGGACGGAAGGCTCGCTGAATGCTGGGTTGCTCGACCAACGCCTGGCGCTGCAATGGATCCAGTCTAATATCGCCACATTTGGAGGGGATCCAAAGAATGTCACAATGTTCGGTCAAAGTGACGGAGGTGTCAGTGTGGGATTGTGAGTCTTCCTAACGAACCCTGCGCTGATTTTTTTGATAATGCCGTGTTCAGGAAGTTCTATCTTATATGACCCCGCCGGTCGATGCTAACGTGCAATAAATAGGCATATGACGGCGTTCGGTGGGAACGGTAAGAATCTATATAAGACCAACTATCAGTAGAAATGCTAAACACTGTCACCAACAGGCACCGCTCCCTTCCGTCGAGCCATCATGCAATCTGGATCCACAGCGGCCGACCCTGGCGTCACTGGAAACGCAACCGTCACGAACACTGCGGCGGTGGCTCAATTGGCAGGCTGTACCGGCACGAACAGCAGTCTGGTCTTAGCTTGTCTACGAGAAATTTCCGCGGTACAGCTCCTGAATGCTGTCCTCTTATTTGAGAACTCAACGACATCTACTCAAGCCAATGGCGCGTCTCAGGATTTGTTCTTCCCGACGGTCGATGGAAACTACATACCTGCTCCTCCCTCGACTCTGATCCGGACGGGCCGGTTTCACAAAAACATATCCGTCATCGCCGGATGGACTGAAAACGACGGCAGCATCTTCGTGCCACCGACACTTAACGGCTCCACTGATGCACAGGCTTTTCTACATTCATCCTATCCGAATCTCAACTCGACTACGCTATCAAGCTTGATCTCGCTGTATCCGATCAACGAGTTTATGGCATCAGCGCAAGCTTTTCAGATCTCACCCTTTTTCCTGCAAGCATCGCAGATCTACCGCGATATCAATTTTGCATGTCCGGCGATCGACGTAGCTCATCGTGTTACTCAGTATGGCAGCGCAAGCTACTTATACGTGCTCAACACGACATCATTGACCAGCGTCCTTCAACTCTTCAATGCCACCTTCGAAGGGGTCCTCCACTTTTCCGATGTACCTCTTGTCTTTAATCAACCAAACGTCGGTTTCGGAACCACTGCCGCAGCGAACCTGACTGCAACCAGAATGTCAGGTAGCTGGGCGCATTTCGCTTCGACGGGCAACCCAAGCGGCAACTCTGCTATCACCCTCTCAAATTGGACTCTGGCATATAACAAGTCCCAGGCTGCAGTGACGAGTCAGAATGTAACCGGGGCGAGCATTAGAGTCATTGGTGGACCTAACGCAGGACAGGCGGAGCTGTCATCAAATGCTGGAGCCGCAATCGAGCCTCAACTTTTGCGCCGATGTGCATTTATCAACTCGCCAGCGTTTTATCAGCAGGTGCAGACGTGAAACCCTACCTAGGGCAGTCCTTGCTGTCTGTCTATACAGATCCAGTGCGATACTACTGGTACAAAAGCCTCGAATAAGGAATATCTAACTGAGACTATACTATATATTATTAGTATACTACTGCCCTAGTTTCAATATGTATCCCAGACAAGGCTGTCTCTTCTGTTCGAAACGGTTAGGCCCGAGTTCGGCAAGAAGAACCGTTCTCCAACCCATTCTGACTTTCATCTCCATTCTCGGTGCGAAGTCGGAGTTGATTTCTTGCATTAATTACTGCAACCACTTGCCTACAATAACCATTCTCCATTTACTATCCACCCATCTGGCACATCCGCTTTCAGTCCTTACCAGTCCGCATACTCGCACTCATTTATACTGATGGTCAAAAATCCGATCGGACTCGTCAGCCATGTCGTTCGGTAAATTGCCTCCCGAGGTGCACTCCATGATCCTTGGGCTAGTCGCCGACAACTCAACATGGAGAGAAGGATTACCGCTTCGAGGTGTTAGCCGTAAGTCGAGGAACCTGTTCTCTAACGTGTGGGTGATAACACAACGTCCATCTGGCAGGTCTATTCGATCGCGAAATCCAGGCTCAATACTTTGACTTCGGCAAAATACACACCAGTATGGACGAGGATACTGACCGAATAACGCTGAGAATGGGGCTCCAGCACCTGTACCGACTGTTAAAGGGACAAATATGCGCCAAACACGCGAGAACTGCCCTTATCAGCCAACTGAAGGGCGCCGTTAAAATCCTTATGTCGACTCCCACTTTCCACGTCACCGACGATTTCCAAGCAAGATATGTTTACACCATCAATGGTACAGTACGACTCCAGCCGGGAGATCGCATGTCTCAAACTGCGTCCATGGTCGCTCTCGGAGTCCTCGATTTCGTCGCCGGGGACGACCACTCCCGCTTGTGTGTGCCGCTGGCTCGTCTTACCAGAAATCCACGGCAGATCGACCCGCTTTCTTGGGCCATAGTGACGGCGATTTCCATGAAAGACAGTGCCACCATCGAAGCTCTTGTCGAGCAAGAGCCTCAAATCAGCGTTCGAAACCATATCCTTGCTGATCCCTTACGCTTTGCCGTGACCAGCCGTTGGTATGATATGGTCCGATACCTTCTGAAACACGGCGCGGACGTAAACACTCCGAATCACCATTCACACTGTTCGCCGAAATACGAGCGGAGGCTGATTGAGCAGCCTTGTCTCTCAGGTGATGTCAGAATGGCTGCACTACTGCTTGATCCCCAGTATGGCCTCAAACTCGACGCAGCAGAGTGCGACAGGCTGTTGTGGTCGACCGTGCGGAAGCTTTCCACAAATAATACTAATGCCGATTCATATATCGACATCATTCGCCTCTTCTTGAAGGCATCACCAGCCAACAATCAAGGCTCTGTTCAGCACCTTGTCGTGCATCTTGCTATTGTGTGCGACATACCGGCGCTGATTCCGATCGTTGATGAGATGGGCTATGACGTGAATGAGACCGAGGGTGGCCGGTCGCACCTGTCGCTGGCTGCAGCCCGCGGTCAAAGCGAGGTGGTCCAGGTACTGCTCGACAATGGAGCGCGGCACAGTCTCGACAGTGACCACGACGCTGTCAGGGCAGCCTGCGTTAATGGACGGGCAAATGTGCTTCGCATCTTACTCACACGGGTAACGACGATCGACGAATATGGCCATGCATTAGCCGCGGGTCATTTCCTGCTCGCTGCCAAGGCAAGCTGCAGCGACCCCGAGACGATGTCGCGTTATATCGGAGTCATAGACTGTCTCTACGAGCATGGATTGGACCTCACCGCAGCCAACTGTGGCGTCAAGGCCCTCAGGTTTGCGGTTGAAAACAAACACGACGTACTTAGGACGAATCTTCTCGAGAAGGGAGTTCGTCTCCCCGATGCTACAGAATTTTGTAGACCTCGCGGCAGGGGGAATGGCTAGCGTGAGTATTAAACAAAACACTAGGAATAGCATTATTATTAATTTATCACCCTCATCACCAAACAGTCAGTTTAGCACTCCGGGAGAAGGAAGGAAGTAGTGGTTACATACATATAACGTTACAATCTCTGTTTTCGTTTGACATTCATTTGAACCACCAAGTTCAATCTCAAACATGCCACCAAATTTTCCCAAAAGGGTAATTCGATTATGAGCCTAGCTGGATCATCCGCCTAAACTCGAATCGGGAACATCATCGACGACAGACAGCCTCCAACCACCATGCCCTGCAACGATATGTATGTTGTCTCTCTTAGTCCAGGCACGTGGGCATCACTTCGGCAATGAATGACATCCACAGTGAGTACAAAGTACACATACCATTCCTTTCCCAAACCAACACCTCTCGCTCTGTGTTAAAATGAAGTTATGGTCTACTCTCTGGGTAAGACAGTCGTGGTTATCGGCAACGACTGTGTACTCCTCAGATACATGGTAGTTTTGATGCGGTGTATCTAAGATAGATACAGCGTGTATGTGATGCGCATCCGCTCGCATTGGACGCCGCGTTGAACATACAGCACATGCATCAGGTAGTAGGCTTGCCCTTTTTAAACCCAAGGAGAAGTAGGCGACTGAGCGAAAAGTCTGGCACCCCAGGTACCAACCACTATTGAAGTCTGTCCAGAACTGGATAAATTTGGTAAAGTCCGTATAGATAGAGCTGTCGGTAGTTGTGGTATTACTTGACTCTATGGACCTGAAGACGACTGGAAGGTGCAGGGACGACTGCCGAACCCTAGATCGGACGGTTCCAGGAGGTCACGTACAGCTGTAAGATCTTGTTCCTCTATAAGGCCTTCTCGAGATGCGATGTGCTAAGGGTTTCAAGGCGGAAAATGGTCTTCATGAAGCTTTTTTTAGGGACAGTGCTGTTAGGTCGCGTATCTCTTCCTGCCCTATAACGATCGACGGGGATATTTGAACGAGTGCACACTCACTGTATATGATTTATATGGGAAGATATCTGGCGTATGTGGGCACAAGAACTCGAAACACAATAGGATTTCCAAGCATGGCGGTTACCCCAGAACCTATGAAGACCGATAGGCACAAGTGAGTTGTGTGAAGCATGAGATACCAGGGCTAAACAGGTAGTGGCTATGGGGGTTTGTGAGAGCGGCTCATCGTGCCGTGCTGGCCCAGAGGGCTCATGAGTTGGACACTATGCAGGTTGACCGTGGGAGCCCACAGCCGCCCTGGGCTTACTGGGCCAAGCGGGACTTTTTGCCGATGTATGATGTACATGACTACTAACCATCCGCTTCGATTCAGTCCTACGGAGACATTTAATCGTAATTTTTATACCTCCTTGCGAATATCCTCGTCCCTCTTCTCCTTCCACTTCAAACCCGCCCCGTCCAGCAGACTCCAAACTCTGAATATCTTGCCTTGTTCGAGGGCGTAAAAGACATGCTCGTAAAACGTGTCCTGCGTCGTTGGTGTCGGCTTGTAGGTCAATTTCAGCCGGGCCGCGACCGAGCCGTCGCATTTCTGTCTCCAGTCTTCCTTACTACCAGGAGTGCTCGTCGTGCTGACGACTGCAGCAGGAGGAGGGCTGATGATGCTACCATGGTTCTTCTCCACGATGAGCATTTCCACCTCGAACAGCAACCCTGGCAGGTCTCTTTTGCTGTCGCCTATGAGCCTCGCATACTCGTGAACCGGCATTGGCGCAGAGTCATTGTGAACCACGCCATCTTTGACGAATTCGTCGAGATCTCCGGGGCCACATGGGCTGGAGTTGATTTTGTGGATATAAGCCAGATACTGGCGTCTGAGGTCTCCATCAAACGGTTTCACGGTGGGCTTGTTTTCCCACACGTAGCTTTTGTCTCGTCGTCAGTAGCTTGGACATCTAAGACGTGTATACCAGCCAGCCCAATTGATCAGGAAGAGTGTATTCCGAAGTGAGAGAAAAATTGGAATGCGGTCATACTCATCATCTTCGTCTTCGTCCTGGTCCCTATTGCGCAGCACATATCTCGCCTTCCCATTTGGTTCAGTCTCTTCCTCGATGGCTATTTCGCCGAGATTCGAGATAATGTTGTCTATAGTGGTTCCAATGTCCGTGTGGGTCGCATGGCGGCCGTGGTGTGACGAGTTACCGTCGGCGGCGTGCGCGTTATGCGGCATAACTTCGCGGTGGTTGAAATTTATTATGAATCCAAAATTCAGTGTTTAAGATATCGGATTCTCTGGTCTCGCCGGACATGGGAGAGGATGCATATGTGGTTGGTGTTGGATCTCATATTTCTAAGCACACAACTCACCCATACTCAATACTATACGCGGTTTTTCTGCACGTATGTTGATCATACGACTTTCACGTGACTATTCCCACAGCTCAGCAGCCGCCCCGAGAAAATCCGTGAGTGGCATTTCTACGTACACCACGAAATAATAGTCCACATGCGACCGCTCGTGACAATGTACTTCTAAGAAATTCATGTATTAAACACATTGCGGGAGGCGTTTGTTTCATGTTGTCGGATCCCCCCCGGCATCGGTGAATCCTACCGAGAATGCTGGTGATTCCGGGTAAATGCAAGCGTCGCTGACACGACATCGACAAAAGGGGGGTTTGTTGCTGGATCCAGCCTTGAGGCCCCTCCCCCTGCCCCTCAAAGGATATTAGATTCTCCATACCGGCAGCCAAAAAGCCCATCCTTCCTCGTCTCGTCGATCACGTCACACACTGGGGAGAAATGTCTCTCGAGAAGCGAGTTGTCGTATATCCTGGGGGCCAACATGAAATAACCAAGCGCCTTCCCCTAGTCTTGGCAGTTTGGACAGTCGGGGATGCTGCAGGAGCTGATTCGTGCAACTTTACCAATCAAACAGCGGACCGGGACGCCATCAAGGGGTCGAGCTTGTATGAGGCCGATAATGTGAAGGTGGGTGTCTCGGAATGGCGTGTTTGAAAAGGGACCAAATCCTTCCAGGTGGGAAGAACGCGGGGGGCCTGAATAAGGCCTGAATAATCCGACAGCCACAACGCCCCTCTAAGAATATTCCCCCTGCAAAAAGCCCGGGAGACGCTAAGCCCTTCGCCAAGCAGTTAAAGGGCCACAAGCTCGCGTAGTACTGTAGCTGCCTTTGTCAGACTAAGCTCCCCACAGAACACGTTACTGTATGTACAACTGCACCGTCCGTGCCACACGGACGATTAATCCACTACTAGTCCTCAACCTCGTCAACCTCCACGTCTCCCAGCTCCTTCAGCCGGCCTCGCTAACTTGCCGGGTTCAACACACTACTCGCGAGCTTCTCACTCTTCGGCCTCGTAACTCAGGCTTTCAGCTCTTCTTATCGATCGGACACAACCGAGACCACGTTGAGATCCAGCCTCAAGCTATTTCAGCTTTGCCTATCGTGCTACTACTCATGTTCGCTGCAGCTATACTGACTACAACCACCAAATTTCCAAATCACGATTATTATCACAGACCACAGCACCAAGAAGGACACTGTGACTAGGCCTCCCTAGTGCGGCCCAAGCCCCGAGATTGCAGCCACAGAGCTGGTCCTAACCTCTCCTCGAAACACAATGGCTCCCCTGGTCAGCCGTTTCAGTTGCGGCCGCATCTTTCCACCGCCTGAGTCCGCTCACACTAACCCTCGAGAGTTGGTCATCTCACTCCAATCAAATTCGCAGGTCTGGAGCGCCGATGTGATAATGTATACTAATATTCTGGCCTTGTGGCGGCTCTTTTAGACTTTCAGCCCCATCGTTCTCGCAGACGACACGGGAATTTTGGGGTCTCTTTGGGTTATTTTAGAAAGTCCCGTTTCTTTAAAAGTCCAGGCCTGCTGTCGCCCATGTCCCAAACCTCACGACGATTTCCAATCGCCATTGTGGTGACTGCCCGCCGCGGCGGCATTTTCCTTTCTGCCTATCGCGTGCACATTCTTTACTGCTAACATGACTTCGCACTATTCTCTTTTGGACCGTCGAGATTCGAGCAGGGAGCATTTGACAGACGGGATAGTTGACTCGCCACGAGGCACCAGTGATGTTCCCTTGAGAAATATGAGAGGCCACGCCTTCGAGGATTGGAACCAGCCGGGATATAGTGAGGATTCACTCAACGAGGGCCTCAAACCTGATGTGCGGCCCGGAGTGACAGGTACGGCCCGGCCATGTGAGGCCCCATAATCCCATTCTAACTGACACGACTCTCAAGGCCAGAGCTGGCGAAAAAACTCTGGATTCAGCATACCGTCGGTCGCATCATCGCCCTGGGAACACAAACTCAATGAGAAACATATCCGTGAAGTGCCAACAAACACTGAGACCGTCAGATACTTCGATCCTCGCCGGCAGACGCGAAGAGTGTTCATCGAATGTTTGATGATGTGGTTTTGGACGGCGGGAATCTGTGGCGCCCTTGCAGGCACCATGTACGGCTTTTCCTCCATCAGAGATGGGCTCTCGCAGACGCAAAAATACGTCTACAACGCCATGATTACTGGTCTATCCATTGTGCTCGGTCTTGCCTTTGCTGCACAGTTCAAGCAGTACGCCGAAATGATGCGATGGAGATTCCTCGCCTCGCAGTATCGAACCATCCAAGACTTCGAGGACGTTCTCGGTTGCGACAGTTACCGAAGTACCTTGCGCATACTGTGGAAAGGTCGGCGCTCGGGCTCGTGGCATCCGAGCAAAGCTCAAGTGATTGCTGCCATTTGGCTAGTCATCTTTGTGGCGTTCAACACTTTCGCGGCTCTCCTCGGTTTGACATATTCCATTGATGTGTCAGATGAATTTGTATCCATCAACAATGGTATGGGTGTCAGACCCTCTCTCGACGATCTTCATATTGACATCTCACACAGGCGTCGTCAGCGTGGCCGACCTTCAATATATTGCGAGCCGTGAGCAACCCGACAACGGTGCGGGCTACCTGGACGAGTACCAGAAAGCCGCTGCAAATCTCTGGGGCCAACTCGGGCAGAATTTCCCAATAATCACGACCACCCTGGACGACGACGACGAATCGGGCGCAGTTGTCTTCACAAATGAGGCGAGGGACTTGTGGTGGTACCGGTTCGTGGACTTGGGCCCCGACGGGAAGACCATGGTTGTATCGACGAGGACCGTGACCAGCCAAGCGCACTGCGAGGAGTACACCGTCCTCTTCGGCGGATATGCCGGGTTCAATACCGAAAACTCGTCCCTGACTTATGAACTCGACTGGGAGGATAATCAGGGCAATAAATTTTCCGACATCGTGACAAACGTAGCGACTGGGTCTACCACCTGGATGGGAAATTCCAGCAGTCAAAATGTTGGCTGTGGCCCCCGATGCAGCCAGATCCTTGCCCTCCAGTCGGCCAATAACCTGACTGTGCCCCAGCCTCGGATATGGGCTTGCAACAACACCGTTGGGCAAGTTCAGGGTCTCGACGACGCCGGCTTTATCAACACCGACCCTCTCAAAATGCCCGACGACCAAGCCTTCTACCTTGCAGGTTCTATTGGCTGGACCGGTGTAGAGGTGGTGGACGACGCTCTCCAGTTCTTCCTGTTCGATGGCGACACCCCGTTCAATCCGCCGGGCAATGCCACGGCCGAGACCATCGCGGAGCTAGTGATGCGCTTTACAGTGGGCGCCATCTCGGCCATGGACTCGTTGAGCGGGCCACGCCGGAACCTCACCGGCACCGCCAGCCCCAGTCCCGCGCAGGTGGTCAACGTGAAATGGGTGGACGCGGGCGCCATCCTGGCGGGGATCCCCATCATCCAATTCGTCCTGCTCGTGGGGGTCGTGTGGTTCTCCGGCAAGGCCATTATCCTCGAGCCCAGCTTCATGACGGCCGCGCACCTGCTGTACCCGGTCATCCAGAAGGTTGGCAAGGACGGCTGTCTGTTCACCGTGGACGAGATGGCCGAGAGGCTGGGCGACAACTACAAGATCGCCTACGGGGTGCGTCCCGACCCGGCGGACCCGGGCCACCACGACACCACGTTCGTGCGTGATCTGGATGTGATCGAGGAGAAGGAAGGGTATGGCTATATCCGTGGAGCCTTCCCGGAAGGGAGATATGATTGAACCCTCTCTACCCATGATGATTGTAATGGGTGTTGTACATCAAGGAGCATGTTCGAACATATATATCTTTTTCAAAATTTCCAGTGAATGAAACAAGCACCTTTTCTTGATGGCGATGTTGGCGGAATACCGTCACGAGCCCCCATGGACTTCCTCACTCCCAAAATAATATGAATCAAGGAGAATCCACGATTTCCCATTCCGTTGCTAAGTGTGATATTAAGGGGACTCTGACCCTGTATCAATCCATACCGCCTCTAATGAGATAACCGGCCCGCCAAGCCCACCCCTGCCAGGGTCTTTTTCTTTTACTCCCTGTCTATGTCAGAGACGATCCGGTCTCGAGTTGGTGAAACGAGCCTCTATCTCGTCGACTCGAACTCCCATATGTTATATGTACGTTGCAGAAGAAGCCAGAACGATCCGCTCCCGACAGTTTCACAACCTCGCCGTCAACGGAGTAGCATCGTCATCTGGACCGTCAATGCGCCGACCGATCTCGTCGAACTCGATCTTCTTGCCCGAGATGAGACTCTCCTGCAAGGCACAGCCGATCTTTACCGCGGAGACGGCCCCCTCGAGTCGGAAGGGGGGCTCGGTGTTGTCGAGACAACAGGCGGTGAACTCGTTCGCTTCGGTGATGAAGGCCTCGCGGAAACGGCCGTAGTAGTGGGGTGGGATCTCACGGCGGATGCCGGAGGGCTCGTAGATGCTGACGAGGTTGGACATGGGTTGCGTGTTGACGGCCAGTTTGCCCTCCGTCCCGGTGATCTCGGTGCCTGATTACCCATGTGCGTTAGATGACATGCTAAGAGAGGGAGGAAATGGGGTTGAGCTCTCACTGTCTTCTTGCCCGGCAGCCATCATTCTGCTGCAGTACAACTGGGCAATCTTGCCTCCGTAGAACTCGACGATCCCCAACGCATTGTCCCGGTCGTTGTACTTGCGCAATTCCGGGGACACGGCGGTGATGCCGATGGCACTGACGGATTTGACCACCGAGTCTTCGCCGAAAAACCACAGAGCCAGGTCGATGTCGTGGATGGAGCAGTCCACAAAGATTCCCCCGGAAAACTGCGCGTACTGCACGAAGAAGCCGGACGGATCGAGCTTGTCGCAGGTCTGGGAGCGAAAGACGGCCGGGCGTCCGATCAGGCCGGATCGCATCTTCTCATAGGCGTCTCTGTAGGAGGCATCGAACCGGCGGGAGAAGCCGCAGATGACTTTCTGGTTGGGGTATGTTGTCTTCGCCGCCCGATATGCCGTGACCACTGCCTGTGACTATGGAGCGGAGAAAGTTGGTCAGCCTGCTGGGACAAAGAGGGATACTCTGCCACGTACGATCTCCGGGTTCGTGCTGAGAGGTTTCTCACACAGGACGTGGAGCCCCTGCTTGATAGCTTTGATGGCCTGCTCGGCGTGGACGATGGTCGCCGAGGCAATGACCACCGCCTGCAACTCCTTCTCTTCCTTCAACATCTGGTCATAGTCGAGATACGTCCGCACGCCCTCCAGGTTCCGGGTGGCCCATGCCAACTCTTTGGGGTCTGGAGACGAGACAGCGATCAAATCTGCACGGGGGGTCATGGTGTGGAAGTGCAGGGCATGACGGGCTCCCATGCGGCCCAGTCCTGCAATTGCGACTTTGAGCTTTGGCGAAGACATTTTCGAAGGGAGAAAAAGGAGACAGACTGAGTAGCACAACGAAGATGTAACGAAGCTGCAAACAGACAAGAAACCGAAAAGACTCTCCTCACCACAAGTGAGACGTGCAGAAGACGATAAACCCTCACACACGGCGCATCAGCCTATATACCCCTGAGAGAGAGAGAGATGTCTGTGTTGTTGACATATGGTCGATGTTGTCAAAAATTATCGTGGGCGGTGAGGAGAGAGAGACACATTGGACGATCTCTGACTAACTGCGACGCTGCCTTAGTGGCCCCGCGGTTTGCCGCCTCTTCCTTTCTCCTCCCAAGCCGCCGGCACAGACCACACCACACACACCCCCATCCATCGGAAGAAATTGCCTGATCCTCGTCCCATCCTTGCCCCAGATGGCTTTTCGCCACAAATGGAACATGTCGCCAGCCATAAGCGACCGAGGAGGATCGACCGCCCCCAAGACAAAACCCCAGTGAGAATCAAGCGAGAGGGCGGGGAAAGGGAGCCATCAAAAACAGGCAATTCTCCTCCGGTTCTTGCATCACCAAATGCTTCGCTGCTCTCTGCTGCTTTTTGAAACCTTCTTCGGCGAAAGATACACTCTCAAAGCTGACCCATCACCGCTCATGACTTCCTCCGGGTCGACGATCGAGCCATGGAGGTTTCAGGCATCGAGCACCGGCGAGAAGAGGGAGACAACCGCCTAAAGGGCAATAGTGATGCGGAGCACGCCACAGGCAGGACCAAGCGCAAGTCAAGAATCAGTCCGTGCGACAACTGCAGAGGTGCTTCTCTCCCTCAAGCCCCTGCCATATGCTCTCGTAGTCTTGTTCAAACCCCCCACGTGACGTACTGACAGTTCTGGATAGAGAAGCATATCAAATGTAGGGCGCTGCCTTTTCTGCCCAGTGACGACCTTCGTCGATGTGGATGCTGAGAGATTCTAGGCGATCTGATCTCGGGGGTTTGCAGAAGATGTCAGCGAACTGGCGAACGGTGCATTCGCAGCAGGACGGGCATCAGATTTCGCCATGGGTCCAGTGCCAGATATGACACCAAGGGCTTCTCGACGGATCAGACCTGGTTGAAACCGAAGAAGGCGCTTGGTATGGACGACTCCCTACAAGGAAAGTATGCTGCTGACGCCTTCGCAGAACTAAAGTACATCGATGAGACTGCCGAGTTGACGGCAACATATGACGGGGATGCAGAGTTCGACGATGTCGACGACCTGAATGCCGAAGATGGAGAAGAAGACAGTAATACAGCTGGCCCTTCTCATACAGCCACAGATTCATACCGCACAGACAACGGCACGACAGGTTTTAGAAATGCAGCACCGGGGAATACCTCGAATGCTGATGTCACAACGTGGCCACGAGAAACGAGCAAACATGCTGGGCTCGAAAGTAACATCGAATCGACTTTGGGGCCTTCACCTAACTATGTGCGCAGCAACTGGAGTTCGCAGAGATCCCTGCCGTTTTCGTCCCCTCTTCAGACTAGGCAGGAAGAGATCGAGTCACCAAGTTCGCCGCTGTACACAGGCCTTGTGAAAAAACCATCAAGGTCGTCCACCCAATCAATACACACGGTTTTGGAGGTGATCCTCCTTCGATACTTTGTGGATCACCTTGCTCGGTGGTTTGACCTCTGTGATCCGGAAAAACACTTCGAATTCATTGTCCCTCAACGGGCGCGTTGGTGTCCGCCACTGCGAAACGCGATGCTTGCCGCTTCAGCGCGCCACCTCACCCGGGTTCGTCATTCGAAGCTGGGACCGGAGAATGTCTATTACTTGGACGGTCAGCCGGTTCCGGACTTGACCGAAGAGTCGGCATTGCACTACCACAGCGAATGTATAAAAGACTTGCTCAAACGGAGCCTCGACGCAGAACAAACCAGAGACGAGAACCTCTTGGCGGCAGCCATCATCCTCCGTTTCTATGAGGAGATCGATTCGCCCCTCCGTGCCGATGAGGAACGAGACAGTGAACTGTTCCTTCGGGTCATGAACGTTTTTATTGACGCACAGATTCCTTCGGTCCCTCTTGTTCCGCATAGCTCGCCCATCATCAACGGTCCGAAGGTTGGCCCGATCGCGAGTTACAACGCTGTGCCGTCTCCCGAAGCAGTGAATTCACCTTCTGTGCCCGTAGTTACATCTCCCGCGCAGAACTTGGGCAGTTCTATTGACGGCCAGTCGAGGTGGCGGGCAGATGGACTGTGTCAGGCCAGTTTCTGGGTGGCATTTCGCCAGGAGATATATTCGGCCTTTTTGAAACAGCGGCCGTTCAACCACGACCTCTCCCGCTGTGAAGCCTTTCGATCCTTCTCGCCCGCCGAGGACGCCGTGTGGGCAGATAGACTGATCATTTTCTGCGCAGACGTGCTCGAATTCTGCTACGGGAACAGTAACTCGAGCACGCGCCTGGACACCAATCTCTCGACCACGGACAACTGGCTCTCCCTCAAGCAGTACGAGGAAATGTGGCCAGAGGTCCTGCCAGCCTCGTTCGAGCCCCTCTATTACCGAGACCCGGACAGGTCGAAGGGAGAGGTATTCCCTGAAGTCTGCTACCTGGCCGATTGTCACGTCACGGGCGTGCAGCACGTGGAACTGGCCAAGATCCTGCTGGCGGTATACGACCCGACGCGACCGAAGCTTGGACCGGGCCACGTGGCCAGCATGAAGGCGCTGAGTCAGGAGTTGCGGACGATCGTGCTCCGTCTGTGTGGGATCGCCATGAGCAACCGCAAGACGCCGCCGGGACTGGTGACGGCGCTTCTGGGCATCGTGGTTTGTGGGGATCACTTCGAGGACAGAATGGAACAGGACGCCCTGTTTGGAATCCTGGATGAGCTGGAATATACGCACGCTTGGCCCATTGGGAACACGAGGAAGCTGCTGAAAGACGCGTGGGGGACGACGTGAGCGGCAACGACTTACACGGGTGCTCAAAAGAGGTCACCTTTGTCTTCTCGTTTCCCGCGTCATAAGGTTTCGATGCTTCTGAGCGTGGTTGATACGATGGCTGGACACATTACGCAACTCGCACGTATGATATCCGGAAGTAGAAACGTCGCGAGCAGCACATGTTCACACAGAGCCCGACCGAACTGAGGGTCTAATAGTTCACGAAAAACTTCCAGAGAGGAAGGAAAGAAGGACAGTAGAAGGCCATTTCTCATCCTACCACAACCACGCAAGAGATATAGTCCATCCCACACCAAAAAAAGGAGATTTTGACAAAAACAATCAACAGTCAGGATTCCCACCTGGTCACCCACGGTAGTACTAACTAACCGGCATATGGCTTAAGTACGGCTGAGCGAACGGGAAGCCCTGCTTTCCATATCCTATGGTCGATTGCGGAGTACAAATGTACAGATGAAAATTATACATCGAAGAAAATGGATACAAGCCGTCACGGCTGTCCGTATGACACTTGGGAGAATGGTGGAGTGGAAAGAAGAAACGAAGTTGAAGATCCACTTCCAGACTCGCCGATAAATTCCCCTTTTCGTCAAAAGGGGCATTATATCGCCAAAGCCATCATACCCATCCATCGGCCCTTGTCGCCTCTAACGAACCAGGGACAACTCAGCGCGCCGAATATTGTTCCCTTTCTGCGTCCCACAATCCAAACCATCTATTCCCTGCCGCTGCTGTATTGCAAATGCAGCAGACGATCTGCAATTACCCGTGGAGCACCTGTCAGCATGATGAACTCGTGTGTGTGTCCCATAAGGGACGACCAGCAAGGAAAAGGTCAGCCGAGGAAAAAATGGCGGAGCGACGGATGAGTCGTCGTGCCCGTCGCCCTGAATTTAGGGAATCGTTGCCTTCTACTTGATGAGCTATGGAGATATTCGTCCTCCATCCATATCTACATGTTCCATTGCCCTGTACACAAACATCAGCAGGAAAACGAAAGAACAATCAACATGCTAGGCGTCGCCATCTTCCTGTCCAGCCTCGTGTTCGGCATCTGCTATCTCATCCTCATCCCCCTGATCATCTACTTCCGCGACTCCAAGGGTCTGCGAAAATACCCTAACCTGACATTCTGGTCGGGGATATCAGACCTGCCCTTCATCTACGAAGCGCACAAGGGCTTCCGGTCGCACGCCCTGCTCCAGGCGCACGCGAAGGCGCCCGTCGTGCGGATTGGGCCGAACTCGCTCTCGTTTGCCAGTCCCGAGGCGATCAAGGACATCTATGGACACAACACGAAATGCACCAAGGACATCTTCTACCAGGAGCTAGCGGGAAGCCATTTCCACCTCGCGGATGTCGTCGACAAGCACGAGCACGCGCGCAAGAGGAAAATGTTGTCGAGTGCCTATGCGATCAAAAATCTGGAGGGCTGGGAACACAAGGTCGCAGATATGACCGGTCGGCTGATCAGAGCATTCGATGCTCGGTGTTCTGCGCCGCTTCCCAAGGGACAGCTGCCGACCAGTGAGGACCTGACTGTCGACTACCGCATGTGGACCAATCTATTCACTGTCGCAGCGATCGCCAACATCGGACTGAGCGAAGATCTAGGCTTCCTCGACCGTGGAGACGACCTGATCACCTCTGAGGCGGCTGATGGAACGCTGAAGAAGGTCCATTTCCGAGAATGCCTGCACGCCACTGCCTGGGCACAGTCGAACCTGGTCTGGGCTTACGGCTCGTATAAGACACTGGTCCGGCTGAGCAAAATCTTCTCTCGCACGTACCGAGAGAAATGGCGATTGAACCAGGACTGGGACGGCATCGTGCGAAACCGAGCCACCACGAGGTTCAAACGGTATCTGGCTGGAGAGCAACTGGACGACTTCTTCACGGCTATCTTACAGGACAAATCTGGTCGGCCCAACAACCTCGAATGGGGTGAAATGGTGGCCGAGGTCAGCATCATGATGAACGCGGGGAGTGACACCACGGCCATGGCAATGAATAATGTGATGTTCTTGCTCTTGAAGAACCCAGCCTGTTTGGAGAAGCTGAGGGACGAGTTGGACCATACGCTCGACGACGACGAAGAGATCGCGGCGTACGACAAGATCAAGCATCTCCCTTACCTGCGTGCCTGTCTCGACGAAAGCTTACGCCTCATCCCCCCCACGACTTTTGGGCTGCCTCGTCGCACGCCGCCGGAGGGAGCACCGGTGGCAGGTGATTTTATTGCCGGGGATACCTCCGTGTCCATGTCCTCGTACGTGGCACACCGGGACAAGACTATATTCCGGGACCCAGAACAGTACAGGCCGGAGAGATGGCTGGGGGAAGCAGGCAAGGAGTTGCAGCCATACTTCATTGCCTTCTCCGCCGGGGCACGGGGGTGCATTGGTCGCAACATCAGCTATCTGGAGCAGATGGTGCTGTTGGCCTCGGTGATACACCGCTATGAGTTCGCTCTGCCGTGTCCTGGGTGGGAGCCGACGAGGAGGGAGAACTTCAATCTATCGGCGGGGCCAATGCCGCTGAAGGTCTGGAGACGGAAGAAACTGCATCAATGAGGGCGGCAGGGCGTGTAGAGTGTGAGCCATGACAGTTGTCCATTCATCACCACCTAGGGGGAGACAGCGTGCATAGTTCACAAATTCGTTATAATCTTCGTATTGCTGCATTTCCATCCAAGCGACCACTTCTCTTTCAGGTACCTTCAAAGGCCAGTCCGACCATAGCATATTGCCGGCAGAAGACCCCGGTAGTACAGATGGAGAAGCCTGGGGAGGGACCCGGTCGTCTGGGGTACGGGCGAGGAATTGCCCCTTCTGACTGTGTGGGATTCCTTTCGCCGACACTTTGTTAGCAAGCGGATGAAATCCGGAGGCAAATTCTCGCCGACAGCGACAAATCAACGTCCAGCTTCCATCCACACAACGAAACTCTCTCCGTCTCTTGCCCCGGACCTTTTCTCCTCCTCCGCCTCCTCCACGAACGGACATGGGTCGACGACGGGGCGGTGGACTAGCCTCTTCGTAATGGCAGCCAGAAAGATCCATTGGCTCCCACACCACACCCGATCCAAGATTCTTTAAGAAAAAAGAGGCAATTCGACACCAGGGATCCCTCGCCGATCGACCGGCGAGAACACACACGCACACACGCAGCTCACCTTGTCTTTTCCAGAAACATGTATCGATGGCAATACGATCAGACGAGGTGGGATTGTCTATATAACCCCAGAAATTCCCCCGGTGTTTGACACGACTTCATCTCATCATCCCAACGCCTCGAGCATTGTGTGAGAGAGAGAAAGAGAGAGAGAGAGAGAGAGAGAGAGAGAGAATCAAGACTCGAACAAGACACCAACTTCAGGTTGCCCCTTATTCCTCCATACGGCCCTCCTCCTTCTCTCATTCATCACTCAACAAACCACATTTGACCCACGATGGCGAACCGCGACCACCTCTCCATCGAACAGAAGATCCAGGAAAAGGCACACCATGAGCACCTCGAGGAACCGTCCCGACACGTCGTGGTGCAAGGAAGTCTGCGTGCCGACAGCGTCACACGCACCTCATTCGACCGTCGCCACTCACTCACCGTGCCTGGCACCGACACTGGCAGTCGCCGCGAAAGCATCCGGAAAAGCTTCGACAAGGCCAACATCGCCATGGTAAGTCCCGATCCACACGAACTGGTAGTTTCTCCGCGACGACGACGACGACACCGACGAGGCTAACCGAACCAAAAATCCAGGTCTTCCCCGATTCGACCCACGTCGAAATGTCCGACGACGAGATGGGCAAGAACTCGATCGATGACATCTCCCCGTCCTGGTTCGTCTGGCTGGTCGCCCTGACCGCATCGATCGCCGGCTCGCTCTTCGGCTACGACACCGGCATCATCTCCGCCGTGCTCGTTTACCTCAACGACGACCTGAACAATCGCCCGGTCTCGTCCAACGAGAAGGAACTTATCACGTCGCTCTGCTCGGGAGGCGCGTTCATCGGCGCCATCATCGCCGGCCTGACGGCGGACAAGTTCGGGCGCAAGATGGCCATCTACGTCGGCTGTGCGCTCTTCACCGTCGGCGCCATCCTGCAGGCGGCCGCGTACTCGATCGCGCAGATGTCGGTCGGCCGACTCGTCGTCGGGTTCGGGGTTGGTTCCGCTGCCATGGTGGTGAGTTTTCCCCTTTTATCCCAGAGGATCCCCAAGCGAGGAGTAAAATATTCACGGCATGATCTACCAGGTTCCTCTCTACATCGCCGAGATTGCACCCACCAAAGTCCGTGGACGACTCATCGGGCTGAACAACATGTCCATCACCGGTGGACAGGTGATCTCGTACGGCATCGGGGCCGCCTTCGCCCACGTGTCTCACGGATGGCGGTACATGGTCGGCTTGGGTGCTGTGCCGGCCATCCTCCTCGCGTGTCTGTTGCCGCTGTGCCCCGAGTCCCCTCGTCAACTCGTCTACCACGGCCGCATTCCCGAAGCGGAGGCGGTGCTGGCCAAGATCTACAAGGGCGCCACCCCCGACCAGGGGCGAGCCAAAGGCGCCCTGATCGCGGCGGCCTGCGGGGGAGCCAAAGAACTCAACGAGGACCAGTCCCGCTGGGCCAAGATCAAGCAGCTGCACACCAACCCGGCGTACTTCCGCGCCCTGGTCTGCGCGTGCGGCCTGATGGTCATTTCGCAAATGTCCGGCTTCAACGTCCTGATGTACTATTCCTCGACGCTGTTCGACATCGTAGGCTTCTCGAACCCCGTCGCTGTCGGCCTCGTGGTCGCCGGCACCAACTTCGTCATGACCTGGGTCAACATGATGCTGGTCGACCCCATTGGCCGGCGACGCCTGCTGATCGCCACCGTCTGGGGCATGAGCGCCGGGCTGGTGGCCGTGGCCATCGCGTTCAGCTTCATCCCCATCGACACCAAGACCTTGGCCATTCAAACCACCAAGGTCACCACGCCGGCCATCGTGGTGCTCATTTTTATCATTTGGTTCGTTTTCTTCTACGGCGTCAGTGTCGGTAAGTCGCAACTCGAGAACCCCCTCTCCCTCCCCCTGTGACTGACTATGTCCCCCTTTATTTCCAGGCAATACCGCGTGGATGTCCACCGACTTTTTCCCCATGGAAGTCCGCGCCATGGGGACCATGTGGCTGACCTGCTCGTGCTGGGGGTCGAACATCATCGTCTCGTCGACGTTCCTGTCGATGATGAAGGGCCTGACCCCGACGGGCGCGTTCGGCTTCTATGCCGCCATCTGCGGCGTCGGCTGGGTGCTGATCATCTTCTTCTACCCGGAGGTGTCGGGCTTGACCCTCGAAGAGATCGGCCAGGTGTTCGAGCACGGCTTCGGCGTGCGCTACGCGAGCAGGTTGCGCAAGGACCGCAAGGCCGAGATCCGGCGGCGCCTGAAGGAGCGCGGGCGCACGGTTGCCGTGGGACATTGAAAAGGACACGTCAATCACTCCTATATCACCCCTATATCACCCCTATATCACTATATTACTCTCAGACGCCGCGGGAAAGAAGAAAACGGGGACGGGTGGGAAGGGATGGGGACTGCCGGGTGCCAGGAATGGCATTGTACAGAGAGGTAGGTAGGTCCGTGGATGGCGGTGGCGGTGGCGGTGGTGGTGTTGGGACGTGTATATAAGTTTTATTAGGACGCTTTTCCTGCCTTGCTATTCGTCTGTCACCGGCGCAGGCCCTCGGGAATACATATATACACAAAGACGAGAGAAACGTGACGTGAGGTCTGCATTGCACATACACACATCTTACGAGCCAAAAATTCAAGATACGACGCGACGATGCACACATGTCATGTCGCTGATATGAAGCAGAAGATGAAGAAGAACTTCTCCCATTCTACTTAGTCTTTGGCAAAACCCTTGTTTCACCCATTTTTTTGTAAGGGGGAGGTAAATGCTAAGCAGGACATACCCCGTGTACCTGGCACAGGCATGGTTGTGCCCACGACGCGCGCTTGCTATGCTGACCAAAAGGGGTTGTTGTGTGTAGGTGCGGGTGAAATGTTCCTCCACCACAAAGAAGAAGTCATAGTCTCTCCCTCACTCTCTCTCTCTCTCTCTCCGAGCCCACTTCTGTCTGGCTTTTTCGCCTTGATCGACTCCCTTAGGTTTCCAAATGTACGGAGTACAGTAGATCCACCGCCCTCGGCCCACAACTTTCCACCAGCCCATCCCATAGTGCTAACCAGCCTACCCCCTATCGTTCAGCTCACCCCGGCCCCCTCTGCCTCGAGGCGAGATTGTAGTTGTCGTCCGCCGACAGGGCCGGCCCAAAGACCTTGCCGCAGCGAAAGGACCAGTAGCGGGAGAGGGCGTACCACACGTAATTGTCGGCGTTCTGGAGGGACTGGGACATGCCGGAGCGCGGGTCGGCAGGGAGCTGGTTGATGCGCAGGGCGTTCCAGGGCCCATAGGCGCCCGACACCCACGGCCCGTCGTAGTCCCAGATGCGGTGGTCGTGGTCCGGGATGGCGGTCGCGTAGTCCGGCACGCTCAGGAACATCCACGGCCAGTGAAACAGCTCGTGCAGCACCGTCGACCCGATCACCTTCATGTACGCCGTGTCGCGGTCGCCGAGCCCGTCGCACCCGAACCCGGCCAAGGGGGCGCCGTTGGGGTCGCCGCCCACCCGTCCCCACGCTGGCGGGCTCTCCGTGTCGCGCAGCGACAGCCGGTACTGGAACAGCCCCGACCCCGGGCACAGGGACATCAGGCCCGAGAAGCGCGCGGTCGGCCCGGGGTCGTAGATGGTGTAGGCGTTGTCGCCGCCGACGCACGAGCGGCCACCGTTGCCGGCCGGGTTGAACGGGTTGTCGCCGTACGCGATGCACAGGGCGACGAAGTCCGGATTCCACGCCGCCGCCGAGTTGGACGACGAGAGCAGCTGCGGGATGTCCTGCGCGTTGATGTCCATGAACAGGTCGATGTTGGCGATCGTGCGGAACATCCGCTGCACGAACGTGTAGTCTTGGGGCTGGAAATACCGCAGAAATGCCTGAGGGAGCAGCCACGTCGAGGGTTAGCAAACAGGTCCGAGGAATCTAGAGGACATGGACTGGGGGGACTCGTCCTTTCTATCGGTCTCGTCGTCGTTGCAACTTACCGGATCACAGTCGGTGGCTGTTATGGTGACGACCTTTGCAAGCGTCATCGCGTCTTTGAACGCCTGCGTGACATTCCGCTTCGCATTCTGCACCGTGCCTGGGGGATAGGCGAAGACTGGAGGTGCTGCGGAGATCAGATCCAAGTTGAAAAGAAGGAGCAGAAGAAGTGTGGGCACCACTCGTGCCAAAGCCTGGAAACTCATCCTGCTCAGCGAGTATTGGTGGATGGAGAGCGCTCACGGCTGGGACAGGAGCATGGATGGGCATGTATGGTTTGAGAAGACTCACATCTGAAGGAGACTCGAATGAGGGTTTTTTTCTTTTTCTCTTCACTTCAATGGAAGGCAGATGCGTCTGCGATGACTTGACACTCAAGTTGACAGATCTGAACTGATTCACTCACTGTTTTCACTCACTCAGTGAAGCGAAAAAGGGGACGCGTGACGGGCGACTGAGATACCTGATTCGCCGCAGAAGATGGCACTGAATGGGTTGACGACACTTGGGCTCTCTTCACAGCATCTTCGATAGGCGTTGTGACAGAGTGGTGCATAGAAGGGGGATACCCCGTGCTTTCTGAAAAGTGAAATATGTACTAGGAGATCGGGGCCTTGTCAGTAATCTGCGTCCTAGAATTCACGGACATCAGCTCCAGACAGACATGTGGTTGGACTGAAACGAGAGGTGACATTGGGTTTCCACTGATATATATCTCTCCGCGGGCTCTCTGTCCCAAGGGAGTCGATGCCTCTTCTTACTTAGAACACGTTCCCCGGCCCTTTCCAGTTGAGAACCGCCACGGGCTCCTGGACCGGCGTCATCTTCATCAATTTGCCGTAGAACTCCATGCTTCGCTCCTTTCCATGGCCGATAATGCACAGACTGCGTCGCAAGTAGGGCATGTCCTCAATGACTTCTTGCACACAGCTGATGAGCCACTTCCCCAACCCCTGACCCTGCCACTCGGGCTGGACGTACACATCTGTCAGATAGACGAGGCTGACGCGGTCGGTGATGCAGCGGGCGAAGCCAATCAGGGACGGCCCCTGATTCTCTCGCCGTGCTCCTGCTGGCACTGCATGGGTTGTGGTGGTACCGCTGTCCACGTCTGACTTGACGGACGTCGCGATCTCGTGTAACGTTTCTGCAGGGTCAGAGGGCGTCAGGTCGGTCTCTTGGTGACTGGGGTCCGCCGACGGGGGTGGCGCCGGGGTCGGTGAGTAGAGGCCAAAGCACAGGGAATTCTCCAGCATATCCCGCATGACCGGTTCAGGAAGTGGTGCGGCCCAGTACATATCCTCCGAGGCAAAAGCCTTGTTCAGAGCGTCGATAGGGATCAACGCCGTGTCCGTGGATATCATGAAGCCATCTCGATTCCACGTTCTCGAGGTCTCCACGGCCTGAGCGACATGAGACATTGCGTGGGCGAGAGGCCTAGGGCACGAGTTTCGGGCGTTTCGTGGAACTGGCAGCTGAGTAGATCGGACGAGAGGGCTCCGTTGGAGGGTACTCGATCAATACCACGTCTAGAGCAACATGAAGTGGGTTTGTGTTCGGCATGCATTTGAACTGTATGACTCTGAACTCCCTTGGCCCTCCAATTGTAGCAAGTTTCCCGAGGACGAATACATACACACGGCGTGCATCTAGATAGAGCCACGTGAGGTTCTCAAATCAGGGTGTCAGTCTATCCAGAGATGGATTTCTTAAGCAATGCTCTTCGATCTCATGTGAACCTCGAGTCCTTGATCCCAAAACGTAGGTCACCGCTTCGCTAATTTAGCCAAGGTACAAAAAGTATCAACTTCAATGACAGCAGCCACAATCTCAGCCTCGGGCGGCCAAGCTCAGCAGAACACGTTATAGCTCCGGCTTCATGTCCATCTCCTGCTCCCTCGCAGAGCCGGATTGCTCCTCAAACTCCTTCCCCGCCGGCCCAAAGTACTCCTCAAACAGACTCCTCAAATCCTTGGCTCGCAACTCCATGTGCTCGCCGGGCAAGCCCACGAACTTCAGGCCACCCTTTTCGTCCAGCTTCTTCAGGCCGATCCAGTCCTCTTCGTAGATGGGTCGATCTCGGAGGCGTGTCACCGAGTTTTCCGTCTCGTTGAACTCTGCAAACCAGGCACTCTCCTTCGGAATGAGGGTTTTGTCATCGTCAAAGAGGATCATCACGAATTTCTCCAGGGTGGCGAGATTGTCAGCGTAACTGGCGTTCTTGCGTTCTCGCTCGTTGTTGATGTCCGCCAGATAATTGGAATGTTTGAGGTAATTGTCAAAGTCTTTCGTGTCACGGTAGTACTGGGCGGGTACCAGTCTCGATTGGATGAAGTCGGACCAGACGGTGCTGCTCTTCAAGAGCGCGTTGGCGCCCTGACAAATCCAGTCGGACGGCGAGGAACACTTCTGAAACTCGGCGATACCGTTGTGCGGAGATCCGAACGTGATCAACGACCGAATCTTCGGTGCCCAATGGGCACATCTCTCGATATAACCCCTCAGGAATACGCCGCCTTGGCTGAATCCCACTGCGTCGAGGGCCGGTGCCGTACGCAGGATGTTGTCGCTCGACAGCATGTGGCAGACGGACAGGATTTGTTCGGTGACGTTACCAAAGAACGAAGCCTGGCGATCGGCCGAGCCCGGGTTCCCACCCAGGGAGATGATATATGCATATGTCCCCGGATGGACATTGTCCAACATGGCTGCGATCTCTTGGATCCCCTTGGCGTCGGCAGAATCTCCCAGCCCATGCCAGATCACCACGGGCAGAGGCTGATCATCATCAGGGTCACCGCCGACCGTCTTTGCGTGCGAGGCATGTTTGGGGGAGAGCCTGGTAATCGTGACCCAGCCGTCTTCGACAATGGTCTCGGTGGCGTGAGGGAGATAGGCGATCTTGGGGGTGAGTCTGAGCTGGTCTGCCGTCTGCTCTTCTTCCTCCACCTCTTCGACAACATGTGATGCAGGCCGTCCGACTAACTCTGGCGATAACTTGGCCGCGTGTTCCACGACGGCGGCGGCGGCTTCGGACAACCGGCTGGGGGAGCCCTCAGGTTGGATCTGGGAGACTTCGGCTTCGGGAAAGATAACGACGGAGAGGATGCCGGCGGGCAGCGATAAAAGGAGAACGGACAACTGCGTGAGCCGCATGATGGCAGTGGTCCCCGCGAGAATAGCAATTGAGAGAGATATGCAAGAATGAATCTGTTCAATTGAAGGCCTGCTTCACGATTATGTAGAAAGAATGATGTTGCCTGCGCGCTGCCACCCAGCGCGTGCTGACTTAATTATCCACCAAGCTTCGAGCCCCCTTTAGTCACAACGCATTCCTGCTCGCTTGGAGCTCGGACATGTCACCCCCGGATCTTGGCAGGTACCACATCCAAGCGCACAATTTTACGTCATTCACCTCGAATCCTAGCAAGCAATGGATGCCAGTATATCAGCGATTAATGGTGCTGTCGATTCCCCTATTCTCTCGGCGAATCAAGGGAAAAAATATGGCCTCCCTGTATTCTCCGACGCCAGCCAGCCGGTGGGTATCATACAAAGCCAAATCATCCTCCCCATTTTATTCCATCCCCTCGTGGAGAGTATAACCCTCCTTTTTACCAGTCCAGACTCCGAGTGTAATCAGCATTTGCGCCTCATCCCAGTAATCCCAATCCATCCTCCTCGGAGACCAGGACTCGCACCTTCTTCAGATCCTGGGTCCACTTCCTCGTGACGTGCAGCCACATCTGCTTCTCGTCTGACCGCTTCTCTTCGACAAACTTCTCCAGAGTCGGCTTGGTCTGCCATTCTTCCCATCTGCGCCCATCTCTTACCAGCATCTCGCACGTGAGGTGAGGATATTGTGCTCGTGCCGATGCAATAGCTTCTCTGTCTGCAGCCATGCGAAATTCTTCCAACTGACAAGGCGGACAAGGGTGGTCCTGGTGAGGCAAGAACGTGGGCAGGCCCATGTAATGGGGCGTCGGGTAGTGCGAAGACGAGGTGCATGAGAAGCGGAACCCCTTGGAGGAGAATGATTGCGAGCGACTAAACCGGCGTCCCAACTCCCCACATTCTGAAGGTTGGCAAGCCACGCCTGGCAGAGGGGCTGCAAATTTCGAGTGCACTCGAGATATTGGAGATGATGGCGGGGTCACAGAGGAGCCCGAAGAGTTGGAATCTAAACTTCCAGTCGACGAAGAGGAGCATCCTTGCGACGACACCGGCCGAAGGTTTGAGCTCGACAGTCGGTTCTGACAGTTGTAGCATTTGTAGGGCTGCTGTGGGAGCTTCACTCCGGTCGTCTTGAGCAACGGGCAGGGTGCCAATTTGCAAATCTCGAAACCCATGAGAATGCCATGTCCACAACAGAACCGGAGCACATGAGCCTTGCACATCTTGAGAGAAGTCCTTTTTCCAGGTTCTTGAAATCAAGGTTGTAGGATGTTGGCTGGAGGGTGTGTGTGTTTGCGTTCGTGGGCGGGTGAGTGGAGTGGAGATCTTCAGAGAGGAAAAACGCGCAGCTGAAACGGCAAATGCTTCGAAAATCGAGGTCTATAGCGGCATTCTCAACAGGCGACTCGTGGACATCGAGGCATCAGACAACCAAGTTTTGAGGTCCTTCTCAAGTGATGTGCTGGTCGTCCGGGGACCGGGGCGCTGTGGACGCGGGGGAAGGGAAGCGTTGTGCGCTGGAACAGCCAAAGCAGGGGTGCGTCCAATACCGTCCGCAGCGAGGCGCAGAGTTTTTGCTCGCGTGCCTTGGGCAGCAGCAGCGTATGCAGAGCACTTTGTACGACTCGAAGTAAGCGAACTGTCAAGGCGTCATGAGACCCCAACGAGTGCAGAATTGTTGACGGCCTTTGAGGCCTTGTCGAGAAGGAACTGAAGGTCCGTGTCGAAGGTGGACGGACGAGGTCCCCAGGGCCGTGGAGAGTGAGGGTAGTTAACCGTTGACCGAGAGTTTCAGGATGTCCCACAGTGAGCGGCAGTGGCAAGCAATTAATACCGTGAGGCGAATACCATGAACGACCGGCACAGAGAAAGGGTCCCAATTGGATTCGGGTGCCAACGAGGGGGATACTCTGGACATAAAAAGGCGGGCGACGAATAACGAGGAGGAATACAATGGGCCCCAGGGAACGGAAAGGAAGGAGAGAATCAGGTTAACCGGGGGAGTGGTTAGAGTCGATCGACTAGGGGAAAAGGAAAGACGACAAGGCGAGAAGAGAAGCAACCACACAAGACCATAACACAGAGAAACGGGAGACGGAGTTGTGAAAGGGAACGAAACCTTTCATCGGCTGGGATAGGGTCGATTGACGAAGAGAATAGTTTTTCGTTGGACGGATTGAGCATGGTGGAGAAGCGCAGGTTTAGGGTTGCGTGGTTGCATAACACCAACGCTCCGTGGGAAAAAAGGTGGGATGGCCGAGTGGGAGCCATGAGGAAGCCCAGTTGTCGATCGCCCTGCGCCTCGTAGCCCCTCGCGGGGGGTGGGATGTCGTTCCTTATTGGGGGCTGGTTTGTTGAGCTTTAACTAGAGCCGCCCAGTTCATTTGGCTAGTGGAGGGTTGGCCCCCCTCTCACCTTTCTTTGGATGGAACAAGCTTCGCCCGCTCACCCATTGTTCTTCATCTCGCGGGTTTCTTTTGGGATATCCCGTTCGCATGTCATCACCCTCTGTGCCGTTTTAGGCCCGCTATGGGGATGTCTCTGTACTGTACATACAATACCCTGGGGAGCAAAAGGCAAGAGAAGGGTTGCATTGACGATCCGCGAGTTGAAATCATGGCAGAACACGGCAGACAAGACGAACCACTGGGGTTTTTTCTGGCTTCCAAGGGTCTCGAAAGCTCGGCTGCTAGCCACCCGGCACGATAACGTGGGCCCAGACTCGTCGCTGCTCGGGAATATACGAGGAGGGTGTGTGTCGTGGGTGTCTCCGGGATGAACCCAACTCGCCCAGAAAACGTGTTTGCACGACGGCTTCTTTCGGGTTTCCAGAAGGCGCGTTTCGCCGGTCAGATTCCTCATGGACAAGGAGAGCCCATGACTCGTCGAAGTCCCACCAGGCAATCATTTCCAGCAGATTACTGTTGCACTCCACGATGCTCCATGCACGACGCACGTCAACACGACCCCAGAAACGCCACGCCTTCCTGACCATCGTCGTTCATCTGGGCAACATCGCTTGCTCCCTCCAGTTGTACCCACGTTGGAACTTGCAAATCCGACGTAGACACGAGAGGGGCACCATCCCGAGGTAAGCTCCGAGCGAGATGGTAGATGGTTGCAGCTGTCTATGACGACGCACATCTCCCGACAGGCGCCACATAGCCTGTTATCGGGTGGAGAACTGAAGGAAGCAGTGAGACGTGCCGCCAATCTGGTCTTTAACAGGTCCACAGAAGTTCATGGCCGAAATGACGGCATTGGTAGGACAGGATAACACCACCAGCATGGGCATGGATTCGTACCGTGTACTTACGCAAGCGCTTTTCACGGACGGATACCGTGGTCCCTCTACCACCTCCGATAAGCACAAGTTCGGCCCTGCATCATCCCACATGCTCAGCGAGGCCCTTCGAGCGGGACCGCGCCGAACGCGTGTCACGAGGAAGAGGAACAAGTTCCCCTTGAGCACACGTCCAAGTCAAACTGTTGCGATAAATAAGAATGAATTTTGAATTGGGCTAGCAATACCCGAACCCGAACCACCCCTGTCGACGATGTCTGCATCTCGTCAATCGCCCACCTGGTGGAAGAGGGCCCAGACCCGTCTTGATAATCGTGGACATGATTCGCGCATTCCTACTTCACACCGGACAAATCCCCCGAATGGAGACCATTCGAACACTGCATTTATGAAGAGTCACCTGACTTGCTTGCCGTGTCGTAGTACATGGCGATTCTCTGGATCTTGAAAACGCTGTCGTGGTTCGGCGGACCAACTGACCAACCTATTGCCGCCGTCGTCAGAGACAGTAGTTCATAACATGCCAACATACTCGACTACTCACCTTTGTCACCATTGGCCCAGTTATTCCAGACCAATTGACCAGGCACGTTTGGAATGTTGTTGGTGAAGTTTTTCTGGCACACGCCGTCTATGTAAAAAGCCGTGTAGTCGGCGGTCCAGTCAATTCGATACTCGTGGGCGCGAGTCGTGCAATCAGACGGGGCTGGTCCGCTTTCGCATGATTTGTCCATCTTTGTGGGATCCACGGCTTGGTTCGTGTACCAAAGGGGTATTGGAGCGTTGGGACCGTTGTTTGATAAGGAGGTCGGATCGGTCACGTATTCGATGTCACACTCCTGAGTGTCGTTCTTGTAGAAGAAGATGCCTGTCGTTGTTAGAACATCTGGTCTCTAACAGAGCAGCTGAGGTGGAGACAAACCATGACAGGTGCCAGGTTCTGTGCTGAAGACGGCAGTGGTTCGAAAGCTCCCGTACAGAATGTTCTCCTCTACGGTCGTCACCTCTGCGCAGCTCACCGCGTACCCAGTCTGCTTCGAGGGTTTCTGACCTCCTGGAACTGTCAAGCGGAGGAGTCCTCTGGAGCAGCGAACGTTCGCCGGGTCATATCGCTCGTTGAAGGGAATGTCGCCCGCATTCTTGCAGTAAACACTGTAGTTACTCTTTTTGAGACCATCAGGCAGCGAATGTCCTTGAAACGTGTACAGAGCTCGATGGGTAAATTTGCCAACGCCCGGCACCACCCATTTGTCTCCATCCGCTGTGACCTCCTCCCGCGCATTGGAATTCTGAACAATTGAGGTCTGTGCAGTCGAACTCGTAGCGATCGTGTTCCCTGGAATAAGGATTAGCCAGAGGAGTCTCATGCTGTCTAATATGCCTCGACGTATGTTCACGAAAGGGAATGATTGAGAGACGAAGGATGAGAAGGTAGAAACAAAACTTCTACCTACCTGCCGCTGGCTGCGACGATGGCTCATTCTCCTCAGCCTTCTTTGTCCGACGTCTTCCGCAGCAGCCAACAATGACACTCAGCCAGCTCTGCTTGGCTGGCGCTTCTGCAGACATGGTGACCCAAATATGATTTAGGGATAGTGTGTAGCGGCAGGATATAGGAAACTGCGACAATGTCAACCCCCGTCAGAGCAGCCAAGGAGTTGGAATGTGCCTTCGTGGCCAGGATATCAATTACCTTCAAAGAGTGGGACAACAGCGCTTGGATACGATTGTGAGGAATTAGACGCTGTTGTAAGAGCGGATGTAAGATGCTGTGGGTAGGATGAGGAGCCTTGGTCCTGGGAGTGACGTGAAGCCCTTTGAAATCGGCTGCGCCGTTCAGCCAGGCGCAACGGACTCCGCCTTCCATCCAGATTCCTTGAAACCAGGGAGGAGCGAGAGGTCAGGGCAAATTCCATTTGATTTCATACCCGAAGACGGTTCTGCGGAGTGCTTCATCTCCAGGATCGTTCTCAAACATGACTTTATCCATGGTCTGTTCTAATATTTTGTTGACCACAAAGCCGTCAGCCCGAGCCATTTCAAAGAATTGGAGGTCTTTCTCGAGCAACCAAGGACGATAAGGCGTGAAAAACACCAGAGCGGCCGAGTTGCTTGTCTTTTTCAAGCAGTCACGGACCGTGGCTAGCAACCTTGCGTGCTCAGAGTGGTTGAACAAAATGTCGGCCAGAATCAACAGATCAAACCCATCAACATCAGGGAGGATGTGCGATTTCAGGGGCTCGACCTGGCCGCCCCAAATGAACCCTTCCGCGACAATTTTTGACTTGTCGGGTAGAGCTGAGCAATGCTCTACGTTGTAACGCAGGTTCGCAACCAAGTCCTGGTCTGGGTAATCCGTCACCACGACTCTCCGAGCTCCCAACATCGCAGCCACTAGGCTAGGAAGACCGGCCCCAGCACCCAACTCCAAGACAGTCTTGTTCTGTACGAGTTCTTTCGTGTTCTGCTCGAGATACATGGATATGACTTGACCAGCATTCCAAAGCAAATGTCCCTTGACGAGTGGTTAGCGGAACGAAGACATCACCAGATAAAACGGCCGAATCACACCCAAAGAGGACTATGGCCTACAAGCCGAAGCGTAATACTCTGACCGGTTTTCAGGGTGTAGTTGGTGAAAGTAGGTGGCTTTTCTGGCTCGTAGAAATCGGCAGGCTCTTGAAACAAATCAAGCGGTGTGGAGGAGTCCTCATCCTCGGCCCGCTCCATCATATTCCGTGGTAAATATGACAGAACCAGCACGCAGCTCATCAGTATTGCCAATGAGCAGAGAAGCACAGAAGGTCATTTTTTCTCCAAGCGGCGCTTCGCACATCCAACAGTCCGCCGTAGCTCGCCAGTTGAGCTCTGCGCCACCGAATTATTATTAGATGTCAAGATGCGATTAGAGTCCTCCATGGTATCATGTCCACATTATCGCCGTGCCGTTGCGAGCTGTCGGCAGAGGAAGCTTTGCAGGTTTGGAGCTTCAATGGCTGCCTTGGGTCTCCCAAAATGATCCATAATGGACTCGGCTGCTACAAAGACCGTTCAGAACTCTATCGAGCAACTGGAGTGGCTTCCCCCGGCCTTCAGTTCGAGATTTGTCTTGGGTGATCACGATGAACCCCCGTTTCCGCCCTTTCCGGAGGGCTGGATTCTATCACCGCCATTTTGACTGGTAGAAATGGTGTCAGATCGGCTTTCCGTGCACAAGTAGCATCTGCAATGGATCAAAGGAAGATGGAGCCAGGTTCCGGTTCAAGCCTGACCTCTCAAACATGCCTGCGAACACAGGTTGACGCCACCTGTGGCCTGAGTGCTTTTTCTTGAGATTTTCTTCCCATGTGCCCACCATGTATGCGAGCCACAGCAACAGCTTAGGCTAATAAGCACTCGTCTTATAGTCTCTCGCGGCGAGTACCGTCCATGAGCTCCAACTGAGTGCTTTCACTGGTATGCCAATTAGATCACGTAAATCCCGTGTTATTCCTCGGGAAACCAGATTCAGCTGCTATTTCGGCTTGGAGCATGATATATATAAACAATGCAAAGGAACAATCCCAGCTACACGTATTACCCAGTGGGAATAGTTCACTTACGGTACCGACTTGATAGCTGCATCCTATGTCCTGACCAAGATTCTCCGGATCGATCTCTACCACGTGTCTTCACCCGTCCGGACAAGAGCTGTAGGGGCTTTTGATACAGAAGTGCGGGTCTCAGCTGGGTAAGAACCGGATGACGATGCATATCTCCGGACCAAGACTGGCTCTCTCCCTCTCTCTCCCTGCAAGCGGATATCTCACTGGAATTGGAGAAAAGCCAAGGAGCACGCCAGATAGGCGGATAGCGTCCCAATGCGTGCTACATCACTAATGCACAACTGGCCCGGATCCTGCAGGACGATGATGTGATAAAAGATCCGGTTCCACGATACAGCGGGAGGTCGACGGTGGTGGCCTGAGTCAGGTCATTGACACAAGCTCGGCTGTCCGTCTTTTTGTTTCTCTTTATCAACACAGACACCCAACCCTTACAGCCGCCGGGTGTGGAGTTATTTAATTTCATCCTGAAGACTGACCTGTAGCTGTTTCGGCGTTCACGAAGCCCGTGGCCAATCGCTCTCCGGTGCAATGATAAAGCGGGAGTGATAAGTTACGGTACATGTTCCGTTGGCTAGATGACCTCGGTAAATGCCCTTCAAGAGTTCAAGACACCTACCGGAAAGGATACCTACAGATCAGGGCTTTGTGGTGCTTTTAGTCACTACCGTAGGAAGTCGGTACCTCGTACAGATGATAAATACCACAGCTGGCCGGCAGATTGTCGGCGTCCCATGGACAATGATTCCGCATCTGCCCGTTGTCTACAGTGGTCCCGTGATCCCGTCATTCCGATGGTTTCTTCCCATTTGCCGCCTGCGCTGCTTTCATCTCAGTCGTGTCGAATTTACTCACCTTCCATCATCACTCTTCATCCATTTTCCTCTCTTCCCCTGATCTAAACCCTCTATCTTCGATCTCGTACTCAAGACCTTCCTCTTGTGTGGCCGCCCCGTCCATCGACCAGGGTCCCCCCCACAGATCAGCCCGGGAGAACGTGCCCCCATGTCATCCAATTGAAAGCGCCCCGCAATCACTCCAGACTCTTGCCAGGCTCGAGAAGCGGCAGACTTCCACCGTCTTGTTCTTGTTCCACCCCCCACGAACTGCCTATCTCACCAGCCAACCGCGGCCTGAGTCAGGCTCGCCTTCGATTCCTGTGACTGTAAAGTACCGCCTTCGCCCCCGGGGTGGTCAGACAATCCCCTCCAGCTGCCTCGACGGTCCGTCTCCCAGCCCTCGCCAGGAAGCGCAAGGCGAAAAAACTTGGAGAAAATCGACAATTCGAGGTGCCTGGCTCTCCAAATTCCCAATCGAACGCCCGCACTAGTCTTCCGTCCCCCGGCTTTTCTTGCGGCGAGATCACTGTTACACTCAGTTGAGACTCTTTTTTCCCTTGTTACGTACCTCGTGTTCCTCTTTGCGCCTGATCCCGCCCTCAGCCCAACCACGAACAAATTCAACCTGCAACCGTCGCCGACCTACCTACGGTTTCTTTGTCGCAGGAGCACCTCTAGCCGCGCGCTGTGTTGGAAAAAGAAGGACATAATCTAAGTTGAGACAAAGCCGCCTTGTTCAGCGCCTACGTACTCTTTGAAACACGAGATCCTTCGACCTGCGGCCGCGGGTTGAGGTTCAAAATGAGCAACCATCTGCGCAGAAGTGCCCGATTATCACCACATTCACAACAAGAGCAATTCCAGCAAAGGAGCGGTGGTCGTTCTGCTACCACCTTGCCGAACAGCTTTTCGCAGCCCTCGAGTGCCTCGACGAGTTCTCATCCAAGTCCCGTCAGTGACACTCTACAGCCTCCCCCACCACCACCTACTCCACAACAGCCCCAACAGCATCGCATTCAGATACAATCGCACTTTATGCCTCACCAACAGCAAGGACACCCTCACATTCACGCCCCGTTGCCTTCGCCTTCGGCTGCGCACATGGGTCCATTCTTCAGCGGGCACTACTCACAGCCTAACACATATGCCTCGCAGCAAATGCATCCCGGGTATCAGAGCGGACAGCCGTTCGGAGACCAACAAGCTCAAGCGCATCAACAAGAGCAGCAGCATCATCTGCATCCTCACACAAATTCGATGTCCAAGGAGCATCCTGCATACCCACAAACCATGGGTCCCGGGCAATTGCCGCCTGATTTTCTGGCCGAGGCGGCAAAACGTGCACAGATGGCTTGTTTAATGCGAGACTTGGGCGATGTCTCCCTTTAAAAAGGCCTTTCTATAGCGTCCTGCGACTGTCCATGCATTTTTTCTCAGGCGACTCATTTTGCTTTATCAGATACGACTTCTTTGCCACAAGATGGCTTCTCGGGAGAAAATGGATTTGCCGAGGACACTTTGACTTTGACATGTGATTGACCACAACACGCATGTTGACACCCACCAAACCATGTCACTCAACAGGCCATTCGCCCCGGAGACCACCTGGAATTCATCACCGCGCAAGCGATGTTTGATCTAGCATTATCACCTTCCGAATACAATGCGGACCAAGGACCACGACAGTTGCTCTTCCAACTCCCGATGCAACTCTCCACACGAACCTTGATCTTGTTACGTCAGTTATCTCCACATTTACGACATTGTCATGTTTGCAAGCCGCCCGTTGACTCGGTTCGCTTCTCAACTCTCGCAGTTTACTCTTATCGCTACGATCGGACTTTTATCATTGTTCTTTTGGGTCGATACCCCCAGAACGTTTGTGGCCATGCTTTTCGAATATCGACGCAATCGCATAACGCCCATTGAGGGCTTAATGGATAATTCACAGTCCGTCTGTGGGGAGGGTTTCGTGTATGCTTCTTGACAGTCATATCAAGGGACCTCTCCTTGCAACGGGCTCAAAAAAAGGCATAGAGGAGACTCGTTGTGAGCTCAGTGCTCTCTCTCTTACCTTGTGAAAAGATTTCGGTTGTTCTTTCCCCCCTTTCTGCTTTCTTTGTTAGATGAGCGAAGTGAAGCAATACATGCATTTGATGTGGTGAATTGGAGTTGAAGAATGCATCAACGAAACACTTCTGGAGTGCGCTGGGTTGTGGAGTTTCCTGTTTCATTCTCGTCGGTACACTCGGAATGGCTTTTTTGGGGAGAACTTATGGACTTTTCGCTTCCGTGGACGGAGGACGTGCTGGGGACCATAACCCGGAGAGAGCGGGAGGGAGGGTGTTTTCACGAAGATCTCGTCCCTTTGGAGAGTATAGATTCCCCTTTGCCTTTTCAGGGTTCAACCCGCTATCAGAGATTGCAGTTACGCTGCGCACTGTTTTTGGGCTCCCGCCGTTCGCTTCCCGGATCAGGAATGATTCTAAACAAGACCGGATGGACGGACGGACGGTTGGGTGGTTGGGAACGGCACAGGGAATGGGAAACAGGAACAGGAACAGGAACATGAATTGAGGACGACTTTCCACTTCCTTTCTTGGGCCAACTTCTCTCGCCTTTCTGCTTCTTCAATTGTGACTGATTTGGGGTTTCCATTGGTTCTTGACCCTCGGGGAAATAGGGTCTTTTTGCCCTCTCGGCTCTTCGCTCTTTCTACCATCATCGTCGAGGTCTGCACTAACATGGATGGATGGATACCTAGATCCCTTCCTTCATTCAGTCTTGATGATACGTCCGTGTCCCCATATTCGGGCTTCCTCCGCCTGTGCGGCTCTGGTCCTAGCCCAAACATGTCCTACTCCCAAATCCTGGCTGGGGTCGACACAGGTATACTTCGTTATTACAAAAGGAGGCAGTGTAGTAAGTAGCCTGGACCGGGAATCGCCCTCCTCATTCTTTTGTCCTACGGATGTATTGTTATCGCCAGTGGATTCCCCTCTTTGGCTTGTCTCTTCTCTTCTTTTCTCTCCTCTCTAATTTAGTCTTCCGTCCACTCGGCGGCAAGGAACTCGATGAACCCTTCGATGATCTGCCTCCGTCCGCTGAGGTAGCCCTGTCCGTGGGCAATGCCTCCTCTCTGAATCTGTGTGAATTTCCTCCGCAGACGCTGGAGCATGGGCTGTGAAAGATGGACGCCGGACGGGACGTGGATGGTTGTATCGACCGTCGCCGGCGACGCGGCGGGTGCAGGGTCACCTGGCCTCAAAGAACTGCTTGGTGCCGCCGGAAGGGGGATGGAGACGAGCACGTCGCCACCATCGCCGGTCTGGGATAGGTTCTGTTCACGAGACTGGGCGAGCAGGTGTCTCACCACGTCCATGGTGGCGGACTCGAGAGTTTGGAGGGCATCCGCGGCGGTGGCTCGGGGGAGCACGGTGGCAGCGTGAGGTTTCACCACGTCCGACTTTTCCCGCATCGGGATTGGGGTGGACGGGGACGAGGACGTGGACGCTGCGGGCTTTGCATTTCCGTTCCCGGCAGAGCCGAGTCTTTGGGATGGAGGAAGTTGACTCAGGGCTTTCTTGCTGGTCGGTCTGGGAGGAGGCGGGTAGATGGCGTTCCAGATTTCCTGTATCGGAGGAGCCGCGTCGGACGAAGGAACGGTAAAGAGAGGAGTGTCCCAGCGGGAGAAGGGAGAGGGGGGTTCATAGCGCATCATCAGGGACATGAGAGTCGACGACGAGTAGGGAGGAGAGGAGGTTGGCGGTGGTATGGGAATCGAGGGCGACGAAGTCGTCGGCAGCGGCGCAAAGTCTGGTCCTGGTTTTGGCTCCGTGGACGAGGGAGGCTCTGCATCCGTTCGGTGGATGTATAGGGACTTGAGAGTCATTGTGTCATCTGCAGACGTCCGAGGCACTGTATCATCGCTGTCGCCATGGTTCAACCCGCCCAACCTGGGAGAGCGTGATCTGGTGCGAGGTGTATCCTCCAAGACCCGGTCACCGTAGATGGCAGTGTGGCTTTCCGGGATCAGATGGCCCAGGACGCTTTCCCCTTGGTTGTGCTGCCTTCGCTCGTCCTTGACAGTCACATTCCCGTTCTCTTCTCCACCGCCAGTATTGTTACCATCCTCTTCCCGACCCCAAGCTCTCAGTCGCTCCCGATTCCACTTCTGGCACTCATCCTCCTGCGCCGCCACATGGACCACGCAACATCTCGTTCCCACCGCTTTGGCCTCACACCACAACTGGTATCTATAGCCTTTGATGTAGTTCAATCCATCGGCGATCACGACATTGTCTTTTGAAAGAGCGCGCTTGATTGCTGAGAATTCCTCCGCCCTGGCGGTCTTTTCGTGGGATGCGCTATTGTAGATCTGGTCTCGGAGGGTGGTTCTTTCTATGGATTCTGAGCTGTCTGGGTCATTGGATGATGCGTGGCGTGAACGGACAACCTGGATAGTCCTTTTTGATATTGAGGGTTCATTGGGGGATGGTGTGACAAAACTGGCCAGCGACGAAGCGATTTGCTGAGCGCGGTACGTTTTGCCTGAGCAGGGAAAGCCTGTTATTATGATGAGCTATGGGAGAGTCAATAGTTGTGAAGAGGATATCCCAGGTGCAAGAATGGTGGACTCACCGGCATAACGTCGTTCATGCGACCGCAAGTTGGAGCAGAATGTCAAGGTCAAATTTTGGTTTTGATTTCATGGTGGGGTTTCTTGGAGGGCGCCACCATGGCTATGTAACATGTAATAATATGTACCACGTACAAGATCCTCTGCTCAAATCGCCCAATTTTGGTATCCTTCTGAGGGAAGCCCTGAAAACTAGCTACATTGTTGTGCGTACAGTACATTCACAGCGATTAGTACTGACACTGCTGTCAAGAAATCTCTATCTATCCCTTTGCCCTCCACTGAATGCCTCTAGACGAGTGGTGTAAGATTGGATAGGGGTGTCAACCACCTCTGGTTGATCGTTGGAACATGTCGGAAGATTTGTCACAAAGCAGATTGGCCTGTCCTGGAAATGAATCCCGGGGAAAATAACTCCTTCGGTAGATATGTCGGCCAGTCCTGGGAAATAAAACAACAGCCTCCGAGAATTCCCTTTCTTCTGCGGAGGAAAATAATTGTCCTGTGGCTTGGTCGTACCTGGCTGAAGAGTCTTGAAACGCGCATCCCATCATCTGGTAGAATTGCGGCTACATTTCAACCACACCGCAGCACGATTGTTCTGTGTCACCTCTAGTATCGCTGCTCTGCAATACAGTGGAGGGCTGGCTCCATGGCAGGTACAATGCAAGTTCAGAAGAGTGGTGAAAACGTCCAGTATTCTTTAGGTGGTAGGTGACACAGGGTACATATCACTTCAGTCGTTTCGTCGAGTTAAGGATGAACAAAAGAAAGAAACTCATGAAGGATAGACCCCGGCATATGGTGGTGACACCCGGCTTATCCTGGAGATGGCAGGCCTGGGAGAGAACTGGACGTCGTCCATCGACACTGTTTGTGGCATCATTGCCTCATAATCCTGAGTCTGGATGGTATACGCGCCTGGAGCGACGTACTGGGCCCGGGAAATAGCCTGGCCGTAGGTCTGGGCTTGGATGGCAGCATTCGCCATCGCATGAGCCTTGGACAGTGTGGAGGAGTTGGACCTCCTCATGGGGACAGATGTCGGCTTCTTCCTCTTGTTCTGACTTTGAGCGGCTGAACTCTTCTTGGGAAGAGGCTCAGGTTCTTCGTATTGGTGGACTCGTTTCATATGGTCACGCTGATTCCATCGGCGAGGAAATCCATTGCCCTCTCGAGCACGGTCACAGTCCGGGAATTTGCACAAGTAGGGGTTCACTCCGTGGTTGTGTTCTCCATGGGCCTCTCTTTCGTGACGCAGGAGGCATGCATTAGAAGAAAACCTGAGATCCTCGCATTCTGGTCGATCTGTAAAACGGCAGCGGTACGGCCTCAAATGGGAGTCCACGTATTTGCTGGAGGAAGGGGCGAGTATTAGAAAGACTTCAGCGTGGATGGAGCATATGTGACCTACTTGTAGATGCATTTCTGCTTGGTGGGTTGGTGGTTGCACTTGAGCTTCTCGAACATGGGGCAATGATAGTGTCCACTTTTGTCGGGCCTGGCTTCGTAGAGCGGTCCACTCCTGGCCTTTTCTCGGTCTGACTGTTCCTCCTTGGGGCTCCGGGTCTCAGCAGGGATGATACACGAAACACTTGGGTCAACGACGCCATTCCGTTCTGATGCAGATCGAATGGGCCTGGGTCGAAACACTGTGCGTCCCTTGAGGCTGTTGACGACGACTCGGGTTAGTGACGGACGAGGTGCGTGGAAGGAGGGAATCTGACCTGTCTGGCAATCCCTTTGAGACGGGGTTGGTCCCGTAAAAAGCGGAGTCCTGGGCATCCGGGCACGGCTTCTCATGCAAGGTCTGGGCGGAGAGACAATCACGGACATAATCCTCTGGAGGGGGTGTTGGCAGTCTCTGGACTGAGAAGTTCTGCGAGCTGAAGTTGTTCATCATTCCATGATGGTACAGTGGCGAAGTGTCCAAGGGCATGTAACCGGAGATCATCAGGTCCTCTGGCTGGTCTTGTCCCGGATATTGCGACGATGACACGAGGTTCAAGTCTGCAGAATTGTCGCCTGAGAAAGCCTCCTCTGTCAGGAATTCAGAGGTTGGATCGGCATCAAAGCCACTCAAGCTCGACATCACGGGTACGACAAATGCACCGTCAGATGCGGTCATGGAAGCATAGGTCATTGCGGAAGACGCTGACAAGAAGAAGTCATCACTGTGAGGGTATTGTCCAGAGGGGAAGGCGCTCGGTGTGGTCCCGTGACACCGGCGCGATCCAGGAGAGGCAGAAGTCAAAGCAAAGTGTGTGTTGGAGATTCCACCGGCCATGGAGGCAGAACTAAACGGGACAGTATCCGGATAAGTCACAGGCATGGTCCTCGGCACGCGGCTTTGAGATCCTGGAGTAAGAGTGGCCAGTAGTGGATTTCTCCTGGTCAATGTCGAAGTCATTGTTGGGCAAAATGGTTTTCTGCCAGCGCGAAGAAAAGTTAGTACTCGCCCCCATCATGCACGCAAACATCCAAGCAACACCAAAAACACAGCATTATCAAATGAAAATATAGGCGGTTTGGGGTTTGTCCGAGAGGGAGGGGAGTCGGTCAAGGGCCTGGGAATGTCGGCAATTTCAGGTAGGCCCAGAGGGTAGATGTCAGAGCTATCAGTGCCGAGATAGCAAGGCGGGTTGTTGACAAGATCCGGTAGCTTGGCGAGGAGCGAGCCTTCTGACAAGATATGAGGTCCAGGATAGCGAGAATGACATAGCATGAGACAGCAGACACAGTCGGCGATCAAGTCGATGGGCCTCGGTTCCATTTGAACGATCAAGCATTCTAAGTCGGGTGGAAAGCAGCAATGTCGCGATGTAGAGTATCAAAGTCCGGTCCTGGTGCAAATTTCCTGGGCGATCCTTCCATCGGATGTGAGCGATGATAGGTGTGTCAAGCAAAATGTAAACCATTCGCCGTAATCCTCATTATGGCGGCATCATTAGACGGCATCCAGGGCACTTGTGGTATGGCGGTATTGTCGGAATGCAGAGTCTGCGCCGGGACAGCTAGGTCGATCACGCAGTTGTTGTATGTTTGTTGTAGATTTCAGAACATAAACGAGTCCATGGTCAAATAGCATAAGATGCAATCCAGGGTAGCATTTCCTTTCGCGAACGGCCAATTCCTCGGGAATTTCCAGGGTAATAACATGTGTCCAGGGCAATAATAATGGCTTCATCCAAGGGTGTCCACGGAAAATTGCTTGGCTCCAGGGTCTTTTGTTTCATTTCATTTCATTTCATGTGCGCGGAAGCGTGACATAGTCAACGTATCCTTGTAGCACAGATAACCTTGGGCAGAAAGCCACAAGGACTTGGGACACAAAGTCCCGAAACAGGTCGGGCGGTGTCGAGGCTCCTTTGGGAACAAATGCAGAGGTGAAGGAAAAAACACGGGCGCCGACGTAGAGGGAAAGGAAAGAAATTCTTGTAGTACCTCAACACCACGATGCGAAGCTGGCTTGTGTCAAGCTAAAAAATTGTCGATGCTCGAATTCCCGGGTAAGTTTTATCCTGGCAATGCAGAGAAGAAAAAAGCAAAGAAAGCGATTCCTGGGAATGTCCGGCTTGGGTTCTCCTGTGGATGACAAAAGCAATAAATCCGGGTTGGCCAATTGATAGAGTTGTGGTTAGGAATTGTCCAAGGTGATGTGAGATGATGTTAGATGTGTATCTTATCGATGGTCTTCTTGGTCACGGGTTGTAATAAGAGTTGGCAGGAAGGTGAGAGAGTAAAGAGAAAAAGAGGTCAAGAGGAGGGTGTAAGGGAAGTTATAAAGGCGAGGCGGATGAGAGGAAGAGAAGTGAGGTGAGCGAAAGTGGGCGAGGAAGTGGGAAAAAGTGGGCGGTGACCGAATCAAGGCGCCTCGCATTGGATGCATTGAGACCTTTGGTTGGTCGCACAGAGCTAGAAATCCATCACACGGAGCCAGCAATAGGACCAAGTTGCAGCATTGTTGTCGCAGCTTGATGCAAAGCTGCTGCACGTCCCGCTCCTGCATGTTGCCCTGCGAAGGTGGAGTGAAGTTGTTCTGCGCACATTCCGGGCCACCTGGCCACCTGCCACCCGCCAACCTGGAACTTGCCAGCACGGACCGGCGCTAACCGTTACGGCTGCAGCCATTTCCCTCCCCAATGCCACCTACCAGGGCACTGTCGACGTCACCAGTGGAGTTAGGAATGTGGTCATTGGCTCAACCAACGTCTAGCGGTGAGACGAGCTCCACTAAGCTTGATCTGAGTGGCTCCAACCCTCTTACCGACAAATGGGGCCATGATCACCAGGGGCATCTTTATTCGCCGGCCAGCACTTGGCTCCGCCATGTTGGCCTCAATGTCCCCACGGCGCTGCCTCCTGCCATGCCATGGCTCAACTATTCCAACTGTTCCAACCATCTCGACTGGTGTGACAGCAACATGGGTCTCTGCAGAGTGCAGGACACGGAAACCTGACGTGGCACCCTTCAGCACCAACAATCTAGTCTTGTGTCTCGCACTCGCACTCGCATTGCAGGGAATGTCAGCTTTGCATTTCAGCACGCAACAACTCGTCGCCAATTATACGGGCAAAAGAGAGAGTACCGTGCGTCAACCGCAGAGAGTCTGGACTGGTTTCCTGACACGTCTGCATCGCTGAAGCCGAGGTCCAGAAGGCCTCACGTTACACAATGGAGCAAAGCACGGACCTTGTGTAACCTTCCCCAAGTTTCTTGCTCTGCAGTGGAGGCTATTGGTCGTCGAATTGGCCTCACCTTGAAGTTGTGCTGCTGGCATCTTGAGGAACTTTGGTTCAAGAGAGAACAATGTTGAACTACTTGGTCCACGTGATCTTACGTACTGACCAGCCTACCGTCGAAGTTGCAAATCTTTGATTGGCTCAAGCACCTGTGCTACACCGTTCCAGAAAGCTTGGGAGGAAAGCGTGCGGCGGTTGAAAATAGTAAAACAGCAATGTAGACTGATTAGTCTTGTCGGAGACGGCGACCTCAGGCAGAGCGACATTCTAAATAGATCGATGATCATCATGGCGCGAGGCGATCGCTTATGGTCGGCCTCGACCAAGAAGACACGGCCCATCGGCCTTTTGCCCATACTTGCGGTATCCAAAGCTAAATGCGGAAACACGGAAGAACACCTCTCGAAAATCACAGCGATGTACCTGCGTAGATGACGTTGTTAGCAAAATAGTCATCAGATTGCTGGAGTGTCATCAGAAGTGAGGCTGCTCGGCTGGGTTCAGAAGATTGAAAGATGGAATTGTTCTCGTTCAAAGACGTGACGTCTCAGTTGAACTATGCTTTTGGATATGGGTTTTCATCACAACAGGAACAGTGTTGGGGCCGCAATTCATTCGAGGAAAACTGATCACATACCTCGAGTAAAGACCCTGTAGAGAGCATTGTCAAGACATAGACTTTGGCAAATTTCCGTTTACATTGTCACAACCATCTTACTGAAATGGGAGGTAGAGGGTTAGAGCTCTAGAAAGAAATCTCAACGCATCTGCAGCGGGTTTCCTCAACTCCAGTATTCAATCCCCGTGGGAAACAAATGTACTTTATGGTTCCTTGACTGAGCTTTGTGAAAATTGAAGAAAATGTCGATCTCACGTGTTTGTGACGTTGACGGCTTGGCATGTTTGCTACTTGCGACAGTTGCCTACAAGCTGGCACGCCCAGCCATTGAAACTGGGACCAGTCATGACGGATGGAGCAAATTGATTTGCACGGTGTCGTGCTACGGTCACCGAGATGGCAGTTACGCCTAGCACAAGATCTGGGTCAATTTAAAATCGGGAAGGGGTGATGGTCATCAGTCTCAAACGTATTATGTCGAACTGGTCGAAATTATCCGAACCTTTTGAGGGTTTGATCTTTATCCAGGAGGTTGTCGGCATGTTACTGCCAGGTGCCTTTACGAGGCTCAGTCAGATCTGCAGTCAAAGTGGAAGTCACGATGATGCAGCGCAGTGCAGAAGACGGAAATCTTAAAGAATAGCGCCGCCTACAGACCTGGTGCCGCAGGTCAACAAACGTCTATCACTCTTCGTGACTGCTCGTAGCGCCGTGCAACCATGATGCTACCACCCGTTTCCTCGGTCTGATGTACCCGATACATTTCTCTTCTACTGTTTTGACCTCAGCGGCTTGAGATGAATTGGACTGGTGGCAGTTTACAACGTCACTCCAAGGCTAATGCCAATACAATTATCAAGAAACAAAAGCAGAATTTTGCAAAGGCTAGACTTAAATCTCCATCTCGCCGTCCTCAACCCCAGTCCCCTGCATTCTCTATACACAGGACTCTCCAGCACAAATTTCCTTCGACGACACAGCAATTCTCTGGGAAGGGAAGTGCCAGCGGTCACTCAGCGCATGGCTTCAATCCGGATCACTCAAGGGCAATTGATAGTCAGCAATTCCCCGGCACGAACGGTCTCCAGCCTCTGGATAGACAAGTGCCACGTCAAGCCTCTGATGATGGGGGATACAGCAGGCAAGGAACCACCGAACGTGTCGTTGAACCCGGTGCTAATCATGCGTGCAGGCAGAATGGAAGTGCCAACGTCCTTGAAGACGCCCGCAAAGCTCTGCTAGACAAATCTGACTGGGTTGGTCTCTCCCACACACGCCCTCTGAACTTTCCTCGACGTACGCGGAACGATATGGAAGGACTAGGTCGTCGACGTAAGGTTGCACTGTTCAAACAAGGACACCTAGTGTCCCTGAAGAACTCAGATCAGAGACGGGCGCGCTCAACACGGCCAGCAGTTCAGGCTCCGTCTTTGCGTACGGAAGAGATCAGCCTGAGGATAGGGTCCAATATACATAATACTCAAACCACTGCCAGCACTCTTGTCCGCGAAGAGCCTACTCACGCGGCAGAAAGAGCTACAGATGCAGTAGTTCCTATCGAAAATAGTTGGGACCAAAAGGAAACACGCAACATGAGGAAAGAGATGCAGAGAATTGGCGGCTGTGATAAAATCCAAGCTCATGCCCGCGGGGCAGGCAGAGGTAACACGGCTGAGCTTGACTTCGCGGAGGAAAACGATCTCCTCACCCTAGATGAAGCTGTTGCACTTGGTCTGGAATCCTGGGACAAAGTCCGCGGATACGCCCGGTCAGGAATTCAAAGCGGTATTCCGATTTCGAATCCTTCCTCCAGTGGGGCATTATCAAGGCCTTTGGGTACTCAAGTGGACGTCCACTGTAAGCACGCCTCGCGTCAACAGGACGAAGCACTTACTGTTCCCGATGGTTCTCACGACCATCTCTCGTCGCGAGCCTCAACAAAGGCTTTGCCAGACATATTTCGCCGCGCTGTTGCCGTGGGGCTGCTGAGAGACGGCCCAGGAACGGAATCGAGTCCATCAACCTCTCCCAAGCCAGCCCTACACCCCAACCACCCTCCTGTGCCGAGTCAATCTTTAGTTGAGGGAAGCATACACGCCAACTCAGACGTGACATATATACATGATATGGTTGCTGATGCTGAGCTGGCACCGTACCCACAATTTACGTTGGACGACCAAGTGAAGTTAGAGCGGACTGTGGAGGACCTCGAGTGGAAAAGTCGGCGGACAAGGAAATCTTCCTCCGCTGCTAATGATATGAGACAAGGCAATACAGTTAATGCGCTGTGCTGTTCTAACAACATCACCGTTGGTTTTACCCACGATACGAATCTTTCTAAGCGTGGAAACGTTTCCAGTTCAAAAGGGAATGGGTCTCACGGACAGCATCATCCTGTCACCAGGACTCCTGGAGACTTAATCACGTATATCACAAAAGAACAACCAACACGAGCAGAAGAAACCTCCAACAACACAACCAGCGAGACAGGATACCCTGTTGCCTTTCAGAACGTCGAAGATGCCTCGATCAGGCTTCCAGATCGCTACCCTAGAGTTCCACTCACTTTTCATAACGGCGAACAGGGTGGTCAGACAAGTGCCTCGGTGAGGACAATCGCATCCAACTCGGGACGAAACATTGATACAAATGAGGAAGCGTGGATGAGATATGTATTTCCAGAGGAATTTGGCCAGATTCAGGATAGCTTCCGCTTTCGAATTGGCCAAGGCCCACCAGACTTCGTCAAGGGTCGGCTTGATGCAACTTCAACCATCAACAAGTCGTCATGTTCTCCCCGGGGCAGTGCCAGCGGCTGGGTTGAGCCAGAGCAATGGGTCTCCCCCCCCAGAACTTTTGGATCGCCCGATCATGTCCCTACTGCCGTGAACACTTCCATCTTTATACCATCTCCAATAAATTGCGATCGTTCCGAGACGGATTTTCTGTCACAACTCAGTCCAATGGAAGGTCACTTCGACGAGAGGCTGTGCGACATATCACTATACAACAACGCTTCGAAGAACGACCCTAAAAGCCCGACCAGAACGTTGCAGGGAGTCGGGGATACAGCGAGCAGGAGTCTTCCGAGATCGCTCGTACCAGCAAAAAGGAGAGCACCGGATCCACCCAGGGAACGAACATCATCAGGTTGGCCCAGGCTCATGGATCGCTCAAGCCCGAAATTACTGCCGCCACCGGACGGTCAGCCAAGCGTCTGGTCACTTAGCGATGGTGGCCACTACGCAGATACCATCCATGACAGTACTGGAACACCATTCAAACGAAGGTCAGCTACTACCCATTCGCACCAGTCCATAGCATTCGGAGATGCAGTAAATAGATCTGGTGAGACTCCGACTCGGGCACAAGGCACTTTGAAAAAGAGGGAACAGGCTCTGAGCACTATGGCATACTCTGAGAAGCCTCCTACTGGCAGTTTCGGAAGGAGTGACAAGCTGACGGCAGGTTCGTCGCTGCCTCGCTCGCCTAGGACCTCGAGATCGACGATTGGGAATTATGCGTGGTCAGTCTCGCCTCAACGGTGGACCGGAATATCCCCTGCAAGATCGACATGGTTCGACAGCCCAGAGCCCGCGAATAGTCCTTTGTTGCCTCCAGTGCCGTCAGTGACCGTGCCTACGCGCTATGGAAGGAACATCCCAATCTCGAATACCCAAACCCCTCAACCACGATATCTTGTCCAAGGAACCACTCAATTTTCTGCTCGAATACCCCTATGGGGTGCAGGTTCATGATCTATTATGCGATACGACCCGGGCTATACCGAGTACAGAAGTCGAGCATAATATGCTGAGCTGCGACTGTTACCGATTTTAATCACAAACTTTGGAGGCCTTCTAATTGCCTAGGGCTGGCTTACTCTGAGATATTGTCACCTTCTGGGAGAGCTCTTGTCATGTCCATGCTCGAGAACACGGATTTCATTGCCTAAAATGCAGGGTTTTTGTCCAACGGGCCTTGCCCAACTCGCCATCTGACCTTGTCGAAAAGAGTTTCGGATTTTCCACTTGAATTCATCCATTTCCCAGTACTCGAAGCCCTTTTAATGTCTGCGAATATTTTCACATCATTTTATCACCAACAAAATGGAGGATCGCAGCAAGAAAGTTTGTCACACCCGCGCCTGATTCGCCACTTGTGGTGTATATCAAAAGACATTCACGCTTGACTTGAATGTTCAAACTGGATCAGAAACTCAACTGTGAGCACTGTATTTTTGCGCGGTGCCTTTGTTATCACCTGGTCCGTGTCATCAAGGTTCAAGTTTTGTGTGTACGAGCAATTCATCTCGTTCCTCAACTAATTCGACCTGATTGACCCAATTGGCGCATGAGTTCTGCACAAAGGCCAAAGAAATCATGGCGGAGGCCCGATACGAGCCGTATCATCTGCTTCCCCCACGAGTTCTTGATTGTTCTTCTCCTGCTCTTGACCACAGGATCAATTTCGCCGATGACTCCGAAAAGTTTCGTATATGGTTTTGGCCTGGTCAGCTGAAAACACCATCTTAGGGCTCTGCACGCGCCAAATAGATAACATCGTTCGAAGAGATCGGTAAACTTGGTGTCGTCGATTATGCCACGTGAGAGAGTCGTCTGTTTGTGCCTTTGACCCTAGATATGGGTTTAGAGGGGCCACAGGAAATAAGAGGTTTCTGCATTAGGCGCACTGTAGACCACGACCTCCTCTTTCTCATCTCGGAGTTGTGTTTGGTATATGGTCATGTTCATGTGCAAATATCGACCGAAATTCTGATGAACTCGTCGGCTTATGAAGCGGACGCATAGACTTCGGCCTTCGAGGCCCACGTGAGCCGATGGTTGTGTTGATTCAGACCATTGCGCGTTATAGCCCCTGCTGTTTGGCAGCTGTCCTGTCACATCCAGAGGATGAGAGATGATAAAGAAAGCATAAGACGAGGACCATTGACGGGCAGAGTCGACGACGGAGGATCTAATTGGAACAAAAGAGGTCCTGCCAACGATCAGCACTCAGGTCTTGAAGCACAGTGAGGTGGTTCCCTGGAAATGGGTTGCTGCAGTCAATTACAGCACAGAGTGAGTTCGGGCATCTTCCTCTGCTCACTCAGTCAAAAGCAGAAGCTTGCAGTGTCTTCCACGATGCTTCACGCCTCCTGCTCTCCAAACGAAAGCTTCACGAAAAGCAGGGAAAGCTCGCCGTCAGACTAGACATCAGCCTCGAGAAATAAAGCTTCTCAGCAGCTTCTATAAACAAGAATCGGCAGGCGATCGTCCAATGGAAAGAACACTTAAGCCCGTGCATGTCCAATGGGTTGTTCACTGGCTTGAGGCGCAGTGGACTATTGAAAGGGGTCGAGCATATCTCCTTTTCCCCAACGATGGCTCGTGATTGGAGAGTTGAGGGTCCCTTCGTATCCGTCGCGGTGCAAGCTCCCTGGGCTTTTCACCAGCGGACATTCTTTTCATGCCCATATCACCCACCAGCGGGACGGGCTCCACCTGGGGCCTCCTGTTTCTCTTCATTTTCCTTCTTCTCGTGGCTACTTGCAGCCCGAAAGCGCGGTGACAGGGGTTCAAGGTTCGGCGTACAACTATCCCGGGATGTTACTCATGACAAGCACCTCACGGCGGTAGGGGCTGACCTCGACTCATTTAATATCTATGGGCAGTATGATGTCCGGTGGAGTTGATTGTGAGCCAGAATCCCAGCTAAAGCTTCCCAAGGGCGACGATATTACTGCGTTCTTCGTTCTAACTCTCTCACATACTCGAAATCTTCGTGTGGGCGGGACCGCCCGGCTTTTCGGCCCAAATACAGCCTCCCTCAATTCTTCGTGAACGTTGGACGCAGGGACCACGGGGACACAATCGACAGATGCCTCGCGGTGGACCACAAATGAACACATGAACATTTTGATACCCTCTCACACAGCACAGGTGCGAGATGATGGCAGGCGTCAGACAATTTGTGGGTACGGTATGGTTACCGCCGATGGGATTTGCTCCCAAGGAGAGTGCAGTTCAGCCGGACAACTGTCAAGAACGAAGAAATGCAATGGATCGAGTTGCTGCCACAAAATTACGAGTCAAGCACGCCCTTCGAGATGACTGTCGCCAGGCTAGTGTTGCTTCACATCGCGATTGCCATCTTACTCTCCCTGATACACCCACCCACATTTGACTAAATGCGTTTGGTCGGAGAATGCTGTGCCGACCGTCACAGTCATCTTTGAGGAGTCAAAAAATCAGTTGGATACGAGCAACAGGGATTTGTGAATCATTCCAAACAGGAAATAGCTCCCTTCAGGATTGAACGAGCGTGACAATTGAATTCCCCATGGGCATTTTAGCACTACAGGGCTGAAAGCTATGATAGTGTAAGTTTGGCTCTGTATGACTAAAGTCTGCCCAGCTATCGTTACTGAGTGGGGTACATTACTAGTGCATTTGTTTGTCGCTGTTCCGGTACAAAACAAATGACTGCTTGAGCTGGGGAGGTTGATGACCTGCTAACGCACAGCCGAGTGGCTCGATGTGGATAGCTGGGATCGTACCCTCCCCTGTCTCTTCCCTGGATCATGTCATCCCGGTTAAAGAACGGCTAACGTCTTTGTCATTGATACTGCTGGTTGCCAGACCCAATGGCCGGGTTGATGGAGATCCGCCGGCTTGGCAGGGAACTGCCTACCAGATGCATCGACTATAAACCCCGGTGGAACATATTTTTATATCGATCTGACAGAGCGACTCCAGCCACCAACCAGCATTGCAGCTGCTATGGCGGTTAGACATATACGGACTAGTTAGCTGCTAACCGGCCGCACTAGACCATTTTAGGACTGGAATTATTGCCCTCTTAACATGCTTCCAGGCGGCGAGAGCAACTACGCCGATTCTTGTCCGACCTCACCTCTCTCGCTACACCCTATCAACCCTTGGACGCCCTTCCACCAGCCCTGTCGGGAAGCTAACGAGATGCCGGATCTCACACCCTTGGAACCGTCTCAAGGACCTTGTTACACGCTACCTCCCGTGGGAAAAGAATCTATGCCTCCGCCAATCACCACCTTCATATCGATATCCGAGTTGAACTTAGTAAGTCATCTGCATGTCCACTTCCCACCCTCCACTTGTATACTTGGTATGTATCGCGTGGTAATACTTCAGCTCGTAGATCCCTACAGCCCGGACAAAGTCTATAGCTCCCGCCATTGTAGACCAAGAACGAATCCTCAGCACCATTCCACTCCGAGCCCGGTGCTGAGCGTCCTTCCTCTGACTCCCACACAGCATCGATAGATCGATCACGGGATGCTGAGCCTTGACATCCGCCCCCAAGGCTTTTTGTTCTTCTTGGGCGGCTCGACCATGTCAGCCGTCTAGCGACTACCATATTCGACCAAAGACCACAAAACATACGTGCTTAACTAAGGAAATTTTTGGGGCCCCTGATGGTGGCACCCCTTAAGCGAGGCAAGGGCGGTGCCCAATGCAGCCTGCGCTTCGGGGCTTCGCGCTATGCTCGAAAGCAAGCCCACCAGCCGCCACCCTCGTCGGTGTTTCGCTCATTATTACGATACCCCTGGCTCCTGGGGTGCACTGACAAGCATTCATATCAGGCGTTGAAGATCTTCAATGTTTCCTCGTTTACCCCAAGCCGTTGAGCGGTTAGAAAAAGTCTACTAGTTTCTCTGATTGGCGAACTATTCAAGAACCCGAGGGACACCCAAGACACTCAAACAAACCCAAGCTTTATAGTACCAGCCGCGCAGACCGTGTTCGAATGACAGTCAATCTCCACTCCATATGATGGATGTTCTTGACCAAACTTCGGCTCAATTCGAGTTCGCTACTTTCAACAGTATCAAGGTCGGCGCCCAGGGCAACGGGTCGAGCAAAGCTCCCTTTCTTTTCATCGTCAAGACCCCTACCTCCGGCGCACTATCCCGCTCAACTACCCGAAGCGCTGCTGCGAGCATCAACAGCCACGCCCAGCGGTGGGCTCAGGAGGCAGCCTCTTCCAAGGCAGTCGGCGGCGGTAGTGGCACTCAACGCCAGACGGATACACTGGCCTTTGAGAAATGTTTGATGAGGTGCAGAGTGTCTCGATTACTGGATGACCCAAGCAAACCGTCGAAGGGAAGGCGCTCAGCAAGTGCGAGGCAAACCAGTCAGATCGCAACAAAACGAGTCAAGAAGTCGAAACGAGCAACTTCCGAGAGCCGCAGTGTGGCGACTGACAAGTCTCTCTCAACAAGCCCAGAACCTGAGTCTCGACGACAACATGATTCCAGTGAGGATGAGTGTCTCGATAATGACGCGATTCAACAACTGCTGGGCACTTCTCCTAGTCCTCGACAGACATCTGCCGTTGACCCCTTTGATTGCACGGCTGGCACGATAGACAGCGACATATTACCTATCCTCCAATATTATCTCTCTTTTGCTCTTCTCTCGACACCTCGAGGCGACGACGGCCAGAAACCTCCAGACGCTGTATTTGTCCAGCACTTTTCCAGCATCGATGCCATCATCCAAGGGTGTATGAGGAAGAGTGTACACATGTACGCCCTCTTAGCTGCCACGGCTAGTCGCATGAGAAGAGTCTCGGGCATATCCTTTCGTGCGGACAACGGACCCGAACTGTACCTCCACAAAGCTCTTCAATGCCTGCGATTGCTGCTCGACAGCCAGTCGGCGGCCGAGGACCGTCAGATCATCCTTGACATCTATTATCTAAGCGTATGCGGGTGGTATATGGAGAACTATGGGGAGTCGAAGACTCATTTCAACATCCTCAAACATTTCTGGAAGACATTGACTCCTGGGCAGTCCACACTCGATCGGTACATCTACAACATGCTCAGTTACAATGCAATCTTCCTGGAATCTGACGCCACGCAGTTGGAGGGATCGGTGGTCACGCCTGAGCTCCTGTGCCCTCCCGCAGGAAGTGAAAAGATGCACCAGTCTCTCGGCTGGCACCCCAACCGTATTTATTCGTCTCACCAGTGCTCGGCCTTTCCCGGAGCACTTGAACAGACCACATACAGCCCTGACCTGAAAAATGTGGTGCAGGAACTTCCCTCTCTTTTGCGGCTCTTTAACCATTTCCACCACAATCCCGACTTTATCGGCCCGGAGACCGACTGGGTTCTCAGCAAGAGCAAATTCCTGGTTCTTCGCCTGTTGGAGATGCCCAGCTATGGCGGCGAGCTGTGCTGTCGTCTGGCTTTGGTCTTGCTGCTCCGACATATCTCGCAATCTACTCTAACAAAGTTCCATTGCACCGATGAATCCATCTACTCTTCCTCGGCGGCTGAAAAACGACCACCGATCGAACCGGCCTCAATCACGCAACGCCTGAAACACCAACTCCAATTCGAAATACTGCAGCCATTGAACACAGTCGGTTCGGGTATTGACACCGCGCTACGATCCACCAGCGGCACCTGCGTAACCTGGACAGGCCGGTCCGAGCGCTTGCTGCTTTGGATTCTGATCACCGGACTCTTTGGGGCACGCAGCACGGATCAAAAAGACGAATACCAATGGTTCTGGGACCGCACCGTGGCACTAATTCAAGCCCTTGGCGTTAGGACCATGAAGCTGTTGAAGGAGTTGATGAAGTCCTTCGTTTGGGTCGAGGGGATGCTTGACGATCAAGCGTTAGAGAAGTTGTTTTGGTTGGGCTCGGTGTCCGATGAAGGAGATGATGAATGAGGTGGATGAGAGGCGTTCGTTGGAAATTTGATCACTGATTTCCCTCTCCAAGGTTTCCCATGGCTCTTGAACCGTATGCCTTGGTGGATCCTCCGGGCCGGTTTATCAAGCGAAAGACACGAGCTAAACGAACTAATTCGGCTAGGTCTCTGCAAGCAAAGCCGCCCCCACGGACAAGGAACGAGGGGAAACCAAGGGGTCAGCAACAGCATCACTCTTTCTTGCACCATTGCGCGAGGAATGGGGGAAAAATAGGATGTCTGGTGGGCGTAAGGGTGAGTTGAAAATTACCTTGTTTGATCATGGGTTGGTTTCTGATACACGAGCGAGTTTTCCATGGGAGTTTATTGCATGAGTGTCAGTGGCCTACTCCAGAGCATAGCACATAGGTAGGAGGAAGGTTCGCAGGAGCCTAGGTAACGGACCAACTTTGCATATTCTGCACAGTGTTCAAAAGAGTTATGATTCTATGATGTACGCAGCTTGGGTTGGTCTGCGAATGAAATGTACTATTTACTTGGTACCTGCTAGTGTCCGAATGAGGGACGTCCTCCCATCGACCGATCAGTGACTATTTATCTATCTGGGCAAGGCAACTAATCAATAACGATCAACTTCAGTCTGTCTTGGTGTCTCGCGAAGGAATCGAAGAAGAAGAATTCGAAGAAGCAAGTAAATGTCTGGGCGCGCAGAAGAGAAGAGACACAGCGAGTAATAAATAGGTACATATGTGGTCTGGTCTAACCATAGTATGTCCTTTACTAAGCAGGGTAGGCGGGTGGGGGGTTGAGGCGAGGAAGCTTAGGTCCCTTGCTCACTTGCTTGCTTGCTGTCACTGTCATTGTCACTACTGTTGTTTAGCCTGAACGTATATCGACACAAACTGTCGGGGTACCTTCGGCTACCAGCCAGCCAGCCAGGAAGCGAGACGGCGAGACGGCGAGACAGCTAGCCGGGTTCGTTTACTCGAATACACAGATACATACACATACGAGGTATCTCGTACACATAGTCCATCGCTCGAACCATGACAGTCCCCCTCCCGCCCATCCCCTCCTTTGTTCAACCGACGCTTAAAGTCAGAGTTTCTTTTCTATACTAGCCTCCCACGCGGTGCCATCGTCTTGTGACAAGGGTCGGGTCCGGCCCAACAAGCAAGAAAGCAGGCTGGGTGCGGTCAACGAGTCGTCCTCATCACCGCCATCACCACCGCGGCCAGCAATATCGTCGTGACGGGTTCAATCAGCCGAGCCTGATAGGTCAAATGGGGCGGAAACCACATTCCGGATGCCCACAACTCACCCCCTGTCTTCATCCCCCATCGTATGTGTGTGGGTGTGTGCTGTGCGTCCAAGAGACGAGGCCCCTGAAACGATAGACATGCAGGGTTTAATCACACGCACCCCCATCATCGCCGAGAGGGTCGTCGTGAGATTCTTCCCGACGAGGATCAGCTGAACTCGTTTAAAGGGATCCCCTCCGCAGGGCAACAACTCAGCAAGGGGAACGAGCCAGGGGAACGAGCCGAATCAGCCCATGGTTAACCTTTATGAGTAGTCGCTCGAGACACAACAAGCATCTCGACGGATTGCCATCTTTGGTACGGCTCGACGGCTCCGATACCCTTCCTCCCCGATGTATGTCAGCAGCGATATAGACGGGCGGCGAGATAGTTCAGCTTGCTTGAGCTACTCGAAACCCAAACTTCCTAGATGCGTACCACATCGTGGTGGTTGGACATCTTCGCGAAGTGGTGCTGACAGACGGCGGGCTTCATGCACAAAGAAACACGGGGGGCATCTCAATGGCTGGTCTTCAGCACCGGTTGGTTGTAGCGGACCCTCCCTCCGGTTCGGCCAGGTACTGGGGAGGGTCTCATGTAGGCGTCGACAGTGGCTTGATGACCCATCCAATCGATTCGCCAGTCGCTGCAGAGCTGGGAATCAAAAGAGGATTAATTTCCTGCAAGAATCAAGAAGGGGGGGTTTGGGTGGTAATGATTGCGGAAACCAGATTCCGAACTCCCTTTCCTGTTGGCCTGTTCGCGATGTCCTGTCTGTCCAAAATCCTTCCCTAGCCCCTCTAACTTTCACAGTTTCCAAGTTCCCGCCTTGCAGAGTAGTACATTGATAGAAGACACAGACATGTAACAGTCTTCAAGCATTTCATGTAAGCTTATCATCCCTTTCCTTCCCCATCTCCAGTAAAGTGTCTCATTTTCAGAGTGCGAATTCCTGCTCCACCCCTTCCGCCGCCAACAGCTCCCGTCTTACCACGGTGCTCAAGTCTGCTGAAGGGTCCCCTTCGCTTGGGTGCGCTACCGCGTCGCTGTGCCTTCATGCGTTCTTGGGCCTTCTTGCTCCATTGAGGCGCGTCGGTAGCATATACATGAGTCCCCTTCCTCTCGCCAGTGAAAAAGGTCAGCACGGCATCAGCCCCTGATGCTCTCCGTTGGCATTCCTGAGACATTGTTGGCAAGTGAGGCGCATCGATGCCCTTGCCTTTCGCTGACGAGTTAGGTTTGCGGTCCGCCGACGGGTCATCATATATGGTACCGCTCCGATTGAAGTTGAAGGCACTGAGATCTGTATTGCTCGAACGAGGAACCTCGGAGTTGGGATTGATCCCGTTCGCAATCATGTTCTTCTTCAGCAGCCGGAGCAGGCTCTCGCAGAGCCGGTCCAGGATCCACTCGGACTCGGTTTGCTGACTCAGCATGGGGCTGTTCTCCTCGAGCCAGTCCCATTCAACGACGCCGTCAGTTTCCTCGTCGTAATCCAGTTGATCCAGGCCCCCTTTGGTGAAGCGGATCAGGCGGCTGAATTCACACCATTCTTCATACGTGTAGCGTTTCCCCGGCGCGTGCTGGAGATCGTCTGCTGTCTTGCGGATGGCCCAGGCCAGACGCTGCGTCAGTTCCGCTTCAGTCGGTTCCTCTGCGGCGAGCTGGTCAATGCTCAAGTCAGGGACAGCTTCGTTGGGGTTTGGTCCGAAAGGCAGGCCGGCTCTCAGGCGCTTCTTCTCTGCCCTTCTGGTCATCCAGTTCCAGAGCCAGGGATTCTGGACGACAATGTCGCGCCAGAGACCTGCCTTCGGAAGGACCGTCAGGTCACCCAGTTTGAATGTCCCCTGCTTGAAACTCGAGATGACCGTGTCACCCATATCGGAAACAAGGATCGTCATGGTCGGGACTGCGATCAACGACCAAACCACGAAGAAGGGCTTGCCGGCATTGCTCTTGGGACTCAAATCGCCATAGCCGATGGTCAGCAAGCTGACATAGCAGAAGTACAGCGCCTCGAAATAGCTGAGTGCTTGGGTGTCACGTTCGGCGACCCAAAACACCACCGCGCCGATGCACCACAAAATCCCAAAAGCCAGAACCGACAGGCACAAAGCCCACCACTTTTTGAACTTTTTTGCATTGAGCTGGATATCCCGCATGGCGTCGAATTTGTCCTTCTCCTCTCTCATCAAGATCGCCTTCTTCTGTGACCTCGACAAGGTTCTTCTCAGCGGCTTTGTGATCATCCGTATGGTGCTGTGGATCGGACCATTGTGGAATGTCGAACGGAGGAACTGATTGGGGTGCGGCTCACGCTCCTCTGCCTTCTTCAGCTCTTCGGCGTTGGTATTTCCAAATTCAATTTGGCGGTCCTGCGTGGGATCTCGAAGTGGAGGTCCCTGGAGACGCGCAGCGGCCGCATCCAAGTCATGCTGAATCTGTGGATTCGGAAGTGGAGATGAGATTCTCGGCCGTCGACCGCTTCTTTCTTCAATGGCCACCTCTTCCTCCAAGTTATCCCGCCTCTTGTCTTCTTCGGCGTTGTCCACCGTCACCACCCGTGACAGGGTGTGAACTCTTTTGTGCTCGACATGTTTACGGAGCACGTTGATGGTACTGAGCTCCCCGGCGAATTTGTGGATGGAGCTGACCATCAGACCCAGGATGATGATCCCGCCGACCGAGTAAGGAAACACGAGGCCCCTAGCCAGGTCGGTGGTGGGATAAAAGTCTCCAAACCCGACGGTCAGGATGGTGACGTCGCAGTAATACACCGCATCGGGATACGTCCAACCTTCGATGTTCGAGTAGACGCCGCCGCCCCCACCGAGCCATATGAAGAACATCATCGTCTGGAGAATCAGATTGCGCTGCTCGTCAGTCAAGGTAAAGTGTTGAGGGTAATGACCCAGGAAGTAGCCGCACATGTTCACCATCAGAATCATTGAATTGAACATGTAGAGACAGGCAGCAATGACGGCGTTCCAGTAGCCTTGAGAATAAACCGCATCGGGACCGGGCGGAACATGAAGCTTCATCGACACGGTCAGGCCGATTAATATGCCAGAGGCGATGTAGAACAGCACAATGGTGGCAGGGAGAGCGACAATGTATCGGACGCGCCGGGTGAAATTGAAGAGAAGGAAAAGGTTTCCTACAAACCCACACACGAGAGAGGCAATGTTGAGGTCGACACACCATTTCGGGTCGTCGTAGCCCACGGAAGTGGCTTGATAGGTCAACGGAAACTCGGCCTTGCTTTGGATGAGTCTATTCCTCCAGGGGACAACCAGGGCGGTGATGGAGATCAGGTTGGCCATGGGCGCAAGCGTGGCCGCAATGAGAGGGATGGCGGTAGAAGCAAACCACCAGTTGGTGGGCAAGTCGTCCTCGACAGACCGAAACTTGAGCATGCCATGATGGTGTGCCTGCCAGCTCGCTTGAGGTTCCAACTTGTTTTTTCCATGTCTGGCCTCGTTATCCGGTAGTGTCCCTATGGTGTCGGCCTTTTCAAGAGGATCCCAATCTTTCTGTTTCTCATAGTCGGTCGTACTCTCGCTCGTGCCCGAGCTAGACCCTGAAGGGAGTTCAGGTAGCTCCAGCTCTTTTTGCTCGGCATGGTCGTAGCCTACCATTGTCCCGCGAACGTCAGGAGTGCCTCATGTACGATCGAGGTGCATTGTGGGCAGATTGCGGCAATTTTGAGGGGCACGAGGAAGGAGCGTGCGAGTATGGAGCTGAGCTGTGATTTTGTCTCGTGTCAGTGAGCACAACTCAAAGACGTTGAGAGCGAAGTAGCAGGAAGGGAGACATGATGGAGCTGATAGCGACAGCCCGAGCCAGGAATCGCATTCTTTATTCTTTTAGCCTCAACAAAGCATGTCGGCGAGTGGGAAGCCATGCTCAGCCATGGGCAGCTGATGGTCGATTCGAGCGCAGATGGGAAATGGGGGAGTCTAAGCGGCATGCGGCGGGAAGCACGTTGGTTGGTGCACCAGGCCTAGTGAGCCCGCGAGACATAAGCCACGCCCAGAACACTCCAATGCCATCAAGCTTCTGGGGCTGGTGGGTCTAAAGTTCGAGCGCCGAGCGAGGCGCTAGGCTTGCTGAATGAGCATCTGCGGACGCCTATGCCCAGCATGTGGGTAAGCCATCGTCATCTCTCCTGCATGATAAACTGCCACCCACTGCCGTATTCTGGCGTCTTGACTAAGGGACCAAGAGATCTGTCAATCGACTCCCTCGCCCAGACAGACCCCCCCGGATAACACTTGCCCATCGAGTGATAGGCACCCTTCTGGTGACCAACAAGAGAGATCCCGTCCTTCCGAACAGCCCTAGCTTATCGCCTCAGAGTTCAGGCAATAAGAACCACATCCTCCTCGTATTGACCCCCGTACTCAACTTGTACTTGTAGGATGGTCTTTTCTGTGACAGAAGTTGCTTCTTCTTCTCGGACCCGAGTTTTTCACCGAGTCCGACAAGGGCCTGTGCAGTGACTCGAGATCGAAAACAGAGACACAGGTGTACTGTCCCCATGGAGTGTGCACCGCCATTGAATGATCCTCTTAGTTTCCATCGTCCACTGACATCTCTATCGAATGTAAACAATGCTGCTCTCGGACAACAATGTGAGATTGAAAGAGATAAACAAGGATTCGTTGATTGAGGTCTCTGTGACCAAGAGAACTGTTCCCAGAACTATGGAGTGCCAAAGCTTCACGGACAACTTGGCTCATGTTCGGCCACAAACCTGCAGAGGTAATTTCGTTCTTGTCTTTTTCTTCAAATCGCCATGATTGTTGGGGGATCTTGCTTCCGCACAGGATGGACTTCAAGGCGGTATCTGCCCAAGACGACGGTGTGTGTGCAGGATGCTCTTCTCCTGTCAGCCTGGAAGACGAGCGACCACAACTCTTTCGCAAGATCGGGCAGGGCAGCTTCGGCGCCATCTTTGCTCACCCGATGATGCCTGTCGTCTACAAACGCGAGATCCAGTCAGACAGCGGATGTGGTTGGAGCATCGAAGGCGAATATGCCATGCACAAGCTCATCTCCGCCGCCTCTGATCAATGGTCCCTGGAGGAAGCCGGCCACGACACCCAACTTACACGTCCACATTCCCTTCCCCCACGTCCTCATCCTCGCCCACTCCACGAACTGTTGGGCTCAATGCTCGCCGCCATTTCCCCTGGACGAAACAGACTTCTGCGTGCCCTCCCCAAATCTCCAAGCGGAACGGATCCCCTCCCTACGCCAGGCAGTCCGCCACGACCTAGTCGACAAATTCTGTACCGCCGAATCTGCCCAGGTCGCGATGAAAACGGACCCTGCCAAGGGCATCTGCTTGCTCAGACTCTATCTGGGCCGCAGGACCTCGACCCCGGACAATTGCCAGAATTTCCAGATCCACGACTTCCCGTGCTACCTGGATCAGATGACGACTCTGGGCTTGGATACGCACTACATCGCGGCACAGATCGGTCGTGCCCTCGCCGTGCTGCACTTCGAGACGAGAGTGGACAGGCGAATACGTGGCGGCAGGCGAGCAAGTGGAGGAGGGGACAGCCTGGTCAACGGATGATGCTGGAGAACGGCGCCCAGGAACAGAACAGGAAACAGATCTCTATAGGGCGGCGACCATTTGGTGCTTGGACTTCAACCAGTGCCAACCCGTATCCTTTGCTCACGACGGAGGTGGGCTCCCAACCTCTACCTCGCCCGCACCAACCTTGAGCACTACCACCAGCACCACTGCCACCACACAGAACGTCCACTAGGAACCATAAAATGCATTGCGGCCTACTTCGCCAACGACCCCTACTTTCCCCGCCCGCACCAGCCCGAGCTGTGGACCATCTTCTCGAGAACCTACGCGGGCATGGCTGGGCAGATCGGATGGGCCGCCGCCGCGGCGCACGGCGAAGACGTCCTGGGCGGCCCGGAGAGGATGAAGAGTCTGGCGAGGGCGTTCCTCCGGGGCATCGAAGATATATTCAAAAAGGCGCGGATCAAACGGTGTCCCGTCGAAGATCGATTGGCCTGAGGTGCCATGCCATGGGCCTCAGGGACTTCCTTTTCGTCCGTCAACGAGGAGGGTATGTAAGTGGGAAGGAAGAACGGATGATGGAAAATTGAGGAACACGAAACACAATTTGGTTATGGTTTCATCCGTTCATGATAATACATACTGCACCAGATGTACACACGCATACATGCATGCATGCATGCTCCAGTAAGATCCAAGCGAGTACGCCGTACCCTGAATTGCTCTGCTACACACACATACTTATACTTGTACATCACCAATACACATGTCCACTAGTTTACATTCTCATAAAAAAAAAGAAAAGAAAAAAGCTCAACAAACACACGGCCAGGGATATCAAAAAGTGAACATATTGCTCCAGCTAGCTGAGAATGCGGAAAGGATCGCTGAGAAAGGCCCCAAAAAAAACTGAATCATACCAGTCGTCAAAATATAGTACAGCTGAAAAGGGAAAGAGGCACATTATCATCGTGCTCTGGTGGTTCTTCGGTGACGCTCTCCGATTTCCCTCCATCTCGTCTCCCGAGCCTTTCCCGACGCACTCGTTCACGATTCACGGAGTCCCATGCCCCTAACGCAGATCGCGGTAACTTGTAGGCGGATAACCCGAATTGGTCGGGTACGACGGGTATCCCGAGTCTCTGCTTGCTGAATTTGACGATTCCCTCATCATCTGTGGAGGTGGCGGTGGTGGAGGTTGAAAGCCAGTGCTGATGGAAGAAGGCGGACTGTGCCCGTTATGAGAAGGAGGGGCGCCGCTTGCGTGGGCGCGGTTGAGGTAGTAGTCTTCGTCCGCAGCAGCACCAGGCAGAGAGCTGGAATACAACGTAGGCCCTGCACTGGTGCGCAGGGTCGGACTTCGTGGGTCATCGACGAAGCCCAGACCAACGTTTGAAACAGATTGCATACGGGGTCGGCCGTCTCGGTCCCGTTCACGCTCGCGAGGGTCATAGGCCGACATTCTGGCAGCGTCGTAGCGGTCATTAGACAGACGTTCGCGCCCGGCTTCATACTCTCTGTACCGTCTTGTATCATCGTGGTGATCGGAATGGTACGAAGATGACATGTAGGGGGCGTCTGGGTCTGCCTTCCGCCCGTATGAAGAGGCACCAGTTTCTTTGGTTATAGAGGGTGACCGGTTGCGACCAGATGGGGCAGGGTCTCGGTGATAGATGCTATTGGAGCGGTGGCGGCGAGAAGACTCCTGGACTTCCGTTGCTGGAGGCGGTGGTCTTTGGTGAAGGGCGATAGGTGGCGGTCCCAATCTGTCGGTGACTCTGCTAGTTGCATTGACGGAACTTGAACGTCCTAGCTTGGGTTCTTGGGGAGGAGGTCCTGGCCTGGTCTCGGGTGCCACAGTTGGTCGGTCGATATTGTTGTAAGTTTTTCCACCACCGGGGGCCGCAACATATGGCTTCCTCTCTCGCTCGATTGGCTGTGGCGGGAGAGTGCCATCAGTGCTCTCCTCTGCGTTCTCACCGGTCGTGCCCTCCTGTTGCCCTCCCCCGTACGGTTGCCGTTGACGCTCAATGCTAGCCTGCGAAAGTACCGGGCTAGGTTGAGCATGATTGCTGGCATTATCCGGCTTGTCTGTCTGAGGCTTCAAATTCAAATTCGTTTTAGTGAAAGAATCATCAGCTACGACAGTCGCAGTTGACGTCGACGTCGACGTCCGGGAGGTCGAATCCGCCGTGCTGCTGTGGTGAGAAGCAAAGCTGACATTGCAATGGGTCGACATGGCTTTCTGTAGCTTATAGGCGACCTCGGTGTCACCGTGCTTGGGGAAGAGCCGCCTAGAGAGTTCTTTCGGGAACCTCTCTTTCTTCTCATCAGGGTTGCTAATGGGCATGTCTAACGCCGTCTTTGCCAGTCGCTCATACTCTTGATCGGGATGTGCTTTTAAGAGCAAGGTCGCCCATGTTTCAAAGCCGTTCGGGGTAAGCCCGGGAGTGTCTGGCCGTTCGTTCAACTTTTCTTGTACAAGATGGTGCTGGCACTCGATCTCTCTGAACATCCGAGATATTGAAGAAGTTCTGTCGTCGAAGATGATCTTCCAGGGGTAGAGCTCGTTGGCCAGCTTCATCTCCTCGTAGTATCTTTGCATTTTTGCTGGAGTGATGACCAAGCTGTGCCTAGGCTCATAGTCTTCGATGAGATGGGTAGCGATTCCACGTAGGAATTGGCCCAACCTGGGAGTAGCCTCACCCTGCTCCGTGAAGAGTTGCCCCCATACTCGTTCCAATATGGTTGCATCTTCATGGGTACCCATGCGTTTGGGACCTCTCGGTCGACTCTGGTTTGCGTCGTTCTCGGATTGATGACCTGTCTGACTCAGAGGCGAGGCCGCTCTCCTATCTGTGGCAGGTGACGGGGCTCGGAAGGATGACTGGCTTGAAGGCGGAGGAAATTGAGGGGAAGTTTGACTTGCACCTGCATCCTCAGAATATCGATTGGGGGTGGGAGGGGTGTAGACAGTGGCTCGATCCAGTGGCGGGGAGCCAGCAGCGGACGAAGAGGTATCCATCTGAGACCCGACCGGCGGTGGTTGATGAGGAGGCGGTTGCGGTGGCGGAGGCAGATTGGCGAGTTTCAACTGCTGCAAAACATTCGCCGTGATCTGCGACGTGATCTGTTGAAGCAACTCGGGAGAGAAACCACCAGAAAAGGAAGCATCAGCGGGTTGAAGGCTGAGGTGACGGCGTCATTTATAGGTTGGCGAGCTTGGTGATATCTGGATGGATCTTGATTGTGAGATGTTTGTTGCGAACTCGATGATGCCCCCGACAGCCTCCGGTAGCGTCCCTCCTCAGTTGTCGTATTGCTCAAGATTGGGTGAAGTCGCCGCGTGTCTCCATCGTCACTCTGGTTGGAAACACTGGGCGGCGGCGGAAAACGTTCATTGTTGGAAGCCATTGTTCCAGGGAAGCACAGTCCCGCGTCAAGACTTGGTTTCCCCGTTTCTCAAAGCATTCAGATGACCCTTTTCCAACGAGCTTGTGGGAGTATAGCTTCCAAATCAATTGAGAAATGGACCAGGAATTTTAGAAGCATTCAGCTGCTGCGCCAATGATACTATATGGGATTCGCGTCCTGACCAGCCTTATGGGGAGTTGTGATCGTTTCACTGGCTTGACCTGTGGAATCCAACCTGCAATCCCACTAACAGAACCGGTCAAGGTGGGACGAAGGGAGAGGGAAGGCGGTCGTCAGTTGTGAGAGGATATGGATGCGATGCGCTCGTCACCGGGAGAAGGGAGCCGCCGGAGGACAAAGTAATGCAGCTGAGTATCGAGTCTGGCGTCGGGGAAGAGGGTCGGCGTTCTGAAAAGACTGCAACTCGTGCTTCGCTCTCTGGTCTGTGGTGATGGCAGCCTAGAACTCCACGGATGTCAAATCCTGTCTTTCTCGTGTCTCTTCTCGGCGAGGGGAATATGGAAATATTGCAGAGGGCGTTTCAAGGCGTCGGGCAAAATGGCATTACAATCACGAGGCGAGGATGATCAAACTGATAGGAAGCAAGCCGAGACCAAGCCTCAAAGATGAGCGTGGCATCGACAACCAACACGACCCTGGTGTGGCTAGAGAAAGGGTCGCCGCTTAACTGCGACAGTAAATGATGCGCGAAGTGGTGTGTTGCATCATGGGCAGCCCCAAGACCATTCCAGCATGTTCAGAACCGGTGAAAAGGATTGGCGGGTTCCTCCATTACGACAGGGCGAGCAGGCCATTAGCAGGCCGCCCCTGGGCCCACTAGGCCTAGTCAGCGCCCCCTCGACCTCGATAGCTACCCACGGCCCATGCAGCAAGATGGGTGGATGAAGACAGCAGAAGGGGCCCCAAAATCTTGGTTGCAGCCCCCCCTCACTTGCCTCCTGCCCATCGACCCCACCCATTAACCACCCATGGCCCGTCATTGATTTTACCCACGAACCTCCCCTTCTTCCGAGGTTCGCCTAGCCACGAGCCACGATGCATTCCTCTGCAACGAAATCTAGTTTTTTGCTGCCTCTAAGTACAAATATAGTTTTGACCCTGAAAACTGTGCCACGATCAGATCTTGATGAAGCGAGCCAAGAGACCCAGTGGTGAGCTCCCAGAGATGATTACGAATGTGCCACCTGCGTGGGAGATACAGTGACTACCAGAACACGATGGTCAAGGACATCAAATTGTCAACGTCATCGAAACAACACAACCACAACAACCACCACCCGGCAACTTGGCATGACTCTGTGCCCGACTGCGCTTTCATACCGTTGCCATATCTACCGACATTGATCACCAATCCGGTGTCAACGTTCAACCACACCACTACTACCTAGCAGGGTTTCTTCAACCACCTCAACCTGGTATTTCCCGCCTTCTCTCGGACCCAAATTTGCGAACCACAAGCAGACCCTGTGTGCGACCATTATGCTTCCTTGCGCCCTGTTTCTTAGAAGCTCAAGTACCGAACCAGCCGCTGGAAGCTAAACTCACGCCCTGAGAGATATCCGCAAATCATGCATCGTCTCGATGACTTGCCGATATGCAGAGGCAACCCGGAAATACCAAATGCTCTGCAGGGTCTGCGAACCATGAACATAACCGCATGACCTCGGACGAACATGGATCATTCCAGACCATCAGTGCCTGTTGTGTCCTGCTTTTGCGGCTCATCACCATTCGTATCCGTACTCGGTATTCGCCTCGAAATCTAACACGTCTGTCAATCCGTCTACCTGCGATTCTAAGAACGGTAAGCCTTGGAGTCGAACATTAGGTATGTTTGGCTCACAGGGAGGGCATCGGAGGAGGGCAGTACGAAGTATCCAGGGGTGGGGTTGTGGCTGCTAGATTAAGAACTGAAATAAATTCAGCATCACACCAGGAGCTTCTGGCCACAGACAGGGGCAAGCAAAATAGAATTCCACGGGCAAGAGTGAATGCATTGAAGGCTATTTTGTGTTGCGCGCTAAGCTATGCAACTATCGAGAATCTGGTTCCTCGCCTCCACGTATTGTGTCGTCTCTTATGTCCTCTGTGGGTGCCTGGTCTCTGGCTGACTTAGTATGCCCTCTGGTGAGATCACATAGTATGAGAAGCCAGCCGCCTTGCTACCATGTTAATGTCGTCCTATGAGTCGGATTTGTCACATTTCCCACTCGTCGGCATCATCAGAGTCATCATATCTATTGGCCATCTGAACCTCCCGCTTCTGCCTCTCTTCACGTTCAAGCTGGTACATGACTCGTTCCTTTGCTGGTGCGTTGTATGCAACCGCCCTTGCGAAGCTGTTCTTAGAAACCGAATTGGCGCAGGTGGAATTGGTGTAGCTGCTTGCGCCGCGAGAGCTAGAGAGCTCAGAGTTGGTGGGCGACGGCGGGCGCTCAGAGGCTGCGTTGCCTCCCCAGGCAGATTCACGGTCGCGGGGCATGAAAATACTGCTGGCGCTGGCAGAGTGTCCTTGTGACTGGACCTGAGAGCTGAGAACAGAACCAGCAACGCCCGAGATCGCAGAGCCGGAGCTGTGCTTGCCACGGAGCTCATCGTCTCTGATACGTTCCTCTTCCAGGGCTGCTTCGAGGGAAGGGACACGGTCTTCAAGCTCCTGCTGACAATTATAACATCTCTGACTTGTGAATCAGCTTCATAATGAGACGCCAGTGGTCGGTTTCATGTTCTCTTACCGCGGTGTCAGGCTTCTTTCGCTGCTGTTTGGAAAAGAAACTCAAATCCTTGCTCGTTCGACAGCCGACGCAGTGCAACTCCGCCAGGGACTCTGGTGTGCAGTTTCTGCAGCGCGGAAGAGTGGCTTTGGGACCTCCATGGATTTCTTTCGCACGTGCTTCCTGATATTTCGACAGCTGGTTTTGAGAATATCTTGCTTTGAAGCATTTGACGTTACAAACGCCGCAAGGAATCCTGCAGCTTGAGATCAGCCAGGAGAACGGTGGAGGGGGTGCTTGCTTACAGGTTAGGAATCTCGATGTTCGCGTATCTGTTTACATGATTAGAATGAGATGCCATGATGGTTGACGTCGACAACAGATGAGGGGAAAGGATGGTTTGGACAGGAACCAGGAAAGAAGGCTGGCCAGAATTCTGCCAAGTGAATGAGATGACAAACGAAAGAGAGGTAGCTCACGATTGCTGTTTGCGTTCCCAGTACGGTTGCTGCTTCCGAGACATGGTTGATTGGAGTCAAAGGCCGGTAGTGGTAGGAATGTAAGTAAGATAACAGAAGGGGAGTTGAGGTTGGAATGAAAGAGCCAAATCAAGGGGGAAACAGTAGTGACAACACTTCTTCTGTTGCGACTTCCCGCTTGGACTTCACTCTGTAATCTGAGCTGTGAACGGATCTGAGTATGCAGTGCGTCCTCCGCTGGCTCGTTTTGCGGTCGGGGAGAAATTTGGCAGTTATAAGGGCTGAGTTCGCAACGATGACCGCCTGTTCGATAAAGGCGTAATATCAGAGCTCTGAACGAAATAGTCTTTGTCCTCTCAATTTCTCCAGCGACTGCATTCGACGTCCAGGTAGCAAGATAGCTGTTTGTCAAACGATATGATACTTTCACCACCGGCTACCTGCAAGGTCAACGTATGACTTACAATCTTTGAGGTCCTCAGGACATAGTCATCAACACGTACTTCACGTTCGGAAGTTCGCTGCTTCTTGGCAAGCTGCCGGACTCAATTAGGCGCCAGCGGAAGAGTCTTCCTTGCTGCGCAGTAGATATGATCATATTGATTGATGTGTGTAGTGCTTGAAACAGCAAGAACGTATGTGCATGGACCTGGACGCCCGTACACACTGACAGCGAGACATCTCGTTTCGTCTTGCTCAGTTTGAACCAGCTCAAGATTTGTCTATTGGGGAAGCAGTCTCAACCATTCTGAAGACAAAGAAGAGCACGATACAAGGTACGCCTGCTATGAGGGTTACCTTTTTTCCCACTCAGGGTAATGGTTTACTAGCTGCTCTCGATCTGATCTGATCTAGCAAAAATTAAAACCTCCTTTGCTTCTAGATTGCGTCTTCGCCGTCCCCTCCCTCCATGAGTAGGGACCGGTCCGTCGCCAGACGATCTACCAGAGAGTATCCGCCATTGACTCCTTCGCAATTTTATCTGGAATCAACGGCGATCAACGGGCATTGACTTGAGAAGCAAGGATGAGTATCAAGACAGTTTCGAGTCTCCTGGTTCCAGAACAAATGAATGATCCACTTGATTTAGCTTCTCGCGGGGAGTACTCGGTACTGGTGCTCGAGACAAAACCTTGGCGGAAACTCCATGGTGATTTCATGTGTGTTCCAAACGGAAGAAGCTAGGCGGACGAGGAGGGTATCTTTTGAAGGTTGGGAATCCTAGCCCGGTGCTATCGAAAATGGGCAGACACCAAGCCAATCGATGGAGAGGTTGAGATTTGATCAGCACCATTGGCCGGGCCCAAGCTACGCCCCGGCCCATGTTCAAGGTTTTGCGGCGAGTAGGGACAAACAATAATATCCAGGTGGGTGCCAGGGACAGCTGTGAGCCTAAACCTGTTTTTGGAACCATCCTGGCACCCTTGAATCAGGATCCAAGTGGTCATGACGACTTTAGCACAAGGGGTGTGATTTGGCTGCTTGCGTTGCCACAGTCGGGTCCCCCAGAAACGTGGCACTCGACTAGACGGTCTCTTTCCAGGCATCTTCACGTTGGTTGCCCTGTCGATGTTGTCGCTGCTGCTAATGGGGAGCCCCGTCAGGTGAAAACAAGCAAGGAAATATCTAAGTGGTGGCAAGAGAGAGAGGTGGGATAGAGTACATTGCCTGTCTGACTGATGACCAGAAATGCTAGCTGCTTCTGATCGAATGGCCAGAGCTCCCTTCTGTTCTGAAGTCTGGAACCGAGCTGCCCCCCTTCGAGATTGCACTTCCAGTTTCCATATTTGCCACTTTTTGACTCGGTACCTGCGCACTTGGACCAGGTACAGCAAACACATATGTACTGTAGATCTCCTTCGAGAGCATACGAGTACCTGGTACTTAGTCGGTATGGAGTAGAGTGAATTCGTAGGTAAAGGATTGCTCCAGCCAATACCGTGACGACAACTTGACATTCAGGGCCACCTGTGCGGAGTGAGACACCAAGCTCCGTCTCTCCTACAACGTGACCATGCCGAGGCCTGGATTGCCGTGCTTCTCCTAACTTCTTCAGCGACGAATTTCATGCCACAAGAAGAAAAGGACGAGGCACCTAGAGATAGATCAAGATCACCCCCCTACCATTGCATTACAGCACACCTGCATCTTTCCTACCGTAAAAGCAAATCGCGAGCGGTGTGTACGAAAGGGCCAGCTGCAAAGGAAGCGTCCGGTAATGTACGGAGGACATTACACACTGTGGGTACTCGGTACGGACTTCTCGTACATACCTCCCAGCACATTGTCATGGTGGATGAGAAGGTTAGTTCCTTCTCCCAGGTGGAAGATTTTCAGGAGGGATTTATTTTATTTATTACCTGCGGCGCACACTTGCGAACGGACTAGCTCCCCGGAGTCGAATGGAAAAGAAGACGAAACTTGAGTGGACAAGGTGATCCGGCATCCGCGCCCCGGTCACGGCTCTTCAGTTGGTCCCTGGGAGTTGAGGCTGGTGGGCTTAGAGCGCCAGCGCACAGGAACGGGGCCCCGAGGCTGAGAAGAGGGGCTGTCAGAGGTCGGAGTTGGGAGGTAACCAGGGCATCTCCTATGCAGCTAGCGGCGGTTTGTGCCTGATCAACCCTGGCACCAGCCCAAACTTGTGGCCGGCCCTCCAGGGATTCCGTCGGGCTATCCCTGTGGCTAGTCCGTACTAAGAGACAGGGCTTCACGGAGCTTTCCTGCTTTAAGCGGCTTCCCTCATGCCCAGGGAAGGGCCCCAGGTGCCAGAATGCCGGATGGGCCTCTCTGTCCAAACCTTGAAGCTTCGCATCGCATTCGTGCTGACACGGCGCCAGTACCATCTCGTTTCGCTTGACATCCACCGTCACTATTTTGTCTCTCCCCTTTCGTAGGAAAAACAATCACTCCCATTTCACTCAACAATACCGGTAATCACACACTCTCGTTTTCATCCGCCTGCCTGATGGTGCAAAGGCACGAGGATTCTGGGCTCTGTCAGCGCAATTTTGCACCCCAGTTTGTCACATAACCCTTGCTGGGGAGCTTTCTGGGCGGACGGGCTCCAGCGCCCATCAACCTCCGTGCCTCTCTCCCTTCTCCCAGCCCCCCTTGCTGTCCCGACACAGTCAAGACGCGCCTCCCGCACCGCCAGCTAATTGTCCGAGTACATCGACAACACGCCCGAATTACAATCTGTCACCTCGACTGCCCTCCTTTGATACTAGACTGTGACCGTCAAACCCCCCCCTTCCGTGTGAATCCAAGAAAGGGGAAGACGCTGTCTATCCACTTTCCCAACGCCCCTTGCGGGTCGGCCTCCGCCAATCGACCATTCCTCCAGCTAGTTTCCTTTAGTTCCCTCGAGCGAATTCGAATTGGGTCCTGGGTCCTTTGATCCCGAGCATCATCTTCTTGAAGCTCGAGCTCGATCATCATTTACCCTCCTGCTCTGCACCGAGCTGGCGTAGGACCAACCTGACGAGCATCGAGCGACTGTACGAACCAGCCAAACCACACTCCTGCCCCTCTTCACCTCTGTGCTCTGAAACACATGTACAGAAACATACAATACAACTGGGAAATGACGTGTTAAGGTCTCAAAGAACCTGTCTATGGGCGCAGGACAGCCTGGATAAGATATACTTGTCCCACATATTCCACGACGACCGAGGAGGAAGCGATAGACGAAGAGTCCGTTCTGCCCAGACCAACGAAGTCGACCACTATGGCTGTCACGGAATATGGCCAACGGCCTCATTCTTATGCCTTGGCTGCACTCGAAGATAGGTTCGAAGTCATCAAGGAGGTTGGAGATGGAAGTTTTGGAAGCGTTGCCCTGGCCCGGGTGAGAGCGAACGGGGCCAGTGTGGCTCGCCGGAACTCAATGGTATGATTGCTACGTAAATGTTCATACATGAACAGCCCCGGACTGACTGCTCTATAGGTCGCCATCAAAACCATGAAGAAGACCTTTGACTCCTTTGCGCCATGCCTCGAACTCCGCGAGGTCATATTCTTACGGACCCTTCCAGCCCATGCTCATTTGGTACCGGCTTTGGACATCTTTTTGGATCCCTTCAGCAAGAAACTCCATATCTGCATGGAGTATATGGATGGAAACCTATATCAATTGATGAAATCCCGGGAACACAAATGCATGGACGCCAAAAGCGTCAAGAGTATCCTCTACCAGATTCTGTCGGGTCTGGACCACATTCACGCTCACAACTTCTTTCACCGAGACATCAAACCAGAAAACATCCTCGTCTCCACATCAGCACCTCACGACTCGCAGTCGGCCTTTAGCAGATATTCGTCTTTGGTCACTCCGCCTGCTACACCGCCAACTTATTCCATCAAGATTGCCGATTTCGGCTTGGCTCGAGAGACCCACTCCAAGCTGCCTTACACCACATACGTCTCCACCAGATGGTATCGAGCACCGGAGGTCTTACTTCGAGCCGGCGAGTATTCAGCTCCCGTGGACATCTGGGCCATTGGCGCGATGGCGGTGGAAGTGGCTACACTCAAGCCTCTGTTTCCTGGAAGCAATGAAGTGGACCAGGTTTGGCGGATTTGTGAAGTTATGGGTAGCCCGGGGAACTGGTATACCAAGCACGGTACCCGGGTTGGGGGCGGTGAATGGAGAGATGGGACGAAGTTGGCTCAAAAGTTGTGCTTCTCTTTCCCAAAGGTGACTCGGTCCCCCAGTCTATCTGGAAAGCGTGTCAAGGTTACTAACTACTCGCAGATGGCGCCCCATGCCATGGAAACCATTCTACAACCACCTCAATGGCCCTCTTCATTCAGCAACTTCGTAACCTGGTGTCTGATGTGGGATCCAAAGAACCGTCCGACGTCCAAACAAGCTATGGAGCATGAATTCTTCCTCGACGCTGTTGATCCTCTCCGACCGAAGTCCTCGTCACGCCTGCTCGGCCGCAAACACTCGGACCTCAGTTTCAGGTCGAAGGACGCGGCCGAAACACCAACCGTCACATCTAAACCTTCGTGGTTTCGGAGATCGCTTATTGCCCGAGAGAGCGCACCTGCCGTGCCCCAGCACAACACGGAAACTAAGGTTACGCAGCCAGAGCCCGAGAGCTTGGTCAGCAGACTTCGACCTCAAGCGAGTAAACGCGCGACGTGGACCAATGGCACAAGTTCGACTGGTGCTGCACCAATGCCGATTTTGCCCTCAATCCGTCCTATCTCACCCCTGCCCAACGCTGTTACTGCCCAAGCAAGTTCGACATTCACCTCGCAGCCAGAGTCGAAGCCCAACTCATCTAAACCGGTTGAGGAGAAATCAAAGAAAATCGGCAGGCAGCTCTCGATCAATTCAAATGGCAATCATTATGCCGACATCCACCGCCAGGAAGCCGAGCGAGCCTTGAATGCGAACAGTGGACTTGTGTCTCCACCGAGTGGCCACAAGGAGAGCTTCTTCTCCCACCTGCGGAAGCGGGCTAGACGATTTTCCGGCCGACACGGATTGGCGTCTCCAAACGGTGATGATGTTGAGGCCAACGCCGCCAACGTCCCTTGGTCGAACCGATCGTCGCTCATGGTCGACAGCGTCATCCCCGAGGGCAACAACGACTTCTCAGACCTTGACAAAATTTTACAGAACGTTCGGTACAGCCTTGACCGTGCCGAACCAGAATCATCTCTACACAGAAAATCATCCACCGATGTGGTATCCAATTCGGGAACACTAAAACGGACGCACTCGGTCCCCAGATCACAAGGCAGCAGATCAAGTGAGAATCTCTCACAGACCCCTGCCCCTACAAACAATCGGTCACGTCGTCCTCTGCAGATTAATCAATACGAGACTCCTGAAGAAGCCGACGAGCTGTTGGATGAAGCTCTCCGCTCCGCTCATCGGGCGGTCCGGCGCCTGGATCAACCCGTCTACCCGAAAGACCAGGCACAACGAGCTGCACTGGCACAGAAGGATTATAATCGACAGTCATTACCGCAATTGCCGAGCAACCCAGCACTACACGGCGCCTACCTTACGCCGTCACCATCCGCCAAGAGGAATGGCGTCCAGTTTAGCTCCGATGCTGGATCTCAAGCCGAACCATTGAACATCACAAAGAAACGAACCGAGTATGAACACGCTCCTTCCCACTGGCCAACGCCGCCATACGAGGAGAACGAATGGGCATCTGCTGCTGCCAACAGCATTTTTGCCGCCGGACAGATGTTCCGATAAATGACGATATTGGCTCCTTTTTGCCGACCTACCACGCTCCTTCAGATAGTCAAAGTTTGTGTTCTGAATATCTTACAACGATATACTGTTATTTGATATCCTGTACGAAAAGAGAAAGGTGTGTGCTTTGCACGGACGCAGATTCCCGCGCGGTAATATTTGAGGGGCTTTTTTGGGGTGGAAAATCCCAATGCACGAAGGCGCAGGGCCACGGGAGCGCCAGAGTGTTTCAAGAAGAGCGTTCATCGTGTTGGTGGGCGTTTTGATTCTTCCCTCTTTGCGAACTGGTCAACCCCGGTCATACCTGGGGTCGTCATGGCATTCGCCTGCGTTCTTTCTGGAGGTGTCATGAGAGTTAGCCAAGGAAGTGAAGTCTTTCTTTTTGTATTGGCTGCATTTTGGGTTTTGCCAGGAATATTTTGGCATTGTCGGCTGAGACCTCGACAGAGTTTTCATTTGTTAACTGCGCTCGAAAGAGAGACTTGTACAGCTACATAGGTACTACCGTCATATGTATGGGCCAGATGAGGGGGGAGCGATATCAGGATTACAGGTTTAGAGAATTGCTGGACTTTGGACTTAGTGGTTGGCATAAGGGGGAGGATGGCGCTGATTCCTTGGTCCCGAAGATATATGAGTTCCAGAGTATCAATGGAGCCGATGAATGAACAACACTGTTCCTTTTGCCATGCGGGCACTGCTGGTTTCTTTGGGAAGAGGTGATGCCGGCTTAAATTCGGGCAGTCCGATTAGGTAACCCGTGATTTTCACTTGTGTTCGTCCAGCAAAAGCTCCCAAATCCACCCGCCAAGCTTCACACCTGCAGACCTCCCATGTTCGCTCTACTTACTGTACTTAGCTGTTGACTGCAACTGCAAACCTCCAACGAGCCAGTCTGTGTTATCACTGCCGCGATGAATCCGTCCAAGAGTCTGCTGAACGCAAACCACTCCATGTCTCCTCTCTCCATGTGCCGGCAATGCTTCCGCGACACTCTGCGCAACCAGGTCCCCCGACCTCGCCTCCAGCCGTCTCTCACCGTGCGCCGTGCAGCCTCGACGGGCGGCGGCAAGCCGATCGTGCTTGAGCAGCCCGACAAGTTCCGCCCACCCTCGCATCCTGCGCGACTCGGCCGTCCCCGTCGGCCTCCAGCGGCGTACAACCAGGGAACCACCGCGGATGAGAAAGAGAGGCAGAAGGGCAGGTCGTATCCGCACATGTTCCCCAACAAGGGCACCTTTATGCACTGGTTCTTGACGGATCGGTGGATTCACCTTTGGATCACGATGGTGAGTTGGGGCAAACTTCCTCATCACACTCTCTCCCCCGCCGACGACGACGACAGGTGATGGACTACGGAAAGAAATTGGGAACCCCCAACAAAGTTGAAGGCGTCGGATACAATTTAATAGGGGGTGTCAATTGACTAATGATTGAATGATAGGGCACACTGACCATTCTCGCGTGCATCACCTTCACGCAGTCGTTCATGCGGACGTCGCCCTACGCACACCTGATCCCGCCCATCTCCTCACTCCCACTGCACCCGATCAACTACATCCGGGAAACCCTGTCAGTACTCCGGCTGCACATCGACTACGAGACGGCGCGGACGAACGAGTCGCGGCAGCAGAAGATCCTGGACGCCCAGAAGCGCCGGCTGTACAGGCGGGCGCACGGGCTGGAGGACCTCAACGCCGATGAGGACCAGGGCATCGACGTGCGCGGCCTGGTGCCCTGGGACGACGGGCTGACGGCCAAGGAGCGCGAGAAGGGCGGTCGCGACATGGTGCTCACGGGCCGTGACGTGGTGGCGCTCGGCGGCGTGGTGCCTGGAAACAACGACGCGAAAGCCGCGCAGGAGGACGTCGACGCGTTCGCCCGCCGCCTGGAGTCCGAGCAGGGCGACCGCGTCCGGCTGCTCAAGGAGAAGGGCGTCGATGCCGTGGTCCGGGCCGAGGCCGAAGCCCAAGCCAGAGGCATCAGCGTCCACGAGGCACTCCGGCAACAAGAGCTGCAGGTCCAGGAGATACAGGACCAGGACCAGAATCCCCAGCAAGAGCAGCAGCAGCAGCAGAAGCGGAAGAGGAAGCTGTGGTTGGGCATCTGGTGATTTTCTTCTTTGTCTTTGTCTCATTCAGAAATCTGGATGAAGAAGACCCTGTTCCCCAGCTATACATACCAAGAAGCCCATGCGAGAGCGAGAGGAAGAGAGAGAGAGAGAGTTTTGCAGGCTTTACTCCCTTACCAAGACTGATAATACTCAGTTCAACTGCCTTGTGATGAGACGAGATGAGAACGAGTCGAGTCGAGTCGGGTCAAGATCGAGTGTCAGTCCTGAACAAACAAACAAACTCTAGCTCCCCACCCATAACATCAGAACATTTCCCGGCGGGTGGGTGGGTGGACAAGCAAGAGAGAGCTATTATGAGGGCAATGCCACTCTGGGAAAAGAGCAGCTCAAAGACGTGGGCCAGCCAGGGGGGGTTTTTACGTGATGTGTATACATACATACGCTTCATCTCTCTCTCTCTCTATCTGTGTGTGTGTGTATCATTAATGAAGTAGATGGATGGATATGTATTCGACCTTGATAAAGAGTTTTTTTTTCGCTCGCCGTAAACGAACCATCACCACCACCATTAAACTATTATTTCTCCCATACGTGCGGTAATATGCACCGAGTAGGTAGATATGTAGGTCCTAGTTATTACCTACCTAGTATCGCACCCGTAGGTAAGTATGAAGGTAGGTAGGTACCTATATGTATATGTCCCGCGTCCCATTCCTCCTTTTCGGGCATATACACACACACATACATATAATATATGCTCTTGGTAGGAATATATATACAAAGCTGGTGAGCACCGACCAGTATGTATGTATATATGTACATCATCGATATCCTTCGCCAATCCAGGTCCGGATGGCACTTGCTCGTACATGGTAGATGCAGGTTGAGCTATTGCATGGACCGGATGTCGTATGCCCAAGGACACCAACCCAGCTCCGTTTCTATTAGGCGGGCGGGCCAATATCTGTCAGTCGTCGATCGTCATTCGTCATTCTTCCTTTTGTTACAGGAATGCTTTGCGGCGTTGGATCTCTGGGATCTGCTCGGGAGGAGACATCCATCATTGTCGTTCATCGGGTCTTCCTTCCGATATTGGTGCATACTCGGTAAGAAAACAGCCCTCCGGGGTATCAAGACATTGACAAGTCTGCCCTCAGCTCGGGCACGGGCGCGTCGTGATACCTGGATGCTTCGTGTATGGGGTGTCTCGGCGTGGACGCTTCTCGGGGCAGCCCTTTCGTCTTGCCCAGGGTCTGCTCGTATTCCAGTTGAAAGGAACACGGCTTCGAGGTTTTGCATCGAGTCAAGATATCGAAGTCCCAGGCGTGGGGAAGGCGTTCATGACGCGGCAATGTTGTCAGAGTCTAGCCCTGTAATTGGGCTACCCAACGAGGCTGCAAAGTGGCACGGGATGGTTCCGTTCACCATTTGTCTGCAGGAGGAATTTCCCACCCGGTCCAGTTCGCAACTGTCAGATCTCTCGTCATTTCCTAGGACTCTTCGTGAATCATGTGTCCCATCCTCCCAATCTTAGTTTCGAGATATTTCTCAATCTCCGCCCCTCGCACACCCTTGGCGCCGGCGGTCCTCCATGCAATTGGGATCATGGGGACCCTTTCCCGTACTCTTACCTCCTTACCAGGCCCTTCAACAGCTCGAACTTTGTCGGGGTTGTTGGTAAGAAGCCTGATGCCTCTCTCAGCCTCTGGTTTCTGTTCATCACTATCGGTGCCGAGTCCGAGATCTTGCAGTATGGCAGTGGCAAGCCCGTAAGTCCTTGCATCGGCCGGATGCCGCAGCAATAAATTCGCTTCAACTGTGTCATTGCCCAGATCCTGCAAGTTGTACGCCTTCAGCTTCGACGCGAGCCCAATGCCTCGCCCCTCTTGGCGTAGGTAGACTATCACGCCGCCGGTAGAGCCAGGTAAGGACATCAACCGGGCCGCCTCATCGAGTTGTTCTCCACAGTCGCAGCGAGCAGACCAGGCTGTTTCGCCTGTGTAGCATTCCGAGTGAATTCGGACAAGAGGAGGTTTGCCCAGAGAATGGCTGATGATCTGGACACTATCGAGGACATCGCCCAGGCTGGCGATCGGATGATGTGGCTGTTCTGAGCTTTGTTCATCTGGAGAAGCATTCGCGGCCGACACAGGTGTTGTTTCAAGAACACCATCTTCTGGGACCGTTATGACGTTCTTCAGCGCGGAACCACTTCTTTGTCGTTTGTTGAACGGCCTCTTGCTAGGTTCCGTAGGATCTATTCTCGAACTCGTTCGACCCGGCCTCAATCTTCCAACGTAGGCACCACGGATCATGCGATCCATCTCCGTTTCACCGGGCTTCTCGGCATCCAGACTGCGGCTGCGTATGTTGTTGCCGAAGACAATAGCCAGATGCTCCTTGTTGTCGGAGTCATTCTGATAGAGGTGGAGGAACATCTCCGCGCCCGAAGTCGTCGGTATCCGTGCCCGGACCAGGCATTCTACATGCGGTAGTTTCTCGAGCAAGCGGGGTTGCTTGGTGGATGGGTCGTCGAGGGAAGTGTCCACGGGAATGGACTTGGGCTCGGACTGGAGATGCCGGGACGGAGTGCCAGCTCCTGGCGTGGCGGGAGGAGTGAATGCAGGGGATATTAGATTGTTCGGGAGACCAGGCGTCGGAGGGACATTGTCGTCCAGGTCGGACCAGCCGCCCAAGTATGCGGATGAGGGCCGAGGGACGGGGGATATGACGGGCGAGGCATGTGAGGGGAGGTCGTTGGCGGCGGGGCGAGCCATGGTGGACGGTGGACGGTGGACGGTGGACGGTGGACAGCGGGCAGGCCTGGTTCAGGTTCTATACAGGTTTTCTAAAACTCAGGAAAGAAGCATGGCGATGGTGAGTGAGTCTATGGCCGGGGCGGAGGAAAGGACCATTGAGAGTTGGAGTTTCTGGGCGGAAGAGGAGGAGGGAGGGAGGGTGGTGGTGCTGGTGGCCCACGATCTTTTAGAAGCGGAGAGAAAGAAATTCGCTGACGGAACTTCAAGGCCTAATTAGTGAGCCTCGGCCTCTGTATCCTCCGCACTTTGTCGCTCTTCATTTTTACCGCCATTGCTGCTGCTTGGTCAGTCGCCTCACGAGATTGGGTAAGCACCAAGCCACCTATTAATTATTACCTCTCGTGCCTCTGTACCGATATATCGGTCGAGACGATGCCCTCCTCAGATCGAGCCACGCTGCTGTCGGCTGCCCAGGCCTTTTGCACTTCCTTTGCTCGCAAAGAGGCTCCCGACAAGATCTTTAGCCACTTCTCGAGCTCCGATGATGTCCTTGCCCTGGAACATGGCCTGCCCCAGCTGGCACCCTTCTTGGGGCGCGAGTTCCGCGGGCAGAAGGGCCTGCACGAGTACTTTACTCTTCTGGCCTCCAACTTGACTTACGAAAATATGCGCTTCAGTAATTTTGTGGTCGATCCACTTGTCTCCAAAGTGTCAGTCCGCGGAGAAGCCAAGTTCACTTGGACCGAGACTGGTCAATCTTGGGACGAAGTCTTCACCTACGTCCTGGAGTTTGACGAGCAAGCCAGGGTCAAAGTTTACGAGGTATGGGCTGGTAGGTCTCTCTCTCCCCTAGAAAACCTGTGTTGGTGGTGGGATAAAATTGCTTCGGGATTCTCTGTCGACAGGATACAGCTATGAGGTACTGACGGTAAGCAGACAGCGGTGCTGCCTACTTGGCCCGTAAAGGCCAACTGGGATCGTAAGGCCGATGGTCCGCTTCCTCAGGTACTCAACAGTCGATCAATATTCTTCCGTTTCACCGTGTGTCCTACCCCAGCTGTCGTCTGGTGCATCATCCGCGTCATCTCCCAGATTAAACGTGTTGCTCTGTGTGACACATTTGGTTGAACTACTTTACCCCCGCAGAGAGGACGAACCGCGCATCGACGAGCATCTCTTGTACATCCTCGTCGAATTTCAAACTGTAGTTGGGTTTCTGGAAGCTCTTAACCTTTGCTCGGTAAAAGGTGTCGGTATCGGGGTATTTGGCGAAGACTGTCGTTCCGACCAAGAACTGTTGGTTGCTGGGAGCCACCTGAGGGATGGGCACCAAGTCTCTAGCTGTAGCTTTGCGCACCGTCTGCTTGCCAGAAGCATCATCTTCGGGGTCTCTTACATCGTATTGTATGCTGCGGATCAAATCAGCAGGATGGTTCGGGAACGGGAATGAAATGCTGCCACCCACGGCTTCTTCTCCTGCCACACTTTCTTGATGATACCGTGAATACCCACTCCTTCTTCTTGCTCCTGTTGGTCCTTTGGGAATTTGTAAAAGACTTCGGTGCCGGCGACAAGTTGGCCAGCCCTCTCAGCTTGGAGGCCCTTGTGTGTTTCGGCGCCGTCATCTCTTACAATGGGCGCTGCCCGAGTTTGGCTTGCTGTGCTTGAACTTCGTTGCGAGGTGCCTTTGACCCGTTTCATCATTTCTAGACGACCGTCCCCGGGGCTGGGCCCGGGAGACTCAACGGCCTCTGAATCAACAGCCGGCCGCTGGTGCTTCCGTGACTTGGGCTGACCATTCCGGGGCGCGGGTTCGTCGTTAGATCTCATAGTCTCGAGGATAGCAAGATTGCTGATGATATCGTCGTCGTCATGAACTTTCTTTTCACTTTCCGCGTATCGGAGGTTTTCTCGGTACAGAGCGTCCAAACGTCGATATTGGTCGGTAGTACCTTCTATATGGTCACGGTCAGTCTGGCTTCAACCAAACCTGTAACGGCAGACTCTGGAGGCCCCTCAAGTTCCGAGGCCAGATTGTGAGCCAGTTCTGGCTCTGTCATTGTCTCTACCGAGACCAGGCCTAAGCCCATGGAAAGAAGGGGCACAGGGAAGACCTACGCCCAGCCGCTTTGATCTCTTCCTCTAGCACCATAATGTCTTGGCCAATTTTTCTGCATTTTTCGTTGAAATCCCTGGCCTTACGCAGGCTTTCCAGGGCTCTGGTGAGTAGATCATTCTCAAGTTCACTCTCTTTCCCATCACGACCGGCGGTTGCGCGGCCTGCTCGAGGACGGGACGACATGTTGGGCTCAAGCACGGTGTGCCCACCAGATAGTGATATGTGGAGAAGTATTTGTAATAACCTGGGAGGTGAGTGTCTCTGGTCTGTGAAAGATGAGAACGTAGTATCTGATGACAAGGCCTCGTCGCGCCCGTTACCCGTTGTCGCGGCAGGCGCAAGCCTATTCAGCCAGACACTAGACAAAGAACGTAGCTTATCACTAGGCAGTATTAAATAGCAGTTCGTAGATTTATGCTGGTAAGTCAGGGACAAACAGACGAGATGTATGTGCGAGTTCTCAAAATATGGACGACTGTGGTCAAGAACATGGACAAGAAGAGGGCTGGAGGCGTGATTGGTGGACAGACGAAGTGTTGCACCAGCACGAGCGAGGAGGCAGCTACGGATACGTATTGACCTGTGAAAGCGCAATCTGTACGGCGCAGCATCTGGCGCGGTATACGACGGTTCTCAAACCATCAAAAAGTCTGGCCAATTCTATCAGACTGACCAACCACGTTTCCGACAAGTCGACAAGTCGAAAACATCTTCAATATCAAGTGGATCTGGCCTCAAGCCACATTCGCCTTCTTTCACCGCCATATCGCTGTCGCCAACTGTACTCTTCCCCAAGCCCAGAGACTTAAAAAGTCACTCTTACCCTCCCTCCTCTCTCATCAAGTTTGAGCAAGAAGAAGATCAGGGGTTGTGCCTTGCTCAGCCATCATGCAGGTCCCCTTAATTCGTCTCCAATGCGGTATGTAGGAGCAAACCACATCCCCTGCAGTTGCCGAGATATTGACCTCTTTAAGGCTGCAATAGCTATGACTGGGGCAAGAAAGGGAAAGACTCGGCCGCCGCCAAATATGCTGCGGCCACGCCTTCAGACGACTTCACCGTCCAAGAAGACAAGCCATACGCCGAACTGTGGATGGGCACACACCCTTCACTGCCTTCCAAAGACCTTGTCACCGGGAGATCTCTGCTCGATCTCGTCGCCGACAACCAAGCACTGATGGGCAGCGACATCACCGAGAAATACAACAAGAAACTACCCTTTCTCTTCAAGGTCTTGTCCATCAACAAGGCTTTGTCCATCCAAGCCCATCCCAATAAGAAGCTCGCCGAGAAGCTTCACGCCAAAGACCCAAAGAACTATCCCGATGACAACCACAAACCCGAGATGACACTCGCCATCACCCCGTTTGAAGGCCTGTGTGGATTTCGACCGCTTAAGGAAATTGCACACTTCCTCGCAACCATCCCACCCTTACGCGAATTGGTCGGCGAGAGCGAGGCCAAAGGCCTTGAAGAGATCGCCCAGACTTCCTCGCCGTCTCTCGCTGAGGCCAAATCCCGCCTCAAGACCGCATTCAGCTCGCTCATGAAGTCGTCCAAGGCCGACGTGGCCGAGAAATCCCACGCCCTCCTCGAACTCGCCAAGAAGGGAGCCATTACTCCAGGTCCAAGTGTGAACACCTCCGAAGAGCTGTGTGAACTCGTGCAGCGATGCAACGGCCAGTTCCCCGAGGACATTGGCCTTTTCGTGTTGTTCTTCCTGAACTACGTCAAACTCCAGCCCGGCCAGGCCATGTACCTTAAGGCCGACGACATCCACGCCTACATCTCTGGCGACATCATCGAGTGCATGGCGAGCAGCGACAACGTGATCCGTGCGGGCTTCACCCCCAAGTTCCAGGACGTCGACACCCTGACCGACATCTTGACGTACGACCACGACCCCCCTGAGCAACAGCTCCTCCAGCCCGTCGACTACCCGTACGTCACGCTCAACGACAAGGCCTACAGTTCCAACAGCGACTCGCTGCTGTACGACCCCCCGATCGAGGAGTTCAGCGTGGTGCGCACGGCGCTCAAGAAGCCCGGCGCCAAGGCCACGTTCGAGGGCATCGCCGGCCCTAGCATCATTATCTGCACGAGCGGCGAGGGTAAGATCAGCGTCGGCCCCAAGACCGAGGACTTCAAGGAAGGCTGGGTGTACTTTGTGGGCGCCACCGCAGAGCTGGTCATCGAAAGTGCCTCGGACGAGATGGTCACGTTCCGGGCCTTCTGCGAGATCGACGACCACGCCACCAAGCAGAATGGCGCGCATTGACTAGCCGCCGTAACACACAAGACAAGGGCTCAGCTGTGACGCGACGTCTGCGCGACTGGGAGAAGACGAAAAGAACTTCGGGAAGAGTGATACTCATGTGTCGTGCCAGCTGTGCATGGGTTTGATGGATGGATGGGAGATCGAAGATCAAGAGGTTCAATCAAACCAGGTATAACGGACAGAATGGAGGGGGAAAAGTTTTACAGCTTACGAGGAACCGGGTCAGGTAGACGAGGAGCTGGCTCTAGAAGCGGAAAACGTGAGGTGTTCATTTGAGACATTCTTCACTCTCGTGTAGACAAGGCGACAGACGCACGCACCACTTGTTCTTTTACGCCTCATGTATAAGAGAGAGAGAGAGAGAGAGAGAGAGAGTGTGTGTGTGTGTGTGTGTGTGTGTGTGTGTGTGTTCGTCCTTATCCTCGTCTCGCAGAAGTGTCACCGATTCCTGCAACGCTCTCGGCGGGCGTCGGTCTCGCATGTATGTATGACTGAGCGCAACGACCTTTCACCTGGCTATCTATCTGCTTTCATCGAGCTGGCAAGCTCTTTCTTACTTACCAATACTCCTCCCTCTCTTCCATCCTGGTAAAATACCAAGATCCTCATTCATTCATTCATTCATTCATTCGCTTCATTCACCCGTATCATCCATCCCCCTCCGCCGTGCCCGCATGGGCATATGCCCCACGGGCTTCGCCGCGAACTCGATGATCTGATAGCCCCTCCCGCCCTGCACACCGTGCTCTGGGGGCGCGCGCGGCGCGTCCTCGGCGTAGGCGGTCTCGAAGTCGAACTCCCGGCACAGCAGGACCAGCACCAGGCGGAGCTCCATCATCGCCAGCTCCAGGCCCAGACAGCCGCGCGGGCCCTTCTCGAACGGCCGCCACGCGTCCTTGGGCGGCGGTGTTGGTCCGCCGGGCATGAAGCGGTCGATCATGAACTTCCGGGGCTCCGGCCAGAGGTCGGCCCGTTGGCCGAACCCGTAGTGCGCGATCCAGATCTGTTCCCCCGCGAGCGGGAGCTGCTGGCCGTCCCGGAACGCCACCGTCTGCACCGGGTGGGGGGGCAGGGTCGTGCGCGTGGTGCTCCCGGCGGGAAAGAGTCGCAGAGTTTCCTTGATGGCGGCGGTCGTGAGGGGCAGGTTGTTGAGGAGCCGGGGCTCGGAGAGGAGGATGGACGCGGCTTGGGATGGGTCTGGGCCGAATATGGCGTCGTGTTCGGCTCGGATCCGAGCGAGTTCGTGGGTGTTTTGGGTTAGGAGAGGAGGGCCAGGGTGTAGGCGATCGTGGATGAAGTTGCTGTGTCTTAAGTTAGCGAACACGCCGAGTTCAACGTGGGCTGCGATGGAGATGCCGTATCAAGCAAGCATGCCGTGGGACAGTGAGATGGGAAATGCTTACTGTCGTGGCCACCCAAGAGCAATGTTTTGACATTGTTGCGTGCGAGGTGCATGAATTCCGGATCGAGCTCGTCAGGTCTGCTTCCACTCTTGCCCTGGGTGCCCATCTTTTCCTCGCGGTAAGCCTGAAGAAACAGGTCGACAGCGGCCCTTGTACCCGCAGAATCCGTAGATCTCGTCTGGGCGTGTCTTTCGCGAATCATCTTCTCAATGATTCGGTCCTGTTGGACGGAGTGCCACCATTTGAACGGCCTGCTCAGATGTCAGGAGATAACATCCATGCTGGGTCCCGCCCCACGCGACCGCCTTCTGGAAATGCAATGCCAACTCGCTCGATCGGCGTTGAGAGTCAAAGTTCTTCCCCAGGACCACCTCGCCGATCACGTCAATTGTCAAGGCCGTGGCGGTCTCCTCAATGGGGAATACCTCGCCGGTCGACGCATAGTTGGAAATTCGGTCTTTGAAGACGAGTCCATGCCGGAGGAGAAGATGGATTAAAGTCGAGAGGTACTGGGACGAGAAGCCTGAGTTGAGAATGGACCGGAGAATTTTCCATTCCTGTCCTTCTGCAGTCACGACTGAGTGTGAGCCGACCAGGGGACCCAAGACCTTAGAGTTAACGGGGTGTTTGGCGAGGTTCTTTGCTTGGGTGATTTGAGAGGCCACATCGGGGTCATGAACAAGCATTAGAGGGTTGCTGATAGGCCACAAGTCCAGGTAGAATACTGGCGGCATGTTGTACTTTTCACCGATGTAGTACATCAGAGCATGGTAGTGGACTTGTCGCAGCCAGTCTTCTTGTTCATCATGTTACACACCATTCGAAGTCAAATCATCCAGGCTGATAACTCGACACGGCCCAGTTCGAGGGCATCGACCTCGATGGATGACTTACAACCAGGCGGCATCTCCCTTCTCGCCATGCCGATGATCTTCAAATGACCCCACCAAAAGTCGTGAGGCGGGCATGGCAGATGTCGATACTTCGCGCGATGGCGGCGCCATTTCAGGGAGAAAGAGACCAGCCAGACCACAAAAGAGATCAAAAGTGTCACAACAAGTGGAGCCATGTACTTAGAGCTCAACATGGCGTAAAGGAGGTTCGACAACGAACTGTATAGAGGGAGGCGACGCGAGAAAGATAGAGATGGAGTTGAAGAAGGCCTCAAAAACAAGAGATCTCCAATGGTATGTGTCGATCCACGGCACGCCAATCCCTGTACAACCGAATTTTGACCAGGACAGGCAACGTGTGGATAAGATTGATAGGCTGTCTTTAGCCTCTTCTGGGATCTTTCAAAGCTGACGTGGTGGTTGAATCCGTCGGCATGTACTGTAGGTCGTATATCAAGCAAGACTCAAAAGAAGCGTGGCGTATAGAAAGCGTGCAAATGTCTCCACACCTCCCTCCATAATACTGGGTTTCTGGAAACAATTGCGCACGTAACTCCTGTAAGCATTCCTCGGAATCAGGCGAAGGGATGGGCCACAAGCGGTTCTTCGACAGAGCCGCACCTGAAGCAAACCCATTCCGACGGCCAAAGTATGAGACAGAATGGATGGATGGACCATGATAGCTTGGAGAAATACATTCGATTCAGGATGAACCCCCTGGGGAAGTAGACATTGGCTTAGAGAGTTAGTGGGCGGGAGGAGTTGCAACGATGTCGGAGGTATGGCCATCAAACCTGGCAGGCATACATTCTCACCTTGCTTTGGCACAGGGGCCAGGCCACCTATCATTTATGAAAGACGTTGCGTGCTCGTCTCGTTGTTTTGCAGATGAAGAAGATTGGAGATGAAAAAGCACGACAAACAACAAAACCGCCGTCAGACAGGCAGAGCGCGATTTGTCAGCCATTCGATGAATGACACGGGAGACAAGACTGTATACCTAGGTAAGGCGTGATTCTGGTTGACTTCGTATATAATCCTGTTTCTTTTCCGGTGTTTGCAAGTATAGGCACGGTGTGCTTTGGATTTTGAAGCATAACAGGCTTCATCTCGTTGTTCAACCTCCGCTACATCTGGGTCTGGCAGAGCCTGGCAATCCATCAATCCACTTTTGCTTGCTGCAGACTCGACATCCACTATAGTAAACATAATGGCTCCTATCCGCGTAGGAATCGTGGGGTTATCGAGCAAACCGAGTGCATGGGCAACTCTGGCACATCTGCCTCGACTGGCCAACTCCCCAAACTACAAGATTGTAGCGTTGTGCAACTCGAGCTTGGAGTCCACAAAGGCAGCCATCAAAGCACTCAATCTTCCGGCATCCACAAAGGCGTACGACTCTTATGACCAGATGGCCGCTGATCCCGATGTCGACTTATACGTGGTGTCAACGCGAGTCGACACCCATTACGATGTCGCCATGCCAGCCCTGAAAGCCGGACGTAACGTCTATGTGGAATGGCCACTCGCTGCAACGACCGAGCAGGCAAAGGAGATGGCGACTCTGGCCCGAGAGAAGAATGTGAAGACCATCATCGGCCTTCAAGGTCGCGTGGCCCCCAGTGTCAGGAAGGTAAAGGAAATCATCGACTCTGGGGCTCTCGGAGAAATCCACAGCGTAAATCTCCAAGGGGCGATTCACGTATGGCAAAATAATGCCGTGAGCGAGAGATACCAATATTTTATGGATCGCAAAGTTGGTGGGAATCTGTTGACCATCTATGGCGGCCACATCCTCGACTCCATCCTGTATGCGGTGGGGGAGCTGAAACCAGGCAGCTACACTCCTTTGGCGGTCAACCTGCGGCACAAAATGCGGACCATGAAATCTGACGGATCGTTGTCGGAGGAGCTCTTCGACAAAGACACACCCGATCAGATCCTCCTGCAAGGACGCCTGGACAGACACCCATCCGCAGTGTTCAGTTTCCACCTGAGAGCCGGAGACAGGTTCATCGGACAGCCGGGGTCAACGTGGAGGATATACGGCACCAAGGGCGAACTGGCCGTCGAATTCGCGAGTGCTGGACCGCAGATGGCCAAGGCAACCAGCATACGCTTCTCCAACGCAGAGAAAGGCATCGTCGAGGATTTCAACGTGGACGAAGGTGGCCAGGAATGGACCGACTTGCCAACTCCAGCTCAGAACATTGGTCGACTATATGAGGCGTATGCTACAGGAGAATCCTATGGTGACTTTGATCTCGCTGTCAAGAGGCACGAGCTCATGGACGACTTCTGGGCGTCGTTGCAGGAGTGAAGGAAGAGCTAGCTAGGCATGCTCGACATTGCCCAATTTGGTCTGCACCAGTTATTCCACCTCCTGCTGCAAGCTCTGTCATGATGATAACACGAACACGATCGGGTAATAGGATGTAGTATCCTGCAGTGGTTTGGCGCAGTTTATTGTGGCGATAGTCCAGCTACCCGAGCAGTTGCCGCAAATGTTGGAAGCTGCTCAGCCGTTCTTCCGGGCCATACGCCGACGTCATCGTCCTCTTTGTTTGGCGGTAAGTGACGGAGGCACAGGGCAGAGCTCGAGAGCTTGCATCAAGGCCTTGGTTGCACTTAGGACTGGCGCTTTGTTGGCCCTCGATCCGGCGGTAGCAACAAGGACACGTTGAATGTATCAAAGAGGGCAAATCCCAAGGGAGGGATTAAAAACAATGACGGACAAGCAAAAGGAAAATTGGCTCAGGCACGAGCCATTGATCGAGAGTACGGTGTGTTCCGGATCGTTGCCTGCGCAGCCTGCGCTGAGGACCTCAATCCCCGAGAATTGCCGATGACAAAGGCCCCAACGTGATTCGCAGGTGGCCGCCCGGAAGGAAAAGAGCGAAAAGCCACAGAGGTGGCTGCCGAGTGGATTTGTGGGTAGGTTCATCGTTCATCGGCGTCACCTTTTTCTTTTCTTTGCTTCCCCTTCGACTTTTTTGCTCCGACCAACATCTTCACTATTTGCTCCTACAACAACCATCCAAGCTATCTCAGCTTCTAGAACTCCCTCAGCCGTCCTCATATCAGTCCTCTCTTTACTCCAGTCTATTCAGTGTTGTCAAGATGGCCAAGGGTGACGAAGGTTTCAAGGAAGGTAAGTGCATCTGTTCTCTTACAGCCATCACAGCTTCGCAGCAGCTTCACAACTTGCTTTCACCTGTCCACCGGTCACGATTCGCCCTCTTGTATCACAATTCAGTCACGCTGTGAGTCGCATGACTATACGGCGCCGCTTTCTAGGCTCTTCCTCGAGCTGGGATGCTTCTGTCTCGACAGTTATACTATGCCCGTCCGATCACAGCGCGACAACGCTACCACACCAATAGTCGTCCAGATATCAGACTCGAGGTTGTTGATACAATGGCTTGGTCACACTTGGTGTACCTTCCGCACGAGCTCGACGAGCTGGAAGCTACCCGAGCCCATCAGGGACCGAAAGCTGCTGTGAACAAAGCTGCGAAGAAGGCTGAGCAAGAAGAGGGGAAGAACACAAGCTCACAGTCGATCCCTCCAGGTGACGCAAAGAAGGGTGCCAACCTCTTCAAGACGAGATGCGCGCAGTGCCACTCCGTCGTTGAGTCGGAGGGCAACAAGATCGGCCCCAACTTGCACGGCCTGTTCGGCCGCAAGACTGGCTCCGTCGAGGGCTTCTCATACACGGATGCAAACAAGCAAAAGGGGATTACGTGGAAGGAGGACACTCTGGTGAGTCCATTATTTTCAATTCCATATTACCCTCTGTAGCTGACCTTTCTCCAGTTCGAATACCTCGAAAATCCTAAGAAATATATTCCCGGCACAAAGATGGCCTTCGGTGGTCTCAAGAAGGGCAAGGACAGGAACGACCTGATCACGTTAGTTGGCCTTGAGCCTCAATGGCATTCATTGTACCTGTTGCCTGTGCTAACTCTCTACCAGCTGGCTGCGCGAGGAGACCAAGTAACTGCGACCTCTATCCTAGTTGCGACAACTGCTTGACGGTGCGCTCATTTCGACGCTCTTCGGGATCATCGGCTGCTTGTATCATCAAAGAAACGGCGAAGGCGCACATTTACCTAATCTGAATGTTGGACATGCATACCAATAAGCCGGGTGGGATGGGAGGTTAGAAGCCGGAGAAGCCGGTAGACGAAGCGCTATGTACATAAAAAACCACATCCTCCTATTGCTTGGAACTTCCAATGCGTACCTGCATTTTCTCTTGTGAAACAGGCACACAGGACGGACAATCAAGCAACTCTTCTCTCCTCACACATTAGGATGCAGCCATTCCCCCCCTCTCCAGCTGATAAGCCAGTTGGCCGTCCGCTGAGCTGTCTCACACCCCCAATTAAATGGAGCTGCACTGGCGCACTGCTAGAAGCTAAAGATGCGGCCGGGGCAAGTCGCCCTTGCATCAGGAATCCTGGTCTTGGACGTGTTCTGGGCTGTGATTGGTAGAGCAGATCGCCTCTAGACCGCGACACCACAACTGCCAGCTGTCCCAGCCTCCATCTTTTCTCTCCCCTTCCGCCGTCTCTGTTGCAGAGTTGCCTGACGCAGCCCTTCGTCGAGAGTTCCTGCAGCCGTGCCAGTCGAATGGCATGGCCCCAGTCTCTAGACTTGGATGATCTCGGTCCGAAAAGAGGCTGGGCTTTCCCGCATTCTCCAGTCATGGACTTGCCCTTTTGGCCTTCTCCAACAGTGGTGACTTTTCATCTCCTTTCCCTGGTCTCTTTCAGTTGAAACAATAGCTGCGCATTGCTCCAGGGTGACTACATTTCTTGCATCGTTGCCTGGTGACAGATCTTTGCAGAAAACCCGGGACTGCTCTGGAGACCGACCTTATTGTCGGCCATCCTGCCCCGCCCCGCCTCCGCCCTCTGCGCATCCTCATGTTCCGCTTCTGTTACCTCTCCTTTCTATGATGGCTGCCATGATGCCCTCGCCTCCAATGGATGACCTCTATGCGGAAAGATTGCACGGAGATGCGCATTCGTTGTTAGAGGCATCGATCGAAGATTTCGAAGAACACGAACGACGCTCACCTCTTCTATCTGGCTTCCGGTCGGAGGAGGGTGAGAGTGAAGTTGACGACCAGTCCAGCACAGGCCTGCCATGGTCACCTCCAGGCTTTAAGAGTCGGAACTCAAATGCAAGTGGATGGTTCCGGCAGGATCCATATGGAATATATGATTTGCGCCCTACTATAAGTCCCTCGCGGTCACGACAAACCAGTCCTGAGATCTATCAAGATGCGACCGAAGGAGATCCGGATATTACCATAGCCGTGAACACACCCTTGCCGGCCGGTACGGACTCGCCTGTTAGGGAGCGGTCTCCGGAAGCAGAGCCACAGTATGAGGCAAAGACGGGAAATTTTGATCACACCGAAACCATGCCTCCTGAGAGTCCGAACAATTGTAAATGGTACCGCTAATGGAATCGGGTCACTTCACTAACCGTGATCTAGACATTCGCCTGCAACTCCGAGCAGAAGTGCAACATCGAGAACCGTTCGTTCCTTTTCTCAACTTCGTACAAAGAAAGTTTGACGCAATGACCAAGACGAAGTCGAGCACTTTCATATCAATTCTGACCACGATCTTGGTCGCTTCGCTCCTGCGGATCATCCTGGTTCCTCCGATTCCACCTCCTGTCCCCGACCTGGTCAAGGTTTCCACCCTAGCCAAGTCATTTGAGCCCTTAATTTTCTACTCGGAGAACGGCTATACACAAATTACGGCGTTGCAGGAAACAAGTGTGGCGGTCTGGGACCTGGGCGAGTCGGTCCGGAGCGCGAACATGACTTCAGCACCGTTGATCGTGCGCTCCCTGGACGAGCTATCCGAGAGCTTGAAAACTCTTGGCCTGGAGTTGACCCGGTTCTTCGCTGATGTGGACTCGGACGTCGACAGCATTTTGCTGGTGATGGACTGGGCAAAGCGAGAACTGCAAGGTGTCACTTCGCAAGGGATGTCGTTATCAGGTGTGATATTCGATCATCTGCATGGCATCTTCAACCGAGGAGGATTGCTTGAGACATCCAAAGGTCCCACAGCGTTGGGCAAATTCTTGACCGACGTCTTTGGTGCGAGTTCGCCACAGAGGGCGAGGGCGACCCTCACGAGGACATTCCACGAGTTCGTGAATGTGCTTGAGGAGTCGATCAACAGCGAATTGACGCACTCCGCAGCACTGTTTGCTTTGTTTGAATCGATCGATCGACAGTTCTTGAACTTGCAACGAACGGTGGTCCGAGAGACAGATACGCAAGAAAGACTTGAGAACGATCTTCTTTCATCGTTGTGGACGAGGGTGATAGGTCCGAACGCAGCCGTGTTGCGGAAGTTTGAGAAAAACAAACAGCTGTTGTCCAGTGTACGAGCGAGGACAGTCAACAATAAGCATCTGCTCATGGAGCATCACGGAAGACTGCAGACTCTCAAGGTGAATCTGGAAATTTTGCGGAGAAAATTGGTCAGCCCTTTGGTGAGGAGGAATGATTCTGTTACCGTCGACAATGCCAGTGTGATTGATCAGCAGGTCAGAGGGCTCGAGGGGACATATGACTATTTGAAGGGCGTCAGAGAAAAGCAGAAGAGCAAATTGATGGAAATGGTATATGGGGCGAAAGCAGGTCGGACGAGACTGGTGGGCGTCAGCGGTGATATGGAAGGCATTGGGCTTGACGGTTGAATTCTTTGATATATGAATGGATATCAGGAGAGGGTCCGGATTGACAAGGGGCGTCCGTCGCTTTAAGGCTCGGGCCATTTGGGTAGGGAATGCATTTTGCCCTGTAGAACATCGATCAATGTTGAATGATATTTGCGCAGAATAGTACCGTGACTTGCAGATCGCAGACAATGTAGCATGACCCCCTGCAGGGACCTTGTGAGTCCTTAAGTTCCCTTCGAGGCCGTATATAGTTTAGTGCACCGGACTTAGCATGATATGCGTCTGTAGTAAATCCGAGCAACTGGCCTGGACTTTTTTCTCCAGAAGCCTGCACTCTCCCTCAACACGATCCTCCAGAGATTCAGAGTCGGCAAAAATAATTCTCTCACCAGGCCCGGTGCCCCCTGTCGCTCTTTATCTCTGACAAATCGAAAACGCTCGGATCGGATTATATGGGCACTTTCTATTCGAGCCAATTTCCAAGTCTTTCGACCCGCAGCTTCTCCGGATTGCCCACGCGCTGAGTTGTGCCATGCCTTCGCTCACGAACTCGCTCCCTTTCTCGCCAGCCGAGCTTGCCTACCTGCATACCTCCTTATCCTCCGTACCTCCTCTGCGCCCAGATGCGCGCCCGCTACCGACCGACTTTCGAGCACTGAGAGCGGAGACAGGTCTACTTCCCGCCGTGAACGGCAGCGCACACGTCGGGTTTAGTGATGGGCGTGAAGCCATTGTCGGTGTCAAGCTCGAGGTTGAAAAGACTGTCGGAGGAACCAGCATCTCGAATCCTGAAGATGGCGCAATGGACATTGATACAGACCATCACGACCAGAACATGAGTCACAAACGCGGAAAGGGAAAACCTGGATGGGTGACCCTGACGCTCACGCTCCCTGGCCTCCGAGATGATGACCCAAACTTGGTCTTCCTGGAGGAAATGCTTCGCGAGCCCTTGGCAGTACCCTCTTCTTCGAACGCTACGTCGCTGCAGGACAGCTTGATCATCAATACTCGGTGGCACTGGCACGCATACATCGATGTCCTTCTCATCTCGCCCAATGGACTCGCAAGCTACCCTCTCCCACTATTGAGCATGGCGACGCATTTGGCATTACGCGACACCCGCATCCCAAAGCTGAAAAGCGAAGGGGAGGAGGACCCCATAGCAGATGACGATTGGATGGCGAGCACGTACCTCTATCCACGTACCACGCCGTCTGGTGCAAAACCCCCTGTGACACTACTTGTCGTCGTGGTCGGCGAGAACATCATTTTTGACCCCAGTCGAGAAGAGCTCGCGGTTGCGGACAGCATCATTGCCGTGAGCGTCGGAAATACCACGAAGGAAGGAGAATTTCAACTGCTTGCGACGCGGATGATCAACACTCCCGCAAGGGATACCATGAAGGGTGTACCACTGTCCGGTGAGACGCAAGAATGGGTTGATGTGCCTGGTGTTTGGCGGCCGAGGATTGGCGGTGTCAAGAGAGCTCTGCTGAAGAAGGTGATCAATACAGTACTTACCAAAGGGGTTGCTCAGGATGTTATGAGCGGCCTGGATGGATTTATGAGTCTCGAGCTGAGTGCTGAGACGGGTAGGAGTGTGGGATGAATGGAACGACCTACGATTTTACGACCCGAGCCCAGATATTGCCGAAACGAACAGAGACTTGAAGCTCCTGTGCATTTTACTAACCTTGCCAATGTCCGCCCTCAATGAATGTGAGCATACGATAAAGCTGTGGCTTGTCGACGATCTTTGAGGGTTCACCAGAAAAAGAACAGACTCTGCCACCATACTCAAGCTGCCAGCGGCCCCCTTGAGACGAGATAAGCGTCTCTTAGAAGCCATTCAGACCCCTTCTGTGTCTAATCCTGAGCAGCCCAGGAGATGGCCGACAGGAGTACTACGGCACAACAGCATGGGTTGTCCGAAGCTCCAGGAAATTCAGCCAGAATATTCCCACAGCCATGTCTCACAGGAGAGCCAATGGCGTACGACAACTGCAAACAAACGAATTTACCAAGAATTGCTTCGCCAGATACCACCGCAAAATGCCACGCCACAAGAACGCGCACCTAGAGGACGTGGGCGATCACCGAGCTCAGAGAAACCAATTGCAGCGGTCGTTGTTAGCACAGAAGAAGCAGCAGCAGCCGTCTGGATCTATTGCTTTATCTCGGAGGAGTGCACGAAATTCAGCAATAAACGATCGAGAAATCCGGACATTGCAGTGAGGCGGATACAGGCGCGGTTTCGGCGAGGAAGCAAGCAGGATTCACTACCTGGGAAAGCTGACTTGAACCTTGCCCACCTGATCACGAGGAATGCCGCAGATTTTGATTTGAGCTCCCACCGAGAGGGGGGTTTGGAATACTGGACAACAGCACAAAGAAACAATAACACGCCGCCGTCACCCGCAAGCTCAAGTCATTTCCAGTCACCATACAAGATCCTGATGGCATTGTGCACTATATGATATGTGGTACGCGATAGCAGAAGGCTGCTCCTACTACCGCTCAATGCTTTTTCTCCCCCTTTTTTTCCTTTCTTTCTTTTCCTGTGACAAGCCAAGTTCCAACTCCAGGAACTCATATGGTCCCTCCCAATTCACCTTCCGTACGCACTGATACATACCACCGCTACACCCATCTGGTGTTTGTGGAGGAGGACGAAGACTTCCTCTGATCGAACTAACCAAGTGTGATATTTGCACTCTTCTTCTTTATGCTCTCTCGCTTTGCAGCACGCCGTACTGGCCCGACTCGCCCGCTTGGCTGTCCTGACCCTGCTGTCTGGCCCGACCGCCTTCCGCACCAGCCTGGCTCAACTCGCCGACGGGGTCGTCGTTGCGGCCCAAGAACTCGCGTTCGGCGAGGCGGCCGGGATCGTTGACGGTGCCGATAGCGCCGGTGAAGGTCTTGGTCTGGGGGATGCTGTTCGAGACGTCCGCGTCGTCGAGATTCGCGCCCTTCGGCTTGAATGTGTTCTCCGGCAGCGCGGCGCCCGTCACGCTGGACACATAGTTGGGGGCGGCGTCGACGTGCGGACGGACGCCCGTGCCGGCGGCTGGACCTCCACTGCCGCTGCCGCTGCCTTTTGAAGAGGTAGTGGTGTTGTTGTTATTGTTGATGCCCGCCCCAGAGCGGATCTGGGACTGGTCAACACCGCCAGTGGAGGACGAGATGGTCGAAGCACCAAAGTCACTCTCGCCCGCCGGCCGACCCGTCGACGCTTGCTGCTGGAAAGCCTTGGATTGTCCACCCGCATAGGCACCTGTGTCGCTGTGTGCGCCATCGAACTGTGGCTTGCCCGCTGCGTCGGGGTATTTCAGACCTGCCACGCCCTTCTCGTCGGCGCCGGCGCCCAGAGCCTGTCTCTTTTCACGCTCGGTGCCCGTCGCTGCGGCTGGCAGCGCCGTCGCCCCGGAGGTGTCTGTGTTGTTGAGTGTGGATTGATCGCCTCGCACGCCCAGGGGGGCGGCGGAGCTGTTCTCGGAGAAGCCGCCGTGGTTCTTGAGCGATTCGGCCGCCAGGGAGTCCGAGGCCACGGGACCGGTCGGCTCGTGGGGGATGTTGTTGGGATCGGGTTTGGGGGCGCGGGGATTTGCTGCGAAAGACATGATGGTTGTGGTTGTTGTTGTTGGTGAACTATTGCTGGTGACGATATTTTTTCCCAATTGATTTTCTTTCGTTCCGACTTGTATGTATGTAGCTTGGAAGAAAGTGATTGATGTGAGGAATAGAAAAAGAAGGAAAAATCTCACGAGACACCGATGTCAGTCGAAAGAAATACCCATTCCGTGGTTTCTCTGCAGTGATCATCATCGAAAAGGCTGTCACTGATAGAATAGTGGTAATGACATCATTTCGTGGTCCACTGTGAAGTCATGGTTGAAATTTCGCCCTCCAGCGCCTGGCCACTGGCTGGGGGTCATGTCCCGAAAACCAAGAAGATGAATCGCTGATCGAAACGACGAGATTCCTCTTTGTCTATCATTAAGAGTTCGTAAGCCTCGTATCAAATCTCATTTCTCTATGCTGCCCATAAAGGTTGCGTTGCGCGTTTCTCTTTGAGTAACAGACTTTAAAAAAGCCGCCTGCCAACCACGCACCAGAGCAGGGGGGGACAATGAAAAGAAAACCAATATTTAACCTGGTATCGTGCCTGTAAACCCGGAACAGCCTTTCACCAAAAAAAACCCCTGGTGTAAGTGGAATTCAACTACTTCAGCGCCTTTCGGGCGAATGTGGGTAGGACAAAGCTCGCTCGGTGGATCTCTTTGTTGTAGTACTTGCACAGTTTCTCCTCTTCCTCAGGGCTCCAGGACCGAAGTGGCTCCTTGACGTTGCGGTTGGGGTCCTTGCAGCAGACCATGAAACCAATCTGCCCCGAAGGGTAGGTGGGGATCGTGGTGTATGCATATTCGACCACGGGAAATACTTCTTTGCATTCCTTCTTCAACTTGGTGATCAGTGGCAAGTGGAGCCATTGGTTCTCAGCTAGAGAGCAGCAGTTGTGTTAGCGTGTTCCTTTTCCACTAATTTTATGGGAACCGAGCATTTGATGCTCAAAAGGAGATGTGTAGGGAGATGGGTGCGCACAACCTTGGGTAGTTATGACACCACCGTCTTTCAATGCTCCATAGAGCAGCTCGAAATATGGCTTTTGGAAAAGAGTCTCTGCAGGCCCCTCGGGATCACTGCTGTCGGTGATGATGACGTCGAATTCGTTCTTGCGGTCCGCGAGGAATTTGAAGCCATCTCCAATAAAGGTTTCGACGGCAGGGTGTTGGAACCCGATGGACATGCCAGGGAGATATTTCTTGCTGACGCGGATGACGGCCTCGTCGATATCGCACAAGATGGCTTTCTCCACAGATTCGTGCTTGACGACCTCTCGCAAAACGCCTCCATCGCCGCCCCCAATGACGAGGACTTTCTTTGGGTCTGGGTGAGAGTTCATGGCCAAATGTGTGATCATCTCTTGATAAGAAAACTCATCGCGCTCGGTGCATTGGATAACGTTGTCAAGGACCAGGACGGTGCCATGGTCGCTGCTCTCGAAGACTAGGACGTCTTGGTATTTGGATTTCTCATGATGAAGGACCTGGTTGACCTTGAGGATCATGGCTTGGCCAGGCCACATGTCCGAGATCTCTCGGAACCAGCCATCTGCGACGACGAGGACGCGAGTCAGAACGTTGTACGGGGAATCGGATCACAGTGACAAACAAGGACGGGCATACCTTTGATAGTAGGATGGGTGATTTCGGACATCATGGCAACTGAGCTGAACGTGGAAAGTGCAAAATTCTGAAACGAGCGTGGGAACGCGGGGTAACAGCGACAGCAAGCCGTCAATGGGGAGTTGGAGAAGCAAGAAGAGAGTACAAGGAATTGTACAAGTTCAAGAAATGATAGAAAAAAAGAATTGAAGGAGGAAGAGAAGAGGCAGTTAACAGCTTAAACGGGCACGACGGGGGGAAGTGGGCAGCAGGCAAGTTCAAGTAACGCTGCACTAGTTGGTTAAATGCCCAGGTCTTCCGTCGTGTGACTATCTCAAGAGTCTGCACCGTGTTGTTACTTCTCACTAAAACACTTTTTTTAATTTTTTTTGTTTTCGGAGCGGGGCGAAGAGGGGAGCCCGTTTGCTGTCCCTCGTCCATTCGTTGCGGTTCAATTCGTCCCTGAGCCATTGGCCAGGGTCCCATCTCGCTGCTTCACTTTCTTCGCACCTCTCAGCACTGGCCATCGAACCCCCCATGTCCTAGCCACTCTTCGTTTCAATGCACTGATTGACCTCGCTACCTATAAGGAGGTAGGTGCTACGCCACAGCAGAGCGACTGGAACGGTAGAAACCGCTTCAAAGAACAGTGGGGGACGCAACCACTAGCCACAAGATGTTACCCAACATCCCGGAGCTTACCGGTCGTGATGGATACGGAGCGGAAGAACGAAAGGTGCACACACAACTGCTCCATTGAGAGATGCTCTTCTCTCGCAGCTTATATTAACGCATGGCAACAGCGAGCGCTCTTGTCTTCGCTTTGCTTGTCGCTGATATGGTCCTATAGACACTGAATATTCAGAAAAATGACATGCCTTCGAAGCGAACTATATCAATGGTCCAGCTCAACCTCCTTCGTCTCTTTGGCCTGTCGGCCACCACCAATCTCCTTCTCGAGGTGAATCTCAACATGGTTCGTGAAGTACTTGGAAGGATCACGAACTGCCACTGCACAAAGCATGGCGACGACGCCGAAAGGAATCGATGATAGCCAAGTGATACGGAACCCGTAGGCATACCCAAGCCGAGCCGCCTCTATGCACTTGGAGAAGACCGCTGCCGGCACACTAGGTACGGTGGCGGCCTGGTCAGGAACACCAACCAGGGTCAGTGAAACTGCTTCGATCAAGTCTGGGAGAGCCTTGGCCGACACGTTGGCCGCCAGAGCAGTCTCCGCGATACGGTGAGGCACTTGCTTGGCCGAGATCTGATTGAAAATGGACGAGAAGATGACAGAACCAACTGCTCCTCCAAGAGACCGGAAAGTGCCAATCAGCCCGATGGCGACTCCCAGATCTCGCTGGGGCACGTGGAGTGAGGCTGTCGTGTAGCAGTTGAGAGTGATCCATCCGAATGGGAGCATGGCAAGGAACTGCACGGCCATGACCCAGTTGATGTTGTGGGGAGTGATGAGTGCAGCCAGTCCGAAAAAGAGGGTCTGCATGAAGACGGAAAAGGTGAGCTGTATATGGACGTGCTTGATATAGTGTACAAGGCCGGGAATGATAACACCTCCCACAAGTTGACCGGCACTGCCGAATTGTTAACAACGACACTCGCATCCCGACAAGGGACCGACTTACCCAGAAGGAATGGAGTATACACCAATCTTGATTGGGTCGGCTGTGTAAAGGTAGAGGATTGTTTGTGCGTTGAGCGCAGAGGCCGCGAAGAACACCATGCCCGCCACGAAGACGAGCATAAGCAGTGAGGAGAATGACCGGAAACTCTTGAACAAGTACCACGGGAACAAAGGATCTTTCGCCACGGTGAAGTCATACACGAATGATCCCAGAAACACGAACAGGCCGAGGATCAAAGGAGCCAAGGTACCAGCAGCTTTCCAAGGATAGGTATTACCGCCGGAGTTCAGGCCGTACAGGAAGACAGCAAGGCCAGAAACGAAGAGGGCGGTGCCGAGGAAGTCGAGTTGCTTGAATTCTTGCCACTTGGTCAAGCCATCAGGACGCGGATGACTGGGCGGGAAGTACACGAAGAATGTGCCGACAAGTGAGAAACCACCGTATCCCATTGCGATATAGTACATCACCCGCCAGCTCGCGTGGGAGAGAAGGGCGTTGGCAAGAAGTGTACCCGCGATGGCCCAACTTGCGAGGTTGAGCTCTGTCCAGGCGAGGCCTACGCCACGGTATTTGTTGGGCAATATTTCAGAGATGCCTATTCAAACAGGTAAGGAACTGGGTGGTCTGCAGCAGAATGAGGGAAGCTCACCCGCATAGGCGACCGAGACTGTTCCAATGGAACTTCCGAGGATGACTTCGCCGGCAATCAGTTGATTCATTGACTTTGCACTGCATGCGATTGCACCACCAATCTACATCGAAGTCAAAATCAGCACGGATATCTCCAGACAGATTGCAAACCCGAGCGCCGGAGCACACGAGCAGCACAACGGAAACAAAAAAGTTCAAGATCTCGGTATCCTTCACTGTCGGATTGCTCCTGCGGAAAATAGACTTACGACTGTGAGAAGTTGTCCAACGAGGATAACATATCGACGACCAAAGACGTCTGACAGTCTTCCTGCGATGGAAAAGCCGACTGCCGCTGCTGCGCCCCAGCCAGAAGGTATCCAAAAGTCGATGGTTGCACCACCCAACTTTTCACTCAGTTGTACCAATATGGGAGTGGCGAGGATAAAGCCGAAGATGATCGGTCCGGTAAAGGAGGTCCCCAGGAAAAGGGCCGAAAGAATGACAGAGAGACTGAGCCTCTCAGCGTGCTCAGGATTGTCCTCGAGCGCAGCTTTGTGAGGATCTTCATATCCCTTTGTGGGAAGTTCGTGGCGCTCACTGTGGGCAACCTCGATCTCAGCCTCCATGGCTGCCTTTGGCTCTGCGGTCTCCTGCATTGTGGGCACGATATACCTCGTACTGTTGGATACAACCTGGAGCCGTGCGTGGTAGGGGGGAAGTGGATGAAAAGAGGATCTGGGGACGGCGGGTGAGAGGAGCCATGACTTTTTGTATCTGATCCAGCAGCTGCTAATGTTCCCCAAAGTGGCTCTGATCAACCCCATGGGCCCCTGTCCTCCCATCTTCACCATGTGGAGGATGCAAGTCGAATATGCTGCTCTACACCCAATTGGGGCCTGAGGCTGGGATCTAGACGCTCCATGAATCCGGTTGCTCTGACTCCTGTGGAGCTGGGAGGAAAGTACCAATGACTCGCCCCTTTCTCTTGAAGCAAGCTGGCAAAAGGCTTAGGCGTTGCTTAAGCTAACCCATTGTTTGGAGCCGGACTTCTCAAGCCTTTCCCCATGGTTTCAAGGCCATGCCGGGAGTCTTAAGACCCCACAAACGACGGTGAAACTCCGCGCGTGGCTCCCTAAATCTCGACAGGGACCTCGCTACAAGTCGTGGGGCTGGATACATGTTGTTTGCGGGGAAATCCCACTTCATCCATCTGACATGTCGTGGCATTGCCGAAACCTGCCGCTGACAGGGTGCCGCAGTGTATAATTGGAAGAGGTTACTTATGTCGACTGTATGAAGACGACGCTGGTGACGCCCTCGGAGCAACTTTCCAAAAGGTTTCCTTGATGAGGTATCGTTCTGTTCGGTTGCTGAATCACGAATCCTGATAGCAGAACCACCGCCATGGCTGACACGTCTCCCCTTGTTGTCCGTCCTCTGCTCCTATGGGGTCCCATCCTTCTCCTCGTGGCGTACTATCCCACCCTCTTGATATATCGGCTGTTTTTCTCGCCTATGAGTAAGATACCGGGCCCATGGATCACAAGAATCTCCGACATCCCCGAAGCAAACGCGTTGAAGGACAAGCGACGGGCTGAATGGGCCAGCGAACTCTTTACACGGTACCCAGACTCCGTTGCTGTGAGGACACGCCCAAACGCCGTCTCGTTTAATCATCCAGATGCGGTCAAGGCCATCTATGGTGTGTGAACCCTTGCCGCCCATCATCACAACGTCGAGCTGACAACGATACCAGGCCATGGAAAAGGTGCAGAAGAGTTTGGCAAGTCAAGCTGGTACGATGCCTTCTCGACGACTGGAGAATCTATGTTCTCAACACGCTCCAAAAAGAATCACGCACGCAAGCGGCGCATGGTATCCCACGGCTTCAGCATGCAGTCTTTGTATCTTTTCGAGCCCTACGTCGACGCCGTGATGCAAATTTTTCTGCAGAAAATGGACGAATTTGCGAGAACTCAGCAACCCTTTGACATTTATTTCTGGTTCGAGCTCTTCACAATGGACCTGATGGGCGAACTTGCCTTTGGTCAAAACTTCGGCGCCATCCAGGGTGGGCAGCCGGTCAAATATTCCAAGCTCGTCGAACTTTCTCAGCGGTTTGCCAATATCAGCGGCATGCTCCCTTTCGGCAAGTACAACGTGAAAATTCTGAGCATGGTGCCATGGCCGTACATTCAGCAGTTGTACAAAGCGCGACTTGAATACTTGGAGTATGCCAGACAGGCACTGGAGAAACGTTTTCAGGATAACCGCAACCAGGTGCCGCTTGGTGGCAAGCAGAGGCAAGACATCATGCAGCGCTTCATCGAGGCACAGGACCCGGAAACCGGCGGACGAATGGACTTTCCAGAGCTCAGAGCTGAGGCCTCTTCGTTGATGGTTGCTGGGGCCAGCACAGGGAGCGTTACCATGAACTGGATGACATATTATCTCAGCAAGAACCCATCGGTGAAGAATCGCATCATTCATCAGCTCGAAGAGATGTTCCCGGACAACCTGGACGCCGCGACTCCTCTTCCCTTTTCGATGTTGAACAAACTGAGCCTCCTTGAAGCCACCGAGATCGAATGCTTGCGGATGCATCCACCCATCGGCTACGCCATGCCACGCATGACTCCGCCACAGGGAGCCGTCATCTGCGGCGTTTACGTACCGGGCAACGTCGACGTCGGCGTGCCCGCGGCCACCATCGGACGCAATCCCATCGTCTACCGCGATCCGAATACCTGGAATCCCGACCGCTGGCTGGACGAGAAGGCCGACCTGGCCACCATGAAGACCTGTTTCCTGGGCTTCGGCTTCGGGAGCAGACAGTGTATTGGGAGGAACGTGGCCAACCAGTTCATCATCAAGATGATCGCGACCTTGCTGTTGAGATACGATATTGAACTTGAAGATCCCAACTTGGTGTTGGGTACGAAAGAGTTCACCATTGTCAAGCCGGACCGGCCCTACAATGTCATCCTGCGGCCGAGGAAGCTCTGATTTTTCTTTTGGAGAGGAGGTTCTTCCGCCTGGCTCAGGCTGCGTGAGGTACAGGGTCATATGAGACTCGAAGGACCCCAGAGAGTCATGACTATGCACGATACAATATCTGTTGTCGCAAATGGGGACTGAAAACGGAAAAGAACATGCCCTGCCTGCCTGGTGCTTCGCTCCCTTGATCCCATGTCGGTTTCCCGCAGCAGGCTACTGAGTCATCGGGCCCGCTCAACGGTACATAGCACGAGGTATTCATGAAATCCGGCTGAAATATCGCACTTTCCCCTGCACCCGCGACCACCTGGTACATTTACAGATAGATAGAGACCAACGAAACAGAAAAAAAAAACAAGCCACACAAATCTCCATCCAAAAGAGGAGAGAGAGTCAAGAGTCATCCCTCTCCTCCCTCTCTCTTCCTCCACTTCTCCCTCCTCCCTCTTGTTTTTTCTTGGCCCTCCTCCACCAACCACCAAGTAAGTGGGACAACCCCTCGGGGATTACATGATTTCTCACGGACCCGGTACCTATTTATTCCTCCGTGAGTGGGAAGGAGGAATACGAAGGAAGGGGCGTTTTTATTATGAGCGTGATGTGGATTGTTCAAAGGGCGGCGTTTGCGGAGGGGAGGGGCTCCTTGGTGAGGGTGAGGGCACCTCGGAGGTTTTTTTACGCATTCACATTCACGAGAGGGAAGGACTCGGTACCTTGTGCTACGTATGTACCGAGTACATAGGGTACTGCAGTTAATATGTACGGGGCACCCACCACTTCCTGTACCTGTCGGTACCTGTACAAGGAAAGGAAAGGTGATGGTTTTTCCCCTTTATGAGTAGTAGTAGCAGTAGTAGTAGTGCGGGGCACCAGCGAGCGAGTACGAAGGTCACAGTGAATTACGAGGTATACTCTGGCTCAAATGACTCAATTCCGGGGTCATTTGAGGTACCTTTCGAGCTTTTTACTACTATCTGTAGTGAATGACCCCATAGTGTCATTCTGTCACATTTAAGCACCGCACGCTCTTCGCATGAGGATCTCTCTTTCCTCATGATGGCCCCATGGAGCTCGGGAGCTGCCTGCATCGAATAAGAGAGGACGTGAGCGATGGTTTCCATTCCTCTTCATGGAAGCCCGAAGGGAGGATAGCTCGCACGGTGCCGCGTTCGAGAAGAATCGGTATAGTACCAGCCAGGCGCTCTTCTATATCTTCCAGTGGATGCGCTAAGTTGGCCGGCTCCGCGAGAAATTTTTCAAAAATGTTCGGACGTGCAGCGTAGTTCTAACACCGAAGACATGGTATTGATATCATCACCTCAGGTACCATCTCACGGAAGTGGCCAGTCCCCGAAAATACAGCCGCGATGCCGTCTGTCACATCGTCAGGTGTGTTTAGACTACGCGTTGCCCCATCTACATCCCATCCTGAAAGAAACGGATCATTGACACCAGCCCGAGGTCCGGAGAGCCGGGATCCTTCTCGACTGCAGAGCCTTGATATAGGGTTATCTTTCGAAGCTAATAATCTGACCTTAGCTGGACCGTCCAAGCGGGGCAAGAAAGGTCGACGTCGTCGGTGATTGTTAAACTGTGGGGCCATTGCATATGAGGCTATATCACGAATACAATCGATATCGGATCTCTGCCGTACTTTTTTCTAATAACTCGGATTTCGTTCATGTACTCAACGTTATGGAGAGCCCAGGGTCACGTATCCATTCAGTGGCTAACAAATTTAACATCCTAGGTGGATAAACGGCGCCCACTTCCAAATAGCTGCGCAGTCGTCTTGCCGATTCCGGAAATTCATCACGGCATAGTGAAGTGCATGCGACACGGACCATTTCGCCGACTTGCTGTCCTTGAGCAATTCTTCGTAGAACTCGGCTGCAATGGCAACAGCGGCGGCATCATCGGCACCCCACAGTGTCCCTATAACGTGTCGGAATCCACTCAGCTGAAAAGCGCTGGCAAGATGGATACTCTCGTCAACGAGATCTTCAACTTTCAGCTCAGCGGTCGAACAGGCCGAGAGATACGCAATTTCGGTGTCATCACGACTAACCGTATCCAAATCGCTCAGGGCGAGGCGCTCTTGCTTCTCTCTCCCCAGAAGGAGAGCACTTTTAGCGGGCTCTACCGTGTCCGCAATGCCATGACAAGCAAAGTGGGCGATTGTGCAAGCCTCGAACTCGGAAAGGACTTCTTCTTTGGTAGGCTGCTCCAAAACCTTGATTGACGCCCATGAGCCGACATGTTTCTTGATGGCCGCGATCTCCTCCGCCACGTTGAGCGTGACGTTGTGGCTTGGTGTGTTGGGCATTGAAACAACAAGGACTTTTGGCTCATCTTCTCTACCCAGTCTTTGAGGCTTGTTTCTGGTGAATTGAAGCATTTTGACAGTCGTGACATATGATGAGACGACGTGACTCAGTGTGTTCTCCGTGGATCCTTCCGAATGATCACCAGCTGCATGAATCGGTACCTGTGCCATTATCCCACCTCCAACCCACCAGACGTGTGGTAACTTTTCGCCGGGGCTTCCTGGACTCACAAGCCCCAATTCTGAGAGGACTGGCTTCACTGCGACTTTCCACAGGGCTGACAGTTCACTCGACACATCTGAAATAAGGGGCATTTGCATCTGGCCCCCTAGAAAAAGAGATCCATCTCGTCGCGCCGGGTTTCCTCTTGAAGCACAAGTATCAATACATCGCCGAAGGTTTTCTTTCTTCAGGTTAGGGAGATATAAGACCCGTATTTCATCTGTCGTTATCAAGAACGCCTCACTGCTGACGTCACTCACATTAAAGGAGACAAGAGGCCCGTCTCGTGACAAGTCCAAGATCTCTTTCTCCGAGGGAGGTAAAAGGAAGTTTTCATATCCCGCACAGGCGCGTATATCATTTTGAATCTTAGACAGGTTCTTGTACAGCCGCTGACGCTGAAGATCGTGTGATGTGTAGTCTTGGGCTGAAATATCCCGCAAAGCAGAACTGCGAAATGCATTCGCAGCTGTGATTTGGTGCCTTATTCTGAGATACTGGGACCGCTTGTCATTATCCTCCTCCTTCAACGAGGACAAATCTGCTCGAAAGTCCATCATTAGACTCGAAATTATCCCTCTGCCCCGCTCGAGCGCTTGAAATGCTTGGCCTGGGGTCCTTCCAGCTTTTAGGAAGACAGAGCCTGTGAGGGATGCGAGCCCGAAGAGCTGTCGAAGAATGTGTTGCAGATCGTCACGAGCACTTGATGGCTGTGTGACCTCAGGGAGAATGTTCAATACTTGGTCCAGTAGTTGAGCCGCCTTCAGCCAATTCTTTTCCGCGATCAGATGATAGACAGCTGATTGTCCAGCAAGTATCCGAGTTAGTGGAAGACCGCTTGGTGTACCCAGACAAGATTCATATGACGATATCGCATTCTGCAAGTCTTCTTCCTTTCCTGGACCATTCAACGCGTATCTGTCTTCGAATAAGCTCCCCAGATTACTTCGATACGTCGAAAGATCCAGAGTATCGTTAGGCATCTTGTGAATAGCTTCCTCGCAATATCGGATAGCTTTATCCAGGTCGGCTCGCTGTTTGGTACATCGGTAGGTATCCCCAAAAAGAAGCCCCAAATTGTTCACGCGTCCTGCATAGTCCCAATCATCCTTTTCGGTAGCTTCGACCGCTGCAAGGGTTACGCGAATGGCTTCCTCAAGGGTAGGCAATTTGGCTTCCGGGTCTGGACTTTTCAGAGACTTTTGCCTGAGGAGACAGCCAAGGGTGTTCAAGCGCCTCGAACGGTAGGGATGATTATCCGGCGTCATATCTAAAGATTCCCGTGCGCGGATAATAGCACATTCAATGTCCCTTGTTTGTGATGAGTCTCTCAGAGCCAGCTCGCCCAGTATATTGGCTGAATTGCCCAAATATATTGCGCGTTCTTCCGAATTCTGAGTCGCTAAATCAACCGCCTGTTGTGCGAAACTTCGGGCTTGTTCCAGATCCCCCTTTCCCTCACTTCTCCGGGATCGATCTCGTAGCAGACCCGCAAGGTTGTTCAACCGGATCGCATAGTTTGGGTCGTCGTTTGAGGTCAATTCCATCACTTTTTGACATTTCTCGATTCCCAAATCGAGATCAAGTGGCTCACCATTATGGGAATATCGAGCTGCATATAGATCTGCTAAATCGTCCAAGAATTTTGCTTTCTCCGGATCATTGTCGGATGTGACGTTCACCGCATTCTCAGTGTATTTGATGGCTTCATCAATATCAGCATCATTTCCTAGTTTTAGGAATCGATCCCCTAGAACGGTTCCAAGACTGTTGGAAACCCTTGCTGGTATCGGTTCATGTTCCGAATAGGTGTTCACGACTTGCTGGATGAAATTTATGGCTTCACTAATGTCCGTCGGCTCATCGGTGACTTGAAACTTTTCATGGTAATATAATCCAACATCCATCAGGAACGTCCGACGGTTGTGAGAGTCTTGGGTAACATCGGCGGCTGCCTTTGCGTAGCTAATTGCAGCATCCATGTCGGCGATGTCATCTGTCATGAGAAATTTGTCTCTCAATAGACTCCCTAGGAGACTGAAGCGTTTTGGCCTCATTCGATCCCCCTCAGGAGTGATGTCGCTGCTCTTTACTATGGCTTCGATAGCTTCTTGAAGATCGTTCAGGTTTTCCGTGTGTTGAAACAGTTTTCTGTATAGTATCCCCTGTTGATCCAGAAGCCCTAAGTAGTCCGAGTCATTTGCTGAAGCAGCATCAATCTGCCGGCGTATGGCCCTAATATCCTCTTCAAGTTTCTCCATTCTTTCAAGGCAATTTCAGATATATGAGGGATAGAGCAGCTTCACATACTAGAGAGACACAGATCACGACTTTGAAGTTAGGTCAGAACCTGAGGTTAGAAACGATCATATGCGGATTTGAGCCAACTCACCACAGCTCATCAACGCAAACGACATGTCAAAGGAGAGTGCAGGGGAATTTCAGCCTCCTGCTGACGTGGCTCCAATTCCAAGTGGCATGTTTGCAGCTATTTCATGCAGCTGCATCAATTCGGCACGTCTCCAGCAGGTTGTGGATGGCTGCCTAATAATACGATCACGGGAATAGCCCAATGTCAACTGGGGGTTCGTAATGGCAAATGATGTGCTGGATCCCCTTGTGTGACCATCTGGAGACCTATTTGCTACGCAATAAACTCGCTGACGATCTCCCACTTGAACAGACCATCCCTTCACTTTCGCTAACAGACTCTCTCAAATTGTGACCTCCATTCCCAAAAAATGGCGGATACCGGGTCCAAGACCTGGGCTGTTCTGATTGGGATCAATTTCTACCCTGGAAACAAGTCCTTGAAGGGATGCGTTCACGACGTCACATCCATTCGGGAGTTCCTGACCGAGAGTGTCCCGCGTATAGACATCAAAGTCTTCACAGCGAGCCAGCCTTCTGACCCTACTGCCAACGGTCCCCCCGAAGAACCTGCCTCGCTACCAACGTACGATAACATCACAAACGGACTAAAGAGCATAAATGATCAAGCAAGAGCCGGAGATGCAGTTTACATTCATTACTCGGGTCATGGTGCAGATCGTCAGTCTCCCCAACCGGCTGGCAAAGATCCACAGATCGACAAAGACGAGTTTGCCTTAGTCCTGTATGATCGGACACATGGAATGAAGAAACTACCGGGAAGCAAACTAGCAAGACTACTAAAGGCAATGGTGGACAAAAAATTGGCTGTCACTGTAGTCCTCGACTGTTGCTTTTCTGGAGGCGTTACGCGACATGGCACCAAACGTATTTCAACTATACGAAGCATAGATGTTGATTCTACCATTGATGACGATGCTTGTTCCTCACTTCCTGGCAGGAGTCGAGGGCCTCCTCTTCGTGACGGCCGCATCGTCCCTCAATGGTTAGTACATCCGGACGGCTATGCTATTCTCTGTGCCTGTGGACCCGACGAGATTGCTGAAGAACTCGAGTTCGACAAAGGGACGTTCCACGGCGCACTATCATACTTCTTACTCCGGGCAATAAAGTCACTGAGAAGCTCCGGCATGAAGATGAATTCTGAAGCTCTGCGTCACCATATTTGTGCTAGATTTCATGCTACGCTACCCCAACAGAATCCCAGACACTACGGGAAAGGGGCTCTATCATGTTTTGGGAATTGCTTGAATAAAGCTGAAGAGCCATTTACTGCTGTTTTCGTCCCACAGGAGGGCGATCGGTTATGTCTTAGAGCTGGGTATGCGCATGGTGTTCAACAAGGCGACGAGTACGAGGTTTGCCCCTTCCCCGCAGCCGGTAACGAAGCAGACACCGTAAAGCAACCTTCGATTTGGGTCAAAGTCAGCGTTGTTCGCGGCCTCACTTCGGACGTGGTATCATCCGACCCAACTGTTTCCCTTGGTTCTGTTAAGTCAGGTTGGATAGCTAAGCCTCGCAGTCAACTGCGTCTTCAGAATACCACCATACAACTTGTGATCAAAGATAGCGATATCAGCAAGTGGCAAGATGGGTCTGCTTCTCGAAATTTTCTCAGATTTTGCAGAGATGACCTAGAGGGTCAGCCTTGTCTATTCAAAATCCATGTGAACAGTGGCCATGAATACGAAGTCATCGACCAATCGAATCAACCAGTGGCAACTCTCCCGACTGTCTCCTGTGACAGAAAGGATGCAACGGATCTTGTTATGAATATGCTCGAGCATGTGGCCATTTATAAATCCATCGAAGCGATCGAGAACCGCTTTCCGTCGGTGCCATTCTCTGAATCATTTGCTATCGAACTTGTGGACGCCGAAGGGGTCTTCCTTCTGAATTCTGGCGTCCTTGGAGTGCAAAACGACGATGTGGTGAGAATCAAAATCCGAAACTGTGGCGATGCGTCGATATACGTCCATCTGCTTGATTTGCGTCCTTCTTGGGAAATTGTCGACATGATCCGGACTAACGACGGCGCGGACTATGTAGAGGTCCCCGGAAAAACAGAATTCTCGAAATTAACACTTCAAATGAAAGTACCAGACTACCTTGTGAGCAAAGGACAAAGTCAATGCGAAGATGTCTTCAAATTTATTGTCACAAGTCGGGCAACCTCGATCAATGGATTGAGCTTGAAGGAGCTTCCTAGTACAAGTCTTCGTGGGAATCAGGACAAAGTCTCTGATTTCCTTCTACAACTGTGCTCTCCGCTGAGAGGCAGTAGAGCAGATCCTCTGTCAGAAGACTGGGCGGCCCTTAACTTCGTTGTACGGACTAGGCTGCCACAGTGCCACCTCCATAGTCTCTGATTATCTGTCTGTTTTACTGATGATCACTTGGAAATTATGGATCTATCTCTAACATACTAGGACGAAGGTTAAATATCCCTGCCTCATATGCCAGAAGAAAAAACCCCGATTAGCATCGCGACTGGAGCGATATTTGGGGACCTCTAATAGATATGCTGTCATTCCCGCAGTCCATGACACAACGCTTCTATTAGACGGGTTCCAGATCCCTCTCATTGATTTCTTGGCCTTCTTTCACCTGGTTATCATTGTCGTCAAGCAGAGTATATTTTCCAGCCTCAGGGCCTGGCCCGACTGTGAATGGGCCTTCGCGGGTATTCGAACCAGGGGCACGGAAGTACACCTTGTCTCCCGGTCGGAATTTGCTTGCCTGGCCCAGAGGATTTGCCCATCAGATTCTGTGTGTCAAAAGGAATACCGTGAATCTGAGTGAATACTCACTAGCCTGTAAGGCTTGATTAATGGACGACCGCCATGGTCAGCGACGCGAAATTTGGGGCTTTCGTCACTGAACGAAATATTAGAAATTGTGAATTGCTTGGTCACTGCAATGCAACTTGCCCGGCTTGGTCACTCATCGTTTTTGCCGAGTGCACACCTATCTGGTCGTGTTCGAGTCGATCAATAACCTAAACACCTAGGTATCTGTGTGTCCTCAGATATGGATTGTAATATTTGTGTCGATGTCGAGGCGTGAGGCTGCAAGCAGCAAAAGAGAAGAACCACTTATGCCCGTCTCGGTCCACTGCTGCCTGACTTCGACTAATATTTTCATCCCTCCAATCATGGAATTGGGAGTGGCTTCATAGCCTCACTTTCCTCACCAATCAGCCGACTGAGATGTTTGCCCAGCTAGGTACATAGAACTCTCAACCTCGGCCTCATGCTTATAAAATCGACAAAGGAATCAAAACGAAAAATTCAGGTCTAAGTATTAGCAACGAGAAGCAAGGGTCCACATTGTAACGCATAGGAAATAGGGAACTTCTTATCAAGGCATTGTTCAGAAATGACTGGAGTGACGACAACTTTCACGATCTGGAAGCAAAAGCTTTTACGATATTTGTCCAGAGACGATGGCGAAAGCCTGCGAGGGCTGCAAGGTAGGGACAAAAGGGCGTCTTGTGTGGCCGTGCTAATCGTCTCCAGTCGAGGACTACCCCCAAGGCTATCCGCGATTCTCCAGACTGATTGCGTCGCATAGTGCATTCTATGTGTGTCGTCGTTTCTCAACACTGCGTGCTCGTCTTCTGCTCCTGAAACAGGATAAGTTGTCCTCACTTGAGAAGCAGCTTGAGATGGTTGACCAACAAGAAACCAATCTACTCTTTCTCGCAAGCAGCAGGCGCGATAGAAATACTGAACGAGAATCCATCCTCTCAAAAATTGATACCGCTCTGGCAGACTATGGCAGGCTATGTCCTCGTGAAACTTCATCTTGTTTGGATTGCTGAGTGGTGTTTTAGATTCATTGGTTGAGAGAAATCGCCATATACTTGCCCTAGAGACGGCAAAGGCCCGCGACATCTCCAGTCTGAAACATTGGATAGAGGGAAACGCTTGTATCACCAGGGAAGAGACAGCGTACCTACTGCAGCCCAAAGATTTGCTGAGCACTGCACCATTGTCAGACGATGCTGTTGCCCAAGTGGAGGCTTGGCTGGAGGACAGGATCATTCAGTGTTGGAAAGACTTTCGAGAGGTGAGAAGACCCCAGCAAAACTTGCACAATGGAGATTCTGAATCGTTGCTTACAACCACTGCCCCAGCTTCCGATTCACAACATCTCAAGAGATCCAAACGTGTACATCTCATCAGGCTCTGGTCTGAGACGAGCGACTCGGTGCCTCATAGCCCTTCTCTTGGTTATAGTCCTCTTTATCCCTATCCTCATCTGCAGTGTCCAAAACAGCATGACTGCCCGGATGGCCGTTATCGCTATCGCTGCGAGTTTATTCATCGGGATCGTATCTATCATCATCAAGGCAAAATCAATTGAGATATTCATGGCTGGAGCGACGTATGTGAGATTTATTGTTTCACAAGAAACCCAATCAGCCAACCACAACAAAGTCCTTCATGCTGACGTTCACTGTGCAAAGATACGCCACCATTCTCGTTGTTTTTGTTGCTGGCACAAGCCCAAGTCACAATTCGTGACTTGAAAGCACCTGGCATGGATACCTCCACTATTGACCATTTGGACAGTCCACGACGTTTTGAGAAATGGTGACGCCACCTTATCATGAACGCTTATTAGCTGATCTAGATCACAGGCCTTCACTAACTACTTCCAGCGACTCACGGCGCTTTGATCAAGACTGAAGAAGCTGGAGGCAATTTGGATGAAACCGATGGCGCACCGAGCAGGGAATCAAATATGATGTACACCATTCTCGGCTGCATTCCTTGCCCCTTCTTTGATATAGGAACCCACCAGCTGACTGCTACATGGCCTAATCAGGCCCTTTGGTGTCCAGTAGACCTCAGGCCAAAGCAACCTTCGCTCACCCTCTAGTGGAGAACGAAAAGTCTGGTTGCCATTTACAGATTGATTCTAATCTCGGTACATACATACATACATACCTTCGTATGATACCTGGGGACCGAATGGGAGTGGGAGTGGGAGTCTCGGCAATTTACAGAACATGTAATATCTCCCGTGCAGAATGTTCCGATGCCATGTGGCTTATCCATCTATCTATTTATCCATCTATCAACCTATCTACCCATACGGGAGTTTAGTCCATGAGAAACCCAATACCTACCTACTTACTCACCTCCCTACAGAAAAAGTACGACAGAGTCCTCGGTTCCCTACGCGCGATACTCCGTATACAGGATTGAAGAAAGATAGAGAGGGGGGGAGAGATGGAGCATGCTTCCAAAGTGATTAATATTCCTTGTGCCATTCTTCTTCAAGGAGGAATCTATCTAGCAGAGAGAGTATGTTCAGTCCGGTCCAGTCCAGTCCACCCAGTATTAAGTCAATCAACTGCCCATGCCACGTCCCATCATCCCAAAACATGTCAGTCAGTCAAGCAGGCGGCGCGCGGCAATCATATCTAGCAGTCACAATCAATCGTAAAGGGCTTTTGCTTGCTTGCTTGCTTGTCGTTGGTAGCCAAATCCTGGCCCGCATACATTGATTGCTTGCTTCCCGTTATCTGTGATCCATGGCAAAAACTCCAAACCCAGTCACAGTCCCATATCGTTCAATCCCAGATCGCTTTTTTTGCATCGCGTCGCAATTAATCTCCTCGCTCGTGTCCAATTCGTTGACCTCGCCACTCCTCTAAAAGTGCAGCTCACAAGCCTTTGAACCGCTCCCATCCCGCTGCCCCGTTCCTCGTCGGACTGGCTCTGCCCTCTTCAGCTACTTTGCCGCTGACGTCCCTCCGTCTGCCCATCCCTTTGCCAAACTCGGCTCCGAGACCGGCATAACCACTGTTCATGTCGAACCCGGTCGAGTTCGAGGTTTGTCGGGCACCGTTCCATTGTGAAGGAGAAGCCGTCTGCACGTGGGTGATGTTGGCGCTCAACCTTCCCTCGTCTTCGTCGTCGGAAGTCGAGTACACCTCGAAGTTGGCAGAATAGTCGCTTTCCGTCTGCATGGTCCGGGTTCGTTCGTACATGTCCTGGACTTCATTGATGCTGGTTCGAACGTCTGCCTTCTTCCCGCTTTCATCGTGAGAGGGAGACACAGTGGCAACAGAGGGTCGCAGATCGCCGTAGAAGCGTGCCTTGCCACCGCTGCCGATGAAGCTGGACGGCCGGCTGTTGGTAGGGGTGCCTCTGAGGGGTGACTGGGCGTTGCCGTCGGCATCGTGGAGGGCGGCTCGGTTACCGTCGTGCTGGATGCGGGAATTCTTGACTGGTGTGACAAAGGCGTTTTCATCGTTGAAAGATGAGCGCACAGGCGTGGGAGGATTCATGCCCAGAGGCTCCCGGCTTCTCTTCTTCGCCGGAGAGTCCGGAGACGGCATGGCAAGTGATTGATGCAAACTCGACTTGCTCGCGTTTTTGGAGTGGATGTGAGTCTGACTGCTGTTTGCCTGTGTGGGCAAATGAACCTGGCTGTTACGTGCCGGAGAGCCATGGTACCAGTTCTCCCGTTCTCGATGAATCTTGTCAGATGTGATGTCCACAGCGGAGATCGCAGAGACAGGGGACATGGGTCTGACTTCGTGGTCCAGTTCTGCAGAAGCCTCCTCACTCATCGTGCTGGGCACGCCTTCATAGTCCAGGTATGAAAGCCACGAAGATGGACGAGATGGCTTCTCCTTCAGTTTGGACGAGCGTTCAGGGCGAAAGTCAAGTCCACTGCCAGCCGACCGGGAATTTGGGGAGGGATTGACCGCAGAGCCGGGTCGTTCGGGAGACGAGTTTCGTGACCACCGCCACGGGTCCTTTTCGTTCTCGTCCAGCTCTTTGCGGAACTCTACCCTAGAGTTGCGGGCACTGTCACCGCCGTAAAGCGTGACACTGTCGGCGGAGTCGGTGCGGGTATGGATGAAAGGGACTCTCTTAAAACCTGACACCTGCGACTCCCGCATAGCGGCCAGTTCTGACGATCTCATGTTCTTCTCCGTGATCTCGGATTTGTTCCGCTTGTGCCTGGATGTGAGGTTCGATTCGAGAGGATTCATGTCTGGAGGCAATCTGGAGATCTGCCTGAACTTGACACCCAGGTAGATGTCCAGGAACAAAGACGCCACCATCAGACCTCCCTCCACAGAGGAGAGAATGAAGAACGCATTGATGATCTTGTATGACAGATCTGAATCACTGAACAACGTGCTCCATCCATATTCATTTCTCGCGTAATCGGCTTGTGCCACCCAGGCGCAGAAAACCCAGAAGGGGATCAGGCCCGTGTCCAGCATGGCCGCAAAGATCATGTAGCTTGCTGTGGACGCAGGAGTGCGGCTCGTAGGTGCGCGGGCGAGGTGAAAGACCGCATAGACCGTATGAAGAATGGCAACAGCAGGAGCACAGCGAATGATCCATCCCACCGTCGCCGAGGTCTTGTTGATGGCGATGACGCAGAAGAGACAGCCCAGCGCTCCAATCAAAGCACAGACTCTCAAGAAGAGCTGGACGTATCGGACGCGGACGATCTTCTTAAGGGTATTAGGAGGCATCGGTTTGGCATTGAGGTTGCCGTAAGGAACGACTATGTACTGCGAACAAGTTAGTATCGAGGAATAGTTTGAGTATCTGACAGAAGAACAACGTACGGAATCAGGGTGCTTGTTAAAATCAACGAGTGGCCCATCTTGTTTGGGTTTCTGCGGCTTTGGAGTCCAGGAAGCATGGGTTGCAGCCTTGGGATTGAAAGCACGATCTGTTGGGCTCCCAAAGGTGTATGTCGAGGGTCGGTCGTAAATGAATGGAGGTTCGACACCCATGCTTTTGCTGCTGGAATGTGGTGGTGGTGGTTGCTAACGAGGAGACGGAGCTGATGCGAAGAGTGGGAATTGCTCGTGCGTGCTGACGGGGGAATTAAGAACAGTCATAGCGATTGGAGAGGCTGGTGGTGGTGGTTGGATCATCCAACCTTCTATTTACCGTTCGGCAGTTGCCCAGCAACAGGCTCCGCTTCCCCCGTGGCGGCCCCACCATTACACCGACTAACCCCATCCAGCCTTGCCAAGACTTGCCACGAGGCTGGGGATCCAAAAACAAGGCTGTCAGATTCCTGATCCGATGTCAAGGACGCAATTCACCAGTTCATCGATGGGATCCAAGAACAAGCCGTTTGAAATGTCCTGAACCTTTATCCTGTTGAACGCGGGGCGCGTGTCATCACATTTGGATGTCAGCAACCCTTGTCTTGGAGGAGTGCAAATATATCATCGGCTGTGACAACGACAGGCGACACTGATATAAGGAGAGAATCCTCGTAGATCCACTTTGTTGGTCAGGACGTCTCCGGTGAGTAGATCGTCCTTCCGCTGTATATATGATCATCAGGAAGACGGCGCACGTCCGTTCAAAGACAACAATCAAGGCATGGGAACCGCGCTCGTAGAAACAAAGGATCACTCTAACATGTTTGATTGTGACTCGTTGTACTCTAACAGAAGGAGGAAGGACAAAACACCCAGCACACACACGAGACCGCCGCTCACAACTCCTCTTCCATGACCCCCAAGAGGGTCAACGCCCGCTCCAGCTCCGCCAACACCGCACCGACTTCATTCACCATGAAGTCGTCTCCGACCGCCTCCCGCGGTTCCTTCGTCTCTGGACCCGATCCGGGGCGTGTAAACACCCAGACGGGGCCCCAGGTCGAAAACTGGCGGAGACGCCAGTCACACCGGCCCGACCACTCGAGGTCGTCGCCGACAAAGTCCTCCAGAGCATTGATATGCTCGGGGAGCGCCAGCGCGGGCAGCTCGAAGCCGAAGTCCCACCTCGCTCTATCGGAGCTCTTGCGGTATTTCGCCCACAGTTCTGGGTCCGAAGGCCGAGCGTCGTCTTCCATCGCCGCGGCAGAGCAGATCCACTCGTAAGCGAAATATGCATACGTTTGCACGTATGGCTGAAAGGCGAGGATGGCGCCAGAGGAGGGAAAAAGTTGATGAAGGTGAGCCCAGCGGCTACAGCCGAGCGCGCAGAGACGGCCGAGGCGCGAGACTATTTCGATCTCCCAGCCATATTGGTACAGGGGCTCGCAGCCGTTATATCGCATGGCTGCAACTGCTGCTCGCATCCAGACCACGATGAGCTCGGCGAACGATTCCATATGCGACTGATCCTCGAGGTCAACACGCATCTCCAGCCTCGCCAAGATCTGTGTCGCTGCATCCAGGATGGGGACCGCGAAAAGCGTTGTGGGCAGGTTCTCGTTGAGAGCGCGCTGGATATACGCGGGGAAGACTGCCTTCAAGAAGTTTAGTTGCCCCCTGATGTCGAGCAGAAAGCTGCCATCGTTCTCCACGTAGCTTGGATCGTAAGCAGTGAATATCGTGACCAGATGTTGGAAAAGTTGATCTTGCTTGTCGCCAGTCCAGGCCATTTCGCAAGCTGTTCGGAAGGCCTTAGTCACGTACTCACTGTCATACCGATCAGGTCGGTTTTCACTGGGCAGGCGAATGAAGAGGCGCTCCAGGTGGAAGACCTTGTCCTCAAATCCCTTCTGATCCAGATCAACGAACCATGGGTCGATTTCGAAGCCGGGGCCTTTGTACATGCCGAGACGGAATATGACTTTCTGCATGAATGTGGTCCATTCTGGTCTTGCTGCTCCGTCCAGCTGCTCCCATGTTTGCTTCATGGTCCTTGAAATCATGGTCATCAAGTGGTCCCATTGATATTTTGTGAGCTTCCCATTAGAAGAGGGATCATCAACATTTTGGACGCTGTAGGCATAGCGAATAATGTGGTGGACAATTGAGAGGCGATGTTTGATAATATCAGACCGGTCGAGGAAGTACCCGGTGGCACCGTTGGAAATGTTTCGACGCAGGTCGTCAAGGCCGAAGGCACCGGGGATACTTTCCATGAGCTGGTTCGTCAAACAGTGTTCGAACTTTATCAACGCCTGCGGCTTTAGGATTGACCACAACCAGGTATGAATGAAGGGATAGGGATCAGCCAGGACGACAGACCGATCCGTTGCGATCTTGCTCAGCAACAACACCTGACATTGCCTTCCGATTTCGGTATCGGCAATTTGTGGGAAAGATACCGGAGACCAGGCGTTCAGGAAACTGTCCCAGCGGGAATGGCCACCTTCAACCATCAGCCTTCCGATTACAAACCAAGTGTCGGTCAAGGACATCAACAAGGTGTCCTGAATAGGATCAGTACGGTTGAGCTGGTCCACAAGAACACCCCGGATGGCTCGCCGGAAGGCCAGGATTTCGTCTTTGTCTTTACCAAAGCTTTTCTTGACATAGGCTGTGAAGAGGTCGAAGATCCCGCTGACCACAAGGTCGCCGTAGCCTTGATCATGGTAACAAGAGAATATCAGAGAGCCCACCTCTTCACGGGTGAGGAGGCACGAGACCTGGTCTCGAGTGGTGCAGAGATCAATTGCGGTAGCATATCGTTTTACAATGTGTAAGACGCGGTCGACCGTAGTGTTTCGATTGGCCAGGTGTACGCGTTTCTCGTGCTCGTGCATGTTGTTGTCAATCTGTGGGATCCGGGAAAGCTTATTGCACATCGAAAAGAACATGGCCAGAAGCCAGTTTCCAAGTTCAAGCAGCTCCGCACGACCGGCTGACTGAGAGAGGGTTGACTTGGCAATGTTCTCCCAACATCGTACAATCACCTGGCGCACTGCATCATGCGCCGTAGGAAAATCGATGTAGTCTCGAATCTGCGATATCTCGGGTTTGAAGCCGACAGGTGCATAGTGATACAAGGCCGTAAACAGTGTGTATCGGTTTGATACTGCAACCAGATCAACGTCTGGAAGCGGGTAGTCCTCATCGACGAGCATCTCATTGTCGTTGGAAGAGTCGCGGCCCTTGTTTGGTAACAAGATGAACAGGAGCGAGCGCTTACGAAGAGCCAACTTCCGATCATGTTCTTCAATCTCGGAGTCCGGTGGAGGTCGAGCGACCAATGTTATGGCCGTGAGCTTCAGGAAAATGTCGAAGTCGGTATCGTTGTCTTCGAGGTTTAGCTGCTCCGCGCGCCCCAGGCGTTCGAGGAATGCTGGCGTCTCCTCGGTATTTCTGGACGTGAAGAGTTCGAGCATATTGTTTGTCTTGTCCGAGTAGTACTTGAACATTTGTTTCAGCAGATTGTCGGCAATGTCAGTTTGAAGATTTCGTGCGAGGACAAAGCACCATTGAAACATGACCATGCCGAACTGCTCCAGCTTCCTCACCTGTGGCGTCTTGCCCCCAAGCCGCGAGCTATAAGCGGCCTTCTTCTCGACAAAGAACTTGAGGAATTCCGACACGTGCATTGGAAGAAGACGGAGAAGAGAGGACCCAAGAGAGCCGACGCAGTTAGTGTCGGTATGTGTCGCGAGCCCCTCCGGTCCGGCGACAGAAAGAATACAGCCAAGTACGATGACCGTGTAAGCGAGTGACTCAGCCTGGGACTCTAGGAGCATTGCTGGCTTGCCATGGCTGGAGAAGATTGTTTCCAAGTAGACGCTCCACTCTTGCTGAGGGCCAACGTGGTGTATCAGGAAGATTGTCTCCATTTCCGTTGTCGGAGTGAGTCGATGTTCAGCAGATACAGGATCACTTCCGAACTGAGCAGCAGTGCTCCCGAAGAGCTGAGCGATGTTTTGTTTACGGAAAGCAAGCTCCCAAGCAAGGCTGGCAATATTCTGCCAGATCTTCAAGCTCTTGGCACGAATTCTCTCGGGCAAACCTGTCGCGGTAGCAAAGTGGTTGGTTTGATATCCTAGAAGGAGGAAACCATTCAGCACCTTCAACGTCTGGGATACACGAGCTTCTGTTGTGGCGCTCTCGCATATACCGATGCCCTGCCACATATTTTCCATTGACTCTGATGTCAACCGGATAAAGGCTTCCAGCTCTTCGTCATTCAAGAAGGAGAGACTCTCATTGGCATAAGTGATAATGCTTTCGATCGAATCCGCAGCTTTGCTTAAGAGACGTGTCTGTTCCTCTGTTGTAGTTCCAAGTGTCGTCGCGTCGCCACAGGTGACCTCGAAGATTTCTGTAAAAGCATCTCGAATGATGTCTTCGACGTCTCTGGACCAACCATTAGAATGGAGAGTGCGGCGAGATTTAGGTGCAGTGATGATGTTGATAGTGTTGTAGGCCGATCCTGGTCGAAACAGACGAGTGGTATCAGCCATAGAGGACTTTATGGCGTCCAGGAGACGAATGCAGACAGGTGGAGAGTTAGAGGGCATTTCAATATTCGCTAATGAGCCTGATCCTGGAGGATATTGAATCGCACAGGAGATGGTGTCGTTGTCATCTTCTAGTTTGAGACTCTGAAGGCATAAGACATCATTTGGATCGGTATCATTGGCGTAGCGCGTGCCGAGCGAGATGGGACGTTGCTTCCTGAATCAAAGCTTAGACTTGATGGACTCTTAACTGACAATAGAACTACTTACTTCACTGGACGCAATGGAGGAAGTGTTGGAGAGGGCGGAGAGAAACCTCGCTTCCTGGAGCTTCGGTCAGCATCGACTCGTCGGGGAACATTCTGAGTACGCACTCTGCAGGTCGAGACATTGGGAAAGATGTCTGAGCTGAAGCCTTTGTAGATGTTTTCTGTGGGAGTTTCTGATGGAGTCGCTTTTGTCTTGGTTGTGCCCCCTTGGGCACACGTTTTTGGACTATGAAAGGATTGGAGGATGCAAGGGCTGGGCCTTCGAGGTTGTGGGTGTTGTGCTCAACAAGTGGAACTTTCTGACGCGAGCTGAGATGGCCGCGACGCGAAGCTCGAGGCTTGAAATAGTCGAGAATTGCAGAAGGACGACCCGCAAACAGACCAATTGATTCGCTTCTTAACTGGGCACTCTGACTTTGATGATTGCGAATGCGTTCGAGGGTGGTGTTGGTGTTTCTTTTCAAGAAATCGAGGTGCGTGTCAGGACGATGAATATTGTCGTGTGAAGGACGTGTTGGAGCGGCAGAAATCCCAAGCACTACTTCGTCCAGATTGGGTCGCTGAGTCGTTAAGAAAGTCCTGCTGTTGATAGCATCGTCGGGTTTGACAGAATGATGTACTTGACGATGATCACGTCTCCAATTTCTTACCGCTTCATTCACATCTTCAGTATCTCTCATTGTCGCCAACTTGAAAACCTTCATGGAAGGGTCTTGGTTTCGTGCTGATCTTTGATGCACAATGCGTCTGGACGCAATTCTTAGAAATCGTGGCACATCCCTGTCTTTGAAACCAGGAGCGTCCAATATCGTCATCTGCGGTTTTCTGTGCGTGCGTTTGATCTTCTTACGCGGCCGCGCCCTATTGTTCGACAAAGAGGAAACAGCTGTCCTCGGACGGCGAGAGGAGGGCCCTTGACGAGGAAGAGTCCTGTTGGCCTCAAGGGTATTCTGCTTGAGCCAAACACCTTTCAATCGCTGCTGTCTTTTTCCGGTGTACGACCTTCTCGATTGGGGAGCCAGCATGGCATCGACGGCATTGTCTTCCATAACATCGTCCCCAAAGGCATCCGCGTCCTGATACTCAATCCCGTTCATCTCATCGTTGACGGAGGTAGTGGACTCGCTTTCTGATGATTCTCCCAGGTCAGAGGCATCAACACTCACAATCTTATCTCTGGCTCTCCTCCCGGCGGATGAGATACGTTGCGCTATCCCCTTCTCCAAAGCACCCTTGAGAGGAGATTGGGCTTGAATTCGAGTAGCATGGGTGTCCTTTCGTTGCTTCTTCATGTCCAGCTTCAGCCAGGATGCTGGCAGAACTCCTTTAATCTTGCGTTGTATTTGTCGTACGGCCTGGAACCTATCATTCAAGCGCTCTTCTAATTCAGGAGGCCCAGCTGAATCGTCACTGATACTGATGGCATCAGTTTCTGAATCAGAAAAATCGAGGGTTTCGCTGAACGTCCTCTTCGAAGTCTGCATATCTGAGGAGACCACGGGAGTTGGGAGCACGACGGGTGTGCGGCTTCCAGTTGATGGCCCCAGATTGTTGTCCGCCTCGCCCGTTTGCGAAGACGGTCCATCACCAGATCGAGGCGGGGAAGGCGGAATCATGGAACTCACGCCATCTTCTTTGGAAGATGACTTTCTGTGAGCTTGGCCGCCGTCGGGAAGCTCGTCGATACGGGACCTGCCAATCTCAATTCGGCGTCGTGGTACCAACGCAGACTTAGGCCGCTTCAGTCTTGATATATATGAGGTTGCGGTTCTGGTATTGAGGAGAGCTGACAAGTCCGGAAGATCATCCTCGGAACCAGACACAGGAGACGATACACGGAGACGTGTCCCGCGTATTGGACTTTGGGATTCATCATCTCCGGCTTCCGTGGAATCACCATACCCTACATCATCAGCAGGGCCTGAGCGTGGAACTTGACTGTCGGAATGGTCCACTTGGCTGCTCTCATATGCAGTGGTGCCTTGGGAATCGTCCTTGGCGCTTTCTCGCAGATGTGAAGGCGGATCTGGAGCGCGAACAGGGTGCAAGCCCCGATCTCTCCAAGTTTGTCTATACCTGGCATCTTCGATTGCGTAGGGATGAAGCTGGATTGGGGCACGAGGTCGGAATGACCGCCTTCGTAAGGCGTCGGCAGATGAGTCCAGCGACAGTCCATCATTTTCAAAGATCTGAGAGGTCACTACCTCGGGAAGAACAGCTGGTCGTGATTGCCCTGACTGTTTTTTCTGTGGTGAAGTATGCACCGAGGAGGGAACTGAAGAAAGAGGACTGTCGGTGTCACTGTCGAAACCTGGGACCACAGAGCAAAGGACATCTTGCACTGTCTGCAGACCTTTCTGTATTTCAGCTTCGAGCTTGGCAGCCGTTGAATTCAAATGGGTGTCAGAGGTCTGCGACAATCTCGAGTGGCCAATTTGAGCATCATCATGCGTCAACCTGCCTGTGCGATCTGGTTGAAGAAGGGGACTGGCATCATGCTCGTCGGAAACGTTATCATTTTGCTTTGTTGGACTGTTGTCACCGGGGCAGGGGCTGTCGAAGTCCTTCGCAGCCTGCACATCGGCTAGCGTCGTCTCAAAAGTTGTCCCGTCCGCACAGTCGATGCTGGGTCTGTCGTTTCTGGGGTCTTCCTCTTCGTCGTCGTCAGAGTCTGGCACGTAGCCACGCTCCCTCCAGTTTGCCATCGCTGCTGCTTTCCATGTTCTTTTCTGGGATGCGGGCCAGAAAGTGTCGATGTTGGTGAAAGCTCTTTGGCTTTTCTGTCGCGTCTTGAATGTCCAAGGACGCGCCGAGGCTGAAAATAAATGGACGGGCGCCAAGGCAAGGCTGCGGAATTGCTCCGATTGGTTCCGATCCTCGACAGTATGCGGCTCATGCAAACCCTCTCTATCCTGCTCTCAAAGGCAATATCCGACAAAGGGTCAAGCAAGTGCAGAGAAAATGAGCTATCGAATGGCTGGTTGGGCACTGGTCATTGGGTTTGGCGTACTCAATGGTGACACTTTCTCTGCATTGCGCAGCACTCATCGCTAATGCAGTCTACAGGGTACATGACCTTCAAGCCTGCCCTCGAAGCCCGAGCCTTGGAGAAGCTGAAAGAAGAGTTGGTCCATGTGTCTGATGATTACAGGGATGGCTGCTGATATTGTCGGATTGAATATAGGGAGCGGGCTGCTTCGGAGCTTGGGCCGAACATGGTTGAAATCCCCGCGCAGACACGCGACAATGCGATCGCTTCAGGTCGAAACAAGTTGAATGCAGGGCCAAATGAGTGAGAATTCTACGGATAGGCGACAAGTGTCTCTCTGCCAATCTCGAAACAGATTCGTTGCAAGAGCTGTGGGATATGACACAAAGGATCGCTGAAAGTCAGAGGGTGATCACGAAGTACAGTAGCGAGGCCGCTCTCGTACGATCATCCGTCTTTCAACAACGAAGGACTGCAGAGCGAGATGGCATCGTCCGTATCTCTCATTGCAGCAGCGCCTGGAGTATACGAGACCAAGTTACACAACCTTGGAATGATCGACCCACAGGACATCTGAAAACTGTCGACCATCGACTCCATTTCCTCAGGTGTCAACATCAAAGAGAACTGGATGTTTTACGGGGTCCCACCGCCTTTAGGCAGGATGTGACTGGATACTATTCACTGCCGTGAGCTAATGGATATTGAGTCACATTGCTAGGATATGTCTCCCCAGGGAGACATATGCTGGTGAGAGGCGGAAGGTGCCGATCTGATGGACTTGGTGGCTTAGAGGTTGCCAAATGTGAAGATTCTCCCTGACCTGGATATACGAGACTTGCAAACATCATTGCCACGATTGCAATCAGTATGATGGAGCCTTTGCTGAAGGATGCAAGGGACGATTGGTGCCTTTATGTGTAATCATATTGCTACTGATTTGAGAATTCTATGCTGACAGCTGCTGGAATCTAGTAGCTGATACTTGGCAAATAAAGATACTCAGCAAATTTCTGGCTTCCGGGATGATACCCAGCTGATCAGACCACCGTAGGCCTGTTTCCATTCCTAAGCCACAGTGCCACCTTCCGGACTTTCACGTATCGATAATTCGTAGCTGAGCACGAGATGAATGGGCGGCGAGGATGCCATTATTCGACCTCGTGGATAAGAATATTGCTGCTAGGGGAGAGCGGCGGGCCAAAATAGCGGCCGACTTTCTTCCCCAGCCACTCTTCTGGCACACCCAGTTTCACACCCTCCTGCGTACTGATCCACCTCGTATAGAGTGGATTGGCTCTTTGTGAGAGGTCTTCCTCTTCGTACGGTGACCCAGCCGCCGCTGCAGCAGCCGCAGCCGCAGCCAAGGTCTCTGGCTTTGGAGCAGCGCCTCGCGCCTTGGAGACTTGAGGTTTGAGCTGAACTGCAATTAGCACAATTCAAAGGGATAAAGAGCCATTTGCATACCAGTCTGTTAAGAGCGGCCGTCTTCTCCTCCTGCACCTTGCGCTTGGTCAGCTCCTTGCGCTTTCTAGCATGTTCGTCCTTCTTCATCGCCTTCTCCTCATCCGTGAAGAACTAAACTCGATCAGTAATGAACATAACTGATTGCGGCCAACTTCGTTTGATGCGCATCATACCTTTCGTTGCTGAGGTGCCATATCCAACGCCATGAGAGTACCTTGATCCTCGGGCCTGCCCCTCTGCCTCTTCGTCATCTTAGTGAGATCGGGAGTGGCGGCACCAGAAGCAGGCGTCTCGTCGCTGCTGTCATCGAGATCTTCATCATCATCGTCCTCCTCGTCGGCCTCTTCGTCTTCACCTGGCGCGTCTTCCTCAACCACAATCTCTTCTTCCTCGCCCTCCGCGTCTTCATCGTGCACATTTCTCGTAGGTTCGTCGTCTTCATCAGAGAGCTCAGATGAATTGCCGACTTCATCTTCCTCCTCCTCCGACACATCCTCCGATGCATCCTCCATTTCTTGCTCCTCAACGGACTTGAGCGGCCCAACTTTGGCAGGAGTGACGATGAGCTTGGGCTTGGCTGATGATTTGTTGTCACCCTTGGCAGGTGGTTTCAAGGTAATCTTCGGGGGTTTCGGCGGGAGATGGCGCCTGGACGGAGGCGGAGGAGGAGGTGCGTCTTCCATTTCCACGTCTTCGTCATCGGTGCCACCCTCAGGTTCAGCCCCGAGCTGATCGAAGTCGTTGGGTTCCTCTTCCTCATCGTCATCTTCGTCCTCTTCTTCGTCTTCGTCATCTTCCTCTTCCTCGTCATCAATGTCGCTCTCACCATACTCTGCATATGTAGGTCGTCGGCTGCCACGAGTGCTGGTTCTTGCCGCCAATGCAGTACGTCGACTGCTTCGCGGTGCATCGAGGACATGCCCGCCACCCAGGGTGTCATGGAGCGAATCCACCTCATTGGCTCGCATGACCTCTCGCAGTTTGCTTGGAGGTGCCTTGACGGTCAATTTGAGGCTCTGTCGGCGATCGTCTGTTAAGCCTGATCCGCGCTGAACAGTGGCGGAAGCAACATTGGTTGCAGCGGCCGAAGCCCCCGAGCGTCGTGGTCTCGACGACGCCGGGGTCGATGCTGCTGAAGAACTGAGGGTCGGATTAGCTCTTGTACCAAGACAAGGGGAACAGTATAAAGCAGCGAAATGCATAGTGAACGATGGCGCTATGAGCTGTTTTCTCAGTCTGGCGGAAGGCGCGACAAAGGTTTCTCGCTAAACTAGAAATTTACATAAAGGGGAGATGTTGGACAATTGAGATCAATGTTGACTGAACTCGATGGGAATCGACGGAGGTCAGGTGAGAGACATTCACTCGGGGCTCTGTCTGTCACCCTCATCTTCATGTCGATAGCGGTGAGCTGCACCCTCACAGGACCCCAAACTGGCAGAGCCTGGATTGTCTTCGCCCAGAAACTGCCGTGAAATGAAAGCATGCAAAGGTAGGTAGGTGACTTGTAGCAAAACCAGCACTGGCACTTACTCATATCTGCCTGCTCGTCTCATGGAGTCGGTTCTTCGTGGATCATAATCTTCACCGCTGCCCAAGTCTGAGTCTTCTGTGAAGTCTTCAGTGGCCTCACTAATCTGACGTCGCACACGTCGGCTTCTATCTGCCATTTTTTCTGAGGTTCCAAGCTCGGCTAAATGCCTAGATTCTCCGCTGTCGCTGGTCTGCGTCCGCCCGCACTCCTGAATTCTCGTGGAGTTCTCGCGTCAGAGGTCGTGTTTCCTTGCTTGGTGGCTGGCCCTTAGATCCAGCATCGATATCTTCCTCTTCACAAATGCCCAAATGAACGCCTCGACGACAAGGATGAGTGCTAGACTGGCTCAGATGCAGAAATACATAGATAGCAAAATATTTGATGCCATAACTCACCAAAGAAATGCAGCGTGGGAAACGGATGGCGACTGTGGCTGTTCCCGATGTGGCTGCTGTGGCGCTCTGTGGCTGGTGCCACGAGCCACTCACGTGCTACTCACGTGCCACTCAGCCCGATCACTTTGGCCGTCATATCAACGAGCCGAGGTCTGTACGGAGTACTCATCACTACATGCATAAACGTGTCGCAGTCTTTCTCGCCCAAGCACATCGTCCCCGGCAAATTGACCGCACCCGCAACGCTACAACATGGTCGATCAAGGCTCCAGAAAGACTCCATCGATCCCCTTATGGCAGCAGCAATACAGCCCAGAAGCAAAATCCGAGCGCCCTACCTCCGATGACCAGCCTCCAGAACACAGCACAGCACCATCTACGCCGGCCTCAGAAGTCCCTCTTTTTGAGCAAGCCCAAAAGTCCCTCGAAGATGAGTCGATACGAGACGCGCCCCGCGAACGCAAAATCGCATTCTTGCGGAACAAAGGTCTTTCAGCGGAAGAGATAGAAAAGCTCCTAGGACCTGAACACTCCGACGCCCCACCTGCCACTGACGATGGCTCTGAATCTGAATTGAAAACGATACATGATAGCAGCCAGACGCGGGTTCCAGAGGAACATGAGACCAAAGCGGTGTCAACCCCGGCGAGTGAGGAAGCGGCGTCGCAACACACCACAACCGCGCCGAAGCGAGACATTCCGCCCATCATCACCTATCCAGAATTCCTACTTAAACCCCAAAAACCGCCTCCGTTAGTCACGTTTGAACGCCTGGCACATGCAGCCTACGCCTTTGCGGGCGTGTCCGCCTTGACGTGGGCCGCAAGCAAATACATCGTGCAGCCTATGCTCGAATCGTTGACAGAAGCTCGCCACGACCTTGCCGAGACGGCAAAAACGGACCTCGAGACCCTCAACAAGAAACTTGAATCCACCGTGTCCCACGTTCCCTACATCCCGAGCAGTGCGGTCCTGCAACAACAACAAAAAGCTCAAGATGGGGATGACATCGAATCCGTGGTTTCAGACCCGACGGAACTTTTCCACCGCGATGTCGCGACCCAAACCTCCCCTCGGCCCTCCCGCTCCATGTCGTTTTCCTCCTTCCCGGACAACGATCACCTCTCCGCACAAGACCCCACCACCTCACAGTCTTCGCGCCTGCGCTCCCTGCACTCCATGCTCTACTCCCTGCTCAACTCTCAGAACAACAACTATTCCCAGGATCGCCTCAAGGACTCCGTGGGCGGTTTCCAGGCCGTGCTCGACAGACTCGAAGCGAGCCATAACCCGTTCCAGGTCGACTTCGTGGGCGGGTCGTTCACTAGCTACAGCGGACCGGGGTCGTCGTCGTCGGCGACGGCGGTGACGGGTACGGGGGCGGACGGTAAACAGAAGAAACAGGCCCCGGTCAGCGAGGCGACCAAGTTCAAGAACGAGATCCGCTCATTGAAAGGCGCTTTACTCAGTTCGCGCAATTTCCCCACGGCCCGGCCGGCACAGCCGTTCACGTTGCCTGCGAGATGAGAGCCGCCGGTGAGGAGAGTTGGGTGTACTAGAGATCGGAAAGGGGACTTTCTGTTCCGGTGGAAGCGGTATTGTTGTTTTCAAAACTCCAAAACTCCAGATATGAACTGGTCTTATGAGACTTCTTAATGGTTCAAGAGAGTTCTCATCCCAGGCTGTTGGTGGTGATCTGACATCAGTCGCCATGTTTGGAAAAGTCCCCAAAATAGAGATTGTCCACCTATTTGGGGTCGGACAACCGAGCTGGCTCTATTAATTCCATTGAATAATGCCACGTTTGTCCGTTGCTTATGCTTTTGCTTCTGCGTCCACTGGAAGTCCCCTTAAGCGGCTCTATCGATCTTGCCAAAGTACATACGAGGATTCCCTGGCCCCTAGCTTCCACATATATATCGGCAGGCGACATGACATGCCTTTGTGCTGGCTCCACGAACTCGCTCCAAGCTTGTATTCAAGTTCCTCGTCCAAACTCTGGAACCTGGTTCTACCATCCCGTCCCCTTCAACCCCTTGCTGCCTCGCACAATTGAGTCTCGCCACGATACTTTCCCGACCTGGCGTCCAAGTCCTGACGCGCGCGGAGCAAGTTTGCTATGCGTTCGTACCCATTATACACGGCGTCGAGTAGTGGAGTGTTGTTAAGGGCGTCCCTTATGTTCACGTCGGTATCCTCGCATTCCAAGAGGAGTTTTACCGTTGAAGTGTGCCTAAAGTCCACTGCGTGGTGTAATGGAGTTTTGCCAAATATGTCGATCGCATTGACATTAATATCCCCGTGCTCCAGGAGCAATTTGGCTATTGACTCGTGTCCGTCCTTCGCTGCAAGGTGTAATGAAGTCTCATTAGCAGTAGGTTCTATAGCATTCACACCGACAGCAGGTTGTGCTAAGAGCAATTTGACTATTGAGTCGTATCCTCTTAGCGCTGCAATTGTAAAGGAGTGTCGCCTGAACCGTCTCTAACTTTCACCTCGATACCGACTTGTGCTAGGAGCAATTTGACTACCGATTCGTGTCCGTTCTCCGCTGCAATGTGTAAAGGAGTGTCGCCAAGTCTGTCTCTAGCGCTCACCTCGATATCGGGTTGTGCTAACAGCAATTTAACAATAGATTCGTGCCCGTGCCGTGCTGCATTGTGTAAAGGAGTCTCGCCCAAAGTACTCCTCAAGTAAACGGCGTGATGCCCAGAGTGCAGGAGCAACTCCACCATTGATTCGTGCCCATTTGCACACGCCCAGATGAGAGGGTCTTCATCATCAATAGTAATGTTCTCAAAGCTTACTCGGTATTTCATCATCAACTCAATAATCTCTTCATGTCTTTTTGACAAGCGCAGCTTGACACGCGATTGTTCGAGTGGCCTGCTGATGATGACGTTCGTTGTTGAGAGAAGTGTCTCCACGATATCTGCGTGGCCGTTGAACATAGGATGAAGAAGAGGTGTACGCCCGTAGGAATCTCCCGTGTCCAGTCGGCTGGTGGTGTGGTCAACAATATGTTTCACGAGACCTGAAAGTCCGAATTCCGCAGCAAATGATAACAGTGTCTGACCTTCCACATACTTCAGCTTCGGATCGAACGAAATGTGCTGAGATATTAGAGTGATCAAATCAGTGTCGCTGTGCAGAAGCTTCACTGGTTAGCGTTGGATCAGTTGAGCCCGACATTGCGCTGTCAAACGAAGGTAGGACACTCTCCAGCTACGCACTGCCGTGAGGGCCCAGCATACGTGCTTCATCGCTAGTCCTGTCCAATACAGCGCAGAGACACGACCTTGCGAGCAGATATTCGAACTGCAGGCAAGGCTCTAGCGTTCAGGGCTCAAGACAACGCCTGTCCCAAGTGGAGTGGAAGGGCTCACGTCTGAGCGACCTCAGACGTAGACAGGAGATTTCTTAGCCGACAATAGTTTCTGGTAGCAGAATGTTCAGAAGCAGCTCTTTTGACGTGGCTCGAAAGTGATCAGGTGAAGAAGACTGTCGCACGAGTGTTGTGAAGCCAGTAGTGAGTAGAACACTGCGCCTAGCTGCGGCTGCCCGCTGGGCTATGAGCCCGTGGAGCATCCATGTTTAAGCTGCAAGCCAGGAGCCTCGTGGACCAGTTGGACGTTGCCAACACTCAGTTGACTGGGAAGCGAGGGGGAGGCTAGGAACGCCGGGCTCTCCTCAGGCGTACTGGGTGTTTTTGTCCGCGGAACATCTGCAGGATAGACCCCGGCCTGCACAGGAGATATGGTATAGGACATGTCATAGGGGCATGATCTTGTCGAGAGGCTGCTCGCTGCGATTGGCGTCTTTTCCAGGAGAAGTGGTGAGGAGAGTGTGGTTTTTTCCCACTGACAAGGCCAAGGCACATTGGATGCGGCAACGGATCACCAACTATGTACCGAGTACAACCACGACCAGCAGCTGCTTTACCTCGCATAGTTGGCCCTGCCACAACACCAGCGCCTAGGAGATATCTGTAGTCAGAAACAAGACGGAAATCAACGCCCTTTATTTATCCGGCAGGTCCAATCGATCCTCCGAAAGAGAAAAACAACAATCTCTGTGCTTCTTTCAAATCTAGCATCACCGGATTCAAAAACACAAGGCCCCTCCATCCACTCGCAGATCTGCCCCTGTGATATATCTGCCTGCCCTTTTGCTACTGAGCAGAACGACCGGCCCTGTGATTTCTTCCACATCCCCCATTCTACCCATGGGACACCGGCTGGCCCAGATATCTCGTATTGGTTGGAGGTTGTCGCCGGCATTGAGCACCGTGTCCATATAGCCGGGAGACAGACAGTTCACGCGGATCCCATGAACTGCCCATTCCGCTGCGAGATTCTGCGTCAAGTGTGCGACGCCCGCCTTGCTCACATTGTAAGCTGCCTGGGGCTGGGGATAGTTCGTTGCGTGAGCCGAGATCGAGGCCGTAAACACAATGGATCCTCCCGACTGGGATTCGATCATGTGTCGGGCTGCTGCTTGCGCGCTGAGGAATGATCCAGTCAAATTGACATCGATGACTTTGCGGAATTGGCTCGCAGTCGCTGAAATGGAGTGGACGCAACCGACGATTCCTGCGAAACAACATAGGATGTCCACGCTGCCCATTAAATTCTGAGCGACCTGGAAAGCTTTGTCCACTTCCGACTCCGATGTCACGTCCACTTGCACCGTGAGGACGTTTGCGTTGGGGAAGTCCTCCTTTAGTTGTGATATTGCTTGCGAGGACGCATGAATGGTCGCCTGTAAATCCATGAGCGCAACTCCAGAGGCGCCATGCTCAAGTAATGCCCGGGCAGAGGCCAATGCTAATGTCCCTGCCCCTCCTGTGAGGACGGCATTGCCTTCCACTCTGAATCGGGCAGCAGCTCGGTCTATGGGAGATGTTGCCTGTGTAGGGGCCAGGGGTGCTGTGAGAGGATTCTCGGCAGTGGAAAGACTCATGGTTGGGATGATTCGCGAGGTGAGAGCAGACCGTTCGTCCTCGGTTGACATTGGTGCTGCTGGCACCATGCTCGGGTCACCCATCCTGGTGTCTTTGCGACGAGATGCCACTTCGGCCGACCTTACCGCGGGTCAAGGGCGTGTGTGTTTCGTACGAAGCGTTTGTCTTTTCTCCAGAGCAAAATGAGGATACTGACTGCGGCAATGGCACTAAATATCGGGTTCCAAGCAGTAAAGGAGGGCAACAAATAGGGAGTTGATGGAACAAACCCTTATATATGATCAGGCTCGCTGACCAAGGTCATCCTCGACATCAATTTGAACTTCACTGTCGCCACTTTGGACCCCCATTCGACAGTCTCATTGGTGTAATTATGTACTACTTATGCTCTGTCGTGTTGTTGTCTCTGCCCAACTTTGACCGGCGGCGTATTTCGCATCTTCTCGGCGAAAGATTGTCCGATCCGCCGACCACCAATTTTTTTTATCCAAACTTCTACGAGTCCCGCGAGTGGCCTTTCTACAAGTACACTGCAAGTATTCAACACACTATCGCAATCCGATTCTCTCTGCCCTGAGACCCAAACGAGCAATGGCTCAACCCAGCCAGACCGGCTCGCTTCCGGCCCCGCCGACCCTATCCTCATCCCTCTCTTCCCAAATCGACCTGCTAGTGGCCCTCCACTTGTGGTCCTGGCCCGCCTTGACACTTGCGATCCAAAACGCCTGGGGTGGCTCTCCAGAGGTCTCGAAAGACAAGCGGGACTGGTTCGCCGGCGCTGTGTCCGAGCTGCTCACCTCAAACCCTCCGCAACTGGCCGACGTCAGCGACCTGGAAGAAGTCTTGATACAAGTCATGCTGGATGAATTCGAGGTCGTGGTCGACGACGGCAGCGCCGAAGAGACGGCCAAGAAGATCTGGAGTGGCGCGACCAAACTGACCGCCGGGGATACCTCTGAATTGAACGAGCTCTACACGAAATGGCAGGAGAAGGAGAAAAATGGAGGCGACAAGGTCGTCGGTATCGTCAGAGGGGAAGACAAAGATGCTGAAGAGACGGATTGGGATGATGACGATGACAATGGTGGTAGTGAAGAGGAGGAGGGGGAGTGGAATGGGTTTTCCGATCGATCAGACGTGCAGATGGCCGACGCTCCCTCGATCATTGACATTGACTGGAAACCCAAGCAGAAGCCCGAGCCGGAGGTTGATGACGAAGGGTTCACAAAGGTTGTGAGCAAGAAGAAGAAATGAATCTACTCAGCTTATGTTGCAATCGCTTAAATTTTGGGCAAGCGACTCCTAGGGTCGAAGCCTCCGAAAAAACCACGGTGAAACAATGCATGTTCGGCGGTGGCATCACGATGACTAGCCACGACCTCAATGGCCCTCCGCATCGACGAGCCCCAGCTTCTCATTCTCCTGTTTACTCCTCTGGCTCCACTCGGGTGGCTCATCGATACCCTCATCCTCCTCACGATCTCCCTGTGCCTTGTCCTTGTGCACGGTTGTCGGCTTGTGCTCGGCGGGGGAATAAACGGTGTACAAGATCAAAGGTGTTGGTCCGGTATTGATAAACTGGTGCTGTGTGCCAGCGGGCACGATGATGAGATCCCCCGCCTTTACATCCTGGTCTACGCCGTTGATGGTGGCTTTGCCCTTGCCGGATGTGAAGGTCAGGATCTGGTCGACGGTGTGTTTCTGCAGGCAAGAAAAGAGGCCATATTAGCAACGCCCACAGAAGACACTCATTCCCAAGGCAACTACACACGCAGTCAACGGGATCTGGCCGGACCATACCTCGTCTCCAATCTCCCCATCCACCGGCACGGTCATCAAGACCAACTGGCTGTACAACCCCGTCCACAAGACCCGACGGAATTCGGCCGACTCGCTGGGTAGCGACGTCGTCATGTTGGGGAAATAGGCCATTTCATGCTTCGGCGGGTCCATTGAGGGCGTGTTGAACTTCATCTTGGTGGCTGTGTAATGTCGAACCGGCAAAGGGGAAGGTCTCGTCGTTGTCGCTTTTGCTATGGAGAACGGAGTAAATAGAGAGCGAGAGACTTCGTGGTATCGCCGTGATCCGAGGCCGCTGGATTCGAAACGTAGACAGCAAGATCTCGCAAGTCGGAAGGACGTTTTCGATGGGAGAGACATGGAACCAAAAAGACGAGAACTATTCGGAGAGAAGGATGAGTAGGCGGATGGTGTGATTGATGATGGTTATTCTAGTTGCCTCCCGGAGAAGTGAGATCACCAACCAACTACGGAAGCTATGTGCACTTACTTCAGCGGGACTTTGACTTCTATGTACACCGATCCTACTAACCTACAAAGTACCTTACAGGCTGTTAAGAGAGGTGGACCGGAAGGTGTCACATACTCAAATCGGCACAGTGACCCCCCATCCATCCATCCCCGAGCAGCTGAGTTGTAGGCTGCCTTTGGCTGCAGGGGGGGCTGGGCAGACAAGGAGTCTTGATGTCATGAAGGCCGAAAAAGTCATCATAATATGCGCATTCTTTTCTTATTGGCACCAATGAGAAAGTCGAATCACAGTTCTCTTATGTTCCCCGAGTCACTGACGTAGCCGCGTCTTGCCGGCCCCGAGAGTCGAGGGTCACGTGTATATTCTACACAGGTCTTCCAGGTAACCAACCGGGTAACTGTCCCCCAGCCTCACCCCGAGCGTGAGAACGAGCGAATTAACTGACCGATCACGACGACGACAACCTCTTCATCTCAATGCCCTTGGTGCCGTCCATGATCTTCTTGATCTTCTCCGGGTCCACCTCCTTCTTCGGGGCGCCCATGTACCAGGTGATGTCGCTCCCGTCCCTCTCGCAGATGTGGAATCCGTTGCCGAAGAAGCCAAACATGTTGTCCGGGTCGTCGTAGTCGATCTCGTAGTCTTCGAACCGCGGCTTCTCGAGCAGGCGTAGGAAGTGCAGCCGCGAGCCCGGGTAGATTGCGGGCTTGCCGTCGACTTTGCCGCCCTTGAACCAGCTCGAACAAGGTCCTGTAGAAGAAGCAAGTTAGTCTTTCTCCTCCTGATGGTGCTCTTCTGTCGACTTTGTTCAAGGGCTATTTACAAATGTGGCGAGAGAGAGAGAGCGAAGGTAGATTCACCTGTCCATGCCGTCCTCTTCAAGAACGAATCGGCGTGCCTCAAGAATTGGTCCACTACCTTCGCTTTGGGCCTCACACTCCTGATGTTCTCCACCTGCATCTTCTCAATCACTTGAATCGTATAGTTGCAGTACCCCTCGATCAAGGGAAAGAAACTGCCATGTGCCGAGGGACAATAGGCGCCTCCATATACGAAGTAATTGGGCACCTCAGCCAATCCGAGACTCAAGTAAGAAGGCACATGAGGGTGATCTTTCCATTCTTCGTTCTTCGACACACCATTCACGCTCAGAGGGAAGCGGGGCTTGTAAGATGTATCGAAGCCCGTGGCGCAGATTATCACGTCGACTTCCCTCTCTTGGCCGTCTGGATCGATGAACCCCTTCTCCGTAATCTTTTGGAGTTGGGAGGTAAAGGGCGTGGTCTTTTCGCCAATGAGGGCTTCTAAGTATCCGTTTCCAGGAGTGGGACGACGACATCCAACGTAGAAGTCGGTCGGCATGATTTTCTCCAGAATGTCCGGGCGGTCTTTAAGCAGTGTTTTCATCTCGTTCTCGGAGTACTCGCGTGCAGCTTTTTGGGCTTCGGAACCGTTGATGATGAAACCGAATCGTTGATTGAGTTCCCCTTCAATCATTTTGCAGTATGCGAGATATTCATCGGGGTCGTCAAACAATTTTCGTTGTTCTTCGTTGTAGATGAAATTTGCACCGTCTTTGCCGGCGAATGCCTGAGCGAAGCCGGCAGTGATCCAGATCTTGTTCCGAATCCAGGTGTATACCCTGTCGACTTTGTCGTAGATGTTCGGCAGGATCTGAACTGCGCTGCTCCCGGCCCCAATCAGTGCGACCCGTTTACCCTGGAGATCCGTGTTCTGGTCCCACTGCGCTGAATGGAGGAGGGTGCCCTTGAAGTCATGCAGGCCGGGAATATCGGGCCACTTCCATTTATTCAGGACGCCCCCTCCATCGATAACCATATCGGCATGATCTTCAAATTCGCGTCCTGTGCTGAGGTCCTGCACGCGAATACTCCACTGGGCGGTGCCTTCGTCCCAAGAAAGAGCAACAATCCGGTGCCGTAACTTGACGTATTTTTCAACAAAATTGTTCTCCTGCTCGACCTTTTTGATATATTCCCAAATTTCTGGCGAGTAGGAATAATATCTGGACCACGGTGACGGTCTCCAGGGGAACTGGTACACCACGCTGGGGATATCGCATGCACACCCCGGGTACCGGTTTTCATACCAAGTGCCACCCACATCAGCGTTCTTCTCGTAGCATATAATTTCCACATTCTTGAGTCTCTGCTCCGCGGTCTTGAAGAAGTTCAACCCAGACATACCAGCTCCCAGGACGGCTATGCGCATTCTCTTCCGGGAGCCGTAGAGTTGCTCTAGGATTTCAACATCGTCAGGCGATGGATTGTTCAGCAGTGGGCGCGTCTGTTCCCTCTGAGCTAGCCCAGCTCTATCAGGGTCGTCGGGGAGATACATCCCCCCATAGCCATTGGTAGTGGCCACCGGAGCCATGTTTTGTAATGTGGCAAAGTGGTGGTCGTGAAGCTGGAACAGATATTCACCACGAGGGGATGTGTCGTAGTATCTATGTTTATATATGCATGCACGAACGAGCAAGGGTTCCGAAATCGGGTTAACCAGGTGTCAGCCTCGACGAATTTCCAAAGCCGGTGAATGGTGGAATGCGGAGATGTAGGAGACTATTGGCCGTTCCTCTCCGCATTTTTGGAGTACCGAGGCTGTCCTTAGGAAATTGGCATGATAATCGGTGGGAAAGACGCAGCGCTGCGTACATGGCATCTGAACCTCGAAGCCTTGTTGAAGATGGCAGATTGGCTAGAGGCGAGTCTCTATCATGCTACAACCCACGCCTGCTCGGTGAGAACCACGTCCACGAGCAAGAACCTGGCACAGCATAAAGAGTAATCGAGGCGCGACAGAGGAGTGTTTCGTACCTGACGGAGGACGGGAGTGGGTACATAGGTTGGGTAGTTGGGCTCGGACGAATGGTGGCAAAAGTCCAAAAGGAGGCTCAGCCTCGGCCAAGGACCATGTGCCACGGAGTATTTCATTTTCCGGATGCCGACACAGCAGAATTCCAGCAAGGAATTTGAGTGGGCGGCTCTGCCCGGGATCCACTTACTACTCTGAGACTAGCCCTTCCCACTCCCTCCGCCTCCCGCTTATCAGATTTGGTGGCTGCGATCTTCTCGAATCCTCGAGTACGGCAACGCCAGCGATTGCGACGCATGAGCCAGAACTCGACTGCGCCTCACTTGACAACAAATTCTTTGCCCTGCGCATCACATTGCCTCCCACGTACCGAATCCTTACTTGCCTACCTTAGCTTCCGAGTGCTACAACTACAAAGACCCTTCTCACAAGACTTGACTGCTCTCCAGTCACTTTCAGTCTCCGTTCCCTGTCGAAATCTAGTCTTTCACATCTCAAGAAATACATGTGGCCGGACACAATGGAAGACATACAACGACAACCTTTGTCCCCCATCCAAACAGAGATTCCTTCCTCGAACTCTCCTCCCACATCAACCACCTCCTCCCCTCGCCCATCTCTGTCGGCCAAACGCTCCCGCTCGCCTCTCTCACTCGATCTCTCATCCCTCCCACCACTTTCCCAACCCGCACCCCCCTCCAACACTCTCCTGATTACCCGCCTCGATGACCCCAAGATCTTCCACCCGGCGTCCCTGGCGACCATCCGACAACACATCACGGAGATCGCCCCCTTGAACTCATTCTCCCCGCTGAAATCCATGCACCGCATCATCTGCTCGTTCTACGACGTCGACGCCGCCATCGCCGTGAGACAGGCATTCGACGGGTCGGCGGTCATGGGGAACACGGTCGCAAAATGCTACTTTGGCGAACCCACCCCGATCGGAGACGAGAAGAAATACCTGAACCGGCCGGATGCCGGGAGGTTATTCTTCATCAGTCCCCCGCCGAGCCCACCCGTGGGCTGGGAAATGAAAGAGGAAGATCCCCCGAACAAACACGTCCACGCTGAGGATCTGGCGTCGAAGCTGGAGAAACTGAGCGGCAAGCTCACGTCGGCCCCCACCAACGCCGCCGACGACTCGCCCTCCGAAGACGACACTAAGATGCAATACACTGCCGAGGGACTGCAGAAGCTGAAGGCCAGCCGAGCACAAGCCTTCTCCGGAGTGTCGGCGGAGAACTCCCCTACGGCAGATGCGTCACCCAAGAAGCACCGGAGCAGAAGCTCGACCTTGATCTACGACCCCAAAGCCCACGGTGACAGCCCGGCCCTTCCCGCGGTGATGTTAGAGGCTGACGACGACTCGGACGTAGAACTCGAGCCAGAGGACTCGTCTAAGAAGATAAGGCCAAGTACGGCACGTCCACCTGTCGAGCTGATGGAGCATTGATCAAATTCCTTTGCGTGGAGACTGAAGTTGAATTTCGGGAACGGACTGCGTGAGACCATAACAATAGATGACCATGAGATGGCGTTATTGGGAAGAGAGGATTGACTTGGTCGGGGTGGATCGGAAACAGTCGTTTTCAACGATTGAGAAGGAGGAAAGCCCCAAGCCTAGGGGAAATGGTTTGATGGGATTGGGATTGTCATTATCCCCATATATACAGTCTTGTATATGAATAGCACATTCTCCCCGCACACCAGGCCAAGGCAAGCTCGGTCCATCCAGCGATGTTCTGAGTAAACCCCAACCTCGATGCTACCTGGACAGTATTTGACTGCCCTTGTTATAATGATGAATACACCGGACAAGCTCTGTATGCGCGTTCCGAGACCGGTAACAATACCTTCTTCCAAACTCCGTACCAATTCAATGCTGTGCAAACGTGAAGTTCGTCCAAGGCTTCCAGAAATACTATCCCCCTGATCTGAAATGTCGCAATGTCGACCAAGAGTACAATCCGAGCTCAAATCATAGACATGTTGTCCTCCTTCCCCTCTCATTCTTCGATCCCCTTTAATCTCCGATACCATTTCTTGTGTTGTTCGAAGAAGACCATCGTGCATATCGTCTGCGGACCTAGGCGCATGAAGCTGGGAACCCAGCCGCGTAACATCCACAAGAGCCCTTCCTTCTGACTGGCCTGCGTCAGGATCTCAAATATCGACATCTTTCCCCCTGCGGACATTATCCGCGTCTTGATCACATCCACTGGGGAACATATTGTAGTTGCAACGAATCCTGCAGCTAACGAGGCGCAGAAGTGGGTGCTAAGTGTGTCGGCCATTCCTAAAGTGTTAAGACATGCGGATTTGAACACGTCGTAGCTCGCCAGCTGCGAGGCATTCATGAGCAATGCTCGGGTGGAATTCGCGGTCACGCCGCGGAATATGGAAAGGGCACCCTCTTCACGGATCATTCGTACCAGGCCGTTGAGTGCGTGGTTGTAGTTCCGCTGAAGGTGGGGGGGTTTGGAGGCGTCGGATTGCATCCGCACGTTGAGCACGTCCCCAGGGTTGCCGGCTATTCCACCCAAGAGTCCTGCGGCTGACGACATGAGAATGAGATTCAACATAGACTGTTGTGGCTTAGGATTTGAGGGTGTTGGCTGGACTGCGAATCGTGACTTGAGGTCTTCGTACACGCCAAAGCGGACGGTCGAGTAAGTCATTTGGCGCAGAAGAGCGGCCGAGAGACCTGCGTAAAGGCCTAATAGACCCTGGTTGCGAAAGACATATGCGAAGGTGCTCAGGGTGGTTTTAGGAGCAGAGGCAGAGCGGGTTTGCAGGCGGACCTTGACTATACCATATACCAGGTGGTTAGAAGAATCAATGGGAGCCGATTGACTAGGAGCACAGGTACACACCTAGGTCTAGAGGATGAGTGACTACCGCAGCCATTGAGGCTGCACTTCCACCGAACCAAAACGGATAATGGATCGCTGCAGCGGTCTTCCGCTGCTTTGGCACGGCCTCGACATCGTGCTTAGGGGTTGCGACAACGGCTGGTGCGGATTCGGCCATGGCTCCATTCCCAAAAGTTGCGGGTATGTGCGTCAAATAGCAAACATCAAGCAAAGCAAACCAAAAGGAGAGGACGGGAGTGGAGGGAGGAGGAGTGAACGATAACGAATGCTCGCGGAAGCGCAGGGCTACTGGTACATATATAAAGTAGAGGATGAAAAAAACTGCGGCAGCACGATCCCAATGTTTAGCTGCAGTGACCCAGCAGTCGGAGATGAGTTTAGATGACGGAAGAGGGCTCCTTCCGAGAGACGCGCGGGTTTTCGAGACGGTCGGGAAGGCCAAAGCGATATCGGTCCCGAGACGCGACCGCACACAAAGCTCCAGCAGAGCTCAGCAAAACGGGCTTCGGGCCTTCACGCCGTGTTCCTCCACTATTTTATCAAGCTTCATCAACCACACATCCTGTGAACGGCGAGCTTAAGCTCCCTCAGCCTCTCCGATGAGGCTTCTCAAGACTGGGGCTTTTGTGCGTGCCGCCCAAGCTGCCAAATTCTCAATCCCCTGCTGTTCAAGGGCTTCTAATTCGTCCCCGGTTGTGGTCCCGACAAGATGGGCATCCTCTCAGGCTCAAGCCCAAGCTGCACCGGACGAGCACCCCTTCCCTGAACAATCCGTCAGCCTCGTCAACGAGGTTGACCCAGCAAAGACCGCTGCTGCATCAAATCAGAACGCAGACCATGCCGGGTTTGAGAAAAAGCTACAAGAGTTGGACCAGCAGAACAAAGTTATCCGCGAAAATGGACAATCTGGAGCAAAGATACTGGGAGTACCATACATCTTCGATCAGACCTCGAACCTGTCCAGCTCCATCTTAGATCTCGTTGGTCGTAACCTCTATGACCACCCTGACCACCCCATCTGCATTACTCGAAAGCTCATCGAGTCATGCTTCGAAGAACCGACGTTCAAACACTTCGCGATGGGCAATCCAGTTGTCACAGTCAGGGACAACTTCGATATCCTGGGTTTTCCGGCAGACCATCCAGGCCGCTCGAGGACAGATACATACTATGTCAATTCGACCCACCTGCTGCGCACCCATACTTCTGCCCACCAAAACGCTGCGTTTCAATGGCTAGCGAATAACCCTGCTAGGAAAGGCTACACCATATGTGCGGACGTCTACCGCAGAGATAGCATTGACAGGAGTCATTTTCCCGTCTTCCACCAAATGGAAGGCGCACGAATTTGGGAAGCTCAGCAGAATAGAGCCGCCCAGATCGAGCGCGACTGTGAAAAGATGCTCAAGACTGGTCTCGTGGTGGAAGACCAAGCCACAGACTTTACTGGGAGTGCAAATCCCATGCAGCCCGAACATAATCCAGACGAAGTGCACCAACTCGCCAGGCATTTGAAACTCAGCCTTGAATATCTTGTCAGCCGCATCTTCGAGGCCTCTGTTCAATCCCTCCCCTCTGCTGCCAGAACAGACACTCCTATGCAGGCCCGCTGGATCGAAGCCTATTTTCCCTTCACATCCCCGTCTTTCGAGCTCGAAGTCCTATGGCATGGAGGCGAATGGTTAGAACTTCTAGGATGCGGAGTCGTCAAGCAAGACATCCTGAACAAGGCGAGATTGAACGATCATATCAGCTGGGCTTGGGGGATAGGCATTGAACGCTTCGCCATGCTCTTATTTGGTATCCCCGACATTCGTCTATTCTGGTCCACCGACCCAAGATTCCTCAAACAGTTCACACGTGGAAAGATTACCAAATTCGAACCATTCAGTAAATATCCTGCCTGCTACAAGGATATCGCCTTCTGGATTAAGCCAGTTCCTTCGGCATCATCACCCCTGGGTTCACAGTCAGCACACGCTACTTCGGGTGTTGCAGCTGCCGCGGGTGGTGACGCCACAAAGGCCTCGCCGGCAGAAACCCAGCCAGCCGCATTCCATGAGAATGATATCATGGAGGTTGTCCGGGACGTGGCAGGCAGTCTAGTTGAAGATGTGAAACTAGTGGACGAATTCATTCATCCCACGACAGGAAGGAAGAGCCTCTGTTATAGAATCAACTATCGGAGTCTGGAGAGAACATTGACGAACGAAGAAGTCAATGGTTTGCACGAGGAAGTCGGAAGAAGAATGAAGGATTTGTTTGGCGTTGAGCTTCGTTAAAAGCGTTCTGTGCCCTCCGCCGACCCGAACCATTTCAAAGTGCGACTGTCGCTGTTGTTCAGCAAAACAGTTGACCAAGTCGAGACCTACCCGTCGAAGGTTGGGCAGCTTTTCATGACAGGTAAAGTCCTACCCCATCCAAGTCCCATCCCGAACATCTTTTCGTGGTCCAATGATGAACTGCCTAAATCATAATTGTTTCAACCCCATATGATCATCTGACTTGATTATATTGTGCATTGCCTCTTCTGAAATGGATCAGAGACTCTCTATTAAGACCTGCCTCTTGCGTAGAATGGCCAGGCACTGACATGATACGCTTGATACAGGCAACTGGATTGGAACGACAGACTTCATCTCGACGTTTCCCTCTTGTTTTCAGCCTGTTATCCGGCTTCAGGAGATGCCGAATCTACGGACAGCAGTGTCAATTAATCTCACCTTGCTATTTGAAGAAGCATGTATACATTCTGGAAGATATATTGTATTACTATCCATATTTCCATGCTCTCAGAGGTACTCATTCCTTCAGCGAAAATGAGGTTATAAATGTGCATGGCGGTTCCAGTAATCCCAATATGTAAGAGAAGAGCGTATGCTGTACAAGGAAGAAGAGCCCTGACAATGACGGGGTACATTGAAGCACATTGCAGCAGCAACATGCCATGCGGCTTCGTTGTGATCGTCTCCAACACCGCTTCGTGACCTGATAACATACCAGCCCAACCCACATGCCTCTGAGCGATGCCATTCCGGTGCGCTTCCCACGTTGACTTTCCACGACGGAACATGTTAGCCGTCATACACATTACTACCGTGTGCCACGCTCCCCGCGATCCTGTCACTTCTAAGATGAGAGCCCACACATCGTCCTATCTTTTGCAGAGTCCTCCTTCGTCTCTAAACACCCGCTTCATCACTCCGCCGATCCCCCACCGGCTGGAAGCGCAGAGACAGAAAAGAGGTCGAAAAACTTTTGGTACAATGGGTCAAACGCGCGCCCTGATTTTAACGTTCCGGAAGTGTCGGGAGGGGGAACTAAGAGTTCTTGACGACCCCGACCTTGGCCGCCCTCACGACACGCCCGTTCAATCGGTATCCTTTGCTCTGGGTGTAGAAGACGTCCCCGTCCTCCTTCCCCTCGACCTTTGTGAAGAACGTGGCCTCGTCGGTGTTGGGGTCGAACTTGCGCCCTCCGCCCTCCATTGGGTCGAACCGCTCCAGGCCGTGCTTCTTCAGCGTGGACATGAGGATGTCCTCGGTCATCTTCAGGCCCGAGAACAGGTTGACCAAGTCCTTGTTCGGTTCTGAGGTAGACTCGGCGGAGGCCGCGACGTTGGAGTCCGCGGAAGAGGTGTTGGAGGTGGTAGTTGTGCCTGAGGTGAGCCCCAGAGCAGACTGAGGCACCGACGAGAGGGCACGGTCGAGGTTGTCTATCGAGTCGAGCAAGTCGGTGGCAAACCGCTGGATGGCGAACTGGCGTGCGGATTCCATATCTCGTCGGGTCCGTTCTTGCAGGTTGCGGTAGTCGGCTACGGAGCGGAGGTATTTGTCCTGGAAACAGAGGCATTAGTCTTTCAATACATCATTGATAGAGTCATCTTGAAGTTCCGGGGGAAAGTACCTTCAGGTCTATCACCTCCCTCTTGGCCTTCTCAAGCTCTTCCTTGAGAGGATCTTGCTTAGCCTCCTCGACAGCTTTTGCCTCTTCCGATGAAGGAGCCGCATCCGTGGCAGGTTTCTGCTGCTGTGCCTCTGTGGACTGCCATCTCTGCCCTATCCGTGATGAGAGGGAGGCAGGTCTGCATGCCCGGGGAGCAATGAAGGTGGCGGAAGAGAATGGCGACCGCCGTATCAGATGCGGCGACGCAGACAGCGACTCTGAGACGGTGCGGACCTGGCGAAACAACTGTTTGCGGAGCATTGTGAGGACACGGAGAGATAGAGAGAGGAGGCTCGAAAAATGAAACACAAGTAACAGAGACTCTAGGGTGTGGATGGCCTTAAAGAAGCTGTTTTGTGCAGGGGAAAAGTTATCGCCTTGGTAGCAAGTATTGCGAAATTTAGAAAAGCACACGACCGGGGGACGAAAGCTCCGAGCGAATGCCGCTTCTGTCGGGAATCTGGAAACAATGGGTCGCCGCTTTAAAGATTGTCGGCAGAGATGCCTTTTTGGGACTGTCATCATTGACAAAAGGCTATCTGTATGTTTGGCCTGAGACCTAAACAGCAAGAACGACAGAAACAAGAAAGAATTGGCTGAAGTCGTGCATCTCGACGTCCAGCAACCGGACGACGTTATTGTCCGTCCTGCTCGGATACTGTCTAGCTGTTGAAGCCGGCATGTGTTGTCTGAAAGCTCTCGTTGACACCATCACTCGGCCAGCAAACTATGACTGCACGGGCTGGGAGAAGGATATCGAGACGAACTCGTGCGTGGCCCATGGCAAGCAGGCGCCAACATATCGCTTCTCTATCCCTTCCTGTCATCCTTGTAAAGACCCACCCGTTGCGTCTACACTGACCTAGAATCGTCCTCGTGTGAAAAGTACTTGAGGTGCTTCAATCTGAAGATAACATGGGCAAGACGCCTGGAGGTGAGTGGGTAGTTGCAACAACGTCCACATGATGATTTCCTCCGTTACCGCCGGTGGGCATGTTAGACTGCCGGCAGAAGCTAGTGATACGAAGGCAACAAAAGCACCTTGACATTCTGTGCTAGGAGGGACAGGACGTGGGACATCCCTGGGGACTGAGCTGCTGGTCCAATCACCACTTCCTCCGCCACCTCCAAATCGGCAACGGAATCAAAGCTCATTCTCGTCCGATATGAGTGCGTAAGATCCGGCCTTGGTATCCGATCTGGCGGCAGCAGGTCGCCGGTGGTTTGGCTCACTGTGGTTCTCTAGTACGGTGGCTTGAATATGTCTCGCCAGGGCGAAGGGAATGCCGAATATACGCGGCAATCGGAGCCTGCTAGCAGTGCTGCTTGTGTGGTTCACGCTTTGAAGGTATTCAACGTTGCCGCCCATGAATTTGACGTCTCCTGTTGGGTGCACAGTCCCATTCTGGATTGGAAGAGCAGCTGCTCTGATTTGGTGCACAAGAGTCACCGCAAGCTTGAAGAGCCGCGAAGGCCGTGGCGTGTCAGGGGCGTTGCTTGTTTTGTTCTGACCAATGACCACGGCTTCGTTGGCTCCCATGAGCTTGACCTTACCCATTGGCCCCTTGGCTGTGTTGACGATTGGAAGAATAGCAGCCTTGACTTGTCGCGCGAGAACGAAAGGGTTGCTTAGGAGCTTGATAGGGAGAGGCACAATGGAAGCCCTACCCACCCCTCCTGTTGCACCGCTGCCCCCGGTTCCTGGACGTCCAACTCCTCCCGATCCCCTACCACCTCCTTCTGCCTCTCCTCCACCGTGACCACCACCGCCGCCATGCCCACCTCCACCCCCTTTCTTGACCTCTGCATCAGCAACAGAGGCCTCAAGGGACATAGTCGCCTTTTTTGGGTCGACCTCCTTGTTCTCTTCATCAAGGCACATTTCACCAGCTGTGGCTCTGCCGGCTGGTCCGTCCTTCGCAGAAGATGCTGAAGCGAGGTTCATTAGGCGTGCGAGGACAACGAACATTCTCAGCCGTCCGCGCGTGCTCGCACCAGCGGACGCGGGCCAGTGACCTGTGGCCAACCCAGTGACGGGATCGGACAGGCCAGTACAGGAAGCACCGTACGCGCAGCAGGCTCCGTTCTGTAGTATGTCCGTGGTGCAGTAAGTACCCGCTGGGCAACAATTGCCTACGGCATTGCAGAAGACCATTCCGGCGGTGCAGACACCGCCGCGCTTTGCGAACAGCGAGGGGTCGATGAAGTGGTCGACCGTGGTGATCGTTGGAGGACGCGTCGGTGCTGTCGTTGGGTCTGGTGTCGGCATCAGATGACGTGGTTGTGCATCATGTAACGTGCTTGCAGCACGGTCAAGGCCCAGAGCTGGGAGACCCAAGGACAAGAGGTAAAAAGAGGTAAAAAGCGTTTTCATCGTGTCGAAGTCTTCGGGTTCCCAGTTTCAAACGTCGACGATATTTTACCTCCAGAAGGAGACCAAATATCCAAAGAAAGAGATGCAGATATATATTAATAGACAGGGAGAAAAACACGATCATCACTTCCTCAAGACGCCTCACCTTTTCGTTTACACATGATTCCTCAGTGCAGAGTGATGCGACTTAAGTAGTCACAACGAGAACGGGCTGTTTGCTCTTCACGCGTGTTCGTTCGGAAGGTGATGATAGATCAGTGTTCACAAACATCGCCTCTGAGGGTATTGGCAGGATGAAACAGGAAGGGAACACAGATGTGTCAGTTCTCCGAAGAGGTCACAGATCATCTTTGTCTACTGCGCGCTTGTTTGAGCCGGGGATATATAAAGTAAGTTTAACGGAGATGACGACGGGAGGGGGATTTAGGATTGAGACCCGAGTACAGTATTTCTTTCCCTGGAACATTGTCTCCGCTTTCAGCTCGGACCTATCTTTCGTAGTTATTATTGAGTTGTCGATAGATAGCTAATGCCCAGTCGCGAACACGATATCAGTATCGTCCAGTGGAAGTGTTCCAAACCGCGTCCGAGGGAACATAGGTTGAAAGCGGTGCCAAAGCCGCGAATGGTCATCCTCAGTCCAGTGTCTCCCTCAAGTTGTTTGATCTGAACCAAGAACCTGGTTTCCCTCTAAGTTGACACTCTGAGTGTCCTTCGTGGCAACCATGGTGTTGTTTGTTCTGGGCGCCGAGTCCTGTGGGAGTACAAGCTCAGCGTACGTTCTGAAGCCAGCCCTCGCGATTGCCGGATCGTTTCAACCGCGAGGGTATAGAAGAAGGTGCGCCCTTACCTTTGCTGACGCTGTCTCTTTGTCTTTGCCGTTCTGGTACCCAACGGGTCGGACTCGTTCGTATGACTGCAATCGGGTGAAAACCCCCTTGCAGATGTTCGCAGCCATTATCTCAAGTCAGTTGTGGATGTTTCGAGTTGCGCCGATCAAGTTTGGGCACGTATGGAACGACACTTGAAGTGCGAAGTCGCAGAGGCAGAAGTTAGGAGGAATGCAGTGCCATTTTGAAATCAGCTCGGCTGAGAGTTGGTTTTATACATCGCTGAATTCCAAAGTGGCCTGACCACACTCTCTTGTCATTGGTGTGAAGTTGCAATTGGTCCTGCTTGTCTCAGAATACTGCCAGTGCACTGTTCTGTAGTAGTTTTGGCCCCGTCACCGCTGCAAGTTCTGCAGCCATGCCTTTCATGGTGTCAGGGTCGTCTATTTTCCCAGCTTCCCAATCTCGAAGGTCCTATAATGCAGTTAATAATATGCTCATATTCATTCATCGACTGGAAGCCTTCTACCTCTAACTCAATCAGAGTGTTGCCTACGAGCAGACGCCAGTGGTCGAGATCGAGCCGATTCACCTCATCTTTCGTCAGCACGCCGGGTATTTCGTAATCAAACAGGGATCCTTCGGGTATTTCTGCATCTTCTTCATCGCTTGGGGCTTCGTCGAATTCCAGGTCCTGTTCATCGTCGAACATCTTTCCTCGTTCCTTCGTAGTTTTTGGAGCACTGCTGCTGCTGCTATCCGAAGTTGCCGCCACTGCTACTTGGTGTACGGCGGTCTCTGCAACACCGAGTCCTTGTTTTCGATCGCGGGACGGAGAGAAATATTTCCTCTTATCGAGCTCCTGGCGGTATTTATCATCGAAAAGGTTCCATTCATAGCTCTCAGGGTCTAACACATTGTCAGCTGGCAATTTAAGCATGGACACACGTTAACAAACCCAGCATGTAGGTCGGAGTGAAAGCGGCTTTGTATCGCATCTTCGTGCACGAGTGGATGTAGTACCCTGTTGGTGGTGAGCAAAGGAAGACGAAAGAAAGCACTCAACATACCCATGTAATAGTACTCGTAGCCAACCTCTGTTGCAAGCAATATCTCTCGAAGCGCGCTCATCTTTCCCAAGTCCCAAGCTTCGTATTCAGGATCATAGCTTGTGGAATGAGCAATATATTCCGAGATGAGGAGGACCTAAACTTACAAGAGATAGACTGAGCTGACGGCGTGAGGCAAAAGATCCAGAACTGCCACAGCCACCAGCTTCCCGTCGAGACGATAGCATTGGTGATAGGAGCCCAATTTGAGTGTCTTGCCATTGATCTTGAGAATCTTCCGGTCAAGGCCAGTGCAGAGAAATCGCTTGAAGTCGGATTCCTTCCACCGGGATGCAGGGTCTTTGTGTACCCGTAACTGATATTTCAGGAAGATTTCATATCTGGCAGTTGTGAGACGTGGTCATCAAAGCTCATACTAGTACTGACTTCTCTTTTGTGAAACTATCACCTTCGAGGTTGACTTCAAACCTATGAGCAGGTTCGATGGGGGTGCCGGTCTTTTTGCCCACTGGGCGTTTGATGTTGTCATATTCCGCTTTGTGGACGGCAATAGACAGGTCGAATTTGTCCCTCAAACGGCGCTTTTCCCTGTGAATGTTAGCTGCATATTTGCAACCAGTTGCTTTCAACTTGCTCTCTTGACTGTGGACACAGCATGGCGGCCTTTCCCTTGTACTCTGGACCGAGTACGTAGTCATTCCATCGGTTGATCGCTCGTCGTTGGTCCTTCCGGGCCTGGAACTCTGCCGCCTTCAGACTGTGGATGTTAGTGAACTTCCACCATATTGTTTCTGTTGCAGAATGGCCCATACCGTATCGTGTAGTGGGGACAACATGACCGCAAGAGATCAGGTTTGTAATAGAGCGAGCCTGACCTTCTCCAGCCCCTGTCCATCAGGTATTGATAGTGATCGACCCGCATGTTGTCACACGACATGTAATACGAGGAGCCTGCAATTCCGGTAAGACTTCTGCAAAAGGAACCACGGACAGGGGCCATGTGGCAAATGATACCCAGCCCTTGGAGAAGGTGACGACCTACTGCCTGTGGCATTTTTGCAATATCCACACCAATTCTTCCTCTGATAGCCTGATCACAGTCAGAGTCAATGGGATGGTCAACACAAGCAGCCAGCCTCGCTGAACAGGTGGGCACCATAGAATCATGGCGCGGTTCATGCGGGTCGGGCCACGCCTCATGTCTGGGAAGGGTCTAAGGTCAGGTGTCCGTCTCAAATGCCACGTACCGAGAGGCTTCAAAAGTGAGATTTCGTTTGTCATGATCAACCCTGGGCACTAGTGGAACCCCTGCTCAAGCCGAAGAAGGAATATCTCGACTTCCCGTCACACGAGAGTATTGACAGCCGGTCTCCCAGCAAGTCAAACGACGGCTCTCTTCTGGCTCAATATGATGATACCTGACCCCGATTGGCAGGCAGACAACGACGTATCTCCCCTGTTATCCACGGTACAGGCAGTCTGTAAAGAGGGCATCAAAGGAGGAGCAATTCATCAGCAGGGGAACGCACGGTCATATCCAGGCGGCACACACGGTGGAACTCGTTCGTGGGATATGCACACGACTGGGCTCAAGGCAGCCAATTGAGGATACACTGGCCGTGTTCGGCGTGCTGGACCTTGAAGGCTGGGACACGACGCAGCAGTCGTCCAGGGAAAGAACCCCCACTCCCTGCCTGGATCTTGGGCGCTCGCGTGAGCAGTCTGAGGAGGGGCGCTGTTAGCTTCGAGGCGAACTGAAGGTGCTTGAAAGTGCGGTATTACAGGCGATCAAGCCGAGGGACCGTATCTGGAAGCGTCAAGGCAAGCAAAAAAGGTGGTTAGGAGGGATGAGGACGGGGGGTCGAGTATCAGGATTTAGACCAGTATAAACGTGAAGACGAGCACGTGTACGTCCGTCGTGTGCTTCGATTCGGAGGGGGAATGGCGTGGAAGCGGTGGAAGCGGTGGAAGTGGGACACGGAAGTGGTTTGGAGTGACATGGGCCAGCGCAGTCAAGACGGAGAGGCAAGGCACCGCTGCATGGGCCGCAGTGGCGGCAGCAGCGTGAGCGAACCAGATGTGCTGGAGCCAGCCCTCAGATGCCGTTTTGGAAGCCAGATAGAATAATACCAACAACAATCCCACTCGAGACGGAGAGAGTGGTGGTTGCGGGCAGCCAGTCTAGCTGCCTCCGTCAATGAAAGGCATGAAAGGCACAGGCAGGAGGCTCACTAGGCGTGGGTTCCCTGTCCCCTGGCAGGCTGGCACCGCTGGAGCTGCTACTGGTGGGAAACTGCGATTCGCCTTCGCCGCTACTGATGTTTTTTTTCGTGCTCCCCCATGCGTGTCCACCCACCATGCACCTGCACCTCCGAGAGTCACTGCCAAAAAAACTAAAACCTACCCAGAGGCTACATAACTATGGTTGTTCCCTTGCTCAGGATGCTCTACACGTCAACCTCGTTCCCTCAGCCCCGTGCCACACGGGACTGAAGGTCTCCCTCATTCATGCGCTGCATCGCACACCCGGCTGCTATCTTCACCATGGGTCATCTTTGATCCCTTTGTCTTCTCTTCCCAGAGACTGACCTCGCCGCCTGGCACCGGAGCAGCTCGATAGTGTTCCCACGTGCCCTTCCTTCACCGTCTCTTTTCACGTTCGCTTTTGCCCTTTGTTAGCCTAGCATTTTCCTCAGCGACAAGCCGTACCCAAACGGTCCTCTCTTCAATTTCTGGCTTGTGGTCGTCCGCCCCCGGCGTCGTGACGGCCTCCATCACCATGGCCAAAGAAATGTCCATGACCTCTCGTACTGGCACGGCCAACCAGCGTACGTATCCCACTGTTTTTTGGGCTCGGTTTGAATTTCTCGGGCTCATGGTGTCGCAGGATATGGAACCAAGGGCGAGAGACTGGTCGCCGGTATTGTCCCCCTGTCTGCAGACAAGACCCGAGTTCTCCTGATCCAATCCTCCCGGCGGAATGGCTGGGTCCTTCCCAAAGGCGGATGGGAATTGGACGAGTCGTCAGCGTCAGTTGCCGCTGTTCGAGAAGCGTGGGAGGAAGCCGGGATCATCTGCAAGGTCGAAAGAGACCTGGGTCACATCCCCGACACTAGGCCCACGACTGCCGTTACGAAACACGCTCCTAAAGCAAGTTACCACTTCTTCGAAGCCATCGTGACCGAGGAAAAGGATAACTGGCCCGAGAAAAATAAGAGATCCAGGCAATGGTACGCTTATGCACAAGCCGTCCAGCTGTTGAACTCCCGGCCCGAGTTGTTGGAGGCTTTGAGGAGGAGTTCGGTCAAGAAATGAAAAGGAATGGACGACCGGTTGAGACTAGAGACAGCATACATCAACGCTGGATAGAGAAGGGCCCCAAGAGGAGTCTTTCGGAAGATGGCGGCTACGTGGCTTCACTGTCGTCTTCCTGCTTTGTTAGCCCTGACAGACAATCTGACGGACTACAGCAGGCTTTGGGTGGTTGGCATTGAGTGCATTAGCTCAAGCATCGAATAGAAGAATCCAGAGCTCACATGAGCAAACTGCATCCGGTGCTGTGAACGCATCGGCCCCTTGGATCAAGGGCGACATATGCAGTGGTGAACTGGCAAAACAAAACCATGGGCATTACATTTCCCCCAAATGATAGCGTGAATATCATTTGGGACACTATACTCAGTCACTATCCGTTCGTGAACCAATCGAATTATTGCCCATCAGCACGATATGAGTGTTCTGGTTGTTTTGGGGCCGAACGTTAGTGGGCGTTTCGGCAACCCAATGCACAGGTATGGATGATGCTGCATGATAGACACTGATTCAGGTGCAGGAGAAGGATACATTGGTTCTGTACCTAACTGTATGGGAGGAGTTGTGTGTTGGCCGCCACTGGTTTCGTCTGGGTCTATGTACAATATCCATGCCACCCTGAGCTCGCCGTGAGGACTCCGCAATAGTAGACCTTTCTTTGGTCCCCCGTCTGCATCACGGAAACTCATTCATCTCTTTAGTGCTCCAAGTCGACGGGGAAGTTGCCAGCCTCACGTTGGTCGTCCCATCTATGAACCCACGAGCTAGGGCACAAGGATCGATATGCCAGATAGAACTGAGACCGGTCAGCATTCGACTTCCGTTCTTGTGGCTGTGTGCATGTACCTGTCTGCATGGCTTGAAATCTTCGCCCTTTGCAAGGATGCACTTGTGATAGTCGACGTAGTTTTGCCAGCAATGTTTTGTCCTATGATTCCCCATGGTTAGGCGGCTGGATGTCTTCGGTCGCTGCAGAAAGGAGCATACTGGTTCTGGTTAGGGAAGCGGGCGTCGTAACCAGCTATCGCGGCGTCAGTCCAAGAGCTGCAAAGCAGTCATAGATTTTGAGTTCTTCATACCCGTCACGAACTTGAAGGGTTTGGTGACATTTCCACCAAGCTCATCGGCGTCAGGAATCTCGATTTGAGTCATCTTGGCGGTTGGCAGGATCGTCCTATGGCTGCGGTGGAATATCGAAAGGAAGCACGAGTGCTGAGGTTGGGTTGAAGAGGGTAGCTTCAGAGGGGAGGTTGTCACCTGAGGCCTGCAGCGAGATGGAAAGTCGGAGGTTGCAGGAGCTACTAAGGCCAACAAGCGTGGCCTGATCCTGATTGGCTGTCGTGCGACGGAGAGCTTGGGAGCAACTTCAACTGCGACTCCAACGTCACTCTTTCATTGTCCCAAAGACCTATCTTTTCAGCTTCGCTCTCTACTCTCCACTCCGCCTCCTAGCATACGGCAAGGATGAACGCTGCAAGACTCTTGAGGCTCCAGCCTCTTCGGGCAGCTGGCATGCGGCAAGCTGCCTTCCGCCAATCCGCCCAGAAACAGACTGGCAGACCGTTCCACAACACCCGAACCAGGTTCAGGGCCAAGGTGAGCAGGATATGTCCAGGATGCCTGGAGGCTGATGCTAATCTTCATCAACAGGAGGATGACCAAAGCGGTATGATATCACCACTTAGACCATTGAGCGTGCAATTGATGTTGACAACCCCAGCACACACCATCACCCAAAGAATCCGCATGCTCAAGAGAATTCCTCCTGAGCTTCTCCCTCTCGGCGTGGTCATCTCGTACGTATATCCTGCCCCAGCGAAGAGAAAAATAGATTTGCAACAAAACATCGGGCTTCGAAACAGATGCTGATGTGTATTGTTTTATTAGCTTCGCCTTGTTTGCAGCTTGCTTTGCTATGGGCAGGAAGCTCATGACCGACCGGACCCTTCGCTTGCAGAGGTCTTCACAGAAACATTGAAGAGGCTACGACAACGTCTGGGGTTCGACAGCAGCGAAGGCACGTGCGAACGAGAGACAGTCTGTGTTGTCAGGTCCTAAATTGCTAAGAACGGAGTTGTTACAGAGCATTGAAGAGACGTGTATATAACCTCTGCAGCCAGAAGAGAAATTCACAGTCTTTTCTGGGATTCGTTGACACCACCTTCATCTTCCCCTCGGTATCCCTTTCCAGCGACCTTAGTAGTGGCAAATGGTTCTACTTTGCCAGCCCGTATCATCCCCTTTTCGGCGCTTTCCGTTCAGCAAATGGTTGTGAGTCTTTCGTTGACGCGGGCTGGGGGATTTGATGTTGAAGGGACTGAATTGCTTCATTTCCCAGAGTTTGGAAACCGATTGTTTCCAGCAATATGCCTGGCGCCATGGTTATGTGCGCCTTTGTCAGAGGATTGCTGTTGTTTTGGAGCTTGTCTGACCACGTGGTGGCGTTAACTTCGTCCAAATCTATCCTTCTCTCACTCGGGCTTGGGCCCAGCAACATCAAGGCCCTCCAATCCATCCATGGGATCAGCAGGTCTCTCGTTCTTTGCGCTTTCCACAGCAGCTTTATCCTCGTTTGCTGTCCCGTACTTGGCGAGATAATCCTCCTTCGTACCGAATATTAGCGCTCGTGTTTTCATGATTTTGCAAACGGACAAGCAAGAATCGAGGCATCAACATGATTCAGTCGCACTTACCTGTTCCCAAATAGCCGTGGTGCTACCTAGCCCAGCTTCTCCGATATCCTTCCTGTCCGGTTTTGCCATGGCCACCTTGATAACCCGCCCGTAGAGCTCACTCTGGTCCATATTGTCGATTGCTTCCTTCGCATCGGCGGCATCCTCGAATTCCACGTATCCAAAGCCACGGTGTAGATCTGTCGAAGACGGCGCCTCAGGCTTGGGCAGGGTGATGTCCACTATTTCGCCAAATGGGACGAATGCCTCCGAGAGAGTTGTGGCGGTCACAAGAGTGGTGTCGAGACCGCAACGTAGATGGTACTGTTCGGGCGGGTTGGTCCCTCCGCCATCCTCGTGCTGCTTCACGCCGTGGCAGAGTCGAAGGAGGCTGAAAGTCAGAAAAAATGTGGAATACCAAAATCACGTGGTTCGATATCTCTCGCCTTCGCCGTGCTGCGGCTGCGGAGTTCAAACATTGGGGGTTGTCAGGGATGACGCTGGGAGGCCACTAACCGTTTTGTGGCCCTAAAACCTTCTGGACAAACGACGGTGTCCAGATCAGAAAGTCGAAATAATACCCAGACGCATCAGCGTGGAAGATGAGAACAGCTGCTTGCTGAGTTGTGATTCTCCTGTCCACCTGTTCACTTGAAGCTGTTCTCCTCTCTGCTGCATGACTTAGACTTTCTTTACTTCCCTTGACCTTCTTGTTCTCCCTCGACCAGCACTGCACCACGTCCGTCATGGTGCGCCTTAGGGAAATTCCACGCACAGCGACTTTCGCGTGGTCCCCCGATGCGCCATCTTCTTGGATCGCAACTGGCACGAAATCGGGTGCTGTCGACGTCGATTTTAGCAATGAGACTTGTCTAGAACTGTGGGATCTGGCATTGGAAGGTGGTGAACAGGGTCAAGAATTGCAGCCCTCCATCACCCTGCCTACGGAAACGGGGTACGTGCTTCTCCCTGTGGCCAAATCATCTGCTAATTAGCCGCAGCTTTCACGACCTTGCCTGGACGCCGGCGCAGGCTGGACACAAGAGAGGGATCATTGCAGGAGCATTTGACAATGGGTCACTAGGCCTGTGGGACGCGGAGAAGGCCCTCACCAACACAGCGGAAGCCTCCATTTTCACCAACAAGATACACAGCGGAGCAATCAAGGCCTTGCAATTCAATCCCAAGATACAGAACTTTCTCGCAACGGGTGGTGCCAAGGGGGAACTGTTCATTTCAGATCTGAACCACCTTGATGCTCCCATACGACTTGGAAGCACGGCTGCTCGGGCAGACGATATCGATTGCCTCGACTGGAATAAAAGAGTCTCAAATATCCTGGTCACCGGAAGCAGTGGTGGTTTCGTAACAGTATGGGACATGAAAACGAGGAAAGAGAGCTTGACGCTCAACAACTTTCAACGGAAACCGGCCAGCGCTATTGCGTGGGATCCTGAAAAGCCCACACGATTAATCACTGCTGTACCTCTGGAGCAAGAGCCGGTCATCTTGGTCTGGGACCTGAGAAACTCGAACGCCCCAGAGAAGGTGCTTCGTGGTCATGACTCGGGAGTCCTTTCAGTTGCTTGGTGCCCGCAGGACCACGACCTTTTGCTCTCTTGCGGGAAGGACAACAGAACGATCTTGTGGAATCCCCAGACCGGAGAAGCGTATGGCGACTATCCAGTCGTGACCAACTGGACCTTTCAGACCAGATGGAACCCCCACAACCCGAACATGTTTGCGACAGCCTCCTTCGATGGCAAGCTGCAGATCCAGACCCTGCAGAGCACCAATCCGAGCAACACTCAGACAGACCAGAGTCAGGCGGCGGACGGCGAGGACTTCTTCTCCAAAGCTCAGACGCAGCCTCAGACTTCGTCTTTCTCGCTTCTCAAAGCGCCCAAGTGGCTCGAGCGACCTGTTTCTGTATCGTTCGGCTTTGGTGGAAGAATCATTAGTGTCAAACAAGCAGAGCCTGGCAAATCGAGGGCTTCAAAGATCTGTATCAGCAAATTCGAGGTCGATTCGAATGTCGGGAGCGCGACCGAAACCTTCGAGAAAGCCCTTCAGTCTGGGGACCTCACGAGCTTGTGCGAGGACAGGGTTGCATCTGCAAAAACCGAGGAGGAGAAAGCTGACTGGAAAGTCATCGAGACCCTGGTATCCAAGAACCCCCGAGCAGAGCTGGTGAAATACTTGGGCTTTGAAGACACCACCGAGGACAGCTCAAATGGCGTGGAGCAGCAGCAACAGCAGCAGCCGCCTTCGGGAGCTGATAATTCAGAAGAGCAAAAGCCGTCTGTCAACGGCGCCTCCAAATCCCACAAACGATTTCAGTCCATTTTCGCAAGCTCGGCCGACGGAGACTTTCTGGCAGAGTTGGCGGCTACGAAGGGTACCAGGACCAACAACCCCTTCCAGATCTATACGGGTTCCGAGTCGCAGGCCGACCGACAGATCACAAGGGCCTTGATCTTGGGGCAATTTGAGAAAGCTCTGGACGTATGTTTGCAGGAGAACAGGATGTCGGATGCTTTCATGATCGCCATCTGTGGTGGTGAAGCCTGTATCAAGAAAGCCCAAGAAGCATATCTCGCGAAACAGTCTGGCGGATCAAACTACCTGCGTCTCCTCGCTTCGGTCGTCGGCAAAAATTTGTGGGATACAGTTCACAATGCCGACCTCGCGAATTGGAAGGAAGTCATGGCAACACTGTGTACATTCGCTGATGAGCAGGAGTTTCCAGATCTTTGCGAGGCGCTTGGAGATAGGATCGAGGAACAGATCGATGATCTGTCTTCGGTCTCTCGGAAAGATGCCTCTTTCTGCTTCTTGGCTGGTTCCAAGTTGGAGAAGGTGGTCGCCATCTGGATCCAGGAGCTCAAAGAGCACGAGGAGGCAGGGGCCTCGGAAGCAGACGCATCTTCCGCATTTTCCTTGCACGCCCGCGGTCTCCAAGACTTCATTGAAAAGGTGACCATCTTCCGACAGGTGGTCAACTTCAAAGACGCGGAGCTGACCAAAACCGGGGACTGGAAGCTGGAAGCCCTGTACGGTAAATATCTGGAATATGCTGACATTGTAGCTGGTTCTGGCCAGCTCGATGTTGCTCAGAAATATCTTGATCTTCTTCCGGCAAACTATCCAGGAGCGGATGTCGCAAGAAGCCGGATCCAACAAGCCAGGAAGAAAACAGCCGCTCCTGCTGCTGTGCCTCAAGCTACGCCTATAACGACAAGGAGCAAGCCTCTTCCTGGCACGTCACAATTCCAACCTCCGGTAACAGCATTTACTCCGCCAACTCCTCAAGTTCCGACTCCTTATGGTGCAAGCAACCTGCAACCCAGCAATCCCTACGCGCCACCCACGGCCACCAGTGCCCCCTCAAATCCATATGCGCCCGTTGGTGGTAGCTATCAACCTCCACAACAAATGAGAATGCCTCCAGGCCCTCCTCCCCCCGGCCCATACGGCATTCCACAGGCCAACCCTATTCAACCACCTCCTAGGTACAATCAATCTCCAGCGATCCCTCCTCCGTCTCAAGACAAAAGTATGTCCAACTGGAATGATATACCGGAGGGCTTCGTCAAACCCCCTACCTCGAGAAGAGGCACGCCTAGCGTTCCACCTCAGCCGGCACAAAATCCATTCAGTCCACCACCGGCACAGATAACGTCTCCTCCCACCGCTCCGCCTTTTGGTTCAAGACAGAGAGCCTCGCCCGTTCCCCCTCCACCCAAAGGGACGGGTGCACCTCCACGGGTGACGTCTCCTCTAGGTGGTCAACCTCCTTTTGAGCGACCTTCATCGGCAAGCAATCCTTACGCACCGCCAGCCGTAACTTCTCCGCCCCTCGGACAGAATATCATGTCACCGCCGATTCCCAGGGGTCCGTCCCCATACAACGCGCCTCCCTCTCACGCCCCTACAGCCCCTAATAGATATGCCCCGGCGACAAGTACTCAGCAGACAGGTGCTCCCAACACGCGTCCATCTATCGCACCGCCTCCCCAAGGTTCATCCTTCCAAGCGCCTACCCCTCCGGCAAACCCCTATGCTCCGACCCAGCAATCGCAGCCACCTCGACAGACGAGCTACGGCCCACCCCAACCAACTCAAACGCCGCAGTCAGCCACGGCGCCGCCGATGCCGATACCGACACCACAGCAACAATTTATATCCACTGGACCGCCTGCTGCAGGAAGCGGACCTGCAGCGCAAGGACCACCTTCCCGGCCCGGCACGGCGGGCTCAAACAGAGCCTCCGCCGCTCCTCCAGCGCGGAAGTATCGTAAGTTGAACAGAGATTCCCTTGACCGGTTTTTTGAGCTAACGATTTTTGCCGCAGCCAAGGGCGACCGGACACATATATCACCCTCCGCTCAACCAATCTTTACCATTTTGTCGTCCGAAATGGCGCGTGTCAAAGCCCGAGCTCCACAGTCGTTCAAAGCACAAGTGGTTGATACTGAGAAACGGCTTGACATCCTTTTTGATCATTTGAACAACGAGGATCTGCTCAAACCGGATACGGTGGCGCAGCTGGTTGAGTTGGCCCAGGCACTGGAAGGAAGGGATTTTGTTCGGGCGCAGGAGATTCAGATGGACGTGCATACGAACAAGGTGGAGGAGTGTGGTCACTGGATGGTGGGTGTGAAGAGGTTGGTGGGCATGTGTCGGGCTACCCCTTGAAAAGGTTCACCGACAGCACCCACAGGCTGCGATGATGATGGAAGATTTTCTACGAATGAGTATGAACACGAATTCCATGGTCGAACGGTTGAATTTAGACCAGTGTGTGGATTTACGTCCTCCGGCAAGAGTGCAAGAGTGCGAAATTGCCCAGCTAAACGACTACCTATATTTTAGGGGACGGCGACGATGCTGGACGGCTCTTACTTCTTCGGAGCTTGGAGTACCGCGATGTAGACGATGTAGAGTCAACGCATGCACGAGTCACTCACTTCCTCACTTCCTCATCCACGGACGAATGAAGACTAGATTGAAAAGACAAGCGGAAAATGGGGGGCCTCTCGCTACATTAATATGTATCCTGATATGGACAATCTTCCTCATCGTCAGTCGGTATTCAGGGATGGTCTGTGGTCACCGCCAGCCTCGCGACCTGGTTGTCTCGTTCGATATATTATCAACACCCACTCACATACGGGGAAATTCTCACGCTGTAATATGTAGTCGCTCGATCAAACCGTCCCCTGTGCCTGTGTGTACCGGCTGACTGTCTGTCTGACTGGTAGGACCCCACACGACCAGGCCAGCCACTCCAGGCCAGGGAGTCCGTATGTGCATATGTACAGTACAGCAAGTACGTCAGCTTACATACAGTTCGGCTCCGAAGTTGGGTCCAAGCCCACAATAGGTGTGTATAAGGCGGGTTGGCTGGCTGGCTGGCTGGCTGGTTGGCTGGCCAGATCAGAGAGAGAAGAAGTCCCATGAGCAAAGCGACCCAACCCCATCAACGGACAAGTATCGCTCGACAGAGCGAGAACGAGAGAGAGAAGATGATGACGACGACGACGACGACGTCAAGACCACCGCCGCTCCGCACCGCCCTGATCGGCCTCTCGTCCTCGCCGACCGGCTACGGCTGGCTCAACCACTTCCACCTGCGGGCTCTGCAGGCACGCCCGGACACTTTCGAGATCGTCGCCGTGCTGGGCTCGTCGCCGGATAGCGCGCAACGGGCCATCGCGACGCACGGCCTGTCCGTCTCCACGGTCCGCGCCTACGGCTCGCCGCATGACCTGGCGCAGGACGAGGCGGTCGAGTTTGCCGTGGTCGGCGTCAAGGTGCCCCTCCACCGCGCCGTGCTCGTTCCATCGCTGCTGTCCGACCGGTCGAGCGTGAAGGGCGTGTTCGTCGAGTGGCCGATCGGCGTCTCGCTGGCGGAGAGCGAGGACATCGTGCGGCGCACACGCGACCGCGGGGTTCCTCTCCACCGCACGGCCGTCGGACTGCAGGGTCGTTTCTCCGCCGTCACGCAGCGGATCGCGCAGCTCGTGCGCGCCGGCCGGGTGGGGAGGGTTCTCAGCACGACGGTGGTGGGCACGGTGCCGACGGGGGGCGGGACGGTCGAGAAGCGCGGCGTGCAGTATGCGCTGGACCCGGCGAACGGGGCCACCATGGTCGACATCCACCTGGCGCATTTTGTCGAGTGTTTGACCTTCGCGTTAGGTGCGGAGGTCGCGACCGTCTCGGCACAGGTGAGGACGATGCACCCGACGACGGACATTGTGGATGATCTCACGGGCGAGGTGGTCGAGAAGGACGCCCCGAAGAGGAGTCCCGACCAGGTCCTCGTTCAGGGGTTGCTGAGGAGGACGAGGAGGTCGAACCTGGACTCGAGATTGAGATCAGACCAGCACGACGAAGGCGAAGGCGGTGGAGCAGGGGCAGGAGGAGGAGGAAAAGGAGAAGAAGATGACAGCGTCTACAGCATCCACATGCGCGGCGGCACCAGCATCGCCGGCGGCATGACCTGGCTGATCTACGGCACGGCGGGCGAGATGGCGATCACCAGTCCCGTACACATGATCCCGCACATCAACGTGCCGGCGCCGTGGAAGATCCGGACCAAGACGACGAGGGAAAACGACAGCAAAGAAGAGGAGGTAGAGGAAGAGGAAGTCTCGGAGCAAGGTCCCCAGGGGCAGCAGCCCGCCGTGGCGAGACTCTGGGATGCGTTCGTGGGTGCTCAGGAGGAGGAGCAGCAAGGCAGCTGGCCGGATTTTGAACACGGCTTGAAGATCCATCGCGTGGTCGACGCCGTGTGGACGAGCAGTCGAGACGGGCGGGTGGTGGAGGTGTCCTGATGTCCTTCGACCTTCAAGCAAGAGGAGGAAGCGAGTTGGATTTGAACGACGGACGGAGCGACGGGCATGAGGGAATTAGTGACTCAATGAATGAATGCATGGGTAGATAGATGGATGGATAAAAGGATAGAAAGTCAACTCCCGTCTTCTCCTCGTGTCTCATGTTCATAGTTATATACATAGAGGGGGTATTCGAAAGAGAAAGAAAAGCAAACCGTGGCCAGGGTAGATATATGTATATATGTCCTCGCTTTCATCCCGACGTTCTCTCGTGTGTATATAATATCAAAACAGGTCTTTTGAGGATCAACACAAAAACGGTAAGATGGAAAAAACACTTTTCTCTTCCTTTGGTCTCTGTTTCGCTTGCAACGTCTAGAGGAGGACAATTGCGTTCTCGACGCACCAATCTATGGGCATGGGTTTCAGGCTAGCCAAGAATTCTCCAACAGAACACAGCCACAGCCACAGCCACAAGAACAGTGACACCCGTCATGCGTCCGCGACATGTTTAGCCTTCTCAGCATCTTCGGCTTTGATGGCGTGCCGGTCTCCCTGAGCGGGCAGATCATGGTGACTGCGCGAGCTGGCCGCGGTCGAGTCGCCCGTGCCGCCGTTGGTTGCCTTGCGGATCATATCTGAGTGTTCACCGATGCCGTAGCGGTGTTCTTTGGGGATGTTGGGATCGATGCCGGCGTGGTCCGGATTTTGCGGGGTCCAGGCTAGGTAGTCGCGACGAACCTGTCAAGAAGAAGTTGGTCATTAGTTTTACGTTGCTCCTACAATTTGCTTTTTGGGGGAAGGGTTCATGAAGTGTGGGAGAAGTTAGTGCACAGACATACCTCGACGTAATCATAGGCAAACTCGCCGAGCTGGTCATCGTCCATTCCGAGCAGTTCGGCCTCTTCTGACGCACGCAGGTGCAGGCCTGGAATGAAATTGACAATGTAGGCGAGGATGGCGCTGACGACAAAGGCGTAGCCTGTACATGCCACGACATAGGCGAGTTGGATGTAGAACTGGCGATAGTTGCCGATCGGCCAGCCCCCAATGCCCGTGCCTGTCGTCGGATTGGGGACGCCGGTGTTGACGCCGTCGAGACCGACGATATAGTCGACGCCAAAGAGAGCGTTGAACATCAGACCGATCATCCCAGCAACGCCGTGCTCGGCAAACACGTCCATGGAGTCGTCGATCCGGATCCAATATTTGACTAGAAACGAACGGTTAGTACCCACTGAAGGTGGAATAATCTGGATGATATCTCACTCTTGGTGGCAAAGTTACACCCAATGCCGGTGACAATGCCCAGCACCACACTGCCCCATGTATCGAGATATCCAGACGCCGGCGTGGCAGCCACAAGTCCAGAGATGGTACCCGAACACCAGCCGACCATGGACCATTTCCGAGCCAGCCTGAAATCGAGAAGAACCCAAGCGGCTGCGGCAAATGTGGCCGTGAGATTCGAGTTCCAGCAAGCCATGACCGCCCTGAGGTTGGCTCCAAAGGAAGAACCGACGTTGAAACCCAGCCAGCCAAACCAGAGCAGGACCGTCCCCAGCAGGATAAATGAAACGTTGTGGGGGCGGAAGTTGAGCATCATCTTCTCCTGCCTCTTTCCCAGGACCATGGAATAGGCCAAAGCAGACATGCCCGAGCCGATCTCGACGGGCCCTCCACCCGCGTAGTCCATGACGCCGTATTTAAACGCCCACCCATTGGCGTTCCATGCCCAGCAAGCGATCGGGTTGTATACGAGGGTGGCCCAGAGGAAGGTCCACACGAGGAAAGGCATCAGTCGACCACGCTCCGCCACGGCACCTGCAACGATGGCGGCGGTTACGCAGCAGAATTGCATCTGTGATTTCCACTAATCAGATTGTGGAACCGCGCAGGAGTATCGGCAATGCTCACCTGGTAGAACGAGTAGAGGAGACTAGGAATCAGAGGTGACCCAGGACTGGGGTTCCCAAGAGTCCGTTTCAGGCCAAAATGGACCAGGTCGCCAATGAAGCCGCTTTGACCGGTTGGCGAGAAGGTGAGTGAATACCCCCAGAAGTACCACTGAAAGTTGATGACGCTGCCGGCCGCCATGCAAGCCCACATCAGAGACAAGGCCGACTTTCGTCGTGCCAGACCCGAGTAGAGAAATCCGAGGCCCGGCACCATGATCAACACCAGACATGATGAGAGGATGATATATGCCTGGTCGCCCGACTGGTACCATTTGTTCAGATTCTCCGTTCCTGTGTTGTGGTCAGAGGGTCCGCCGCCGTCCGCACGTGGTCAGCAGACGTACTTGAGTCTCCTCCTGTTCTCACATTTGTGGCCAAAGTATAGTCGGCTGGCGCACCGGTCCAGTTATAGGAAGCATAATGAGGAAGGAAGTCGGCGATACCGCTCGACGACATTTTGGCGGTGCCCCAGAGTTGTTGAGATAGGGTCTGCGAAGGAAGGGTGCCTCAGTCGGGCGTTCTCGACGTAATGAAACCCTCGGGTGGGCCAGCTCGAAATATATACCTCGCCGCAAGAGGAGAGCAGAAGCAATCGCTCACAGTCAGTAGCCGAAAGGAGACTATCCACCAGTCTTCTGAACGATGAGGCAATGTAGTTGGTTTTTGTGGCAGTTGATAAGGGCGCAGACGACACGTGAGATATGAACATCCAAGACTGACAAGCATACGAGACAAGAGATATGGCACGGGATGGAGGCTGTCTTCCAAGACAGTACGGCCCCAGGGAGTTTGTTTGAAGAAGAACGACAAGACCGAGCTAGCAGCATCATAAGGTGAACTGAACGGCATTGGATAGTTGGGACAGTGGACATCTGCATGGGAGTGGGAAAAGTTCGGAGCGTCATGGGTCAGCATGGGAGTGGGAGCGACGAGGTCTGGAGCTCTTGCATCTGGGACACTCTCGATGGGGTAAAGATCACGGCGATCGAGTGGACCGCACGTCACAGGGATCAGGAGGGAGGAGGAGGTATGTCACTGGTGGTCACCGTGGCTGATGCGATAACCTGCTCCTTGAGGTATTTTTTGGTGTCCCATCTCTTTCCCTTTTCCTCCTTCTTCGATGAGGTGGAACATGATGGCGAGCCTGAAGTGCCTGGGGTGGTTTTGCCCGGACTGCGGCTTGTTTGGAAATTTTGTGGGGTTTCGTAGCTAGTCTGCGATGTGCGTTGGAGGTTAGCCGCCACGGACCGGGAACCGAGGAAAAGAAACAATGCCAGAAATGACCATGACGAAAAAAACAGATCCGTATCTGCGGTCTGGGTGCCAGTCGGGTGTCTTGGCAGCAAAAGAAATTGCTCCGGCACTCGACGGCTTTGGGGCCCGAGATGCACAGCCTGTCAGCCTGATCCTGTTGTGCTGTGGTGAGTGGTTGGCTGCCGTTTGTTATCAATGACAATGTGTGCATCAAAGGTGCCCAGCCAGCGCCAGAGCCTTGGCCGGGGAATGAATCTCTCATATCAATTCCATCAGTCGATCGCAAGGCTTCCCCTGCAGGAGCCCTTGACTGAATGACAGACAGACAGATGACAATACCGGTTGCCCGATATCGGCAGAACTGGTAAGTGACATAGGTTCGAGTAAAAGGGGAACAACGGCATGGCCTGCTCAACTCCAGCCCATCAAAGACGACGAAGAGAAAATTTTCAGTTGAGAGAGATTTTTCGTCGCGTAATGCCAAGAGACAGCTCTTAAAGATGCCGGCAGTGAGGAGGAATTTCTTCTGCTGCTCAACGGCTCTCAACCAGCTCGCAATCAACGTGCGTGTGTGGTTACTCATTTCATCGACCAGCAGTTCAAAGATAGACGTTGAAAAGGCCCAATGAGAGAAGGCCGCCTTATCAGAGTTTCGTGATTTTCGTGCAGGACCGGCTGCAGGGATGCGCCTTGCAAGTCACTCATTAGCTTCATGCAAGGGCCCAAGTCCCGCATTTGTTAATTGCTATTATTTTGTCTTTTACCCGAGCAAAAGGCAGACGTCAGAAGCACGTGAGCATGCATCTCAGCTTTTCTCGATCGGGCGAGCGGGCGGGCTTGTTCCAAGATCTCCACTCCCATCTACTGGACAAAGCAACACCTGGGGTCATGGGGAAAACAAAAAAAAGTTATGGTAATCTGGAACGCCTGGGATGTGTATGGTTCTCCTTTACACCTCTCATGTCACGCCGATCAAAGAAAAATTTCGTGCTGTCGCTTCAAAAATTCCAAGATCAAGCGTCGCTTACTGAATGGTGGTGGTGGCGCGTCTTGTGCTCCTCAAAAAATCGAACCATCAGGGACTGTCAAAAAGGAGGAGAGCAGCTATGAGCACGTCCCCAAGCCACCCTTTGGAGATGCTTGACCTGTGTCCTTATCAGTATGTCTTTGTCTTCGTCCTTTTTCTGCGTCACCACCCACCCGATCGGCGTGGTCTGTCCCTGTTCGCCGAATGACCTTCTGAGGTCAAGCTCCCCTCCCCAGAGAATCATGCCACTTTTGTGTTGTATTGTTGTTCTCGACAAAGATCTCGATCTCCGAGCTAGGTATGTACGTAGTGGTGGCACGTGCTGTGTGTGCTGTCTGTCCTTTTGCAGATGCAAGGCTCTCGACCAGCAACACCGGGAGTGACCGGTCGGCTCCCAGAAGCAGACTAAGCGCGACCCAACCTGAGAACCGCACACACACACATACACACGCCAATGGAAACGAGGCGGGAGCCCAACTGAGCAGAAACCCCCCAGAGCGCGCTTGAACCCCGTTGGGCTGGCCGATCATTGGTAGGAGGGACATGTGGTCTGCTCGGGACGTACTCTAGCTCTTGGCGGAGGGTAAGGAGGGCAGGGTGCCAGCCTTGCACATTGGAGTGAGTCGTGCTGGACCATGGTGTATTCCTGACTTCGTCTCATCCTGGAGCTCTGTAATACTGTACAGTCTGTCTCCGCGCTGGTGTTGATCGCTGTGGGCACCACTACACGTGTACGTATATACATATATGCTCATCCAACCTCTCGAGGCGGTTCTTTCACGGCATTCGAGTGGCTCTCTGTCAGATCCGATCTCCTGACAGCTCTGGAAGCTGGGGGCTGCACTCGTCATCGGCTTATGTACCTACCTAGGGCATGCATCTTCGTCCCGACCCTCCAGCACTCAAAAGACCAATGGCGCCATACTAGTGTCGGCTTGCCTCGTGCAGCGGCTGGCCTGTCGGACAAGGCTAGACGAGCACCGGACTCAAATGATGGAATCTCACTCGACTGGGTGCTCTATCTGCTGGCTGTTCATTGGCTGGTGGAGCTCAAAGTGGGTGGAACTGTCACAGGCTCAGTTCGGCTCGCTGGAGCGTCATTGATGGTGAAGGTGACGGCTCAAGGCTGCCCTGGAGCAGGTTCAAGCAGACAGGAAAGGAACGAGCAGAGCGGGAATAACCTGTGAAGCTATCAAGAGGTTGAAGCCAAAGTGCTGCAACAAGTTTCACGCGCAGAATGCTCGTTGGTTTGGACATATTTCATGGGCATTGAGAATCTCCATAATAAACAGCTCCTCTATCGCTGAGTTTGACACACTGCCGGCAAACGCTTGTGAAGTTCCACCTTTCTGTGTCTCTAAAATAGGACTCGAAATCAATTTTCGCTTCACCAACACCTTGCTGCTCAGAATTTCTCTTCGGGCAGCGACCCATACAAGGTCTCAACGATCATTCCAGTGACCTCTGTAGCACGATTAGATTAGCATGCGCTAAACAACAACGACATCTTACAAAACGTCGAGAGACTTACGGTATGGGTCAGCGTTGGATGCTGGTCGTCGGTCCTCAAAGTAGCCCTTGCCTTCACGGGCGCAGGCTCGGGGGATGCGGACAGACGATCCTCGGTCGGCCACACCCCAGGTGAATTTGTCGATGCTGGAAGTCTCGTGCGCACCAGTCATGCGCAGATGGTTGTCTTCACCGTAGACCTTGATATGTTCAACGTGGCGCTTCTCCAACTTCTTCATGGCCTCCTCAATGTATTTCATGCCACCTTCTTCACGCATTTCCTTGGACGACACATTGGTGTGGAGACCAGCTCCATTCCAGTCACCCGGGATAGGCTTGGGTTGGAACGAGACTTTGGCGCCAAATTCTTCGGCGATACGGTGGAGGAGCCATCGCGAGACCCAGAGTTGGTCACCCACTGGACATGTGTCAGTTCATTGTTCTTCAAAAAAGATCCCAAGCCACTGTGCGCGACTTACACTCAATGCCTTCACAAGGACCAACTTGATATTCCCACTGAGCTGGCATCACTTCGGCGTTGGTGCCCGAGATGTTGATGCCGGCATACATGCAGGCCTTGTGGTGTGCCTCCACGATATCACGGCAGTAGACACGGCCAGTGCCCACACCGCAGTAGTAAGGACCCTGTGGGCCGGGGAAGCCACCCTTGGGCCAGCCATATGGCCAGCCGTCGGCCGCCAAGAGAGTGTATTCCTGTTCTAGACCAAACCACACCTTGTGCTTGGCATTGGCGTCCATTAACCGCGCGGCCTCGTGGCGGTAGTTGAACTTGTTGGGAGTTCCATCGGGATCCCAAGTCTCGCACATCACCAGGACGTTTTCGCCTAGACGGATGGGGTCGGGGTACATGGCCACGGGTCGGATGTAGACATCAGAATTGTCGCCCGGAGCCTGGCCGGTTGACGAGCCGTCAAAGTTCCATTCGGGGAGATCGTCGACGCTCTTGGGGGCTTCGCTCAAAGTCTGGAGGTTTCCAAGTCAGCCTGTGGTCATTTCTGCAAGTCATAATGGATTTCGATGTGTCAATTCTCCGGTGGAGCCGCCTTGGATGCTCGCCGTCTATGGCGGCGGATAAATGGGTGTTTAGACGTCGCCTTGGAAGATGCCGAGATCGGGTGGATGGCGATTGGCGCAGGCTAATTCAGGTGGGCGGCGCAGCCTCGGAGGGGTCGAAGGCGGTGGTGGATAAGCCACGCCAGTTAGCCGCACCACACCCAGGGCTTCCCAAGTGGGGTCTCTCCCAGCGCGGCGGTGCACCCGCCTCGTTCTCGTTTCGGGACTTTTTGGGTTTTGGCGGGATTTCGGTGAAGACACGCGCCCTGTGTGGCAATAGGTAGGGTCTCGTGTCGAAATTCCGGATGTAGGCGTCGAGGCACGAGTGAGGTGAAATTCCAAAACAATGTGCTCACCTTTGTCTTGTTTCGGAGGCCGTTTGTTCCATCAATCCAGATGTACTCAGCAAGCACCTTGCCCTTTTGGTCCAGTTTCATGTATTTGGCCAACTGTCAGGAAGAAGAATCAGTGAATGTGTTCCGGACGGTCGTGGGATGTCTGGCGCATTGGCGCGTGGCAGTAGGAGTGGAGCGAGGAGGACTCACGTTGGCCGCATTGGAAACAATGGTAGATTCACCGTCGCCAGCCTAGAAGAGGGTGTCAGTCCGTGTAAACAATACCAGATGATGTGGTGAGGCTCTCGCCCTCAAGGCACAGCGGGGGAAGCTCACCATGGTGAATAGACAAGCAAGTGATCAGACGGAAACAATGTAGGTAGAGAGCGAGGAGAGGGGAACAAAAGGTTCTTGGTGACTGTCGTTCGAAGAGTGAATAAGAAGGGAGGATGAGGAGTAGAAGAAAGAAGATTCGAAAGTGAAGGAGCGATAACGGGGAGGACAAAGAAGAAGCAAGCAAATAAATAAATGTCACAAAGTGCACGGTATTGCCAAATGGCGTATGGTTGCCTTGCACCCTGGATCAGCCTGCGGCATGTAGCCTGCCACCTGCACCTCGCAGTTGGGGGGTGGGAAGAGGGGCCTAGTGGCCTTTGTTCGGGGGCCTTTGGGCATGCCCGCTTGCGCCTCCCCCACCAAAAGGCCTGGTAGCATTGGGACTCTGACGAGCCGAGCTGATACGACGGCGAGCCACGAGCCACTCACATTGCAGCGGGGTCCGTTACTAAAATCGTCAGCTTGACAGTTGGGATTGGAAGGGGTCCAGCCCTTGGTTCAGCACCCATACCACTCATCATAACTCTCCAGCTAGACCGTTGAGGGGCCATGGGGGGAGACAGTTTTCGCGTTGTCCCTACTGGAGCTGCTCGCATCTCCTGATCCTCCCGTCCACTGAGGATTGAGCGAGAATTGACTCTAATCTACTAGCTACAGGGAAGCTCGAGATAAGGAAAAAATCGATCGGACATTCTTCTTGCAATCGCCAACCTCCCTACGTCGCACGTTGCTCAGTGAGCGGCGATGACGAGCGAATTTCAGGGTTGCACACTCGTCACCATCTCTGACTGCCTAGCATCTCCTGTAGGTTGGACTGTCAGCAAGGCCAATAATCCCACTCAGATGCCAATTCCTCCGCGATCTCTCTGAAGTCGCACGAGACATTCCAGATCCAGCTGCCAGTTGCTGTGGAGGTGAGCGAGGCGAGTGAGCAGCTTCAAGGCGAGCAAGCAAACATCCCCACCTTTGTGGACTCTCCGCCTTTACGCATGAACTGCCTGTGGCTGCTGACGGTGTCGCATTATCATCAACCCGAGAGGCCGTTGGTGGCCAGCCTCTACAGTGGCGTCTTTGCCGTTCGGTGTGTCCAGCGACAAGAACACGCAACGCAACACGAGCCATCTGGTGACTACCAGGAAGTAGGCCACAGTCTGGTTTGTCCCGTGTCATCAGACTGGTGTCTTCGTCAGAATTACTAGCCTTGTACGAGGTATTATTTCTTGGTTCTTTTTCTCGCATCTTAGGTTCTGGGCTTCCTGTACCTTGCAGCTGCCAACACCAAAGCACCAAAAGCACATTACCCAATCCATCTATTCAATAGCTGCTGCCCGTCTGGGAGGATTTTTCCCTTGGCCAACATCTTTGTGGAAGTCAGATCCTGTATCCCTTTTGCTCTTTTTCTTCTTGCTAAGCGAGATGTACGTGTATGTGCTGTCTCCTGTGATGCCCCCCGGTCCCTGCGTCCGTCTAATAGCTTTTTGGCGGCATGAACAAAAACAAAAACATCCAACAGAATGGGGTATCTTCGAGCCAGCAACAAAAGAAACGTAACTCTCATGATCCGAAGCCCATGATTTGTGGCGTCACGCCCGCATGCAGCCCCCTCCATCTTCTCGTTTTTCCGCCTCCCCGCATCGGCTGTGCCGCAGCTTATCGTCGACCGTTGATTGGTAAATGGCCTGCAACTGAACATTCACATAAATGACATAATGAGGTTTGGATCGTCAGGGACTTGGAACCGAAGGAGGGGTGGGAAGAGAGGGTCGTTTGGGTGCTGGTGTATTTTCGCTGCGCATCTTGTTGAGCAGGAGTCGCTTTTCTTTTTCCCGTTCCTCGGCCACCTTGTCCTTCTCATACGTCGTCCACAGGTGCAGTGCGTGTTTGCGAGCCTCTGCTAGGTCGGGCAGCATAGGACAGCGGGCTTGAGTCGACTCTGAGCTGCCGTCTTTCCGCTGCTCTTGCAACATCTGAGCTTCTCTGTGACCTTGCGCCATCCTTGCGTGTCGAATCCATCGTTCTGTCTTTTGAGTGTCTCGTACTCGTCGCCGAACACTATTTTGGACTCCTTTGGCTGTAAAGGCACCCAGTCCAAGCACGCCGGAGACAGGCTTCAACACCAACCCGCCGATGCCTCGCGCAACACCTTTGGGCAATGCAGACATGCCATCCTCCTGGACATCGAGGTATGGGATTCGCACGACACCCGTGACGCCGTCGTATAGTCCTAGCCAAAATTCTTTGCCAGCGACCTTGAGGCCCGTGCGAAATCCATCGATACCTTGGGGAGAAGGCCGCACGGTTTTGTCACCATATAGTCGGGGTGCGTTGTGAAACCCGAGAGCAAGGGCATGCCACATTTGTAAGGGCAATGCTGCGATGGCTTTACTGGAATGACCAATGCCTTTCCCCACATCTTTCAGGATTACCACCATTGGCGGCGTCCGATCTGAACTCGTTGTTGTGGTCCTCGACAGCGTGGAGGCGTGCCCGGCCTCGTCCTGGTCGAGACTAGACTGGCCAAAGGGCAACTTCACTGGCTCTGCCTCGCCATGGAAATTGAATTGGCGCATGAGTTTGGCGTGCTCTTTCCTCTGCGCGTCGACAGAGGTGCCGCGTGTGGCCATAGCAATCCGTCCAGGCAGGATCAGTCCGTCGATCGCAGACTTCTGCTTCTGTCTCCGCCTGTGCTTCTCGTAATGTTTGATGTCTCTTTTCGCCGCCTCGTGCATCGTTATCAGCCCATGGCATGCCTCTTGAAAGGCTTGAACGAGCACACCGCCCGCGCCGGTGATCGGCTCCCCAGGTCCTTGGAAGTCGGTCCATTCATGGTTTCTGGCCAATTCCAGGTCTGACCAATGGATCTGTTTACTTTCCACGAGCAAATGCGCGGCCAGTGCCGACAGGCGCGTGCTTGCGTGCCGAGTCTTCCAAACAGCTACACGATCTGGGAAGATATTGCACCGCACCGAATGTGGACCTTCGAGATCCAGGTGTCGATGAAAAGAGTCCACCGCGTTTTCTGCGCCGTCCCCTTCCTCTTGAATGCTTTTTGCAATCGCTTGCGCTTTGGCTTTGGCCTCGGGTTCGAGGCACTGCCGGATGCCGTCGGCGAACTTGTCGCTGTCGAGTTTCTTGAGTGGAAGAGCCTCTTTCGCACCAGCTCCTGCCCTTGCGACCATAGCACTCCAGAAAGGTTGATCTCCAAAGAAAGGGACGATCATTGTTGGCTTACCGAATCTCAGTCCGGCAGCCGTGGTCCCTGCGCCACCGTGGTGGACCACTGCATCAACACGAGGGAAGAGCCAGTCGTGGGGTACGTTATCAATCAAGAAGATGCCATCCGGCCTGTCCATACCGTCACCCATTCCTCCCCATCCTCTGCTGATCACAGCGCGAACATTAGCCTTCTCAACGGCCTCGAAAACCATCTTGGTAAATGCCACTGGGTCACTAATCCCCGAAATCGATCCAAACCCTATGTAGACGATGGGTCGATCATCCGATCTCTCCAGAAATTTAGCTAGGTCTTCTGGAGGATTATAAGATGTTGCTAGATCCAAGAAGACGTAACCTGCGATGTCAATCTCTGCGCCCCAGTCACGAGGCTTCGGAACCAAGCCTGGTGACCAGAGGTATGTTACCGGAACCTTGAGACGAGAGAGTTGGCCGGGTGCCCATAAAGTCGAGACAGGTTCCAAGCCCAGAGTTTGGACACGAAATCGGTTGATTAAATCGCCCAATCCCTGCCATGTCATCAAATCGACCAAGGGATAGCTCATGAAATTTGTGTACCTCTGATCAACATTTGAAGCCTTGATATTGGCCAAGGGGTGTGGGAACGCCTGCGTGGGGGAGTAAGGAAAGGTAAAGACCAAGTGCAGAGGAACACTCAGCTTCTCTGCACAATGATAGTGCGCGAAAGAAGGGGGGTTGGCTATAATTGCGTCGGCCACAAAAGGGGGCCTCGAGCGCATCATTTCCAGGTTGGCGACGTCCGTTTCGTTGTCGGTGGCATTGATGCACGCCCTCCAAAATCCTTGGAACATTTGATACATTGACTCGCGCCGTTTGCCTATCTCTCCAGACTTGACAGTCTCGAGCGACGGAATCAACCCGGGATTTTTGACCATGAATGCCATCAATTCGGACGGATCCCCGCCCACGGAAAAAAATTCGAGACCAACCTCTTTCTCCACGAACTGCTTAAAGGTCGGATGTGAGGCAATCCTTACTCGATGGTTGTATTTGTCCCTCAAGATCTTTCCGATTTTTAGGAAGGGCTGAATGTCGCCACGGCTTCCAATTACCATAATCACAATGTTCATCGAGGGAATGACAAGCTTGTGCTTGTCTCTGAGGAAATCCGCCTTGGCCTTATCCGCCAGTTGTGCCTCCTCCTGATAATCGGGACCGAGCTGGTGTCGAATAGTGGCGCCCAAAGCTTTGGCAAGGTAGCCCGTCTGAGTCGTCTCATTTACCGAGATATTCAATCTGCCATCCCTGGCTATTCTCCCCTGAGATTGAAAGAACTCGTTCCCCACCGTGAGATGCGACGGCCTCTGGTGTGTCCGCACTCGATTGAGTTGAGATTTGGATAGCACATTGTGAGCGGGTTGTGTATGTGCCCTTTGCAATCCAGGAGGGTAGTCCTCATCCGACAAACTCGACGTGTCCGAATCGCTCGACGACGCTCGAGGTTCAGCACTCGGTAAGATAGGGTAGTTCGCTGTGGACCGATGCTCTCTGGCGTGTGCTGATGTTCTTGAGGAAGTAGGGAGAACGACTTCCGTCTCGTACCTGCGCAAAGGGAGGCGCGGCCTTTCATCGTTGCCATTCTGTTCGTGCTCTTGTTCAGCATCTTTGGGAGTTTTTGAATCCTGCGTATGCGACCCACTGTGAAGAGGAGGATCTGAGCGCCCACGAGAGTCGCTGTCTGCTGATTTCGGCCGTTCGGGGTAGGGGAACGATGTAGGAGGAGGATTAAAGGTAGGGCTCGTCTCGTGCTCCACGGCGGAAGATGCCAGAGGCGCGAGCATCTGGGCCATCTGAGGTGTTGTGACGGTTTCCACAGGCACTCGACAGCGTTTTCAAGGCATAATGACCGTTCGGTAGGTATGTTGGGAGTTTCCTGGAGCGGACGTAAAAAGTTGGCTACAGCCTCCAACTTCAAATTTTGCTCAACTGGCCGCCACCCCGGCAACAGTTCTCAGGAAAAGCCCATTAAGCCAGTGGCATAGCTAGAGCCATAACCACAGCGACTGAGAGGGGAAAACAAAAGGAGATGGGTTATGCAGTTGACCACAGATTGGTTTGGGCACCCCAAGTAATAATCGCCGAAACGGTAGGTGATAACCATAATAACAACCTGCGCTCTGTACCCTGTACCTGGCGGGAGTGACCTCATTGCGCTTTGCGTCATGAGGCGCTTCGGTCCCGTCCCCGCCCCAAACCAGGCGGGCGGCTTGCTGAGAGCCAGCGACCAGCACCCCGACCAGGTAAGAGTAATTCCTCGGCTCCTCTACTGAATACTTCTCCTTACCATCATACAGCAACGAGCTGGTTGTTGATCCAAAATGCTACGGGATGTCGTCCAGCAGGAAACTCAATTTTTTCAGTGTCTATCTCAAGCACCTTCTTTTCAGGGCCTCAACAGGGTAGATGCTCGGCGGCGAACGAGTTCAACATTGTGGCTCAGTTCCTGCCACAACCAGAGAACTGCACAGTTCACTTGTCGAATCGACAGAAGCCTTGAACAGCCACCCCCGGAATCCCACGGTCACTCTCGTTGGAGGGCCACATAGCAATCCCTGGCGGTTAGATCCTCCCATCGCTCGCAGACGCACACCCGAACCAACCACCAATCTCCCTTTGCCTCGCTAAGACGGCACTTTCCATCTGCATTTCCAGATCAGGGTTTGCCCAAGCGGATACTCGGTCCTGGGAAGAATCGTCGCCTCTCTTCCTGATGTGTGGCGAGCTCTGTGAGAGACGATGTGCCTAGATTTCGGCCCGAAGACAAGCTCTCAAGTTCAGCGTTAGGGCTGTCCATACCCAAATCTCCCTTGAAGCTCGCGGCTGCTCAATGGCCAACCTACTGCGAACAGGACAAGACTACTCTACCACCCACAAAGCCAACTGTATCGTGCTTTCCGGTCAAGGTCATCTTAGGATATACAGCATCACGTCATCCATAAGCAATTTGGTGCAGAAGAAGATATCAACTCAGGCAGAGAGAGCAGCCTGAAGCTTAGACCACAGGCCAATACTGTGCACCAAGGCCGGGGGTGGTCTGGACAAGGAGCCAGCGATTAGTTGCGACGGTTCTCAAACATTCCAACTGACTGACAGTCTTCCCACGCTCCAGGCTTCCGTATCGTGAGTACCGGCAAACTCAAACTTGGATCCAGTGGAATTCCACTACGTAACAAGTTTAGCAAAAAGTTCCGGAGTGGCTTGGGAGAACCTCCAAGGTTTTGTCCTTAAGACTATTGTCATGCGACGATAGAGCATCTATCTTTCAGCTCGGGCCCCGGCCAAAATCCGACACTTTGAGGGAGCTGCAGCACCAGTCGACATGGATCGGCCGCGACACCATAGCCACCATTACCTAGACCAATCCCGCACCCCAGTCTTACGAGTAGGTAGAGCACACCCCCCTGGAGTCCACCATCGTCCGCCCTGGCGCCCTGGGCCATCCCGGAGGTGGGCTGAGCGGGCCAGATTTGCTGGCCAAACCGGCCTTCCCTACCATCAACCGTATGCCTGTTCCAGACCTCTTGCATCCAGCCCAGTCGCGACGCAGCCTAGTGCATCCGACTTCTGCACCCTGATTGCCTGAACCCAAAGCCTCATCGTCATCGATACACACGGTGTGCGTGGGCAGATTGAACAATGCACGGCCACTCCGATTTTGGTAGGGCTGAAAGCCGGAGTATTTAAGAAACCCTCCTCCTCTGGAAATGCGAAATGCTCGATTCTCCACCCACTGCTCTACCGGCTCCTCCACTGATTTTGCGGTGGGACTCATCTTGTTGCGTGCGTTTTGCAGCAGAGCAAGCACGTGGCTTCTCTCGTGTGACGCAGCACGAATTTGGGTCTCAGCTGATGCCGGTGGGTTGTCGCGGACCAGAAGGGTATCACTGGATGCTGCGACTGCTCAGTTGTATCGGGCATATACCGTGAAGCCAGTGCACTAGTGTGGTCATCTTCAGGATCCACCATCATCCCCTTGTGCTGACGGTCTCGTTCTTGTTCTCGAGGTCTGCTGCCAGGTACGCCGCACCTGGTGCAGCCTCTGTTCAATGCCTGCTTCGATCACGGCTCGTCCGGTGGTGGGAGGGAACAGGTTGGATTCGGTGCACAGGTTGTACATCAGACGGATGACATCGAGTTTCTCTCGTTCGGGCACGGCGGTCCAGACGGCATTGACGTCGGCCCATTTGGAATTGGGATGAGCGGCACAGTACTCGCCGTGGACTCGTCGGGCAAAGTTCTTGAAGTTATCGAACTGTCGGTTGCTGAGGCCAAGCTTTTCCTGGACTTGAGCAGGAGAGTCTCGCAGCCTGATGGGCGTTGTGCTCATGTCGAAATCGAATCGGAATCTGCAAGTCCAGCGGTACGACAGAAGGGAAGAGGTCAGCAAGTGCACGGCACAGGAAGAATTCAGCCTACAGTACAGGACCCAGGACCCTCGACGTTCTTTTTCAGCCTGTCTCCGAAATGAATCTTCCGGAGGAAAGGACATAGCCGTCGCTTGTCACGGTGACCAAGGTTCTGCACTGGCACTCCTGCCCAAGTGCACTATTCTCCCACTACGCATTTTTGCCAGTTCTCTTACCAAACCTGCCCCTCCAATTGGGCTCCGCCCCACTGCGGAAATGCCAAGCGGCCAGGGAGCACTGTCAGAGGAATTCCATAATCGGGTTCCTAGCCGTTGTTAGACAACCTACAACAGAATGGGTTACCCGGATGCGGCGCCGGATGGGCAGAGATGGGTCCAAGCCTTGGGCAGCTTAAGGCTTAAGGGAGCTAGAGGCCTTCAGGAGCCCGGCTGGTGGCGTAGACCGCTTGGGGGGGTGTTTGGCTTGACGGCTTGACGGGGGCCCGATGGGCTTTCCCCGTCCCCTTCGCCGTTGAGCCGTTGGAGCCAACTTGGGAAGCACGGACTTTTTTCACCAATCGCTGGGCCGGCGGTCAACTGGTCAGGCTGACATGCGAAACGCTATCGTTTCATCATCGACCAGACCACCTCTTGTGGCCCTTCTGATTCGCAAACACTCACTCCAGACGACACGCCCTCCTTCATGAAGCGTCGCAGGATCCTTTGGCGAGCATTTGCAAGTCGGACATGCCTCGAGTCTGATACAGGACGCGACACATCAACAAGAACATGAATTCCGCAAAATCGCTCGCCACCATCTGTTCCCTTCTCTCTTCTCTCTCTCCTCTTTGTTTTTTCTTTCACCGTACTTTCCTGCACAAATTTGGCGCGGTGGAATCTGCTGCATTCTCTTCCTGTTTGGGGCCTCCCATAATCTCGCTGGCGAGAGACGATATACCCTTTTCCTCCCGTTTTACGACCTTGCGATCTGACGCCCATCACACGCCCGCATTGAGCGATTGTTTTATTACGAAGGACGACACCTGTCAGCACCTTGAGCATCAACCACGACCAACAAGAAAAGATGCTCGGCTCAAAAACCCTCATTTTAACTTCGACTTACCCCGCCGACCTCTCACCGCCACCCACTAGTCGTCGTTACCGCTTACGGCGCCGCTTCATTACGGCGCTGCATCTCGTGAGCCTGCTGGGCTGCTTGATCACTATTTCGCTCTTTGCTGCCGCTATTCCCCGATGGAACGCCAATTTCTTCCATAGTACAGGGCCTAACCGGGGCGACTGGACCGATGGCATGCCTCTGGGACCCCTGGTGTTCGCCTTCCTTTATCACGCGATCGTCCTGATTCAGGTCCAACTGCAGAAGAACTCACGATCTACGGGTGACTCGAGTCATCGCCCCTCACTCTCTCGACAATCCCTGATCATCCATACATGCGCGCCCATTCTGGTACTGCTCAGCCTTCTTCCGGCCTTGTTCCTCGCAGGCTATGGCTCCTTGTTTCGTCTCTGGCAGCCAGCGGTACACACTCAGTCCGGGATCCTCGTGTGTAACACGCTCAATATTTTTGCTCGAGATTGCGAGCCAACACTCTACCACATTGGTAGCTTGCAGCTTGCGGGCATCGTATTCGGCACATTGGTGTGGATCTTGCATTTTACCTTGTTGCTGGTGAGTCTACGTAGCCTCAGGCGCTGCATGCTGGTCAAGCAGCTCCAGAGGGAGAAGATCGCGCAGTATGCCCGGAGCGAGCGGAGCTACTCCCGGGGAAGCAGGCAAGGCTATGCCAGTCGGCAGGGTCCCACTCACAGCCATGGTTCGGGAGACCACAGCAGTTCCTGGCCCCAACATGTGTATTCAGACCGATACCGAGGAGGCGGCTCGAGGTCTAGCTTAAGTTCTAAGTCTGGGCCGGGGTCGGGATCGAGAAGCAATTCGCTTGCCAGGACGACTAGCGACAGCCAGCGCCGCCAGTCAGCAGCGACGGCGGAAGAGCACCAGCAGGAAATCCCTATCTATTTGGTTCAGGCGCCCGAACAAGCACACCCACCCGTGGTGCACCGGTATGCATGAATTTTCGCCTGTGCGACCTATTGCCCCGCCTGTCGAAGGAACTTTTGTAGCGGAGCAAAGGCGTCCAAGGGCAAAGCAGGGAACGTGACAAGGCAGCATCGATGTTGACCTTCTGCACATCTCGGAATCACGACGAGACGACTCGAATGTGCCCCGCGGTGATGTCAATGAGCAGCAATGACATATGGATGAATTCCGCCAGCCTGTCGGACTGGATATTGTTTGCACTATTCTTAAAGAATTTTGTTTGCTTCCTGCGAACGCAGTGGGCCGATGTATGGTCAGGGACAGGTACCCCGTGCATCCTCGTTCCTTTCGATTCCTCCCCGTTCCTTATTTTCCAGAACGAACCCCCTTGTTCCACAACCTTGGGGTTGACCATAACTGCCGAGCCCCGCAATAACCTGCTCCGGTGAGGCCCGGCCCTAGTTGCTCCTGGAAGGCGTGGATGCTCACCGCAGAAGGGATCATCGTCAGCCCTTTTCAGCCCGCTTGATGAAGCAGGCTTTCCCCTGTTGCGCCCATTCCGCTCGCACACCCCGATCGCGGAGCACCAAGACTAAGGTCATAAGGCGACATTCATGCAGGAACGAGGTCTGGGAGACGAAACTCAGCTGTCAAAGCCACACGCGAAGGAACCGATTGGGCTGTTTGGTTCCCGTGCTTTGGAGAGGGAGCTTCGAAGGCCCCGGGTCATCAACTTATGTACACATATACAAAAAGCTACGGAGCACATTCAGCTCCCGTGTTTCGGCTGTCATATGTACTGTACCTAGTCCAGCATGCCGCATTCGAAGCAAAGGTGAATGAAGGAACATTTTCCCGGACCTATGAGGAGACAGTCTCTAGGTAATACAGATGCAGTATGAGCACGTACCTACTCATACAATGGCCCCATCTTCCGCACTTCCGAGAGGAAACGTACCTACACATGGGAATACATGCAGTACTTGCACTTCGGCCCGAATATTGTGTTTGTCACTAGCAGGCCGGCGACCACAGACAAGCAGGAACGCATGCATGTATGCACGCATTCCCGTCCTTCTGTACATAGGTATGTATGTACGTTCAGTACAAGGGCTACTACAGTAGGTCCATGCATCATGCGCAGTGACAAGACACAATGCAGCAGGCAGGCATGCCGGGCCAGGCCGGTACGTACTGTAGGTACTGGAGACGGGACTCCTTCCGAACTAGCACTGTTGTCCTCGGCTGCTTGCTTGCTTGCTTTCTTGGGCGAGGCTTGGACTCCTTGCCCGCACGTAGCCTTCACCGATACATACAGACCACTACGGAGATCCCGGGGCCCGACACCGGCTCAGGCTCTGGCATTGGGCATGGATGGAACGTCAGACCACGGAGCGGGCGAGTACAAAGTCCAACCAAGGACGGAAGCAGTAATTAGAAAGCCCCCACGTCGACAAGAGAGGGAGGGAGGGAAGGAGGGAGGGAGCAAAGTCCGGCGTGGTATTTATTCTCTCCTTCCGGGTACATGAAGATCAAGCTTGGAGTTTGCAGATGCTTTTTTCTCGATGCTAACAGCTCAATTGGTCGTGCTTCGTGCCCCCTGCTTCTTTCGTTCTTATCGAAACCGTCATGATTGGAGCTGTTACGAGTCGAGTCGAGACGAGTCAAGTTCTGCTGGTTCAATACGAGCCACTCAATATCTAAAATCCCACTTCGCCAAAGCATTCTTCTACATACTTGTACTATTCATGAGGGTTTCGTTGTCGTTGAAAACTAAGCTATGTGGTTTCGGATTTTCTTTTCTCTCTTCTTGTTTCCTTTCTCTGCTCCTTCGCTTCCCCGTGCCACTAGCTAGGTCGCCTCCCAAACCCAGTCTTTCCTGTTTTCTGCTTTGTGAATCTGTCACCACGGGCAGGGTAGATTGGCTGCCGAACACTCCATTAACAACCTGGGCACTCCCATGATCCTTCCAGCCAGTCGTACCCGTCAGCCCGCTTGTTGATCCCCAACCCTATGAACCCATCCGACAGCCGGTACAAATTGGCCGAACCGTCGGAATCCTATGAATTCCCCCATGCCCTCGTTCGAAGGCAGTGTTGTCCGATTCTGTGGTGAATTTGTGGACGCACCCCCCGGACTCAACAATTACCTGCAACCCATCTTGTTTATTTTCCAAGCTTGAAAACAAGCTCATGACTGATGCACATTGAAATCCACTTCCATCCCTATCCTCCTGTCCTCTTGTCCTCTTTCCACCTGCCCTCAAATTCCAGTGCAAAATTGCGGACAGTTTTCAAGACAAATGGAATGCTCCCTGGCCCTCTCGGATAGCCACAAACAACCTCTCTCTCAGCACTTTCTGCGAGGTATAGTCCGGAAGCTTGAGATAGTTGACACAAGTCATGACACTGGGCAGATAGTCGTCAGACGAGTAGGGTGGTTCGCTGGGTTTGCAGACCACGGTAAACATCGGCGTGAGACTCTTGAATCCTCCAATGGGAAGCTTCGGGCTGCCGGTAACGAACTGTAAGAAGTCACGGCGTTGGGGCGCCGTCAGCTCCGACATCGTCTGCAACAAATTCTTGACGCTTTTGCTGTCCATGTTGTACCCGTGATCCGCCTTGACAGAATCCATCAGTGTCTCGATGCTCCAATCTTCCTCGGTGCGTCCAAATAGCATGACCAGCTCGTCTGGGGTGAATGCTCTCAGAGAGGCGTAAGAGAAGACTTGTGAGAATCCGGACTGAAACGCACCGATTTGAGCACGGATACCGCTTCCGAGACTTAGGTCGAGCACTCGTTCAACATAATTCTGGACATTTTCCATGGTTACGCTGACGTTCGCGCCATCAGGAATGAGCTCAATGTTAGGATAGCCAGGTAGGGTGAAGTCGAGCATCAGATCTTCAACTTTGGCACCACGGATGGTTAGATCCTCGAGCGCACGCACCTTCTCGTCTTCTGTCATGGATGAATCAAGTTCAATTCTTGCCTTGGCTTTGAGGAATTGTTGAAGTTGAGATAGAGAATTTGCCAGGTCCTGGTCGATCGTCCGCAACAAGCCAATTGAGGGAGTTGCACTGCCGGCTCCGCCCACTTTGAAAAATGTCGGACTGAATGAGATGTCGATGATGCGCGAATCAAGCATCGACCGAGCCACAAATTTTCCCAGTGTGCTAAACAGCTGCAGGAGCTTTTTGCCGGCTTCGTTTCGGCTCTCCTCCGGACTCATTGGTGCCGGAAAAAGACCATTCTTGCCAAAAGCGAACTCATCGCTCTCACCCGAGTCGTTCTCTCGCCACATTTTCAGCTTCTTCTGGCAGAACTCCTTCGACACGGACGAGTAAAATTCGAGAGTCGGGCCTAGACCTGTTCCAACCTCTTCAAAGTACTCCACTTCGATGACCCCGGGCCCTGCGCCATACATGTCCATAACCTTCATGGCTGACTCCAATATACGATGCCGAGAGAGGCGCACCTTCTGGCGTTGGAGTCGGCCTAGCATGGGTCTCTCGTCTCGGCGACGATCGCGGCGGTCGTCGTTCTCTGATTGACTATTTTGCCAACGAGTCATGGAGCGTGAGTAACCGAACGAGGTTGACTGCAAGAAAAGGTGTCTAGTCTCAAAGGGAAACAGGAACGGAAACGACCGGGCAAGATCTTCGCTCCAATCTGGCAAGCAGTTACTAGCCACAATCAAGGGTTCCTCTAACTGGCGATTCATCTTGGCGGTCAGTTTCGTGTTGATAAAAGATGCAAGGGGTTCTGGATAAGACTTTGATGCTGGATGCCCAGTAGAATCTCGTAGCTCGTCAAGATTTGCATTGAGCTCGTGGAGGATTCTGAGCAAGGCTAGAATAGAGGAAGTGATAGGATGGCCACTGAACGAAGCTGGCAGACCATTTTGGGAGCCTCGATCGTCGCTTGCGGCCCGAAAGACATCAGATGGCGGACGAGGGCCGCGGACCTTTCTCCACTTCACCGTATGAAGGCCAGACCACACGCTGCGGGATGGCGAGCCCTGTGGCTGATCACGATTGAGGTAAATTGCTCGGAAGACGGTCGTGTTATACGGTATGATCTTCCCGTCGATATTGAACTCAATATGCCAGTCTTGAGGGACCGAGGCAAGGGCTTGGGCATATGAGGGGCGGCCTCCTGGGCCCGCCGGAGCTGGTCCAGGGGATTGTCCTGAAGACGATGGGCGCGTGCTTCCAGTAACAGGTGTTCCTGGCTGAGGTGTAAGGATTCTCGTACCGTCTTCTTTTCGAGCCGTCACCTTGCCGCTGGAGCCAATTTCCATGTTTACGGCGGCTGGTTCAGGCGCTTCTGCGTCGGAACTATCCTGTTGGAGGCCATCCACAAAAGCCTCAAGGGCACTTCCTCCCTCTGCATCAGGAGGTTCGACATCGTCGAGGACTTTTTCATCGGCACACTCTAATGTGTTGGAGGTGTCCTCGGTGCTAGGCTCGGGCGCTGGGGGCTGATTTGACGATGACGCTTGGGTACGACGAGCCATCCGCTTTCGCTCCGGCTTTTCGGCTGGCTTCTTGTCGATGGGATTCGGAGGTTCTTCAGCTCGTTGTTTTGTTCGAGACGGAACACGAGGTTCGGGGCGAGAGTCTACCTTCCCAGTCGATGCTGGGGCGCTGAGTTCTCGGCCAAAAGGAGACAGCAACCCTGACTCTGCCGCACCAGAGAGATGCGCGAGGCGTGCATTTGCAAGCTGTTGAAGCATGTCCCGGCGTCTGTGGGCTGATACTGGACGTTCGGACTCGGTGATTCGAGGCCGGAGGTATTCATCAAGTGCGTTGACGGTGGCAATAGCGTGCATGGAGACGACCAAATCACGATAGGTTGGAGGAACCTCGCTTTCGTTCTCTGCTGATAGTTTCAAGCGTAGCTGACGCGTTAGCATTGAAGTGGAGCTGCTCCGATTGTTCTCGGAAGCGTTGTTGTTGACAGTAACAACCTCGAAATGTTCCGCACGGCTCAGTAGATCTTGTAATTTCTGAATGAGAACACTAAACGGTGTTGCCGCTGATGTTGCAGATCTCGTCTTAATGTTGCCTTTATAGGTCGTTTGCATGAACGCTGCAACTAGATGCTCCCTAGCAGTGTTGGACGTCGAAGAGACTTCAGACAGGACCTGTACCAGGACGCGGATAATCCCGGAGTCCAACAACTCAGAACTTGTTATGCTCTCCAGGGCGTCGCCGTCGAAATAACTTGCCAGACGAGTGAAGAGGCTATTGTCAGCCTCCATCTGGCTTTGCTGGCGATAGAAACTGTCAATGTCAGTTGCCAGCTTGTGGAGGTCGGCACGAATTTTCGAAGCCTTTTCCTTCAATTCTCTGCCCTTTGGCGTGTCATATTTCTCCAAAAATTTCTTCGCGCGCATAACCACCAGATCCGCGACTCCAGCGATGGCCAGCGGGGATGGCATGTCATCATCATCGGAAGAGTCCGAACTCGGAGAATCATCCAAATCGGGATCATGGTGATGTCGGACTCCAATGTCGTCTTCCTCGTCTTCACCCTCGTCCTCTCTCATCTCCTCATTGTCTTCTTCTTCTAGATCGTCGTCTTCATGGTCCTCGCCATCCTCTTCGTTGATTTCTCCGTTGCCTCCACCCTCCCCCTCCTTATCGCCTCCCTCGTTGTCGCCGTCGCGGTTGTGGGGCTGCTTCTCGGCATCTGCTGCTTTGTTGCCGTGGCCCACCAGACCGCTGACGGGGCCATCAGGATCGTTGCTTTTGGAAGACTTCAGGTCGATTTCGAGGGGCCTATCAGCCAATTTCTTGATCTCGCCAATGACACCCTCGCGGTGGAACTGGTACTGATAGATATCTTCTAATCTCTCAAACAGGAGTTCTGAAGCCTGGAGAGCAAACATGACCAAGCTCGGGTGGTCTTCCTGAGACAATATCGACGCAAGAAATGATGCATACGGCACTGGGCGTAGAGCTTCCTCGATGACAGAGGTTTCAAGATTGGAAAGGATCTTGAGCTGGGCGATGAGCACTTTCTGGCGGACACTCAGGTTCACAGTGCTTGAGTAAGCGTCGGTCAACGTTGGTAGGAGGATGGTTGCAAAACGGCGTGTCTCTTGCTTGCAGTCTTCCAGCAGCTCGAGTCTCTTCTCCGTCCTTGATTGCTGCGTCGGTAGCTGATTGCCGTCATCAGACATGTAGTCATCCATATCTTCGTAGACTTCAAAATCCGACTCGTTGGAAAGATTGGGGCTAGGAAGGAGTTCGCATATGACGTTCAGGGTTTCGTAGATCTGCTCTCTCGGCCTGTGGATCAAGGCTTGCATGATGACAACACTGTCAAGTTTGGAGGCGGCGCCCTTGGTCTCGGTAGGAGGCGAAACCCCTGTCAGGATCTGGTACAGGGTGTCGACGACATCCATCTTCAACAATTCTGCGGAGAGTCGGGGGCTTGCTCGTGCCACTATCGCGAGGACGCGGAGAAATTCCGTATGGATATTTGCTCCAATGAGGTTCGTAGTACCTGGTAAAAGGAGGCCCAGGATTGCTCGAAGTAGTGGAGGATCAACCAGTTCCTCGAGCTTGTCTGGACTATGCTTGAAACTATCGATGACCCGGGTGACACACAAGCAGCCTTGCTCGACCACCTTCTGATCGTGGCTGGACAAGACATTGAGAAGGATCGGCATAACATCCCGAATGACTGAGAACGAGTCGTGGGGTATGTTACGACAGCAATTGGCTGCGGTGGTAACGGCAGTGCGCTGTGTGCCGGTGGCAAAAAAGTCAAGGAATTGAAGACAAGCGGTCAACCCTCCCTCGCGGACGATCGATCCTGGGAAGTCGACCGAGACTTTAGATAACGTGCTCAAGGCCTGCTCGGCGACGTCGATGTACTGAATATCAAGCAACTTCTGACAAAGGACCGGCACAGCGCCTCCATACACCACGTTGGCCACGGAGCCTCGTAAAGCCTCCATAAGATTGGCAATACAGCGGCAAGCCAAGAGCATCATCTCGGGATTTTCCTCACCCGTGATGGGATTTGGTTGCATCAAGGTCACCAGTTCTTTGACGTAAGGATCTGGCGAGAATTGGCCCGAAAGATTGTCTTCATTTGAGACCAACAGCAGATTCGACAACTCCTCTAGGGCCACCATTTGCATTGTCGGGTTGTCCGACTGTCGTAGATTGATCAGGATTTCCCTCAATCTTGATGACATGCCACTCATCATTCCACTCAGGGCTCTCAATGTACTCGATAATCCCGAGGGAGGGCCACGGCCAACACCGAAAAGCGCAGCGGAGAAGGGATCAGGGCCATCGTCATCATCCATATCGGTGTGATCGTCTCCGTCGTTGCTATCGCTGTTCGAGTGGTGAGCAAGGGGGGATGTCTCCTTTTCTTGACTTGAACGTTTTTCGTCTTCGCCGTCGTCTTTCATCTGAACATCTTGGTCCTTCTTGGACAAGCGTTTCCTTGGTCTGCGCGGCTGATGGGACGCGGGTGTAGAGGGGTCTGCTGTGGCAGCCAGTAAAATAGAAGTGTCAGTTGTGAAGCGCACGCTACCTTGTTGTGTCTTGTTGCTTCTGCTGGATTGACGGCGTGAACTCGATTTTGAAGGTAACTGTTTCTCGGACTCTTCGGTGTATTTTGAAGAGGTACTGAGCATGGTCAGATCACTGGAGCCAGGACTTTGCAGGACTATGTTTTGTGCATTCATCACATACCCATTATTAGACATCGCCACCTCGTTCTGCGCTGTTCTTCTCCGGGCTAATCGAGACACCGGCGGTGCGATGACCGGCTGAGGCTGCACCTGCTCGGTCAATTTTTGTCTCTTTCCGCGACGGGTTGACGGAGGGCTCGTTTCCTCAGAATGATCGGTAGGACTAGATGCTCGACGGGCCGGGGCCTTTCGTTTTCTCGAGGAGGTGGTGGGGGGATCTGGCGTGGAGATGGCCGTCGACGTATTGAAGGGAGCGGCAGGCGAAGTAGTGGAGGCGCCAGACTCTGCAGCGAGCCTCGCAGATGAACGAGTGACTCTGCGAGACATGAGCAATGGATCTCGTCAAAAGATGTCAAGGATGTGGTTTGAACAAAAGGTCAAGAGAGAAGGACAGGTGTAGATTTGCGGCAGTAAATTATGTGCGGTTTTAAAGTGGCCGTGGTTCTTGTTTGAACCAAGGTGAGGAGCGAGGCGGAGAAGAGACAGGGTTTCTTCTGAGCCAAGCACCCGGCGCAGGTGAATTGCAAGGCAGTGAAAATAGAGGCAAGTGAGCAGTACCTAGATCCGCTGGTGCTATTCGAAAGATTTGAAGGTAAGGAAGTCGCAGGGATGGTGGTGGTTGCAGCAGACGCCGCACTTGCAGGTTGGTGATCAGATGGAAGAATGCCTTCAGCACGTCCGAGTATCAGGTGTGATTTGGGAGGGCGTGCGGGCAGATGTGCCATGTTAACCCGCCATCTGCAGCGACGGGAAGATTGCTAACTGTGGTCAGAATGGAGAAAAGAACGTCCAACAAGATGAACGAGACGAGATATGAGTCTGAGATTGTCTTGGTGTCATATGTAGAGACAGAGTCTGAGTTGGTCAAGAAGCCTTGACGGACGAATGCTTGGATCCCAAGAACGACCGACACGACGTCGGTCGGCAACGCAGACCAACCGCAGGCCTCCGTAGCCCTTTGGCGTAAGAGCGGAACGCCATGCCCTATCCAGCCACTGGATGACGGACCACCAGGCCGCAATGTTTCAAAGCCCGGGGGGACGCCCTTCTTGCTTATGGGCGGTCCAGAATATATAAGGGGTCGCAGCTCCCCCCAATATGCTTAACCAAAGCCCTAACCAAAGCCCTCGACTTCTTGACCGTGCGAGCACAGCTCTCCCTAGCACCCTTGAGGATCTTGCAAGAGGCGTGCATCCGACTGTTCTCTGTTCTAAACACACATACCTACCTTCTACGTAACTATACAGGCAATCTTCCAGGCAACATCTCGAGGGATGAGACTCATGCACTCTGCAGGCCAACCGTAACTCGATCAGAGCCTCCCAATGAAAATGAGAATGCTGAAATGAACACCAGCAGCGTGTCCTACAATGGGGTTTGGTAGCCGGATGAGTAACTGTATGAAAAGAGCTCTGTTACGCAGGCAGTTTTCCCACAAGTCCTTCGTCATCAACAAACATCATCACTGACCAGTATGCTCCCATAACCCATCGTCATGGCAAATAAATGTTGCACTTCCCCCAAATCCTTTTCCCATAGTCCTCTGTACTCAATAATAGGTAAGTGGAAAACGACATCGCAGTCAGATGGTCACACAATGTCAAGTTGCGACTCCTCGCCGATCTTGTCGCCGCAGTGAATATACGTATAACTGACGCCGTCTGCCACGGTCTCAATTTGTGTCTCTCTTTTTCCTTCTTCCACATCTCCATCCTCGTAACACCCCACTTCTCACAGCAGGATCAACCGAACCCTCCTCCAAAGCTGGGCGCGCACTAGCAGGACTCCCCAAAAGCCTTACACTGAGTAATTACTCAACCTTGTGCCGGCCAGCTAGGGCACTCTAGGCTGGGAACAAGGTGCTCAGCCCGGTCGGAGATCGACCCAGACCGTTACCCACTCTGAAAAGTCGCTCGTTCTGCCTGCTGGGAAATTATCCAGCTCGTACCTCTTGATTATTTTCCTCCTCACTCCTCCAACCGCTATTACTCCATATAGCCGAAGCCGGACATAACTTGCCCACGCCGCCCCTCCGACAAAACTCTCTGGCTCGGGCGATGATTGCCCTGAGATGCTGAGTCGGCCTCACCTTCACTTCCTTCCATCCTACTCAATCACGGACAGACTTTTGCACCGGTCGTCTGCTGCCTTTCCCAATCTTCCGCGAGGCACGAGAACCCCGCTATCCGGCTCATCCACCTCCAAGCATAATATCCTCTCTTCTGACAAATCACCTCTACCCTCGGTCATCTTCCTGTCTCCCTCACACTCCCCTCCAGATTTCCCAAGGACTGGGAAGACCTTCGTCCAGACCAGATCCACTGTTCTGCAAGCCATCACCGGAGACGGCGACGAGATGGACGAATACCACTTTCCCGACTCCCGCCTCAAGAAGAAGATGGACAATCCCGAAAAGACACCTCTTCTGCTCGTTGCTTGCGGCTCTTTCTCGCCCATTACCTTCCTACATTTGCGCATGTTCGTCATGGCTGCCGACTACGTCAAGCACAATACCGACTACGAGATGATCGGCGGGTACCTGTCTCCCGTGTCTGACGCATACAAGAAGCAAGGCCTCGCCCCAGCGGAACATAGGTATGCAAGCCGAGCCCCGTGATGGAGGGTATTTTCTTTCGTTGCTGACATTTTCTCGCAGAGTTGCAATGTGCCAACTTGCAATTGATAAGGCTTCCAGCTGGCTCATGGTCGACCCATGGGAAGCAGAAAAGAAGGAATACCAGCCAACTGCAAAGGTGTTGGATCATTTCGACCATGAAATTAATGTCGTCCGAAAGGGCATTGACACGGGAAATGGTACTCGGAAACCAGTCAAGATATCTCTGCTCGCCGGGGCCGACCTGATCCAGACCATGTCAACCCCGGGCGTCTGGAGCGAGAAAGATTTGGATCACATTCTCGGAAGATACGGCACTTTTATCATCGAAAGATCTGGCACCGATATTGACGAGGCGCTGGCAAGTTTACACAACTATCGCGACAATATCCACGTTATCCAGCAACTTATCCAGAATGACGTCAGCAGCACGAAGATCAGACTATTCCTGAGGCGAGGAATGAGCGTACAATATCTCATTCCAGCACCTGTCGTCGAGTATATTGAGCAAAATCATCTATATAGAGACGACGCTCGTTCGTCGAGCACCACTTCTATCCAGCAGCCAGACAACGACAAAGGAAAGTCTAAGGAAGTCCCGACTGCCAGCTGAACGGCCTACCTGACAATTTACAAAGTTGTTTGAGTAAATATCGGGCCAAGGTAATATACCTCGAGGAGAGTCGAGGCAAGCCAAGCCGTGATGAAAAGGGCAGTTTCTCTCTCGGGTGCTAGAGATACGCACGGCTAGAAGGGAGAGAGCTTGAATGAGCACTCTTTGCTACGACGATGAACCGTAGCTCACGGTTCGGTGCTGGGATCCCGTTCTTCCGTTATGCGAGGTGCTCTACTTGTGTGGTGGAAAGAAAGGTGCACGCCTGCCTCTACACCCCCCCTATCAACGAAGAGACGTCTAGAGCGCGTGGAGTTGGCAGAGCGAGAACATGATAAGTTGATAAGCGATTGGAAAAGCAAAAGTTTGGCGTCGGCGTTTGAACCCTTTGCGCCCGAAGGAAGATGTCTTTATATAGAGAGAGGGAGAGAGGTGCACAGAAGCACAGAGACATCAATGTGAAGCCATCTGACCCATTCGAGCTCGAATGGACGGTTCTTCTCTGATGATGGGAGACACGCTGCTGCTGCTGCTGCTGCTGCCGCCGCCGCCGCTGCGAGAGAGGAAATCTGGCCTGAAAAAGGCCCAACCCAGAGAGTATAGGAAAGAAGAGAGCCATATATATGATGACCTTGCACAATGAGCAGCCACCATGGTTACCATTCTCTAAGCTTTTTCGGTATCTGTTCTTGTAATAACATGTCTCGTATCACAGGATTCCAGGACACAATTCAGTCCGTGTGAAGGCGCAACATGGACCGAGCGAGTACACACATGAATTACAGATTTGGGCATCATCTCCTCCTACTCGGGTTATAGACACACAGCACAGCACAGCACAGTAATATACCTAGCTACCTAATGTGCGTATGTGCGTTACCTACCCAGCGTGGTCGTCTCTCGCACATCTACATGCATGCATACCATACATACGAGCAAACGACCAATGGGTTTTCTTTAGTTTAGAGAGGGAGATTTACTATCGATCGCTCCCGACTACTGTGGTTGTTTTTTTCCTACCTCCCAAACCCCTGCACTGCGCCCGGATATCAGAAAATAAGAAATCCAAAACAGAAAAAATATGTGACGATAATGCACTGCACTCCTCCTCCCAACCCCCGCCGACCGGTGGCCATCGTTCTGCCTCCTCGTTCTGCCTCCTCGTTCTGCCTTCCGGTCTTCCGGGCCGTGGAGAGAGAGATAGGTAGGTCAACTGCAACTACGTCGGGGCCGTCGCCCCCTCCCCCGCCCTCTCCACGATCGAGTGGTCGTTGCCGTCATCGACTCGTCTCGCTTTTTATTGTTTGTCTTATTGCCACGAGTGATTGCTTGCGTGGCCTCGTCGTCCTAGGCCTGGCGCTTCAACTCCCGAGCACCCCCCGTCTCGCAGCCTGCCCTCAAGTAAGTAGGCAAGTCTCCCTGTCCCTCCTCCCCGTGGTGACATCTAGCGTTTCATCCTGGCTCACTTCCCTTCTCTACTTTTCCCCTAATTCCAAGGTGCACCCGCCGCAAGGCCCGAGTCCGACCCGACTCTCCCAGCGTCCTGGTTTCCCCCGACGCCAGGTCTGTTCTGGGCCCACTCATTTAGCTCACTCCGGTCCTTGCCCGTGTACTTCATGATGTCCTCGTCGCTGAGGCCCGACCCGCGCTTGGAGGACTGGAAGGACGCGTACTTCTGGCCGAGCCACGACTTCTTGTGCTCGCCACCGTCGTCGCCGTGGATGTCCGGATTGGCGGCGGTGGGCGAGTTTGTGTTGTACGAAATGGGGGACGTGTTGGCGTTGGCGTCGTCGTCGTTTTTGTTGCGATGGTGCCCATCGGGTTGTTGCTGGCTGTGGGTGCTTTTTTGGGGAGACTGTTGGGAGTTATCTTGATTGTTCGGGTTGGCCGGGTCGTTGGCCGCGGCGAACTCGTTCTTGGATAGATCTGATGTCGGGTCTTGTCCGTTCTGCGGGCCACGGGAATAGGATGATTGTCGCCGAGACTGGTCGTCATGGTGATCCCAGTCGCCGCCGCCGTCGATGGTCTGGTACGGTTGTAAAGTTGCATCGTTATCCTTGCCCAGGGCGCTGCCGCCGGACATGGTCCTGTCGTGCGCATTGCTAAACGACCCACCGGTGTCACGGGTCTGACGATCAGGTCGGCTGTCATACTGCTGGTACTCCTCCCAAGAACTCTGTTCGACTGTAAAGTCGCGACTCTCTTCCCTCACCCGCGGAGGTTGTTCGTGCGGCGCATATTCCGTCAGACGCCGCTGTTGAGCATTTTGATCATAGTTGATGTCTGAGAAGTTGGTCCGGATCTTCCTGATTTGCGGTTGTTGTGTGACTGATGTTGGCTGGTTATTAACGTCGGGTATGTCTACACCCTTCAAACTCGACGATCCGCAGCCCATGATTTGGACTAGTATCGCTGTTTACCGGTTCACGCAGGGGTAATGTCACAAGTTGTCACTATGTTGATGAGTGTGCGTTCTTCTTGCTATCTCCAACAGCGCAATGCGGCGGCGACGAGAAGCAGCAATGATTGTGGTAGTGGTGGTGATGACGATGATGTAGTTGGTTCGCAATTCTCGGCCCAATTGGACCCAGTTGTCCAAGTTCAGAAGCTTGGACGGTGGCAGTGCTCTGGTGAATGTTGATTGAAGTGGTCTGTCGTCGAGCTCAATGATTGTTTGCGCCTGAACCTTGCATTCTTAAAGAACAGCCGCAACCTCGAACAATGGTCCTGGGGAGGATCTCGAGAGTGTGTGCAATAGACAGACCAAGTGGTCCAAGAATAGGTTTCGGTCTCACGTCAAATCAGACAGATGTAGCATAGCCGGCCCAGATCAATAGCGGCAGTTTGGGGCCAGCTGATAATAATATAGTGATACTCCACGGATGTTTTCCTAGTCAGTCAACTGCGGCGTAAAGTCAATACCCGGAGGCGCATTTGTGGGGGTCATATGGCCACCCACCCCAACCGAGGCAATCAGCACCAGTTTGTAACCATAAGTAGGCACTCTAAAGCCTTCGAAGTAAGCAATGGATGGAGGAGTAGTGGGCTGTATAGACAAGAGGCGAGTTGGACTGCCATGCTTCCTCAAAGAGGTTATCCTGATGCATCAACCAACCAGAGAAGCGATGCTCAAGAGTGATGCTATCAACTCATGCGAGTGTATATAGGTACATGGTGATGGTACATTCATTTTTCCTCCTATCGAACGGGCCCTCACTGATTGAATGCTTCGCCGCTGGGGAAACGCTCTCCCTCGATTATCGGAGGCACAGCCAGGACCGTAGGGGGCTGGTTTGACTGTCGTTGTGTTGGCTTGACAAATGCTCGTCAAATGCATGGCAACGGCTAAATCGACATTGTGGTGTTGTTGGCCAGGTCAGGCAACAGCAACGATCAGTCATGTTTGGGACTTTCGAGCCCTGTATGACATCTGTCTTATGCAGAGGCAGACCTCACTCATTGTGTCATTGGGCGTTGACGCCGAGGTCGCTCTGGGCACACACACGCCTTCTTGGAGACCTCCTTTGGACTGTTCAACCAGTGAATAGTCGCAGTGGTGGTCTCTGATGTTAACAAGGAGGACCACTTTACAAGGGTTTCACACCTCGGTGGATGCTGGCGATCCCTCCCGTCAGATCTTCGTAGCCTTGCCCCGGTGTGATGAATCCGGCGTCTTCGATCATGGCCTTGAACTCTTCTTGCGTGGGAAATCGCTCGATGCTTTCTACAAGGTACTGGTAACTGTCTCGATCACCCGCGACCAATTGGCCTATCAAAGGTATCGCCCCAAAACTCCATCTTTTATAGACGGCATTGAACAACGAATTATTGACGTGGCTGAACTCTAGGCAAGCAAAAACGCCCCCCGGTTTGAGGACTCGAAATGCTTCGCGGATGGCGGCATCCTTGTTGGTGAAGTTGCGAATGCCAAATGCCACCGTATAAAGATCAATCGAATTCGACTCGATAGAGGGCATGGATTCAGCATTGCCCTCCATGAACGACAGTCGGCCTGAGTTCCAATACGGTGTCTCCTGAGCTCTTTTCTGTCCTTCAGCCAGCATGTCTGCATTGATGTCTGCGATGGTGACTTTTGTTTTGAGGTCAAGGTTCACGTTGGTCGCGTGATCAAGCATGCGGAATGCAATATCGCCGGTGCCTCCCGCCACATCAAGGATATTCCATCCTTTTTCGCTGGCGCGGCTGCCTGGGTTGAGGCTACGGACGAAGTAGTCCTTCCAGAGGCGATGGATGCCCAACGACATGAGATCGTTCATGGTATCGTACGAGGATGCGACGGAGGAGAAGACGGCACCCACTATGAAGGTATAAGTATTCTAGCTATCATGATCAACCCGTAGACGCTACCTCTAGCTTCCTTTTGTGCCTCCGCGACAGTCTCGAAGCCGAAGTGAGTTGTTCGTTCATTTTCGCCAGGGAGTTGCTGGAGTCGCGGCGAATTCGTAGTAATGAATCGTTGTGCCGATATAGAACGGACAAGGCAGCCTGGTAGGCCGCAATGCCTTCGGGGGAACGTGCGAAGCATTTGTTCCTGCCCAGATGCAAGTCTCTGACAGACAACTTTCAATCAACGGTAGATTTGGGGCTGCAGACCAAATTTCGCGAATCTGGTTTCCCAAAACGGCCTAGTTGGCTCGGCCCTCCAAGCTGCACCGACTTCTCCGACTCCGGCGTCTCCTCCACAAGGGCGACCGACGATAACCGAAGTGCCCTTTCAACACTGACAGTACCTCATCGTCCGCGTTCCAACTTTTCCTTCTCTTCTCTTCTCAATCTGCTATCGCAACATCAGCGTTCGTTCTCACTTTTTCCCAAGGTGGCTTTTTTGCTTTAGACAACTGAGGATGAAGAGCCGAGCTGTTTTGAGGCCCTTGGCTGCATCCTGCAGATACAAACACGGTGTTCTACTACGCCGATCAGGGATACGATGGGCAAGCGATACCTGGTCTGCTGGGCCTGCGCAGAAAGTGGGATCGGATTCGTATGTTTCACGGCCCTCTGACTTCGTCCATAGCCTCCATTGCTGATCGTCTGTCGCTAGAGTGCACTTTCCGGGAGCTTTGAATAGTAAATTTACGTCGACCATGAAGTTTCAAAATCCAGCCGAGGAGAGCGCCATGCCTACTTACCGAATAATGGATGCAGACGGCAACATTGTGGACAATACCAGAGATCCACAGTCTGCGTCTAACGAAGAAATCATTCAATGGTACCGCAATATGTTAACTGTCAGCATCATGGATTTGATCATGTTCGATGCGCAAAGGCAGGGCCGGACCAGCTTCTATATGGTCTCTGCGGGCGAAGAGGGTATTGCTGTGGGATCAGCCTCGGCACTATCGCCGGAAGATGTCTGTTTCCTGCAGTATCGCGAACAAGGAGTGCTCGTCCAAAGAGGCTTCACACTCAAGGAAATGATGAGCCAGCTATTTGCAAACAAAGACGACCACGGTAAAGGACGAAATATGCCGGTGCACTATGGCAGTGGGAAGCTTCACGTGCACACTATTTCAAGTCCCCTCGCAACTCAGATTCCCCAAGCGTCTGGGGCTGCATATGCGTTGAAATTGCAGAGACTCATTAACCCGAATGTTCCCCCACGAATTGTCGCTTGTTACTTTGGGGAGGGCGCGGCGAGTGAAGGGGATTTCCATGCAGCATTAAACATCGCCGCCACAAAATCATGCCCTATTGTATTCGTCTGCCGCAATAATGGCTTCGCTATTTCGACGGCCAGCATCGAGCAGTACAAAGGAGACGGCATTGCTAGTCGAGGACTCGGGTATGGCATCGATACCATCCGGGTGGACGGCAACGACATCTTTGCCGTGAGGGAGGTGATGCTGGAAGCCAGGAAACGGGCGCTTGAAGGCGATTGCAAGCCTATCCTGGTGGAAGCCATGAGTTACCGCGTCAGTCATCACAGCACCAGCGACGACAGTTTTGCGTATCGAGCCAAGAGAGAGGTGGAGGAGTGGAAACGAAGAGACAACCCCATCACCCGGCTACGCAAGTGGATGGAAAAGAAAGGCATCTGGGACGAAGACAAGGAGAAAGAAGCAAGGGCGTCCATACGCAAAGAAGTCTTGCGCGAGTTTTCGGCCGCAGAAAAGGTCAAGAAACCACCGGTACGAGCCATGTTCGAAGACGTCTATGAAGAGATCACTCCAGAGGCTCGAGCCCAGATGAAGGAACTCAAACGGATCATCGAGAAGTATCCGAAAGAGTATAGCAGCATTTCCCAGCATGAGGGAGGAGTCAAGACTCTCGAGTGAATCTAGAACGATTGAGAGCGACGTCACCACTGACGGGCTACCCGATGGAAGGGTCATGGCCCGGCCCTCGGAGATATCGCTGCCATATCATCCCAATCAAAGCAAACCTGGAAGCCATGGGTTATTCGTGCTGGGCCTGTGGCAACGGGACACGTTAAAGGACAACGAGGCTGCAGGCCAAAGCGAAACCGCCGATTGGGTGGCTGGAGGTCACGAGTGCCACTCGGTCCCGGTGTGGCTTGACTATTGCCAAGACGGGAAGGTTGAGCGGCTGCCAGCCACCCACGTTCCGGACGCCGCTGGTGCCGCTGCAGGGTCTTCAAATATCCGATCTCCAACGCTAATCCCGTTGGGGCTAGAGCCATCCCCACCAGCCTCAAGCTGGGCTTCCAGCCTCCTTCACTCTCTCCAATCCTATTGTTCATCACGTTGTTTTCTGTGAATAGAAGCCCATTCACTGCGGTGGTGGCCAATGATCTGGTTTCCCGCTCTCTGAGCCCAACTAGACGAGTCGAAAATGGTGCCCGGCTTGCCGGTTTTGGTGTCAGAAGATTGTGGTGCTGTCTGAGACAGCTGACGTCGTGTTGTCTACCAGCCTCCCCGTGGGAAACCATCAGTGACTACTTTTGTGCCCATAGCCATGGACTTTTTCTGCCGCAACCGTCAACTTCTCTTTCTTGTTCGTTCAGTGAATACCCTCTCGTGCACTGTGTTGTGTTACTGTCATGCGATCAACTTGAGTTTGCGAGTTTCTTCGAGCAATTTTTCTGTTGCTCGGTCTTTGCTGCATTGTTCCGGCGTTCGATATTTTTGACCTGTACAACATGTATCACACACTGGCTCGCTCAGTGCTCGCTGCATTGACATTCTGCTCTCTCACACCCAGCACATCAGCACAGACTTACTCGTCATGTAACCCTCTCCAGCAAAGTGAGCTCACCTGCCCTCCCTCTGATGACCTCTTGGAATACCGACTAACTGTGCGCAGGTGGTTGTCCTGCAGACCCTGCTCTCGGCAGGACGGTCGACATTGACTTCACAGCAGGCTCCTCGAGCGAGTTCACCGCGTCAGGGGCTGTCAGCTACACTTCCGACGGCGCTGCGTTCACGATCTCCCAACATGGCGACGCTCCTACCCTCTCTTCGAATTGGTACATAATGTTCGGCCATGTCGACTACGTGGTGAAAGCTGCTCCAGGGACAGGAATAGTCAGCGCTGCTATCTTGCAGTCTGACTGCCTCGACGAGATCGACTGGGAGTGGATCGGTGGGGATGATACGCAGGCCCAGAGCAATTATTTTGGCAAGGGCATCACCACAACTGGGTACAACAGAGGGGCATTTCATGGAGCACCGAACAACCATGACGAGTTCCACACCTACAGCATCGATTGGACGGCCGACCAGATTGTCTGGTCAATCGACGGCACCACCGTTCGAGCAATGACCCCGGACCAAGCTGAAGCTGGCCAGTATCCCCAGACCCCAATGTACGTCAAATTGGGGGCTTGGGCTGGCGGCGACCCATCCAATCCGGAAGGCACAATTCAGTGGGCTGGAGGAGTTACTGACTACTCTGATGGGCCTTTCACCATGTATGTGAAGTCTGTCCACGTCACGGACTACTCAACCGGGTCACAATATTCCTACAGTGGTACCAGCGGCACGTGGCAATCCATCCTTTCCAGCGGAGGCCAAATCAACGGCCAAGGAGACGGGACACCCGCCTCATCTGGCACAGCACCTGCCATTACCTCGTCCGTGCCTAACAGTGCTCCCCTCGCCTTTGGGAACGGCGGCGACACCTCTTCTGTGTATGCGACACGAACGGGGTGGCCGTGGTCTGGAACGGCCACCGCCACAGCAGTGTCTGTGGTAAGCTCTTCAACTTCTGGGCTGACAAGTCAGTGGATTCTTCTCTTGCTCCAGCTCAAGATATCATGTTGATGTACTAACGGGCTACTAGTCGACGTCCCCCTCCCCTTGTTCGTCCTCATCAGCAGTCTCCTCATCGGCCTCGGCCTCGGCTTCGCTTGAAGTTGTGACTTCGTATAACGAGCAAGGATTCCCAACCCTGATCACCATCAACCCTGCGGCACCAACCACACCGAAGAGCTACGACAGTCAAGGGTTTCCCATTACCAGCACCAATCCGATTTCCGAGTCGACATCTCCCCCTGCGACGGCACCAGGATCATCAATCACAGGCACAACCGGTTCTGCATCGGTGAGCTCAGAATCCACCCTTTCTTCGACCTCGGCCTCAGGGCTATCCGAGAGCCCGAGCTCCGCATCTTCAGCTCCACAGAGCCCAAGTGCTACGGCATCGGGGGCTCCTGAGACCACGAACACATCGCTCACCGCAGTGTCGACCTCAACACCCCTCAGTGCGATCTCCTCCTCGGTGTTGGGTTCTGCATCCGCCTCAGGCCCTGCGACGGCGTCAACAACTGTTTCCACCGGAGCGGAGACAATAACCACGACCGCTGGGAGTTCGCCATCAAGCATAAACAGCAGCTCCTCTTTCATTATTAGCTTAGTTAGTTCTCAGTCACAGACCACCCTTTCGAACGGTGGGACTGTCGTCGGGACTGGATTTACAAGCAGCACATCCAAATCCAGCTCAGCTTCATCTACTGCGTCATCCTCTTCCACCAATCGGGTTTCCTCGATCTCCAGCAGAACTTCATCGACGACCAGTTCAGGCAGCTCATCCACCGAAACCAGGACCACAACCAGTATGGTAAGCTCACGCCACAGTTCAATCTTGACAACATCGAGTCAAGTGTTGAGTAGCACAGCAACGATTTCGGCGTCCACTACAGCATCAGGCACGCCTCCTGCAGTGAACATTGCAGCTCAAAGACGGATTTTCCACCCACTTGGAGGGGTTATGGTGCTAGGCGCGTTATGCTTGTTTTGAGAGAAACTAACCAGGGGCACCATCGGGGGACATTTGTCAGCCTACTGGGGGTTTGTCATGGAGGGTGGCGTTGGAAGGTTTCCAGAAGGCTTTCAGGGGTTCTGGCGAATTTATGGCACGAGGCTGCGGCCGTCCAGGGACTTTTGAATCCTTGGTGGCACCGCGGCCGTGATGAGAAATGATGATTGTGATACCCAGATAGACAGGATAGAATTGGCCTCGCCGCCGTCGCCGACTTTGTTTTTGGCTACGACCAATAATGCACGATCCGTGGAAGTCATTTTTCCTTGCCCCTGCTGGTATTAGTGTTGCGAGACGAGTGGTCCAGACAGGTGAGAAAAATTGACGCCTCCGTCGTTATCTGGACATCGAGCAGCCCTTGATACCCAAACCGCTCATTTCCGTGGTCTGAAATAAGAAGTGCAGAGGTTGTGGAAGGCCCGGCTGACCATCGGTATCTCCCCTCGCCCAAACCCTATCCTCGAGCCTACGTACCGTACATGGTGGAGGCTTTTTGCAAAAAGAAGTGGGAAAGAGTGGAAAGGCTGGCTCCCCTGCCCACCCAACGTCCTACGGACTACTGGCGTACGTCACAAATCATCATCGCACAAATTTGTGTAAATTCTCCACCACCGTTTTTCCCATTCCATTTGTTCCTGGGGCTTGTTCTGTGGTCGCACCGGGTCAAGCCCGCCACTGGAGGCATTTCGTGCCCTGCATCCTTAAAGCTGCAACCATCCCACACTCACTCAACCCGCTCTAAACAACTTCAGGGCCACCTCCCTCTACCCGTCTCTCCCTTTCCTCACCTTCCTAACCCAACTCCTCCTGCAGTGTCCGCCCGCCATGGCGACCGTGGCCCCTGCCGATATCTCGCAGACCCATCCCTACACCTGCAACTCGTGTGCTGTCGCCTTCCGCAACAGTGATGCCCAACGCACCCATATGCGGAGTGACTGGCACAGATACAACCTGAAGCGCAGGCTGGCCGAGTTACCTGCCGTCTCGTCTGAAGACTACAACGAGAAAGTGCTGGCGGCTCAAGCAACCAACACTGCCGCCGCCGCCCAGGCCGCCTATGCAAAATTGTGTCCCACCTGCCAGAAGACATACTACAGTGAAAATGCATACCAGAACCACCTGGCTAGCAAAGCACACAAGACAAGAGAAGTGGCATCGAGTCGAGGGTCGACCCGAGACGCACATTCCATAGCCGGGTCCGAGGCACGGCGGTCGTTCTCCGTGGCGGATTCGACAGCAGGATCAGAACCTCGAGACCCCGTGGCAGAAGCCGAGTTCGAGCAAGTCGTTGCGGGAATGAAAGAGACCACCATTCGAGATTTGCCTGGGGTTACACGGAGACCCTTGAACCCTCCGCCAGACACAGAACCGCGAGAAGACCATCCCATGTCGCCAGAGAAGGCCGAGGTCTCGTCCCTGCCCGTTTCCAGGTGTCTATTTTGCAACTATGACTCGCCCAACTTGAAACTCAGCGTCATGCACATGACCAAGATTCACGGCCTATTTATCCCAGAACAGAACTACCTTGTCGACCTGGAAGGTCTGATCCGATACATGCAAGCCAAAATCCACCAAAATTTCGAGTGTCTGTACTGCCACAGACTTAGAGGGAGTGCGGAAGGTGTGCAGACACACATGAGAGACAAGGGTCATTGCAAGATCGCTTTTGAAAAAGAGGAAGAGATGATCGAGGTCGGTCAATTCTACGACTTCTCCAGCACATATTCAGACGACGGCGAGGACGAGTCTGGGGACGAGATGCAGGGAGTGAAAGCAGAGCAGAATGGCGGTGTCAAACTGGAGGGCACAGCAGAAGAAGGCGCCGAGGATGGCTGGGAAACTGATTCCTCCTTCTCCTCGCTCGACACCAACGAACTCGCCTCGGTCCCGAATGATGATCGAACCCTCTCCTATCAACGACTTCCCTTGCACAGACATCATTCCAACACCGATCCGCGACCACACCGGAACGCCGACGGCTGGCACTCACACGCCCATCACCACACGAATGCCGTGTTCTATGACGAACATGAAATGCATCTTCCCAGCGGCAGAGTAGCTGGTCACCGGAGCTTGAGAAAATATTACCGGCAAAATCTGCACAATTACCCCACGGCCGCGGAGCGTATGGAACGCGCCCAGAGATTGATTGAAGAGGGAAGCTCAGAAGACGCCGAAATGGACGACATCGATCTTCCGGCGACTCCTCCTCGGAACAGTCTCATGAGACGCGGTGAGGCTGGGATGCTTGGTGCCACGAGCCAGCAGAGACGTGACGTCCGCTCTGAAGAGATTCGAGCCCGACAGAGAGAGAGGCGAGCGCAGAACCGGTACCAGGCCAAGCTGGAGAAGCAGGCCAACAGTCAAAAACACTACAGGGTAAGTACTTGGAAGGAGATTGTGCTGGTTGATGACAGAGACGCTGACTGGTTACCAGGATCCACTACTGCAGTAATTGAATCATGTCTTCTCTATGCCGACTGAGTCCGAGCGCCATCGAAGGCCTCATCTCCTCACAAGCAGCACCTTTTCCGACGAGCTGTAAATAGCATTCCTTATTTCGCATGCCATGCATATCACCGGTCATAAAAAGGGCGATTCGGGAAACAACGGGAATGACACGACGCGACGACACATGACGGCCTGAAATCCGGGGTTCGATGCATCAGTGGATTCAGTCGTGGGATCTCGAGCTGTCCTCCTCAAAAAGGACAAGCCAGGCACTGCCTCAGATCCTGCCTGATATTCTAGTATTCATAGCGGCGGGAAAGATCGCAGTCGTTGCGACAGGAGCAACGGCACCATTATGCATAAAAAACGGCGAGTCGGTGGCCCCTCGGGCATGTTTGACCTATGGAATAGTCAGCTGCCTCAGAATAAAATAAACAAAACGGTCTGGTACCACCGGCTTCCTGCAAACCAACCTCGCAAGTACGTACGAGCATTGCTCTGATGCCAGTGAATCGAATCGTTCAAGCTTGTCGACAAAGGCAAGGCTCAAATCTCAAACAGCAAAAGGGGTCAACGATAAATAGTCCACCGTAGTATTGTAGTTAGAGAATTGCTACGGCGGATCAGTGTGACGCACTTGTCCAGACACAGGCTTGGCCAGTGTTTGTTCCCCGACAATAGTACCTCAAAGATTCCGACTCACAGCTCTGTCCCTCTCTCCCCATATTGAGCATTCACGCGATTCGTACACTCCAGACAACAACGACAACAGCATCTCAATCCCATCTACAGCTTCACCTAGAGCATATAGCAGTTGCTCTCTGTATCCCGGAATACCTCCCTTTCAACTCACTTTGCTCACCGTACCTTACCACTCCAAAGCTCCAGTCCAGCCATGGCTAAAAAGCGTACGTCCCAACCGACCCTGTGACTGTCACCGCTGTTCCCCCCCTTTTCCCCTTTCCTCCTTCTTGTTCCACGTCAAACTGACAAGTCTTATGTGCTGCCCTAAACAGCCAAATCCCGCACCGTCGCCGTCCGCCTGATCTCCATGGCCCTGACGGGCTACTACCGCACGATGGTTCGCCCCCGCACGTCCCGGCCGCTGAGTATGATGAAGTACGACCCCGTGGTCAAGCGGCAGGTGCTGTTTCTGGAGCAGAAGCGGGGGAAATAAAGTTTATTGTCATGTCGCGTGGAGACGAAGAAAAGAAGAGGAAGAAGAAGAAGAAGAAGAAGAAGAGGGGGGGAAATGAATATCCAGCAAAGGGAATTCATGGGACGAGAGAGCTCATTCGCAGGTTTCGCTTGGTCGCAAAAGAGAAAGAGACCGACCGAGAGAGAGAAAAAGAGAGAGACAGAGCCTGGAAGCTGACAAAAATATTCAAGGAAATGAGGAAGGTGTAGGGACCAGGGACCAAAAGAGAAGACCTCATGTGCAAGCAATAATGAATCTGTCCGTCCGTCTGTCTATCCGTTCAGCTGTGGAAGACGCTGCACGAAGGACAGTACACATTTTGAGCGCTTGGACCTTGATAGAGAGAGTGCCTGCCGGTGAAGGGGCGCCTTCGCCCCATGAGTCGACAGACCTGGCACCCAGGCGCGCAATGAGATCGGTCACGACGTCCTGCACTTCTTGGACGCCAGCGGCGAACGGTGTTCAACCATTCCACAATGCACGAGCTGGAGGGAGGAGCGTTCGACTTATCATCATCATGTGGTCTTGAGAGAAAAACACAATCTGGTCCGAAAACGAAAACCGCAGCTCTCGTCTCGTTATTTACTCGGACTGTTCTCTCTCTCTCTTCTCGCCGTCCATCGCCAGTCGGGCAAGAAGGCTTCAAAATGCTTTACTCGAGGCCGGAGCGAACTGAGCACACACGACGAGCATCTCCTCTCTCGTTGCAAGCATGGCATCACTTACGGCATGATGCACCAGCCGTGGGTGGTGTCATTGATGAAGTCAAACAAAGCAAGCTGCAAAGACCGGCTATATCGACCTGCCTGCATCTGTGGCATCTTCACAACGTGGATGAAAGCGGCACTTTACGCCCCAGAACTGGGTTTGGAACTGCCACCAGCAAACAAACAACTGGTTGTGGGCTGAGAGCCGCCGGGCGAGGCTTGGCTGGGTGGAGATTGATCCTTCTGCTGGATGATAATCAATCATCGTGGGCGAAGGGCGTTGGTCCCCTGAAATATATGTACAGTAAGGCGCACAGGGTGGAAGGGAACAGTCATATCATGATATGCCCACCCTGATGTGGGTTGTAATTGGAGCGGACAAACCATCTACGGTGGTACTACGGTATTATGCTACGGATTGACCCTGGCAGAACTCGGCACATATCTGTAGTCTTTTTTTATCAGCTTGTTTCTTACAACTTCTTCCGCCTCCCTGGCCAGCGGGTTAGGGAACCTTCTCAATGCTCTTTTCGAGGTTGTGTTTTTCTCCTTTCCTTTTCTTTTTTTTCTGACAAGCTGTCCCGTACCATATAACATACATAAATACATAGCAGTCGTATTAGCTGACGCCCGAACTAACTCGTTGTTCGTGTAATCTTCTCATCAAGCTCATTGAAATCGATAATCCACGTGCAGAGTTCAAAATATGTCACACATGGATACCACTACAACATATTCACAGAAGTCTTCCATGTATCACAACACGATCGCCTACCCCTTTTCGTTCTGCCTCGTCGGATCTTGTTTCTTTACCCGTCTGGAAAGCACTATTTCTCTCTTTCTTTGCCCTGCATCAAGTCTCCGCACCAAACCGGGTGGTGTACTTGTCCCGTCGGGAGCCCTTACGGGCGGGTTTGGTCGATCGTTGAATTTTTCCAGGACCAGGGGCATTCGTTCCGACGACACTGTTGCCTCTGCCGCCACCGCTCTTACTGAAGGTGGCAGCACCTCGAGACGATGACTTTTCGCCATTCTCAGACTTCGGCATGGCCGGTTGTGACTTCTTCGCTTCCAGGTTCGCAGCTGTCCGCTTGAGACGTTTGGGGTTCTTCGGAGAAACCCTGTCCGCGTCGTTCTCGGGCTCTGAGCGACGTTTGGCTGTCGAATTGGGTCGATGCCGCTCACGCATGATGGCAGGTGTGGATGGCCGGTTGCTTAGTGACTCCGCGCCAGGATCGGGAGAAGCAATGGATCGACCACTCGGGCCTCGATGTTCGCTTCTTAATCTTCTTGGACCTGGTCCCTGCCTCATCCCCGTTCTATTAACCGGCATCGCAAAAGTCGGATCAGTCTTAGTGGAGTCGGAATCGTCAGGCTCCTGAGACTCGGTCTGGCTGACTTGGTCCAGAAGCATTTGATCACTTTGCGATCCATACGGGCTGGATGGAGGCTGTTCGCTGGTCGGCTGGCGATGTCTAATGCTGCTGCTCTCGTTCGGCCAGACATGAGTTTCTCTGCCGTTATGGCGCCTGGTGTTGAGGCCAATGGGGCCATGGTTAATCAGGTCGTCGAGATTAGCTTCCCCGTCATCACTTGGAATCGGAGAAAGTTCTGAGCCACTGCTTTCCTGACCTTGATCTACAGATAGTATGAGACTATCTGGACCCACTAGTTGGGACTCTTGAACTTCGAGTTGTGTTTCTTGTACAATGTATATAGCACCAGTCGTGGGGTTTGCCGGACTCAAGTTCAAAGGACTGTGAACATCGCCACCATTGAAATATGGGCGGGTGCCGGGCAACTCGTTGTTGTGGGAATTCATTGCGTTTCCAGAGCGATCTGCGACTCTTCGTTGCTGGATGTTGTGGTTTACCTCATCACCATCAAGCTGGGCATTGGAGACGGCGCCTTCGAGGCCGAGGATTTGCTGTTGCAAATCTGCTTGCCTCTCTTCCTTCTCTTGCAACTCGGCTCGAAGATTCTTCAGTTCCTCGGCTTGGCCGCGAAAGATCGCTAAGTCCTTCTGCAGTTCCGTGATCTGATGGTCCTTCTGCGCGACGGTGTCCTGCAAGGGTGAAATCTGGGCGCACTGCTCATTCGATTGTTCGAGGGCCGTTGTCAGAGATTCGACAGCTTCCTTGAGGGAGGACTTTTCTCTTTTTAAATCGCCGAGTTGGGCTGTCCGAACCTGAGCAGCAGCAAGAGCAGATTCCAGCAGAGCGGTCTCGATGGTCTTCTGCTGAAGCTGCTCTCGCAAGTTCTTCAGGTCATTGTGGATATTGGCGTTCTCCTCTGCCAGTCTGTCCTTTCCTCTCACTTCTTCTTCGAGATCGGCAGACGTATTTCGCAGGTCCTTGATCTGCTTTTCGAGAGTTTGGATCTCCGCTGATTTGTCCCTAATTTCCTGACTTTGAGACACAGACTCTTCTTTGAAGCGCTGCAGGGTGGCTTGCTGCTTTCTCAGATGCTCCAGCTCAGCTGTAGTCTCTTCTAGAGACTTGAGAGTTTCCTCAAGCTTCCGAGCTTTATCATCTGTCCTCGTTAATGTCTGTTTAAGCACGCCTATCTGGCTTTGCATGTCTCGATGAAGTCTGGTAGCTGTAGTCGTTTCTTCCCGAGACAGTGTAAGTTGTCTCCGAGTTTGTAGCTCCAGCGCTTTGCTCATCGCCAGTTCGTCTTCAATCTCAAGTCTTCTTTGTATCTCATAATCAATATCACTCCTCTGAGTCGAAAGCAGAACATTCACGTTTCTCAACTGTTTCAGATTAGCAATACCCCGGCCAGGCCGACCGGGCATCCTACCTCCATATTTTGATCGGCATTTTGTTGTTCGAATTCGATCAAAACGTCTTCGCTGGCCATTAGCTCAGCTTGTAGGGAGTTGAGTTCATGCATGGCTTCGGTCAGACGGATTGTCAAATCAATGACTTCTGCGTGGGCCTCGTTCCTGCCCTGCTTGCACTTTTCAAGTTCGGAGCATGCCGTCTGCCACTTGGTCGTGACCGTTCGCAACGACGTTCGGAGCTCCTCGCTCTGCGTTTGAATTGCTTCTTTGTTGTTTCGAAGACTCTTGTTGGCATCTTGCAACTCTGCCTCATGCTTCTGTGCTTCACGCTTAGCCTCGCGAAGGAGCTCTATGATCTGTTGTGTCTGCTCTGTCTTTCCTTCCAGTCGGGCCACTTCCGCTTTTGCTTCGACAACTTCGGCGTTCCCTGACTGCACTTCCAACGACAGTCTCAATAATTGATTGGAGACGTCTTGTTGTAAGTCGTGACGGAGATTTGCTATTGCCGTCTCAACCTTTTTAGAAAGTGAACCTTCAATCTTGGTCAGCGATGAATTCACTGATGTACAATCCTCTCTCAGCGGAGCCAGATCTGATTTTACCAGCAGATTGGTGTCAATCACCGACTGGATCTGATGCAGGCTTTCGAAAATACGGGCTGTCGCAGAACTCTCTGCTGCTCTCCCATTATGGAATGCACCCAGCTGTTTCGAGATGTCCTGCAGGGTTTGATTGGTGGCTTGATGCTGGCTGTGCAGTCTGATATTTTGCTTGTTTTTCTCCTGTTCCAAGTGGAGTATATGAGCCTCTAGCCTTCGACACCTTTGCTTCTCGCTCATCAAATGTTCCTCTTGGGCCACAGCAAAGGCATCCAGCTGCTTGATTGTTGCACCGCTATTCTCTGCCATTACTCTCACCTCCCGGACGCCGCTTTGAATATTCTCCATTTGCTCCGATGTCGAGCGTGAAGAGGACCGAGCCTCGTGCAACTGCGTAAGGAGGTAATCCCTGTCTTTGGCCAAAGCTGCCAAACTTCGCTGGAACCCTGAGCTACTCTGCTGCAACATCTCGCAGTCTTTGTTTGTCTCCAGAGCCCATTTCTTCAACTTGGAGTACTTTTCTCGAAAAAGCACTAAGCTCTGGTCGAGAAAATGGGAATATTGAGCATATTCATCTCGTGCTTTGGTGGCTTGTTGTAGCTCAGCTTCTGTCTGCCCCTGTAGCTCTCGCAGATCCTGGTTTTCGTTCTCGAGGTGCTCCAGCCTCTCTAGAGCTTTTTGTGTCTCTCGCGCTCGGGACATGAGCAGAAAGAGCAGATCCTCTTCTGAAGGCTGTGAAGGAGTTGTTGCAAGGTCTGTCTGAGGGTGTGTTTGACGATTGTGGAGCAGTCTCGAACGGTGTTCTGTCGGAGACTTTGAAACCCTAGATTCGTGGATCGGACCTACTCCCGCGCTGTATACTCTATGACCAATAGACCTCGCTCTTGTCATTGTGTGGACCTGGGCTGATGATGTTGAGCCTGGACTAGTGGCCAACGAAGGCTCCACGTTTTGATGGTGAGGGTGACTTTGCTGGGCTGGTGCAAAGTCGAACTGAACTTCATCACTAGATACAGCTTCCAGGCTCCCTCTCTCCTGTTGGGCTGAGAGCTGGTTGACGTGGTTATTGCCATGACTAGGATCGTACTTGGAAGGTGCTCCTGGAAAGGCCTCAACGGGTGATGCTCGGCCCCCTGCGCACATCATTGTTAGTGTTGGTGGTATTGAGAGCCTGGTGCAGCGAGACATCACCTTCAATGCACTGGGAGACGCCTCCACGAGCATCTTCTCTCGGCCGGTGATAAGCACCATCAGCCTGAGGACTCTGTGGTGTGTCGGGTTCTCCAGTCATTGCGTGAGCTTCGGATCAGGGCTGGAAGGGGCTGAGGAAGCTTGCCAGGGAGGTGGCAAAGGAGAGAGGCGAGAGGTTGAAGGGCTGCCAAGTGGCTGCGGACGCTGTTGAGTGCCTCTTCTGGGCCAAGACACCCCAGCCGTCCACAACTGCGCCTTCCTCGCGAATTTTGTAGCCATGGATCACACAGTGCGTAAACACATGAGGTGCTCCTTGACGGTTGTTGAGGCCCTGTCTCTGTGTTTGGGGGATATAGATCTGAGAGCAAGTGCATGCAAACTCTTCTATTCACAGCCACCGAGGAAAGGTCAGAGGAAAGCCACGAGGGGAAAGAACCCAGGTGTGTTCATCTTGTGTTCATTGCCCATGGTATCATCCCTAAAACAGCCGATTTCATCAAAAGGACGCCCTCAATATAGGTTCTCGACACGAAGTGTTCGTAATCACGCATACCCAGGCCGCCGGGTCCTTTGTCAGGTCGTTCCTGACGACCTCTCTACCGTCCAAACACTCTCTTCCACATGGGCGTGTTGGGACTGTCCATCTCGAAGGCGGAAGATGGAATAGTGACACTGGGAGGCCTCGGCCGTTTCTTGTCCTTCTTTCCAGCTTTCACCTGCACTGAGTCATTTCCCCATTTTGACTCGACGTCGACAGCACCACCTCGAAGTCCTTTTTCTAGGTCACGGCTGCTACCCGTCGACGGCGATCGGCTTCCACTTTCAGCCTCCTTTTCACTGGTCACAGTCGATTTCGATGGCGGCAGTTGGTCGTTCGCCCTCTTCAATGCGTGCTCCGTTCGTCGTCTCTTCTCTATCGGAGAGAAGGTCATTTTCTTGGGTGTAATCGGTGTGGTAACAGCCTTGACAACATTTCCGACCTTTCTTGCTGACCTTCGGAGGCTCTCCTTGATCTTCCATTGTCTCTTCTTTGCCAGATAGAACAAAATCGTCATCGCAGCTGATAGGCGTAGAATTACCTCGTATTAGGACACTCGACCAGCAAAAGACGTCGGAATGGACCGGGATGAAAGAGATACACTTACCACCAAGGACAACCACCAGACTCACGACCAGAGCAATTGCGATCGTGGCTCCTTTGCTCAGATTGACAGATCCGGTATCTGGGCCTGCAGCCCCGGCGTCCTCTGTCGAAGTCCCAGGGCTAGAACCAATGTCGCCCGGTTCCACGCCCTGAGCTCCTCCACCGTCACCGGATTGTGCCACGGCCCGCGAATATGCGAGGAGGTCGAGGCATAGAAGAAGTGTAAGGCCGTGCAGCAACGGCCGCGTGAGTATTGAGGGAGTCATGATCACGATGGCTCCTAAACGGAGTCGACTGTAAGATATGGAGGACAGATTCACACAGCAGAAAAGAGACGAGGATGCGAAAAGGGATCTCTTGCGATATCGACTCAGCTTATGTTGAACAGGATGGGCGTCTGCACGGCGCTGGGCACTTGGACGGCGCCATCTTGAACGGCGGCCTGGGCAAATGCACCGCCTCTGGCGCCTGGCCTCTGAGGTCGGACCTTGGGTCGAGAAGACGAAGATATCAAGTGTGATGAGTGCGATTGGAGATGGGTTGCGGGTGATGAAACGTGAAAAGAAACATCAGAAGCCAATCGTACTGGCCCCAACTGGGTTTTACTAAGCGCCCACCTGAAACCATCACATGGCTTGGCAGCTCAGAGGCAGTAATGCCATATCATCATAATATCATCAACACACGAGTACATCTCCAAGTTAACTACCGAGTACTGTATGCGGGCGTGGACGATAATCACCTGTGCAACGCCATCGGAGTCACCCAGTCTCTGGGACTCTTGCCTGTCTCGTCGTAGTCTCATGACAATCACTGCTCCCATTCACAAACCCGGAGTGGTCGAGACTTCGTGTCTACAGTGTTTCCCAACCGCCGGCATTGACCTCACTTTCCAGCTTCCGAGCTATTGTGCTCCACACACTGCCATTGATCATCAACCAGGTATCTCTCAGCAGCTTATCATACCGCTTTTGGTTGAGAATCAGTTGGTGTTTCGATCTCAATCCTGAATCCGTCTCCCCATGTTTGGTCAAATATGGTGCTGAAAAAAAGGATCCGTGACTCATGGGGTGTCTTGGTGGCAGCCCATTCATTTGCCGGAGCTCGTCCTGATTGCCACCCTTGGGGTGCTTTGTGACGTGCAGCAGTGCTACGTGACATTTCCGTATGAACAAGAACATCCCGATCGGGCTCGAACACTTGTCGAGATGCGCGTTGCAGCCACCACGCCTGCCGGTCGTCTGGCAGCACACAGTTTGGGAACAGAATATCTCCCCGCAAAAGAGGCAGAGGGCAGGATCCAGCAGCTCTTTGCCAGTTGTAGGACACTTGCGTTTGTGCGATTCTTCCATTAGCACATCAAAGTATTTGGGAAGCCCAATCAATTCGAACGGTGCCGGGTGTAATAACTTGATATCCATTGCGCTTGTGGACATCCCTTGGTTCTTCGCCTCATAACGTATGTAGTCCTGAAGCCAAATGCTTGCCCGATATTTTAGTGTGCCGGAAGTCGAGTATTCGCTAAACGATCTGAGAATGTCATCAATGTTTGGCAAGTGTAAAAAGTGGCACAGACGCTCGAGCTCTGACAAGCTTGCCTCGGAGCCGGCCGTGGTGGGAAAATCGACGCCGTGCGCGACATGAAAGAAGATGGCAGATTTTCGGAGGAAAGCAAGAGCATACACCTTGCACAACTTGAACAACGTCCCAGCCGTGCTGGGTGACATTTGTTGCAGGCTGTTGGAAAGGTGACGGCGACCTTCGTCTGTTTGCTGCAACTGTTGTCTTGCCCAGAAAACAATGTCTTCCACGCTACGCAGCTGCTCTGTTTCCGGCGTGGGGAGGCTGGCGTGTCGGATCTGGTTTTGAGCGAGCATCTCGCCCACCTTCAAGAGGGCCGTGGATTGGCCTAAGAACGCCAGAACCACCCGGAGAAGCTCGAGGGTCAGAGCCATTTGCAAAACATGGCGCAACTCGAAGCTTCGAATGGGGCCGAGCACCATCGTTGCCCGAACCAGAAACTGGAACGGGTCGATGGCAAGGAGGGGCGAGACGGTCTCGGCTTCGGTTGATGGCGTCGTATTTGTTGTTATTCCAGCTATCTGACGCTCAAGACGATCGCAAATTTCTCTGTACTGCGCCTCAACAGAACCACGGACGGTTAAGACGCCTGTAGCCGCGTAGGCCTTCAAGGTTGACGACAAGGTTTGTAGGTGGCTGAGTGTCTGTTGCGGCATGCTTGTCAACAACGACGTGCCAAACTCAGCCTCGCGGCCCCTGTGGCCAATCTCAACTGAGGCTATGGTATTCGCCAGTGTATCGACCAGGAGCGGGAATTCATGTATACTGGGGTCCTTTCGACGAACCCCTGTCGTCACCTCCAGAACTAAGAGAGTTTCTCGAAGCCGGCCGTAGATGTTTTCAAGCTCAGCAAAGGCGGCAAGCTCTGGTCGCTCGGCCCATGCTTGGCTCGTTGGACTGATCGTGAGATCACCCGATTGCCAGCGAGCGATGGCTGGGGCCAGGGAGCTGTTGGAAAAGGTTGCCAGAGTCTGTAAGTAGGTTTGTGAAGCATGGGCAGCGAACGAGGGGTCCTGAGCAGCGGTTGGCGCATCAGCGGACGGCAGACTGTTGCCCAAGAAGGATTCGAATTCTTGTGATACTTCAAGAGTTCCGGGATAGGACTGTTGTGTGTGTTTCCATACGATCGGCAGGAAGGTGTTCGCAAGCGCTTTGCACAAGGGGCAAACGAACTCATTCAACGATATCCGTTCAGGGTGGTTCCTGGCAACCTGTTGTGCGTGTCTCCGCGTAATTGATTGATAGTAATTTTCGAAGCACGTGAAGTGCATGATATGGCCGCAGCTTGTAGAGACTGGGCCCTTCTTCGTATAGCCTTTTGGCCAACCTTTACCCAAGCCTTGAAAATCCACGGTGATCTCCTGGCCATCTGCGGTCAAACGTTTGACCTGTTCATGATTGGATCCCGAGACTCCAAACGGCCGGATATTTTCGATGGAGCGGTCTAGGTTGTCGGGGACCGCAAAGAGCTCACCAACAAAATCTACATCATGCGTGTCCGTTTCCCGCAAGATGTGAGCGTCGGTGACCATAGCAAACGTGCCGTAGAATCTCGAATCGGACGTATCTTCACGACACTGAATACAGAGTCCAGCAGGATATTTCCAGTGGCGCATCTCGGTGGACTTGGGTAACTCTTCGTCGGGGGATTCCAAGTCTTCGTCTCCCCAGTCGGTCATGCCTTGCTTGTCCATGAAACTCTGTTGTTGCTGCTGAAACTGAGCCATGACCCGTGCTTTTCGCTCCATTGCTTGTTTCTTCTTAGCCTCGATTTCATTTTCGACATTGGCAGGAGAAGCTGTGTCGAATCTGCCTGATGGGAAATCCAGGTTTTGTGTCGACGTAGTAAATTGGTGGGGTAACTTCTGATGGAAAAGCCGTAGGATGTGTCTGATCTTACTTCGGCAGGAGCTAAATTCTTCCATGCGCCATATCTCGGATAGCACCGCAATTATGGTGTGTGGTGGTGGCGAGTTGTTGAAAGATAATTCCAACTTCATAGCATGGCGGATGAAAGAAGGACTGTCGCTCGCATCGTCCGGGGAATTGTCCTCTAATGTAGCAATAAGCGCAAGTTGTAGGACAATTTGAAGAAATGCCTCAACGCGTGTTGCCGAAACGCCAGCCTTGGACTTATGACCATGGGCGACGTAGACCAGTGCCTTGTGAATGAAATCTGCGAAAAGAGGAGTGTTTACAACGGCACAGAGACTGGCATATGCCTCGCACGGAATAGGGTGCAGCTTGGGATCCAGGACGATATCTTCCGGCGGTTTGTGTAACTTTTTGCCCATCCAATTCTTGTAGATGTTCTCTGCTTCATCTCTTTGGTTCTTCGTGAAATGGGAGTTGTACGGATCCAGCTCTTGCAAGTACTCTTCTTTCAGTTCAAACAAGCCAGAGTCATGCAGACCTTCCGGTGGCCGGTATTTGGTCATCTGCTCAAGGACTTCTTGGAGTTTTTCGTGGTCCTGTGCTCTTTCTGTTAGGCGAGAGTAGAGGTCGGAGTACGACAATGGTTTGAAACAGAGAGTATGGGCAATGTCTTTACGAAGCGTAAGGAGCTGGGACTCCGGGTTGTCTCGGTCAGTAATGAGAGCATCTCGATCGGAAAGTAGATTGATCAAAAGGTAAATGCAATCCTCCACAAGGTCCAGCATCTGGTTGTCATCGCAGATCTCGAGTGATTCAAATCCATTTCGTAACCACGCAGTAAGGCCAAAACGGTCGATCATTGACGCAAGTACTCTGCTGGGGTCACAGGCAACAAGTGCCGTTTGCAGAAGAAACAGATCTCGATGGTGTCCAACATCACGATGGGCGACGCTTTTGTATTGTACCATCTGATGCCGCAAACTCATCCCATTTCGGACCCAAAGGTTGGCCTTCATCTGCGCCAACCAGGCACAAACACGCAGAGGGTAGTCGAACATCGCAAGAAGGGCATCGTCGGCCGAGTTGAGGACAGTTTTGATCGAACTGTCCCGGGAGCTCAGAGAGATATCGTGTAGGTGTGACAAGAACGCCTGCGCGGTATCTCGTAGAGTATTTATGGACTGTTTAAACTCCTTCCCACATTCCAGCAACCAGGAGAGCGTGTAGTGTAGCGGATGATGGAAACTTAGTGCGCCCTTCTCCACCACGAAGTCGACAACTTTGTAGCCATAAGGATCCACTTCGTGAAAGCGGACAGGTTCTTTGATCTCTGCTTGCTCGAAGCGGCGACGCTCGAGTCCGACAGAATTTATGATTGCGACACCTGCAGCGTGCGAGATGGCGTCCCAAGTTGGGCGAAGAGCCGAAGGACTGCTGTCTTTGGAAACGTAATAAGCTTCTGCAAACTGTCGACAGAGCTTGTTGATATCGCGTGTCAATAGAGAGGCACTGATCCAGGCATCCGTTTCGTATTCAACATGTTCACCCACTGCTCTCACATTAGGACAGATGCCCTGTGACAATTTGGCCAAATCAAGGAATTGGAACAGATACTGGGGCTCGCTTCGGGCCTTAGCTTGAACGAATGGGGATGCAAGAAAGTATCTCAAATCAGAGAAGAAATGATAGAGTCTCCGGTTGGCAACAGATCCAGCGTCGAAGCCTAGGGTGGCCCCCGGGTCGAGGTCCTTCGGAAAGCCCACTTGTCTCGTAGTCAGGAAGGTGTAAAGAATGGCCATCAAGTTTGTGAGGAAGTTCCCCCGCTCGATAACCTCTTCCGTGATAGAGGGTGTGGTCAATAACTGCAATGACAGGTTTATGATAGAGTGGTCTGGTTCGCGATCTGCGACGAGATAGAGCTGAGCAAGGGTTGTATATAAGCCGGAGAACCTTAGTCCAAGGATGCGTTTGAATTGGGGAATGTTGACAAGTGTGCTGATGAAGAGATCCCGCATCTTCGTTCTTGCAAGTTTCCACAGGCGCAGATCAAAGAGGATCATTGAGTCCACCCGGATGTTCTTCGTAAGGTCTTCGTAGACAGGGATGGTCGCGTTCTGAGGAGGTTGACTTGACGGGGCTAGCTTCCAGTGATTTGGTGGCGTGGGTCGGTGGCGTGTTCTGCGCGCAGGGACACCGGGTGTCCTTGGTATATTGAGGTAGTTGGTATTGCTACCTGGGTTAGTCGGGGACGCATCCTCACCCATTGCCACGTTGTTTCCAGGATCTCCTATATCTTGAGTAGGAAGCGCTGGGGGTGGAGGTGATGGTCCGTCCATATCCATTCGCTCTGCAATATCCAAGAAATCCCCGTCACCGTCGGTGTCCATCTCGTCTGCGTCATCCGTGACATCGGCGTCGCCTGCTTGTTCGGCCAGGAGATCCAAGCGATGCGACCCGTCGAAAACTGTCGCGGTGAGGATGAGATCGTTCATTTCCCGCTCATCCACATCGATCAGTTCGTTGTCGTCTTCATCGTCCTCCTCTTCGTCGTCATCAACTTCCCAATCTCATCGCCGTCACTAGCATCATCTTCATCCAGAATTTCCCCTGCCATTGCTCGTTGTATTGCGAATTGGAGGGGGTCGAAGTAGCGGAACCTTGTTCTCCTTCTGTATTCGCGATCATCCTCGTCGCCATGATCGTCTAGTTCTTCTCTTCCCACTTTGGCGTTCCAAGCCTTACTTCCGACCTTCCAGATCTGGAGCATCTCTTCGCAAATAACACGCCGTAAAATATGACCATCTCCTGCAATGCTGGAACCAGCGATATCAGCAAGCCATTCGATGATTGTTCCACACATCTGTTCCCGAAAAGTATCCCTAGATGACCTGATCGTGACTGTAACTTTGATTTCTTCGATGATCTTTGCCATTCGGGTGAGCTCTTTGAGATCACGAGAGTGTTTGACCACACTTCTGCCGACATCGTTGGCTTCTTCTGCTTTGGCCAAGCCGAACGACTCTCGCTGACGACACGCTCGCGCAACTTGCGACTGTACCTCGCGCACTGTGTGCTTCTCGTCATTCCAGATGATCAAGCAGTAGTCAGGATTGGTTTCCAGTTCGTCTCCCGACACATAGTTTTCTGCAGAGAGCCGACTTTTGATCTCGTCTTGAGTCACCGACTCTACCGTCTTGGGCAGACGCAGGTTCTCCGGGGAAGAAGATATGATATCACAGAAGTAATCCAGAGCCGTGGCGACAGTAGTGCGAATAGACTCTTGCAGATCTGCAGGCAAGGGAGAGACATGCTCGTCGGTTGTTTGCCAATCGTCACCTGCCGTATGAATGGCACATTTAACAGGTCTCTTCCACGCTTCGTCATCGCCGCAATCGCAACATCCGCTATTTCCAGCACTGACGTTCACGCTATACTGATGCCCCTCATGGTCGCTTGCAACGAAACAGCGAGAACATAGGACGGCGGTGTTGTCGTCGGTGCAGGTGCTACAGTGATAGCTAGCCTCTCCCGGCTTGAATATATGTCCGCATGGATGTCCTCTAGCAGCTGCACTATATTCAGCATTCTCTTGTACCCCCTGTGCGTCTTGAAGCCTGTATGAAGGCGGGAAGCCCTGCGGAAAGAGGTCGTCCAAGTATTCTGCTCGGTCATTGGTCAGGGCCCGAAAGAGGATCTCTAGAAGGCTATTTCTTGCATTTGCACCGTAGCGATAGTCGTGCTGCCGCGGGTGGTCGCAGAGCGCCTGGCGCAGTCGACGGTCCAGGCTGGAGTTCAGCGTTGTCATGATGAGCGCTTCACGGTGGATGTGGCGTACATTTGGACACGCAGAAGCCTAATATTCTCGTAGAGAAAATGTATCGTAAGAAAGCTGGCTGCGCGAAGAGAGGATTCGCCCTGGGGCAAGGATACAGAGAGCGTGAGTATGGCGAGATAGTTGTCTGATGGAGGTACGCCGCTGTTAGCAGCCGAATGAGTCGATTAGCACTCGGCGCTTTGGGCTGTTCTCACAAGTTTAGAGATGCGACAAAGTAATCGGATCGTGCAAATTGCAAATTGCTTCAAGGAAGGAAGGACTTCTGTTACAAGCTGAGGATTAGGCGGAGGAAGCGTGACGGAGGCTGCGATGCAGTTACTATGACCGATCAGACAGACCCTCGAGGCCAAGGCCTCGAGGCGGTATATGGCTTCAACGTCCGTCCCCGACTTTCACAGATTCTGATAGGGGCAACATGATAGGGTCACGGGATGGGACGGGGGTACTACTGTACGATCCACGAAATCCAGCTCTTAACGTGTCCATTTTCGTTCATGTCTACCACATGTCACAACCGAAGGGCATGGTCAAAAGGTCCTTCAAAAGGTCGACTGTCCCTCATCCGGCGTCTGCCGCATGAGAGGGCCACGCCGCCACCAAATGCGCACGATTCGAAATATTGAGAGTCTCTCAGTGGTAGGCAAGCCGATCTATCTCGTTGAAGCTGCTGCATAATGTCCGAATGCAGCCATCGCCTCTTTCGCTACCGAAAACCGCTGGGAAACGAGATCGACTGGACGATTGGAAATGGTCTCAATTTCAGAATTGTTCTCGTCCTCCTTGTTATGTACATAGTCTTCCTGGGTCTTATGCCTCACAAGAGACACGGCCCCTTCTTTTCTCTTCTGGGACACCCTGGTTGTGATTGTAACTCCATGCTTCATGTGCCCGGAACCGGTCGAACTACTCCTCTTCCTCTTCTTCGGCTTGCTGCATGTATCTGTGCTTGATGTCTTTCCATTGCCGCTGCGTCGAGTCAGATTCTGTGCTGCAAGAATGTATTATGAATGGAACACGTACGCCCTTGTTCCAGTTGTCCCATATAGAGTTCGTTACACCTTCAAACGCCCTGCGAAAGGCATCAGCTGGCGGTACAGAGAATACCGCAGAAGACATGAACTCACAATTCAAAAGTGAAGGCGCCAAGGAAGATTGTCGTTAGCCAGGTAGCATTCTTTCGCATCAGGCCACTGTGAAAGGGTGAGCAGGAGCAGACACGGAAGTGTAGGGGGAAGTTCGTACTTGAAGATGCCGCTGGAAATCTGGGACTGCGGCTGTCAGTCAGTGTTTGAACAGCGAAGGAATTTCAAGAGGCGCAAACTTACCACAGCCGGCATCTTGCCAGAGTAGCTGTCGCTTAGAGCTTGGAATCGACAATGAAGGGGGAACGCGAGAAAGTTCTTCGGCAGCTCAAAATCAATCGTACGCAGGACCTTCAGACAGCTTGCGGGCAAGAGCTCGAGAGCCAAGGCAAGTAGCCCGATTCGGGATCAAGCGAAGTCTCGCTGGGCGTTATCCCAAAAAAGCAAGTATGCCGGTATATATCTTGGCGGTTCAAGAGGAGGTATATCAACGCCAAACCGGCGCCGCTTTTATACGTCGCTCACCCCCTTTCACCTACCCTCGCCTTTCAATCACCTTTCACTCACCTTCACGCATCTACCCGCACCTACGAACTTCGCTCTACCCCCTCGACGACCGTTTTTGTCCTCGCGCTAAACATTGATCCTCAGTCTGTGGCCGCCTAACCGTCACCAATATCGGAGTCTAGCACGCGGTTCTATAGGGGTTCTCCTACCGGCCTATTGTCGACCTAAAAATAGTCCCCGTAGGATCCTACAAAAGGGACCCTCCCTCTCAGTGCTCTACGTGCCGAAAGTCCTCCACCAACGTTTGTCCCTCTTACACCTTGCCCAACTGTCACGGCCGGGAAAGCGAAGGCCAGATCCATCCAGATCCGGCCACACCTAACCATGGGGAGACAGTGCTATGATTGGCTAGCTGGTACAGGACTAGCGGGCGGCCCTGATTGGATACTGTGGCAGGTGGAGGCTTGGCAGAGGCGTTCGCCACACAAAGTGGCACCAGCGCATTCTCTTCTTTCTCTCTCCCTCCTCAGCTTAGTCTCTTGATACATAGGAATACACATTCTTGGAGCGTTCTCCATCCCATATGTGCCCTACCGTCTCACTCTCTAGACTAAAGATGGTCTCTCCTTTACCTCGGAGCGATTTAGGATCCAGAATACCTTCATTACTAAAGCGTACTCCTGGAAAGGCGCTAGGCTGTCCGCTTTTTTTCAGGGGCGGTCTCCGTTACCGAGTGAGAGCGTTCGCGTTCGCCAATCAAAGTATCAGCTAATTTTTCAGGACACTGGTATAGTATTGCACCGCACCGAGGGTGCACGGCCCTGGATTACTTTTTGGAGACTTGATCAGCGCTGGGTTAAGAATAATCGTGATCCTGAGAATATCGTGTACGTCTTGCTGACCTATTGTGCTGGGGCACAGAAAGGCCGGCACTGGCGAGGCTGAGCTAAAAGTGACGGTACAGTTGTGCCGGAGGTTCTGATTGGTCGAACTATAGCGTAAGGCTGAGGCATTGCGCGACCGAAGTATTTAGACTGTTCAACCTGGACAGTCTTCCATGAAAAACAACGATTGTGCCATCAAGTACAGCAACGGAGACATTGCATGCACACGTCTATCCATTCTTTTTTCCTACAATGCGTGTCTTCATATTTACTTGCGACAGCGTTCCCTTACGAGAGGCTTGTACAAAGGATCGCAGAGGAGGTTTCTGCTCTGGTCCTCAATCTTTTTTTTTTTTGCAAACCCACGACGACAGCAGCTTGTACGGTTGGTCTGGGGCTATTGCGCCTGACGACAACATGCTCGCGTGCACCGCCCCTTCTTGGTCGACACTGTGTCTCGGCGTCACGCATACGGCAACACCATCGGTGCAGCGACTCTGGCCTAGCCATACCCGGATCGCCCTTCCACAATATCGACTCTGGTAGAGTCAGTCAGACAGTCGAATGCTCGTTCTCTCTGGTACACCAGAACACATCACCCGGCATCACTACGGCCTGTGCAATACCCTTCCTCTACCTGCTTCATCGGCTCTCCCTCCCTTCCTTTATCCGCTCTGAGAGAGTATCGCCGAAGTCACTAATAGGCCTCGTAGTTGGACACTCCTCGAGTTAAGGACACTGCTAATCAGCAAGGACTGCTCCATTTTTCAATTGATCCCAGCAATGCCGCAGGGAATTTCTGATTTCAAAGCTAAATCCTTTCGCAATGTACTCGGTAGGGCAGGGGCATCGCGACGACGGAACTATTTTTGAGCATTGCCAACGCTCCCATCCAGTTCTTGCACTTAAAGCGACAAGGCGTTAGCCAGAAGGAGTGAATAATTCGTGTAATTTTCACCCACCGCCTTCGCATCGATTGCCCTTAATGGCATTTACTGTCGTCCCATCGATCTCCTAAACGGCATTTTAGGAAAACGCTCCATATGGAACGATGTCTCGTGTAATGAATCGTTACTGTTCTCGTGGTGCGTTCAGGTTTGACGGAGCAACCACCAGCTCCTCTTTCGTCCCGGATGCACCCTTGCCGCAGTGTATCAGATATGCACTCATTCCAATCTTTTCCTTGGGTACGACGCCTCTCTCCTTCGCATTTTCGTTGTCCAATCCTGCACCTGTTCGCTCGTTTTCCTTCACCTTTCCGTACGTTTCTTTAGCCTGACATGAAGAACACTACTTATTGGTGGGTACGCAGGGCTTGGTGTTGTCAAAATTGTTCTGAACCGTCCGATGATTAATGTTGAGCTCCTGGAGGGTTCTTGATTTTGCTCTGAGTGAAGACAACATGTCAGAGTCATCGTTCTCGAAGCAGCTGGAGACTATTCCTCCTGCTCTGGAGAAGAGCTCGGATAACGCGACACCAACACGGGTCCTCCAGTAGAGTTAGAAGTGGTTTCCACACGGAGTAAATTACCAGACATCACATGGCTTACCTCGCATATCCTGGCAATAGTCGTTACAGCCGTCCAGGGTCTTACGATAGGAGGCGTTGCAAGAAGCAGCCCTCGCAGCGGGCTCCACCATCGTTGGTGGAAATCACACGATGATCTACATTGATTTCTGCGTCGTCACCAAAGTCGCCTCACCTTTCCCCGCGCCGCCACTATCACCTTCTGACCCAGCTGAGTCTGATGACAAAGTGAGACAGGGCGATGCAGGGTGATCCAAAAGTTGCTGCCTCGCTGCGTTCCTCACGCCGGACCAGCTGTACCGAGTAACGCCCAAACCGGCCCGCCCAACGTCCGCCATTTAGCTGTTCCCCAGAAAAACGGGTTTGACTCGAGACGAAAAATGACTCCGTCGGTGGACATGAGGAGAATTCAAGCTCATTCTCTCAGTGGATCCGAAGGGCTTTTAGTGTAAGGGGGCGGGGTCGGTCCATTCAAAACAAGTCCGGGGCACAATTTTAAACGCGGCGTTTTTAGAGGCTTTCTCGAGGTGATATAATCACCTAATCGGCGTCAAGCTATTTGGTTCCGGCCTGATCCAGAACTCTACCCTACCGCAGCACATGAATGGGGAAACTCCCAATTTCCACACTCCAGACGCCACGGACTTCCAAAGTGCACAACAAGTCAACGAGGTCAACGAGGTCAACGAGCTGCCTGCCCGACGATTTCCTCTGCTAAAATAATACTATCTCCCTAATTGCCCCAGTATGTAGTTCAGTCCTCTCTTTCGAAGTGATTTTTCGTTCCATTCGTTCGCTCATTTTTTATTCCAACTATCGTCGTTCCTTTTTCCAGGCCGCTGTGATGCATTTTCCCGCATACATCCTGGCCATTGTGGCCTCGTGGACTGCGCTGACTGCTGCTGCTCCTCCGAAGCCGTCTCCCCCATCTCCCCCATCTCCCCCATTTCCTCAAGCTCCCGGGCACAGCAGCAGCAGCACACGATGTTATACAAGCATGGGTACAAGCAGTGGCCTCTGGAACACTGCCACTACCTGGACCACCCGAACTCAACCCTGTACTACCACTCTTACGTCGACTACGACCAGGACCTTTACGCCAACCCAGACAACATCCACGGTTACTGTCACCAGCACAACCACCTTGGTAGGATCAACCTCATTCGCAACTGTAACTCAGACCACGACGACCACTAGCACCATCGACACAACCACGACAGTAACAACTTCAACTACGACGACGACTACTAGCACTATTTCAACCTCCACGACAACCGTAGCTGCGCCAGCCCTGTTTACTCCTGTTCAGACTTCCCTTCCAGGCTCCACGTACAGCGGATCAGGCGGCATTGACCCTGTCGGTAAGCGATCAGTCAAGCCCGGACACCAGCGTGAACAAAGCTCGAAGCCAGGCCTTTCCGAGTGGCTTTATCCCAAGGGAGTCACTTGTCATCACTGGGTATCAGACACGTGTTCGACAACGATTACGACCACTACGTCGACTATCACCGCCACGGGAAAGACAGTAACCGTTACCTCGACCTCCACCGCCACCACCACTTCGATTCCGTCTGGCGTCACCACGACCACGACCACGGCAACAGCTACGACGGTCAGCACTATCACCGACATCTCAACCTCCACTTCGACTGCTACGACCACAACAGTCCTCACAACCACGACACTCTACGCAGCCTGTGCGAGCAACAACCTTGCCGGTAAGTTGGTCTTCTCCAGTATAGTCCATGTCTGTTTCGGGTCAGCGCACAAGGACTTTACTCCACGGCGTTATTATTTCACACACACTCGGAAAAACAATGAGACTGACTCTACGCGTTCTTTAGACACATATATTGGTGGTGGGCATTTCATCGAAGGCGAGGGAGGTTTCGAGACCGTCAGCACCACCACAACGGATACCGCATACGGTTGGTCATTCCTCTGTTACACTCTATACCAATGTCTCGGAAACCAGGCGGGCGACTGCGCCCCTGATTCCAGGACCAATGCTGCATCTTTCACACTCCCGAACAAGTGACACTGACTATATACCTCTCCTTTAGACTGCTGTGTTGCTGCCCTCTTGGATAATGGTGGAGATACGAACGTCTGGGTTTTCGAACCCGCGAGTGGCGAATGCGATATCGGCGAAACAGACGACACTTGTCCCGACCCAGCCACCAACCCATCTACTGTTATCACTTCTCCAGATGGAACCCTCGTCATAGGTAACGGTTACTGCGGCGAATTTGCTGTGGCAGAGCCAGAATTCTCGGGCATTCCGAAGTAACGATGGAAAGGTTTGGGGGAGGGGGGGGGTGTGAGGAAATAATTGGCTTAGTGCAGATTGATAGTTGCTTTCGTACGTGAGCAGCAGTAATGTTCTTTAGGAGTCGACATGTTGGCTGCGGTTCAACCAATCTACATTCTTCTGTTCCCAATGTGCGCACCGGGACGTTAGCTGAAAAACTTTTGTCCTCCGTTCTTTGGAGTATAAGCTCAAAACCAATTTTGATTCTTCTTGAACTGTTTGTCTAATTCCCCTCTATGGTTCTGATCCGTAGTAACCAAAGGGCAAAGGTTCGCGCGGTGGAGCAACCTCAAAAGAAAAGTGCATAATTGTCGGGGGAGGGGGGACAACGACTTGGTGGTAATGGAGAAAAGGGCGTAAACAACGGGCGCAAGCACGGTGCGAGCAACAAAAGAACAAGAAGCAAGTTGTTCTGACCATCTCAATTCCGGGTCCTGAGGGTTGCCATCGAAAGAGTCGTGGCCGTGCTTATAAATCTCTGCACCTGCGAGTGCCGAAGTGGGCCTTTCCGTGGGCCATAACACTTTTCCCCGGAGGCTCGTCTGATATGAATGGGCTCACTTTCAAAAGATATCATGTCAAAGGTGGAATCCAGATTAAAGCGAGAATATGTCCCACTGCATGTCCTGTCCTCAACGCCCGCCGTCGTGTGGAGATGTGCAAGAAAACGTCCACGCCCAAAGCTAGAATCTACTTCTTCCCGCGCATCCTGTCTTTAAACTTCGCCATCGTTCTCCTCATCATCGTTTTCAGGACAGACGTCTGGGTATGTGTAGAGAGCGTGGGTCTCATCCTCACGCAATGTCTTTTCATGATCCTGCAGTTCATGGTACAGATAGCGGCGAGCCCACTGCCGCCATCGCCTCCAAGCCCGTAAGGAGAGCGAAATGGCTGTGTAAAGAATGCAGACGAGCGCGACAAAAGCAAAGAAGCCGGCCACCGGCTTCGACGCTTGCAAGGTCAGCGCGCCTTCTGACACAGAAAGGCTTGCGCTGAAGTCGTGGATCCCACTGTCGTCGTCTCGCTCAAACTGACTCTCGGCATACTCAGGAAGGACGGTTACCTTCACTTCCGACGTGCCGAGAAGATTTCTATATACGTCGTACGCTTCGGCGTAGGTGTAGCGCCAATATCCGGCGACGGCCATGCTGCTCTCGAAGCTAACTTTCGATACGCTGCCGAGTTTGTGGAAGGTGTCGTCGCTGCCAACGCTGGACGCGCCATAGAAAGTCCATGAGGCCACCTCGGTCGCACCATTCCAACTCACATACAGGACGGTTGAGGGAACTGTTTTTGGCGAGCCACCAGGGTGAGCGTACGACACCAAAGCCGGTGGTTCGGCAGGTCGTCCAACCCAGTCAGCAAAGTGGTACCCGCGGTACGTGTCGTAACGATCCCCCAGAAACCTCGCCTCTAAAACAAGGCGGCCATCGGCAGTGTGCTCGCTAATATACCCATTCATACTCCAGCAGATAAAAGCATTCCCACTCTCCAAAATTTGAGCCGAGCCACGTTTATCAGTTAACTGGCCGTCAGGCCGGACGTATTGGGCCAAAAGCTCCGCACGGCGTGGCTCCTCACGATCATAAACTTTGATCACTTGCATCGAAGAGGCGTCCGCGGTGTACGCTGGAGGTCCACGGTCGTCAGCAGCGTTGTCGAATAATGTGATAGTCATTCCTGCATCATCCTCAGCTAGGATTCGAGCATGGTGCTGGCCGGAAAAATTAAAGTTTTGCTGGAAGTTACTGTACTTCCCCCCCAGGCGCCAGATAATCGAGCCATCGTTCCCAGAGATTTTATAGACGGTACTGGTGTGGCGAAGTGAGACGAGATAGTCGCCGCGGGCATCCTTGGTAATAGAATTGAGGTGGAAAGCATCCCAGTACCTATAATGCTCAGGTGGTAATTCGATCATTGAGTCGGCAACGGAAATATGATCAGTAGACTGCCACTCAAACACGTTCTTGCCGGCAGTGAAATCCCACTCGCGGAATCCTCCTGCTTTGACCTTGATTTTCCTATTCGGTAGGCCCAAGTCGGTAAGGTCAACAGGTACATCGGATATAGTGGCAATAATAATTCGGTTGTTGTCGATACTGTTAAATTCGTGCATATCGTACGTCCCGGAAAGATCGATCTCTTGGGCCACCTGATATTTCTCGTTGATGATAAATCCGGTTGGTGCCACGGAGTAGTTAGATTGCGGGAGACGTGCAATACCGGCCACTGCAGTCAAGACCTTAGAGCCGTTGACCTCACCCGCTCGAAAGTCAAGGACCTTGCGAAACTCGAACATCGGACCGCCACTCCATACCAGGTCCTAACAAAATTAGTATATGGACGGGTACCGGCGGGATGGTAAGCTAGCCCACTCCTCGATGATCGTAGATATGCGGACCATTCTGATATGGGATGTATTCGTCCTCCGTTCTGCTAACCATAGGGTTGTAAAAGGGAGACAGGAACCAGTATCCGGGCGTGACTGCGTCCGCTTCATATGTATTCAATCTCAACAGAGGGGGACGAAGGTCCGGGCGCTACGGAGAGCACGTAAGAAACCGTCATGTATGTGGCAGCGGTCATCTCTGGCAGCTCTTACCGATACATAATAAGCCAGATCTGAACCTTGCTCCGCAGGCGGAAGGCGTATGCCTGTAGCCAACGACAACAGGGTGCTCGCAGCTGCGAGAAAGAGTGTTGATGTCTTCATGACTTCCCCGTGGCCTCGAGGGTCTTGGCCCTCGGAGAAAGATGGAGAGGTGAAGAGAGAGTTTCACGAAATGATCGAATCCTTTAGGAACAATGGTTGCCGAGAGTCGATTCCCAGGGAGAAAAGGAAGAAAGGGAAAAGTCGAAGCAGGGACGGTGGCAGCTATCGATAAGAGAAATGCCACAGTAATGTATGAGGATCTGAGAATCGATTAACATGTGCTATGGGGGAAAGTGGATTTAGCTTGATGGGGATGGAGGAGATGACCGGGGGAAATTGCTTTATCTCATTAGGCTAGCCTAGACCCTGGCGTCCGTTATATTCGGCACCCCTGGGTTAGGGGCGGATAGTGCCGAGGGGTTGCGGAGGAGAGGGGCGGCGTTTAATTTGAGGTAAATTTCGAACACGGTACTGAGTATTAATTACTAGACCGGCCTAATTAGGCAGGATCTTATCGGCAGATCTATTACGATAAACTTGTTGCGTTCTGAGCAATTGGCAGTATTGGCATTCTCTGGCTGGCAACCTGTCTGGCCTTCTTCTTATAGCGAGAGAGGCCAGTTCTCTTCTTATATATACAAATACGAGTTGTTGCTTGTTGGCTACTGACTCGTTGCACTGGTGCCTATAGCACTGCTGCCCGTAGCACTGTTGCCTGTTGGCAATGGTGTCAAACAACCCTCTTCACGGTATTCGACTGCATGGCGCAGTCTTGGCGTGCCAGATCTCAACAGCAGTACTCGGTATATAAATGCAGGAGACCAATGTGCGTGCACACTGGTGTCACGTGCACGCTAGTGGGAATTCTTCTAGGCGCGCCCTCACATTCGTGGATAAAGGCAGACAGGTAGCAACAGGATATGGCAAAGCAGGATAAGAACTATCTGTGTCTCCCTGCCTAAGGTCGGCTCTATCTTCCCTCTCGCTTTCTATCCTCAGCCACAAGGAGCGGATCAAGGAGACGGACAACAAAATCTTCGGAGGGAGTAAGAACTCTGGTGTAGGTATCGTCGGTTGATGCCGGTGGCTTTACGTCCTGTGCGGCGTTGACCGAACTCCCCTTGGACGCCCTTGGAGTAACCTCTCTCGGCTCGACCATCTTCTTTCACTTCCTCCCCCTGCGGCCGTTTTCGACAGTCAGGCGCGGATCAATGGCAGGGACATCAGTGCCTTCGCAAGGCGCCGGAGTACGAGGCTCATCCGGAGATTCCGGTGTGGCTGTACCGTGCCATAACTGCCCGTCATGCCAATCTGATTGAATAAGATCCGGGATCGAAACATCGGTGCTGGATCGTTCCAACGGCATCGTGGATTGCGCACCATCGCTGAAGTCATCCCCGGCTGCCTCTCGTCATTCATCGCCGGCGTGAAGTACGCTGATTATGCTCACCGAGCATCCTCCGGGCGTGACAGCTGCGACTCCCGTCTTCTTAATCTTCCTCCTCTGCCTCCCCCCGACGATGTCCTTCTGGGTGCCAGGCAACGGTTCGGCTACCGCATAACTAGATCTGCCGGCCGTGATGGGTGAACGGGTGAGCACAGGGCAGCGTCAGACTCTGTTCGAAGCTGTGTGGATAGCGCGTCGCAGCTCCATCCCGGTCTGTCCTCAGAGAACCAATTCCATCAACAATGAATTGAAGTCCTGCTACTTGGTATACGACAAGCTTGGTTAAGGGCAGCGCGTGGCTTCCATTAACGCAATATCTCTGAAATGGAGCCATGGGACAGGACTGGCACAATCATATTTACGAAGCCTTTTGGCGACACCAGTGTCGCTGCTCTGCATGCCCAGCTGGTAGATTTCTAGGACTGCCTTCGATGCGCCTCGAAGGAAAGCAACCATGACGTCGCTTAAACTAACACAACGCCAAGCAGACAGAGCTGTACAACAACTACAGGTGCACCACCAGCTAGGCTGCCCAAGTAGCAAAGACCGCTCAGCACTGACTTGGGCACCATTGATGGACTGCTGGGTGGATCTAAGGCTGAGCATGCGAGTTTGAGAGAAGAAGAGCGACTGAAAGGATCAGCTCCAGAGACGGAGTTTTATTGCCAAAGAGCGGCGCCCTGGGTGGAAATCAAAGGCGAGACCATGAAACTTCACGGTTTGGGTGACATGGGAAAGGAAGGGGACAAAATCTAGCTGTTGAGGTGCGTGGTTCAGCACGGAGTCAGTTGCCAATTGTGGACAAACGGCCTTGTGGTCGATAAGCTATGAGGGGGCTGGCTTAGAGACTCTGAGTGAGGTTCTGTTGACCTATCTCGACTCCTAGACCCGGGCTCAAGGTGCGTGGGTGCTTGACGACCTTGAGTATCACCTAGGAAATAGGAATCGGCATCTCCCCAGACACATACTCGTTCTATCTCGACCCTACCTATGCATGGGCTGTGTCACGACTTGTGATATTGTATGTCTTTACCCCTGTCGTGCTCCCCACCAGCTGCGGGGTTTCGCTTGTAGATCCAGCGAGCGCAGTCATCGCTTACTTTTTCTTTTACCATGTTCGTCCCCCCTCACTGCTCGATCCACAAAAGCCCCCGAATTATTATTTGCAACGCCCTTCTTCGCCTTCCGAAAGCCTAGTTCTGAACGGCTTTGGCTGCGTCGCGCCCGCGGAACCCCTTGGAGAGGCCAGCGAGTCCACGATGTTGGCGCCCACCTGACCAAACACAAGCCGGGAACAACGCTTGCCGCCAGCGGCTCTTCCCACACAATGTCGAGTCGACCTTCCGACACGCCTCGAGCCAGCAAATCCGGCATACAAACTACTGCGGATGGCGCTTCATACATTCCGGCTTCGAAACGGGCGGATGGCTCTACCAGGAAAGAAATCCGAGTTAGGCCAGGCTATAGGCCCCCGGAAGACGTCGAAACCTACAAAAATAGGAGCGCCCAGGCATGGAAGAACAGAGGTCAAGGGGCTGTCCCCGGCGCAGAATCGATCGCCGTAGCTAAAGAGGATAGTGTCGCCCTGAGCAAGAATGCGAAACGCAGGGGAGCACGGAGGAGGGCCGCAGCACAAGGGTCAGCAGATGACCCAGAAGGCCCAGAAGGTCCAGAAGATCCAGAAGACCAGCTCACATCAGCGATGCAAAAGACTGAAATCTCAGAGAGAGACAAGCGGAAGGAGAACCGGCAAGATCCCTCGGAACTGGTAACAAACGAGGCGCTGGCCGCCGATATCGAGATGGAACAACAAAAGAAGATTCGCAATCAGTTGAAGAAGTTACGTGCAATCCGTGAACTGAGGGACAAGCGGGCGGCTGGCGAGAAGCTGTCGCCGGACCAGATCATGAAGATCGGAAAAGAAGGCGAACTGCTGCGGGATCTGAAGAAGCTGGGCTATGACGGCCCGGAGCTGCAGACAGACACTTCCGAGCCTGGAGACGGATAAGTTCGTCAACGAATCCAGTCTGTTGAGGGGATGATGCAACTGCTATTCCACGAACTATCGACAGCTTCCTGGGGTTTGAACTGATCTCGAGCCCAGGGGACGAGCCGTGCCCCCACCCTTCATTCTACTTGTCTACGGATCTATCCTCACGAGGCCCATGGGTGGAAAGGCTCCAAGGGCCATGGTTTTTGGATAAGTGGGAATGAGTTGGAGATATAAAAGACGATTATGACCAATGGGCTTTTCAGCCTGAGCTTTGCAGAGCTATTTGAAACAGGAATGTAGCCTTCAGAGTCAGCCGCGTCACCGGCGGCAGCATCATCAGCGACGCATTGTCGAGAGTCCTAATCTCAGTCTAGTGAGGAACTGCTCCTAAACGGCATCCTGCCAAACCGCGTCTTACAATTTACGATCGGGTGCGTGGTCAGAAACGGGCTTTGCATGTCTAGTTTTATGGCAAGTGAGCCGAATCGCCCAGGCATGATCAAGTCAAAATTTTTGAGAGAAATCGATTCCATTCGTAATACTGGTGCTCCTGTCAACTCTTCCTCACCTCCAGGTCCCTATTGACTCGTCCCGAGACCTCCTCCGCATGCACCGCTCGGTGTGTATCCACTGGATATGCGCGCGGGTGGCCGTCATGCTCCCTACCAAAATGCCGTAAAGTACGCATTGCGGCCTCCAGCGTACCCGGGCCTACGTCTCCATACGTTCCATTCGACTGCCGGCCATGGCTTCGTCAGGATTCCGCATCCTGACGGTCAAGACGTTCTACCTCCCCCGAATCCGCATGCTCGAGAGATAGCCATTCTGGGCGGAGGATTCACAGGCCTCGCTACAGCCTTCCACTTAAGCAGCCAGCTTCCCAATGCTAAGATCACAATACTTGAGAAGAACGACAGGCTCGGTGGATGGGTTGACTCAGAGGTAGTCCAGGTAGACAAGGGAGAGGTTCTCTTTGAATGGGGTCCCCGAACACTGAGAGCTGGATTGGGCCCTGCGCCGCTTGCCATGCTCGAGCTGGTAAGTTCAATACTGCTATGTCTTCTAGTTTGTCCTGCTAACGGGATTTCCAGCTTGCACAGCTTCACATAGGTAAAGATCTCGTCGCCATCTCAAAGTCTAGCCCAGCTGCCCTTAATCGATACATCTACTATCCTGATCATCTCGTTCGCTTGCCTGTCTTGTCCAGACACACGTCGCTCTTTGAGCTGCTTCGGACTCTGAACGCTCTGCTCACGGAGCCGCTGTACGATGGAATTCTGAGATGCACGAGAGAACCGTGGGTGCCTCCCCGGGATGAAGATGTGAAAGACGAATCCGTCGGGGATTTTATATCGCGAAGATTTGACAAGAGTGTCGCGGATAATTTGCTCTCCGCTGTATGCCACGGGATTTTCGCTGGTGACATCTACCAGCTGAGTGCCAGGACATTGCTGCCGCAGTTGTGGCATCTCGAGACCAGAGATCGAGAAAGAGCGCCCGGCATTCTCCTGGAGATCCTGTCCAACATGGTAAATCGCACTACGTTCACGCCACTTAACGTTGCTCTACACGTACACCGGCAGATTCTGGCGCTCAGATCACGAGAGAACTATTTCAGCAGAATACCGAATTTGGACAGCTTCGACGAAATGAGCGTCTATACATTCAGGCGAGGGTTGGGTCAAATTACCTCTGCGTTGGAACAAGAACTTAGCAAAAACAAGAACATTTCCATTATACGGTCAACCTCGGTCGAGGATGTCGTGTTCGATGAGAGCAAGAATCACGTATCCATCACGCGAAGCCCGGCTGGAATCACCTCAAACTATGATTATGTGGTCTCGACGCTGGGCCCCCGATCGCTGAAACAGTTTCTCTCTGGCAGCGTCCGAGGGTCAGGCTCAACGCTGGACCCTAAGGTCATAAATGCATGTGACCACAGCGACTGCTCGGTCAATGTCATGGTTATCAATCTTTACTACAGCAACCCGAACTTGCTGCCCTCGTCGCTCAGAGGATTTGGGTATCTTGTTCCACGTTCTGTGCCGCTCGAACAGAACCCCGAGCGTGTGCTGGGTGTGTTATTCAGCTCCGAGACCTCGGGTCGTTCTGATTCAGTCGCCCCCAGATCTGCCGGCCCTCATTTCACTTCCATAGACAGTGATCCGGCCAGCCCACAAGATCCAGATCCCCCAGAAGGCAATTCGGAGGCTGTGCTACAGGATACTGCCCCAGGCACCAAGCTGACGGTCATGATGGGTGGACATTGGTGGAGTGAATGGGCGCCGAGCGATCTGCCCAGTGAAGAGCAAGCTATTGAAATGGCCCAGGCTCTTCTGAGAAGACACCTCAACATCGAGGAATCTCCTGAAGTGGCCAAAGCACGGCTCAATCGCGAATGTATCCCACAGTATCCCGTCGGATATGCTCAGGACATGGCTACCATTCATGAAGCTTTAACGTCCACATTTCACGGACGACTGAAACTTGCAGGTCCTTGGTGGCGAGGCGCTCCCGGAATGAGCGACTGCGTCCTTGCTGCACGCGAAACAGCATGGGCAATCCGCGACAACGAAGACGACTACACCGGGATACAAGGGTACACGCACGAGTCATGGGTCAGAACTCATGTCCCGACAGGAACGACCTCTACTGAGCGTATGCAGTGAGGCTTGAATCTCCACCTACACTATAAAAAAGAAGGCTTTCCCTCTCACAAATTCGGCCCAGGCGACAAACTTGGATTTGTCATGAACAGGGGTGAGCCCAGCTCAAGGTCAATGAATGCCGTGGCAGCGATACAAGAGACTTTTGGAACCAATCGAAAGACGGGGTTTTTGTACATCTCATCCGACCTTCTCGATAGACCAGCGTCATCTTCTAGAGTGTTTCTTTCAGCTCACACTTGTCGTCGCCTGTATTATATTTTTGAGTTACTTCCTGTGGAGTGAGAGTTAGGAAGAGCATAAAAGTTTACGATTGAGAATGCACATGTTATTACAACCAGCCTTGAGATTCTCCATCTGCCGATCCTCATGCAGTGCTGGACATCGACCACAGAGACCGCAATCCGTGGGCCTCCATGGACGAAGGGCGTGTTCCTCAAAGCCTCGTGCTTCTGTGCCGTGATGGAGCCAGGATCCTCCCGCCTTGTCAAACACCTGCTAGTCCTTTTCTTACGCCCTTCACTAACAGAAATTGTAACTCTGCCAATGACAGTGGACAAGGCTAGCACGGGAAGCCTTTATTTACGCGAGACACAACACGGGCGGAGCATGCAATCCCGGCTCAATAACCCTCCGCTATACGCACAAGTCCACTGAGGGAAGTACTTGCTCAGTGGGTGCTACCTGGAACGAAGACAAGACTGCATTCAAGTTCATTGCACGGATACGCGATGGATACGCGCATGAGGCATACCAGCTAACGGACTCGAGGCCTTTTACGCGGGCGGCGGAAGGTGGTGGTGGTGGTGGTGGTGGTGGAACCGGAGTTCTCTGATGACCCAGACTTTGCTCAGTTATCTACATCGTCCTCAGTCTATCGACTTGGCTCACCTTCCTCTTCCCATCAGTCGGATTGCAGCATGCGCGGGTCACTGTTTCGAATTATTAAACAAAGGAAGGTTAGAGTACCGGCGTTCTTCGGCACTCTGAGTGAAGGGAAACCTGTCTGGTAGTTGGCATTGAGTTCTCCCCTCCTCCCTCATTTTCCCACGCCCTTCAACAACATGCACAAACCCACACTCCACTTTATTATTTCACATCCATAGCCTTGCCGGCGATCGGCTAAGACGGCTTCCACGCTCCAGGAAAAGTGGCGTCGCTATTAGAGGCCGGTTTCGTCAACTAGAAATATCCTTTATCCTTTAAGTCCCTCCCCAGCCCGAATCCAAGTCCGAGTATGAGGTACTCCGTACATACCTGGTTGGCACTAATATTAGTACGACGGCCTTCAATAGTATTTACTCATATTCTAAGGCTGCCCTGAGAGTGGGCTCTGGAGCTCAGACTAAAAAGAGGTTTCTTTATCTTTCAGTTGATATTATCATTCTCCTTCGTGCTCTTGATTCGGTACCGAGTCGCTCCGTCCTTTTACTTTCCGGGTCCTACCTTATTTGCTCGATCACGTCCTCTGTCCTTTCTTCCTTTCTTTCAGACTTCTCTTCCTCGCCAGTAGTGCGATGTCTCTTCTGTCACGCCAGAGAACACGGATATTTCGTGCTCGCTTCCCAACAACATCGGAGTTGCGTACCCAGCTTCCACGTTCGATGGGAAGGCACTCAGCACTCAGTGAATGCGATGTCCTTTGTGCATGGTGGTCACGGCAAGTTCGATGATGGTCTTCTAGCCCCCGCCCTCGACTGGAGTGTCGAAGGCACTTGGTCCGAGCGGCCATGACGAAGAAGGAGGAAGAGGATATGGAGAAGACACCAGGTTATGGTTGAACCGGGACTCAACTTCCGCACACATGGAGACGGAGGTGGATAAGGGGGGAGCCAGCAGCGCTTGCAGGGAGGTAGGCAGGCGACTCCCTCGACTGGCGGACTCACTGACTCACCGATGCGATGATGCTCAAAGATGAGGTGTTCGAAGAAATGCTTGCAGAGAAGCCAGACAGTCTGCCGGCTTCCGTTCATGCATTTATCCATCCATCCATCCATCTTACGACCTTTGACGCCCTGGAGACCCAGTGGATAAACGCCCAGCCCACTCACAACTTCAATCAATCCCAAACCCCAAGGTCCTCAGGATCAAAGAAAAGACAGACAAGCAGACCCAGAGAAGGTCAAGACGCTGGATGCACACGAACTGGTCCGGTCGGTTCATGACCTTGTTTTCCCTCCTCTCCTCAGCTGCGCTGTGCTCCACACACACACACACACACACACACACACACGCACACACACACACATTGCCGGAGAACGGCCTTCAGCAATCTGCTTCCAGTCTTGTTGTGAGAGACGTCGACGTTATGCGACCCGGGAGAGACACATGGGTCGGATGAAGACGAAGAGCAGAGTCGAGGAACGATAAGAGATGAGCGCCGGGAGAAGTGAGACGAGAGACGGCTTCGAAAACCATCGACCTCGACGTCAAATTCCGAATACCAGTCCTGGTCCAAGAGAAGAGAGGTTTCCATCGGCCCTTCAACTCGGTCACATTGGCGTGACATGAGGGAAAGATGTCGTTGAGAGGTGTCGAAGGGTCGCCTGATCGACTATCATCCGTCGGGCTAACGTACCTGCTAATCAATGACTCCTCTACAGGGCGTCAACAAGAACAAGACACTGACACAGCAAGTACACGAGGGACACATCGCGAGTCAAGTTACGTGGAAATTCCTTCCGTTGGAGAAAGTTCCGAATGATATTATCATAGCTCGCCTACGAGCTGGCTGATACTTCTGCTCTCGAAGACACATTGACATGACCGCATGCAGGGTATGGTATATCGCTTTTGGACCAAAGGAAAAGCGTCAAAAACACTCCTCGCTTCCCGGCCCTCGCTTTATGCGATCCAAAACCAGATCCTCTCGATGATGTTTCTCGGCTTACGTTCAGGCCACACTATGGCATCCAGCGCGGCCTTGCCCGTGTACAGATCGGCCTCGGCCGCCTTACGGAAGTGCGTGCGCTTGAAGATCCTCCAGAACAAGTACAGGCCGAAATAGATCGGCACTCCGATATAATCGGTGATAAAAGCCTGGTAGTCCCAAGTCCCTGCAATGGAATCAAAGCCATTGAAGAAGATGATCAGGCCGAAGAAGATTGCAGAGGCGTAACCAAGATATGGTTGCAAGGGAGACTTGAAGGGCAACTCGTTGCGGTTGATGCCTTGGGCATGGCAGGCATAGTAAAAGCGGAGGTAAGCAATGCAGATGCTGACCCACGTGAAGAGTGTCGAGATTGTGGTCAAGTTCTGGAACCACGTGAAGACGGTATTGGAGCCGGAAGAGCAAGACATGTAGGTCAGGAAAGAAATTGACCAGGTGACTAGTACACACCACACCGGGACACCGGTCTTTGTGCACTTGAGCAGGAATCGGGGTGCTTGACGAATTTGCGCAATACCGTACAGGTATCGAGAACCGGTGTACAAGAAGGCGTTGGCTGACGAAGAAGCGGATGTCAAGATGACAGCGTTGATGATGGATGGAAGAGCATCGATACCGGCGCGGTTGATGGCAATGACCCATGGGGATTGAGCGGCACCGGGCGCTCCATTTTTGCGAGCGTTCAGAAGATTGGGGTCGTTGTACGGGACCAAGACGCCGATTGCCAGAGAGCCCAGGACGTAGAAGAAAAGGATACGCCAGAAGACTCGGCGGACGGCCTTGGGGATGTTTCGACGAGGGTCCTCAGCCTCACCAGCGGCAACGGCCACCATTTCGACACCACCGTACGAGAAAGCGGCGTTGACGAGGGTGGACCAGAGACCGAGGAAACGACCAGTGCTGCCGGAGGCAATGTATTCTTTCATGGCACCGGGGTTGTTCCAGTATTGGAAGCCGAGACGGTGTTGCCCGGGGACCCCTCCGCAATCAATGATGAGGGCCAGTATGAGCAGACCCAGGATGGTGATGATCTTGATGGAGGCGAAGACGAACTCGGCTTCACCGTAAATGGAGACGGCAAAAATGTTCAGGGCCAAGACCAGCACGATAATGATCGAGATCCATGCTGCCACGTTGATGTCACGAGCGCCGTGCCAGAACTGGATGACGCTGGACGCTGCAGAGATTTCGGCGCAGAGAGTGATGGCGCAGGAGTACCAGTTGTTCCAGCCAACAGCAAAGCCCATGGCATCATCGACATAACGAGCGCAGAATTGTGGGATGGCACCAGGGAGCGGAAGCCATGTGGCCATCTCACCCAGGGACATCATCATGGCGAAGACAGCCAGACCAGTGAAGGTATAGCCAAGGAGGACCGACAGCGGGCCGGCTTGAAGGAAGGCACGGCCGATACCCAAGAACAGACCGGTACCGATGGTGCCGCCGAGTGCAATGAACTGGATGTGACGAGATTTGAGACCTCGCGAGACATAGCCATATTCCTCAGCAGTGGCGATGTCGCCGAAGATATCGGTGGCTTCGTTGACCTTGGAGCCTCGTCGAGCCTGAGAAAGGAGAAGATGTCAGTGACCTTGAGCCAGCCTCATTCCTTCTGCCGCGCGCGCGGTGCAGACTCACCTCGATCTTGTTGGCCTCGCTATAGTCATTTGGGAATTTCTCTGGCGACTCTGAGCCAGAGGCGAGATGGAAGTCGGGGCCCTTCTCCATGTTGGAGCTTGTCGGGGCTATTGGAGCTGTCGAGTGCTGACTGTTTGGCCGTTCACAGGGCTCGAGGATGCTTTGGGGTCGAGTAGGGGAAAAGCAAGACAGAAAGAGCCTTGCAGGGTCAGGGCGAGCCGGGCAGGTATATGTAGGACAACAACATGTGCGCGTGGGCCATGAATGGGTGGTGGTGGTGTCTGGGGGTGTGGCAGATTACCCTGGCTGCATCGAGCCCATCAAGCCCATCGACAGCTCTGGCATCATTGCGTGCCCCGAGAAACGACGAGATACGAACTGTCGAGACTTTGAGTCTGGGTGCCAGAGTGTGACGCTGCGACCCACCCAGACAAGGCGAACCGGGCCAAGGTCGACGCCGGAAGGGGGCGAACACTAGCACACAAGGGCAATGGTGCAATAGTGATCGTCTATGGGTACGGGGTACAGTAGCTCTGGGCGGTCGAGACTCGACACTGGAGGGGGGTTGGGCAAGGAGAGGACAGGACCGGATGAGGGACCCTGGTCGGGCAGAGTTCTCTAAGGGAAGGTGGAAGTCGCCGCTCGATGGGTGGTTGGAGGAGTTGTGGTGGAGCAGGGAGGGTGTGATCTCCGTTGGCCAGGGAGAGATGCGATCAGGGTTGACGAAGAGGCCAGTGAAGGTGAGCGAGAGGCAGCCTGCATCAGTGAGAATCCAATTCGAGCAGGTGGCAAGCGGTGATAGCGTGATAGCGCAGCCAACGACCAACCCTAGGCGTTCACCCTTCGGACAGCTCGAAACAGGTGCGCCTCGCACACAGGCAGTGTTCCACCGGGCGCCAGTATTTTTGGTACGCCTCTGGACACCGTTGGACAGGCGTCGACCTGCGGCAAGGCAGTCTTTTCGGGCCCCCAAGCCCCCGACATTGCGATGGGAGAAACTCGGATGGTCGAAGATCAGGTGAAATTGAGGTGTAGGGTGTACACAGGAAGTGAAGGCAGAACTGAGGCGCATGTCTGTCTCGTTGGTGGTAGCGTAGTGTGGGGTAAAGTGGTAATTCATAGCGCTCCTTTACGAGCTGCAACTAGGGTATTCAAGCACCAAACAAGCCACCAGGAACAACGAAGCACTGGGCCTCACTAGCCCCCAGGATCACCAAGAAACCCAGGAAGGAAACCAAGCAATAGGCACAAGCAACAGGCGAGCAAAGCCCCCAAGAAACTGCCTCAGGTGTGCCCAGTGGCTTCACCAATCTCCGTCACAGCCCAGCAACCTGGAAACCCAGGGAGCCCCAGAAGAAAAGCGCCCGTGAAATTACTGCTCTTTGGGCTCAACCAGAAGAAACTCTGTCCCAACTCTTCCTCGCACTTCCACATGACCTTTCCTGGCAGGATGGCTACCCTCCACGACTGGCATTGGTTCTCAAGATGCCAATTTCAATTACTCAATCATGGCCAGAAAAAACGCCATCTGGACCAGGAGGAACCATCAGTTTTAGGGCACTCCAAGCGAATGTTCACCAGCAGGGCGACAGGGGGCGGCCCTAGTCGCCCAATCCGGTCCCCGCCTCCGACGCATCGCACCTCGAATTAGTAGTCAGTTCGAATGACTTCTAGAAGGCCGCCAACGGGGGAGTTGCATCGAGCTAACAGACAAGTCGTTGGCGCCGAATCCCAGAGGTTTAGGTGCAGACGCAGTGGTGTATCTGTTACCCCTCAATATTTCCCAATCGGTTTCTTTTTTGTCGTCGATTAACTGATCTCCTGGAGGAATGAAGCAGCACAGTGCTGACATCCCTTCTTCGAGAACCGACCGTTCAAGCTACACTTACTGCCATCCACGCTTCTAGAAGCCTGTTGCTCGTATTCGAGAACTCTAACTTCTCTCCTACTTGGCTCGGCAAAACTTCATGGAGCGTCGCCACAAACGCACCCTCCTTTTTTGGCTTGGTATTTCCGACGGGCAAGGAAAAGAGAAAAAAGAAAGACGCATATGAGATGAAGTAATATCACTATTGCCGTCCGAGAATAAGCGCTTCGCTGAGCTCTGTATTATGTTTTCTGACGGAACTTCATTCCGCCCCAGCTGCCAGTTTGACTGCGAGGTCGTGCTCAGATGCTCCGTGCATTCTTCACGACAACTTCACCAACAGACTTCGTACTCGCCCTCTCAATGAGGTTCGAAAAACCTTGTGGATGTTGGTGCTGGCTCTCGTCACAAAGCTGTGGCAGGTTGACTTTGCTCCGCAGCTATCGTCATGATCTCCGACCAGCCTTGGCCCCCGGTGACGGCCTTGACTTAGCTCGCTAGCCAGTCTCCCTTCCGTCAAGTACATAGAGCCAACGAGCCCGTCACTCTGCTCTTGGATCTTGGCGACGAGGCTCGCTCGCCTAGATATGCCCTCGAGGCAAGTCACCGAGACTTTGTCGATCGATTAGCTTCTTTCATGTTCGATGTTCAAAACCGATTTCTGGATGCGGTTGTTCATGCCGTTCCAATTTGGCAACAGGAAGCTCCTTTGAAGCTTTCCCACTTTGGTCGACCAGAGGCTGCTGATCAGTGATGCTCGATATCATTCTTCGACCTGTACATGGAACACCGTCGTTGACATCACTACCTCCCCAAGTCGTTATCGGGGTTGTGCCTCACGTCACCCTGACAATCATGATATACTGGGATGAACACCATGAGCATCTATACGAACTCTAAGATGACGTCTTAGCCAAAGTGATTGGGAGCGTTTCGTGATGTTTTGCACCATTTACGGATAAGAGACTTGCACAGGAGCCTCATTCCATATTGGCCGTAGTCTGCTACTGAAGAAAGCGTGGGATTATCGCCATTGTCTGGCTGCCCACCTACGTGCGGATGGGATGGCCGTTCCACATGTCAGATCACTACTATCACTCGGAGAGCTTGAGAACTGTGGCATGAATCCACAGGGCGTTATCGTACGTGTGGCAATCGGGGGCACATGCAAACCAGCCTCGTACGATGCCAAACAACGGCTTCCTCTCCTGCTGACCACAACTGATGAGCAGCGTTGGACGGACGATGCATGAACCCGGATTTCGAGCCTTCTTGGAATTCCCAATTCTCGTCCTTCTTCGCATTGTGACGTGCTCCTTACTTACCCTCTGCTGCCTTCCCTTTCTCCGCCTCAATATAACAGGCAGCATCCTACATCGGACCAGAAATTGCCTGTCTGATCAGAGCCACTCACTTCTCTAACTCCCAGACTGCTGTTGTTCTGCAGTACATTCCGGTGTCTCACTGGAAGGGCAATCACAATTTGTTTTTGTTTTTTTGAGACTTTAAGCGGAAGTCCTTGCGCCGCCGCCGTCGTGAGGAGCGGTCAATCCAGCAGAGAGAGGGGAGATAGACATTGGTAACCATCTGTCCGCCCATACTGGCTGGTTGTTTCCCCTTCCTTGTAAGTAGGAAGGACGTGTATTTCATCCGCATCTGTATCTGCGAGACGACGCTCCTGCTCTCCTCCGAGCTTGGGAGTTAGCATTCTACTTACTCGGTCAACGGAAAGAAGAAGATGTCGCTGACGGCGTGTCATGTCATGGCATGTCATGTGTCATCAGAGAAGCATGAATACGATGTAGATGATAGAAGATGTAAACTTTGACCTCGTTTTCCCAAAGACCTCATTATCAATTGAAAGGCTCGCTTGCTTTTGTCTACTTCTTCATCTCCCGAACCAGACTGCCAAAATGCTCCTTGTGTTCCTCCGCCAGCTTGCCTCTCGTGTCGCTAATGATGGTCAACACCAGACTATAGTTGTTATACAGGAACTTAGCCCTTTTACTCGCGTCGCCGGCCCCCTTGGCGAGTTTGCCCATCAGAGACTCGTACTCGGTCCGCAGCCTCGCCAGGCTGTGGGAGACGGGCTCGTCGTCGCCAGCCTCGGAGCTGAGCAAGAGGATCCCTTGCAGGAATTGGCCGAAGCGCTGTGTGATGGCGTGCGGTGCGACCGAGGCCCTTGAGGCATCGGACGATCCTCCGCCGACAAGGGAGAAGGCGGCTGCAGCGCCGCGACTGCTGGTCGTCGGGGCGGGGATTTTCTTCAACGATTCGCAATGCGCATCCATGACGATCTGAAAGCGCGGCCACAGGAGAATATTTGTGTAGTTGATATATGAATCCGCCACCGGGACTTTGCGCCGCTGCAACTCGAACGCGAAGTGCTGGTTCAGGCGGACGCAGAGTAAGACGCCCAGGCAATCGTTCGTGTTTTCAACCAGGGACTTGGTCAGATTGTGGCCGATTGCAAAGGTGGGCTCGAAGATCTCCACCACCCGACGTGAGATTTGATGATACGTACTGGTGGAAAACAGTTCGGTGATGACGGAATATTCGGCAGAGACATTGTCTATGAGTGCTTGGTTGAAATTCCGAAAGGGAACTTCGAGGTAGTGTGCCGACTTGCTTTCTTCCACAAGGTAGGCAGGCAGAGCTGTGTCGTTCTTGGACTTGAGCAGATCCTCCCTTCTTCCCAGGCTGTACGCATCATGCGGTGGCGGAGCAGGTTTCGATGCACCCAGGACGTTCCGTCTTGCCGGGACCGGCTCTGCTCCGAGCAAGTCATGTTGGTCAAAGGCGTGAATTTGGAGAGCATCGAGAGCTTGCTGGTAGCGCGAAAAGTGACTGCTGTAATACCACCGCATGGTGTTGACGTAGGCTTGCCCAATTTCCTCGGCCAAGGCTGGGTGATTTCGAGCCAGAAAAGCGTAAAGGTCTTTATATCTCAGAAAAGTCTGCTGTTGGATTACTTGCGCATTGATGTTGGGTGAACGAAGCGCCTTGATCTGAGCCACGATGTAGTCACGTATGCGCTCAATAGCCTTGGCTTTGAGGTCTTCGAGAAGAGGCTTCAGGTCCTGCAACGCTTTGACCTGCTCCGGCTTGTCCTCTTTGGCTTCTATTATGAGTGACCTTGCTTCCACTTCCTTCAGCGCTTTGACAAAGGCTTCATCCATAGGACCCTCCGCGATGGACTTTACGGTGAACGGAGAAAGGCTGATTTCTTCCACCGCAGGGCCGAGGAGCTTCTCGACGTTACGACGATTGTCAAGTTTGGCGTTGAGCTGCGTAGAACGGGCCTGTAAGTTCTCAATTTCCGCAGAAACCTGGCCAAGTTCGGCCTTAAAATTGGTCAGGTAAGATTCGACGTTGGTAAGAATCTGGTCGCATTCTGCAATGGACTTGTGAAATTCTTCAAATTTCTGCCTGTTCTCTTTTGCTGATAGTGCGACAGCCGAGCTGTCGCCAGCGGATCGCAGCGGTATATCTTGGGCCACGAACTCTTGAAGACTCAGTCCCCCAAAGTCAATTTCTTTGCTCGTCTCTCCCTCTCGCTTCCTAGGCCCATCGGTCGGTGCCGTGCCATGCCTCGAGGTTTCCAGTATACTTTTTATTACTTTCACGGGATCTGGGACGTTGGGCGGAGGTCTCTGTTCGAATTTAAGGGAGGATCCATTGGGCTGTCTCGCTGGAGTTACAAGCGATGCGGTAGAAGTGTTCGCACTCAAGTCGAGGGAGGTCGAGGATCTCGTAGCAGATAGTCCCAGCCCTGAGAGCGTCCTTTGCGTCGGAGCAAGCTGGGAATTCTTGCGTGGTGAGGGAGAATATGGTCTCGTCGGAGCAAGCGATTCACGAGAGGCACTGGGTGTTGCAGCACCAGCAGTTAAGCGGTCTAGCCACATGCTGAAGGATCACTTTGACAGAAGTCATACCAGGAAGTAGGCGTTATAAAGACATGGCTCTTGTCTGAAGACCAGGATAGCAGACTCCCGCTCACTCGTGCATCCTCGCGACAAGAGGGACGCTGGACGCGCCAAAGTGGCAACGTGAGCAATTGTGCCCAGCTTCGGGTTATTGTTAGTCCGGACACCGAGTATCTCACTCCCTCGGACAGGGCTTCTAATAGCTTCACTTTGATCAAGGGTTGTATCCTCGTATATTCGTATGTTCGTCTATATAAAAGCACAGCTCCCCTAAGCCAGGGAGGTTTTTGTGCTATTGCATCAGAATGGGATTGACTGCCCAACACGAACCATTTCATTCAAGGCTACTTGCTGACCGTCATCAACGAACGCACGTCTATCTCAAATCCACCAACGGATTTGGCGAGAGGGCTCGAAAGTCCTGCAGGCCCTCGGTCCTTTGCACCTCCCTCACTCCCAGGTCAACACTGCCTTTATGCATTTCCCATTATGCATATCATCGATAGCTCGGTTGATTTCGGTATAGGGGTACTTCGTGACAAGGCGTTCGATTGGAAGCCGTCCTTGGCTCCAGAAATCGATGAGAACAGGGATAAACTGCTGGCTGTTAGCTTGAATCCAAAGTCGCCTCTTCAGCGATCGTACCGTCTGTGGAAATGAAGAGCCCTCACACGAGCCAACGTAACTGACGTTTCTCGCTATCCACATGGCCGCTTCAATGTTGACAAACTTTCCCCTGGGCGCTCCTCCGACTGTTGCTACCGTTCCGTTGTTTGCTGCCGCGGCGATCATGGACTCGATGACAGCAATGTTTCCGGTCGCGTCGAGCGCACAATCGACGCCCTCACCGTTGGTGACGTCTTTGATCATTGCAACCACGTCTTTCCCCGACGAATTGATCGTGTGTGTGGCCCCCAGCTCAGCCGCCAGCTGCAATCGGGAATCCACGATGTCGATAGCGATAACTTTTGTGGCAGGTGTGAATTTGGCCGCCGCCATGATCGCCGCCAGCCCGACCGATCCAACTCCGAATACTGCAACCGATGCTCCCACGCCGGGCTTGAGGACATTCAAGACAGTGCCCGCTCCCGTCTGTATACCGCAACCCAGACAACAAAGAATGTCTAGTGGGACAGATGGCGACACCTTCACGGCACAAACTCCGCGCACAATCGAGCGAGCGGCGAAAGAAGACTGGCCAAAGTAGGATGAGTTGATGTCGATTCCGTTAAGAGAGAATGTCTTGCTCCCATCCAAGCGAGACCCGCCGAAACATAGATGGCGTCCGTTTAGACAGTATGCCGGATTGTTTCGACGGCAGGTGGTACAATTCCCACAATAATTGAAGGACAGAACCACATGATCGCCAACAGCCACGTGTTTCACCTCTGTACCGACCTCTTCAACCACCCCAGAACCTTCATGACCGAGAATGGCAGGTAGTCCAGGACCTCTATGCCCTATGGAAGTAGCCACGTCCGTATGGCAGACACCCGTTGCTATCATGCGGACCACGATCTCATCGGGTCGCATATCCTTCAATTGTACTTCTTTGACTTCGAAAGGCCCGCGCGGTTCAGAGACCACCAGAGCGACTGTGCTTCCCAGGCCATTGGACTTCGATTCGGAGGCCATTTTGTGCTTTGCAAGCCTGCGTACGCTTACTCGGCGACGGAACGGCAACTGATATCGACAACACAGGGCGTCACGTGGCTTCAGCGTATGTGGCTATCGGTATATACACCCGCGCAGTGGCCGAACGTGCCGGGGAAAAGGCGGAGACTACAGTCCATCATGACAAGCAAATATTATTCAGCTGACTCTGTGGCTCCGCTCTTTTAGATGCTGCTGATGTGGCGCTCCTGCTATAGCTGGCTTCGGAGGAGTTTGTCAACTTCCAAATCTGGCAGCTAACTTGTCAACTGTTGCCCTCGTCTAGAATTGTTATGGTCCTGATTTGGAGGAACTCATCCATTCCCCACTGAGCACCGAATCTACCGAAGCCACTCTCTTTAGCTCCTCCGTGCGGTAAGAACGGCTCATCATGGATCGTCATTGCATTGACATGGCAGGCTCCGGTCTCGATCCGTCTGGCACATTTCACCGCTTTTGGAATGTTCTGGGAAAATATACTCGCCGAGAGACCGTATCCCGTGTCATTGGCTAAGGCAACCGCTTCGTCGACAGTGTCGACAGTCGTCAAACTGATGGTGGGCCCGAAGCTCTCGGTGTAGAACAAAGCCATGTCCTTTGTGACACCACTGAGGATTGTTGGTTGGAGGGATGCATTGAGACGCGATAGATGTCCGAACTCTAGGTGAGCGCCTTGGTCCACCGCAGCTTGGACCAAGGATTCCGTTCGCTTTGCCCCGTCGGCGGACACAGCATCACCTGCGACAAATGCTTGGGCCTCTTTTTTGAGGATCTCTAAGAATTCGTCCGCCACGGGACGCATGACAATCACTCGCTCTGTGGCCATACAAATTTGTCCATGCTAAAGTATGTCAAAAGCTGCCCTGAGATCTAGGCGAGGATCGACTCACATGTAAGAACCCCCCCGTCACGACGGCTTTTGCGGCTTTGACCAGATCTGCATCTTCAAGGACAATGCAGGAGGCCTTGCCGCCCAATTCTAACAAAACAGGCTTGAGGTGGTGGCCTGCCTGCTGTGCGATGATCCTTCCCACCGCCGTCGAGCCTGTAAAGTTGATTTTGCGAACTGCAGGATGAGCTATCAAGGCAGTTACCACATCAGCAGCGTCTTCGCGGGAGTGCTGAATGATGTTTAGCACTCCCGGCGGCAAGCCTGCGTCGCGGAACACTTGCCCAATGATGTTGTGGGTTTTAGGACTCAATTCTGACGCCTTGAGTACAGCAGTATTTCCACATATGATCGGTGTGGCTACTGCTCGAATGGCCAGGATGAATGGTGCATTCCATGGGGCAATTCCGAGCACAACACCATACGGTTCCTTGAAGACGAGAGCCAAGCGATCTTTGCCGTTAGCTGGGAACGTCGTGGAATTTCAGATCTTACAGACTCTCAGACTCTGTCGTCGGTAGCCATCCCATACTGCAAGTTGTGGCAAGGCTTGCAAGCTCTTCCAAAAACTCGACTCCCATGTGCATGTTGATTCCGGCAGCCCACTGTCTGCTGCAATTGGTCTCTTGAACCATAGTTTCAATGATCTCATCTCGGCGGGATCTGAATAATTCCGCAGCTTTGAAGAAAATGCGTCTTCTCTCCGTTGGGTGGGTGTGAGCCCATGATTGAAAGGCTCTGGAAGCAGAATCGACAGCCTCTCGAGCAATTTCCACGCTGGCGGACGAGGCAGTCCATACTTCCTTCTGGGACGTCGAATTTATGACGCTAAAGGCGGTCTTCGACTGCACGGGCTTGTTGTCGATCCAGAGGGGAACATTGTTCATATGATGACCATTGACAGCATCTGCTCCCATCTTGTTTAGCAGACAACTCAACTTTTCGGACCCACCTGCTTTTAGACGGATATTTTTTTGGGCGGAAGTTGGTATGCTTTTATGCCCAAGTTCTCATTCGGCTCCTCCGAACCGCGGACACACCTGGGCTTCCATCGACTAAGCACTTTCTGAAATGGGGATGCCATGTTTCAAGAGCGCAAAGGCTCGATCCGTCCAAGTCACGTGTTGATTTTGGTCACGCCGGGGGCCTCTCACTCTCTGCGGGAGACGATCCCGTAACATCCAGGATCGAGTTACCGAGAACCCTTCTCCCGCCGTCGCGAAAGCCAAACATGTGCCGTGAGGGGGTGCATTTGAGGCTAACATTCGAACAATGAGACAGTCTATTCTGGAATTTGCACCACGCGCACCCGCTGGTGTAAAAAGGAATGCCAAAGGACGTCAGTAATCCTTTCAGGTACCATCGTGACTGATATTTCCAGTCTCGAGCCCAGTCCAGTCCTTGATTCGGATCAACTCAATTACAAACTCAGCCTGGATTCCCAGCCACCATGCCTTCTTCCGAGGCCACAGCGTCAAACGGGGTGTACACGAATGGTATCGAGAGCAATCAGGCAAATGGACACTCGCACTCAGGTGCTAACGGAAATGGTTCAAATCCACAGGCAAATCAACCTTTGAATGTCATTATTGTTGGCGCGGGTGTTGCTGGTCTGGCACTCGCCAGTATTCTGGGTCATTCTGGGCACAAAGTTGTTGTTTTAGAGGCAGCACCAGTGATTGCTGAAGTGGGCGCAGGAATCAATTGCTCTCCGAACCTTACACGTCTATTAAGCCGATGGGGTTTCGACAAAAGGGTGCGCAAGCACACAAACTCTCTTACTCGAATCGACTTGAGAAGGTGGAAAGACGGCGAGTTTCTCGGAGCAGCCACCCTCATGCCCGAGATCGAGAGGCGACACGGGGCTCCCCAATATGCGATTCATCGTGCCGACCTCCACCGAGCGTTGATGGAAGAGGCCGAGGAAGTGGCCGAAGTCCGTATCAACAGCATGGTCACGAGTTTGGACTTTGACAAGCCTTCGGTAACTCTGTCAGATGGCAGCGTCCTTGAAGCAGGTGTGGTTATTGGTGCAGACGGTGCGTACATCGAAGCGTGACCCGGCCTTCTGCTCACACAACCAGGAATGAAATCTACCTGCAGAAGGCTGATTTACCAAAAACTCGGTCTCGTCGACAAGGCAAAGCCAACGGGAGATGCCGCATTCCGCGCATGCATACCCTTGGAACTTGTTACGGATCCCGAACTGCGAGCTTTCATGACAGAACCTGTGGCCACAAGGTGGATGGGTCCTGACAGGCACGTACAGGCATATCCAATACGACACGGAAATCTTTATAATATGGTACGAGATCCTTTCGCCGCAAAAGCTGCTGGCGACTCACAGACTTGTAGGTAATGTGTCACCCGGACAGGGGTTTCTCAGAAGAGTCCTGGACTGCGAAAGCCTCGAAGCAGGAGATTTTGGATCACTTTGGATCGTGGGATCCCGTTCGATTGCGGAAGCTTTTGGACTTGATCCCTGATGAGAACGTGATGAAATGGCGGCTGTGCGAGCACGATCCCCTTCCCACATGGGTGATGGGGAAGGTGGTTCTCCTCGGGGATGCCTGCCATCCTATGTTACCTTACGTCGCACAAGGGGCGGCCCAAGCGATTGAGGATACCGGGGTTCTGTGTTTGGCACTCAACCGCGTGTCGAAGCTAGAGGAAATACCAACGCTTCTCAAGGCCTTTGAGGTAGCACGTAAGTCCCGGGCAGAGCACGTTGCCAGCACGGGTGGTGCCACGCGCCGCGTCCTGCACCTCCACGATGGACCCGAGCAACAGGCCAGAGACGAAAAGTTCAAATCGGTCTCCAAAGGTGGGGAGAATCCTGATCTTTTGGGTGACGCCAAGGCACAGTCATTCCTGTGGGGATATGATCCAGAAAAGGAGTTCCTGGACAACTTTGAGAGTGAGTGATGACACCCTTGAACGACGGTGAGATTCTATGATTGACTGGGACACACAAGGTCTCATCCGCAAGGCACAAGACCTGCTCGCCGAGCCGACAGCGAGAGTGGTGGATCTTTAGAGCCGTCATCGCCCTGTGGGTAGCAGTGATAGCTGGAGATGCTGAGCATTCTTAGAGTCATAATCGAAAATGAGTCGGTTTCCTTCTTTACATTTCCCCATAGTCGTGCTTCGCGTGAATCCATTGCCAGCTGAGGCAGTGTCCCAGATGAGATCGTGCAATGATTTCGTACTAGCATCTCACTGTGGCGGCCCACAGATGGCTGTATAGTGTAAGAAAGGAAGTAGTTCACATAGCCCTGGCCGTCAGCGACAGTTCAAGTAGTACATACAGTACAATAATAATAGATCACTTTGTCGGCGAGTTAGTGCTAGCCGGGCCCGATATTGACCCGGTCGTTTGCCGCTTGGCGCACGCTCACCGGCCCCACTTTAGCCTCGGTAATTCAGGTGATACAATATATTTTTGAGTCTCCAAATTACTGGTTGAAAGTCACCCCGACGATGATGGGCTTCGATAGCTCAGTGGTAGAGCGAGAGATTGCAGTGAGCGCTTCAAATATCTCTAGGTCACGTGTTCGAACCACGTTCGGAGCTTTTTGCTATTTTATTTTTGGGGCTTCCGTGTACCTTTTTTTTTTCTGGCAGCACACAATGTTTTCTGTTTTCCAGTTCGATATAGGCAGGTAATTAATGTTCGACTTTCTGTTCTCTTTCTGCAGATGTCTACAAGGACGACTAGCATATTTTCGAAACAGTGCGACCACCCCCAGGGATTATGCGTGTCCAATCCGCCTGAGTGGGTGAATCACCTGCTTACAGCCTGGTCTGTTTTCTTTTTCTTCTTTCCCTTATCTCTCGTGACTTGCCGTGCCAGATGCTCAAAGGCACATGAGAAGCCGGCTGCTCTCATGCCTCAAGTGTCTAGCTAAGCCCCTGACAAGCCACGTCGTCTCCGGCCAACGATTCCGATGACTATATGGAGCTGCAGGTCAATAGCAGGCGATTTCCCGCGGGACTCGCTCCCGACCCCGGACAGGTACCCCGGATTGAAGGGCACCCCGGACTCTGCCGGTCCCATCTAGACCGACGACTGGTAGCCACCCTGATGGAGCAAGCATATTAACAGAGGTCAGCGCCTTGCCGATCTCACCTCCCGGCCAGACTGTGACGGTGGCCAGAGAGACCAACTCAGCATCATGGCAGGAGAGGAAAAGCATACGACCCACGCGGAGAACGTGCAAGTCGTCGACCCGACGGCACATCTGGCACACGATGACCAAGAGGTAAGTCAGTTCAGTCGGTGACAGACAGACATGCCACGAGGGGCAACGAGCGACGGTTCTAAAGGAGAAACGCAGATTGAACAGGACAACGGAGAGATTCTCCTGCGACTCACCCCCGGCGCCGAGAAAGGGGTCAACGTGACCAACCTCAAGCTCGCAAAGGATGGCCAGACCGTGCTCGTCCCCCAGCCGTCGGACGATCCCGACGACCCCCTGAACTGGTCCTCCTTCAAGAAGCACATGGTCCTCATCTGCGTCGCCTTTGGCGCCTTCGCCGGCGACTTTGGGTCCGGCGCCGGGGTCGGCACCATCGTCGTGCAGGGCATCGAGTGGAATATGTCGCCGGTCGTCGTCAACTACGCGGGCAACTTGAACGTCATCATGTGCGGTGTCTCGGGGCTCATCTGGATGCCGCTGCTCAACTACTGGGGCCGCACGCCCGTGCTGTTCTGGAGCTCCGTCCTGGGCGCGGCCTTCACCCTGGGCTCGGCGTTGGCCCCCAACTTTGCGTCGTTCTACGGCTTTCGCACACTCCAGGGCGTCACCCAGAGCACGGGCCAGACGATCGGCTTGGCCTTCATCCACGACATGTTCTTCTTCCACGAGCACGCGCGCAAGATCGGCGTGTGGTACGCCATCTTCATCATCTCCCCTTACTTCGGCCCCTTCTGCGGCAACTTCATCGTGGGCACGCTGGGCGAGTGGCGCCCGGTCTTCTGGCTGGTGTTTGCCTGGTCGTGCTTCCTGCTCTGTCTGATCCTCGCGTTCGGCGACGAGACATACTACCGCCGCTCGGTGCCGCGAGCCCAGCAGCCCCCTCGGCCCGGCGGCCAGGTCGGGCGGCTCTCTCGGGTCCTGGGCGTGTGGCAAATCCAGCACCACGCGAATGGCTACTTCTCGACGCTGCCGCGGTGCTACGGCCGGCTGGGCGAGGTGCTGCTCAAGCCCGTCATCCCGCTGTGTATGCTGTTCTACCTGATGATATTCATGTGGTCGGTGGGGATCAACATCACGTCGTCGATCCTGCTGCAGACGCCCGTCGCGGCGGGCGGGTACGGCTTCAGCTCCATCGCCTGCGGCTACATGTACTTCACGCCGTTCGTGGCCATCCTCGTGGGCGAGGCGTTCGGACACTACTTCAACGACTGGATCGCGACCCGCTACGTGACGCGCCACGGGGGCCTGTTCGTGCCCGAGACCCGCCTGTGGACCAACTACATCGGCGGCGTGTTCATGGTGCCCGGGCTGGTGCTGGTGGGCGAGACGCTGCAGCGGCACTGGCACTGGGTCGCGCTCGTGTTCGGCTGGGGCATGTTCCAGTTCGGCGTCATGGTGGTCTCCGTCGCCACCGTCGCCTACGTGCTCGACTGCTACCCGACCGCGTCCGGCGAGGTCTCGGCCCTGATCAACTTCGCCCGCGTGCTCGGCGGCTTCACCGTCGGGTACTTCCAGCAGGCCTGGGGTCTGAAGATGGGCTTCGACGTCTCGTTTGGATTGCAGGCCGTCATCATCGTGGCCGCCTACGTCATCCTCATCTTTGTCCAAGGCTACGGCGCCAGGCTGCGTCGTTGGGCCGGGCCCGTCAGACTCACTTTGTAGAGTCGAGGGAGGTAGGTAGTAGTTACCTACATCTGGTTGGTTGGGGGGGAGGGGAACTTTTATGTTTCAGTATGTGGTACTGGCTCATGCACCCCGGACCTCTACGCGGGCCTCAGATCAAATGTATTGTAAAGTAATGTACATAGTCCCGTTCTCTGTCTGGCATGCCAGCAGGGTGGAAGAGAGAGCAAAATTATCATCTGCTTCGTTCTCCCCGAGTGATTATCTCTCCATCTCTCCCTCCCTTCCCCCCCCCTCCCCCCCTCCTCTCTCTGTCTGTCTTTCTCTCTCTCGCCTTCTATCTAACCTATTCACACACAGTTTGAGAGAAGAGGAGAAGGAGGAGGAGGAGGAGAAGGAGGAGGAGGAGAAGGAGGAGGAGGAGGAGGAGAAGAAGAAGAAGAAGAAGAAGAAGAAGAAGAAGGCGAAGACAGTCGATAGACGAAACATTCCAAGACATCTACATACATACATACGCCGCGGTCGGTTGATCACTACTCAAGATCCCTACTCAAGAGTCAGTCTTCTTGCAAAGCCCACTCACTCACTCACGTTCCGGGAACCGGGGGCTGGTTTAGTTAGTTAGTAGTCAGTCGTCCTTGTGCGAAGCGGAGTGATCGAAAGCATGAAGGGAAGCAGACGGACAAGACAAGACAAGCCAGAACAGACGAAAATGGTACCCAAACGAGGCTGGCGAACAACAAAACAATGGCTGAATATCGGTTGCCGGGCCCTATATACAGGGTACTAACTACTCCTAGATTTCGACCGCCCCCTGAGCACGGTCTCCTTGGATGATGGGGCCGCTTGCCTCTCCCTGTATACATCCAGACTTCTCCTTTCGCATCCTAACTTTGTTCCACCGTATATGAATACTTCCTTTTCTTTTTCGCTTTGCAATAAACCCTCCAGCGACATGCCTCGTAATACACTCATCAAGCAATCGGACCATACATCCACCCTCAGCCTTAGCTAGTGAGTCTTCACATCCCTCTTCCTGATATTGCACACCAACCCCCGCTGCACGGCGAACCAGTACGTCGTGGTGTGTACCTGGGCCTTGGGGTCCGCGCGCTCGATGTCGTACACCATCAGCAGTGACGGGATCACCTTGGACATCTCCATCAGGCTGATGTTGCGGCCCGTGCAGGTCCGCGAGCCGCCGCCGAACTGTCGCAAGTGTGATGGGTGAGTGAGTTTTCACAAAAGAAGAAATCAAAACAGAGAAGAGAGGGGGAGGACAAGAAACGAAACCATGCAACGTACCACAAAAAAGGCCCTCTCCATCGCCTTCAGCTGCGCCTCGTCGGCCTCCAGCCACCGCTCCGGGCGAAAGACGTCGGCGTCGTCCCCAAAGACCTTGCGGTCCCGATGGACCACCCACGCGTTCACGCCGACGATCGTGTCCTCGGGGATGCGGGTGTTGCAGATCACGGTGCCGCCTTTTGGCACGTGCCGCTCCAGCAGGAACGACACCGACGGGTGGTAGCGCATGCCCTCCTTCAGCACGGCCTGCAGATAAGGCATCTGCTGCGCCTCGGCGTATTTGACCGGCAGGGACAGCTTGCCCTCGGCCCGCTTCTGGTCGATCTCCGCCTGTAACTTGCGATAACACTCCGGGTGTGTCAGCAGTCCATCGATCGCGGACCGCAGCGCGATGGCCGTCGTGTCCGAGCCGGCGAAGACGTTCGCGCTGCTGTGGCGGATGGTGTCGACCGCCTCCATCTTGCCCTCGGCTTTGGCCTCGTACAGCCGCCCCAGGAAGTCCTTGTGGCGCTCGGGGTCCTTCTCCCGCTCGGCGATCCGCTCCAGCGTAAACTTGACGACGTGGTTGATGCTGTCCAGCCCGGGGAGGATGTACGGGAGCAGCGGGTTGCCGAAGAGGAACTTGTGGAGATAGGGCACCTGGCCCACCACGGAGGCGTACACCAGGAATTTGTCGATGGTGTCGATCAAGCCTCCCACGTCGCCGCCCTCCTGCATGCACCCAAACCGCTTGCCGAAGGTGACTTCCGCGATCACGTCCATGGCGTAGAGCTGGAGCCACTTCCCCAGATCGCAGGGTTGGTGAGGGTTGACGTAGAGCTCGTCGAGCCTCTTGAAGAACAGCTCGGAGCAGTTGTCGACATAGGGCTCAAAGGCGAGCATCGAGGTCATGGAGTACGCGCTCGCCACCGACCTCTTCTGCTTTGCGTGGAACTCATCGCTTTTGGTGGAGAAGAGATTGGCCAAGTAGATTTTCCCATATTTCATTTCCTGGATTGGATAGAAGTCTGTCTGCCCAGCTGTTAGCATCGAGCTTTGTCCATTGAGATCAGAGCCATAAATCCCTACCTTTGTAAACCCGCTGTTCAGTCCGTAGATGACACGCAGAGCATCCGGGTCCGAGACACTGACGACGTTCGGAGCGATGCGGACGAGCGGTCCATACTGTCGATGTAGTTCCAGGTTTTTGATGTGCCAGTCTCCCTTGGCAACCTCCCACGCCCTCCAGAAGCCTGAAAAGCTCGCGACAAAGGGGCCCGGTATGTGCCGGAGACCAGTCTTGTACCGTTGGGCGACAAAATACACAACGACCGCGACGGCCAGGGTCAACCCCAGGTGTGCCCGGATATAGGAGGCGGTATCGATCGCGAGGTCAACCACTCTCGGTGAAGCCATGTTGCCGCCGTGTAGTGCAGGAGTTGTGGAGCAGGTCGCGCCGCCCCTCCAGACGCCCAGACACCGCCATTATATCTTGCCATCTGCTGCGAGAACAGGCCCTCCTCCCCTTAGTCTCGGATAGCACACGGGGCCCCAGAAGACGTGGGCGTATGCTGGTACATTGCTTGCCGGGACCGTGGGAAACTATCCATCTGGGGTACATGGGATCCAGAACCGCCCGAGTGCAGCTCATTGGTTCCCCGGGTGTTGCCCGCGCCTCTCTGGTGGCTAGCCTCGGGTTTCAGGTCGGACTCATGATGTACGGGATCTGTTCCCGAAGGCAGACCAAGAAGCCAGCAACCCGAGCGCCAGATACATCCGGTGTGCGGGTAGAAGGCATCACTCGGCCTGAACGAATGTATCCACGCCAGCTGCCGGGTCCTGCGCGCGGCACGAAGGAGACCAGGCTTCGGCTCCTCTTCTGCTGGACTGGGGTAGCCAGAGGACTCGACCGAGAAGACATAAGCCTCATGATGGTAAGCGAAGCTGGGCACGAGACTGGCCAGACAGACCTGGAAGATGGTTGACCTCCATTCCCTCCCAAACGGCTCTCGGCCAGACAAGGCAATCCGTAACAACGGGCCGGACGACCTAGCTTTACAACGTTACAAGCTGCGCGAACTGGCTGAGGGTTGGCCTTGTTACAGGTACATTCTCCCCTATGATATCAGGGCCAGCCCCAGTTGACACCCCATCGCCTCCAGAGATGCGTGTGAATGGGAGAACTTTGCGTCAATCTTCCACCCGGACGCTTACGTCTACACGACATGGACCGGTCGAACGCCGTACCGAGACTTCATCGAGGCCTCGAAACGGGGAATGGATAACGGCGCATTCATAATGCACCGCGTGCAAGGGTCGACGACGGACATCAACCTCGGAGGCACACGTGCCGTGACCAAGATGAAAGCTGCCATCACGCAGCGATTTGACCTCGACGGCGTGGAGGTCGACGCGGAATCAGACTGTCGCTTCTGCTTTTTCTGGGAGAGAGACGCGGCCACCGGCGCGTGGGCTGCTCGCTTCGTCCGGCACTGGTATGAAAAGGACAAATTAATCCCGGTCAACCCGTCCAAGGTGCCAGTGCTGGACGACGAGAAGTTGAAAAAGTATCCTACTGGGTATCGCTATCTGGCATACTGTCAAGAGGCTATCATGGGCGTCAAAGTGAAACTGGACATGCCCGGACATCGACGCGAGGGCGACAACGACTGTGGCCGAGCTCATGACGAACTGTATTGGCAATGCAAGAAATGGGTAGAAGGCGGAGCGGTGGACTTATAGATGGAACATCAAGACCTTGGTGGTCAAGAGCGATCGCGACTAGAGCCTCGGTGTAGCTGTCATGAATGGAACGTGGGCATCGGGTTATCAACCATCATCATATCCCAAGGGACCAGGAAAAAGTCCTGCATGTTCCAAGACGGGAACGGAGCATCGACTCTGGCGTCGTCTTTCAGCAATTCATCCAAGTTGATTCCGGTAGACACCATTTCAGAGGACGACGAAGAATTCCGGGGTGGCGCATTGTTCGAAGAACGTGCTCGTGGCGACGAATTCGGGCCTATCTGGGCCATCTGTGCTGCTTCTTGAGCTTCCTTTGCCTTCTTCAACATGGTGACATATGCCGATGCCATGGACGACCGGCCTTGCATTTCGCCCAGGATGATAAGAGACTGTTCAAAGGCACTTTCGGTGGCGTCACTCTCTTCCGGATTTTCGCATTCGTAATCCATAGCTAGCAGTACGGTTGCTGCCGTGAATAGATCTGTCCAAGGGATGCGTGGTCAGTTTTGGCCCATGCAGCCGGAACATGGGGTGTCGGTTGAGAGTGATTCTCTTCTAGAAGGGCAGGAGTTATGCTGAAATACGCAAAGACACAAGTAGCGTGACAAGTACACTGGCCGACTTACAGTTCATGTCCGTCCACCACGCACTTGACAATCCTTGATAGTAGTTGGTGCTGATGACATCCACCAATTGAATGGCGGCTGATTTACAGACTGTGACACACATGGCATGAAGGGAATTGTCAAGGGGCGCGAGGTAAGTCGGCTCGGCGACGGCAGAGGACTGCTGCCACAGAGAAGCGAACGGCCTATGGATCAAGACTCGGAGACTCAGGAATCTGCGGACGTCAGTAACACACCACGTCTCTCGGATCAACCGGGCCCACCTAGCGAGGAGGATATTCCGTGTTCGTCGAAATTCTTCGATCTCGTCCAGGGCCCCAACCTTCAAGTACCCCGGGAGCCCACGAAGCCATTCAACCAAGCTCTTGTCCAGGCTGACGGCGTCCTTGAACTCGGGAGGCGGAGAGACTTTGCCGCTCTGTTGGGGGCCGGAATTGTTGAGAGGTGAGTACAGCGTGTACAAGACGTCCTTCATGATGGAGCAGAAGGCCACTGACTTGATGAAGACGGCTGTCTTGGGCCGAACGTGCTCCGGCTGTTCGAGGTATCCGTCTTCGGTGATATACTCGTCGTCGAGGTTTGAGGGTAGTGAGACACCAAAGGTATTCGGAATGGCCGTGGGACGTCCGAAGTTCAGGGCCAACACTCTGGGATTGGTTAGCAATATTCCAAAAGGTCGGCTGAAATACCCACGAATCCAGCACAATACAACCATACCAGCACCGTCTCCGTATCTCAATCTGCAGAGGGTTATATTGAGACGGCATTGGGTCCACATGGGCGCCGATGGTGGTAGCAATCCTGATTGCTAACCCTATCACGTTCCACGTCTGATTCGGTCGACTGGTGGATTGGTAGTAGAGTCCGCTGAGCAACAGAAGTTGTAAGGTTTGCAGATTTGCGTGAGCGAACTGCTCCATCGACACGAGCTTCTGTGCATAGCCAAAGAACCGATCACTCGCTGCCGATTTATCTTCCTGTCCGTAGGCGAAATGAATTCCCAGGGCAAAAATGACGTTCAACATGGCCAGCCATTGATCATCTTGTTGCTCGCCTGATACCCAAGTGCGTTCATACTGAGCCTCAAAGGAGGGCCGGTGTAAAAAGGGGTATAAGATATGGACGTAGCGAAAGTAGCAACTGACCAAGTCGTCGGCGAGGGATCTCTGGGGCAAGCAGTTCTCGACCCCGAGCCGGAATGAGACCGCCCGGGCTGGGCGTGGCTTGGTCCCGCTTCTATAATTTGACCCTGGGGACACTGAATCGGGAGAGGAGTTTGAGATTATTGTTGTTTGCACGGCCTGCATAAAGGACAGAGTGGACGAGTCTCCGTAGAAATCATCGGGATTTGGTTCTTCGAAATTTGTGGTGGCATCGTGACTGGGCGGCACCGACCACGCTCGAGGCTTCTCTGCTCTGTCGACAGAAGCTGCTTTGGACGAAAAGTCTTTTCTTGAAATGCCGTCCTCATTGAGGTCCTGAAGTATTTGGGGACGGCCATGCACGGAAGGTCTATTGGGCTGAGTGCTGGAGCCCGGATCCTTGATCGATTCTGCAGCGTGTCGGTTCTGAGCGTCTCGACTTCGACTTGTGTTGTTATTGTTACGTGCGTATGAGGCGAGCTCGGACAGACTTGATGTGGCCTGCTCCAGGGAGTGCCTCGAGGGCTCACGGCGCTGCAGGTCCTGTTGCCTCTTGGACGAGGATTGACTGGGATCGGTAGAGCTGGCCGCCCCTTGGCGTTGTTCGGCTGCTTCTGCCCTTTGTTTGAGCTTCATGATGTATCTAACACCACGTCAGATTGGCTGGCTCGGAAGACAACTCTGGAGTGTGGCTCACTCTCGAGAGACGTTGACCATCTGGCTTGCCGGCTGATATGCGCAGGAGGTGCAGTTGCGCAAACAAGCAGAGCATTTTGGGCGCGTGCCGTCACATCTGACCTTGCGTGTCCGACACGGAATACAAGCCATGCCGACTCGTCGTCGTTTCGAAGGGGGAGAGGTGGCTTCATGGCCGGAGTCGAGGTCTTGGAGCTGGTCCATGCAAACGAATGGTAGCCTATTTCACGGCGACAATAGAGCGTATCTGTGTATCAAGGAGAGCAGATTCGAGTCGTTTGAGAGAGAAAGAGCCATGGACATGGACTTGGGCTGGGCTGGACTGTGGTGACTGTGTGTGTGTGTGGGTATGTAGCGAGTAGGTAGGTAGAATCACGAGGATGCTGCAACCTGCAGGCCAAGCTCAAGATTCCCCCGCGATATCTTCAGCTTCCCACTCGCTTCCCACACACTCACACCCACACACTCTCTCTCTCCCACACATTTTCACCCCCGACTCCGACTCCTCCACGACTCCTCCACGTGCTGGCCGTGCGTCAAATTGCATTGCATTGCGGAGGTTGTGGAGCAAGTGTACATCTCGACTCTGGGGTCTGGGCCATGTCCGCCAATTGCAGAGCTCCGTGGCTGTGCCGTCCAAGCCGCGGCTTCATCTCTAATGGAAAGTCTCGCTGACCTTCGGGATCAGATCCCGAACGCTTCCTCGAGCCGGCAGTTCGCCATGTCTTCGCCTCGCCGTGCAACAGAGCGACGCACGTCAGAGCTGGGTCAAGAGAAGGGTTGAGGTGGTGGACTGGACATCCGCAGTGGAGAGCGACTGCCACAGGACCAAGGCCTGACGATAAAGGTCGTTCTGCTGGATGAATTGGTATGTCAACCCGTGCTGCACGCCATCATGGTCATGGAGAACGGAACTCACACCAAGCAGATCGTGCAGGTGTCGCTGGTACCGACTGGGCAACTGTTCTTGCCAGACAAATGGATCCTTGCCGGCGCAGACCACGCGACGAAGACGTTGTACCCGGACTACAGCTTCTACGTCCACCACCCTGCAAGTGGAAAGAGTCTCATGTTTGATCTGGGCATTCGCAAGGTGTGTTTCTGGGGTGCAGGCTGAGAGGGCTGACCCAGGGGCTAAAGGTTTCGTCTAGGACTTGGACGCGTACCCGAAATGCATTCGCGAAGAATTTGTCCTCACCGAACCTCGAGTGCCCAAGAGCGCTGCCGAATTGCTCGAGGAGGCAGGCATCTCGGCCGATTCGATCGACTATGTGGTCTACAGCCACCTTCACTTTGACCACATTGGCAACCCTGGAGAATTCCCGCGCAGCCAGGTCGTCGTTGGCCCCGGCTCCAAGGCCGCCGCGTATCCAGGCTACCCTACGATTCCAGACTCTGGGTTTCTCGGCTCCATTTTCGACCATCCCAGTGTCCGCGAACTGTCGTACGACGACGACGGCTGGATCCCGTTTGGCCCGTTCCCCAAGGCGTTTGACTTCTTTGGTGATGGCAGCTTTCTCCTCCTCGACGCGCCGGGACACATGCCGGGCCATCTCATGGGGCTGGCGCGCACGGGGTCGGACGAGTACGTGGTCATGGGCGGTGACTGCTGCCACCACCGGAAGATCTTCACGGGGGAAGGGACGTTGGGTGTCGGACACGGACCGAACGGTGCGTATTCCATGCACAAGGACCTCGATACGGCCAAAGCGACGATCGGCAAGCTACACGAGATCAGCCAGAGGGAAGATGTCTTGGTGTGCTTGGCCCACGACGGCTTTCTGGAGCCTGCGCTGAAGGTATTGCCGGCGACGCTCGGCGGGTGGCGCAAGGCGGGCATCAAGGCCGAGATTGCAAAGAACATGCCACACGTCGCGGTCGAGGTGAAGGCGTTGTCGGGCAGTTGATAGCAAAGCACAACGCCTCGCCTCGAAAGGAGCATGGGAAGGGCAGGGACATGCTGCAGGTCTCCCCTGTTCTCAATACATATAACCTTCATGATGAGTGGGCGAGTGTTTTGTTTCCTTTCTTTTCTTTTCTTTCCTTTTACCTTTTCGTGACAACCATCTGACCATTCCTCATCTCTCTCTAAACACCCCCAAACACACACACACACACACACACAGAAATCAGCCCTTGATATACATATATAGAGTGCAGCGTAAGTCTGTGTGTGTGTGTGTCTGTGTGTGTGCGCGGGTGTGTGTGTGTGGGGACCCCGCTCATCTCCAGATAATCATGGTATGTACTAGTATCCTTTCTTCCTTCCTTTCCGTCCTTCTTACCGGCGGAATGCCGAGGTCCGGCGTGTGGCCTCTTCCAACGTCAATCAATCACTCACTCACTCAAATACATATTATTACATACATATACGGGGGGGAGTGGACGAAACTCCCCAGCCAATATATATATATATATACACCAGCCCTATCACCTTCCTCTCTCTGACTGACGGATTGATTGATATCTGGGTGACAACCCGGCACACAACACACAATGGCTCGCGCGGCCCGGCCCACGCTACAGTTCTACTACGATGTATGTGATGTGATGTTCACAATGGTGGTGATGTTGCTGAAAGAAAGAAATCTTACTCTCCCCGTCCCATGCCCTTGCCCCCCTCCTCTCCACAGCCTTGGTTGGTCACTTCGATCAGGTTCGGGCTATGGTTCTCCTACTCCTACTCCCCGAGACCCAACTATCTCTCTCCCTCTCTCTCCGGTGCTGATGTGGATCCAAAACAATTCCAGGTGACATGTCCGTTTGCATACATGGGCTCGCTCCGGTAAAGTCACACTCCATACCCTGATCCCTAGGGCACAGCCGCTCGTTGGTTGGTTACTATTCCTGCACTTATTCAACTCTTCCCTGGATGAAACAACAACAACAACAACCACCGCAATGAGACTCGATTATTGACACTATTGTTTCTAACTTGAGTCATCTCTTCCTGGGGGAGCTAACAGCGTCGAAGCCCTCGCCCGCCGGACCGAGGCTGACCTGATCTGGACGCCGGTGCTCCTGGGCGCCATCTACCGCGAGACAGCGGCCCCCCAGGGCGCCGGCGGCTCGGCCTCGGACGTGTTCAACCCGACCAAGAAGCGGCTGACGGCGCGCGCGACCCGCCGCACCCTGCAGCGCACCGGCGTCGAGCTGAACTGGCCCTCCGTGCACCCGCGCAGTCCCGTCCTGGCCCTGCGTCTGCTCCACGCCGTCCCCACCGCGGACCGTCCGGCCCTCTCGCACGCCCTGTTCCGCGCCTACTGGGTCGACGACCGCGACATCACGAGTAAGGATGTGCTCTTGGACGTGGCGCGGCGGAGTGGCGCGTCGGGCCTGTCGGAGGCCGTCTTTGACGACAAGAACGCTCAGGACGCCCTCCGCGCGGCGACCGCGGAGATCATCGCGCGCGGTGCCCCCGGCGTGCCGGCGTTCTGGGTCGCGGGGGAGAAGTGGGTGGATGAAAACGGCACGGCGCAGCAGGGCCGTCTGTACTGGGGCCAGGACCGCATGCACTTCGTCGAGGCGTCCCTGCTCGCCCTGCGCCGCGGCTGTGACTACGCCCAGGTGCCCAACCTCCCGGCCCTGCAGCCCCGATGCGCGCCCGGCCCGGCCGTCGGCCAGAAGAAGGTCGAGTTCTGGTTCGACTTCAGCAGTCCCTGGGGGTTTCTGGGGTGGACGCAGTTGGACCGGTTGAGGCGCCAGTTCGGGCCCGACGTCGAGATTGTCATGAAGCCCTTTCTGTTGGGCGCGCTGTTCAAAGCGTGAGTCTTGTCTTTTTTGTGGATGTCCACTGAAAAAAAAAACAAATCGGGGGGTTTGCGCGCACCAGTTGTGGGTGACCTGGTGACGCCGTCGGCTAACAAGTACATCACAAATAGAGTCGGTGCCCCGAATGTCCCCATGGAAGCCGTGTCGCAGGCCAAACGCGACTACATGCGCAAAGACCTGGGCGACTGGGTGCGTCACTGGAACGGCGTCAACGAGCAGCGCGGCGCACACGACAAGCCCGTGCAGTTCCGCTGGCCCAGTCGGTTCCCGCTCCGGACGCCCACGGCCCTGCGCTGTGCCATTGTGGATCCGTTCCTCACGCCCTTGCTCTGTGAGTTTGTCCTCTCCCCGTGTGGTCACTCCCTCTCCTAACACGCCCAACAAAAACAGTCCGAGCCTGCTGGGAGCGCGACGTCAACGTGTCCGACGACAAGGTGTTGGCCGAGTACCTCACGACGGCGGGCTGCGACGGGGCCGGTCTGCTCAAGAAGGCCTCGTCGCAGGCAGTCAAGGACGCCCTGCGCAACAACACCCAAGCCGCTGTCGACGCCGGGATCTGCGGTGTGCCGTCGTACCGCGTGTTCGAGAAGACGCACGCTGGCTGGGTAAGCGATGGTGTCGAGGGTGGCGTCATCTGGGGCCAGGACGAGCTGGTCGTCGTCGAGGACCTGGTCGCCGGCTGGAAGCAGCAGGAGAGTTCCGTCGGAGGGTATGATAGGCCTGCTGCGGCCTCGCGGATGTAAGAAGGAATTAATGTACATGTGTGGCCTGAGGCAGCCAGCCAATAAGTATGATTGCCGCGCAAAAATAGGTGCTGAACCGATCCGTAACGGTGGCGGATTGGGTACGCGGATATCATCCCATGGGTCGAGCTGGGCTCCAGCATCTCGAGTGTCTCGTGGCTCGTCGTTAACGTCTTGCTCGATAGGGCAACTTCTCGACGCTTGCCCATGAAGTAGCACGGTGATGCCCCCGGAAGGTGGTCACAAGTGGTCCCCGTCGGTTGATGTGATTCAAATAGGCCACGACGAGATCAATCCACGAGCTGGTCGACTGTAAACACTTCCTGTAGCTTTGTCACTGTGGGCCAATCCGGTTTTGCCAAACTGTGTCCTTGAGCTTAGGCCATACCCGTCTCACGAGACACTCACTTGACTGAGATAACCCGTCAAAGGTAGAGGCAATCACTCACTCCGGGCAAGAGTCCATGGTTCTTGAATCAGAACAGTGTTCTTGTCCCTGGAATGCCCGAGCTTGCTCTCCATGTCCCGCAAATGATGAGTACGGACAACATAACACTTTTTCCGTGTAGTCCCGACTCTTCTGCTCTCAGAGTTTTTGTCCATAGACAACATAACTATCCGCGTGAAGGGGTCAGTCGTCCACTCAAGGATCTCCAGGCCACATTCATCAATTCTTTACTTACATAGGCCAGTAGGCATGGATCTTGGGGTTGCGAATGTCGTTCCTTGACTCGGCCAGCAGCACCTCGAACTCGTCCACGCCCATGCCGAGCACCTTGGTACACAGGCGGGCAGAGAAGGCGTGCAGCCCGTCGAGGGTGTTGACCATGTTCCAGTGGCCGATCTTCTTGAGGTGCGGGTCTTTGGGCCAGCGATTCTGCGGCCATTTGTAGCGGATCTCCACGACGTTGGCGAAGCCCGCCCGCTCCATGAGCTCCTTGTACCGGGCGGCCCAGGCGCCGTCGCGGTTCAGTGCGTGCAGGCCCGCCACCAGCAACTCGTTGAGCCGCTCGAACGCCGTGCCCGCCATGGTCCCGTCGTCCGCCCGCACGGGGAACGCGAAGTCCTGCAGCTCGACCCACCCCCCCGGCTTGAGCGCCTGGTACGCCTGCTGTAGCAGCTTGAGGGGATCTGCCAGGGAGCCGGCGAGCATGCGGCCGTGCACGAGGTCGAATTTCTGCGGGAAGCACCACGTCTGTTCGAAGTCGTCTACCTCGAACTTGCAGTTCGGTGGCACAAATGAGGGCTGGATCGGGCTGAGGTCCGTCCCCAGCACCGTCGACCGCGGGTTCTCGTCGGCAAAGTGAATCGCCCAGATGCCGGTGCCGGTGCCGATGTCGAGCACGTCCAGCGCGGCGTCAGATGCGGCGACCGGGGCCGCCAGCAGTTTGTTGTTCATGGTGTGTAGGAAGATCTCATGCTGCATGTCCAGGCGCTCCTGTTCGCGTTCGTCATCGGGCATGAAGTACAGCCCGTCCTTGTACTTGTGGTAGCCGCGTCCGTTCTCGTACACGCTCTGCAGCAGGCTAGACCGGAGCGACTCGGTGTCGGATTCTGAGATCAGATCGTCGCCCAGCGCCGAGTCGACGTCGCTAAACCGCTCGGGCTCGATGTACCCGATATTCTCTTCGGAGACCATCGTTGGCGACGCGTAAAACACGGTGGGGAAAAAACAATCCACACCTTCAAGCAAGAAAAAAAGAGATATGAGAGAGAGAGAGAGGGAGAGGGAGGGAGGGAAGGCGGGAGACGTCAACCGGAGATAAATCCCTTCGAATCCTTTCCGTGCAATCAATCCATCATGCTCTCAGAAAGAAAGGTTCTCCATCCATGCCTTGTTATTGAAGAGAAAGAAACGGCTTCGCCTAACCTGGCCGGACACGCTGGACCGCTAAGGCCACCCACCTCCCTTCTTCTCCTTGAGAGGGTCGGCACGTACGGACGCCTGCTTGACACTAGTAAACAACCCGTAAAGCACCAAAGGATGACACCCGTATATGCACCTAGCACATGCAGCACAAGGAGTGACGCTCAACTGTTGGCCCCTGGTCATTGGGCACGGCTCGCACAACCAGCAATCGGGGCGACACGGAAAGGACGGGATCGTGGCCGTGAAGGGTCCCCCGCCGCCACCGCTACGCGAAACATCTAGGCGGGAAAGAGTCTAGACAGACAGCCAGATGTTCGCGAATGGGCCATCGAGCCCCTCCATCGACACCACCGGGGCTTCGAGGGGCTTGTGTGCAGCAGTCTAGACCTGTGAGTGGCTCAAAGAGGGTTTATCTGGACTGCATTGCGTGGGACGGAAGATACCACATACCTACTGTAGGTAGGGACGAATCCTCTTGTAGGGATCCGCTGTGCTGACAATCAATCAATCACTCAATCACTCAATCGATCACTGCTTCGTAGGTATTAAACCTCGAAGCTACAGTGCCTGTGTCTTTTCTTTTGCTGTTGACCGCCCCCCCAACACCGCCAACCTGCCGGTTACTGTTTCCAGGTCGGTTCCTAGTGGCCTGTCCTTGTCATCCGTCGAAAATCGAGATCCTGTTTTGTGTAAACTTTGACAGCTGGGGTATCGAACACAGCAATATGTCGTATCTGTCTTCGAGTCTGGTAATCGCGGGTCTGGCCTGGCTCTCGTACCTCGTCGGCCTGGTCGTGTACAGACTTTACTTCCACCCTCTGGCTCGATTCCCAGGGCCCAAGTACGCGGCGATCAGCAAGTGGCATGAGTACTACTACGACGTCCATTTGCAGGGGAAATTTATCTTCCACATAAAAGCCCTGCATGAAAAGTATGGTGCGTGGATGTGCTGAGATCTGCGCAACTGAGCATGGATTGGATTGACTGATGCACGGCGGGACAACAGGACCCATTGTTCGCATCACCCCGGACGAGGTGCATATCCTCGACTCAGACTTCTGGGAAACCATCTACACCAAAGCTGGCAGGGTTGATAAGTACGATTGGATGTCTGGTCGCTTCGGAAACGAGAATTCGGTCCTCAGCACAGCGCCAGACGAGCTGCATCGCATCCGACGAAATGCCCTGAACCCTTTTTTCTCGCGAAAAAGAATCATCGACCTGCAGGTCATCATTCGCAAGAAGCTTAACCGCTTACTCGCAAAGGCACGAGAGTACCAGCAATCTGGCGCGCCTGCGGTCATCAGTCGGGGCTATATGGCCTTGGCTGAAGATGTGATCATGGAATACTGCTTCGCTCACGACTATAACAGTCTCGATGTGCCGGAATGGACGCCTATTCTTCATGACCCCTTCAGGGCGGTCAGCATCAGTGGCAACATGTCGCTGCAGTTCCCTGTGGTGCCCAAGATCCTGAATTGCTTACCACAGTCCTGGCTTGTCAAGTTGGAGCCACTGTATGCCCTTGTTTTCAAGATGCAACAAGTGAGGCTCGAGAGTGCTTCTGTGTAGAGCTTGGCTGACGCTCGTAGGATTTTGCCAAACAAATCGTCAACTTGAAAGCCGGCAAGATTGACGCCCTCGCCGAAAAGTCCGACCATCCGACTGTATTCTCTGAGCTACTTCGAGGCGACCTCCCTCCAAGTGAGAAGTCCGACCGCCGCCTGCAGGATGAAGCACAGTTGATCATAGGCGCTGGGCTCGCCACCACGGGCTGGACCCTCAGCGTAGCCACTTTCTACATCCTGAACGATCCAAATGTCCTTGGGCGCCTGCGGAAAGAACTCGAGGAAGCCATTCCAGAAACCAACGAGCTGGACCCAAGCCAGCCGCTCGAGTGGACAGAATTAGAGAAGCTGCCTTATCTGTCGGGCTGCATAAAAGAAGCTGTCAGGCTGTCCTATTCCACGACGGCACGCAATGCCCGTCTATTTGCCAAGCCCGTCCAGTACGGCGAATGGACCATTCCGGCCAGGACACCGATTTCGATGACAATCCCGTTTCTCAACCATGACGAGGAGATCTTCCCCAACTCCACGTCCTTTGTCCCGGAGCGGTGGCTCGACTCACCAAAAGCCAAAAATGGGTCCAGTTTGGACAGATATTTTGTGGGATTTGGCAAGGGCACGAGGTCTTGTTTGGGTATTAAGTGAGTTTGATCTGTCCCCTCAGCTCGTGAGCTTTGTTCTGATCATGTCTCAGCCTCGCCTATGCCGAACTGTACTTGACCCTGGCAGCTATGTTCCGATACTTCCAAATGGAGCTGTACGAGACCGACAAGAGCGATGTGGAGTTGGCTCACGACTTCTTTCTTCCATTTCCCCGACTGGATTCCAAGGGGGTTCAGGTGATTGTTAAACCAACCAAGAACAATGGATGATGTTTTCGATATGGTCTGGCGGCTCTGCATTATAAGTTCTTCAGGGTCGGTAGGGGAGGAGGGGCATTCTCTGGGCAGACCTCGACTGCTACTGTATGTTAAAGCACAGTTGCCTTCCCTGTGATTTTGGCCAGCCCTTACCAAGGCTCTGGTCGAGGTCTTCTCTCCCATTTCTCCCACCAGGTAAAGGCGCCTGTGTATACAGCCAATGAAATGAGCACGCGTCGCGTCTCGTCTTCTCACCTTCTGACCAAAAATGGGCTTGACGTCAAGACTCCCCCGCCTCATCCTGGCACGGCGTGAGTGGCGTTTTCGCTGTGAGTTTTCTTTCTCTTTCGCCCACAAACGTGCCAAGACCATTTCCCCCCAACTCGGTTAGTGGCCGGTTATCGATTGGGCGGCAAGTTGCCCCTCTGCCTCTGCCTCGTCCACGATCCCACTTCCTGCAAAACGATATTTTCCCTTGGCCTGGCCGCTCTGGGTTCCTTTCTCCCATCCATCCCTCTCTTTCGAGAATTTGTCGCTCCCCGTTTGATATCATCCTTTCCATCACTGCATATCTTCCTCTCTTTTTTTGTAAGCGACATCTTCTTCGGCTTTTCACCATGGCGGACAACGACGCGCAGGTAAGTCTTTCCCTCACAGCGCCCACCCCCCGCCTTTTTGTCCTGTGCGCAACCAGTCGCCGCATTTACACCTGATCGTGGGATCCTCCTCTCGTCGCACCAGATACTGACAGGTCCTGCTTCCAGCATGAGCACACCTTTGAGTCCGCCGATGCCGGCGCTTCGGCCACCTACCCGATGCAATGTTCCGCCTTGAGAAAGAACGGCCACGTTGTTATCAAGGGTCGCCCGTGCAAGATTGTCGAAATGTCCACCTCCAAGACTGGCAAACACGGTCACGCCAAGGTCCACTTGGTTGCCCTCGACATCTTCACCGGCCGGAAGATGGAAGATCTCTCCCCGTCCACCCACAACATGGACGTTCCGAACGTTACCCGTCGCGAATACCAATTGGTAAGAGAATGGGCTCTCAGGGCGATATATGGCAAGCCAAGAAGGATACTAATGACGACGGCAGCTTGATATTACTGATGACGGTTTCTTGTCCCTCATGTCTGACGATGGATCCACCAAGGACGATGTCAAGATGCCCGAGGGCGAAGTTGGCGAGAAGATTGAGAAACTCTTCCGCACCGAAGAGAAGGACACCAGTGAGTTACTACCCAAAAATCAAAACTCCTGGTGTCGGATCACTAATGCTCGAATAGACGTCATTGTCTTGACTGCGATGGGCGAGGAGGCCGCTGTCGATGCCAAGGAAGCCCCCAAATAAACGGGCCTCGAGTCAACCAGCAGATCTGCGACCCCCTTCTTCACGACTGATGTATTTATGGATCAGGAAACCCAGGTCATACTTCAGCGTTCTTGGTGTTGGGCAAGTTTGCACAGGCCGAAAATCAGAGTAGGCGGAAAGATACGAACTTCCCTGGAGGCAGCTGGGGCCATAGATCTGTGGCTTGCCCTGAAAAAGCGACTGTTTTTCATTTTACGACGGACCAGCATCCTTCTGCATTTTGAAAAGTGGTAGCTAGACAAATAACAGAGCAATTACCAAACCCCTACAGCAGAGCTGCTTCCTGTGTGCAGTGCACGCAGCGATATTTCAGCCACTGATTTCCTTGATTCGAACCGAAATGCCTGTTCGTTGATTGGTTTGGTCACGACTCCGCGTTTTGTTCTATCTGTCGCCACTCTTCTGCGACAACTTCCATTTGCAAAGTCATTGCTGAGGAACGCAGCCGTTGGTCTAACCTAGGATATGGGTAGGGAAGATAAATGCTGCTTACCTCGTATTTAGTCATAAGCTGTCAGAACAGCGGTGGTATTGAGTAGCTTTGTAGCCACATTGGGCTCCTGGTGTATTTTGTGGCGTCTCACTGCACTGCATATTTCAGTGGTTCTCATCAAGGCGTTGGCTCGGCTGCTGGCCGTGACTGGTCCGCATTATCCATCTTCGTCAAGGTGTATTGTGAAAGTGCCTATTGATGAAGAGGTGCAGTAAGGAGAGCCCGTCTGCCTCCAAAAAAAAAACAGTGGGACACACATTCTCCCGAAACCTGCGCTCGCGAACTGAGGGGAAGCACTTCCGGTAACATATTATATGTATCTCCAAAAGCAGCGGCATCTATAGCCAAGTTTGCTCCTTTCCTTTCGTTGGATCTCCCGTCTTGTCTCGTGATAAGAGTCTCGAAACCACGCCCTGCCGGAGTCGCAAATTCGTATCTAGAGGATCTCAGCTGTGGCGTGGCATCACAGAGCTCAACACAACCCGCCATGTCAACGAGATTGTGGTCATTGACGCTCGGCCAACATGGACGGGGAAGAGTGCGGGACATGTGGCTCAACGGAGTTTTACGATGAGGACGGCAGGATCTTCTGTGCGAATGGGCACGATCAAGGTCTGGGCCTCGCGACCGCCGAGGACGACGCCGACTTCGGGCGGCAGGGCACCATCGTCAGGAAGAAGGAAGACAAAAAGAAGCAAAAGATATCCAGAGGTGTGTCATTGGCGCTTCACCTCATCAACCGGGAGTATGCAACTGTTCAGTCCCATTCTGGCCCGCTGACCATCCAGCTTAAATAGTGCTTCGAGGGCCCCGGGCTTATCAACTCTTCCTCCAAGCATGGCAGTTCATCCTGTGGAAGCAATGCTATGCGCTGGTCCATCAGAAAGGATTGCCGGCGGAGTTATGGGTAAGCTACGCAATGAACTCTTATTTTGTGGATTTGCATCTTTGTTGCGTTTTCTTTTAACAGCGATGACCCAGGCAATCGTCCGAGACTTGTGGACGTTGTGGCTTTCGAAGCTGGAACATCGGCTCAGCGACAGCCTCGCAGATGCCGGTGACAAGGCAACGGCGACAGCAAGCTCTGGCGACGAAACGGACCCCAATCTCGATGCTGGTGAGGAGCGTGATCGCGAAGGGGACAAATCGGCACACAGCTATCCTACGCTTGTGGACACGATAGCCCTGAACTACTTGGGCATTGTCATGCTAAGGAGGCCGATCAGACTGGCCAAAGTCTTGAAGTAAGTCCGCTTTGAAATGGTGAGCGTTTACTCACCCGTGCCTCGTATAGATGGATACTTCAAGAAGAGGTCCCGTTCATCCGGGCTATCAGATATGTCCCTCAGGATATGAAGGACAGACTGCCCGGAGAGTACCACCAAGCCTTGGATACATTACGGCTCTTGGAGCCCGATGACCTTCAAAAAGCTGTCTATCATCGTGCACGATGGTACGACGCCTCGTTCGGGATGGTGATGCCACCGATCAACCAAAATCTGTTTCTACTTGGCTATGTCCGCCAACTCGCTCTGCCGCTCGAGATCTACAGCGCCGCCCGTCGGCTCAACACCATCACCAAGTACGACTTCTGCTACACTGGTGCTACAAACTCGTCGCGTCCAATAAGGCGTCAGCCAACAGCGTACCCAGAGAGCCAGCTCATCTCTCTCGTCGTCATTGCCACCAAGCTTCTCTTCCCCTTCGACTCCGCGGATGTGAAGCGCTATCCACAAGACCCCAATGATCCAGCAACATTGCAAATGAATTGGCCGTCCTGGCTGGAAGCGAAGACCGAGTTCGACCAGCAGGGTGAAGCTGGAGAAGACGCCGACCTCCTGAAACCAGGATCAGAGGTCCATGTGACAGACAACGACATCCTCGACATGACCGACCGACAACTGGACCAGTACATGGATTGGTACCAGAAAATGTGGATCGCCGGCAAACATACCTCGCCCGCCGATCAAGCGCCAGAACAAACCATTGAGAAAGATATTCTCGACATGTTCCCACTCCACGAGGTCCCCGAGCACCCGAGAACACTGGTCTCGAATGCGAACGCCGAGCAAGAAGAACAGTCACGACTGAGCGGGCGAATCATGCAGGTCCAATCCTCCCTGACGACGCGCCGGGCCATTACGGTGGACGAAGAACGCGAGCGCGGTCTGGACGTGCTGCGCCCGGGGTCTCGATACCCGCGATTCCCCAAAGTCGACGACCTCGACCGGGCGGCGGCGGGCGACGGTGCCGTCGTGAAGACGTTCCACGAAGAAGCGGCCGCGGCCGCCTGTCTGAGCGTCAAGGCCCTGTTGCTGGCGGTGAATCGGACCGAGGAGAAAATCGAACGGTGGCTCGTGGATCGGAGGAGGGCCGAGGTGTTTGGCGAGGAATTGGAGCAGGGTCAGGGCGAAGACGAAGACAGCGCGGACGACCACGACGACCACGACCGGGATGCTGCTGGTGAAGACATGGATTTCATCCCCGAGACGAGCCCGCCCGGGAAACTGGCGAGAGAGATGGAGGGCTTGGGAATTGGGCAGTCACCCGACGTGGAGGAGGACCACGACGATGGTAATGATGATGATGATGTCGAAGGGGTTGTCGACATGGAGATGATGCTTCACTCGTCATCACTCGGAGCCTGAGTCTCTCAGAGGCAGATGGTCATGAAGAAATGCATTCCTGGATGTACATTGGGGATATATCGCTTTATCGTCATTCGTGAAAGCAGCTTGCGCACCTGTACAGCCTGTCAACCTATCAATTGTACTTTGTACAACGTTGGTCGGGGGGTGCCTCCAAGTTCGAGTTCGTGCCTCCCTCCATCTTCCTTCATTGAGCCGTAAAGCCGGCCAGCAGCATACATATACATATGCATATGCATGTGCTGTGTGTCTTGTACCTTTTGCCCCGTGTCGCACCGCATTCCGTTCTAACTCTGTCACCCAGCCTTGTTTGCTAGACCTTTTCCACCTCGCCCCCCTTCTCCGCCCACTCGATCCAGCTGCCGGGGAACTCAGCGATCTTGCCGCCGAACGCCGCCTGTCCCGCCAGCGCCGCGGCCGCGCGACTCCTCACCCCGGCGCGGCAGTAGAAGATGACCTCGTCGCGGGCCGTGGGCTTCTCCCAGCCGAAGCGCTCCTCGAACTCCTCGGCGCCCAGGAAGAAGCCGTCGGCGGCGGACTTGATGGGCAGGTTGTGGGCGCCAGGGATCTTGCCCGTCGACTTCAGCTCGGAGGGCTCGCGCACGTCGATGATGATGCGGTTCGGCGCCGGGTGCGCGGCCAGACTCTGAATGTCATTGAAGGTGTATAGTGTCGATGACGGCGGTTGGGCCGCGCCGGAAGATGAGGAGGAGGAGGTGTTTTCTTCCTTGCGGGCGACTAACGTCGTGGTGAAATGCCGCCGGGGCTGTCGTAGACGGGGTATGGAGAGGGCGCAGGCTTGGGATCGGTGGGAGAGAGGCTGGAGCTGTGTCGAGGCGAGACGACTCTGTTGCGGGCCTGTTGGGCGGATTGTTCTCGCGGAGCAGGAGGAGGAGGAAGCTCGTTTAGATGCTGCGAATGTGCGAAGACATTGCTGTAACGACGAAGCTGGTGGTTTGAATGCCATTATTGTCCGTGGACCCGTGAGATAGAGCTCAATGGAAAACGACGACCTGGGCAAGAAGGGATTGGTCTAAGAGAAGAAGGATTGATTGTTCGAGCCTATCGATGTTCAGTATGGGAGTTTTTTCTCTCTCTCCTCGCTTCGCCCCACCATCTGGGGTACAGCTTCCGTTCCGTAGTTATTAATATCTTGGGGGAATCCTCGGTCCCAGTGGCGGCGAGCCGCCTTTGATGCTACGGCAGAGCATGAGATCAGTTTGGCAGTTATCAAAAGCTGTTTTCTCTGTACCTCGTACTCTGCGTCTACGGCCGGAAATCCAGGTCTTGATATCCTTCTGCTAAGAGAGCGCCCAACTGGTTTTCGGCGTCTACAGACGGGCTCGTCATATACTCAAGTGCGAATTACAGCTTCACCGATGCCATCGTCCACGCGTACTCGATGCTGGGCAAGAAGAGCCAGCGGTGCTGCGAGAGCAACCCGGACAACATATGGGGTCTCAACCCGTCGCAGCGATTGGTGCTGAACGCCCTAGTGAAGCCGCTCAAAGACCGTGCAGGCTTCCAGCCTCAGCAGCGTCGCTTGCTGCTGGAAAACAATGATCCACGGGACGCCTTCCCCCGTGCCCCATGCATTCTGGGACAATCCGCCCACTCTCAATGACGGTGTCAACAATCGATTCAGCATGGTTCCGGAATTTCTCACTTGTTTTCCACACTTGTGCATCTGAGGAGAGCTGAAATGACGTAGTTTTCATGGTCAAATTGGGAGCAGGGTCAGGTTGGAGGAGGCCCAAACAAAATGCCGGGGGGTAAGAATTTGTGACTGCCCATGTTGAGTTAGGGCATCCATTCAGCGCCGACCACGGTTTTGTGTACCCTGAGGGTGCCCTACCATTGCCTGACAGCTACAATCCCACGCTGTACCTTCGTCCGGAATGGCTGCCTGATCAGGTCCGGCGTGAAAGTGATACGGTTGATAGCTTCAACATCGCATCCCGCAACCTCCTTTCTCTTGCCTTTCCACCTGCAAGGCGCAACACGCTGAATACTAAATACTATATGATCCCAACTCACGACTACTTCCTTGATTGCGCATCTAGTGAAGGTCTGTATGCTGTGACCCCATATTCTGCGACTCACTAGGTTGAGAAATTGCATCAGGATCAGAAGACAACAAACCCTCAGAAACCGCTTCAAACGATGGCCGATCGAAACTCGGGCAGCTCCATTAAGTCTGAAGATTATACTGATCCAGTCGTCGAGACTGCCCAAGTTGGTATAATAGTAGACCCAGAGACGCTTCAACAACTTTCCTCATCCGCACAAGCGGCACATGACAAGCGACTTGATAAGGCTAGACGGTCCTTGGCGGATGCAGCGAAAGAGATAACAAAGGAAGAAGCCAGTATGGCAGGTTCAAGACAGTCAAATACGCAAAAGCCGGTTGTGCCGAAGGAGGGCGGTGACCCTAAACAATGAGATTCAGATTGGCGAGGATCGAAATGAAGTCGTGGCCTCAGATCTCCATGCCTGCCCATTTCAAGGAAATTGCTCAATAATATCTCATCGATGCTGCCGTTCACGAGATCATTGCCATTAGATATGAATCCGTGGTTATGGCGATTCCTCGAATGCTTCACGCAACTTCTTGTCATACTCTGCCTTGTGGTTGGCCTTTTCGTTCACGAATGTATGAGCCTGTCTTGCCCAGTATGGGTAGGCATAGAGGCAAAATTGGTCGTCTTCATGGTGAAGTCGAGAGTAGAGCGGTTGGATCCTCTCGTAAAAGACCGGGTGAAGACCCGTCGGGCTTCGCATGGCAAGCACATACCAGAACGTGCCAAGGTCCCAGCTCATATTCATAATGGAAGAAAGTTGAAGGCCGTCTCTATCGTGAAGTAGTGCCTGATTCTTTTTCTCCTCTTCTTCGAAGGCCAGCATGAATTCTTCACGGAGTTTGTTATATGCATCGACCTCCACTTGATCCACAGCTCGGTTTGTGAGCCACAGCGGTGGCTGCATGAATTCGACTGGAAGTATAGCAGTCCATTCGAGGTCAATGTGACACATAATATTCCAATTCTGATCAACAATCAGGTTATGACGGTTCATGTCTGTTAGGAGCATAACAAATGGTCCGTGATTCAGACTTCGCCGGAAAAGGTCGGGGCGCACCGCCCTCAACATGGTGAGGGCGGCCATTTGAGAGACCCCGTCGCCAATGTCGTTCACAGCGTTGGGTTGGTGTCGCAGGCGGTTATCATGACAGTTAAGCAGGTCATCGACGTAGGAGCCAACCGTATAGTAGGTGCGATTCCTGGGAACATCCAGTGGAATGCCCTCACTCTCCAAATCTTGAATCTCTAATGTAAGGGGGCGGTTCGCCAACTGCAAAAAGCCATCATCATCAATGATCAGGGATCCAATGCGAGGGAAAGGAACCTGCGCCATTTTTAACATTGTCTGCGCCATTCCACGGAACAAGTTCTTTCGGAGTTGAGGGTCCGTCTGGCCTGTTTCCCAGGTTTCGGACAATCTCTGTCCTCTGGTCTCGTCAATGTATTCAAGGAGAAGATACGGGCTCATTCCCTTCCAACCGCCGCTTTGATGTGGGGCGAATTGCGAAGGTAGAGGACGACCGAGCCAGGACAACAAGCAACATTTGAGGAAGTGGAAGGCACGGGCATAGAAGGGGCGGTGTTCAATTGCAGTAAACTGCCAAGACCAGGTAAGCAGAAGACATAAGATCGAACATATTGATCACATACACACTGGCCAGTACCAAGACCGAATCCGTAGAGGCGAGGAATCGGTATGTTTGGACATTGCTGATGCATCCATGCATAGGTTGCGGCCTCACATCGAACCTTCTCGTCGCTGTTTCCAGAGCAAAAGGTGCCTTCACCTATTCGATAAGGGAACGGAAACCGCATCAGAACGCGCTTCGAATCATCGACTACCACAGGAACACATAGATTGAAGGCTCCTTGCATCCATTCTTTGTGGCTGGCAACCCGACATCGTGAGGAAGAATGGAGACCAAGATGGTGCGCAACTCGGTCCCGAATGAGGCTCTGATTGCGAAATATGAAGTTGTAGAAACGTTGAATACGGTCAGGATAGGTAAGTTGGTGAAGGATATTTGTCTCCCTGGTTTTGGCGTCCTCGTAGGTGACCTTCTCTCCTAAGAGGATGCGGGTGGCCAGCATAGAATCGAGTGGTGTGCCGATCGAAAGAGAACCCTTTCGCGCTACACGGAGAAGTATGAAGAATATTGCTTCAAAGGCGAGGGAAGTCAACTAAATACGTTTCCCATGATCATGGGAAGAGCCTCCTTTTCTACATGGCTCAAAGGGTAAGGCGCAGTTGGAAGACTTGGCGCACTAGTGCTCCTTTGGACGATTTATATCACGTGAAAGGGGGAATCTGGGGTTCCCGCTCTCTTACGCTTCCGGCTTGGTCAGTTGCCCGTCTTCTCCCTGCTCCCCTTCCGTGCATTCCCCTTCTTGTCTGTCTCCGTAACGGGGCCCATTTGAGATCGGGGAATATTCCGTCATCCTCGATACAAAGGGGACTAGGTGGAGAAAGTGCGGTAGTGGCCGTGGCGCGTCAGCCGGCGTCATCGTTGTATGTATCGTCGTCGATCGGGACCGGCTGGATTTGTGCGCCTCCATTAGATGAAATCGAAAAGCGGCGTGGTTGCGGTGAGTGGCCCGCGAGCCTCGACTAGTTTTCACAATGCTTTGGCCGCCAAGGTGATTGAGTGGCATAACATGGTCAGGTCGCCTATATGGAGCGGAGGATTGAAGGTATCTGGTCTCGTCTGGCCTCCAGCGACGACTCCGCCGACCTGCCATGGCATTCTCGGTCGATCATTCCGTTCTTGCCGATCTCCCAGATGCCACTGAACATGCCGCCTTTCCAATCCTTGAACATCGTGTTTGATGGGTTTCAAGATGCGATCTCCAAAGGCTACGTCAGCTTCGAGCAAGCTGAGACTTCTCTGAAGTTGTTTCGGGGTGAGGCTCGTGACTTCCCCTTCGTCCTGATCGACCCGACCACGGGATTGGACATTTTCCGCCGCAGAAGACCATTTCTTCTCCTCTGAATCCCCACCGTTGCGGCGCAGTGGAACCTTGCACTTCAGGCGAAACTCGAAGCCGAACTTTGGGAGTCGTTGAGTCGAAGACTGATTGTGGAGAGCGAGAAGAGTCTGGATCTCCTGCCGGGGCTTCTAGTCTATCTGAACTGGAGTGACTGGTCAGCGTTGTGGCCAAGGGATCCCCCGAACCAACTAATTGGGCGAATAGGTACCACTTTCAGTTTGATCCTGCACGTCAAATATTGTATCAGCTCGTGCAGATGGCCAACTCCCTCGCTCTTGATCTATGCTTGGAAAAAAACTCCTGCAACTCTTGTACCAGAACTGAGGACCAAGCCACTCCTGGCGCTTGAGGAAATCGAAGGACGAAGGGCTCTTCTTGGGTGCTAGCCCATCATGGTATATTTCGGCCACTCGACACAGGAGCTTACTGGAATGCTTGGAAGCGGCCAGAGGATACTTGGACCATTTCTTGTCTGTGCCAACAGCTGCCATCCTCAAATTCACCACGCCTGATCTCCTGAGGTTGCTCTACGCTCTTCTCGTTCTCGGAAGATTCTCTACCAGCGTTGATGGCCCCTTGCTGGATGCCAATCTCCGACACTACCTTGAATCTCTTGCGGCAAGTTTCGAGAGGCCCTGGCCACCATTTACAGCCCGTCCGACCACTATCTCGTGTACTTGGGTCGCCTTGTTTGGGATACGCCAGCTTTGGCAAGCGCACCTCCCACCATCCATGAAGACTCGTTCACTCCGAAACTCACCCGCATGGATACGAGGGCTCTGCCCTTAAGGGTGTGACTGCTGTTTGGATATCCCCGGGGCCTGGTCATGTTGTCCAGACGTCAAATCTGCCTGGCACAAACCCCCTGCAAGCCCGAACCCTGGAGAGGCCTTTATCGGGTGAATCCGGCTCGAATCTAATCTCCATAGGGACTGGGCACGATGAATGGTGTTTCTGGTAATATCAAACATGTAATATGCAAGAGGTTAGTGCGAAACTCCGAAGGTGCTTCCGATTGGATCGCGAGAAAGATCGTCGCCGGCCCATGAAACACATCTGGCACATTCAACATCATCGTTGATCTTCATCACTACAACAACCCCCAGATGCGAATTCAACCACGCCAATCCGGACTCCTTCAGGTCTTCCGAACCTCGTTTTACTGCTTCTCATATCGAGTGCGATATACCACAACTTCGGGATTTTCCAGAAATATGGGGCACACCCTTAGTCGCCACGGGCCACTGGCCCAGTCATTCTTTATCCCCAAGCCTCCACTCTCGGAGAAAAACCTACCAGACCAAACTGGAAAAGTACGTCCACCATGACGCCCTCGCAGGAAGATTGTGTCCTAACCCGGAGTGCCCGAACAGGTGTGTATCGTGACCGGAGGAAATGCTGGGGTTGGGTTTGAAGTCTGCAAAATTCTGTATGAACACAATGCGACGGTCTACCTGGCTGGACGCTCGGAGGAGAAGTGCAAGCAAGCGATCTCGTCCATCGTCGAGTCCATCGGTGCAAAGACGAAACCGAAGGGAGCGCTCAGATTTCTGAAGCTCGATCTCGCCGATTTGGCCACAATCAAAGCCAGTGCCGAAGAGTTTCTCCGTCAAGAGACCAGACTGGACTGGCTCTGTAACAATGCAGGAGTCATGTTGGCGCCGGCCGGGTCTCAAGGTGCTCAGGTTCGTTGAGCCTTCCTGTTTGAACCATCGCTGCCGAACTAACATTCGCGCGTGTGTCAAGGGCCACGAACTGCACATGGTCACCAACTGTCTGGGTCATTGGCTCTTCACCCACTTCCTCCACCCAATCCTCAGTTCCACCGCAGCAGGCTCACCGCCACACACGGTCCGGGTGTCGTGGGCGGGGTCTGTGGTAATCGACCTGTACTCACCCAAACACGGCATATCCTTGGACACCGACGGTGTCCCAGCTCTCCCTCTTTCCGACCCCCAAAAGTTGTATGCCATCAGCAAAGCGGGCAATCTGTTCTACGCTTCAGAATATGGCAAACGATCCAGGACCCAAGGTCCAAGTATTGTCAGCACGTGCTTCAACCCGGGCAACCTTCGCACCGAGTTGCAACGTTATGTGTCACCCACGCGCAAGATGTTCCAGAATCTGGTTTTGTACCCGGCCATTTTCGGGGCATACACGGAACTATTCTCTGGGTTTTCGAGAGAAGTGACCACTGAACAGAACGGTTGTTACATCGGGCCCTGGGGCCGCGTGCTGGATGTCAGGGCCGATGTTCGGGCGAGCTGCAAGAGCGTGGAAGAAGGCGGCAATGGAATTGCCAAAGCGTTTTGGGAATGGAGTGACAGGGAATGTCGGCCGTACATGTAAAGCTCGACTTGGGTGTTGGGTGTGGGCAGCTTCAGCCTCCAGAAACCAATCGCAATGAAGGTGTCTGCTCTTTGCAGACCAAGCTGATGTTGACATAGGTGTGAGAACGAATGCCCGTACGGCCAGGACGGCGACACAGAGGTCGACCTGACAGAAAGCATGAAGTGCTTCATACGAAGATGGAGTACACCCGACACCCTCAGCACGGCCCAGTTTCGGGGGACGATAGCCTGATGGCCCGACTCGTGCTCTGCATTACGCGTGCCACCAATGTACAAACGACCTATGTCGAGGGTATCTTACAGGAGAGAGCGCGTGCCAAGGGTACTGTGCATCATATATCAGCGCCACGGCTGACGAGCCTTGCTCTCTAATCTCACCGAGGCAAGATCTTTCTGTGGACAGGGCGTCTGCTCTGTTTCTGACAAGATATCGTACAGCGACTGGAGCCCATGAGTCACTGCAGGATAGATGCAGCGCCTATCCCTAGCATCCAATCGTCCTATACTATCTGGATTTACGTTGTGTGGCCATGACTGAGGCGTCATGAGTCAGCTACAGGGTATCATAAGCTTACATTCGATTGCCTCTTGTCCCGCCAGACCTCGGGCCCCAGGGCGTTCATCTATAGCATCCATCCACTGATCCCTAAAGGCCTTACACCCATTCACGTTCTTCTAATCACCAATCTAGCAGCGAACAGCACACACCCGAGGTTCTGGGAGTATATAGTCCCGGAAACAGCCCGGTTCAGCCCTTTCCTAAAAGCCAACGCCCCCCAGCTTTTCGGGATAACCCCCCGGACAGGTACACAGTAGAGTTTCCCTAGACTCCTTGACCCTTTGCAGTTTCTCCAACGCCGAGGCAGGCGGTGAATTGGACCATGAGCGGACGCGAGCCCAGGAGAGTCAGTTTCCGACCTTGCTGCAAGATCTGCGACTTTTCCCACTGTTCATCGCCGTTGCTGCTGGAGAGACGTACAATGCCCAGAGGGAATCCCCCCGGAATGGAGACTATACCGAAATGACATCGGTGTATTGACCCAGATCTCCCCTGGAGACACTAACAGACTTTGTTATGGTGCGGAGACGGTGCGCTACGGACGCATGGCTTACCGAAGACTCCAATAGGACGCCTGGATGAAGAGGGGCCCGGCTGAGGAAGCACAGCAAGGCAAGAACCCTAAGCTAGGAAAGGGGAGCGACTGTTGACGTCGGCTCTCATCTGCGAGGAAGCCAAAGCATATATATAACCGAGCAAGACATGCTTTCTTCAGAGCATCTCGTCCGAAGCCAACCAGCAACAATATCAACCAAAGCATCAAGATGGTCTCGTTACTCGTCACGGCGAGCACCGTTGTCCTCTTGCTGGTGGGCATCTTGATCCAGCAATACTCCAACCGTCCGAGAATCCCTCCTAACGCCAAACTACCCCCAGGTCCAAAGGGTACGTCTCCTCTCTAGAATGCCATGTGTTGTCCCCCGGATCTCCCTGTCCATATTCATCCTCCTCCCCTCCAAGGGAATCGATTCTTTGTTCCATGCATCGTCTCTGACCCAGCCACCACGCAACAGGCAAGCCGATCGTGGGCAATCTCCTCGACATCCCGCCAAAGCACTCGTGGCTAAAGTTCAAGGCCTGGGCCGATGAGTATGGCCCACTCTACCGCATCTCCATCTTCGGCCGGAACCTCGTCATCGTGTCGACCGAGAAGATCGCCAACGACCTCCTGCGGGAGCGGGGCAACCTGTACTCGTCGCGAGAACAGCTGCCCATGGCGGCGAGGCTGATGTCGCAGAACCTGAGGCCGCTATTCTTGCCGTATGGAGGTCAGTAGCCCATTCCACTGGTGCCCATGGGTCACCCTTCGTTATCCTAGGCCATGCTGTACGCTGATGCGAAATATGACGCCAACAGACCTGTGGCGCCGCGGCCGCAAAGTGATGCACAACATGACCATGCATGCGTCGGCCACGTCGTACCAGCCGGTCCAAATCTACGAGTCGGAGCGGCTGCTGTGCGACCTGCTGCGGACGCCGGACAAGTACGAGCAGCTGTTTGAGCGGTACGCGGCAGCCGTGGTGATGCGGCTGTGCTACGGCAAGACCGTGGACACGGGCGACGAGGCATACGTGCGCGACATCCTACAGATCGTGCATACGGTGGAGCGCGTTGCGTCGCCGGGCGCCTACCTGGTCGACACGTTCCCGGCGCTGCTGTGGCTCCCGGCGTGGCTGGCGCCGTTCAAGCGTGAGGCGGCGCGGCTGCACGCGTTCGAGATCAAGGTCTTCCGGGGTTTGTTGCTGGAGGTCCGAGACCAGATGCAGGCCGGAAAGGGCCCCCGGTGCTTCTCCCGGACGTTCCTCGAGCGCCAGGCCGAGTTCGGGCTCTCGGACGACGAGGGCGCGTACGTGATCGGCACGCTGTTCGAGGCCGGCGCCGGCACCACCGCGGCGGCCATGATGTCGTTCGTGCTGTGCATGTGCCACCACCCGGAATGGCAGACCAAAATCCAGCAGGAGGTCGACGCCGTGGTCGGGGGCGATGATGGCCGCGTGCCCGACTTCCGCGACATCCCTCAGCTGCCCACCTGTCGCGCCGTCATCAAGGAGGTGCTGCGCTGGAGACCGGTCACGGCCGGCGGCGTGCCACACGAGCTGATCAAGGATGATGTGTACGATGGGTATTTCCTGCCGGCGGGGACCAACGTGCACGCGAACCAGTGGTGAGTGCGATATAATACATGCGGGACCTGTTTGTTTCGAGAGTTCTTTCCCCCCCCCTCTCTCTCCCCTCTCTCTCTCCCGGAAGGACCACAAGTCACAAGCTCCCTCCCCCTTCAAGGATCTATCTATCTCCCACAACTGATCCCCTGTCCCCCTGTCCCCCCTAGACTAACGAACTAACTGACTGATCTACCTGCCAGGGCCATCCACCGCGACCCGGACCTCTACCCGGACCCGGAAACCTTCAACCCGGCGCGCTGGCTCTCGCCGGCCTTCCCGACCACGTACCGCGAGCCGCTGACCAAGTTCCCCAACCTGCAGAACTACTCGTGCTTCGGGTTCGGGCGCCGCATCTGCCCGGGCATGAACATCGCCGAGAACTCGCTGCACCTGCTGGTGGCGCGCATCGCGTGGGCCGCGCACATCACCCCCCGTGCAGGCCAGCCGCCGCCGCCGCTGTACGACTACACCGCCGGCTTCAACGTGCAGCCCCGCCCCTTTGCGTTTGACCTCAAGCCGCGCAGTCCACAGAGGGCCGCGCGCGTGGAACAGGTCTGGGAGGCCGGACGGCGGAGGGATCCCTTGGACGAGGTGTATACTTTGTAATGCTATGCTATGCTATGCTATGCTATGCTGTGCTATGTCATGTTATGCTCCTTCACAAAAGGAGAGACGGTCGAAGCATGAAGGACAGACAAGAACATATCTGACATGTGATGTTGGATGGATTACTGTATTACACGGTACGTATGACACGATACTACGCCGACATCTATCTACCTATCCATCCACAGAACGAGACCGATCAGCAAGACCTACATAGACATCTATTTTCTTTGTCCTTGCACAGCCCGTCCGAAGAATCTGTTAGTTATATATGATCCTCAATCCGCAATCTTCAACCCCCAATCCCCCGAGGATCTCTTGGGCGCTGGTTGTCTACGCACAACCGACATATGAGATATACATGATGGACGGAGTGTTGGTCATTCAATCTAATCCAATGCAATTCCATCCCACGGCCAGCCCCAACCCCTTTCGTCGTCCATCTGGTCCCCTTTCTCCGTCCCCGTCCCCGTCCCCGTCTCCCTCTTCTCTTTATCCTTCTTCAAGGAGTCGCTATCGATCATCCATCCCATCAACATCCCCATCCTCACTGCCATTTTCTACCTCCGGACCGTGGACGGTTAACCCTTTCCCCCTGCCTTTTCCTCCCCTTCTTCCTTCCATATCTTCTTCCCCCTTACCCCCCTCTCCTCCTTAAGGAACGTCCTCCCCCGCACTGCGCCTCAGAAACGCAACCGTCTCTTCAATCCGACTGAGAAACGGACTGTGCCCACACCCCGGGAGGCTCTCGGTCCGGGGATCCGCGCCGTCCTCGCGCATGCGGGCCACTATGGCCTGCTGGGTGGGGAACTTGATGGCTCTGTCGTCCTCGACGAGGAGGTAGTGTACGCGCACGCCGGGGGCGGTGTACGCGGTGAACGACGAAGCGTCGAGCAGGGCGCGCGAGCTCATAGGACCCAGCTGCGCCGCCCACCGCGCGGCCTCGTCGCTCGGGAGGTCGTGGAAGAACAAGTCCGCCGGCGGGGGATCGAAGAGGTCCGGCAGCTGGGGCGGCTCGCGGCCCTCCACCGCCGCCAGCGTCATGCCCGCCGGCAGCACGAACGACGTCAGCGCCGCGAGGCCCACGACCCCCGTCTTGTGGCCGGCGGCTTCGCGAGTCGGTTTTTCAAGGCCCCGGATGGCTCCTGAGGAGGGCAGTCCGCCATAGCTGTGGGGTACGACGATCACGTCTGCCGCAGCGCCGTCCTCGCACTCCAGTTCCGCCAGGATGGCCTCCCGCACGATTGCGATGTCCGCCTGGTGGTCCGGCACGACTTCATCGGGCAGCTTGTCGACCGACGGCAGCGCGGGGGCCACCGTCCGGTACCCGTGCTGGTTCAGGGCCTTCATCAGTGGCTCGAAGTGTGCCGGGCGGTGCCAGGCGCCGTGGACGATGACGAAGGTGGGCTTGGACTTGGACATGGTTTCTTCGTCCCTTCGATGAGCCTCCGGTGGGTGGGTCAATGGGTTGATACGCTGCTGGAGTGTCGGAGGATGTAAGTGTTGATATGTGTGTCGAGGATGACAAGTCCACTCTCGTCAGGGTCAGTCAGCTTGGTCTTCGGTTGATCATCCGTCACACCAATCAATGTATGTATGTACACAGTGTAAATGTATCATCGATAGCCTCTTTATTTCTTTTTTCTGATCCCTGTTTGATTGGTTTTTTGATTGATTTTATTTTTGATTTCAGCTTACCTTTCTGTTCTCTCCGTCGATCCTTCTCAGAGCATCCCGTTTCACGTGGTAGGCAGGGTGGGCCAATGATAATATGACAGAGGCGGTAAGAGGACGCTCGAGAACGAGAGAGAACGAGAGAGGACGGGGGCCCTGGAGCAGCACTATCACTAGCACCGGGACCGGCACCGGCACCAGCACTAATACCAACACTGGCAGTAGCAACAAGAGCAGCAGAAGGAGCCAAAAGGAGGAGGAGGACGAGCAGGGAAGAAGCAAGGAAGGAAGTGGTGGCAATGGTCAAGTCAGCACTGACTGAATCCCACAACCTTCCCCATACCTACCGAATCACTGAGTGAGTGAGTCAGTCCCTCATCCATATACATATATATATATATATATATATGTATATATTATATACTCGGTGTGTGCGTCTGTGTACACCAGGTATGTACATATATACCCCATACCATACCATACCATACCATACCATACCATACCATACCGACACCCGATAGATGATGGGGTAATAATAGGTATCCACGCGGAAGTACCGACCGAATGTGGTACTTATACTGTACTCCGTACATAATATGTAGGTAGGGACACCCTCACAATAATTACAACAACAACAACAACAATAATAATCATCATGTACATAATTACGGCGTAAAGTACATACATACATAGCTCGTACACTAGCCCCCGGGTTTGTGCACAACCTCGTTCTCACTCACCCACCAACCACGACGCTCAACCTTTCCCTACATAGGGGTGTGTAACAGACAAAGATGATGAGATCCGTGATGATTAATATCATAAATAAGTGGCGATGGGGGGCTGATCCATCCCTCGACGCATGGAAATCGAAAAGTACCCGTAAAAGGAAAATCCCTCCTCCCACAACCGGGGGGGGCGTGAGATTTTCGTGGGACGAGTAACTCGGTGTATCACGGTCTCCCTCCCTTAACTAGCCCTTTTGGTACTGGCATGTCCTCCGTTTCAGCTAGGGTTTCTGTCTCCTCCCCATACGATACGAGTGAAGAACAGACAGACACGCATGTTACCACAAAGAATAAAACGCTTTTCCCATTCAAATCACGACAACAAAGAGTCTCGCTGTCTCGCTGCATCTGGTGCTCATCTATGTGGTCGTTTCGCCTGCGCCAAATCCCTTCGATAAGCTTTACATGGCCCGCGCCCCGTGCTTTTGTGTTCCCATTTCTCTAAAGTCGTGCCCATTGAACATGATCCGTTAGTCGTGACACTTCCCCCCCGGCCCCCAAACCCCCGGAGTCCCTCCTCGGAATCGGGAACAATCTGTTCATGTGAGCCGCATGTTATCACTGGCCCCCTTGGCCGGCCCCTCCCCCTCCCCCTCCCCCTCTCCCGTTTCCGCGTCCACAAACTGTTCCCCCGACGTGGTCGCAAAGCTTTGTTTCCGACTCGAATCGGGCGACCTGAACCGTTCATCCCATTCCTCTCCATGCGCCGAGGAAGCGGTGTCGGCCGTCCCGAGCGTTACGGGCGCCCTGTCGTCAATCGCCTCTTCATTGGCCCGCTCGGCCTTTCTCAACTTCAGCCTCTCCTCGTTCGACATGTGCTGCCATTCGGAAGACATAGTGATGACACTGGCCTTCTTGCCATGCAGAATGAAACTGCCGGCACCTCGCTTCAACTCCTCAGCTTCACCGTCGTCCGTCGCAGCCAAACTAGAGCCCGATTCCTTACCCTTCTTATGGCGATGAACACTAGGGGACTGGTGAAGCGGATGGTGGTGATGATGATGGTTATGATGGGGCTCGCGCAAGCTGCGCTGGAGGCTTCGGCGGACACTACCGCCCTGGGGCGAAGGCTCGGCCGCACCACCAATCATGGCGCCGACGCGGTCCCTCTCCGACTCGCTGGTGTCGGGCCTCTTCTCGCGGGCGACATTACCGTCCACATGCATCAGCCCGGCTTCACGTAACACCCGCTCCTCAGAGTCATCCGCCCCCCGTGTGAGCCGGTCTCTATCTCGGCTGTGACGAGAACTGGTGGTAGACACTTGGTGTGACAGACTGTGTGAATCATGAATACTTTCGTGCCTCGACAAGGACGGCTCGGCTGACAAAGAGGGGCTTGTGGTCAAGGGGAGATCGGACGTGCTCAAGTCGGTTCGCGTGCTCACGTTCTCCGGCGTCTTGAGCTTATCGATGATGTTGGACGGCCTCGAGGAGGTAGCACTGATCGGTGACAAGGTGACGTGGCTCGTGTCGGTGATGGTTCTCCCGAGGTCTGCCTGGCCCGTCCTCAGAGGGGTGGTCTTCTGGGGCGTCAGGATCGTCGACGCCTTGGGAGCAGGGAACGCCGTGGACCCCTCCTCTTCGAGGTCCTTGAAGAGAATGTCTCGGTGGGTTCTCGTTCGCCATAGTTCGACCCTGGTCCATTTCAATTTGGCCGACATCCGCCCGGCAGCCAGCACGAGGAATTCACGCGTCTTCTGCTGGATTGGGAGCAGGATGAGCAGGTGCCGCGCATTGCGGAGGAGGTGGTCGAGTTCCTTTTGCGCCACCGCAATCCGCTCGTCGAAATCGCTGATTTTCTCATTGATCAGTTGCCGCCGGTAGAACATGATCTCCCACGCCATCTGAGCGTCGACTTTCTTGTCCTTCTGCATGGTATCCCCGCTCTTGGTGGAAATCTCTGAGTCCTTTCGAAGAAGATGACGGCCTTCGTAGTTAGATCCTAGCAGCCCGCGCATCCTCACACCGGCGGTGCGGAAAGTGGCTGCGTAGTTGAGCTTCCCGATCCAGTCGTTCATCTCGACCTCGCTGTTAGCCAGGAAGATTTCCTCGAAACCTCCGTGCTTGATAAAGACAAAGGCGTTTTTGTGTTTCTTGTAGCTCGAATCCAACAACGCCACTGCATCATCCATCGACATCAGCGCGTCAGGCTCAAACAAGGTCAGTGGCGGTTTGAAGACCAGAGGAGCAGATCGATTGGTCGATTTGGAGTGGGCATCATGTTGCGCGATCAGCTTCTTGACCCATCCGACATCCTTGAAGAAGTAGAGCTTCGAATCGGTCAGGATCGCGCCCCATTCCTGCCACGGCCGTTTGGCTTTCTTCTTCTTCGGGTCCTTGCGCCACAACAATCCCACTTTGGCAACCTTGATACTGACCAGGCCCGCTTGCGCTTCGCCAGGATTGCTAATGGTGGCTTGGGATAGAAAAGCGTCCGGCCTCGATCTCGCAGATACAATCTGCAGCACGGCTGAGTTGACAAAGGCCTTGTGATGATGTTCCGTTTCGAGCACACCGGCCGTCCCAGTGGAACAATAACAATCCTCCGTATCCATGACATCTTTCAGAGACGGCCGCAAGACGTCCAGCTTATTGTCCAAAATCAAAGTGTATGGGTCGACAGGACCACGAAGGCTTTCGAGGCTCCTAGTCTTGATCAAGCTCCTCTTTGGCTTGGGCGCCGACAGACGGTGGCTGTTGACGGCGACCTCGTCTTCGAAGTGGATGAAGGGCGTGTAGCACACGTTGTCGTAGAAGCAGTCGAGGATATCACTGGAGATCTGGACGGGACCCTGTTGGGTATTCTTGACGTAATCCTGTTTCTGCATCTTCCGCTTGTTGTTCTTGTTGTGCGTGTCCGAGTGAAGGAGAAGGATGGAGAACGCAACGAAGGCTGCTTCGTCAGTCGAGGAGAAGATTCCGGGGTTACATTCATAGTATCTGTCCGCAAACCCGGCCAGCAGTCGATCGATCTGTTGCGTTTCCTTGGGCAGCTCTACCTCCATCAACATTTTCCGGATCGCCATGTCAATGGAATCACCAAAATAGGAAAAACCACGCATGTACTTGCGCAAACACGTTTTGGAGAAGTCGTCTGCGCTCTTGCAGAGAATTGTTGCCATCGCGCTCCTCGGAACTGCGGCTTCGAGTTTTTCCAAGTAACTGGCCGGCGTATCGCCATCCTCTCGTTTGGGATACACACGCTCCGGTTCCGGCTCTCGAGGAATGTGTAGAGAGTTGGATTTGGAGCCTGGCGTTCCTGGGACCGAGCCGCCACCGGGGCGCGTGGGTGGTGCAGAATTCTGCCGGAGTCTGTGGGGAAGAGACAATAGGTCGCCAAAGCTCCTTCTGCCACTCGTCGATGTCGACGTACGCGTCGATGCTGGCTGAGGAAGCGCGTCAGATAACCTCTCAGTCGACTTTCCCAGCGAACTGAGGGTCGAAGATCTTCCTCTCCCGGACACTCGCGGAGGAACCAGTGTCACTGATGGCGTTGATTGACCAGAGTGGGTTGACCAATTGGAGTCTTGCCGGATGATGGTGGCTCCCGGCGACCCAAACGGAGCATTGGTAAGTGCCACGGCAGAATGCGTGGGCGAAGGAACTGCAGAACCATGTCGACTTGGCTCAGTATCGAACCTGACCGCCGTGTTTGATCTCCTACTCGGCGACATTGATTTCCTCCCGAACAGGGAGTCCTGGGGGGTGTGTGAGGTCGTGGTTCGGCCAGAGGCGGGTGCTGCAAACTTTTCCGGCAGCGGAAACAGTGGACCTTTGTTCTTCTTCCGCCTCTTGAGTTTGAAGAAGGTGGTGGTGGTAGAGATGGTGTGCGTGGTGGTGGTGGTCTTTGCGTAGACATGGTGGTCGCCAGAACTGTCATCTGATCGAGACGATTCCGACAGTCTCGTAATGGGGATCGCTAGTGAGGATGAAGATTCGTCGCCGTATGCAGGTGGCTCCCCGCTAGAATGGCCAGTCTTCGGTCGCGGGAGGCGCTCAAAGGAGGTGGATTCTTTGAGCATCCCAGGCTTCGCCAAGCTCCCCTTCTCATCCTGCCCGTCTTCCGTCGCTGTGCCTTTCAAAGGGTCTAGGATAGTCCGCCTAAAGCTGTGACTCTTCCGGAAAGGACTCGGCGCTCGGGTGAACAGTCTTCGCTTGGATGGTTTCTGGGTAGGCTCGTCAAATTCGTTTGTTGTCGGCGCGGTTGTGATGATCGTGGGCGCTGTACGGCAAGAAATTAGCCACCAACTCAGATACATATCAGAGAGGGTACATACGTGGGACCTCATTCATAGGACTGGTCTCCTCATTCTTAAATCTGGTAGACAGTTGGGGGTCTGACGCATGCCTCATTCCCAAAAGCGACAGCCTTTGCGGCATGGGCAACGGACCAGAACCAAGGTTGTTTCGGAGCCCATTTGTTCCGTCGCCTTCAATCTGTGTAGATGATCTGGTTGTCGGAGTGCTGGCGCTCTTTGGCAGGTCACGTTGGGGGGAGGGTTCATCAGGCTGAGCGGAGGGCAGGTCGGTGGAAAGTCCTTCGAGATCCTGTGTCAAAAATGGAGGGAAGGGTTCTTCGTTTGTCCGCGACAGACTCAAACTCAGTCTCTTCAACGAGCTACCACGGCTGCGGGTACGAGTGGGCGGCACATTGCTGCTGACCGATGTCGAGGGGGAATCTTCGATGATACTGCTGTGTCTCCGGTGAGGAGGACCTGAGGCAGGTTTCGACGGCAGCAGAGTCCGTAACGGCATGGCAAAAGATGTGAACGAGACCGTAGTTAGACCATGGCGAACACAATGGCTGCAGCGACTGGTATCGTGCAGAGGAGACAGAGGTCGTAGGGACGGGAAGGCTGTCGGACAACGGACAACTGCGTGTGCGTGCGTGTACAAGGGGAGAGTAGATTTAGAAAATTGCCTTGCTTAGACGGGAGGCCCCGAATCCTCAGTCAGCAGGCCGGCTGTGACTGTGAGATGGGTGGGATGCAGAAGGTCTTGGACCCGGAAATGCAAGAGACAGGAAGTAGCGAGTGAAGTGAGTGCACAAAGTCCGCTGTGGTGTCGTTCTTGGAGGAACAGTATGTAGATGTGAGATAAAGTTGGCATGAAAATGCACTATAGTCGTGGTGTTCTTGGAACAGTTGGAGGAAGACATGGGTTGTCGGAGTTGGAGGTTCACGATCGCATTCCGGCGCGGCCAGCAGGAGCCCAGGTGTCCCGGGTGCCAATAGGCGTGTGGTGCTAACCAGGGACCCCCCCTTTCCCCCTTAGGCCCCTCTAAGCCATTGGGCCAATCACCATGCCCTGTCGGCCAGTGGCTAGGCGTTCCTCCCTGGTCACGGAGCAGTGCTTCCCCTCGCTTTCCTCAATCCAGGCAGAGCTACTGTACCTACAAGTGCTGCCACGTGCGTCGTCTCTCAGGTGAATTGTTCGAGCCTCCCAAACTCACCAGCCCCCTTGAATTTTGATAAGGACTAAAGGATGGGGTCATGCAGAAGCACGGGCATACATACTGCAAGACCCCCGTGTCCTTGTCCAAACCCGGGGTAGCATCGATAGGAACGGCAGAAGTCATTATCATTATTCTTCAACCTGCCTCTCGCCTGTCCTTGGCCATTTGAGGAAGGAGCTGCTATACTTTTGGACCTTCTTATCATTCTATGCAACCCCGGATAAATGCACTGTGCAAGGTGTGAACTCCCAACGAACTCCCGATGCCAAAAAAAATCACCCGCCTGCCATGCAAAAATTACCCATGATACCCCTCCGATAGCCGTCTAGCGATACTCATGGCTACTGGCGGGCCCATAATACCCGCTGAATCTCGCATTGTACGTCTGATTCGACTGCTGATGCTGCATCTGTTGCAGTTGCTGTGCCTGGGCTTGAGCTTGCTGTTGATACTGCCAGCTCGGCTGATTCGACCAGGCTTGCTGCGGCTGTTGCGGCACGCCGCCGCCCCAGTTCGCAGGTGCTTGGGCGTTCATCCATTGCCCACTTGGTCGACCGTCAACGGGCGAGTTGTAAGCGGGGTATTGCTGCATCCCGTAGGTGCGTTCCGCCGCCTGCCTCTGCGCAATGGCCTCTCGGACCATATGACCAGCGACCCCCTCCTTAATGTTTCTTCTTTCCTGCTCCCGTGCTTCAATCGCTCCGATCAGCCCGACTGATGGGTCTGGCGTCTTGCTTCGGTCAATCACCTGAATCAGCGGACCACCTGTCATCTTTGCAACATGTTCCTGCTCCCTGGCCGATAAGTGCGATGCTGGATCGACCAACAATGAATGCCTTGAGCTGGATCGGGGCATTGAATCTCTTTTTTTCTGCAGTTTGTTCGGGGACTGCTCAACCTTACTGTAGGAAACGCTGCGATGGGGAACATAACCATGTGGAACCCTTGCGGCGACAGCACGTTGTTGGACGAACTCTTCAGCCGTCAAGCCTCCCATAGAATTGTGCCTTGCCAAGGTCGTTCCTGGGTGCCAAGCATAGCTCGAGGACCGGGAGTGAGTACCTCTGGGGCTGTTCCTCTCCGCCAATGGGGATCTTTGCCCGTCGCTAGGAGTCAAGTGGGCTGGAGAGCCTCGCTCTTCCTGGGGAGATCTGGTCAAAGGGGTTGAGGGTGCCGTCAGGGGCCGGTCAAATGGCGACTGCCGTCCCGTGATTCCAGACGCGGTCGGAGGGCGACTATGCCCCGGAGTCAAGCTTGGTGTAAAAGTCATGCCGAAGTCCACGACAGGTATATCGATTTTTGTCGAGTCTTGTTGGACATTACTGGACAGTTGAGGGTCGCCGACGGTTTTCAGGACGCCCGTCCTGGTCCTTCTGTTGAAGACAGGACGGTCATCGTTCTCGGGAAGGCTGTCATAGTCCGGTGAACTGCTCGGCTCCCTGTCATAGCTGGAGGCTGAGTACTTGGACATGCTGTCGGGCGATTGAGCACGGTTTGATGGCGCCAGAAATGTTGTGGTTGTCGTCGGAACTGGCTTTCGGTGGATTGCTTTTGAGGCTATTGGCTGTTCGATAGGAATTCGAGGATGTTCTGGTCTGACATCAGCAGGGTTTTGCATATAAGCACCTTCTGCTACCACTTCTTGAGACACAGGTTGATTAGCAGATATTTCTTCGTCGCGAGGGGTCTCATTTACCCCTCGAGGCCCCTGATTCTCGCCTTGTCGGCCATTATTCCACGCCACCAACGCTGCATGCCCCGCCGCCCCACCGCTCGCGAGTTTATTCACATCGACAATCTGAGACAATGTTCCATTTGACATGCGACTTTTCTCACGCCTCAAGTCCGGTCGGGCGTCAGGTCGCCTCTGTGGCACGTCACTGTGTTGATGCTGCATATCTGGAGGGGCCACCACTGGTGCAGGCGGTGTGGCTTCCCTCACATCTTCTTGAATATCTTCCGGATGCGTCCGCGGTCCTTGACCGTCACTGTCCGAGCTGTACCGGCTGTCTACGATTTCGGCTTCACCGTGTACCATGTTGTTCCTGAATGGGGTTCGATGAGCGGGAGGAGCTGGAGGAGGCTGGATAGGCTCCATGTCGCTGTATTCGGCGGACAATCTGGATGAGTTGTAGTTTTCGTGTTGGCGACGATTCTGCGTCGGTGACATGTACGCCATGGATTCCGATACAGATCTCGAATGGTGGGTCTGGCCCGGTGAAAGATATGCGATGTTCGCTGGCGCTGTGACGGATTTCTTGGGGGAGGCGAACACTGCATCGGTGGATTGGTTGTGCTGGTGTCGAGAAGGCGGCGTCGAACGGACCGACTCGGCATCGTCGTAGTGCACAGCTTGCCTCGATTCCGAAAACACTCGCCTGTTGTCCAAGTTGCTGCTCGGCCGTCCCTGCGCAGTCATTGACATCCGCTTGGCGGTTGCCTCTTTCAACTGTCTACGCCATTCGCGTTCGCTCCACTTTTCACTCCCTGGAGAATGGATTAATGCTGCAACGTCAATGATATCCAGATAGCCGTATCTCCTGTCTCGTGGCATCGCGAACATGAGGCCTCGGGTGTCCCATGTGTCGGCGATCAATCGCTGAGGGCGGCCATAAAGGTGGAAGATGTCGTAAACTGGGAAAAGCCAACGAAGCATCATCTCAAAGCCTGAGACCGCGGGGTGGACCTCGGGCATTACGAAAACGAAGCCTTCAGTTTTCGATTCGGGTTTTGAGTGTATCGTGATTCGGCCTTCGACCTTGACCAGGGTGGACTGGTCGATCAGCGGTTTCGACTGAGGATAAATAGCGTATGCCGAATATGCATCGGTAATGGTCGCTATAGGTAGGGCTTTTTTAGTCTTCTTCGTATCATAAAATTTGATGACCCCCTTGGGCAAGGCGGGTCGATCGTATGCTGATTTTTTCTTCAAAGACTTGTTCGTCCTTTGCCATTCTTTCTCATCGGGTGGTTCTATTACACACCAGCATCGTCTCCATGGAGTGCCGGCGCCAAATCGAACACGGGCCCAGTCTTCCACCTTGAATTTCGTCCGTTCCATGATCGTACGGATGTTGTTCAAGGACTTTCCTTTGCCGGCAATGAGAGAGCCCGTGTATAATTCCTGGAGCGAAGCATGTTCAAACATTGAGAGTCTTATACCAGCCGTCCATTGTGTTAGAGAATGCAGCGAGTTAAAATGCAGCAGATACCGGTTTTTGCCCGCCGTGGATATTGACAGCACATTCTGTAGAGGCTGGATGTCGGGATTTCGTGTAGGGAGGGTCTCGATCTGCCAGGAACTCAGAATCAGGCCGCTCACGAGGATCAGTGTATCGTACCATCTTAATGGAGGCATCTGCCAGGTTGATAAATGTCGGAGCGACTTCTCCATCTTGACCCGCCGCGTCCAACGCAGCTGCGTCCCAAAGTGAAAGAACAGTGCCCACGAGTTGAGCGAAACATTCAGTCCATGTGCGATCCGCGTTTGGCCTTCCATCTTCAAATACGTTACTCAATCTGCAAGGAACACAAAAGATCTGCAGCACTCACGAGTGTCAAGATCATTCAATTTGAGAAAATAGCCTGCAGGGGAGGATCAGCATCGGGACCTGTTGATCCTACAAGGGAGCAATAAGAACCTTCTTGATATAGCTTGTTGCCGTGACTCGAGAGGAAGCTAGTGGGAACGTCAGCACTAGGATCTCATATAACCAGGCCCCCAGGCGCACCTGAACACTGGTTTCAACTCCTCGATGTGGTTCTCTCTTTCCAACTCCATCGACGGAGGCGTGTACACCATGGATGCCGGCCGGGACGCAACCCGGTCTGTCCGAGGGGCGGTTCGAGGGGTCTCAGTGGGCGTTGGTGAGTCCTGGTAGCGTGCCGGTGACGGTAAGTCCTTGTCGACGATTTGGGTCTGACCGGTGGGAGAGGACTTGGTGAGGGAAGGAATGGAGATGGTCGAGTTGCTGAACGCCGCAGCCTTGAGGCTCTCGGAGAGGTTGCGAAGGCGGCCCATGTTGACAATGTTGTCGGTGTTTACCCTGATGGAACTTGCACCTGCCGCTCAGGCCCAGAAGGAAGGAAGGGACGAAGCGGACCGTGCAGGGTGCGATTTACAACAAGTACCTGTTGTTCTCACCAGCACACATCCGTGTTTGCGTCGGTCGTCGTCGGAGAAAGACAAAAGGTACTGTTCAGCTTGCCATGCTAAGGTGTCGGCCCAAGAGGAACGAGTTCGGCAGGTAATGGCAGGCCGGGTTGTGGCAGTGCAGGTGGTCACTGGTCACAGGCGTGTACAAGATACACGCAACGAGTGAACGGAAAGACAGCTGCGTTGAACAAGCAGTCCAATAGACAAAACGAGGGAGTTTTAAATTAGGAAGTGGAAACAACAACAGGGAGGTGTACTACTACTTGGGAGCTGGCAGATCTGGTGCGCAGGTAATGTGGTGTGGTGGGTGGTATCCCGTCTCGCCGTCCGTGTCGCAGTGGCTCAACTTTTTCTGCTTTGCTTTTGGACGTTGTTTAACTAAACCCTCAGTTAAGTGGACACCTAGAGAGCCCCTCCAGAACCGAGACGTACCTCGCCAGGCGGTTCTCACCACGATGCGACCGGCCACTTCGCTCAAACTAGAACAGAATCAGGCAAAATCCAAGCCATCCAGATCTGCTAGAAAGCCACACAGCGTCACTCCTCTGCCAGACTTCCCTGTTTCGTTTGGACGAGGCGTCGTCTTGCCGTTGGTTGATGACGTCTCTATTCACCTAAACTCTTTCGTCGAAGCTACGCCAGGCCAATTTGGAGATCCAGAGCCTCTCGTCCACTTATCGTCCAAGGTCAAGCTACATCATGAAATCATCCACCAGGGAGATTGAGCCGAGTTTCTTAGCTTCCCTCGCTTTCCCTTGTCTGCCCGTACGGCATCATAGCGATGCGCCTGACAGCGCCTGGCGAAGTGGCTTGCGTGGCCTTCGGAGCCAAGCACCCCGGAATCTGCTCAGTCTTTGACGATTTGACTCCATCGACCTGCACTCGGCTCGGCAGGTGGATGATAGTAATAATACAAAAAGAAGAAAAATGCTCCATTCAATCCTTCCTCTTTAGTTGACGAGTAGTCCGATTGACACCTCCGTTTACTACTGCGTACTGGAAAAGCCGGCACAAGAACCCCTAGCCAGTCGTTCCGGTCGACCCCTAACCCATGAAGTTTTGACGGGGCGCACCCAAGGACTCGGCAGGGTGAGATATACGTGTCTCGGCACCCACCGGCGAGACATGCATGACCTCCTGTGTCTCCTGCATGTAGGAGTCGTAGAAGCGACCTCGACTCCGCGTCCAAGGCCTTCCTTCAGGGTGGAGCTTTCGTTTGGTTTGTGGACTGAATCCGACGTCGCCCTCGCATCACGAATATGGGAGCAAATGTTATTGGAAAGTACACAAGCGGAAATAATTAAATTCGCCCTGCATATGGCGTGGCCTAAAAGTTGACCTCCTCATTTGCGTGAAAGCTAGTAGTACAGTGATTTAACCGTTTCTCGATGATCTGAAGCATCCCTCTAGGACAATCCTCAACTCCGTGGAATGTTCTGTGCCTCGATCCGTGGACGGTAGTTTGCTCCATTCGGTGCCTGATAATGCTTTCCTGCGCCTGTCCGTCGCTCCCATAATGAAAGTCATCTCTCAATAGCTTCATGTTGACTGGACCATGCTTCCGTTATGAACACGTCCATCATGGTCTTCTGTCGTATCTCCAAGACTGCCCTTGGGTCCTAAGCCTGCAGTTCGTTGAAGGTTCGGAGGGCCATGGCGACTCTAGTGTCTGCGTCGGTAAAAATTTCATCTTTTTCTTTCTCGTCTTTGTCCTCGTCTTTGTCCTCGCTCTTTAGTTTTACATTTTGCGCCAAGTCTCGTTGTTCGCCATGTGAATTCGCGTTCACAGTGGTCTCAAGATTTGGGTCGATCAAAGACGCGTCGGTCTGATTTTGTGGAGACGAGCTGCTGAGATAATAGTGAATGCTCCTGGAGAGATTATTACCACTCGTAGCGCCAGCAGGTTCAGCTTGGACGAATCCATACTCAGGGTGGGAGTCTGTCGCAGGATTTGCGGTCGTGTAATATGCAGTGCCCTGAGGAGGATATGAGGTCTGGTCTGCTGCTGCGGTCGAGAGAGCTTCCAAGGTGTGAGCAGCGACTTGCTGGACCATGTCTGAGGTGGTGGGAGTTCGAGAAGGAGGAGGGGTGATGGCATTTGCATCTTCTGCGGTTGGGTCGGTGACATGGATCCAGGTCACTGAAGAGGCAGTCAGTCTCACGGTCAAAGACGCTTAGGGTCAAAATACACACATTGCTGGGGCACCGGGAGAAACGCCTTGAGATCTTCTTCACTGTACGTTTGGCTGTACTTGAAGAAACTGTCGAGTGAGTGTTCCTGGCCGTTTTTGCCAAAACTCGAGTTCTGATGGTGTCGGAATGTGACGGCTGTGTCATGAGTGTCAGTTCATTTGAGTCTTGCTTCATCGTCGCTGTAGCAGGGCAGCTCACGCTCGGAGCGTACACATTCACGGTGCGACTTTAGACAATGTCCGCAGATCGGCCTTGCCTTGAATTTCACGGATCAGTCACTGTCAACAGCGAGGAATAAGGCGCGCTTTACCTCGTCGCATTTCAGCTTGCGTGCGCGACAAGTCTGGCACCCTGTACGACTCCTCACAGTCCCAGAGGACTTTGATTTGGCGGCTTTTTGCGACGCCATCTTCGCTCGATTTGCGTTGTTGTCTGCAAGACACTGGCAGGTTTCCCGACAATCAACTCGATTTCTTAAACCCGCCGATGCCGCCGCCGTGGTGACTAGCGCGGTCGGATCAAGATAAATCCGAGCCGGGGTCATCTTGGCATTCTGTGACGCAAAAGCAGCGAGACTTTTGTGAGCAATGATCACGTGGTAGGGCGGAATGATGGAGAGGCACAACAAGCCAACTTACTTTATATATAATAGTAGGAAGATGAATTTTGTTGTGTGGGAACAAGTCGCTGAGAGCGACAAGTTGGTTAAGATTCACATCTACGTGTGCGTCTGGGATAAATAATATGGACCTGCGGCGTTCTAGTTCGAGCTGTGTCGCGGTCCCGCTTTTGCTCGGCGCTGATATACAAAGCACATGATAGCCGCCAGCTCATCTACAGGACTTGCTAGTGCTAGAGCGAGGTCACTATTTCTTGGCTTTCTTCTTTGGTGGCCGTTCCTCTTCCTCGTCGTCCTCACTAACGCCCGCAGCATCATCGTCGGCATCAGCCATCTCTGCGTCGCTTCCAGCATCACTACCCTCACTCTCGTGGGCCGAGTCATATTCTTCTGCAACGTCGCTCTCCGATTCAGCTTGGAAGTCCTCATCTGGTGAATCGTCATCCTCGTCCGCAGAACCGCGATTTACGCCAGCATCATCATCTTCGTCGGAGGATGCCAGATCCTGGTCTTGAAGGGCAGCCTTCAATAAGGTCGAAGAGTCGTCGAGCATTTCGTTCTTGAACCGGATACCCTTGGCCTGTGTGCCTGTGGTTAGCTCAAGCAGCGACAGCAGAAAGTTGCATGGTTCCTTACCTGGAAAAACGCCTCCAGCGGCTGTTGCTCCTCACGGTTGATATTACTGAACTGGTGTTCTCCCGCACCGTTCTTCAAGGTGATGGTGATATCAAATGTTCGACTCGCTGCCAAAGCTCCTCCGACCCGTGACATGGTAATACTTTGTATTGTGTCGATCGAGACATAAGTGGCGGGTTTGGGCACGAAGATGAAGCTCTTGTCCAAGCAGAAGAGTAAACCTTCATTGGCCTTGATGGAGCACTTAACCCCATTCATGTTGTGATGACTGACAAAGTCCTTGGAGGGCATGATTATTTTCTTGCCCGACAGTCCCTTGAAGACCTTGGCAATGACATGGTGGATGGGTGCTTCGTAGTGTGCGTCCAGCTTGTCCTTGTATTTCGTTTGTAGGAGTTCATCTGTCATGTTGAGATCCAGATTCACTTCGTCGTCCAGTTTCAACTGCATGACGATGAAAGGATACCTCGTCTGACCTTGCCGGAGAGGAGGCTCCAGGCCAAGAGTGATGAGCGTGTGCATTTCATCGTTCTTGGGCAGGATGAAGAACTTCTTGATAGACTGGTACTGGATCTTGTAGTCGTATGTCTTACCACGCAGGCGGAAAGAGTTCTCGTACATGTCAATGTCGAAACGTCCTCTGGAATATGAGATCAGTTTATCAGCCGCGCATTAAAGATCAGAAACAGGACTTGAACGAACCTCGGGGTGAGATGTAATATGTCCTGGAAGGTTGCAAATGTGGCGCCCGCGACGTCTCCGATTTCCGCCTTATCCATCAAGGTCTCATAGAACAAGTTGGCGGCGTTTTGTTCCTCTTCGTCCTCGTCTTCGGCGCCACTACCCTCCTCGCCGTTCACTTCTTTCTTTGATACTGTGCCGGGAATGTAGAACCGCATCTCAACAAGTTCGTCCCGGCCCGCGGCGGCCTTCTGGCCTCGGTTCTTGGTGCTTCCAGGCTTGTGGCCATTTGCGCCATTCCGTTGCCCATCCGGACCTAGGTTGAACTCGACGGCAATCTCATTCTTGCCTGCTAGGTTCGTGTTTGAGATTTCTGAGTAGGGTATCTCGAAAGCTGGTCTGTTCTGGACATTGAAGGCCAGCTCTGCTCGTCCGAACTCGGCTTTGCCCCAATTCCACCCTCGCAGCGCATGCTCCTTGTTCTCCACGTGGATGCCATACCAGATCTTGAACGCTTTCGCGACACGGTCAAAATCGTCTTGTTCGAATCCGTCGAGTTGGATGACGGCGGCATCGCGTGTGATGATTTTCAGTTCGTAGCCTTTTGCTGCTCGACTCCATTGCGCCGCGCCGATCTGGTTGCTGTCTAGGGTGAAGGGTTCACTCGCTCCGCTTGGCTTCCAACCGAGTCCGCTATCTGCTAGACGACAACGGCCGGACTGTTTTGAGAGGTCGAGGTAGATATTCTCGAAATTCTCCCTGTGAGGTCTGTCAGACTGGATCTCACACTGTAAGAGGAAATCACCAACATATTATGAGCCCTGCGCCACCAGCAGCGGCGGGGATGATGTCGTAGGCCTTTCTCCCAGGAGAAACTATGGTGTTCGAATAGAAGAGTCTCTAGAAAAGGGCTTATCGAACCGGTTCCAACCAAATGAGTAGAGCGGATCACGAACGAGCACAGGTCAAAGTGAGGTATACGTAAACTCTGGATTGACGCATTGCGAGACCATTAAAGAAGGGCCTGAGAGATGGATTAAAGAGGCTAGTGAGGCGCGCCCACACGCGCGAAAGTCCCAGCTTGGCGGCGGCGCGGCTCAGCACAAAGTGAAATGTGGCTCGCCGTTCACGTGGCGCTCCTCTCAATAACATCGTGCATCGAAGATAAAACATTCTCTTCTCTCTGTTCAAAGATGACTATCTGCCTGCAAGGTCCTACCGGACGAGTTCGATGCTAACCCTTGTGTTCTTCATGTCGGACCAAATTACCCACCTTGAGGTTCACTCGTTCGAAGCTTTCGCCACATTTTTCCTGGGTCGTACTCTTCGTTGCAGCCGAACGCGTCTAGTCGGGGCTGGCGGAGATATAGTGAGCTCAGGGGTTGACGCTGCACCTCTTGCTTTCAGCATGGTAAGGGTTTGTTTGTCCCCGGTCTCCGATCGTCTTGGAAGGCGGCTCTGAGCCTGTCGACGAGCAAATGTCGGGCATCGTTCCAAAGCATTTGAGTCCCGCCCCGCGTCAGATTGTTGTGCTTCAGGCAAGTAGTAACGAGAGTAATTGAGTTTATGTGATTCGGGACTGTTCTTAGGTGACGGGTGGTCTGATTGAACCTCAGCTTGGACTTGCACGCGGCACCCGTTGCCTCGCGGTTCCGATGTCTTGGGAGGTTGAAGTTCCCGTGGACACGAGTGAACATCACGACTGCGAATAGATCCATGCGCCTTTCCAGCAGCAAGCACTGCTTCGGGGTTCGACCGGACGCTGAGAGTGCGATATTGTGACCGCTTCCGTAGACCCATTACTTCACGTGCATGTCGACCGCGGTGAATCTCAAGGCCATCGCAACCCGATACCTGATTATCTCTGTCGGCTTCGAACGCTGCAAGGATGTCATCGAGAGTGCTGCTGCTGAGCAATGCTGCATGGTATATCTGAGATGCACTGACGGGTGCCTCGAGCGTAGATACTGTCGATCCTGAATCCCGATCTTGCTCGCCACCCTCGCCCTTGCACTGGTCATCAACATCGCTACCTGTCACAGCATTTGGCTGAGGGAATGGACTCGGCTGTAGGATGCTTGGGTGGTCGTCGACCATCCTGCTGAATGTATACAGGCTTCTGAATATTCTGACAGGAGCAGAGATCCCATCTATGACGCTGGCCCATGCTTTCTAAACTTTGACACTGTCATTTCGTTGGCGACACCGGCGGCAGTTGGCCAGTGTCCGTCCAGGACGTAGGATTAGATTCCAAATTGCAGGATACCAAGGGTCATCGTGTACCGAGAGTTTGTGGGATATGTAGAGAAGAGGGAGCATGTACAATCGGATAGCCAGAAGGAGAGCGAACACCATGTGTTGTAACAGCCTGCGTATAGCCTCATGATACTCGGAGCGGAGGCTCATTCTCTGTATTGAGGCAACAGGGCGTCTTGACGGGAAACTCGTGTCGAACAGCTGGGTCAAATCTGCGGGCTGGCTTGGAGGAGTGGGCATACTTGATTGATCCCTGCCGGTGGATGGGTGTGGCCGGCTGTGAGTCTACTGAGAGCGAGAAGTATGTCTGTAATGCAGGGGATGAAAACAAGGATGGAGCATGAGATGCAACTCAAAAACATACAATATAACGCACAACACGGTAAGCAAGGTTTATGCGCAGGTTCAAACAAGGGCGATAAGGATGTCATGGAGGTTCGAGGAACCCAATTCAAGGGTCGTGTCTGACGTGTAGAATCCCAGTCGCCGGATGATACACGGAAGGCACATTGCAAAAATCTTGGACAGTGGCCGCGTGTGTGTGTACCTCGTAGTTATGGTTGCTATGGTGCAACGGCAGCAGTGCTCGAGGGATAAGCTCAGAATTGGGCATGATGGACTCGTATTTCTGCAGGATTTTGGTGTCTATTCAATGGGAGAATGCATACTGCAGTAGGCTCGAGGCCTTATCAAGTTTACAGACGTACTGAGGGTAGGAGACACCGAAAGCTTGACTCTGTACTCGGTAGAATGGCAGAAACGGCGAAAGATGGGGGTGTGGATAACAGCGCCCCATTATTGATTTGGTCTGATGGACCTTTTTGCCTCGTGTCACGCGGACATGCACGACATCACCTGCTGAATCTTTTGGTCAGACAGGCCGTTGATGAAAGCTAGTGAAGCCAAGTTAGTCCGAGGGGGTCATGGAGATCCCGTTGTTTACATCAAATCTTCGGCTTTGCAGGACCTCAATCACTCGCACTCACACCAACGAAGCCATCTGTGCTCGCACCCCCTGACTCACACAGACCATCTGCGGTCAACCACGTCCCTTCCCCCATGTCGTCAACCATGTCTGGGGTCAGCGGCACCTATCGAGGCACGCCCAACCGGCGTGGTCAACTCCCATTTGCAGACTCTCCTTCCGCAATCCCTCGTCCCAAGCTGGAGTCTGCCAGTAATTCTACGCCCCCCGAGATGTCGGGCACCTCGACCGTGTCCGCAAGTCGGCAGAAACAGAGTAAGAGAGACGAAGTGCGTGATGCCACCCAACCTGTTCAAGCCTTCCCTGTGCCTAACTCACATGGCTGTTGCGTCCAGGCAATCCGACGCAAGATGGAAGCGGACCTCAGCAAGAAGAAGCACGCCCCCGCCCGCGCTCGACATACCCGCAAGGCGCCACCGGGAACTGTCCTGGCCCTCAAACCCAGTCAGGCTTTACAGATCAAGCCCTCCACCACCGTCGCCGAGGCTGCTCAGCTGATGGCTGCCAAGAGAGAAGATTGCGTTCTGGTTACAGATGACGACGATAGAATCGCGGGTATTTTCACGGCGAAGGATCTGGCCTTCCGTGTTGTGGGCGCTGGCATCAAAGCCAGTCAAGTCACCATTGAACAGATCATGACCAAGAACCCGCTGTGCGCGAGAACGGACACGAGTGCTACCGACGCCTTGGATCTCATGGTCCGCAAAGGCTTCAGACATCTGCCAGTTATGGACGAGAACCAAGACATCTCCGGCATTCTCGATATCACAAAATGCTTTTACGAAGCCATGGAAAAGCTGGAGCGTGCATACAGTTCATCCCGCAAGCTGTACGATGCCCTTGAAGGTGTACAGTCTGAACTGGGTTCCAGCCAGCCCCAACAAATCATTCAGTATGTCGAGGCTTTGAGACAAAAGATGTCGGGACCTACATTGGAGTCCGTGCTGAATGGGCTCCCTCCCACCACTGTCTCGGTCAGGACGTCGGTTAAAGAGGCGGCTCAGCTCATGAAAGAAAATCACACAACGGCCGTGCTGGTGCAGGATCAAGGGTCCATCACCGGTATCTTCACGAGCAAGGACGTCGTGCTACGTGTCATCGCCCCTGGCCTTGATCCGTCGAATTGCAGTGTGGTGAGGGTGATGACCCCTCACCCGGATTTCGCGCCTACAGACATGAGCATCCAGGCTGCTCTGCGCAAGATGCATGGTAAGTGCTTTTTCCGCTAATCGGGGTAGGAATGCTCACAGTCACAGATGGACATTACCTCAATCTCCCGGTCATGAACGGTGAGGGTGAGATCGTCGGCATGGTCGACGTTCTCAAATTGACATATGCCACCCTCGAACAGATCAACACGATGAATTCTGGCGAAGCAGAAGGACCGGCATGGAATAAATTTTGGCTATCAATGGACAATGACACCGAATCAATCATGTCCGGCGAAGGTAGCCATCGCCCAACCACGCCTGGCCATCGGTCAATGATGGAGTCGGAGCCGGGACGCCCTGGTTTTGAGAGAGGAGACAGCGTGATGCCACACGACTCCGCCTCGCATCGAGGCGACGATGTTCACTCCGAGGTCCTTCCATCTGTTGAAACGCCAGAGGAGACACCATTCCCGTTCAAGTTCAAAGCCCCCAGCGGACGAGTTCATCGGATACAAGTCCTCGCTGGCAGCGGCCTGACTGAGCTGGTCAACCAGGTCACTGCCAAATTAGGCAGTGAAGTGGAATCGGTAGGCGGCGAAGCCACTGTCGAGGAGGGTGAATTGGGCAAAGAAGGTTATGCATTGAGCTACCTGGACAATGAAGGTGATACCGTCTCGATCACCACGGACCAAGATCTCCTTGACGCAATACTACTGGCCAGGCAAGGGAAGAGAGACAAGGTCGATTTGTTTGTACATGACCCTGCCCAACCGCCAATTGCCACGACTATCGACCCAAGGCCTCAACTTTCGAAACCGCCTACCCCTCCGGAATCCATACTCAAGGAGACGGTAATCGAGGCGGCAGACGAGGGCGACGAAGATGAGGAAGAGGATGAAGCGGTTCCCATTGCAAAGACGATACGGTCGAAACGAGCGCCACCTGTTATGCAACAGCGCAAGGAAGAGCAGCCCCAAGTTATTGCCGGGGTACCGAATGACCTGCTTCTTCCTGGCGCCATTGTCACGCTTGCGGTTGTTATTGTTGGCGTCTTTGCTATTAGTCGCGCGACGGCGAAGTAAGAATGATACCCCATGACTGCGATGCTGCCAGTACTGGTGTTACTCTTTGGGCTCTTCTGATCCCTGACTCTCTGCTCTCTAATCCTGAAGTCGGTCACTACATCGGGATGGAGTCACTTTTCACTTGATTTTGATGCTGCTACTATGGTAGCGGCTTCGATCATGGTACATAAACCGCTTCTCTACTTCTCTACTTATCTAGTTCCTATACTAGCTTCTTCATTCTTCCTTGTTTTTCTCGCTCTCTCACTCTCGCCTTCCTTTCTTCTCGAATCTGAATGTAAACGTGGCTGTTATCAATGGGAGGGGGGAAGAAACGGCCCAGTAGTATGTACCTCGTACGAATCTTTCGAAGGCTCTATACAGTAGAACATACCCGCACAGCTCCCGATTTCAGCTCCGATCTCTCGAGGGAGGCTCCGTGTATCTCGATCGATCGATGTGCTTTGGCTATCCTTCTCCGCAGTCCTTGATTTGCAGTGCCGATCTATATGGTATTTATGTATAACAAGGGTGGTTTCAGTATACAATAGTATAGCTTGATAGCGAACGGGTCGCTCTTATATAATATACTGACTGTATGTAATTGTATCGACAAAATCCCTTTCTTCTTGCTCCTCGTGCGGGCTATTTATTCACATCAAACTCGTCCTGCCCCCGACCTCCCTCCCGCCTTGGCCAGAAGGCATCTCGCCGTTCCTCCCGACCACGAACTCCTGATAGATGGCGGCCAGGCGTCGCCGCTCCTCGGGACTGATGGAGCTGCGCGTCGTGGCGAGTGACTTCTCCATGTGTCGCCACTCGATCACCACCTCGTCCTTGCCGGCGCCGCCACCGGCCTCGGCGTCGTCTGCGTCTCCGTCTGCCAGACCATTGTGGAGAGGTCCTCCGGATGACGTGCGCCGTGCAAAGGAGTTCTTCAGGGCCGCCTTTTCGCGCTTGCGCGCCAGCTTCAGCTCCTCGATCTTCGATGCGATCGCGGCTCTGGACTCCGTCGTTGAGGCGCCCGTGCCGAGTGCTTTCCGCGCCACCGCGTCCTCTTCCGGCGAGTACAGAAAGTGGAAGAAATCGGGCTTGCCGGGGGTGCTGTGGCGTTTACGGCGTTTCCCTCCTCCAGCAGAGCTGCTGCCGCTGTTGTTCGTGCCGTTGACCAGTTCCCGACCCTTTTGCTGATCCGATTGTTTGTCGCCCAAAAGGTCGTGGATCGCCTCTAGATGGGCATTGTACATGAGCGCTTGGAGGTCTGCGCCACTGAAGCCCTCGGTGCGCTGCGCAACACTGAGTAGCCGGTTCTCGACCTCGGGCTTCAACCGCAGTTTTGTGCTGACCGCCTTCAAGATATCCAGCCGGTCATTCACATCTGGCATATCGCACAACAGACTCTTATCCAGTCGTCCAGGCCTCAGAAGGGCCGGATCGATCAGGTCCGGCCTGCTCGTAGCCGCTAGCACGTAGACACCTTCAAGTCCTTCGGCGCCGTCCATCTGTGTGAGCATCTGATTCACCACTCGATCTGTCACGCCGGTGGAATCGTGTCCACGTTTAGGTGCAATGCTGTCAAATTCGTCGAAGAACAAGACGCAAGGTTTTGCAGCTTGGGCGCGCTCGAACAAATCTCGAACAGACTTCTCAGATGCACCGATGTACTTGTTCAAGATTTCAGGGCCTTTGACGGAGATGAAATTGAGGTTGCACTCTCCCGCTACCGCGGAGGCCAAGAGCGTTTTGCCACAGCCAGGGTATCCGTAGAGCAACAATCCCGAGCGGAGACGGAGGGGAGAGCGAGCGAAGATGGGCGCGTATTTCGTCGGGTAGAGAAGTGTTTCGAGGAGGGTATTGCGTGTGCCATGCAGTCCACCGATAGAAGAGAAGGTGGTGGTCGAATGAGTCAATGTTACGTTGCGGAGGGAAGAAGGGGTGAAGTTCTTCAACGCAGCGTCGAAGTCGGCCTTCGTCAGCGTAGGCGGGGCATCTGAGTCGTCATTTTCTGATATCATGCGTGTGAGTGTTTCGTTTCGGGCGCGGGCCAGCAGGAGGACCAGGTCGGCAGGCATGTATCCATCGGTTTTTCCCGCAATATCCAGCAGATCGAGGCTGGGCGCGACACGGAAACCCTCAACAGGTGGTGATGAGGCGGAAGACGTTGGTCTTGACGACGGGTTCGATGGATCCATCCAGGAGGTCTCGGACATGCTTTTAGTATCACTTTGATTTCGGTTGTGGCCGCGGTGGCTAACTTGCGACCCATCATTTGTGAGAGACGCTAGAATATCTCGTCGGATTTCCTTCGTTGGAGCCTTGATAGAGATTATGTCGCCCACTATATGCCCTCCAATCATGATGCTGTTAAGCGAGTCTTTCGACTGTGCAGTGGCCAGAAGAGTGACGCCAGAATGGATGCTGCAGTATTGGCGGACGACGGCACAGAGGACCTCGGTGATCTGACGACTGCGACCATTGTCGTTGCCGACCTCCAGCTCTGTTTCGGCAGGACAGATCTTGTCCAGATCATCCAAGACGACGACTGATTGTCCGCCTAGTCTTGCACACCAAGATGCTGACATGAACAATCTCGTGAGCGTCTCCTTCACAGTAGAGACCCTGGTTTCGTCCGTGACCAACTTCTGGCAATCAAAATAGGTCACATTGAAGACATAATCCTCTCGCAGCCGTTGTGATATGCAATGAGCGAGTGAAGTCTTGCCTGAACCGACGCCGCCGGTCAACAGCACAGACGAGCACAGAGTCAGACTTGACAAGCACTGCTTCAAGATCCCATCGACGCCTATCAGATTCGGAAGCTTGCTGGGTATTCCATGGGCGAAGGTAGGGAACAAGGTCGCCAGCTCCACAGGCCGGGCCACTTCAGCCTTAACCTCGAATTCATGGTCTTGCTCTTGTCCCAGCACCCACAGACAAGAACTATCATGATCTTCTTCGACTTCTGCCGGACGACGAAACCTCAGGATTCCACCATCAAATGATGCAACAGAAGAGGAGTCTCCGGAAGCTGGAAGAACCATTCCATCAGTGATTGGCCCAGACAGCAGTCCATCCTCTCCGGCGAACGCCAGTCGGATTTTGTCGGCGAGTGCTTGTTTTGTTGCTTTCGAGTCTCCGCCGAATTGGAGGCCATCTTTCTTCTTCGAATTTGCGGGCAGAAACGGATAGAATTGGAACTTTTTGATAGAGTACCGGGGCAATGGTGGCCCAGCAGCCTGAACTCGGACAATGATCCCAACCATCCCCTCAGCGCCCAGCATTTTGCAAAGTGAGGTCGATAGAACTGCGTGATTACTGTCGAGTGGAGATGACCAGGGAAGGACTTGGGCGACCACTTTGGAAGCAGGTCTTCCAACTTCGCTGCTTTCTTCCTCCTTGAGTCGATTGACTTGGCTACTATCCAGCTGAGCCCGCATACCGGCCGGTTTGATAATAGTGACGTTTGCCCATGCGGCCGCTCTGAGATTTTCAGACTCAATCATTTCGCTGCTGAGCCAGATGCACAGCTTATCATTTTCGGAGATGTTCTGGTCTTCACCGAAAAAGCCGCTTGCCAATCCTCGATCAATCGCGCGCATGAATAATGCAGGTCTCGCAGGGCCTGTCCGGTTGCGGACGTTGCTGACACCGCTTTTACCGCTTCGCCTGCTTGCCGTGCTCCTTGCATCTCGCCTATCGCTCCTCCCAGATTTGGGCCGAGTCTTGGGCGCAACAATGACTTCAGCATCGGGAGCTATTTTTGCGAATGGGATGGTGTTGGGGACAGGAGGTACTAAAGAAGTAACGACAATGTTCGCCGTTGACGTCGGCGACAAATGAAGGGTTAAGGGGTGGGTGTGTTCCGCCTGAACGGTAGTCTTGCTACTGTATGCAGGATTTGGAAGCGCACGAATCTGAGACAAAAGGTTTAATTCCAGGAAAGTGGCATGAAGCTCGATAACTTCCCAGTCTGCAGGCGTGAGTGGCTCGATATTGATGCTGTGAGCGACAGGCGGGTCAAGATGAACCAGTATGCCAATCTTCTGGCCTTCTGACAGCCCAAGCAGTTTCGCAAATGTCGCATCAATCTCAACAGTTGAAACATCCTGTTCCCTACTTCCCAGTCGGGCTCGGTCGTTGTTCAGAAGTGACGCCGGTCTTGTTCGGCTAGGCATCCCAGTCCAGCCAACATAGGCAGATCGCTGAAAGCCGGTACTATTACCACTGGAGACGGCTCCAGAAGAAAGAGTCTGCGACCGGTATTGTAGTTCGACGACAATATTTTGAGCTGGCTTGGATAAGGTGAGCAGGGGAAGAACGTTTTCCTGAAGCATAGCTTACGATATTGGTGTTGCTGATCAACGCGATCAGCCCCGGTGGCAGATTGACCAAGCAATTCTGGAGGGATACCAGCGCTACCTCAGCGCGCACGGGAGGAGGCATCTTCTCGGAGTGCAGTTACAGCTAAGCAAAGGGTTCAAACTCCAACGGGCAGGGGAAGCGCTTCGCGATTCAGTAGAGACAGACTTTTGAGAACATCGGCGACGACTTTCGGTGTCAGAAGGAAGAGCAAAGATAGAGGAAAGGAAGTCTATCCGTGTAGAGAACCGTATTATGGTGATATACAGCAGTGGATGAAGTTGATTGTTGAGAGTATGTCCTTCCGATGGCCATTGCCACTAATCGAGCCTCGGCAAAGCGCAGGAGTTCGTCTGACTGAAGCTATTTCCGGTTTAGAGGGAAAATATACGCAGGTATGTAGGAGATTGTGTGTCAGACGAAATACACTACTCTCATTGGACCACTGGCCCCGCGGCATGCCTGTGCGGTCCTGTGCTCCGCCGAAACACTTAACGCGCGACGCGACGCGTTTTGCATTGCGGCTTCGCCCAACCACCCCCCTTGTACTGTAGATTGTTCAATTGCTCGACTCCTCCATCTCTACTATCTTCTGAACACTCAGAGCATCGCACGCGACCATGGCGCTCCTGCAACATAAGGCACTCGCCGACTACGAGAAGCAATCAGACGCCTTCCAAGCCTTCCTCGAAAAGTTCGAAACCTCGAAGACATCCTCTGATTCAGCTGCCGAAGCTATCAGCGACCTGCACATCGATGGCGATCACACCAGCGACGAGTATGACTTCATGGATGATCTTGCGGACGAAGATGACACCAGAGCGAGGAGGCGCCCCAAAAGGAAGTACCTGGAAATGCTTCAAGAGGTTGCAGACCGAGAGCGACAAAACATACTGGTAGAGCTGGACGATCTGAAAGAGGTGCGCGTTAGGCTGAGTCGATGATGTCCTACAACTGACAGTTTTATAGTTCGAAGATTCGTTAGGAGACGAGACGAATTTGAGGCTTGTTGAATCAATCACAAACAACACCAAGCACTACGTCGACCTGTTTTCGGATGCGGTGGACAAGATAATGCCAAAACCAAGCAAGGAGATATCGTATGGCTATTGCGATGCTTCCACCAGATTAGACTCTAATATGTGGCCAGGTTTAAGGACGACGTCCTCGACATTATCATGGCACAGCGAGCGAAACGAAACGAAACCGTGGCGTCTTTCGCCGAAGCAGACGCCGAAGCTGCCATCCCTGTGTCCACCTTTCCGCCAGAACTGACCAGAAGATACACGCTCAATTTCAAGCCTTTAACGCCCACAGGTGCGGATGTCGGTAAGAAGACACTTGCAGTGCGACAAGTACGAGGAGAACATCTAGGCCACTTGATTACTGTGCGTGGCATCACCACAAGAGTCTCGGACGTCAAGCCCAGCATACGAATTCAAGCTTACACCTGTGATCGCTGCGGCTCGGAAATCTTTCAGCCAGTGTCTGCCAAACAATTCACACCATTGCAAATGTGCCCGTCAGAAGAATGCAAGCAGAACGACTCCAAGGGTCAACTGTTTCCGTCGACACGCGCCTCCAAGTTCTTACCATTTCAGGAAGTCAAAATCCAGGAGATGGCAGACCAAGTTCCTGTTGGTCACATTCCAAGAACGCTAACGATCCACTGTAATGGCAGCCTGGCGCGACAGCTGAATCCTGGAGACGTTGTGGACGTCGATGGCATTTTTCTTCCTACCCCGTACACCGGATTCCGAGCTATTCGGGCTGGTTTATTGACGGATACCTACCTCGAAGCACAACACATCACACAACACAAAAAGGCTTACCAGGATCTGAAAACGGATCCGCGTATCATCCGCAAGATTGAATCCTACAAGGCATCTGGTCATATGTACGAATACCTTGCTCGCTCCATTGCACCAGAAATCTACGGTCATCTTGATGTCAAGAAGGCCCTCCTTCTTCTGCTCATTGGCGGTGTGACCAAGGAGATGGGTGATGGAATGCGCATTCGTGGAGATATCAATGTCTGCTTGATGGGTGACCCCGGTGTGGCCAAGTCGCAATTACTGAAATACATCACCAAAGTGGCACCTCGAGGTGTCTACACGACTGGCCGTGGATCCAGTGGTGTCGGTTTAACGGCCGCAGTAATGCGCGATCCTGTCACCGACGAGATGGTTCTTGAGGGCGGTGCACTCGTCCTCGCGGACAACGGTATCTGCTGTATCGATGAATTCGACAAGATGGACGACGGAGACCGGACCGCTATTCACGAGGTCATGGAACAGCAAACCATCTCAATCAGCAAAGCCGGCATTACTACTACGTTGAACGCCCGAACTTCGATCCTTGCAGCAGCCAATCCCCTCTATGGCCGATACAATCCTCGGATCTCCCCTGTGGACAACATCAACCTCCCCGCCGCACTCCTTTCTCGATTTGACATTCTTTTCCTGATTTTGGACACGCCCTCCCGAGAAGCAGACGAAGAACTGGCCCAGCATGTCTGCCACGTGCATATGCACAATCGACATCCGGAACGCGAAGGAGAAGGCGTGGTGTTCTCGCCTCACGAAGTTAGACAGTATATTGCTCAGGCGCGCACATTCAGGCCCAATGTGCCGAAGTCTGTGAGTGATTATATGGTGGGTGCGTATGTTCGGATGCGCCAACAACAGAAACGGGATGAGGGCTCGAAGAAGCACTTCACCCACACGTCGCCGCGTACTTTGCTCGGCGTCTTGCGCTTGTCGCAGGCGTTGGCGCGACTGCGGTTCAGCAGTGAAGTGGTGAATGAAGACGTCGACGAAGCACTCCGCTTGATCGAAGTGTCCAAGGCCAGCTTGCACCACGATCAGCGCTCACACGGCGATCAGACCGTGAGCTCGAAGATCTACGACCTGATTCGCGGCATCAGAGAATCGGGAGCCGCGAGTGTTGGTCGCGGAGCCAGGGGAGAACTCAATCTCGGGAGAGTCAGGGAGCTGGTTACAGCGAAAGGATTTACGAGTGACCAATTCGTCCGGACGCTTGAGGAGTACGAACTGTTAGACGTAAGTGAACTCGTTGTGTCCTATGGTCATGACTCGTTGATTTTGCTCTCGATTATGAGCTGTCTACTAATGAATGGATTCTAGGTCTGGCAAATTGCTAATAACGGAACCCGGCTTGTTTGGATCGAAGCTGGGGACAGTGACGAAGACAACGATGAGGATATGGGTGATCTTGACAACGACGAGTGAAGAATAGGGATCCATGCATTAGACAGCACAGGGAAAGATCAAGGCCTTCCTTCTCGGATTGACAGCCCAGACTGATCAGTTCTCCAACTACGCGTGTTGACAGATCAATTGGCGAGCCATTGTGTTTGACTGGGAATGGAGTTGGCCATTGCCATTGTTGTGATATGGAACGGTACTGCATTGCACGAAGGACCGGATTTTGCTACGGGACCTCTATACGGATACATTGTGGCGTGATATGTGTTTCGAGTCCTCGGTTTCAAGATCGTTATGAGTGTTTGGAGAGGAACACCTCCATGGGTTAAAGAAGATTCAGGATGAAAGGCGGAAGAGGATAGAGCAGCAACAACAATCCAGTACCGACCTTTCTGTCCTTCATCGGTCGACATTTCAAGCTCCCCGGTCCTTTTCTCTGTCCACCTTCCTCCTGAGACCTTTCCCACGCACCGACGAGACAGGTTCAGATCTCGGCGTGCCAATCGCTCGGAGTCAGACAAGGCTGAGATACATTCTCGGAGAAATGAATCCGGATTCCCTCGGTTGGGCCCTTTGGTGCAGCAGTCGACGTATGCAAAACACAGGGTTGAACAGCTGTGATGTGAACAGCTTGTGCTCCCCAGATAAAAGAGTCTCGCCAGTCCTCTTCACATACTGTCGGTATTCAATGGCGTCGAGGTGGAAGTTGATCCTCCGTGTCCATTGAGCGTCTTATGGTTACTCTTACTATATATGTCCACATTACCTACCTAGCCTTGCCTAAACCTGCTCATGCACGGTCATATTATTACTTACTGTATGTGTTCTTCAGGGATTGGATTGATCCAACCTCGGCCATTGTTCTCCAGCCGGGAGGGAAAATAGGGTTTTCTGTTTTCCGTCTGCCACCATCTCGCCCTCCTTGCGCAGTACTTTTTCGGGATAGCTTGATCCCCTTCTTCCCCCGCCTGGAGTCCGAGTTTCTTAGTTTCTTGCAAGGTTCCTTTTGTCCCAGACCGATCGATCACTCCCTCTCTTTCCATCCTCGGAACGTGGCACGCCCACGCCCACGCTGAGCCCCCGACCATGATTGTGTCACACCCAGGTTCCCCCTCCTCCTCTTCTGCGGAGCATGGGCTAGGCCGTAGAAGAAGGCGAACAACATGGTGCCGCGCCCACCCATTGGACGGCTTGCAGCAACGAACACACCCACTCTATCCCCACGTGGAATCCTTGGCCCATTCATCCCTCGTCAAAAATGGATTTACCCGAGGCTCTCTGAGGGGGCATCATCTCCTCCTCCACCGGGGAGTTTGGAGCCATGCCACTCACTGCCCCTCGTTTCTGGAGACTTGCCCTCGACGACACTGACACGAGAGGAGTTGCGCGCGTTGGAAAATGGTCTGAGGTGAGGGAAGCCTCAAGCGTTACGAGCTTCTCGGTGTGCTGGAAATTACTTTCCGGATAGGTATTCTTATAAAGAGTTACAGAGGCCCCCTCCGATCAAGTAGTTCCCTTCCCCGTATAACCTTCCTCCTTGTTGCTCGTCCTACTGATTCCTCACATTGCTTCCCTTATTCCTTATTGAAATACCCCAATCCTATTCCCTTCTCACAGGAAAATGGCAGACTACTCTAATCTCCCAGACTTCGACTCCCTTCCCAAAGTCGAGGGCATGCCCCAGGGCTGTGCCTGGGGTGTCTTCGACAAGGATGGCAAGAAGGACCATCTGGGCTGCATAAACCTCCTGACCCCGACGGTGGTACAAGAGGCTTTCAAGGAAGCACGCGACGGCGTCTCGGTCTCGCTCAATTGGCCCATCGGCGCCATCAACAAGCCGGGTTTCCTGCGGAAAGGCCTGGAACACAAGGTGTTCTCCTTCAAGGAAGGGCCATTTGACATGCACGGGTTCGACGACGAGGTCGAATTCAACACACAATGCTCCTCGCAGTGGGACAGCTTGATCCATTACTGCCACCAGCCCACCGGATGCGGGTATAACGGCGCCAAACCGACCAAGGAACAACTGGTCCAGACCTTCGGCAACGTCGACCTGGACAAGACCATTCCCTCGTTAAACCACTGGCACGACCGTGGCGGGCTGGTGGGCCGGGGCGTCCTCCTCGACTACCGCGCCTACGCCGAGGCCAAGGGCATCAAGTACGACTGCTTCGACTCGCACGCCATCTCGGTGCAGGACCTCGAGGCTGTGGCCGCGCACCAGGGCACCAAGTTCAAGCACGGCGACATCCTGATCGTGCGCTCCGGATTCACCGAGGACCTGGGTGCCGCCCCGGCCGAGGAGCAGGAACGCATGCTAGGCACGCACAAGGCAGTCGGTGTCAAGGGCTGCAAGGAGACGGCCAAGTGGGTGTGGAACCACCACTTCGCTGCGGTGGCGGGCGACGCCATTGCATTTGAGGTTCTGCCTCCCACGATCGAGGAGGACGGCAACCGACCGGGCACCATCAGCGAGCTTGGTAAGTCTTTTTCACAGCTCTTTTTGCTGCGCTTTCCCCTGAAATCCCTTCTTATAACTCATCGACTTTGTGTGTCCAGTTCTCCACCAATACTTCCTCTCCCTCTTCGGCCTGGCTATCGGCGAACTGTGGGACCTCAAGGCCCTCGGCGCCCACTGCAAGAAAGTCGGCCGATACGAGTTCCTCCTGACGAGCGTGCCCTTGAACGTGCCCGGCGCCATCGGCAGCCCCCCGAACGCTCTCGCCATCTTCTAGTCGAGTGAATGGCTTGGGGTGAGAGAATCGGGGACAAAAGGAGGAAAAAAGAGGAGGAGAAGGCATGATGATGAGCTTCCAAACAACACACAAGGAACAGCAGCAGGGCAGGAGATGGGGGAGGAGGAAGAGAAACAAGAAGAAGAGAAACGAGGCTGTGCGGCCCAGTCAGTCGCCCGGAGAGAGAGATAGGGGCAAGGAGCAATGCAAGGCTGATTGGCATCCCTGACTGGAGGAGCGTAGGAATGCTGCACGTCTCGTCTCCTAGGACGAAGGTTCACCAGATGCCGCCTGTCGACCCGAGTCTGTATGTATATACGTATGTATGTGTGTATGGACCATGCATGTACCTACCTACTGGATGCAGCTATTGCCCGTGCTTGTATATATGAAACTGGCTGGCTGGCTGCCAACTGCCAATCCGCAGCGGCTCCAGGGGTCCGTTCACCGTCACCTTCGCCTTTCCCTCCTGTCGTGGAGGCTCGGTATTATTCTGATATTGACGTCCCATTTCCAGATTGAGCTCCCTCGCAGATGATCACAGTAGAACAGAGTCCTCTGTCCATTTCATCTTATGTGCGTGCATTCTCCAATAGTACCGGGTTCATCGTACACAGCCCTCCTTCATATATCACACAAAGTTTAGCTCAGACCTGCGACCTACCTGGCCTGAATGAGCCAGCTATATAGAATACTGTTCTCACCCCAGTCCTCGCCCATATAAAACGCTGCCCACCGAGGCCGTGGGTGACAACTCATCCAGCAGCTCTCTGGTGTATAAAAGCATCAGCATCGGCTGATCTTCCAGACCTCCATTCTTCTCTGGCATTGCTCATCCTCTGCTTTACAACTGCGAATCCCAACCCCTGTCGCGTAGTTTGTCCTTTTCAAGCAATCACACGTCTACTCAACCTCGCCAACTCACCCACAATGCCGCCTCCGCTCAATCCCCTCATCTCACTCACTAGGCCTTCCGTAATGCGCCTGTGCAAAAGCCCGCTCTTTGCAAAATATTCCAAATAGCCCTTCGATTCTAGTTTATTCAACCCCTTCAATTCCAGCAAGTTCAAACCTCCGCGGGTGGCCGGTGCGGAAAGGGCAAGGACTCGTGGATCGGGTTTACTGTAGGGCTTCGGCAAGGGGAAATCGGGGTGCGTGGGAGCGATCGAGTCCACTTGGACAGCGCGCATCTGGGAGAGGATGAGGTTGAAAGTCGGGAAGGCGGGAGTGTTTGAGCCCGAGGTGCTGTAGATCACCATGCCACCATTGATAAATGGCGACGTATTCGATGTGCTACCTGTGAACAGGAGATTGATGAATTGCTTCACCAACGTGAATTGGTGCGAATGGAGGAGTTTATGCTCGCTGTCGCGATATGCTGTGGGACCCATCCAATGGTCTACACCGTCGGCAGCGACCAAGACCGGTGGACGTTGGTTCTGTCCTGGTTCGGTCAGTTCTTTGTAGAAGGCTTGCCATGCTTGCCACGACAGGTGGTGGTCGCCTGCGCCCTTTTGAGCGAGATCCAGTAATGTGGAGTTGTTCTTTAGAGACAGTGGTTTGGGAGGGACGTGGTTAAGTCGGAGAGACTTCAAGACGGATTCGTTGGAGGCGGCAATGCGGGTGAGCAGGAGTTGCGTCAGGTGTGGTTGGATGTACATGTGTTCAGACTCGTCGTCGGCGTGTCGGAGAGGGGCGTACGAAGACGTGTTGTTCACAAAATCTTGAGCTGCAAGGGTCCAGAGTTAGTAATTTCGCCCTTAGGTCTGAAAGTACATGGAAATGCTCCTACCTTCCGGGACGTTGAGGACGATCCAGTGATTCATGTAGGCCATGCTCATGGTTTGCAACATGAGAACACTTTTCCCACTGGCCTTTTCGCCAATGACTAAATGCTTGACAACCTTCTTTTCCCCACCCTCTTGCTTGATAGCTTCCATATCTTTCGCAATTCGAAGCGTCTCCTCTCGTATCAGAGTCGCCGGCCGGCGAAATAGACTCCAGTTCTGAGTCGTCTTGAAGGCTCCTGAATCTCTCAATTGATCCAACAGTGCACCGTCAAGCGCCATCATCTGCCCAAGAGACTTCTCGTCCACCATATTCTCCTTGCTCCATGTCTCCATGTCCGATACAGGCAAGGCATTGGTGTTTGAGAGAACGATGCGGCGGCGTTGGGCTCGACGTTCGCCGACGGGCGGTAGCTTGGGCCGGTCGCGGCTTTTCTTCTTCAGGCGCGCGGATTGGGACTGACGAGCTCTGGGAGCTGAGGTACCGGATTGGGAGACTTTCTTCTTCAATAAAGGGGATTTAAATTGCACGGCAGAACTGTGAAAAGATGTCGTTTGAGTCCAGGTCGATGCGGTGACAGCAAGAGCTTTCGGAGTGGTCGGTGAGATTCTCAGCCGCGAAAGGCATTCCGTACATATTGACAGCGACATCGTGAGCGAACACGGTCTCTGCCGAAGGCAGCGCGGTAACAGCTGCTCGAAAAATAACTATGTCAAGGTCGACACATAAAATCACCGAGAGCAGCGAAAGGTACGCAGCCAATGAGCCATGCCTAATGTGGACTAGCTCTGCCTGTAGCAGAATATACCAACTGCGGTTCAACAGCAAAGCAAGACATCAGCCTCACCACTCAGAGATTGATATCTATCTGGTTTCAGACATCCTTTTTTGACGCACGGGGTCGCTTCGTCTGATGCACATGCGGCTGCGCGTTCGAATCTAGCAATAAGACCCAGTCTCGGACGCTCCTCTTGCGAGAAACTCTTGCATTTTGATAGCTCTTGTCATGACCGATTCTTCGGGTCGTCACACAGGGGCTTGCATGGAGTGCGCCAGAAACAGAAGGTGTAATGCCTCGTGCAGAATTCAAGATGAACCGGGTAATCATTAATGGCAATGCAACTGTGAGTGGCCTTGCAATCATTGTCGCATGAGAAAAGTGTCCGAACTATGCAATTTCACGAAGACAACCGTGTTCATTTGTGCTTCAGCCCAGCAGCCACCGAGGTATCTGATGATGGAGATACCAAAGCTTTCTCAACTTATTTGCGAGTAGCGAAGGACGAGGAGTCAACAGGAGCATTGAGGAAGATGCCGTCAAAATCTTTGATGATGGCCAAGATGATCTCGAACTGGAAGGAGATACTGCATTGATCGCACTGGGGTACATGCCAGGCGTTGCACTTTTCAACCTCAGCTCAACAAACTTGAAGATATGCTCATCAGGTCTCCACGAAGCCTTACTACTCGCGACCAGTGGCGGCCTATTGTGTGGTTCCTCAGGGTCATGGCTGGTGGTAGGACACTGTTAACAAAACCATCTTCTAAGGCTACTATTGAGTTCCTTAGGCATCTACTCAGTGAAATCGTACTACACCTCAATATCAACTGCAGGATCTGGCTTCGATACTGCTTCGCCGTCAAGCAAGACGGTTTTGCCCTGGTTTGACCGTCTGTTTGTACACAAATCACTGTTTTCCAACCAGTAGACCGAGAACTGTACGAAGCTAGAAAGGAGACATTACTCAGGAGCCAATGTAGCCGAGGGTGTATCCAGATCCCTAGCATTTGGAATCAATCTGATGGTAATATGAATGGCGGTCCATTCGAGACTGGCAGTTCGCCCAATTCCCAAAGGAGGTCGCCAGGTACACCTATGCACTTAACCACTTCGGGACTAGCTGCGGGCGTGATACTTGGCGCCCACCCACCGCACCTCGAAAAACGCACTTTTTGGGATTATTCGCAATTGCCCACGGCCCAGCTCCTCTGCAACTTTCACCTCGATTTCACCACCACCATCGCCCTCACTACGGTCTGAGGGTCTCGAGCACACTTTCTACGTCCCGTCGCCGTTACCGACAGTCAAAATGGTCAAGAAGCGAGCTTCCAAGTATGCCCGTCCTCCCGTGTGACTTCGACATTGTTGCCTCTTTCTGACAAACTCCCCAGTGGTCGCAACAAGAAGGGCAGAGGCAGAGTCAAGCCCGTCCGGTGTTCCAACTGCTCCCGCTGCGTTCCCAAAGATAAAGCCATCAAGAGATTCACGATCCGCAACATGGTCGAGTCGGCAGCCATCCGTACGTATTCTTATACCTTGAGGGCAACGCACATCCACACCCACACCCACACATGCGTACACACAAAAAGGGAGGGAAAAGGGAAATTGGAGAAACCGTGGACTGACAAGATGGGCCCATTCCAAATTCAATAGGTGATATCTCCGATGCGTCCGTCTTCGCCGATTACGCTGTGCCCAAGATGTACTTGAAGCTGCAGTACTGCGTGTCGTGCGCCATCCACGGCAAGATCGTGCGCGTCCGGTCGCGCGAAGGCCGCCGAAACCGTGCCCCTCCCCCGCGAGTCCGATACAACAAGGACGGCAAGAAGGTCAACCCCCAGCAGGCCGCTAAGACCGCGCAGGCTTAAGGGGTTCTCCTTTGGAAATTGGATGCGTGTGTCTCTGTGTGTGGATGATCGGAGGAAGACCGGGGATAACTTGACCTGACGGGTTAGTTTCCTGGTGGAGTAGGGGAAGAAAAAACCGAGCGTCTTGAGGGAAAGCTTCAGGACGAGACGAGACGAGATTCGAGTGGGAGTGCGTGCGTGCGTGCCTTACCTTGCAAGAGAAAAAGAAAAGTCGAATGGCAGAGATCGCACGTGTGTGCCTTGTTTCCCTGATGATGGCAGTGGCATATCAATGGTATGGCATGGCAAATGGGCTACGGCAGTATCAATGGGAAACATTATGTCCAATACTGGTAGACGGAAGCTCGGAGCTACTACTACGAACATGGCGGAATGACAGTCCCAAAGACACAGACCTATGGAAAAGAAAAAGGTTTCAATGAGCTCTGGTCACAATCCAAGATTAAAAGCAAAAAAAGGCATTTCTTGCAGGCAAAACACCTCGTGGCCGAGGCCCTGAACCTGAACAATATGCTAAATGCTAACAATGAGGCCTCTTGACAGTCAGACCGTCTCATTCATCCGCCTCCCCTCCCTTTCAATGCCAGTACCTATACAGCAAAAGTGACCTCCCATTCCGTGATGCCCGCAAAGTCCGGTCACATCACTGAAGTCGCATGATATCTCATCTCCGCACATCGTAGGGCAACCCAAGTGTTCTCGCCACAGCAAAATCGACAAGCCCGTCATTTCCTCTGCACATCTTCTTCGTACAACGTTGCCAATTCACCCTGCAACGCTCGCTGAAAGGCATTCCACCGCGCCGGTCGATTTCCATAGGGATGTGGTGTGGTCGGACGTCGCGAAAGATTTCTTTCCCAGGCGGAAAGATAACTCGTTGGGCCAACAAAGGTCTGATTCGGGTGCATCGATGAATGTGCATACCTCCTGAGATCGTGGAGTCGCTATCTCCTTTTCGACGCCGGGAGCAGCGTGTCATCTGGCAACCCGCCTCGTTTTGTCCCGGGCAAGCTGCCAGTCCCAATGTCATTCGTTTCAGTGCTGACCCTCCTGTGCGGATATACCTCATTCAGTCCCTCGAAGCAATTGTTGCTGACCCATATCTTGCCCTTGTTTGGCCCGTCGTCGGTGTTTCGGAAGTATTCATGGTGCAGAGCCTGCTCCGCCGTCAATCGTAGGTCCGGATCGTATTCGAACAGTTCCGACAAGAGTTGGAACCCTCGTTGTCCGGGAGACTTTTCGGGAGGGTAGCTGGCGTGCCGGATGCAGTTGTTGTACCATGCCTCGAGACCACTCCCGTTGTTACCGTTAGAGCCACGGTTTAGAGATGTAGAAGGGGTCGGGTACAGTCCTCCTGGCATCCCACCACGAGAAACAATCAGTGACTGCAGTTGTGGATATTCCGGCATGTCCACCAGTCCCTTCCAGTTTTCTCGTCGAGGCATACCCAAAATTTCCACTATTTTGCCCATCTGATTTCTCTGGAACGGCACCGTCTTCTTGCTATCCATCTTTGTTTCTTCTCCCTTAAAGATCGGTCTGAGGCTGAGGAGTTCGGCAAAGATGCAGCCAACAGCCCACATGTCGATGGATGGCGTGTAATGACGTGCTCCCAAGAGGAGGTCGGGGCTACGGTACCATATGGTCACCACGACCTTATCTCCAGCGTACAGCGATGACAGAGGTTTATGGAACAGTCGGGCAAGTCCCAGATCTCCAATACGCACATGTCCAGAGCTAGTGACCATGATGTTGGCCGGCTTCAGATCTCGGTGGATGACCCAGTTCTGGTGAAGATAGTACAAACCGTTGAGAAGCTGAAAAAGGATAGACTTGATCATGGTCGCAGGAATCGGCCGCCGGGTCGGCTGGGTGTGATGGTGGATAATTTGAAGCAGATCATGTTCGCAGTATTCAAAGACCATAAAGACACATTTATCCTCCAGGATGATCTCCGCCAGATGAACCACGTTAGGATGGGACAATTCGGTGCACAACGACATCTCCCGGATGGCGGACTGAGACAAGCCTGTGTACTGGACATTATCACCTTCTTTCTCGGGTTTGAATCTGTGAGTAAAGGTCAGCGGAGATCTCGCTTTCCAAAGATCTCGTGACGTTACTTTTTGATGGCATACAATTCCTTTGGCGGAGACGTTCCTACAGGGCTGGAGGGATCACTCTTGGGATTCTTCTCAACAGCCTTATATACTCGACCATAGGTGCCACTGCTAATGAAGCCGATAATGTTGTACTTGTGGCCGATTTTGACCTTTGTTGTGTAGTTGTTGCCAGATTGCTTCTTGTCGAGGCCCCGGCCAGAATCTAGCCCTTTCTATCAGCTGACTTCCGTATGCGGGAGAACTATAGAAACCGTGCATACCTTCTAGAGCCAACTGAGTCGTCTTGCGGAGTTGTTGGGCAATATTCAGACTTGTGCCTGGGCGGGACATGCCAGGAATCGACATTCTGCCCGTTTCACCCACGGGGATCTTTGGTTTTCTGTGCTTTGAACCAACGTCCAATCTAACACGCTGGGAACGTCATTGCCGACACCAACGAACACACGGCATTCGTTTTCTTCAACAATAACCTCGGTGAGCCTGCTCCCCCAAGGCTAGGTAGGCAGCGTCCGCCCGAGCCCGCCGATCGTGTGGCCAAACCCGTCAGGCAAACGAGTTTTCCCGTGTGCCAAACACACGTTGGTCCTGCCGAGGAGAACACGGGGATGGAAATCTGCAAGAAAACGGTGGATAGTCAGATGCACATTACGACGGGAAAGCATAAAAGTCCCATAGAGGCGAAAAGATCTGCATCCCAGGGCTGATGGGAAGTGAGGTTTGTAGAAAGCCTCACGATGGGGGTTGTCGGTACGAGGGCCAACGACTTCATGTACGACTTGGCACTGGGGGTTGCTGGCGCCAGCTGGCCAATGAGACGCCGTCCTGTCACGGCACGGCAGCACTTTCCCCCGTTTGTGCGTCTGTGCTGGACCGACTTCCTTCTTGAGCCCATCGTCCAATCGTCGTTCTCTCCTTCTATGCTTCCCATCGGAGGGCGCCGCTTCCTGCTCAATCAACCATGGGGAATCACAACAATCCGTCTGCCTGCGCGCCGTGTTTCTGCACGATTACGCAACGATCTACATTATCTGGGGCCAGTATCGCGTCCCGTGTCGTCGGTGTTATCGTCTTCAAGAGTGCATATTATAAGGGGTGATAGTCTTCCTGGGAGCAGTCTGTACTTGGTTCGTCCTCACTAACTCTCTCTCCTCTCTCTCCTCTCTCCTCTCAACATGGCACGAGCTATGCTGACCAGAACCAGCAGTGGGTACGGGGCCCACAAGCAGAGCGAGCTCTCGCTATCTCTGCCCCCTAAGGGCCTGATGGCCCCCCCAAAGCCCAGAGGTTTCACCCTCTTGCTCGTGTACACCGTCTACATTGTCACACTTGGTCCCCTCCTTTTTGGCTACCATTTGGTAAGTGCTGGTCCACGACAGGTGACGGGGGAATCCTGACTGACAGATAATAGGGGGAACTCAATGCTCCTCAAAAGGTCATCACTTGCCAAGTCGACCAACTCCCTGGATATGTCGCCTCCGGCATTCCTCAGTGCATTCCCATGAACCCTTTCCAATGGGGGATGGTCCAGTCCATGTTTACCGTCGGCGGTCTCTTCGGAGCTCTCGTCAGCGGTACTCTCGCCACACGATTCGGTCGACTGTTTGCCTTGAAATGGGCAGCTTTCTTCCTGGCCGGCGGACCTGTGGCTGAAGCACTTGCGGGTAAAATATGGTTGATGGCTTTGGGCAGGGCTCTCTCGGGTCTGGGCGCTGGTGCGGCCACGGTCGTCTCTCCCATCTATATTTCCGAGATAGCACCACCAACGCGCCGTGGCTTCTTCGGAGCTTTCACCCAGGTCCAGATCAACTCTGGCATCGTGGTGGCGCAGCTCCTTGGCTTTTTCTTGTCCAAATCCAACAAATGGCGCTGGGTGCTGGCCACCGGCGGCTTCATTGCCGGGGTCATGTTCTTCGCCCTCATGCTCACGCCGGAAACCCCCAAATGGCTTGCAGCCAACAATCGACCGCGAATGGCTCGGGGTATTCTGCAGCGCTTGAGAGGGAATACCGCAGACATCCAGGAAGAGATGGAGGACTGGGAGATGTCGGGAGAAGCGGAGGAGGAAAGCCTCCTCGCACCTCCAACAGGCCCTCGCCCACGTAAGGAACGAGGCCGATCTATCATTGACGTGATTAAAATGCCCAAGTACCGACGACCATTGGTTGCCGTGACGGGCATCATGATGGCTCAGCAGCTGTGCGGAATCAACAGCGTTGTCATGTACAGTGTCGACATCCTGGGAAGGATCATGCCCCAACACGCTGGCCTAGTCACGGTCATTGTCTCGGCTGTCAATGTCCTCGCCACATTATTAGCATCACCCTTACCTGACAAGATTGGCCGGAAACCCTGCCTCCTCATCTCGATTATCGGCATGGGATCAGCATCAGGGATGCTGTATGCTGGACTGGCAAAGAACATTCAAGCCCTCACGATCGTTGCCGTTGCAATCTTCGTCGCCAGTTTTGGTATCGGGCTTGGACCCATTCCGTTCATCCTGGCCAGCGAACTTGTCGGCTCTGAAGCCGTTGGAGCTGTCTCCAGCTGTGCACTTGCAGCCAACTGGTTATCGACATTCTTGGTGGCGATGTTCTTCCCGATTTTGAACAAGGTGCTTCAGAGCAACGTGTGGTGGATTTTCGTGGGCGTTGCTGTATTTTGGGCGGTCTTTGTGGTCCTGTTTGTGCCCGAAAGCAGGGGCAAGGCCAACGCGGATGAAGTGTGGCGGAGGAAGCGCTGGTGCTGATGAAGCACACACTCGATCCGGTGGCAACCTAGAAGACTCTCGAGGCTTTGAACCTGGAAGCAACCAAGGTGGAAAGCAGATGGTCGATGTGGCTGTCTGATAACGAGATATGCCTCTCGTTGGCGCCATACCCTGGTGGTGGTTGGCTGCTCCCCTGTATTATTAATTAGCTCATCATTATTGCGTATTACATACACGGTCCTCGATGCTGCATTGTCTTGGCAGCCCGCAAACAGGTTTTTCTCTTGTGCCTTTCGACTACACCTCTGTACCACCCACCATGACCGTAGTACGTCGAGTCAAGCAATGAATGCCCGACTCCCTTCTCTCGGCTGGACGATGGGCCGACCAGCATGGCCTTGACATTGCCGAAGACTGCGTGACCACGAAGCTCCCACCCCGCAACCCCGATATCTGGCGAAGCTTCTCCACATTTCTGATGGACACACTCCGTTATCCAAACAAGGCGTGGCAGCAGCCAGTTAGCTGCATAACTAGCTGGGTGGAAGAACAATAGATTCCACCTCGCAACCAACCACCCCTTGAAGCTCGGGGCGCAATCCAAGAATGGACACGTTTCAGACTCCGCTTTGATCCAGCTTTGACATACTGACGTCTTGTGCATGTTTTGGTCGACCTGCCTGGCAAATGGACGATGGTGGAGAGGGATATGCTGCCGAGGCAGAGCATGCTCATCTCTCATTGCAATGAATCACCCATATCTGCCTCGTATTCGGATTGTGGAGTTGACTGTAATGCTCGGGACGGAGCGATTGCCTGTTCCGGCAGCTCAAGATGCTCTCATTCAGTCGACGGTCTCAAACCGTCCCCAGTTGGCAGCTTTGACCATGGCTTCTCCAACAAAATGGCGGTAAGAGAGGTATTTCTTATAGTCGCTGTCCCCTCGTTCGAGAAATGAGCGCCTGCTAGGGGTTTTGACGGGTGCTCTACAGGTAGGCTTCTCTCAAATCTGGCAGGATGCTGTTGTGTACCACATTTTCGCTTGCGGCGATTGCACTCCTATGCCCACTCGTGCACACACAGGCTACTCTTCCCCAGGTTGATCTCGGCTACCAAATCCACCGGGCCATCAGTTTCAATGTACGTGTGCAAAGTTCGGCAAACATGACCGTGCTCAGACTGACACTCTTTGAAAGCAAACTGGACAAACGTACAACTTCTCAAACATACGTTATGCCCAGCCTCCAGTCGGCGACCTCCGTTTTGCTGCTCCCGTTCCACCCACAGGCAGAAATAGCGTCGTGCAGAATGGGAGTGTCGACACAGTTTGTCCTCAAGCTCTTCCAGCGTGGTATCTGATCTCCACCCAGTTCGTGACAGATCTCATCGCCGGAAACGAATCATCCTTCAACTACTCCCAAGCTGAAGAGCAACTTCAGGTGTACTTACAAAACGCCAAACCAACCCCGCCAGATCCGAGAACCACCGAAGATTGCTTGTTCTTGGATGTGATCGTTCCCAAAAAGGTCTTTGACGGTTCGAAAAGTCGTATCAGGAAACGTCAAAATGCCGGTGCCGCGGTGGTAGTCTGGTGAGTTCAGAGGAACACTCTCGAAACCTTGTGCTTATCAGGAAAAGGATTTATGGTGGCGGGTATACGCTAGGGTCCAAGGAAGGGTCTGGTAACCCAAGTGGTCTTATCAAGCCAGTCAGGCGAACGGAGGAGAGGGCATCATCTTTGTGGCCATGAACTACCGACTGGGAGCAATGGGTTGGCTGGCTGGGCCGACCTTGCAAGCCGCTGGAGGAGTATCCAATGCCGGCCTTTACGATCAGCGTCTGGCTCTAGAATGGGTCCAGAAGTATATCCATCTGTTTGGTGGCGATCCAAATCGGGTCACCGTCATGGGTGAGTCGGCGGGAGGCGGTTCGATCGTCCACCAGATCACTGCCTATGGAGGCCAGCAGGGTGTTCCCTTCCAACAAGCTATCCCGCAATCACCTGGCTATCTCCCGATGCCGTCATATTTTGTCCAAGAAAACGTCACACAGACGTTTCTGTCGCTGCTCAATGTCAGCACCATCCAGGAAGCCAGGCAATTATCTTCGGAGGCTATTATCAAAGCCAACGCAGCTCAAGTGGGCGCGTCCAACTATGGAGGTTTCACCTACGGGCCGGCCGTTGATGGGGTATTTGTGCCGGCGCTGCCGGGCACGCTTCTCAATGCAGGGCAATTTGCAAAGAATGTCAGCGTCATGGTGTCTCATATGCTCAGCGAAGGACCAGCCTTTACGCCACCCTTTGTCCAAACCGACGACCAGTTGGAAGCCATGATAATCTCGCTCAATCCCGAGACCCCCGCGCCAGCGGTTGAATACATCGTGAAGACGCTGTATCCGGCGATCTACAACGGGAGCCAGCCCTACAAATCTCCCATCGAGCGAACAATCCTGTTCGTCACCGAGTCGTCTTTCACGTGCAATACCTATTTCCTGAATAAAGCTTACGGCAACAAAACATATGCTTATCAGTTTGCTGTCCCGCCAGGCTTCCATGGATACGATGTCCAATACACGTTTTACAACGGGCAACCCACCAACTTGACACAAGATATGATCGCGCCCGTCGCCAAAACTCTTCAAGCCTACCTCACCAACTTCATCATGACGGGTAATCCTAACGGAAAGGGGCTGCCACCGTTCCCAATGCAGGGCAACAATGCCAGCATGAACTCGATTTCCACTACTGTTGCCCGGGTCCAAGACGATACCTCAAACCCGAGATGTGCATGGTGGGAGAAGTCTTTGTTTACTTGAAGAGTGTATAGGTGGGCGATGTGATGTGGTGATGTGCGGGGAGCTGGTAAGACACGACCTGTGGCATTGCTGATACTCGTCCTGAATCTCCGCCTCGTGGAAAGGGGTCGATCTGGGCTGGAGGTCTAATTATATTATGACTGAAGGCACCCATGCTGGATGGAAAGGGTGCCCTGTCCAACTCCTTCAACCAGGTCTCGATGATGTTGGGCCTGGAAGACTGCTCAATCCCATTTCTCGTCCATGTGCCTCCTTCATTCACTCTGTCATCCGTGTGCCGCGGACGTATCTGGCCAGTGGTCAGTTCATCAGTACACCTTCACCTCAGCGCGTTGAGGCAGTCGGACCACATCACCCCGGACCGCGTTCGCCGCCAGGCCCAGTCTTACCAGGGACAAGATGTGAATGCGCAGACTGTCACTGTTCGATCTCGCGAAGGCAGAAGCGATGATCATGTGATGTTGACGGTGACCGTGACGGCTATATCAAGGCTGTTTCTCAAAAGATTTTACTATGACCTTTTCATCATCAGATTGTTATCCTGTCTACAATTATTGATATCACACACCCTCATTATGGCGCCCACGCTGTCAATCCTGCTCTGCTCTGTATTCTTGATTGTCTCTCCCCTTGTGATCGCGTCCTATGACAGATTCACCTCGCTTCCCTACTGCGCTGTAAGTTCAACCCAACAAGAAGTGGTTTTCTCCTTCAGACTGACCATGCTCATAGCAATACTGCTTCACCAAGGCGGTCAACGACTCTCTCGCGACCTGCGAAGGCGCGTCCCTCGATTGCTTCTGTCAGAGTGCCAACGCCGCCACGGATTTCAACATCTGCCTCCAAGCCAATGTGCCGTGTAACTCCAACCCGATCAACAACGATGTCGAAGTCTTCAAAAGCACTATCTTTTGCAACGGCTCCATGGACAGTGGCTTCTATTACACGTCGGCCCCTGGCGCAGTGACGGCCAGCGTGGGACCAGCTCTTGGAGGCAATCTTTCGGCCACGGTTTCGGGTCCTGCTCAGACTCAGGCATGTCACTTACCCGCACGACAAATTCTACCTCGTGGTCTGAAGAACTAATATTCTGCAGATATTCTCAAACCTCCCGTCGTCCGTCGCCACCGAAATGTCGATCGCCTCGACCAATACCTCGACACAATGCGCAGATTCTGGTTCGGTCACCGCCCCAGCCATCCTCACAAGCACCTCGACAGTCGTCGTGGAGCTGTCCAACACTGCCTCGCCGAGTGCCAGCTCGAACAGTACCTGGACTGCATCCTCATTCCCAACCGTTATCGCAGCCCAAGCTTCTGGCGGCGCCGCTCCTGCTCGTGTGGGCGCCACGGAGCTCGTGGAGTTGAAAGGAGGCTTTTTCATGACTTGGATTCTTGTTGGAGAGATACTCGCTTTGATATGAGAACGTCTCCCTCTTCCAGTTGCAGTATGCCCCCCGGGTCTCGGAGAGATCAGTGTCCTGAATTTTGGATACCACATGAAGGCGGAGTTCGTCTTCCAAACGACTAGGGAAGCGGCGCAACGATCCTGTTCCCTGAAGGCTGGCAACACACAGACGGGTTGCCACTGCGAGACCCGGAAGCCTCCATCAGTAACTGGTCAAAGCCGAGTGTTTCCCATCTGTCAATGTCACACAAATAAGCTTGTCCGTTGCATGAAGTTCCACAAGATATCTCCGGTGTGTGTCACGGTGCCTTTCTTTTTGTGGTGACTCTGCTCTTCGTGGTCCAACGCTTTCTTCCTGAAAGGCAACATGCATGGCTTTCCGAGTGACACTGTATTTCGTTCTCATCTGCTTTACAAGCTTCCAGAATTCTTCAGTTGATGTCGCCGTCGCCCATTCTGTTATGCTCTGTCACTAATCTCCGTCAGGATCCGGCAGAGCGTCATCGCCCACCCCTGCGAAGAGATCACTGACCAGCGTTCGGAAGAGACGTCAGAAGAGCAGCCGTTCTCATTCACCCTCGAGAACGGCGTTCATACATTTGGGCATCACTTCTTACCCTTGTTCAACCGACCTGAGCATGACACATTCTCAAGGCTTCACAGCAGCGAACGGTATCACTATCCTCCGATCAAATTTCAGGCCGTGTTTCTCATCTCCAGCGTTCACTGTCCATAAGTTCTTGCTGTTTTCCAAATCGACGCGGTGACTGTCTGTTCACCGTGTGTATACATCGATCTTCCCTTCGCAACAGTGGTCGTTCGTTGCCTCGTCTTATCCTCGGGATAAATCGTCTCTCATTTCATCACCATGGCTGTTGCGACATTAACTCTCTTCACATTGATTCTCCTGACGGTCACCAACACGATGGCATCATCGACAACGGAGGTATGTGTCGTTGAGCCCTCGGTCCTCCACGTGGAAAGATGAACCTGACGCTGCAAAGACCGATATAGCTTTCTCATATCCCGGCTTCAGCCTGCCCACCAGCTCACCTGTCGGCCCTGCTTCTACCGCTGCCTCCTGGATCCCTGTGGATTCCTCTCCATACACTTCTACCATCGGCCCCTCCTATTACAGTCCTTCCATCGCACTCTCGGTGCCTTCCTATCTCCCTTCGTTCGCCTCTTCCTCCGATACCTTGTGCATAACCACCCTCGTTTCCGCCTTGTCGTCTACCCGCTCAAGCTCTCTCCCACCGCCAGTTACATGTCCTTCCAGTATCCCCGGAGCTATCTGCTCAGAGGGTCCACAGTGTTCAAATAACACGACAATCACCATCTCGATCACAAGCACAAGTTATGTCACAACAATTCTTAATTTGACCCTCACCACAAGCAGTCCCGGAGCTCTTCTCACGCACTCCGCTTCCATACCGGTGTCTGGAGAGTCATGCCACTGCACAGAACCAGGCTGGGAGAACGTAACAAGCAGCATTGTCGTTTCGACAGCTCCGACAACTGAGCAGCCAACTGGTAGTGGTCTGGGATATCCTACGCCCGTGACTTTGCCCTCAGCCGGGTCAACAACCGCCAGCAACAGTGGAGTGACGTCTGAAAGCATCCCTAGCAGCAGCGAAACCACCAGCGCTAGCTCCAACAGCAACAGCAACAGCAACAGCGAGAGCGAGAGCAGCTCTTGGATTACCCTTACAGGGCCAATAACGCAAAGCCAGGCTCCCTCGCCAACAATCACGTCTCATTCCAGCGCCGGTGTCACTAGTACCACAATCACTACTCATACGAGCCCGAGCACAAGCACAAGCACAAGCACAACTGGACTGCCCGCCCCTACTGGCGGTGCTCGGAGCCTTGAGTTCCAGTTCGAAGCCATCATTGCGACCTGTCTGCTCGGGATCGTATGGGGTTTGGTCTTCGGTTTGTGATCGGCAGAGGAGAGCGAGAAGCCATCTTGGAAGATCAATATGTAGGGAGATCTACTAAATCAGGCAGTGGATGGATGTGGTGCCGATGATGAATGGGGAATATCTCGACCTTGTTTAGCCAGCTGGATTAATAGGGGAAGTGGATGAATGATTGCATGATCTGGTGCAGCAGGGTTTTTTAAGGGGCCCTGAGGGGCCTGATAATGGAATTGTTATGTTTTTATATGCTTTTGGGCTTTTCAAGACGATGTTCAGCGCCACGTCGATCCAGCAAGCCGTTTGAAGCGATCACATATCACCACGTCACAAGCTCTGACGATTGCTTGCTTCTCCTTTTCTTCAAACGAAACGAGTCATGTCACCCATGGCCCTGACCTTGACCTTGACCTTGACCATGACCATGACACCGGACATGCATGGCGCGTGATCAGCCCAAGAACTATATAACCACCGTGTCATAGCTGCTCTCTCAGAATCCCGTCTGTCTTCTTCGTGATACTGCTGTGATATCATGCCATGTCAACCGATATATGTGTGCGCGTTTGTGCCATGCTCGGTCTTCTCTCTCGCCTTTGCACATTTCTCCTGATCCATCCATCCATCCATCGAACAAACCTCGAGCAAACCACAAGGGAAAACAGGCAAGAAACAACATATCTAAGCCACGAGACGTACCAAGTACATACATACACCGGATAGAAGCATCCCAGCCCCAACCAGTCAGTCAACCAACTAAATATACACCCAACACCATGCCTCGCATCAATAATCTTCCTCCTCTTTTTCCTCATCGAGCCCAGACCCCTCTCGCCCGCATTCTTGTTCTCGTCACCCTCATCCTCCTTACCCTGACCCCTGCTGCCACCGCCCAGCAGTATACCAACTGGACACAGCTCCCGGCGTGCGCACAATCGTGCTTCAGCGCCGCCCTGCTCCAGGCCTTTGGGTCATGTGGTTCCATCCTTACCGGCACCGGCGGCAATACCACGGGGGAGGATGACCCTCCCAGCACGATGCTGCGACGCTGTATCTGCACCGACTGCGCGTACCGCGACACCCTGGGCGCGTGCTTGGACAGTGGCTGCACTGCCGCCACGGCCAACAACGACCCAGGATCGGTCGACGGCAGTCTGGACCTGAATGACCGTGTGTTCTGCAATGCTAGCGTGGCCGCCACCGTGCAGATGTGGGATCGCAATCTAATCTGGGCGGTTGGTCCGGGCAATGGTGGTGGCGGTGCGAGCTCTGGCACGTCGCAGGGCGGCGTGGTTTGGACTTGTTCCTCGACCTCGACCTCGAGCACAGGTAGTGGAAACACAGGAACAGGCACAGCCATTTCTAGGAGTAGCTCCTCGACCCTGGAGGTATGCATACCTTTCGAGCAGAGACGGCTGGCTCCTTTGCTGACTTGTGGATAGCCGTCTGCACCCCCCACGACGAGCACCTCGACCATCACAGCGATCACGACCGTGGCTACTCTGACGCTGGCCACGACGGCCGCCCCTTACCAAGTCACGGCCCTCTCGAACAGCACGAGCAGCGCCACCTTGACCGTCCCTTCGGATACAGGGGAAAGCGACGTGTCGACCTCGATCTGGACATCAAGATCCACGGATCTGAGCACCACCTCCCGTCCCGTCATCGTCATACCGACGACCCCTGTGTCGTTCCCGAGTACCACGACAACGACAACGACAACGACGGGTACGACACACTCCTCCAGTACCACCGTATCATCGTCATCGTCACCGTCATCGAGTGGCGGCACCGGCGCCTCCTCCACGACAACGACGACAACTATGGGTTCGAGCCGGGCGGAACCACCCGTCCATCCAGCGGTGGGACTTGGCATTCTGTTCGCCGTGTTGGCGGGAGCACCGCTTATCGCGTGAAATGTGTGAAATGCTGAGATGGTGGCCGGCGGCGTGGCCGTAAGTGATACATTGGATGGATATAGTGAGACAGGAAGGATCGGATAGTTCGGTGGCCTTGCTGGCCTGGCCTCCTTGAAGAAGTGAGTGGTATCAGATCCAACAACACCATCACGAGAAGAAGATCCAGAATATTCAAACACCTGCCCTTCTTTGAGTTGAGAGCAGCGAGGTCGGATCTTGCATATGGGCCGTCGTGTCGGTGAACTTTGATGCTGGGGCTCGGGATGATGCGATCCGTAAGGGGAGTTGGCTGGACGTTGAAGCCATACGAGAGCTGATTGATGAAGATGACCTGGGCCTGGGCGCTATAACCTCACACAGGTTATAAATGGTAAGGGAACGTTTAAGGGGACGGATGTGAAAGTTCAGGCTTGCAAAAGGTGAATGAATGTTGCTGATTTTTTCGTAGTTCGTTAAATCCCCAACCAAGTACCCATGCAAGCATGCAGGCACCCCTTGAATAGGTTAATAGTTCCTGGCTGGTTATCTGGTTTCGGTCATCACGCCTCACCAATGCTATTTGCACCTTCGTATTCGTTAACGTGTGACGGGATGTGGCGGTTGCCTTTCCCTGGCTCTCCCCACCTCCAGTGAGGATGGCGGTCTTACCCTCCAGTCTGCCGGTATCGATATCCACCTCACAGTCAAGAGGGCACGTGTATTTGTATGCACCCATTGAGAAGGTGTATGATAGATTGCAGCGGAACGGAAGGGCACGTAGTTTTCAGAAGGATGAAGCTGGGATTCGAAGATTGCTTCTGCGAAGACTCCCTTGGAACCCAGGGGCATAAAGTAATATATATACTATCTGGCTTGCCCAGGACGCTGCATGGCGTATTGTTCGGACAATGAACAAGGGGGAATCTCATCGCCATGGCGAGCATCTACCGAATTGTGAGGATCTTCGTCCGAAAGGGCAGTGATGGGATGATACATAGTCCAGCGTGCCATTGTTTAGCTGAGGCTCGATATCTGGCCTGTAGCGTCGGATGTCCAGAGCACACGCCTTCGGACATGGATGGAGGGTTGGGTTCCACTCCTTTCGCTGGGTTCACTGAATATAATGTTGACTCGGAACATTCCGTTGCTCCAGGTTCAGACTTACGCAAAATTTCCTCGTTCAAGCAGGTTCGGTCACTAGCCCATCGTGCGAATGGAGATGGAGGCCCACCGCGTCTGCTGAGTCTAAGCTTTCAACAAACCTTCTCCCGATCCGATCCGCATCTGCAGTAGAGACTGGATGATTGTGATCGATAATCAAGTTCTGGAAAGGGGTCTGGCTCCCGTGGCAGTACGAATCAGCAATGCATCCACAGCTTTAACCGAAATAGACGCCACCACGGGGCCGAAACACCTTGTATCTGACATGCGGGCACCAAAGGCAATCCGGGGGAGCGTCCACAGGTAAGCCCCAGTCAGCAACTCCTTTCTCGGAAATGTGCCTTGAAGCCTCCAATTACCGGGGAGGCCCTGGGAGACTTATCCTTATCCATCATAGGTCTCCTCTGTAGGGAATCGCCAGCAGCTGTCGCGACAACCCTTCTGTTGCCAGACAAGGCTGAGAAGTTTCCTGATGGTAACGCGGCAGTTGTTAGATGGATGGCAGCAAGACCCAGCGGTCGTTCATGTAGGAAACGAGGCTCATTCTCGACACCATCATTCTCCTAGTGCTTTTTGCTGAAGCGTCGACGATTGAGTGTAATCTCTGGGAATTCAAAAGGTGGATCCTTCTCCAGGCTGCTTTCCGTCTACAAGGAGAGAGATAAGCGAAGTGTTTATGTTCCACCAATCAGACTTGTGGGCAATTGAAGGATCCAAATTGGGCGCCTGAGCTGACACGGCGTATACGAGGCTTCACAAGTATAAGACGTCGTGTGGGCTACCCAAAAATCAATCGTGAGACGCCGCCTACCTCCTACCTGCGAGAAGGCCGGTGCTCAAGAGATCATGGGGTTACAATACTTGATACTGTATGGCGTAGGGCTGTGTCTAGCCACTATTGTCATCAAGGCCATCTACAGGTTGACACTACACCCTTTGGCGCGATTTCCAGGTCCCAAAATTGCCGCAATCACCAATCTGTATGCGGTGAACCACGATCTGATATCCCAGGACTCACTCGTCAAGCATCTAAAAACACTTCACGATAAATATGGTACACGAGCTATGTAGCCTCGAAGACCGCGACTAACAAGGACCAGGACCCATCGTGAGAGTCCGGCCGAACGAGTTACATATCTTTGACTGGGACGCTTACAGAACGCAAGTCGCTGCTTCTTGATACTTCGCTAAACCCAAGAGGCTGACGATGTCAGTGTGTTCAAATCTGGCTCCGATTTCAATCGTCCTCCGGAGTTCTACAATGCTCCGCAAGTCGAGGGCTCTTTTCTCAACATCAGCGATGGACGAGTTGCGAAACCCCACCGTGATCTCTTCGTGCAAGCATTCTCTAAGGCCCAGATCAACGGGCTGGAGCCACTCATTCATAAGAAGATCGCGCTTTTCCTGCACCGCTTGAAAGCCGAATCAGACGAGAATCGCAGCATCAACCTCGACTTGGCTCTGAACTGTCTGACCGCCGATGTCACCATGTATTATTGCTACCAAATGAGCCTTGATCTTCTTGATGCTCCCAGCTTCCGCCCTAAATTGATTGTCGAGCTACATGATTTCGCACCAATAGTACCATTCTTCTGGTGTGAGTTTGCTTTCATCCTTTTTGTCGGTATCTGGGGCCGTTCCCTCGCTTCTCAAAGGCTACCCAAGATGGATCCTGGTATATCTGGCCCAATCAGACACTAATCTATATGGACCGGGCAGATTTCCCCAACATCGGCAATATCATGAACAAGGTGATTTTCTCAATGCTGCCCCACAAGGTCGTGAAGACTTGTTTCCCCGCCGCTGCGTCCATGAAAGACATGATGGCTGTAAGTTCAACAGAGAATTGTTTCGTTCCCAGCTGAGAACAACAAGCAATGTCGAGCGCTGATCACCTCCCTGGCTCAAGCACCAGCCGACTCGAAGGAGGTGACATCGTCGATCTTCCGTACTGCCCTCAATCCAAACAGGGAAAAAGGGCAGTACATCGCGACTCCAAACGAGCTCGCCGCGGATGCCGTGCTCATGTTCCTCGCTGGAACTGATACCACTGCCCACGCGCTCACGTTCGGCATCTGGGAAATGATGAAGAGACCCGAGCTTTGGGCACGATTACGACAGGAAGTCGTTACGATCCTCCCAGACACCAAGAACCTTGCGTCAGTGAGGGATCTGGAGAACTTACCCTTTCTTGTGAGTTAAACTGGAGGCAATTCGAATGGAGCTAACATGTGCTTCTAGCGAGCCGTGATCAAGGAGTCACTTCGATTCTCCATGGGGACGTCTGCACGTCTTCCTCGCGTGGTACCACGCAATGGTGCCGTCCTTTGCGGCGAAAATATCGCTCCTGGGGTACGCTATGGCTATTCAAGCCCCCCTTTCTCCGTGCAATGTCTTACTCGATTCTTAGACTCGCGTTTCTTTCTCGCACTACGTGTACAACAACGACCCAGCGATATTCCCAGATCCGTACTCGTTCCGCCCTGAACGATGGCTCGGAAGCAATGTGGATGAGCTGGAGAGTCATATGGTCAGCTTTTCGCGAGGAAGTCGCAACTGTATAGGAATGAAGTATGTGCTCCCTCTCCCATTTCTTTTGTTAATGGCAAGGAGGGTTAGATTCCCCTTTTTTACGCCGTTAATTATTGAAGGAGCGAGCAAAGCTTGTTTGACTCTGTGTCTAACAGTGAGGCAGCTTGGCGTATGCCGAACTTCATGCTACATTTGCCCATCTAGTTCGCAGGTTTGATATATCGAACGACGGTACCACGGATGAGATGATGGAGTGGACCGATGCATTTACGCCACGATTCAGGGGCCAGCTCAATGTGAAATTGCGGGCCATTGACTAAGGAGAGGGATAAGCTTTCTACAGTCATCCTTGGCTGTGCAGAATACTATGGCTCAGACGCTGGCAGTTGATTCCCGATCAGTATTCATTGGCTATTGGTGGTAGGGAAATCGGAATAGCGCATTCTGCTCAACTGTTGGTGTACTGTGTATGCGGGTCGTATTTTGTACTCTTGGCCCATCATAGAGCATGGTCTTTCATTCACCTATTGTCTGTCTCTTCTGATCGAGGTGGGAAACAGTGTCTTGAAGTATACAGAAATGGCAACAGTGCTGCATATGGATACTATCTACCTCGTATGGAGTATCCATCGGGCTAGCGTGGTGACTAGCGCCTTGGCTGTGACTTACGACATAAGGCTGAGGATATAAGGGCGAGGCAGGTCTGGCGAAAAGCTTTTCCGGCGCCGGTGCGGTCAAGCTCCGAGCTCGAGAGCAGCATGAAACGTTCTTCTCATCCTGGGAATCTGCAAACGGAGCTCTGTACATGTAACTTGGGTCATGTATCAGGCCTGTCATCAAATAAACTGATACGATGGTCTCAACGCGCTCAACGAAGAGGCGCTCTCGCAGTCCTGTCGCGAGGGCGGTTGAAAGTCGTCCGACCAAAATCGCCCGGAAGCGGCAACCCGCCGTGAAAAAGTCGGTCAAGTCATTCAAGGGCGTCGAGGTCATCCTTCTAGATATAGGTGGGAGATACTCGGTCGTGGAGATATCTAATGTAACATTGACTAACAATGAAAACTCATTAGAGGGCACCATATGCCCGATTACATTTGTGAAGGACACTCTGGTAAGGCGTAACCCGCACATGTTTGTTTCGCTCTCTTTCCAGAGACGAGCCCGTGGTGAAGCAGAACACTTACACCAGGGAGGGAAAAGTTCCCATACGCCCTCAAAGCGCTCCCCGATGTCCTCGCATCGAAGTGGGATGACCCGACTTTCATACCCTACCGTGACGCTTTCCCTGAACCCGCCACCTCCTCTCCCGAAGAATTCGAAGCCCATGTCAAAGACCTTACAGAGCGAGATGTGAAGATTGCCTACCTGAAAAACTTGCAAGGTAGGGCTCGGCTTCCCACGGCTAATAATTCTCATAGTCTACTCCTCCGTTCTCGCAAGAAACCAATACTGAGCTACAGTAGGCTATCTGTGGGAAAATGGCTATCAGACACATGCCTATTCGACACCTCTTTACCCTGATGTGCTGAAGTCTCTGGACGCTTGGTCGGCCCCTCCCACATCTGGTGCTGTTGCCAGCCCTAGCAAAGAGATATCTATCTACAGTAGCGGGTCAATCTTCGCGCAAAAGCTTTTGTTCCAACATATCAAAGACCCTGCTTCACCCGACGACCCCACGGCCGTTTTGGACAAGCGCGACATCATTAAAGCATGGTTTGATACCACGAACGCGGGTCTCAAGCAAGAGGCTAGCAGCTACACAAAGATTGCGACGGAGCTGGGCAGAGATCCGAAGGAGATATTGTTCTTGAGTGATAACGTCAACGAGGTGCGTGCGGCTATCAAAGCGGGCATGAAGGCCGCAGTGGTGGACAGGCCGGGAAATGCGCCTCTGTCTGATGAGGAGAGAGAGGAATTCGACGTAGTCGAAAGCTTTGAGGAGATTGAGCTGTGAGAGTGGCCGTCGGGAGGGATAAGTCTATGAGGAAAATGAAGCTTGTGGACAATGGAGGCAAGAATGATACTCCTCTCGTCCCTCGTGAACAGTATATGGCTAACTTGGATGCAGCTAGATCCTCAAAGCCTCCGTGAACCATGTGACTGATCTATCACCCTGCTCCTCTCCTCCTTTCGGGCCCTCCATCACGGAATCCCGCCAAACCTTCGTGTAGACTGTGCTAGTCCGGGGTCGGCTTCTGGAATCACTCTGGGCATTGGATAGGAAGAGTGGCAGACGCGTCCGTGATCCGTCTGGGTGAATGTAGGCATAACACAAATTGGCCATCCTTCCTGTCTTGCGATGTTACTACTAATGAATGTCTCATGCAGGCGCCTTCTCTCTCGGGAAAACCCTTCGCAAGATCTCGAGTCGGCAATGTTTGGTTTCACCAGATTTACTCTCATCATGACAATGGTGTGTTGGACGCATCGCAGTCGGCACGATCACGAATATTTTCTTCTCCTACTCGGACAACCGCGAAACTGCGCTAACTGGCAATTCAGTCGAAGCTTCCCTTTTTTTGAGTCTTCCATTGCTATGGCAAAGCGAGGTTGTGAGAGAAACCCAACCTTACACAAAATCGCTGCCAAAGAAACTAAGCACGCTGTGGCTCGTTCTCATTCCTCGACGTCTGAGAATGCATTCACATCATTCCGCACTCGGCAATTTCTGAAGCTCATACTGCATTTCAGTGGTAACGATCAGTCTGGCCACGCTGCCATGATTTGGCGATCGATCTAGGCAGCTTTGGACATGCGGAGGGACAGGAGGCAGCCGCTCTGTCGACCATGCTTGCCTGAAAAGCCGATCGATATCTCCTTTCTGAATCATCGCACAGACCCTCGGAGCTCGATACACTGGATGGCGGGCACCACATGGAAGACTTGGAACTGCCAACACGAAGGGGTCCTCCAGGGTCCCAGGATCGTCCTTGTCGCTTTCGCCAACGCATCCTTTGAAGTCGATCTGACACACCGATAGCCATCAATGGCGCGTTATAAACCCTTATTCTCATGGTCGTGAAGCACAACTTGCAAGGCGTACGGCTTTCTTGATCCTCTAGCGGGTGGCCTTACACTAAATTCTCTGGCAACATCCAAGATCCGTCGGGAAAACCAGCTTGGCGAGCCACAGCGAGAGGACTGGAGAGTCCCACAATGGATTCATCTTCCCTTCCTTCATGGTGTCCCCTTTCAGGCCATCCAGTTGCACCTCTTGACATGCTTCGTCATAGGACAGTGGGCAGCACCCACAAATCAAACTTCCCGCTTTCCGAGACAAATTTAGTCCGTTACGCTTTGTTGCGACCCTACGAGACTATGATTTGATCAACCATCCACCCCGTGGCCCCATGCGAGGGCAGAGCCACAACCCGGCGATATCCACCCTCCTAGGAGAGCCCTGCCTACCGTCAAGGCCCCTCGTCTCGCCAATCGCCGCTCTTCATTGCCTCTCATGGTATAGCATTAGAAGCTCTCGAAGCTCCCAAGCCACGTCGACTCGTTCGCAGGAATTATTTCGGGTCCATGGCCAATAGGCTAACCCCAGAATCCGATTCTCCCGGACATCAAGGAGCCCCAAGTTGTTGAGGCGTGCTCTAGGACGTGAGTTACAGTTGTGACACGATCTTTTATGTATCCGGCCGGATTGTTGAGCTTGCTTCTTGCTCTTGATTCTCTAATCTAATAATTTAGGCTTAGTATATGATTTAGTTCAATCGACAACAACTCCTTTGCACAACAGCCAGAAAGAGGCTTTCAGATGTTCAGATACTCACACCAAATCTAGTGAAAGAAAACTCGTACTAATACACGCGCAAATATGGCTGCGGACACGGTGGTGCACCGAGATCACTATATGATGTCTCGCGATCCGTTGGCATCCGGCAGATTGACCGCTCAACACTACCTCATATTGAGGAGGCTAGGATGGCTCCTCCATCCAGACATTGCCGCACAGATTAGAGGCCTCCGGGGACTCGAAATCGCGGATGTTGCCTGTGGAAACGCCATCTGGTCTCTTGACATGGCCGTTGACTACCCCCATGCACGAATAACTGGCATCGATATATCTCCACAACAGTTCCCACCGCAGTTCACATGGCCACAGAATGTGACGCTGGAGCTCCATGACATCTTCCAGCCCATGCCTGACCGCTACGCAGGTCGATTTGACGTTGTGCATGTCCGTATGATCATGGCAGCGGTGTACTTCCAGGACAAGGATTGGGTTATGCATAACATCCTCAGACTCTTGAAGCCAGGCGGCTTTATACAGTGGACCGATGTCACCGTGCCGGTTCTTCGAGCGATGAGCGACCCGGTGAGATATCCTGCCGCGTTTCGAGATCCTCCGGCGATCATCGCGCCTTTGACCAGCCTATTCTCCCACACTGAATGGCTACGGCATCTTGCAGCAGAGCTCCAACGTCATGGGCTCATTAATCTTCGTCACCTCGATATGCCTCCAGTGCCGTGGCTTTCGAGGCAGGACACGGACAATGCAATTTGGGCCCTGACAGATATCCATGAGGGCCTGAAGACCAGAGCAGCAAGGGAAGTGTCTGACCTATTCGGAAGAGCTGTGCACGAGACACTTCAAGATATAAGACAGGGCAGGGTCTACTATACCACTTATTATACAACCATTGGTCAAAAACCTGGACTGCCCTGGGGTGGTTAAGGGTTTTGGATGTTGCCAATCTTGTTACTTGTCCGGGGACAACTTACTCATCCAGGCCGATCAACTCATCCCCCTGTCGATTTTTCTGGCAAGTCAAAGTCATCGCTTCGATCGGGTCGTAACATGAGAGAATGCTCAGGGTTGGTGTCATTGGACTATGCATCACAGCACGTGCAACACTCATCGCAATAACAGCGTAGGACATGCAAGTCGAAATGTATGCCTTGAAATTCGAGAAGTCCGTATCATTCGAAATACTGCCAAACAGATTTTTGAATACCTGCGACATCTAGAGTACCTAATTTCCCTTCGAATGTCACCAGTCGCTTTGGTCTAGGTCCTTCTATGCAAACACCAGCTTCTTCCAGTCCTTGTTCTCTTCCCACGCCGCTGCTACTTTGTAGCACGTCAAATCTTCGAAGCGTTTGCCGACAATCTGGAGCCCAGCGGGCAACTTGATGTCTGGCTTATCTGCGGCGGGCACGAATCCTACCGGTATGGAAAGGGCTGGATGGCCGGTGGAATTGAACTGTGCCGTATTGCTGAGCACACCCAGGGGGTACGAGAGGCTCTCCAGAGCGCCACCCTGAAAGCGGCCCGTGGGGTTGTCAGCTCCACCGGGGAATGGCAAAGCTGGCATCGGCACCGTAGGCATCACCAGCACATCGACGGAGGCGAGGACCGCATCGTACGCCTGTGTTGCTTTGTTGAGCAGATTGGTGCATCTGGCGTGCAAGCCCGCGCCGTACTTGTTGTCCACGTACAAGTACCTCATGTACAGGTTTTGGGCACCGGGGCCCAGAGCGTCGAAGAACTCTTGTGAAAGCAGCGCTTTCCCACTGGGACCCATGGCAGGAGCAGCGGCAACACTGCGGTCCGTCATCTCTAGCTGTTTGCGTCCTGTCGTGTCGCCCAGGAGTGCTTCCCGAGCTCCGCGCAGCGGCAAGGCGCACGACCAGATGATACAGATCTGCTCATGGTTCGGGACCGAGACCTCGACGACTTCGGCTCCCATTGCTTTGAGATCCGCAATGGCCGAGTGACACGCTGCGGCGACGTTCGCGTCCATGTGCTTGCCGGCGAAGCCCTCCTTGAGAACTCCGACCTTGAAACCCTTAAGGAGTTGATCTTTGGGCTTGCTGGCGCCGGCACAGAGGAACTCGTCCAACCCGCTGGAGAAACGCAGGGATTCCGGAGCCATGTAGAATGGCTGGCGGTCGTCGATACCATCCGGGCCTGCGATGGCTTCGAGCATGAGTGCGTTGTCACGAACGGTGGCGGTCATGGGGCCGGTATGGTCGATCACTGATTGCAGACCAAGAATACCGGTGTAGGGAACCAATCCCCAGGTCGGCTTGTGCCCGACAATGCCACAGAACGCGGCTGGAATGCGGATCGACCTGTACTCCACATTGGTTAGTGGCACGATTCCCTCCAGGAGAGCGTTCGGTGTGAAAGGGCTGGAGCGTTACAACATACCCTCCCTGGTCGCCTCCCAGTGCCATATCTACAGCGCCGATCGAGACCAATCGTCCCGATCCACTACTGGAACCTCCACACGTATAGCCATCCGCATAGGGATTATGGACGACACCTGTATACGACGTGTTGGAGATCGGTTCCATGCATGCATTCTCACAGGCTGTAGAGTGGTTGATCAGCTACCCGATACTCGTTTGGCCACAAAAAAAAGGGCGTGGTCTCAAAACATACCAGCCTTGCCAGTGACTGTGGCACCAGCGTCCAGTACTCTGGTCACTACTGTGGCGTCATACGCGGGGATCCACTCTCCATTGATCGGTGGAAGACCATTCGTACACCGGACGCCCGCAACTGCAGTATTGTCTTTCACTGCCACGGTGCGTCCAGCGAGCAAAGAGCTCTTTGGGGCGGTGCTCTTGATAGAACATCGCGTCGCCCAGCCGCCTTTGTTGTTGTCCTCCGGAATGTGGATATCGGTCCGGATATACAGCTCTGGATCAGGCTTCGGCAGGCCATCGTCTTCTTCGAACACGAGCTGTGCACAGTCTTCTAGAGATCCAAGGAGAGAACGCCAGTCTTCGATTGCACTGTCGGAAAGTGATAGACCAGCCGCTTTGACAAGTGCTCGAACTTCAGCAGCGTCGAGCTTCGATCCCCTACTGATATCAGAGAAGGCTACGGAGTGACTTTGCAATTTGCGGAGACACTCACTTTCCCAATGATGCTATCGCCATTCTTGCGGTTCTCAAATTGATTACAGCCCGAGTGATACAATGACTTCACTTGCAGGACTCCGATACATATGCACAAAGCATCTCTCTCTCGGTTATGGGCTTATCAGCTACTTCTTAATATCCTGCTTCTGTTTCCTAAAGTGGAAGGAATGATATCCTCGAGTGTGCCGACTTCCGAAGATGAAATTCATTTCTAAGCCGCATGTTGGATGTTGGAGTTGTCTCTGGAGCCGTCTACTAACTGCATTTCTGACCGAGCCGTCTTGTGATACGGCTCGGAAATATCGTCCGCTGTACCGTTGGATACGATCAACGAATAGTCATTCCCAGATGCATAGTCCCTGGATCTCGCAACGAATTCAGAGATAGCGAAGGTGGGGATATCCGACCTCGTCTCGAGAAACATCGGCTCGAGAAGCCTGACACGTGATCTAGCCGAGATTTGGCGCCATTATATCGCGGTGTCAGGGTAGTTATTGGCTTGCCGAGACGATAGCCTTGTCCTCTATCGCCTGAGCAGCTTCAGGGTATGCCGCAAATCCGTCCATCATTGCCCTTCGCGGAAGGTAATCATAAGACGGCAACGGTGGTCCCAACACCAACCCTGTGGCATAGAAGTACCTTTTGCATTATCTCTCCAACATCCTGATAAGAGATTGTCCATGGTCTCCACCAAAACCATGGCACAATGTATCGCGACTCATTTCTCCGGCCATGTGCCTTCAGGGAAGGGAACCGTAACTAAGGTCTCGGCACGGTTGCATGATACGAGAGATAGTCGCCTCTTCAGGAGATATATATCAAAGCTACTTTGAAACCCGACTGCTTGAGAATCTGCCAACCTCTACCCCAACCATCCTCGTCTTTTTCAGGCCATCACCGCTCTATTCCTCTGACATCTCCCTGTCAAGTCGTTTGGGGTGAACTATGGAGAGTACGATCACAGAAAAGAGGCCCGATATCGAGGCCGTAACACCGGTTGGTGATGCTAGCCCGGTGGAGACAGGCTCGAAATTCGGAAGCGTCGACGAGGCCGAAGTCTTCGTCACGGGACAGGATGGAGTCAACTTCAGAACTGTCGGCTGGATCAGAGCGTCCATGTTCTTTCTCAAGATGACATTTGCGGCCGGTGTCCTCTCCATTCCTGCGGCACTCTACAATCTCGGTGCCGTTGCCGGGTGCATCTTCATTGTCTTCTGGGGTGGGCTCAACACCTACTGCGCAGTCCTTCAGGGGCAATTCAAGCTCCGCTACCCCTCGGTCCATACCGTTGCCGACAGTGCCCACATCGCTGCTCTGGAGCTGGGATTGACCAAGAAGAATGCCTGGGTGGTGAAAGAGATCACGGAATTCGTCTATCTCTTTACTTGGATTCTTTGCGCCGGCGTCTCAACCCTCGGTTTCTCCATCGCCCTTAACGCTGTCTCGAAGCACGGCACATGCAGTGTCACCTTCGGCTTCGTGGCCTACATCATCGTCGCCTCTGTCGCCAGCATCAGAAAGATTCACAATCTCGGCTGGATTACATGGGTCGGCTTCATTTCCATTGTCACGGCCATCATGATTGTGGTCATCGCTGTCACACTGCGTGACCGCCCGGCTGCTGCGCCTCAGACGGGAGACTTCGACCTGGGCTTCGCTGCTCTTCCTCCTGCTGGGACAACCTTTGCTACGGCGTGGTCTGCGTCGTTGGCCATCTTTTCCTCTTCGGCCAACACCTCCGGCTTCGTGCCCGTAATCTCGGAGATGCGACGACCACAAGACTACTTCAAGAGTGTCTATGTCTGCATGCTTTGGATCACTTCGTCCTATCTCGCCCTGGCTACGACCGTATACGCTTACTGTGGCAGATGGGTTGCCTCTCCCGCCTTGGGCTCGGCCGGGCCGACGATCAAGATCATCTCGTACGCTATTGCCATCCCCGGACTGATTGCTGGCACCATGATCTGCGTCCATGTGGCCGGGAAGAGTATTTTCGTTCGAGTCCTGCGGAACACTGGTCATCTGACTCGCAATACCAAGACTCACTGGGCGGTGTGGCTTGCGTGTACGTACGGTACGGGTCTGCTCGGTTGGATTCTCTGCGAGGCGATTCCGTTCTATGGCAGCTTGGTCTCACTGATCGGAGCCCTGGGCTTTGGATACCTGGGTGTGTGCATCCCCGCCGTCCTCTGGTTTGTTCTGAATGAGGGCGCCCGCAAGCGTTCAGTGGCAATGGCGGGCATGTGGTATATGCACATGGCAATATTTGTGCTCGGTGTCCTGATCACCGTCGGAGGCACCTACGCCAACGTCGTGAGCATTATCGATCAATACCGGATGGGGCAGGTTGGCTCCGCGTTCAGCTGCCTTGACAACAGCAACACCGTCGCTGGTGGCTAATGGTTGGTCAGAGTCAAGCCCCCAGCTTTGAGAACAGATTGCCTTGGGATCAGGTCTGAGGAACAGCTGGTACCGACAATACCACAAGGGGTATTCCATGGGGAGATGTCAAACCTGCCTGATGTCTGGAATCGATGTTATTAGCAACAACACTATCTGTCTGGTCAGGGTCTAATAGAACAGGTATAGACAAAGTTATAGATCTCGGGTGATTTTGTCCCTTTTTAGGTTTTGAGGGGAAGAAAATGGAATACAGAAGATGTCGAGAGTTTTAGTAACAAGATCCCGGCTTCCTGACATTTTCCAATCAATAGCTTCCCGGTAGTGCCTACCATCCATCTAGTTCGAAGCCACTATCCCTGTTCTACTAAGCGTATGCGCCGTTGATCAAATTGTGTTCGGTGTCAATATTTTTGGATAATGTATTAGCTCTGTGGCTTATCGTGGCGCGATAATCAATACTGAATAAAACTTGAACCCGAATATGTGTACCATAGTCTCGCATTGAAGCGAACTCCGAAAGATAGGGACCGAACGACAAGAGATAGGTACATAGGATATACACGCACAAGATAAGGCAAGCAACACCATAATCATAGTTCCGCTTCGAGAAGGTGACGGCTTAATCCGTCCATTCAGCCCGGTCTATGTTGGCGCCAATACCCTGCACATTGATAACGAAATACCCGAATGCACCGGCATGGTCTAGGACCGGCATGGTTAAGGACCGGAATAGGGTCATGCACCACGTAGTACATCTCGCAAACTCCTAAGATTTTCCAATTTCTCGCAACGAGGCTCGAGACGCAGGTCAGAGGTCAGACTGAGGATTCGCCAAAAGGAAAAAAACACCATGGCTTCCAGTGGTGGCCCTATCTCCCAGCAGGCTATTCCACGTCTTCGTGTAACTACAGGCTGGTACGTTATATTATGTGATACAATGTGACTTTACTTCCCCCAAAGCCCGATCCATCACCTGCAACTAATTGGTTCATGGTTGCAAGGATGTCACGATGATGACCCATCCATCCATCCATCACGTTTTGCTGATCCCAGAGATGACGGTTGAAAATATGCAGCCGTACATGCAGGGCCCGGCATGTCAAGTGCGACGAACGCAAGCCCGTCTGCGGCAATTGCACCAAGAAGAACAGACCGTGCATGTATGAAGCCAGCAGGCCGCCGTCTGATCGAAACCATCGCCGCCCTAGTTTTGACACCAAAGTCGACGATCACACTCGAGGCAAGCAGCCCAGGGGGCCGAGTACTATTACTACTAGTACCACTACTGGTACCAACACCGCGGTCAACTCCAAAACGACGTCCCCGTTCCTGGAGGCCCTGACCAGTGACAAGAACCAGCTCGTTGACACCCCTGCGTCGTTTGGGCCTGTTCTGGCCCAGTATCTCAATGACCAGTCGTCCTCGTGCGACGTGTTCCGCGTGCCTGGTCACAGCTTTGACAAAGACCACCTTCACCAGCACGACGGAGATGAGCCGGGACAAGAAGTCACGGACCCAACAAGTCCAGCCTACTCAAAGGCCGGCAGCAGCACCCAACCCGGGCTGTTCTCAGGCAGAGCGTCGCCTCAACATTCACCTCAGGCTGCTACGCGTTTGCACACCTCAGACTCGGTCCGCCCAAATGGACACCTCGCCAGCATCCTTGGGTCTCCGAGCGGATTCTTTTCAAGATATGATGATGGGCTGGATGGTCGTAGACAGGACATTATCTCAGCCAGCTACTCCACCAGAAATTCATTCAAGAACTCGCCGCCCCGCGTGGAGCTAGGATCGAACAGCCCGCTATATTTGACCCCGCTGGAGTTATTCATCCTCCGAAACTTCGTGGAGCGAGTTGCACGATGGGTATGTCAGCGCGTAGTGTTAGATTGTGTCATGATACAGATGAGCTCACACACTCTCTTTCTCAATCAGATCGAAGCATTTTCTGAGGAAAATCCCTATTCCACCACGGTGCCTATATTGGCACTCGAGTGTCCGGCAGTTTTATTCTCGTGTCTTGCCATTTCGGCGAAGCAGTTGGCCTTGACGAGGACGGGGGCCGAGCCACAGATCACAGAGGACGTCGCGGTCGAATATTACCAGAAAGCGCTGAAGGCGTTCAGTACGCTCTTAATGGAGCCCGACTCGGCACACAGCGATAAAATCCTGGCGTCCAGCATCATGCTCTCAAGGTATGCTTTACCTTTTCTCTTCACCTTCTTGATGGTGAAAGGCACACCGACGATATGCTGACCTGCGTTCTTTGGCACAGCTATGAAATGCTGGACGTGGTCGGAGAAAATTTTGGCTCGCACCTCCGAGGCATTGCCTCCCTCCTGCAGCTGTGGCAAGTCAACGGAGATTCATCCGGCATCAAAGGCGTTGTCTACTGGACATGGTATCGATCAGACACATGGGCCGCTTTGCACGCCGGGCGGCGCATGTTCTTGGACGAACACTACTGGGAGCCTCGTGCGGTGGACTCTTTCGACGACTTGTCCCACGAGGAGATCGCCAACCGCGCCATGTTCCTGCTCGGACAGTGCATCAGCTTATGCAATGACCAACAGGACCGAGAGAGTGCGGAGACGGCGGCAGAGGAGCTGAACAAACAACAAAGAATGAGGGACAAGCTTCGAAATGACATCGAGCAGTGGAAACGGATGCTTCCCCCGTCAATGACACGATTCTTTGTGAGCCAGCCGCCGCCGCCGCCTCAGGAAGAGCATCAGCAGCAAGAGGAAAGCACATCGTATCAGCACTCGCGGAACATATCATCCATATGGTACGTGTTTCCGCACTGCGGTAAGTGCCTTACCTCCCTCCCTCCCCTCCGTGCAGGTTTGAACCACCAACACCACCACCATCCATTTCCAGTAACATCGGGCTGACGAAGGCCAGCAGCGGTCGGAATCCAAATGTACCACGCATGTCAAATATTACTCGCGCTCAGCGGCCTCCCATCTTCATCCCTGCGACAGGGGCGGGGAATCTTTACGTCGACCGCCGAGTCGCTGTCGGTGCGACGGCTGATCAATCGGTCGCGTGAACAGATCCTGCTCATCGCCAGCTCGGGCATGACCGACCCTTTCAGCTTCATCTCCACGCAGTGTTTGTACATTGCGGGGCTGGTTACCGAGGGCGTCCAGGAGCGGCGGCGCACGCTCGAGCTGATCGAGGAGTGTCAGAGACAGTCGGGTCGGCGCACGGTGTGCATTGCCGACGAGCTTCGGACGGCGTGGGCGGAGGAGTGGTAGCATTCCCTATCCAGCCCTTCGTCCAGTCTAGGAAAGCTATAGCTTGACGCACGTGTTTGTACAGTCTGTGCGTCCGAATAGTTCTGAGCCGATTTAAAGACGGTTATACATGTTGGCATCTTTCAAGGGCGTCCTTGGTTCGGCTCCGGTCATTGGGTCAGATCGGTAAGGCCACTATCGCTCCTTTCTCACGCCCGACGCTGCCAACACGTTCTTCATCCCAAGCCAGCATACTCATTGCCATGACTCGAGCTCTCTGAAGCACATTTCTATTTCTCGAACGGGGCAATCACACCATATACCCTCCTCCATGGTTGGACCATGTTGAGCCGTAGCCGTGGCATCTTGAACACTATTCGGCAAGCCCGGAGGCCTGTCGAGAGTAGCCGGACCGCACTTTGGCACGCATATTCCCGGATTTGATTGTTTTCAATCAACCATTTTGCCGAGTCTGACGCTGCGAAGAAGATTGATGAAGTCTTATGCGGACACATAAAGTATGGACGGCCGAACAGTGTTGTTGAATACTGGATCATTCACATTACTTCGAAATTGCAGTCCGCAGGACGATACTTTCTAGGAAGCCTATACTCCAGGTCAAAAATGTGGATGGCGAAGGTCCTCGTTGTTAGCTTTTCCTTTAATTGTGACGGGTCCTCGTCGTGAGCATATTCGGATGGGGGTTCTTTGCTCAACCTAAGCTATGGAACAATATGGCCGTCGCTTGTGTTGTCGCTTGTCTTGTGAGCGAGGCGTGCGTCGTCGAGTCATCTACCGGCTTTACTATAACGGCTCTGTGTCTGGAGCTGCCTGCCGCTGGTGCTGTCGTCGACATGCGCAGTCTAGGCTTGATTTCCAAGATTCTCTTTTCTAGCTTCAAGCAGAGGTAATCTTCTCATACTCTCATATCACGCCTACCTTAACATGCCCCACATGCGTTCCCTGCTTTGGTTAGTGCCACTCGCGGTGTCTTTACTAGCGTAAAGTGTATTCCGATCCCCGTTTTCACGAGGCTTGGCAATATAGGGATGAATATACAAGATGACAAGGCTGCAATCTACGCATAAGGGCAACCTTGACTGGACTTCGTCCGGTGCTCAGGCTACCGTGGACATGTTATACATATTATCCATTGCCACGACTATTTGATTGACACGCAATCTGTACTCCGCCCCTTGTGCGACATACCTAAAGATGCTGCGAGCGTGATCACCGTGGTGAGTCATGAGAAGGCACATTCCTGCGCACTGAAGCCACCCAATGTATTTGATGATCTTACCACAGCCGGGTACTATGGCACGGATTGCCACAGCAGAAAAGATGGGATTGCTCCCAGGTCACCCCAATCGGCAACCAGGCAGGTTGCAGGCTGTATAGCTCCAGGTTGCGTTTGAACCAGTGGCTACTCGTACTGTTCCCCGGTTGTTTGTCGAAACACCAGCTCGCCGCCAGGCTATACGGTAACAGTGTCTGCTTTCCTCAAATCCTCAAGGCAATGGCGTTCATCACCTCCAGAACGACAGAGAGCTTCAGCTCCTCGTAAAAAGCATGGGAGTGACTAATGGTGTAAAGACGAGAAACTCTCCACGAGTATTAGTTCTATTCCTACAGACTTCCAAATGACTACAATATTTGATTTCGTGCCTTTGCATGCATTGTGAGGAAGTGGCAGCTCCACTTCGAAAGCGTCGATGATTGCTCGTCGAAGCGATGGTTTTACCCGCTGATCTTGTCAAACAAATCGACGACATAAACTCAACTCACTTTGCACCTGGCCTTCATAGTGCTGCTGGGAACTTCGTATCAGTGCAGGACAGCAGTCATCTTCCAGCAACCGCGCTCCAGACTGCTGAGGTAGAAGGAAGAGTACATCACAGCAAAACCTGAGAAGAGCGTGAGGGCGAGTGTCGAAAGGTAGGTGTCAAGAAAGACCACGTCCGAGTATCCGGGTCCCGTCAGAAACCATGACGTGTACGAGGTAGAGCTTCATATTCAAAGACACAACCTCTTCTCGTAGGGCTTCTGGGATCCAAAACATCTTCTCTCAAGCGTTGTCATCTGCCATTACCTTCGTCTCTTCGACAGCGTTATATTCCGCGGGGGTGTGACAGTACCCTACCAGTCTGAGGTAGATATTTCAGTCGAAAGATTAGTGCCTGCTTTTCTGGTAGGTGTCGTCGGCGAGGCACGAGAAGATAGGACTGGATCCCGCCGCCTTGGCAAGTCCAGTCCTGGAGCAGAAGGTGAGCCGAGGGCAACTAAAGCAGCGAAGAAATCCGCCGCCCGGAGGAGCCACATCACACTTCGACAGCTATGTGTGACTAGCTCGACACTCGATGCTCCCGGCCACGCCAGCGTAACTCGAAACACTTTCTGTCTAGCCCGAGTTTTCTGTGGAGGTTGAGTGTTCCACACTCAAAGGTCTGGTGATGAAAATTGTCGACTCCCAGTGGACACGGCATTGCCATGGTTGCAAGCGGTGACGCGGCGAATATGGCTTCCCTTCGCGAGACTATCACACAACACGAAGCTGCCGGACACAACGCTGCCGCTGATGCAGGCTTTCTACCATATAACCCGCCACGGCAACTTACTGTCTATGATGTGGTGGCTGGAAGAGCTGGTCTGAATGGGTTTTTGACTCAAGAACAGAAGCAATCAGAAAATGTTTTGCCTATCGCGCCAGAGGAAGTCCTTCTGCGCAGATCCACCATCGCAGAGCATGTGATAAAAGAATCATACGATGCAGCAGGACACCTGTCTGATGCCGAAAAACTGCCAGAGTCTGAACTTCTGAAAGCAGTGCATTCATACGCCTCGGATTTCTACAGCCGCGCCGTGCCAGAGCAAGGAACGTTTGACTTTAGGAGCTTTGATGAGACGGCTCTGATAGCCTTCGGGATTCTACTTGAGGAAGCAGTCAAGTCGGCCTTAGGACGGGATGGGGATATGGTCTTCGTGGAGCCCGAGGGACTAGAGCATGGGCTCGACGAAACAAATTTGACCAGATACCAGGTCAAGGGTCGGGTCAAGCCAGCACAGACCTCCAAAATTGATTCTTCCGAAGACAGTCTCAATGAGGACGAATCGCCAGCCAAAAGACCGCGCCGTTGAAAAAGGAGCCATCGCCATCCATGAGCTTCATAGGTTTGAGTTTGGTCATGTGTCCGCCGGAGAGTAACAAACCATCTGGGATCAATTTTTTCAAAGACCGGTTCCGAAGGCAGAAACGGGTTAGATGGTGCTTGTGGAATGGCCTAGATCGACGATAATGCTTGAGGGGATGAAGCTTTTTTGCATCTAGCTCGTCGCAGTCGCAGCCAGGCCCGATAAGTTAGGGTTGCCTGCTTGAGCGAGACTGGCATCTTGCACAAGCTGTTTGGATGGAAAGGGTATGGGCTCTAGGTTGTGACCTGAGGCTATCAGTCAGGTTCTGGAAGGTGTAACAAACAGGAAGGTCCCTCGAAGGCAATTTTTCGGTCTTGAATCAACATGCTCGGCATATTTGGGGGCGTTCAGGTGGCTGGTGGATGATACCCCAGGTGTGAGCTACTGCAGGGTTTGAAGGGTTCCCTGGACAGGTTACCCTTTGTCAGGGTAGCTAGGCTGTGTGTGACGCCATCTTGCTTATTGGATAGCCGGTTGTGTCTTTGCATCGACGAGCTGGGTTTTCGGAGATGGGTGCGCTCCGAAAAGGTCCCTAAATGCGTGGTCCTGCCTAAACTATTAGGGCTCACTAGGCCCTTCCGGCCCTTAAAGCATTAGGTGGCCTGTGGGCTGTCCGTGGGTAGCCAGTAGTTGCCTTTCTCTCTAACCGGTGGGACGCCAACTCCACCACAAAGCCCCTCAATCCCTCCCCAGTCGCCAGTAGTGATTCTGTGTCCCTTCCTTCTCCCTAACATACCCCTGCCCCCTGCTCGCCGGTAAAAAAGCTTGATGCGCTGAACAGGGCTGGACACAGCCCCTCCAACACTTCCCCCCTGGAGCGTGGCCCGGATCAACACCCACCGCAGCTGCGATGTTCTCCCCCACCTCCACCGTCTTCTTTCTTGCTCACAAGTACGAGTGCTGAAAATATACGAGGGGTCACCAATGTCTGCGGGATTCTTGTCTAGTTGAGCACAGCCACCTTCCTGTTCCTCACTCTGCGACTCAAACACGAACAAAGGGGCAAAACTGAGTCAAGTTGAAGTGGGACAAGACCAGTGCGTTGCGAATATCTGATGACGACGACGATAAGCTGGGGACGAACAAAGTTGACCTGGAATCTGCCGGTTGATTGATTTGATGGTGCTGCGAACCACTACCACTCAATACTCGCAGCAATCTGCAGTCTGACATGCAACCCACACAGAGAAACTCAGTCCACAACACGAACTGCAATGCCAATAATGAGGCTCCTTACCACCCTTTCTAGGTCGAATTAGACCAGTCCAGCAGCAGCAGCCCAGCTGCAGACTGGAACGTCGCGCCCCCCGGTCGCCCTCCTCGCTCCGACCCCATCACGGCTCGACCAACAGCACCACCCTAATCCTCTTCCTGGTCCGCCCGACGCCCTCTGTTCCCCTTTCTCCCGCCGCCTCCCACTTCTTGTTGCGCGACTCGATCCCTTCTGTCATTTCCCTCTCGATCAGACCACAGGATCCTCGACCTGCCAAGCACCGAAGCTTGAATTCACAGACAAGCATCAATCCAACTACTCCATCTTCCCATCAACGTGGTACACTACACCGTTGACCGAAGCTTAGCCATTTACCTAAGTACTCGAAAACCCCATACACAGCAACTGCGCATGGTCAAGAGACACCCTTACACCATCACACCGCGCCCTCCCTCCCTCTCCATACAGATCCCCCGACCTACGGAGCCAAACCCGTGGCCGTGCCCGTCGAAAATCTCGAGATTTCCCTCCTACCTACCTTCAGGCCGAACGCGAGGTCGAGGATTCACACAAGAGTGCCTAGAGAGATACCTGCCTCGAGGCTTCGCTATGCGCCGCTGAGTCGGAAAATACACGACTTCGCCGGCTGCGGAACAGTCGGTGCAGCGGCCCCCGAGTCGTCGCGCAGGCACTGGCCTAATTGATGACGAAGCTGACTGTCGCGCCCCCAGTCGCAGCCCTCATTAGTAAATGCACATACTGAGCCACACTACCGGTACGAGACGATTTCGAGATTCTACCCCTCGGCTTCGAGAATATACCTCCCTTGCGCCGAAAATCCTGCCAACGATGCTCTGGTCGTTGTCGCTGTTATAGCAGTGAATGGCTCTGGTCCTGTCGGCGATGCCTCTCGAGTCGCCGCTCGCGAATCCAAACCCGCCAGTGGCCCGACCTCGCTCCATACTCTCCTACATATCCAACCCTTTGGGGAAGCATGCGCGGAACCTGTTTGAGATCGCCATTGAGCCCGAAGACCCCTTCCGCGTGTATTCGCAGGGTCAGGTTGTCAGGGGCAATGTGGTTCTCACCGTCTTGAAGGGATTCGATATTACGCACCTGGTTGTGGCTCTATATGGATATGCGAAAGTTTATAAGCACCAAATACCTCCCGGCGAAGGGCTTCCAGCGCCTGAGGGCCTGGTAAATGGCAAGGGTTCGAGAGGGGTTCAATATCATGGCAACGGTCTGACGTCGTTATTCCAGCATGAGCAGGTTCTTTGTGGGAATGGCTTTCTCAAGAAACAGGTCTACAAGTTCGCGTTTGAGATACCTTTTCCTTCGAGAGGCCTCCCCAGCACGATTGATGTACGTCGGTTGCTTCAAGATTCCCTTGCCGTGATACTAACGGTGTTGACAGTTCGAGCGAGGAACGATCTCCTATTTGATTACTGCCACTCTCACCCGCCCAACAACAATAAGCCCGGTGACCAGTCGAAGCACCAAAATTAAATTCCAAGACGCGGTCGATATCGAGAATATGTACACACCGAAGTCGCGAGTAATCACCTTGGAGCCTGTCTCCAAGCGCGGCAAGGTGAAAGTCGTCAAACCAGCGTCGTCCTTGACCACCCAGACGACATCAAGTCCCGGTGCTGGTCGCCTCAGCCGCAATAATACGCAAAACAGCACCACCAGCCGAAGCACTCATTCTATAAGCAACCCCCCGCTGAGCCCCGCGCTGAGCGAAGATACAGTACAGACCAACGCTACGCCGGCCAGTAGCCCCAGCTTCCAGATCGCCGACGACGTATCACCTCCGCAAAATCCAAGTCCGCAGAATAGTGATGCACGAAGTAATACGACGTCTTCTTCTGCCAATACCATTACCGCCACCGCCGAGCTGCCCCGGCACGGCGCATTACCAGGAGATACCATCCCAATCCGGGTGTCGATATCACACACCAAGGCAGATGTGCGAGGGATGGTGATTGCGACGTTATACCGGCAGTGCAGAATTGACATGCACCCTCCGCTACCCCTCCCGAATAGGTCCGGAAAGGACAAGAAGATGGAATACGAAGACGTATATCCGAAGTCCCGGACCGGTCTTGGAGGATTGTACTTTTCAGCTGCTTCACCCAACAGTGTTTTCCGAAAGGACCTGGCCCAAACGTCCACCATGATGATCGTCAACCCGACAACAATGACTGCGGACATAACGACCTCAATCAAAGTTCCCGATAATGCGTTTCCAACCATCACGAATGTCCCGGGCGATATGATTTCCTTCACTTACCACGTCGAAGTGGTGGTCGATCTATTTGGAAAGCTCGGCGAGACTCGCTTGTGGCCACGACTCACTTCCAGCGAGCCGACATTTTCTCAGAGTTCTGATCCTGGTAATCAAATCACTTCAGAATGGGCTCTCCATATATTGGACACAGCCCCACTACGCCGGACCAAAAGTGTCGTCGCGTTCGAAATGTCGCTTGTGGTTGGAACCCAGGACAGCAGTCGGAAAAGGAGACAGAACAAGCAAGCGGAGCATCAACATCCTGGAGAAACGACTCAAGAAGCGGATCAAGGCTGGCAGGACTGGCAATATTATAATGAGGCCTACGACGGACAGTATTATGACGAAGCGGGGTATCCTTATTACGATGGTTATGGATATGACTATGGTTATGATCAGAACTCCCAACCAAACTATCCTACTCCAGCACCCGAGATGATACCTCCCCCTGCGCCGGAAGAAGTGGTGGATGAGAAAACACGGTTACGGAGACAAGAACAACTGTTGTTCCCAAGCGCACCCCCGCAGGAAGGGGAAAGCTCCAATAACCCTGTGCCGTATGCACCAACTGCCCCGGATTTGTCATCTGCTCCTTCACCGCATACGATTGAGGACCAGAACGACGGCAGTATGACACCCTCCACACTGCACGCTGCTAGTTCAGTCGCCTCAGCAAGGTCTGGGGACACCATCCGACCCTACTCAACATCTCCACCTCCCCCCGGTCCTTCCTCGAGTAATGGGGGACATGCCGATGACAAGCAGGAGTTGGAACGACGTCGACTTCTAGCACAGACGAGTGAGCCGCCATTGGAGCATGAGTCGCACACTCTAGAAACCGCCGGCCCCTTTCTAACACCTACGGCGCCCCTGATGGACGACGAGTACAATGTACAAATACTGAATCATGATCCAAGAGGCCCCGATTTACCGCAATACGAGCGTTGATTCTGGGCTCGCTCTTTCTTGAATGACTTTTTGGATGGTTTCATTGGTCAAAGCGACGGCGTTGGAGGATGATTTGGGTTGAGATTTGAGTGTGGATATGACATAAGGGAAAGAATGCCTTGTCACCTGATCTCGAGCATTTGAAAAGGATGATCTGCATGAAAAACAATTATACGGGAGGGATTTTGTTGTGGCTCTTTTGGCTGAACAGTAGCCCGTCATGTCTTTGCAAGTGAGCGCCGTCCACGGGACATCAGCCAAGTAGAAAAGATCGACAGCTCGATCGATTGAAAAGACCTGTCATTATCCAGATTCCCCTGTCCGTAGGTCTAACAAGCGCAGGTCTACAAGGACTTCATGTTCGTGCCATTGGAGTTCAGCCTTCGTCGTCTCATCAAGGGCTGTGTATCACTCTAACGGAGGATGATAGGCGGCCAGCATTGGGCAGCGATCCTCCCCCTTGAGTGTTGATATCCGCCCCCTCATTGAGCAACATCTGCACCAACTTCTCATCGCCATGCATCGATGCAACTTGTAGGGCATTACTATGGTATCCTCCTCGAGCGTTGACATCCGCTCCCCTATCTAGCAGCATCTGCACTACCTTCTCATGACCCTCGGATGATGTGGCTTGGATGTTTCCCAGCCCGCTACCTGCGCTTCCTTATTGTGTCCGAGTTTCGGTGTCTTCCTGATTTGTTCGTTGGCAGCGTTGGTAGGGAGGTATCCCAGGAGGGTGTTACTGTGGGATGATAACCAGAGCAGCATTCAAGACTTGTGGCTATTAACCATGTCAAATAGGCAAATCTCTCAATGTCGGACGCCCAAGAACTTCACTAGCCGATACAAGCCCTGCAAATCGCCTCCAATGGTCTCTGCTCGATCCTCATCAACCCAACCATCAGTCGAGCTGCCGCCGAAATCGACAAGCCACGCACAGGCTGCTTCGTCGATCAGAACATTTTCCCGTTTCACATCTCCCCAGACAATACCACTTTGATGCAGTTGCGTGATAGATTGCTCGATCTGACGTTTCCACTTTCGACGTTGGGCCGAGGAAACACCATCGACGTCGAACTCATGTAGATTCATGCCGTCGACGAATTCTTCAAGCATTCCGATGACTTGACCTGCCGATGTCCGGAGACCAGGAAACCGCGGAATATGGGGTCGATGGGGGTGATCTGGCTCCCATTTCTCGGATATTTGCTGAAGGGATGTTTATCTCTCGTTTGAGCTGGTCTTCGTTACCGCGAGTTGCTGCTTTGAAGACACGAACTTCACCATGTTTGGTGACCTTGAGGACCTTCCCCATAAATACTGCAGATCCTGGATGAACTCGATGTCAGCCGAAGGATTAGTGGAGGCTGGGAAAGATCGGGGCACCGAGTCCAGTGCCAAGCGAACAGGTTCGTACATGCCAGCGACTTCGGAGATGTCGTCTATTTCGACGGCGTGAAGCCTTCCTTGTACGGTGCGGAGTTGCAGACAGAAAGTCGTTGGGTGCAGAAAGTCCTCCAGGGACTGTTGCTTGCCGTTCGGGTTCGAGGTTGATGCGGCAAGCGCATACATCGTATGCTTGCAGGCCGAGGTCGCGATTTCTCTAACGTCCTCCAGGCATCGGTCAAACATCCTTTCATCGGGATCATTCTCGGCTTCCTCGATCCTCTCAAAAAAGTCTGACACAACATCGCCATCTTCTCGGGTCTCGGGCTTCGTCACGACGAGGATAAATCGATGGTGATCATAACAAAGGACTATTCGATAATCGTCTGGTCCGGTAAAAGACCTCGCCTGCTTCAAATCCATCGGGTTCGACTTCTACAAGGCCCTTATCTGGGGACTGAAGAAGACTCGCTGCGAAACTGCATCAAACTGTGTCAAACAGGGTTAGTAAAAATACATCAAATCTATTCTCAGGCGTAAGAGTAAACGTATTGGTACCCGTGATTCTGTTAATGTACCGAATGTTCGTGGACCCCACGGCGCTAAATAAAGTCCGCTAAGATACTAGCGTCTAGCAATTTGTATAGAAAGCATAATTAGTCGCCAGCGCTAGAAGCCGCTAAAAGCACCTTATTTCTTTCACACAAGCGAGATGACTATATTACGCTACACGAATATGGCGACGACGAGTAAACTCGACTATCTCTGGCCTCTGTATCTTGCTCCCACGGCGCGAGGCGATGGCACAGGAGGATCGCGATAGAGAGGTGGCGCAAGAACAGGAGGAACAAATGGCTCAGAATGTGGCGGCGGAGGATTTGATAGCTTCAGTGATAGAATAGGATTCTCTTGAGCAGCCATTTACTATAAGGGCTACAGCCAATCCTACTGATAGTCTAAGTCTATCTACGTCGCAACTAGATTATCTGCCACAAATGCCGACTTAGCTGCCAGCTAGTGGCGGGGGGTGTTTGGCCGGTTGGAAGAGATTGCGAAACAATGGTCTTTGAGGACTATAGAAACGTCTGCGCCGGCGATCTGTAACGGGGGAGCTTAAGAGTGAGGATTACACCTTTCGCCAGTCACTTCGTGTCCTACGCGACTGTTCGATTCAGCAATCTCATTAATGACTAATGACTAAGTCGCTGCCTTCACTGCTACCTTTCCTAGACGCTCCACCACTGACTTCATAAATGGTCCTGTACCCCAATTGCCCACATTATTGAGCTTGACCACGAAGTCCTCCCCTCGCTCTAGCACCAATGCATTATAGCTGTCCAAAAGCTTCGATTCGAACTTGCGCACACCGTCGTCATAGACGGTCCAGTGATACCAGAGCTCATGGATGGGGCCTTGGGTGGTGATGGAGAAGAAGAGCGGCGGATCGGTCTTCGAGGATGTGGGCGGGGCACCAGATCTTATTGTTCCGCTGTTGACCAGGCTATCCAGATCAAGCTGTATCTTGAGCGCGCAAGCCCCGGAAACCGCAGCTTGGTTCTCTGCTTCGAAGATTTGTTTACCGGTCGAGTAAGCCTTGCCCTCAACAACGGCAAACGGGAAGGCGAGATCTAAAGCGTGTGGAGCCGGTACTAAGAGCAGCATTGGTTCAAGCGGCCCCTCTGGCTCGTGCTGCACCATTTCATTCTGGAGCCAGTCGATGAATGCCGTGGCCTTGGCCTTGTTGAGGTTTTGCGCCGAGAGCGCCGAGACGAGAGCCGTGAGATCTGTGCCTATTGAGAGGTCTGGGCGGGGATTTTTGATCGGGTAGCGATGTCCGTCTTTCTTCGGAACAGATGGGGCTGGGGAGGGTGAATTGTTGGCTGACGGAGTGGCGTGTGCGTTGGTCTGAAAGGATTCGGGAGACATATACTCGCCAGCGGACTGCTGCTGGCGCTTTCGCGGCCGAGCTGAGATACCGTCAACCTCTAGTTGCTGGACACCGGCCATGAAGCTCGAACTAAAATGCAACTGCTGCTGGACTGTTGGCTTAAGCTCCTCTCGCCACTCGGCCTTTTCATGGAGACAGAGGTTCTTGAGACCCAGAGCCTTAAGGGCAGTATAGAGTGGATTTATAAAGTCATTCTCGCCAGACTGAGCCCTGACATTTTTGAGGCAGTCATCACTGAGTTCTTGGGCTACGACGCGGAGTTCAGCTCTGCGCTGCTTGGAGATTTTGGCGTTGACAATGCGGTGGGCCGCGGCTTCGATGTAGTCAGGCGGCTCTGCGTGGATGTGAATCTGGACAGCTTCAAGATGTTTGTGGCGGTAGAAGGCGTTGGTGTTATAAGAGCGCTGGGATCGGAATGTGTCCGCTTCCGATTGGACTATGGAGCGCCCTGACGAGGTCCGTTTGAGAACTGGAGCATTGTCGGCTGCGGGGTTCATTTCCCCGTTGAATATTCGCAAGTTGTTCTCAGAGAGCTGGTCCTTTGAGGGGGGAAGTCTTGGAGACTGTATTGAAGCCTGTACGCCTTCTCGCTTACCAGCTTCCGCGCCAGGTTCAGAGCCTTTTTGCAAGTCCTGGTCAGAGTGCTCGAGGCGGGGAGGAGTACTTCTCCTCAGCTGTTTTGCGAGGTGCTCGTGTCGGGACTCGTCTACTTCGAGAGAGAGCAACTGACGGCTTTCCTGTATTCTTCGGCTCTTTCTCCGGTGAGCAGTGGCGTTTTCTTCCTCGCCCTGGTCTCGGGCTGGATAATGCCGTTTACCTGCGGCCATTCGGTTGGGTTGAATTCCAGATGATGGAAGGTGTTTCCTACGACTTGAACGATCAAGCTTGACCTGCTGGCGGCCGGCTTTGTCGTGATATTTTTGCGCTCCGCCTGTGTCCTGTTTTGCAACACTGGGTGCCATATCCATTGGTATGAATGGAATGGAGGACAAGTCCATCATGTATAGCACAGGCAGAAAACTGAAACTGAATAAGCGTGGTCACAGGCTGCTCTTGGAAGCTGCGAAGAACCAACGATCCGCTTTCAGCCGCCGAGACGCGACACGTTGAAACTCACGATCACCTATTAAAAGCTTGGCGGCCAGGAAGCAGCCAATCATGAATTGATCGCCACACACTCGCCCTGTCAGCCAGGCAGAGCCACGTTCAGATCTAACAAGTGGTAGGCAAAGGACCTTTTGTAGCGCCACTTGCCATGGCTGGCATCAGATGATGGAGCAATACGGACAGTCTCAAGCGCCCTCACGATCTGGAGAGATACGCGACGTGGGACCTCCTCATTGGCGGGAGCAACGGACATGAAGGGCAGGTTCTGTGAGACAGCCTAGTTATGAACACCTTTGTGGCAGTGATGCAACGCCGACAGCTCTGCTACAAGTGACCACAAACTGGTGATTCCCCAGCAAGAGGCGGAAGAGATCATGGACTATTGCTTCAATTGCGAGTGTGGTTTTTCCCAGTGAGATGGCCTTACGCCAACAACACCTCGGCGATTCGCCAGCTCAAGCTCCAGGCTTCAATTGTGACGATTGCGACCGGAGCTTTGGGAGCGAAGAAGACCTCCAACAACACCGGTCATATTCTAAAGTTCACAGTCAACAGTGGGTCAACAGCCTTTATATCATCCTATCGCAGTCCAAAATTTCCTTCTCTGCGTGCCAACCTCGAGGCATGCCTAGTTAATAAGCAGCCAAGGCCCGCCGGTCTCCTGTCCAGCGCCATCCGCCACCGTCGTCACCGTGCAAAGACAATACAGTCGTCTTGGAGTGGCACGATGGTGAGGCAAGCGTTGAGCTCCCATGCTGGGCCACAAATGCGGTGGCATGTCCTTATCAGAAGACCTTCTTGGCATACGTCTGGGCATTCGCCCGGTCAATCCTATCCAAGAACCTTCTTTCGGCGATCGACAGCGAGATAGAGGATCTCTACGGTTCTGGCAATAGAACAACAGCGAGTTTTGCTGGCATCTATCGATCGCTACATCCCCGACAGGAGCAGGCAGATGTCATAGCTCGCGAAACAGCCAATCTGCGTGTGTTACCCCGGCCGTCTATTCGGACGGTGGGCGCAGGGGTGACGGTCCGCTGTCGGGCTCGGCGTTGATTGGTTCAACCTGCTTCAACGACATTCCCTTATCTCGAATCGCAGAGCAGCCACACCTCTGAATAGGCGATTCCAAGCACGCCTTGCGTGGTGGTCGGTGCGCCACCGCGGCCAGAGCGCGAGCTTTACGGGCCTGCGAGCTCGAATGATGCAGCATCCCCGCCTTTTTCTCTGCAGTGCGCAGCCTTGGCTGGTGCCCGTCTCGCATCACGCAACCCTGTCATCGCGTGGCATGGCAGCAGACAAGTGGACGACGGTGTCGTACAGACAAGCGATCAAGATAAGCATCCAATGAATCAACAAGCTTGCTTGGGTCGGCTTGACCTTCTTGACTCTGCAAACCCCCCGGCCCTCGCAGAGATAAAGCTGGGAATCTCTTCCGCCCTCTACCGTTTGTTGACAGGAACTCTCAATCACCCACATTCACATCGCTCGTTATGGCCAGCAACACCTACTCAGAGAAGATTCCAGGGGAGACAAAAGCGCCGCCCAAGGTCGCCCACGACTCCGACGACGGCGTCTTTCATGGTGCCAAAGATGGCCACCATGATGTCGAAGAGGGAACTCATCACCAAGCGAAGCTCAGCCGTGGCTTGCAGGGTCGACATATGCAGATGATTGCAATCGGTGGGTTGCTTTGTTTCTTGAGTCTCTTCCGTCGGTGCTGATAGTTGATCACGTAGGAGGGTCCATTGGTGCTGGTCTCTTCGTCGGCTCCGGCTCTGCGTTGCAATCTGGTGGTCCAGCGTCCTTGGTTATCGGATTCATCATCATCGGTATCATGTTGCTTTGCACGGTGCAAGCTCTCGGTGAACTAGCGGTCTTGTACCCGGTCAATGGAGCCTTTTACGTGTACGGGGTGCGATTTATCGACCCTGCCTGGGTTCGTGACCTCTTTGATGTCCGTCTCACGATATTCTGCTGACTTCCTGTGGACAGGGTTTTGCGATGGGATGGCAATACGTAAGCATCCTCGAGACTCTGTGCTAATGTTTGAATATCTTCCGGCTAATCGATGGACAGGCTATTGGCTGGCTGGTCACGCTACCGTTCGAGATCACTGCTGCAGGCATCACCATCGACTACTGGCACCATTATAACATTGGCATTTGGATCGCCGTGTTTCTCACCACCCTGATCATCGTGCAATTCTTTGGTGTCAAGGGTTACGGAGAAGGTAAGGAGGGTGTGCGACCGGGTGAGAATGCACGGCTGACAAGAGACCAGTCGAATTTGTGCTTGGTGTCATCAAGATCATCGCTGTTCTCGGCTTCATCATCTTCGGCATCATCGTTGACTGCGGCGGTGTCCCGAGCGACGACCGCGGATACATCGGCTTCAGATATTGGAATGACGCCGAGCATGGCAACAAGGCTTTCCGCCACGGTAAGAAGAGTTTTGTTGGGGTTTATTATTCCACCATGATATTGATATCGTGTACAGGTTTCAAGGGTTTCTGCTCTGTCTTCGTCACTGCCGCCTTTGCCTTTGGAGGGACCGAACTTGTTGGTCTGGCGGCCGCCGAGGCTGCCAATCCCAGGAAATCCCTCCCCAAGGCCACCAAACAGGTCTTCTGGCGCATTGCCGGCTTCTACGTGGTCTCGCTGCTCATCATGGGAATCATCGTGCCCAATAGCTCTCCTGACCTCCTCAACTCGTCCGGTGCCAACACCAAAGCCTCCCCCTTCGTGCTTGCCATCAAGTACGCGGGCGTCAAGGGCCTGCCGTCGGTGTTCAACGCCGTCATCACCATCTCCGTCATGTCGGTCGCCAACTCGTGCACGTACGGCTCCACCCGCACCATGCAGGCCCTGGCTCAGGGCGGCATGGCGCCCAAGTTCCTGGCGTGGATCGACAAGAAAGGCCGTCCCGTGTGGCCGGTTGTCATCCAGATGGCATTTGGCTTGCTGGCGTTCATCAACGAGGCGGCCACCGGCGCGACGGTGTTCAACTGGCTGCTCGCGCTCACGGGCTTGTCGTCGTTCTTCGTGTGGGGCTCCATCTGCTACAGCCACATCCGGTTCCGCGCGGGCTGGAAGGCGGCCGGCCGCTCGCTGGACGACCTGCCGTTCCGGTCGCAGCTGGGCGTCTACGGGTCGTGGGTCGGGGTGTTTCTGGTGGTGCTGTGCATGGCCGCGACCTTCTACGTCGACCTGTTCCCACTCGGCGGCGACCCGGACCCCGAGGTGTTCTTCGAGGGCTACATCGCCCTCCCGATCGCCCTGGCGCTGTTCGCTTTCTGGAAGCTGTGGACCCGCGACTGGGGCCTCATGGTGAAAGTGCGCGACATGGACCTCGATTCTGGAAGGAGGGAGTTTGAGGACATCCCTGGCGACGATGACGAGCCGGAGAGGAAGATGAGCGTGGGTCGGAGGTTGAGCCGGGCGGTCTTCTAATCGTGGTCATCCTCGTACTGGCATGGCAGTATCGTGAGAATGCTGGGGGGAGAGACAGGAGGGATAATAATAGTCCCAACACCTCTGTTCTGTTCGTCCAGGTCCAGATCCAGATCCAGATATAATAGATATTCCATCCAGGGGCCCCACACAATTTACCAGCCGAATCGTCAAGTTTGTCACTCATGATGGGTGATGAATGTGGGTTGCATACACATGTATATCCTAGTTTCTTTCTTAGTTTCGCCTTTCTTTTCTTTTCGTCTCGTCTCTCCTCTCATTTCGTTGCCTGCTCGCTCCTCAGTGCGGCGCCCGCCGAACCGCCTGGCTGTACTCCCAGAACAGCCACGCCGCGTGCGCGATGCCGCAGCACAGCTGCTCGGGGATGACGCAGCCCTTTCGGAGGCTGCGGCGGAGGAGGGTGCGCATTTCTGGGTGAGGGCAGGGAGGAGGAGAGAAGTGGTTGTGGTTGTCGCCTTGGGAGCTTGGTCGGTATTATCGGTGTTGAGTGGTGTTAGTGGTGGTGGGTGTAGGTCAACCCAGGAAAAGAAAGATATAACGTATACGTATGTGTATATGTATATGTAGGTGGGTATATATGTGGATAAAATATATGAGATATAAGAATCTCGTTCGTTCGTGAATGTCTTTCCGGACTCAGGCTTTGTCTGCCACGTTGTTGCAAGTTGCTCAATTCCTTGGTATCCATTTTATCTTGCTTGAACCCTCTAATACGATGTGTGTAGCTCCCACTGATGAATGTGAGTTGAGGGTGTTCAGCCACACTCGTCCTACGCAATCCCCGTGTGGCCCTCGCGCGAGTCAGTTGGTGTCATTGGTCCGTTGTGCGTAGTATGGGCTGACAGCCGGGGAGTTTCCTCGTGTGTGGTTGTGTGTGTATGTCTGCGTGTGTCTGTGCCACATCTCAGCACGCGCCACATCTTGGAATTCTCGTTCACTCTCGTTCCTATTCGCTCACTTGAACGAAAACGTTCTCCCGAGCTGGGAATCTTGATGCGGTGATCTTCCGCCGTTCCCCCTCGGGTTCCCTCGCTTCGCTTGGTTGTCATTGGGTTACGCAGCACTGGCGACGCCACGCAATACAACGGGTCCTTCCTCGGAAGTCCATTGGGCACCACGACTTCTGTGGCTGGCTAGTGGGAGAAGAAGGAGGAACGGTGGAGAACGTGAGTGGCTGTGCACCGCCATGATTTTTCGAACTTGGGGCTTGGATTTCCCACCTTCCGTCTTGCGTGTCAGGACCTGCAGTAGTAGTACTAGTACTCGCCAGTCACTGATTGAGTTTATCGCCGGCGATGAAACGTAGACGAGAGCGACCTGGCCGTGCCACCCCGAGCTGGATATCGCACAGAGCCGAACGGGAGACACCGGTACGCGTGTTCCGCGACCTACATACAGTAAACACGGACTCAGCAGAGTTACAGTGAGAACGGGCCGGTCACGCGTGGACTTTTGGCCTTTTTGGTCTGGCTGACTGCCGCGGTGTTAGCCCAAGGGGGTTTTCCCCCCTTGCTCCCATACATTCTATTGATATCAGCCTCATGTTTCAATCAGATGCAGTAGTCCAACTTCCTGACATACCTCCGGAAATCCCTCTCTGGAGTGCTGCTAAGCGCTGTCCAAGAGGATCATCAAATAGCCTGATCGATACAGAGTGAGAGTGTGCACGCAGGACCAAAGTGCCTGCTTCGTGGTGGGTGTCTGCGTGATTTGGAACACTGCATCCAGGTTTCCAAATCCCGAATCTCGATGAAGGCGAGGTATATATATAGATCCGGTGGGCGTAAGGCGTCTGTTGGCAATTAGTTCCCATGCCCGAGTCGTCGCTGTTAAACCACTTCTCGTCTACCACCTGCGCCGTGAAGAACTCAAGGTGTAGTAGGTTCTTAATGAAGGACAGAAATGTATTGGTTGCATTTGACTCGAAATGCTTGGGCGCTAAAGTGATCCATCCCAGGGCTATCTGGAGCGGGCATTGGTAAATCGGTCTCGACCCTTCAGTCCGGCTTGAAACACCCATTTGTGCCCCTGCCGTGTCCACCACTCTATTGTCTGAGCGCTGAATCAAATCTTTGACCTGTAAGACCTTCTAACCCGGATTGGCCTTCCACGTAATTGCTTCCTCAACTGAAAGTGTATGATGAGAATCAAAGCCCACAAATCAAAGCACACAAAAGCTGGGTGCTGGTTAAAGGAAATGCTCGGTCTGCTTGTCAGAGGCGTGCTGCAAGTCAGACGTCAAAGAGCTGCTTGAGCTGGGCCATCGTGTCCTCTGGGCCCTTGACGGCGTGGCCAATGGTTCGAGGGTCGCTGTAGATTTCCCAGTCATTACCCCCTTTGAAGGCCTTGTCTCCGAAGAAATGGATGTTCTTGTAGTGGATACCAGACTTGCTGGGGTCGGCTTCGGCTTCGACATGCTGCAAGCAATAGGTCTTGTCCCAACCGGTGGGAAAGACATCGAAGGAGATCTGACCGCCGATCGAGTACCTACAGTCCGTGTCAGCTTCACGTCAACGAGCACGGTCTCCAGAAGCGTCCGTACGTCAGTCCCAAATCAGGGAATTCCTTCTGAATGGCTTCGATCATTTGAGGCCGGCAATTGTTCTTCTTGTCCCAAGCCTCAAACTCGTCTCGTTCGGCCTTGCTGGCATTACGACCAACGGGGCTGACATTGATCATGCCGTTGCGGAATTCGATGAAGGTACCACGCATGCGTGGAAGACCCTCAAGTTCAGAGAGATATCTCAGACAGAATTTGGCCAGCTTTTGGTATTTCTCTTCTCCGAGCCACTGGATGAAGGAGTGGGAGGCCATGGGCTGGCCCAAGCGGTAGGCTGTGAGACCATTCTCGGCGAAGCAGAAGTCAAAGAGGGTGGTGACGGGAAGAGACGGGGTGCCCAACTGCTCCTGTTGTTTGGCAAGATCTGAACCTCCGACCTAGACGAGGGTCAGTTCCATTGGCATTCCACTCCCTTTCGCCATGGGCTCACTTACGAAGCCAATTGCGCACTTGTGCCTCAGGTTGGACAAGGTCTGCAGCATCTCAGCAGAAACGGACTGTCTCGCGGGCGTGAGAGTGCCATCAACGTCGAAAAGACAGATGGTCTCCTTGATAGGACGGTCCTTGAGGTCGGGGTACAGTTCAGCCATGGTTGCGGCGGTGAAGAGTCAATGGAAAGATGAGGAGGGGCAGAGAGTAGTTGAGGTCGAGATTAGCAGGTCTTTATATGTCGTAGCAAGCAGCAACGGGAAGAGACCAAGTTGTCAAAGGGCAAGCGAAGAGGACAGCTTCACCTTTGGAGAATTAGTTAGAGGACACTTTGACCGTAACTTCCGTTCACTTTTTTTTGATTGACAGCTACTACGCCGCAACCGCGAGATGGCGCAGGGGACACGCCGCCTTTCAACGGAACGCGACTCGGGCTGCATGCCCCGCATTGGCACCGGCTGCGCCCGCAGTTGACCAGTGATAAGGACACTTGTCCCGGGTGCCCTTGTCCCTCTTCGGGCATCGAGCCGCTTAACTAACGCGGTCGATGAGTAAGTAGCGACAAGCATCATCATCATCATCTCTCATCCATCCTTCACCTCCGACACATTCTTTCCACTTGCTGCTTCTGGATCTTCCCCTGGCTCTGTGACACGCGGCTTCAGCCTCCATCCACCGCTCCAACCAATCCACCCTGTCTCATGTGGTCCTCTGAGCAGAGCAATAACATAGCTGAACCCAATGACCCCAATGCTGAGACCACCACTTGCAAGCCAACCCCCATGCTTCTCATACATGAGGTTTCCCGCCTTGGTCCCACTCAACTGGCCCAGGTAGAGGACACTCACAAACGCCGTATTGATTCTGTTTCCTCCCCTCGGTTCGCATGGGTGGATGGCCATCCTGTTTGAGATTTGCACAATCATCAGTCCTGCGTCGAGCAACAAAGCCTGGACGATCGGGCCTGCGACATGGTGTCTGCCCGCAAACGTCCCGACTACGATTCCAATCAAGCTCACACATTTTCCGACGATTACAGAAAAGAGAGGCTGTCCGAGGGGCTTGACGATGAATGTGCTGTAGAGTGGGCCCAAGATCATGGTTGCGGCGCCGACCAAGCCAAAGAGGCCGATGATGGTGGTGCTATAGCGGTAGGGGGCTTCGCTCAATAAGAAGGTGAGAGTGGTCCAGAACGATGACACGCAGAAAAAGGTGCAGTATGAGAGGAGTGCTGCCTGTACCAGAACCGCGTGCTTCCAATACATGGCCAGGATTGTCCACAGGATTTTCGGGTAAGTTTTCAAGATTTTCTTCACAGAAGTCGGATTGATGGCAGGATAATCGGGCATGAACAGCCACAGCACGAAAAGCACGCTGGACTGCAAACCCAGGGCCAGCCAGTACACATTCCGCCAGGACGTATAGTTTGCGACGATCCCTGACAAAATACGTGCCAGCAGAATGGCAAGGGTCGGGCCAGCGGACACAATAGAGATGTTGAATGCTCTTTTCTCCGGGTGGGACAGCTCAGCCACCAGGGGGAGCATGATTTGTGTGGTACCTGTGAAGAGAGCGGAAAGATAAGTGAGTACCAGGAAGACAGTCAGATCCGTGGTCACGCAGAGACCAATCCTGCATACAAGTCAGCCACTTCTCAGAGCATGAGTGCCAACCGGCCAACCTACCAAAATGCCATCGATAAGGCCAACAAGGTAATGGTGAAGGTCCGCCGTGGGAGGAAGTCCGCCAGCGGAAGAATCAAAAGGAGGCCGGTGGCATCTCCTGCTTGTGCCAACGCAGGTATGCTCGCCACTCCCGCCTGCGACGTATTGAAGTCCTTGGCCAGAATATGTAAGATCGGATAGCTGTAATAGAGGTTGGCTGAGGTGAAGCCCGCCGCGCAGGCGTACAAAATGTTCAGTCTCATGGTCAACGCTGGCGGGTTGTCGATGTCCCAGCAACACCATGATGGAATCCAAGAGCGAGGCTTGGGGACTCCCATATTGGCGAGAGATCGCGTCTCGACAAGGTTTGGCCAACACCAGCTTGCTGCCCACCCTTGTGATCTTCTCTTTATTCAAGGACAGAGAGCTATGGTAGCTTTTGCCTCGTTCTGATTATAAGGCTCTTCAACATTGTCGAAACACCTCACCGACCGCATTTTGGCTATATAGCTAACTTTGGGTCAACGTCGGCGCCACCCAAACTCGGAGTTTGGCTTTCTCCGGCGATCATTGTATTTTCCTTGGCTGTCACGGTCCTAAGCAAATGCACAAGCTGTCAATTTGCGCTTAGATCAAAGCGTGAATGATCAATACCCGACGGGGACGACGTTCTACCATATAAACCCTGTGCCAGCGAGATGCCGGCTGGCCGGACTTTCGGGCGGACTTATTATGTCGTTACGACACGGCCTCTGATTGATCCGGGGTTTGCATGTAAGGCTGCGTCAGTCCATCACCGTCGGACTTGGATGGCGACGACAACTGAATCAAGCTCCAATTTTCCAGTGAAGGATGCTTTGATTTATGAGAGACATGTTCGACTGTCTAGCTTGTCCAGCGCGCAACACCCATCTGACCCTGGTACTTGTTCTGCTCACAGCAACCCGGCGGCTGGACAAATCAGGTACCTTCGCTGTGAGATCAGCGGGTCAGAAGCAGCCTTAAGCAGTCTTCTGATGGGCTAGCGAAGGTTTATGCTGTTCAAGCATTCAGAACCACTCCTGGCTTGTGACCATTAGCAACGTCATGCCTCCCCGCGACAGTCATGCCGAATTCTGGATGAGGGTTCGAAGAGATCACCAAAGACCGGTTGAGGGGCCCGCAAGTGTCGTTTTTCCAAGAACACAGTTCTATCTCGATTACTGCCGGACGCGCGGGACGCACCTGGAGAGGACGGCTTCCTCCTCTGAAGAGCCTCCAGGGCTGCCGCACCCGCCTCTTCGGGGGACAAAATGTCGGGTTTCCACAATAGGAGTCTCAGGTGACCCCCCAAACGGCTTCATTGTCAAAAGGAAAGTTCTCGGAAATCTGCATAGCAAAGTTGTCCCAGCCGAACATACCAAAGTCGAAGCCGCCGCCATGTTCCAGCGGCCACTGGCTGTAATCGGCCATCTGTAGCGGCCCATTCAAGTCAAATTCAGCCGCTGAAAAATTACCTCCTCCTGTTACACTCCCGTTAGGTGTGGCATGGTCTGGAGCGCCTGTGCCGCGGTCGTTGGAGAGCGGCGTTCGTGGGGATGAGTTCGACTGCGATCCGCCGGCACTCGGACTGATATCCAAAGTCAGGATCTGGTCTACATATTTGTTCTTGTGGCGGCGCTTTTCGCGCGAAAGGTGCTGGCGATGTCGCTGGATGACGTCGGCGAAGCCGGTGAGGATTTCGTAGTAGTGCTCTGCCTGGGGGCTGTGGATGGACAGATTCCCGAGGACCTCGCGGGCATTGCTGAACGCATCGTCCATGTCGAAACGTGATTCGCCCTGCACGAACATGGAAAACCCTAACACCAGGCCGGCGGCGAAGATCCAGGCCCTTGGAGGTCAGCACACATCAATCCGAGAGCGCGTTCTTGCGTTCTTGGCTCCTTACTTCATTAAACACATCTGCTTGAGCAGAATGCCAGATTGGACGGCCTCGTGGCACATATTGGCCATTAGAATCGCTGAATCAATGCAGGCCTGGGCCACATCAACCACATCCGCCTGCATTTGGGATGTTGTCGTCGCCACGGAGCCGTCACTTGCATTTCCGGTCAATTGATGCATCAGATGCGAGATTAGAAACGGCCGGGTCACGAGCATCACGGCAAAGTAATAAACACATGAGACGTGAATATTTCCAATCATATGTTCCCGCTCTGGCAGCGTCAAAGGCTGGTCGACCGGTTTCTTGAATTGTCGCATGTCATCTGGGAGGCTCAGGCTCCACTCTTGAAGCAGTTTGAGGAATGCTTCGGCGGTGCTGAGACCAATAGAACCGTCACTGTCAAGGCTTCGTGTGATATCTGCGATGATCGTACAGACCCGGAAGCTTGCGTTCAATGTGAGTTCGCGAGGACTGCTTGTGTAGATGTCTGCACTGTTCAGTGTGATGTGGTCGGTTCTGATTGCTCCAGTTGAATAAGGTCTCCCAAGGATTGAGCAGTACATCACATCGAGGACTCGAAGGCTTTTCAGCGTGCGAAGTCTGTTTGAAATTAGTAAGACGAAGGATGGACAAAAAGGCTCGGGAGGATGGTGACTTACCGCACGCTCTGGTCTGAAGCACTGAAGTGCCGATATTGTTCAGTGACATGGAGGCCAAGGGCAGAAGCAGCCTGACTGGCAATTCCCATGTACATGAACGCGGCATTTCTTCGACAGGCTCCCAGCATATAGAAGGTCATCAGCAGGAAACAGCGAACCATGTCGAGGCAGGGGTCCTCGAGTCCGCCGGCGAGAGCAGTCTTCTGTGCTCGGGAAAAGAGTCTCACGGCATATTGGCGATCGTACTGGTCTGCTGCTCGGCATTGCGCTCCAATCGCAATGATAAGGTCGAGTGCAGCGGCCATATACTCGCGCTTCTCGACGTTGGGGGCGTCTACTGTTGCCGAATATGCTTCGACTTCTCCTCGGGGAAACGGGTCCAGGATTCCGTTTGTCTATAAGTGTGAGTGTTCTCTTCAGTAGACCGTTCAGACGCAACTTACAGCAGCAAAGTAGACGTCGATCATGGCTCGTTTCTGGTCTTCGTCCTCGACAAAGTTGTTACTTGTGTCTTCGGGATCAGGGGCCTCGAGCATGACATGGCGACGGGTGTTTTCGGTGAACAGCGAAGGCCCCATTTGCTGCCTGATGGTCTGGCGAAGAAACTGCAAAAATGATAGCGAGGCGAATCCGCCAATGTAGACTGAACCACCAACGCTTCAGTGCTAGAGCTCACCCAGTGACCGAGCAAAGTGAGCCCATACCTTTCTCTCCCTTCGAATTCAGCAGCATACGGCCCCCCGTGAGCTTCCGACCAGTTGATGCCGACACGTCGTGCGGCGCTGGGTTGACGGGACCCAGGATTTGTGTTGACCCCTCTCTGTCCGCTGAATTGCCATGGTCTGTTCTTGTCGCAAACTGGTTGGACTCATCCCCGGGTGTCCTGAACACTTGTGGCCGACGATATGGAGTCTGCACTTGGTGCCTGGCATGACTCGATTCCACATAGCGACAGGACGAGGGTGTCCTTCGCCTGACACAGTTGGAGCATGGTTGCTGAGCGTCGCAGCGTTTCTTGGACGCCTTACAGGGCAAACATGCTTTGGCAGACCGCTGTCGATCCTCGGGACGGACCTTGGGGCGAGGCATTGCTCTTCATGTTGTCGCCACGGGAAGTGTGTAGGGAGTACGAGGTATGGATGTGTAAATTTGCACAAGAGTCATTATCGTGGTGGAGTAAGTAGGAGATGACTAGGCTAACGAGGCCCACCATAGACACAGGATAAGCAAGATAAGGCCTGTATGGGGGTGAGGGGCATCTATGGGGAAGCCCCCGGGCCTATTGTAGTTAAAGCCAGTTAGTGAGGCTCACGACCTACGGAGCTGCCTAGGCTGCACTCAGCGGATTCCCCAAACCCACAATACTGCACATCTCTTAGAACATCACACATCGCAGTCCTTGAACGCTGGCAACTTGAACAACTTCCTCGCATTGTCCTTGCCAATCTTCCTTCGGTCCACCTCGTTGATCTCGGCATTGTCGTACCACTCGCACGCGTCTTCAAACTTCTCGAAGGGATAGTCGATCGAGAACAGGATCCGGTCTGCTCCTACCTCAGTCAGGCAGAAGTGCAGCGTTGGCGTCGAAAAGTGCCCGCTGGTGGTGATCCAGATGTTCTGGGCGAAGTACTCGCGGATGGTCTTCTTGCACGTCTCCTTCAGGCCCAGGGGCTTCTTGACGTCCTCGAACCAGTGGTTGATGCGCCACAGGTCGAATGGGAGGTGCTCACCCAGGTGCCCAATGACCACCTGGAGCGTTGGGTGCCGGTCGAACACGCCATTCGTCACCATCCCCAGGAGATGCAGACTGACGCCCTGTGCGAAACTCAGCGGAGGCCCAACCAGCCATTTCCTCGCCGCCCAGAGCTTCTCGTACATGGTGCCCGTGGGGTTGCGAGGGTGCAGGTAGAACGGCACGTCCAGCTCGGTCACCGTCGACCAGAACACGTCCCAGTCCGCTGAGTCGTAAAAGATCATGTCATCTCCGTCGGCGCCTGTGCGCTGGGTATCGTTGACCAGTGCCCCCTTGAATCCGTACTGCGTGACACAGCGTCGAAGTTCATCCGCTGCCTGTCTCGGGTCGTGCATGGATAGCGTTCTAAGGCGATGAGTCAACCGTTTCCCTACCACACACGAATCCGAAGGAGAAGACATACGCAAACGCCCCAAACCTGTCTGGGTGAGCCTTGATCGTTGATGCGAGGTAATCATTGATTTCCGTCGCCAACGCTTCTGCCTCCTTCCTGTCAAAGACGTCCTGGACCCCAGGCGCCGAATACGACAGAATCTGGTACCCGACGCCATATTTGTCCATGTATTGGATCCGGATGTCGTTGATGTCCAACATCTCGCGAGCATGCTGGTCCGGATTCACGGCGAACATCGACGCCCACCATCGTGTTTTCTCCGCAAATCTGGGGAGAGCGAATGCTTCCTCGAGGACCACCTTACCGAGCATTGTCACTTCCAGGAGGACTTTGAAACACAATGATCTTAGACGTGAAGATGACTGAGTTCCTTCTTGTAAGGAGGATTGATCGTACCTGGACCTGCTCAACAAGAAGATGTTCCTCTTGGATTCGACCACTTTCCCGCTGCTGATGTTCGTGCAGCACGGAAAAGCTCCGGAGTCACTCCGCTCGAACAGTCAGTCGACGTAAACTCCTCAGATGGTACTCTTCTCCGCTACTCCACGCCCATAGCCGACGGTTGGGGAGGGGCCAAGTCTGACAACATAGCCATTCTCTCGCTCGTTTGCTTGTGCATTGGGATTCTGAAGCGAGGCGTCAGACTTACCCCCAACAAGCCCGACGAACAGCCGCCGCCGGTTGCGGGCAGCGCACTGGTGCATTATCCGACAATTCGACAAATAGCAACTTGGGATTCATGGTAGGACGCCCGACCAGCATCAGATACCGCACAACCTCTCACCCAAGAGGCCGCCAAGCGACGGCTTTGTTGCGATATTGAGCGGAGATGGGCAACTTCTCCTTCCGAATCGAGCACTTTTACTATGTTCATACGAGCCTGTGGAGGGGGGTTGGTGCCAATCAACGAGGCACCCCAAGAGAGAATATCGTGGATTCTTCTCCTGGCATGAGAACCTAAGAGCATCAATGACAAAACATGGAATAGTTGGAACCTGAAATACCGCACAGCGGTAGAGTGGCATAGAGGAAGATTGTACACCCGCACAACAAGCCCTCTGCATTGAAGTGGCGTGCCCGAATACAGAACACGAATACTCCTGACTACTGGAGGATATGACGGAAGGTTGGAAGCCCCTGGACGTCGCTGTCATCGGCGGCGGTATCGGTCAGTGCAACAGACGCAATAAGACACTGATATCAGTGGAAATGCAAGCTGACCTCAACCAGGCGGTCTGGCCGCAGCAACATCTCTTCGTCGAGCAGGCCACAGCGTGACGATATACGAGCAAGCCCACTATGCTGGAGAGGTCGGTGCCTCGATCAGCTGCGCCGCCAACGGCACCCGGTGGCTGGAAGAGTGGAACGTCGACATCTCCCTTGGCAAGACCGTGGTGTTGCAGAAGCTGATCCGCCACGACTGGAAGACCGGCGAGGTGCTGAGCGTCTACGACTTGTCAGACTACAAGGATCAATGGGGATGGGTAGGTCATTCTCAGAGCTAAGCTATGATTCAATAGAGAGAGCCGACGACTTACTGGATCCACCACAGGTCTACAACATGTTCCACCGCGTCAACATGCACGAGATGCTCATGGATTCAGCGACCGGTCGGGGAGAAGGTACGCCGGCAAAGCTGCGGCTGAATCACAAATGCAAGGAGATCGATCACGAACGGGGGCTGGTGACGTTCGAGAACGGGGTCGTTGCACAGCACGACATGATTGTTGGGGCTGATGGGATCGGAGTGAGTTCTCGTCCTCCATCCCAAGTCGATTACTCAGTAAATCTGACGTCCACAACATAGTCCGCCGTCCGCCGCACGTTGGGAATCATCCCGAGGCGCAAGCAATCCACCTCGACGTGCTACCATTGCGTGATCGACGCCAGCGAAGTGTCGCGGCTCAGCCTGCTCGACCTGACGGGCAACTGCGCGATCGAGTTCTGGGGTGGCGTGGGGATCGAGAAGATCGTGTACTCGCCGTGCCGGTCGGGCGAAATCAACAGCTTCTACTGCTTCTTCCCGACGGAGAAGTCGGACCACGCCTCGGAGGGATGGAACCACGAGGCCAGCGTGGCCGACCTGCTCGCGCCGTTCCCGGACCTCGACGCCCGTCTGCTCGCCCTGTTCCGCCACGCCCGAGACATCAAGCCGTGGCGCCTGTTTGTGCACGACCCGTACCCGTACTGGACGACGGGTCGCACCAGCCTCCTCGGCGACGCCGCCCACCCCATGCTGCCGGACCAGAGCCAGGGCGCGTGCCAGGCGATCGAGGACGCCGCGGCCCTGGGCCTCATCTTCGGCTCGGATTACACGTACACGTCCGACGTCGTCGCGGGGTTGGCGCTGTACGAGCGGATCCGCAAGCCCCGGGCGACGAAAGTGCAGGCCGCCAGCGCCCGCGCCCGCGAGAACATCGACGAGCGCATCGGCTTCTCCAGCCAGAAGAGTGGCTACGAGGCCGCCGTCGCCACGGGAAAACTGACCATCGACGAGATGAACCTGTACGACATGAGACGCCACGTCGCCGAGGAGGCGGCGCCGGAGTTTAGGAGCAGGAGCGACGTTGTGCCACCCCGTACGAGCGCCTTTGCTCCCGTCATGTCCGTGTCCAGGATGCCGGAGCAGTTTGCGAGGATGTGACTTGGTCACCAGTCTTCTTGATGGAGGGTCGAGAGGCGCCCAAGGGGGACCGGTGATATTCAGGAGGGGGCAGAGGTGGCACATTCTGAGTCCTCCTGTCGATCTTCGTTGAAGTAGGTGAAGTACATGCAAATAGCTCTCAAGTTTCTTTTGTTGTGTTTTGTTTTGTTTTGTTTTGTTTTGTCTGATGATCGAAGCTGCTAGCTATTCGAATCAAGAACTCCATGGAGGTCTAGATTTAATTATTTTCAGTTGCCTCGTTTCACCTCGCATGCTTCGTGTCATTCTCTCCCTCTTTTCTTCCCTTCTCTCCTCTTCTCTTTGATCACTCTGTGCCCCCTATGTATGATTTTATCTTCTCGTAGTCCAGACAGCAAGCTATCAAAGTCCCTTTTTTCTCCCCTCAATGATCCATGCCTCCCTTTATTGACCATCCATGTTGTCTCTCCGCAACGCCAACGACGCGGAGGAGATACCTAAGCCGGCGAGGTAAACGCCGTCTCCACGGGCGCCGCATGCTGCTGGCGCTCTGCCATCTCTCCGCCCCCTTCCTCCTCTTGGCCGTCTTTGTTCTTCTTGGCCCGGAACGTGTCATTCAGCAACATCTTTGTCATATCCCTGAGGGTCGGGTAACTCTCGAGCACGGGCCAGATGATGCAGGTGAGGGCGCTGAAAAACACCCACACGAAGCTGACCACCACCCAACCCGTGAAGGCGGCCTTGGTGAAGATGTAGCCCGTGCCGTAGAAGGTGAAGGGGAACAGCACGATGGCCACCACCACGAACACCCCGCACCCCCAGAACGCCAGACGCCGCGCGCGCTGGTACGCCTTGAGGTCCAGTGGCTCGATGTGGTTGGTGAGCAGGTAGTCGACCACGTCGTTGCCGGTGGCGGTACCAGGAGTAGGTTGTTGGGCGGAGGAGGTGGTGGTTCCTGTCGTGGGGACTGGGGCGAGGGCGGTGGTGGCTTGTTCAGAGGCGACTCCCACGGCAGCCTTGGTGGTCTCAACTCCTTTCTCGTCCACGACGGTGGTGGATGTCGTGTCAGGGGCCACTGACCCGGTGAGCTCCTCGCGTCCGTGGAGAACGAGGGCCACGGTACCTTGGATCTTCTGCACGCGGGCAATATGTGCGGGATCGTTCGAGGTGTATTTGTACGGGAAGACGAGGGAGAAGACGACGGCCACGACGGCGCCCGTGCCACAGGCGGTAGCACTTCCAACTAGGGCGTTGGTGAGGTCGCCGGTGGTGACGGCGTTGATGGTCCCAGAACGAATATGCGTCGTGACGAACCACGCGGTGAGCCCCAGCGGAGAGGCGATCAACGGGGCGCCAATGGCAGCAGCCGTGGACATGCGCTCGGGAAACAGCACGATCAAGCCCAGCGGGATGCCGCCACCACCCACGAGCACGCCGCCCACGGTCAGGATCCAGGTGATGTCGATGCCGCTGGCGCTCAGGGCGCAGCAGAAGGCGGAAAGGAGGAGCGCATAGGCCACGATGCCGTAATGGGCCTGCTTGACGAGCTTCGACGACGAGGCGGACGGGTTGATGTACAGCTTGTACACGTCGAACGTCCACAGCGAGGACACGGCGATGAGCTCGGCCGACGCCGCCGACGTGACCGCCATGAACAGCAGCAGCAGCATCAGGGCGGCGCCGTTCTTGCCCATCAGCGCGATGGCAGTAGCTGGAGCAGCAAATCCACCTCCCACTTGTGCGGCGTTTAGAGGATTCGGGTACGTCGGGAACGAGGGTGATCCGGTCAATGCCACGGCGCCCAGGCCCATGACGGTAGCGAATCCATATGGGATCCCATACCACGCTAGCTGTGATGAAGAATTAGCCATTTCAAATGTTACCTCTGTCAAATGGGGACGGAACACTCACCCCGCCGAGCAGATATGCCTTGACGCTGGTCTCCGGCTTCGATGCGATGGCGCGTTGCCAGTACGCCTGGTCGAGCCAGACGGTCGAGAAGCTGCCGAGGAAGATAACGATGGCGAACTTGATGCCGGTGGACGACCGGAACGTCAACCACGAGCCATCCCGGTTACCCGCCAGCGGCGTCTGCTTCCCTGCCTCGACCAGCAGATCGTATACCTTCCCCGGACTGCCCGTGTACTCGTCCGACGTGTAGAGTGTGAAGGCGAAGATGAAGATGGCCACGAACAGGATCACCGTGTGCAGGTAGTCGGCCACAAAGGTGCTTCGAAGCCCGCCTTGGATCACGTAGGCGGCCACGGCGATGGGGATCTGCTTGACGTGAGTATTTTATCATATCATACCGTATCCATTCTGGGAATGTTGCTTACAATGAAACAAGCGGCGTAGACGTTGACGCCCGAGAGGCCTGCCAGCACCTGCGACCCTCCTAGCACGAGTGTGGCGCCGACAACTGTGGTAACAAGAAGTTAGCCATGTTCAAATGTCTAAGTGCTCGTCGAAGGGAGACACTTACACATGTTCACAACCCATCCAAAGAAGGTATAGATAGCGTGAGCCACTGCACCCTTATTAGTTTATTGATTGATAGATATTCAGAGTGTCCTCCTTCCTACCTTTGCCATGACGCGAGAGCACAATCTCAGGAAACGTGTGTGCGCCGGGGACATCTCTTTTGACCCTGAGCGAAAGCAGGGCGAACAATATGACCTGCGACGAGCCCAGGGCAGCGTACCACATAGGACCCGAGATGCCAAACGAGTAGGCGAAGGTGGAACTGGTGAGCAGCGTGGCCGACCACGTCCAGGCCGACACGATGCCGGCCACGATGAGTCCCGGTTTGACGTTGCGGGACGCCGTGTTGAACTCCTCCGACTGCTTGGTCGAGAAGGCAAAGTAGCGGTTCTGGAACTTGGTCGTCAGGATCATCACCAGGCAGAAGACAGCCCCGATCCCGGCAATGATCCCATAGCCGATGCCGGGGCTGAGCACCTTCAGCTCGGGGCCCACGGAGTACGTCGACATGACGACTGACAACGGGGGATGGATATGATGGATATTCGACAGAGACGATGGTGACAGTTCAGGAGGATTGGGGGGTTCGTTGTTGTTGTCGGTGTCGAGTGAGACGACGACTGTCTCGCGAGTATGACCTCCATGTCGCCCATTTTTATACCCTTCTCTCTAAGACTTTGCATGAGGCGAAAGATAAGGGAGCCCTGCACAGAGAGAGGGTCTTGCCCTGAGAGGCCGTACCCTGCGTCCTTCTGGACTCTTGAAGATAGATAAGAGAAACAGCTGGATACTTTCTTGCATACCGGAAGAGCATGGCAATAACGGTGTGCACGGATATCTCCTCCAATGCGTGTTTGTGACAGATAGCCTGCCGTCGTCGATCACATCACAACAGGATCAATAGAGATAGTCCGATGGACAATATGGAAAGGGAGGTTGCCGCCGTTGCATTTCAACCGCGCCTACCTCTTAGTCTTTGCCGCCGTTGAGCATCTATCTCGTCGACACCTCTCTTGATTGGCTAGACCCGGACCCCAGGGCATCGTGGTCTCCGGTCTCCGTATCTGTTAGTGCTGTGGGGGCATTCCCGTATGCGTGTAGTCGAATACGAGTATTATCAAGCCGCCAGACGCCACCCAGGAGATTTCGTCCGTGAATGTGCCAAGGGCAGCCAAAGGGGTCTGTCGTGTCCGATCTAGAACATTCAGCAGAAGCAGAAAGGAGACTGTTCTATCTGGCTATGCCGAGATACCAAAAAGTGAGTGCTGTGGCTCACAGGAGGAACGGCGCTTTCCTCGATATACGGGATGCATCGTGTATCGCCTACCGCGCTCATCTCCTCATGCCAACGGCGCGGAAACTGCGACTTCTCCAAGATGTGTAAACGTGCCCTAAATCGAGTCCTTCGAACGTGATATATGTTGCTGTTGTTGTTGTTGTTGTTGTTGTTGTTGCAACACCAACGACATACAGAGACTCTATCACTGCCTCTCAACTATCCTCTCCTGCACAAGCATAGACAGACATCTTTTTGTCTTGATCACCATGACCTCAACCTGGCAAGAACGAGCCCAAAAGAAGCGGGAGTCCATCTTGGCGGCTATTCCACCGGAATGGAGACTCGCATCCCCGTTGCCCTCGCCTGCCGAACAAAAAGATGTTACCGGTCCTTATGTGCAACAGTTCCTGTCCCCTCGAGAAATCGAGATCACCGAGAGTGACGCCGTTTACATCACCGAGCAGACAACGACGGGGAAATGGACTGCCGTCGAGGTCGTGACGGCTTTCTGCCATCGAGCAGCGCTGGCACATCAACTGGTCGGTCACTCTCATTGCTACCCCAGTTGTACACATCCAGGAAGTTGTTGATCGGGAATAGACGAATTGCCTGCACGAGGTGTTCTTCGACCTCGCCATCGCACGCGCCAAAGAACTCGACGCGGTGTTTGCGGCCGGCAATGGTCCCACGGGTCCGCTGCACGGTCTCCCTGTCAGCTTCAAGGATCAGTTTCACGTCAAGGGCGTGGAGACGACCATGGGCTACGTCGGGTGGATCGACACGTTCGAGGGCGTCAAGGGCACGGGCAAAGAGCGCAACGTCGAAAGCGAACTAGTCCGCGAGGTCAAGGCTCTGGGAGCGGTGCCGTATTGCAAGACCAGTCTGCCGCACACCGTCATGAGTGGCCTCACGTGGAACAACATCGTGGGCTTCACGTTGAATCCCAACAATCGCCTCATGAGCTGCGGTGGGAGCTCCGGCGGCGAAGGTGCCCTGATCAGCATGCGAGGAAGTCCCATCGGCTTCGGCACGGATATTGGAGGGAGTATCAGGTGAGACAACCCTTCTGGCTACACCGTGATTATAGATCTCATCTCGTTTGCAGGATCCCCTCTGCTTTCAACGGCCTGTACGGCATCAGGCCTTCCTTTGGTCGCCTGCCGTACGCGGGCGCCGCCAACAGCATGCCCGGCCAAAACACCATCCCGTCCGTATGCGGGCCGCTGGCACCAACGTCTGGGGCACTGAAGCTGATGCTCCGGTCGATACTGAGCCAGCAGCCATGGCTCCACGATCCAGCCGTGGTGGAGATGCCCTGGAGGGACGAGCTGTGCTCGCCACTGCCCGCAGACGGCAGCAAGCTCACCTTTGGGCTGCTGCCGACCGACGGCATTGTGAATCCCCAGCCCGCCGTCCGCCGAGCCTTCGAGACCGTCAAGGAGCTGATTCTCGAAATGGGCCATCATGTCGTAGAGTGGAAGCCGCCGTCGCACACGAGGGCCATCGAACTTGCCGTAAGTACTCAAATGTTTTTGGGACCAATGTGATATAATATCCAGCCCAGCTCTGACGCTGCGTAAAAAACAGTTCGAAGCCTTCACCGCCGACTCCGGTCTCGACATCTGGCACCACATCGGCCTCTCGGGCGAGACTCTCCAGGACCGGGTCCAGGAAATATACGGCAAACAGCCCGGGACGCCCAAGACGATCGACCAGGTCTGGGACCTCAACCTCAAGCTCCGCCAGTATCAGCAGGAGTACATGGACTACTGGAACAGCACGGCCGAATTGACCGGGACGGGGAGACCGGTGGACGCGGTCCTAACCCCCGTCGCGCCTTTTGCGGCGCTGCAGTTTGAGAAGGCGATGCATGTGGGTATGTGATTGATTGACTCCTTGTCTCATTTCCTTCTGTCTCTATTTGTTTTCTGTCATGGCACTCGTGGTTCTGCGCTGGAATTGACTCGCCCTCCACACCAGGCTATACCCCCTGGGTCAACACCCTCGACTATACGTCCGTGGTCTTCCCTGTCACCAAGGTCGACAAGACGATCGACACCTTCGACAAGGACTACCAGCCGATGAATGACCTAGACAAGAAGATCTGGCAAGAATGTAAGTAGGACCCCGGGCAGGAGCTTGATGTGGTGCAGTGCGATGAAAACTAGGCTAACAATCAACCCCCCTCTTTTTTATTTTGCAGACGACCCTGATGTCCAACAAGGCACGCCGGTGGGTCTACAACTGGTCGGACGCAGACTGCAAGAAGAGAAGATCCTGGGGATCGTCGAGCTGCTGTCCACAGCCCTCGCCGTGAAGCAGAAGAGCTCATGAGCATTTATTTAATTATTGACCGGCTAGCCAGACCTAGACAGAACCCTTCCTTTTCTTTCCCTTTCTTTCCTGGAATAGGAGTGGAGGGAATGAATCATCTATCTTTATATTTATGTCTGGTTTATAGAAGTAGCAGCCGCGTGCCCAGATGATTCATCGCCGTGACCCAACTACACGATTCTTCCCCGCGCTGCTGCTCCTCGGGTTGCTGCGCCGCGCGGAGGCGGGTCTCCCAACACTCCTCGATGATCTCCAGCGTCCACTTGGACAGCACGAGGGGGTGCTTGCCCTTCTCGAACGGCGGCACCAGCGCCCGGAACCGGGGCCACTCGGGCTCCAGCGCCAGACAGCCCGCGACGCAGTACGGCCACGACGGGAAGTTGTGCACCGAGTGCTCGCGCATGTACTCGAGCGCGTGCAGCGTGCGCACCACGCCCTGCCGGATCTCCGGGATGTTGGGGTGGAAGCCCGACACGACGACGTGCAGAAACACCAGCGCCCCGTGGATGTAGGTGCTCGTGACCATGCGTTTTTCCTCGTCCATGGTCGTGGTGGCGGAGGTAACAGCAGGAGGTTTCGACGACGGCGACGACGACGATGACGACGACGACGGAAGCCAGGGATCGGTGAACTTGGCTGCGCCCTCATACAGCCGGCGCTCGATCATCTCGGCGCGGCGGTTCAGCTCGCGCACGCTCAGCGTCCCCGCCCGGGACTTCTTCTGCTTCCAGTCCCGCAGGATGGCGATGTCGAGCAGCGTGAGCATCACCCAGTCCTCGCACCCGCGGCGGTCCCACAGCCGGGCCGGGTTCTGATGGCACAGGGCGCGGACCCTGCGGATGGACTGTGCCGACTGGGGCGTGAGGCCCAGGCTCGCAGTCGCGTTGATGAAGCAGTAGATGTAGACGTCGAGGAAGAATTCAAAGGCCAGCTTTTCTCCTTCGGACAGCAGCTCGGTGGGGATGTGGCATCGGACCTCCTCGTATTCGTACGCGTGGGAGATTTCCACGCCGGCGTCGGAGTCGGGCGATTCTTCAGACATCAGCAGCGGCGACGCGTCGAGCGACGACAGCAGAGCGCTGGCGGCGTCCAGGTGCATGACCCAGTCGTTCATGAGGCCTTTTCGTGGGATCCACAACTGAACAATTGTCCATTAGAACACGAAGGGGGTAGGAGAGATCGGGGGTAGACAATACGAACCTCGAAAAAAATCAAATGTATGATACAGGCCAGGGCTTCCACGCCGGCCGCCATCTGGCTGGCGCCCGTCTTTTTGGACAACTGATCGAGGTGGTCGCGCAGATCCGCCACGCTCCGCAAATGCTGCAGTTCCAGCTCATGGTACGGCTGCGGAATGTCGCTCAGCGGGCCCAACACGAATTGTGCCTTGTCGCAGGCACTGAGGCAGACGGCGGCGTTGCAGAGCGGTTTGGTCCGCAGAAACAAATTCAGCAGCCAGCCACGGCCGGTGTCGCCGGCCGAGTACTTGAAGTACGGGTCGAGCCGGGGGAATATGTGGTCCAGGTAGTACATGACCAGATTGAGCTCTTCTTCGTCAAAGGGGATGCGGGTGTTCAGATCCCGGCTCGGCGAGGCAGAGACGGAGGTAGAGGCAGAATAGGTGCGGTCCGACAACGGGTCGTAGGTGTTGCCATTGGGACTTTGGGTTCCAGTCCGTGAGATGCGAGTGACGAGGTATGTGTCGAACCGGTCCTGGCCTGCCCAATCTGTGGCCTGAGGATGTTGAGAGGGGCGAGTGCTGTTGTCCGACGGGGTCGGCTTGTCCTGAGGCCACACCGACGACGGCGACGAAGCTGAAGTTCCTAGCGGGAGTGGGGGCGACAATGGGGTGACTGTGCCTGGATCGACTTCACACCTGCTGAGGCGAGGCGTAGCACCAGAGCCTTTCGAGCGCCGACGTCGGTAGCTCTCTTTGACCTGACGCTTGAGGGTTTCGAGGACGGTCTTTTCGGCCTCGCCGCCGTCCATCCAGTCAGGCTTCTCGTCGTAGCCATAGCAGGTGATGCTACGCAGGGTACACGAAGAGCAGCAGGGACGGCCGTCGTCACACCGTTTCTTGCGCGCTCGGCACGTCCAACAGCCTGTAGTCTTCCTGGGCATGTTCTGGCATGATGGGACGGAAGAAAGTCTGTCACCTTTCTGTAGACCACCAGTTATTGGTGGAGAATCAACCAGCAGTCAGTATCGCTCATAGGCCAGTCTGGCAAGAGTTGGAAAGGTGCTGACCACAGCAATGGGCCAGGTGCAACGGCCGCAAGCAAAGTGATTAGATTTAAGATGGTGTTGTTGTTATCAGTGAATTCGCTGGTATAGAAGTTAGCGTCTTGTGTCGATGCATTTGATTGGTCGTGACAGGCGGAGAAACCACGGATCTCGCATGGGCTCTGATTGGTTAGAGCAGTAGAGGGGAGGGAAGGCTGTATCCCTCATTGCCGTACATAGATGGAGTTTTGTGTGAGGTATCTGCTGGGGGTCAAAGGCCGTGTCTTTGTAGTGTGTATACGAGGGAAATATAGGGGACAAAAGATGTCACCATTGAAGAGGTTGGGGAGAACTTTGCAGACCGTTCTACCCGTTGGCCTCGATCTCCTCCCGCTGGTATGCTTCTGTTTTCCACGCAGAGACACCGGACATTTCTTTCGACGTCAAGGAGATTCTTCTGGCCTATATGTAGAGATCTCTCTCTTTTTGATATTCGTGGTGTTTGCTCACGGATCCTCGATATTGGCACCAGCCAGGCACTGCGGGTCTGCTGGGCACACATACTTCATCAGAGACGACGGTTTACTCCCGAACCTACTGTACGTCGATCTGGAGAAGTCTTGTCTTGTCCACACATTTTCCACTCAAGGTCTGCAGTGTGAGAGGACGCTTATCTGTGTGGGAGGATTGAGGGTATTTGTGTCTCACGTCCGAAACGCCTGCCTCCTCACTTATTATCCGTAAGGCCCAATCCCCCTACATCATCCTATACACATGTAAGATCCATCTTCAGATGACGAAACAAGGAAAAGGGGAAAGGAACAAGAATATCATCATGTCACTGGGCCCCCATCGCCGGCTGCCACGGATTCGCAATACCGAGTATGTACTACTTACTGCACGCTCTGATTTCGCGTTGTTTCTGTCGCCGACACTCCGAAATTTGATCGTTCTCGGCAAAGCTCTGGGCAGCGGGCAGATGATCCCAACTCGTGAAGGCGCGACGAATCGTCAGAAATGACTAGATCCGGCTCACGGAAAGCCGCAAGATCCGGGGCTTTTAGTGCGTGCATTTGGTTAATAATGATGCTTGTGTCACTGTCCTGTACTTTGTATTGCCCAACCAGACCGCGCACATGTGCTCTTCTGGCTTTCTCTTTTGTAAGTGTTTTCTTTGCTCTTTCTTTTACCTAAGCTGTTCACCCCTAATTACGAGCATGATCACGATGATGACGCGGATGACGAGGGCCATCAGTATTTACGAAGTACTAGGTTCGTGGCCAGTCGTCTGTCGACGTTGTGAGTGGTGGTGAGTGGTGCCAGCTCCTCCTCATCCGACCTGCCTGGCTGGCCTCGTTGGTTTCGTCGTCTGACAACGATGTGGGAGCCTGAACGTTCGAACGAAGCCTTGCCGCGCTTCCCGATGTGTTCCAGCTCCAGTTCCAGCTCCACAACCGCCACGATCGAGCTTCCCTAGCACGCTACTACAACCACTACTGGTGGACAGCAACTATCCTGTTCATCTTCCCATCATCACGTTTCGATCTTCTAACTCCTTTCCTCCGTCCGAAGTCTCCTTCCCCTCCTCAATTTCCCGCTTAGCAATGTCAATGGGCAACCTTTCTCGCTGGAGAAAGCCCCCCAAACGACGGGCACCGTACGTCGTCCCATCTGGGAGGCCGAGGCCGACCTCCACCACAACCTCCACCCGCCCGCGCTCCATATTATTACACACTCGGGAACTGGAGTGGTTTGTGCGACGATGTGCTGGACGAGTAATGCACGCACGCGCCCTCATAAATTGTGGATAAGGTAAGCAAGCCAAAAAAATAAAAATGCAATGCGAGACCTGAAAAAGGGGGAATGGGTCCAAGCGGGAGCACCACCCACCAGGCACTGATAATCTCAACGTCGCCATTGCCAATCAATATAAGGCCCTCTGTTCTCTTCCTCTCACCCTTCTCCCTCTTCAGAGGCGCTTCCTACATTCTATATCACAATATCTTCTCCTCTCTCGAGATACTGTATCGGGTACCTCTTCAGATTTTTTTCTGAGCAGATTTTCTGAGCTACGAGCTATTCAGCCCGGCACGGATCAAACCCAACACCGCCGTTCACTCATTCATTGGACTTCTTCTTTCCATTCCTTCATTGATTTTGATTTGATTTGATTGAGTGGTTCATTGCCCTTGCTTGCTACTCAACACCTCACCACCCGTGTCTGTCTGTCCGTCTATCCGTCTCACGTCGGCCCAATCATTCGACCTGCGGATCAGCCAGTCAATTTCGAAGTCAAAAGGCCTCGAGAGCGAGAACGAGAACGAAGAGAGAAAAAAAGGGGAAAATGTTCATCTGCATCTCCATCTGGTACTCGGGCCTCGAGGCCGTCTTCCTGGGCATCTACGGGATATACCTCCGCCACGTGTACGTGCCGGGTCTGCAGAAGAAATCCGCATGAAAACACGCACGCGCGCACGCACGCACCACTGCCCAAAGTTGATGTCGTTTGTCCATGTCATTGTCGACCATGCCGAGCAGCAAGGTCCCCCGTACCGCTCCTACGACTACTGACCCTCAAAGTAAACGATATCAAATAAGGGGAAATGCGCCCAGCACAACCCATCCATCCAAACAGGATGATCACATCTGGACACTCGATCGTCAAACCTTTGAGATGGCGCCAGGAAAAGTGGACCGAGCGAGCATCGTCGACACAGCTGCCTAATCTCGTCCGAGTCCAATACGCAGCGGAACCGCTACATACACAACTGGTGCACGACATAAAGTACCGGACAGGGCGTATTCAGAGAAGATAGAGAGGGACATTCCATCCGGGCTTGGTCGGGCATGGGGATACAGGGGGAAAAAAAGGAAGGATTCTCAAACTATACGGGGTTTCGCGGTTCCATGGGGCTTGTGTGGATTAGGAGAGGGAGCTCGATGGCACGGCGGCGGTGGATTGGCGTCGAAAACATCAAGATTTTGACCATGGTCATCGGTCATAGGTCGTCTCAGTCAGGACGAGGTTCGGAATTGGGGCCGAGGTCACGGTTAACGGCCCACCCCATGGTTCAGGCCGCAAGATGATGCAGAGCCGGTCTCTGGCACGGGAGTTGGGTGAGAGTCAGAACACCAAGAAGACGAAGGAGGCCCTCGGGAAGGTGGGAAGGCGTGGATGAGTCAACGAGAGACATGCGTGCAATGCACATCGTGTGAAAAGGAACGGACGGGATGGGATCTATCGATCTATCGATTTATCTATCTTCCTCCGCCGGAAGAAGAGGAGAGGAGATCTTGATTATTCAGTTGGTTGGTGGCATCCCTCTGGCTACTCGACTGAAAGACCGCTGGATAACAAACAGAACGAGAATGGGATAGAATTTCTTCTGGCAGCAATATTACATTCAAGGTTGAATGCAGAACTCTCTGATCCTGACAGATCCTGTACATCTTTCTTCTAGTCTATCCAGTCGTGAAGCAGGAGTAGTGGGGATTCATGATACGCGATATGACAAGCCCAGCACCAACGGAAGGGGGGCCCGTATCCCAAACATCAAACAGGTCGGTCGGTCGGCCGACGATTTTTCCCCCAACCTATCCTTCCAAATCTATGGGTGGGTAGTGGATGCATGCACAATTCAGGCGCAAGATACCCAACACAATATCGCCACCAACACCCAGCCAGGCAAAAATGCATAATAATCAGTGAATAGTTGACCGTGGTCTCGTCAGTCCGTGCCCACTAGGCAGCTATGCCTCCAGGCTTCATGCCCTTCACGCTCTTCCACTCGACAAACACGGCCCCGATGAGCTGCAGACAGGTCATTGCCACGGCGATATACCACGTCTGCGTCAGTGAGGTGTTGTACGCCGTCTGCACACCATGCAGCGCCGATGCCGGCACCTGGTCTTTGAGACTCGTGGCCCCGACGTGCAATATAATGGCGGGATTGATGTGTGGTGCCTGTTTGGGGATTTCCGACATGAGACGGTTGTTGAAGATGTTCTGGGCGACCGAGACAAATAGCGCGCCGCCAAATGTTTGCATGAACATAACCAACGCAGTCCCCGTGGGCACGTCCTTCAACGGGAGAACGGCTTGGACGGTGATGAGAGCTTGTTGCATACCTAGACCAACCCCGAAGCCGTAGATGATCTGGTACCCGATCCACTTCTCGTGGCCGGTGGATGTTTCGAAGGTTGTCAATAGACCCGCGCCGATGGCAGAGAGCACCACACACCCAAAGTAGAACGGAGCGTAATAGCCAATCGCGGTCGTGCCCACACCAGTGAGGATATTCGCTATGACCAGTGCCAGGACCATGGGCAAGCACATGATTCCAGACTTGAATGCTGATGCATTTTTGATAGCTTGGAACCAGATGGGCACCCAATAGATCAAGACGAAGAAGGCTCCGCCAAGAGCGAATGCGAACCAGCAAGCCGACGCCACGCTCCGTTGTGAGATGATGTTGAAAGGGATGGTGCCGAATTCCTTCATGAAGTACTGGTGGATGACGAAGACGATGGTAAGAACACCAAATAGCGTCAGACACAGGATGATCCGCCAGTTAGACCAAGCGTACTTGGAGCCACCCCATTGTAGAGCCAGCAGGCAGAGCACAATGTCGATAATGAAGAGAGCAGTGCCAACCAGGTCGAGTTGGTGTGCGCGTTCTCGAAGTGGGACTTTCTGCTCGGCCTTGCGGACCGGGGAGTGGAAGAAAAAGAAGATGACGACCAGGGTGACACCACCAAGAGGGAGGTTGATATAAACTGCATCTTCGTCAGTCACATTAGAGGAGATACCTGGTTAAGTTGCACTTACAGCACCACCGCCAGCCTGGCCCGTCAGTAAAGGCACCGCCCAGCAACGGACCAGCAATCGAAGCAATTCCATACATAGCTCCAATAAGACCGGTGTAAATTGGTCTTTTCACCAGCGGTACCGTGTATGCGATGATGACCAACGCACCGCTGAAAATGCCTGCGGATCCAACACCGGCGATCGCACGACCAACGATGAGCGCATCAGAAGTTGGGGCACCACCACAAACGGCCGATCCAACCTCAAAGATGACGATGGAGACTAGATATACGGCTTTGATCGAGTAGAAGGTGTACAGCCTGGGGTGAAATTTAGTAACTTGCATCCAATGTCTTATCTGCTGGGGTTTACTGACTTTCCAAAGAACAACTGGAGGGCGCAAGTGGTGAGTAGATAACTCGACCCGTACCACCCGACATCGCCCAGGGAATTAAAGTGATCGGTAATTTTAGGGATTGCAGTCGCGATAATGGTGTTGTCGAGGGCGACCAAGAACACCGACAGGCACAGGGCCAGAGTGATCAGGGCCAGTTTCAGCCCTCCGGGATAGACCAGTTCATCTTCGTCTCCCGGCCCTGCTGGAGCAACGACACTCCCCGAAGTTGTGCTCTTTGCGTCACTGTGAACCTGCACCTCCTGTTCTCCCTTTTCGCCGGTCTGGGATGGTTGGTACGGCGTGCCATCAGACGGAACGGCCGTGTTGTTTGTCCCTATGGTCGCATCGTCCACCCTCTCGTCGGCCTCGGGACACTTTTCATCCACGACCGTGGTCTCTACATCTCTACTCTTCCCCAATGACTCCGTATCCGACACATTCTGGCTGGGTACTGCCGTGGTGTCTTCCGATTTGGCATTGTTTGGGTTGACCGACTCGAGGGTAGTGGAGGCCGGGTTTGCTGTCTTCTTGGTAAACAACCCCATTGGAAGGACAGGTTCACCACGACGAGGCGCGGTGCGACTTCCGAGTATTCTCTGAGGCTTGGGGTGGGGCCGTCAAGGCTGGGGAGGGTGTACCCTTCGGGAGGGATTCGATGTTTTGCAGCGTAAAGTGCTTACTCCCTGAATTAGATCCGGCTTGGACGGGCCCGAACGGTTCGGCAACAGTTGGAAGAATGGCTGGTGGACGAGAGTCTGGCAGGTGTCCGTTGTGTATGAATAGCTCGTACTAGGAGAGCTGAGGAATGCAGGGGGTGGTGCTGCGCGGGAAACGGGTAAAATGTCAAAATGAAACGATGAGGCAAACGGATTAAACAAGGAGTCTAGTAACACTCAAAGCAGGAACAAGGCCCGCGAAAGAAGAACGAAATGGCCCTGAACCAACAAAGGGCAGGGAGAAACTCTACGGAGAAAGACATTCTTGCGGACTTAAAAGAAGATATAAAATAATAATAATAACAACAAGGGCTCATGAGATCGGGTACGGGGTTGTGGTCGTTAGTGGGTGGATAGGAGGACAAATTTGCCCCAAGGGTTTTTGGGTGGTTGATGGTGAACAGAAAAACGCCCGACACAACAACCCACCTAGAGCGAGATCTGGCGTATCCAGTGGACTGGGCTTCGCTAAAGGAGGCCCCTCCCATCGCCCAAAACCGTCTAACTGGACGACGCTGGCCACCCATTGGCTGGGCACGCCAACGGGGCCCTTCCAGGCTCGCCTCCTGCCAATGGGGGTGCTGGCCAGGAGCTGTCGCGATGGGACGGGCATTCGGAGGCCTCCAATTCCACTATCCGAGCAGCCAATGACGGGCTATCGAAATACGATTTCCTGTTCGATGGGCATCGTCCATATCTCATTTTTGCCCGCCCATCGAACGCTACGACGAAGTTGACATCGTTCATGAATCATGGCGCGACGATTCATTATCGTATTCGCATATGGCAATCTTGTCCTTCCTAAACAAGCATTCTTCTTCCCATGGTCGTGTTTTTCCAGGCTTTGCAGATACGATTCTTCGGGGAAATTATTCAACCGTCGTGGAGGTTCTAATCTCCGTCCTTTCTCGGTTCCGGCTCATTTTCATGCCGACTGGAAAATCCTCTCGATCACGTGGCTGGCCGGGCACCCCCAGGCTTCAGACAACCAACATGGCAGCATTCAGGCAATATAGGTATATAATTAGATCTCCAAGATCCTACGCGTCCAACGAGGCCTTCGATATCGGTTGACCTCTATCCATGGGTCAGGCTATGCTCAGCGCCTTATTACCCGGTTTTCTATGGTACCCCCGACCTGAACCTGCCTATTCTAAGGGACTCTTTGCTGTCCGAGCAGTTATTTGTATGTACAGTTCCTCTTCGTTGATAATATCACTGACTTTCAAACCTTCTCTCTCTTCTCAAATTCTACCACGGCCGGCGCCATTGGCCTCGAAAACAAACTCGAGTAATCCGTGGGCACCAACTGCTTCCCCTCAATCTGGCGGAATTTCACCAGTCTCACCATCGTCGCGAGCACCGCTCCCAGCTGTACATAGGCAAATTGCTCGCCAATACACCTGTGTCGTCCCGCGCCGAACGGAAGATATGGTGAAGAAGCTCCCTTGCTGATCATGCCGTAGCCGTAATCTTCAAATTCTTCATTGTCCATGCCCATTCGTGTGTATGCAAGGGGATGTCCTTCGTCCCAGCGATGGGGTTCCCATTTCATTGGTTCCGGGAAGAACTCGGACTCTCGGGAGGTGACGCCCGGCGCTGAAAGGAGAGTGTGGGTGGTCGGTATCTGATACGTCTTCGTCGAGGTCGGAGTGTCTGCCACGATCGTCATCGGTGACTTGACCTTGCGAAGGATGCTGTGGATTGGAGCATGTAATCTCAACGTCTCTTTGACGACCTTGGCATTCAGGCTGAGTTTCTGGAGGTTTTCGTAAGTCAAGGGCGGGAGATCCTCCCCTAGCACGCGTTTCTGCTCCTCCAGCAATTCCTCTTGAATATCTGGCCTCGTGGCCAATCTCAATAGAATCCAACTCGAGGTCGAGGAAGACGAGTGCTGGCCCGCCATCAAGAGTGCGATCATCATGTGCGCCACTTCTCTATCTGGCACAGGTGTGCCGTCCTTGTAGACGCAGCCCATTAAATTCCAAATCATGTCTTGATCTCCTTTTTCCCGTTTGCCGCCGTCAGCGCGTCGTTGCTTGATAATTTCCATGTACGTGTCCGCCATCTTCTTCTGTGCAATATCTCGCTTGCGGTTATGCGGGAGAGGCGCCCACGAGAGCATAAAGTTGATGGGCGAGAACCCCATGTCCAAGTCATGGTACAAGTCGGCGAAGGTCGAGTCGAATTTGGCGCGCACCTCAGGGCCCTGGAGCGACCGCGATGCCGTGTAGATGGTCAATTCGGCCATGGCGGGAGCAATGTCAATTTTCCCTGAATGCGACTGAAAGGGCTTGCCCTTCTCCACGAATGACTTGGTTTCGCTCGAGATCAAGTCGACGTAGGATTGAAATGCCTCCAGGGTGAGGCCAAATTTCACAAATTTCTTCTGTTCCATCAGTTTCGAGTTTGGGCAGTCGTACACCACGCCTTCCCCGAACACCGGCGTCGTCAGGCCGGTGTATATCTCCTCAGCATTCACATCCTTCAGTTTGCCATTCAAAATGAACTCGTTGCCTTTGGTTCCCAAACAAACGGTGACTCGTCGCCCGAGCAGGATGAAAGTGAAGACGTCGCCGTATTTCGCTTTACACGTGAAGAAGAAGTCGAAAGGATCCATGCCGTACCATATCCTATGAAGTCAAGCCTAGCGTCAGTCTTTCAGCGTCATCCCTCTTCTGGAGTTGAACGTACGTATTGCCCAGCACGGGGAACCAACTCCACACCTCCGGAGGGGCGTTCTTATCTTTGAAGATGATCTGTCTCAGAGCATTCCACACCACAGAGAGCGCGATCAAGGCGGTAAAACCGAGGAGGACGATCTGCCAGGTAGGTAGAGATCCAAGGAGGCGCTCTGCCGATTGGGAGAGAGCCGCGAGCAGGCCCATGGTTTATTCGCGGTTGCGAGAAGGCGCAGGGCTTTTAGGACAAATGCTTAGGGTAGTACAGAATCCCGGGGACAGAAGCGGCACGACAGACAGAAAAATGAACGTGGTCGTCGTGACTTGACAAGGAGGGTGTTGAGATGGTTTGGCAGCGCAGTCCAGCATTTAGCCAGCGGCCACCAGAAAATTAATTTAGACAATTGACACTGTCAGGTACGCAACCATTGTGATTGGTGGCAGCTTCGACCCTGGATCTGTCCATCCGGATCGAGCCACTGCAGCGAGTGGCACCACTGAATGTGCATTTCCCCCTCACCTGCTCGCCCCATGCTCCGCCAGGGCCTGACAAACAATTTAACAGACGAAAATGTCCTGGTAGGATCTCGGGACCTGTTCACGAGAACTGTGTTGCCAAGCTAAGTAGCTGTCAGCAATCTAATATGCGTTTTGTATCATCTACTACTAATACAGCCGTCTTTTTGGAGAGAACCTGCACGCAGCCCATTCTCCTTCCTGATGCAGCTATAGCTTCCCACTCACGGCCCCTTCAGTCAAATATCCGTTGCTTTTGAGCCATTCTCCAACATCCTCCCCGTCCCTCTTCAGCCAGTTCGCTTTGGCTCGGATACTGTCCATGCTCTGTTGCAAGCTGCGATCAAATCCCTTCTTGTCTTTGCCTTCAAAGAAGTCTTGGACCTTCTTCAACTGTGCATCAGACGTGAAGCCTGCAGTACAGATGCTGACGACACTGCTCAACATTGTCATGCTGGGAGGTAGCTTCTCCACCAGTTCATCCCAATTGGCACACATCCACTCCCATCGTCTCTCGATGCCCTCCGAAGTCGTTCCCAGGCCGCCGATGGGCATGTAGATGTCTTGCATCTTGACCTGTCCGCTCAATGCAAAATCAAGCGTCTTCTTGATCAATTTTGGATCCTTTGCCCGGCCAAGAGTTCGAAGACAAGTGTTCTTCTCGTCCGAGGTCGGCGCAGAGTGGTATCTTGCCACCAGTGCATCCCATTCCTTCTCTCCTCCGTCTCTCAACGCCATAGCGAAGACCGATGACCGGAGGTTGGGGTGAATGGCAGAATATTCACCCTTCATGAACTTCTCAAACATGTCCTTGGCCGCGGCTTGGATTTTTGCATCGCCAGCAAGACCAGCGGAGCCAAACATTAAGCTCTTGAACTGACTCAAGATGTGGTCTTCATTCTCGGAAAACTCCCATCCTAGCTCATGGGCTTTTGCTGATGTCAAGTTCAGCTGGAAGGCCTTCAGTGCATCCTTGATCGACTCGTCCTCAAAGATCCATGTATTCCTCACGGCGTTGATCCGGCTGAGAATTTCATTCCAGACCACAAACTGTGTCTCCGTGTTGAACGATTGCAGGAGACTCAAAATACCCGATGTCTTGCCGTATCCACTGGCAGCAAGAGCTCCAGCATCAGCGATCATACCGGCTCGGTCTTCAACCGAAAGCAGTCCCTTCTTCGCTGCTTCGCCAAGCTTCGTGAGTCTCTGTGGCGTGTAGCTCGTCCTGTAGAGCGCCGAATGGTCCGCATTCAGTTTGTAGAAGTCCAGTCCCCCCTTGATGGTGAATGTCTGTTCCCGCTCAGTGAGCATTAGGCTTTCATCCACTCCATCCTTCGTCTTCAACCCGAGGATCACGGGGTAAAGAACCTGATCCTCTTCCGGTTTGACATCACCCGTGCGCAAGAATCTGTTCTGCTTAACTGTGATGGTTGAGTCCTTCTCGTTTTCCGTCACTGTAATGACCGGATATCCAATGTTCTTCGTCCAAATGTCCATCACATGGGCAACGTCCTTACCACTCGCCTCGCCCAGTGCGTTCCAGAGATCACTGGTTTGTGTATTCCCCCAAGCATGTTTCTTGATATACCTCCTCACACCATCGATGAAAGTATCTTCGCCGAGATACTTCGAAATCATCCGAAGGACAGCTGACCCTTTCGAATAGGAAATGGCGTCAAAGATCTGGTTAATGTCCTCTGCACGATGCACAGGTACTTCAATAGGATGGGAGCTCCGCAGCCCATCCAATCCCAAGGCCGATTGCAAGGTATCGATCACAAAGGTTTCCCACACCCGCCACTCGGGGTAGAACTCGTTGCAGCTGTACCAGCTCATCCAGGTTGCAAACCCTTCGTTAAGCCACAATCCGTCCCAGAAGTCCATTGTCACCAGATTTCCAAACCACTGGTGTGCCAATTCATGCTGAACAACTTCTGCCACTCTCTCCTTGGTCGCCGCACCAGCCGACTTCTCGTCGAAAAGGAGATCCACTACACGGTAAGTGACCAAACCCCAGTTCTCCATTGCACCAGCGGCAAAATCCGGGATGGCCACCATGTCCATCTTAGGCAATGGGTAGGGTGCTTGGAACGCCTTCTCGTAGAATGCCAGAGTTTTGGCAGCAACATCTAGCGCAAATCTTCCATCCTCTTCGTTCTGCTCCGGGGTCATCCACACCTTGATGGGTAACCTAAATTTGTCTGTGGAGATCGACTTCAATTCGCCAACGATAAAGGCCAACAAGTAAGTCGACATTCTGGGTGATCGATTGAACGTGACGGCCTTTCTCTGCCCACCGGTGATGTCCGAGTGTACAGCCTTGGTCGACGCAACATCCATATTCGACAGACACGTCATAGCCTCATCGGCAATCAACGTGACCGTGAACTCTGCCTTGAGGGCAGGTTCATCAAAGCAAGGCATCGCCCTCCTGGCATCAGTGGCCTCAAACTGGGTGACTGCCAAATACTGCCCGTCTCTCCTCTTGGACCTGTAGAACCCGGCCATCTTGTCATTCAATTGACCCGTGTACGTATGTTTCAGTTGCACCTTCTGACCCTTCGACAGCGACTTGCCTTCACCAAGGTCGATGGTGGTAGTTTGCGTGTCCGCATCGTACGAGATTTTCGGGGAAGAGGTAATAAGGGCGCCATCTGCATGAACGGTTGTGGAGTGGATGTCAATTTCCACAGTGTTCAATGAAATAGAGGTACTGTCTTTTGCAGCGTCGAGGTCAATGACGACGGTTCCGTGGAAGACGAACTTGTCGAAGTCGACTTCGAGAGTCACGTCGTAGTGTTTTGGCACGACATTTGTGGGGAGTACGATTCGGCCTTGGGTCGTTGCGGCACCGGGTGAGTCGGACATGAAGCGGCACATGTTGGCTGTATGAGAAGCTCTAGGCAGCAAGGACGTCGAACCTGCAGAAATATGAATGGGCAAGGGCTTCAGAGAGCGATTTCGTAAAGCTCCAAGCTGACGAGACGAAAGAGAAAACGGCCTCGTTTGTAGTGCTGGAGGTGGCACAGAAAGCTGCCTATGGTCTGGAAGAAAGTGACTGTTGTTGTTCTTGACGTTGGGGCGGTATGAAAACTGCGTTTGAAAGGATCGTCGGAGGAGTTGTGTTTGCAGTCGCTGGAGAGGGAGGATCCGCGGTTCAACAGCAAGCCCGGAAAGAGAGCGAATGAGGAAGGGCTGCATCTACTTGCACTCAAGCACCTGACTTTCTCAGCAGAGAAAATGTCAGCCCCCGTCAAGAATCAAAAGTCAAAGGAATGGGGAAAGAGTGATAGGGATTCGCTGTTGAGACCGGGGAGGCAGAAGGTCTCGTGCGCCAGCCACTGGGATGGACATTGTCACCAGCTGCGGTACGAGGTGCCTTACCTTCCTTCCTGGTCACTAGCGTAGGTATTTTGGTACTAGCGGTCAAACGGGGCAAGTGCGGCGAGTTCAGTAGTTCTTCCCGTGGGACTTTTGTTGCCGCTATCGACTTCTTCCTGTTTCTGACTCCCCTTCCTTTTCGACTACACATCTACCACACACTGCGTTGTCGATACATCTTGTCTCCTGCATACCCTGTCATCTTACTTGCAGCCTGTCAGATCCGATGTATCAAGATTCTCCTGGCATCGTCCTCAGGTCCTGCTGACCACAGAATCGTCGTGTCTCGTGCTGCATGTCGCCCCAGTTCCCCAAGGATGATGCCTCCCACATCGCACCAGGCCCCTATGCACTCCTTAACAAGGCTGACACTGCACGTGTTGTGCAATCTAAGCCTCAGCCTCGGTCGCCTGAACTACTTTCCTCTTAATCGAAGACACTTTTAACTGGCTGGTGGCCTATCCACGGACCCAAGATTGACCCTCCATGCATCCTTCGCGCTCTTCCACTCAGGCAAGAACCGGCATCAAAATGCTCTACTTCTCCGTGCATTCTTGATTTGTTCTATTCTTTTTTCTTGCTAGAATGAAAACCCCAGCAAGTTTGAGGAAGTCACTTATCCAAATGGGTGATTCTCCATAGTTGTCTGGCACATTGTTGATAGATGAGGAAACCCGGACTGGAGGGGGGAAAGCCACGAATGTCTCTTTTATTCTATACTGAAGACTTGATATCGATCTCTTGGTCCAGAGCCATCATTGCTCTACCTTGGTGATACCACGATGACCGCCGCGAAACAAGCGATGCCACCAGTTCGTATAGACAATGAGTAAACAGGCGTCCTGTCCATGGCCATCGCCCTTTTCTGTATAGATTCTTTTCACCGTGGAGAGTATAGCGCAAAAATTCCGGGTATAAACACTTGACCAGATTGCCCAGTGCCCACGCCCGCACAGAAACCCCGGCCGTTGCCATTCCCAGATAAAACCCATTCGAAATTCTTTGAACCATGGCACCAGCCGTCATCGCATTTCCTTCAAAGTTCAAGTCGTCCGTGATCTGCATGTCGTGAGCGGGTATCTTGTTCCATTCCATGTCCAAAATCTCCTTGGGACGGATCACAGCTCGATCGCCTCCTGCCCCATGCATGTAAGCCCTGGTGAGCTTGCTCAGTTTCATCCGAGCTCGATCTGAGAAAGAGTATAAACGCCAATAATATGCCACACCCGTGATGCCGAACGCTGTTCAAGAATGATTGCCACCTTCGCCTCGACCCAAAGGCACTTCGAAAGCGGAAAAAGAGTAGAAAAATAACACAAGTAGGATAATTACAAGCTAAGAGAGACGACACGCACACGGTTGAAGTGCTGTGAACTCTCCTGGCTGAGAAGTTTAAACAGACGCCCAAGATACGCCAAATCATAGCCCCGGGACGACGGCTCCAAGGCCGCATTACCGGGTTCCATCGTGAACAAGTGCTCCGATGCCATATTCGTGATTTCGTGAGTCTCGACCAGGTCATGATCGTGGAGGTGTAGCTGCGGGCCCTGTATTAGGGTGACTCCCGCGGTGAGGGATGGGAGGAGATGCTCGCGTTGGAGACGCAACGGCCGGCGCGGATGCACGCTTCTGGATGACTTGAAGCTTTCTCCGTATGACGGTCAGACGTTGACGAATGCTCGCCACCACTATAAAAGGAACAGTTAGAAAGGGGGCCGCCACGGCTCAACAACAACAACTTACAGTTCTTCACCGTCCTTCTATCTTCAGCTTCCAATCCATTGATCGGAGCCAGGTCCTCCTTTTCATCTTGGTCGCTAGTCCCACTGCCGTTCCTCGATAGGTTGTCGTCATCGTTCTCCAGAACAGCTTCTAACATCCGAATTGCCGTCACATATGAGATCTCGCATCCAGCCAGGTCTTCGTTGGTCAATTCATTGATGGCGGCCGCTCGACTCATTTCCAAGGCCCGGTCGTACATGAGCTTCTCCGCGGTAATACCGGAGCTTACGACCACTTGGTCTGCCGAGGTCCCTAAACCGGCGCTAGATGCGGTTGTGGACGAAATGTTGTTCGGATGACTGGGGTGATCTTCAGGCAGACGTCGCTGACTGTCGATGAGTTTTAGTCGAACCAGATCTGCCTTTTCAAGAACCTCGTTGAAACGATTCCGAATCCATTGTACAACGTTGTTCATCCTTTGCCCTGCAGCAGCCGAGTTTGTGCTAGACCGATAAGTGACGTTATCGCTGGTAGCCTCAGCCCGGTTCTTGCGTGCCCACCAACGTGCCGCAATGTCCATGCCTTTGGCAAGCAGGGCCAGGGCTTTGACGTAGAGCACCAAAGCCTCTTCCGCCACGACCACGACTGCCTCGATTGTGAGGTCTTCATTAGAGGCCCCGAACGGACCACCGCTGACATTATCGCCGGATGCGTTGCGCAAACCGAGCCCCGGGTGTGATGGGCCGGCAGGGATCAATTGTTTATACTTGACCTCTGCAAATCCATAGACAACGTCGCTCCTGGTAGCAATTTCCTCCACATTCTGAACGAATTTTGTGTCTTCGTCAGCAGCTGCTGTTCCCTTAGAATCGCCAATCATTACCAGGCTGCTTTGCGCTCCAGGATATGTAGGAAATGGGCTATAGGTGATTGGAGGAGATTTGCCGCCACGAATCAGGTTCACTGGAGGAGAGAATCCAACCCCGAACAGTCGGCCGCTAGCCATGTTGAGGGCCTTTGAAATCGCCGAAGTGGCCGAGCCGGGGCTGGGGCCATACCGTCGTTCGTAGGAGTTCTGCCGTTGATGAAGCGAGTCAGGTCTGCGTCCTGAGGCGATCTGGACAGCTCGAGAAGCACTCGTCTGAGCGCCGGTTGCCGAGCCAGGTGCCCCCTGCGTTGTGGCTCTGCGGACCATGGCTCCTGATTTGGGGGACATGGCAGTCTGAAGAGAATTCCTGTTCAGTCGGGGACTGGCTTCGAGCTCGTCAGCCAATGCGTTGACCTCCACCGCCTTCTTCTCCACTAGGACGTAGTCTCGCTCGAAGGCGATATCCTGCGCAACCCGCTCCCGCTCTTTTTCCTCCTGTTCCTTGCGCAGGGTAGCTTCCTGAGCTTCATCATAGACTTGGCCACGCAACGACGAAGGCGGCAATTTATGCGAGCCTGCGCTGGTCTGACGCGCCATTGGAGCCGACGAAGGACGTAGTACCAGCTCTTGCCTTGCTGGTGCCGTGGCATGCGGATGAAGAGCTGGACGGCCATCAACTGGACTGGTGGGCGAGGCTAGAGTAGCTTGGAGCTCTTCATTAGTGATTCTTTGCGTGATAATTTGGTCCTTTGTACCGGATAATGGCCGACTGTATCTCCGTTGTACATTTTCTTCGGACGCAGACTTGGAGGAATCAATATAAGGACTTTCCGGCTCCCTTCGGGAGCTTGGACGTGTTAGCCCGGCAGGATCAGTTCGACTATTTCTTCGACGGTCGTTTTGGGATTGGACGGGGTCTTGGAGCATATCCTCTGGATGCAATCCAGGAATAGGACCTGCCACGATCTCGTTGCTGAAGAAATCGGGGAATGACAGTCTCTCCTCAGGATCTCTCTTCAGGAGTGACCGAATGAGCTTCTTCATTTCTTCGGTTATTATGTACTCGTCCCCAAACTTGATCTTGTCCTCGCTCTTCTCGATTTTTCGAAGTAGCTCGACATGATTAGAAGCACGGAAAGGAGGCCGGGCCGTCATCATCTCGTAAAGCACGGTTCCCACAGACCAGAGATCGGCCTTTGCCCCGTATTTCTCGTACCGTAGGATCTCTGGAGCCATGTAGAGCGGTGAACCACACAAAGTCTCGGCAAGGGCTGTCGAGGGCAGGGACCGAGCAAACCCGAAATCTGCAATCTTGAGCATCGGCAACGACCTGATGCCGGTGACTGGGTTTAGCGAATCGTCACCGACTTTATAGGGCATAGGATGTGGCTTGTGTTTCTCAAAGTAGTCAGGGGACGGGTTCAGCAGGAGATTCTGGGGTTTGACATCTCGATGGATGAGATTTTTGGCTCGCAAGAACTGCAGAGCACTGGCGAGTTGTTTCAGGAAGTGCCGGACCACCACCTCATGAAGGCCGCCATATCGAGGATTCGGGTATTTGACCATCATGTTGCCCACCAACTCGCTGTCCTTGATCTCATTTCGTCTCTTGATAAAGTGGGAAAGGTCACCCAGAGCAACGTATTCCATGACCAAATGTATGTGGGCACTCGATTCCTTGCAGTCGATGAGGGCTACGATATGGGGATGGTGAAGGCCTTTGAGGATCGAGATCTCGGAGGTCAGGTTGTCCTTCAACTTCTTGTTCAACTTGGACATGTTGACAGATTTGATGGCCACGATGCTTTGAACCCCCGAGTTAGTCTAAGAGAGTTGTCAGTATGTCTTCAGATGCCGTGGTGACTTGCATGGACGCACCGTATGGATTGCCTTGTAGACCGTGGCAAAGCTACCCCGACCAATCTCTTCATGACGCTGAAAACTGCCTATCCGCTCCGACTCCTTTGACCTCCGAGATGTTGATGACTGAGGAGCTGTGGACGCCATATTTTCCCTTCGCCTCCTCCTCCTACTTCGGTCAACACGGCCGGTGAAGGATGATCAGGTGAGGTGAGGTTGCTTCGAGGGTTATCTTGTACGTTGAAGAGAAGGGTCCAAGGCGTTGTGGTGGCCCATGGATTGCTCGGGATGAAGCGAACAACTGGGATGGAAAGGTGAAAACGACCGATGAATGGATGGCTAAAGTCAACAGGTAGCAGGCGACCGGGCACAAATAGTCGGAGTGGAGATGGCGCAATTGGACGGTAGGCTGCGTGATTTCGGGAGGTTGCGCAACTGTGGTGCAGAGAAGCTCAACAGACTCGGCGGGGGAGGAGCACTCTAAGGTGCCGTGGTTGAGTCTGGATGAAACAGCACAGATAGACCTCAGTTGGCCGGTGAGGATGGCGGGTTGTGAGAGGACGTGGTGGTTGTCGGGCGGCGCGACTCTGGGGCGAATCTGTGGTTGGACGAGAGGTGAGTGACGTGTGACTTGGAGGATGCGGAGCACTGCACCACCGGCGCGACACACAAAGAAAGCAATGCGGCTTAAAGGCCTGAGAAATACGATAAGGGATAGACGAAGTGTTGAAGGAGTCAAAAAATAAGAACAAAATGGGCAGGCAGTGGAAACGGTGAATTCAAGCAGCGTGAGGAAGGGTTGGGAGAAGGAGAGTCCGGAGTACAGTCAGTAGTAAGTAGTATAGGGTGCAGGGTTGCAGGGTGCAGATGTGTAGTGTGCAGAGGGAAGTTAGTCATGCAGTCATCCGGCGTCGATAAAAGCGATAAAAGGGCGAGACTTGTCCGTTGTATGGAGTCTATTATCAGTCTATCGCACCAAGCACCCGCCCACGCCCAACGGCAAGGCAAGGCAGGGCGTGGGTTTGGCGTGGTGTGGAAAGCTTGCAGGTCCTCCGCGTGCCATGCCCCTTGCCCACCTGCCCTCGGACTTTGGGGGAGGCGTGGGAGCGAACGTATGACTCCTCTGACTCCTCTGCTACCGGTCACAGCCTACGACTAATCGGAGGCACGGGGACGGGGAAGCAAGAGATAAGACACCACCTTGCCAGCTTCGCCTCGTTCGCTGATCAGGCGGTGGCAGCTACTACTATCGAGCTGCCAGCTGCCACCGCTCCCCCGGAATTCTTTGCCTCGCTGTGCCATGGGCGAATCAACGCCTCCCAACGTCTGAGTGCATATCTGACGGAGTCGCCCGACACGCCCATCTTTGCCAAGCGGGTTCGTCCTGCCGGATCGGCTCTGCGTACCTGACGTAGTGGTGACTGGCCACCAGGGTCCGAAATGGCGTCCTCGAATCGAGAACTGAAGTACTCGTACTTCTGCTCGTGCTGTTAAGTCCTGGCCCTGATGTGGTTTCCGAGCACTTTCACAGCGGGATATCCCATACGGCAATGATGCACGCACCCTGTCGGATTATATATCCAGGCCTCTCACCAGCAGCCAGAGTCCAACTGGAACGACCACATTGTCATTAGCGGCAGTCAGGGTACTCTCCAGGAGGCTTGCTCCCGTTCCCGCAACCACACATTTCCCCAGCACGAGCATAAAGGGATCACTGTCATGCCAGGAAGCCCAGCCGCCCAATCTGAGCCAAAGCCAGCTCGCCGAGAGCCCGCACGTGACCGCCGATGCAAACGCGAAGCTCCCTTCCAAGCTCTTTCCCCCGATCCAGTACCATTTCGTCTTGCCATACCGCCGTCCAATTAAGCTGGCTGCAGCATCTCCCATTCCAACACATATAACGCCGCTCACCATGCTCAAGTCACGCAATGTAGTGTCCCAGCCAACCCAAGGATCTGGGCCCACGCGCGGGGCAGCAGCAAGGGACAGCCACAACGGTATCGCACATCCAATCAACAAAAAGATGTGAGAAACAATCACAGGCCCGCGGTGATCTCGCCCGTCTACATAAGGAGCGAGGAAAACAGTCAGAGGTTTCGAGATCGGAGGCAGTTGTGACGCTCGGAACAGGTCTAGGAGAAGAAAGATCGCTAGAATCAAGCTCAGCGCCATGGCAATAAAACAGGGATCCACAAATATGGTTGGTAAGAGCATTGCGACCATGATACCATGGAAGACTTTGCGTCTCGTGTCGACTTCGACGACCGACGTGAGGCGAAGCACCGCGCCTATCCCAGTCATGAGTACCACAATGCAATACGCACAGATAACGAGGCGTGTAGTGGCTGGTCCGAGGACATACTGTCGGACATATTCAGCAACACCATCCTTAAACGGGAGGACATGGTCCGTTTCTCGAGCTGGGAGGCAGATCCACCGTTCGAGGTTGTTGCTAACCACCCAAAGTCGGAAGATGGACAGATTGCCAAACAAATACCCCAACGCCCAGCCTACGGGTTCGTGGTTCGACAATGCCCGTTTTCCCACGTAGAGCCGGACCGGTCCCAAGATGGTGACAATCACAAACATATAGGCGATTGCTGCATACGCATACTTTCGCACGCGAGCTTGTGTCACGCTGAATGTGAGAAACGCCGCAGAAGGGCCTGTAGGAGCTTGCTTGACTTTCCTCGCGGATGGCGCTTGTTGTTTGCGGCGAATCTGATCAAAACCGGTGAACGTGTTTCTTCGAAGTGGTGCCGAAAACGCCGCGTTGTCCAACGATGTAACCTTGGAAGGCGCTATGTCGAAGGCCGAGACTGGTTCCTGGGTCGAATCCGTGGCAGTAAATGCTCGGCCGTTAAGCTGCAGCTTTAAGCGGGGTCTCAGCCTGGGGATAGAATTCGTAGGGTGCCTCTCATCTTCAGTGTCCGAACTGTCGGCCTGCACGCGTTGAAGTCTGCTGCGCACGAGGAAATTACATATGTACTGATCGAACTTGGAGATGAAGCCCCCAGGCCGCCGTGAACGCAGCAGTTTCCACGTGGGCACTCGCGCCAGGGCGACCTCCCACATTAGGACGTTCTTACAGCTGATGAAAATGCTCAGACCCCCTAGCCATATCATCGCCTTGAGAATTTCAGCTTGGGGTGTCCGTGCAAAAATGTAGAGGTTGATCAGAGCTGACGAGAGGAGATGTAGTTCTGATATATCCAGACTCGAAGTCGTGAGGTATCCGAGCACCGAGATCAAAGCCTGGTGCAAGGGGAACAGGACCACCAGATCTTCCCTCGTCAAGGGGCACCCGGGGTCGAGTTTCAGAGACAGTGGTTTCGGAAGTGAGGCAGGCGATAATCGGTATTTCGAAGTATGCAGAGGTACGATGGATAGGAGCCAGTGTAGATGTTCGCCAATAGCTGGAATCCTGGGGGTTGTCGTGATCATCGGCGGTATCGACGACAGCCCACAGATGATTGCTGCTGGGAGAAACGTAACGCTCTGGTGAAATAGAGAAATGGCTACCATTAATGGCAGCGTCACCGGGTACAACAGAGGCCCAGGGTCAAATCGAGAGGGGATGTGGAATCCCAGCCGGAATGCTTGCGCAACGGACTTTCTTGCAGCCAAGGCACGCATTGCGAGCCTGAGCGGATAGAGCAGATAGACGCATGGTGGGATCAGGAGAAACGTTGTGACTTCATTGAGCCAGTCCTTCAGACCTGTTGAACCCCATCTGCTGTTCCAGACCACCACCCCGATGCCACAGAGAAGCGAGGTTTCGGTACATCGTCGAACAATCTCGCGTCGCTTCCGTGTCTTGTATGCCTCATAATCCCTCAGCTGCTCCTTCGTCCGTTGTGGTTTTTTCCCAGGCTGCTTCTGCGCCGAGTCGAAAAATCGAGGCCCCTCTCCTTCCACAAAGGCTGGGGGGGTGGGAAGCGGACTGTGAGCGGGTGTCAAGTTGGCCGGCGAAGTCCCTCGAAGCCCCTTGTGCAGACGTAGAGGCGGCGCGGGGAGACCTTTGAGAAAAGGCCCTTTCTCGTCGTCGGCCTCCGTGCCGCTCTCGCTGGACTCCGAACGGCTGGGTTTCGGGGAGGGAATGTATCCGTTGGAGACAAGATCAGAGCCACTGTCAGGTCGCTGAATGTACGCGGGCCTCAGGCTCTCTGCCCGCAGAAGATATGGCCGTGGCGTACGCGACAGCGTCAGGTCATGCTGGCCGTGTATTTCCCGAGACGTGGATCGGCCAGAAGCATTTCTCGTGCGCTGCTGAGGCGTCATCGGAGGGCAAAGCCACGATCAGGCGCCAGATGGGTGGAGGGTGGTGGCAGCAGGCTATCATATGAATTCTTTCTCACGGCGGGTCAGAATCTAAGAGAGGTGCTGCGAGTACTGCAGACACGAAAGCCATCCTGACATGTCTTGTTGGGACAATGAGCAAAAGTTCACATGCAACACAAGGTTCTGGTGAGCTGAGAGGGCCACTTTGGTCTCTTCGCCGAATTTTGTTCCTGCGGAGTGACGCACGCATCCCCAATAATACGACGTACGCCATCTGGCTTCCAATCGCATGCCCATTACTAGCCGCATGACAGCTCACAAAGCTGTATTATTTTGGTGTATGGAGGATTGGCTGGATACCTAAGCTCCTGTATAAACGTGCGAGCTAACTCAATTGTTCCTGGGCCCCAAGAAAAAGATTACAAGCGACGTTTTGTACGCACATCTTTAATGCTGGATACCATTAACGAGCGTCGCCGTCGCCGTCTTTTGGCCATTTGCCTTGGAGGCGACCATTTCTGGCGGAGGCACTGGTCCAAACACAGGCTTCGCGATTTCGGTCGCCAACTCCTCTTCTGCCTCATAACTGGCTTCATCATCGTCGTCCTCGTCCTCATACTCTTCGTCGTATTCGCTTTCGGTGCCCTCTTCGTCCACCGGCTCTTGCTGGATCGGCCGACCTCGGCCTTGCTCCTGCATGATCTTGATGATGTTGCGCATCCGCTGCTCCTGCTTCCTGAGCCTCTCCAGGTCCTCCTTGTCCCTCGTGCGCTCCTCGGCCATTTCCAGAATGTTTCGATTGGTCTGGTCGTGTTTGCGCGTGAGCGTGAGATTTTCTTTTTCGAGCCGCTTCGTCTTCTTCGACATCTCCTCCATCTCTTTTCTGAAGGTGAGAAATAGCTCGTTGCTGTTGTTGAGGGTGTCTTCCACCTGCTGGATGGTGAGCAAAGAGTTTCAGCTCATGCATCAATCAAAGTAAGGTAAGGGATAGAAGGGAACTAACCTGCTTGAATTTCTCCACGTAAATGTTCAATTGGCTGCGTAGCTCCGCTTCAGTATGAGAAAAGGTCGACACTTGGCCCGTCAGTGTGCGGCAACGGGCTGCTTCAGTGTCGGCCCTTCGACGCTCGACTTCGTGTTTGGCTTGCAAATGGGCAATCTCGGCATCTTTGTGGCGAAGTATTGATTTAAAGTGCATTTCTCGGATTTCGGCTTGGTCCGCTAAGACCTTGCATCGTGTCCTGAATCTGTCGAAGCATTAGGAAAATTCCGGAAACAATGAGAGGGCATACTCACAGCTCGTCCAGCTCAAGATGAAGCATCTCGGGATGGGCGTTGGTCTTGGAGTTCATGGCTTCCTGCACGTCGTAGAGCATCTGGTCCAGACGTTCATTGATGCTTTCTCGGGCCTGTTTCTCGGTCTCTTCAAGCTTCTTATTGTCATCTTTCAGCTTTTTGTTCTCTTTTGTCAACTCTCGGCACAATTTTTCCAGCTTGTCCTTCATCGTTGTGGTCTTGTTGTGCTCCGACTTGGATTTCTCGGCTTCCTTCTGGTACTGATCGCGACTCTTTTTGGCTTTAAGGTGTTCGCGCTCGGTCTTTTTCATTTCGGCAAGAAGGTCTTCATATTTCTGTTTGACCAGGTCGATCCCCTTCAGGGGTTCAACTCCGTTGATCAGCTCATTGAGGTCGCGGATCGCTTTCTTCACTTCACGGTCGATCTCCGCCTGCTGGGCTTTATCGCCTGCCTTCTCCTGCTCCAGCTGTGATAGCCGCGCTTGTACTAGTTTTGCATTTTCCTCGGCGCTGAGTTGCTTGTCTTTCTTTCCCTTGCCCTTTTTTGCAGCGGGTGCGGGCGGGGGCAAATCATGGCTGTCGCCGTTCGTGGTTTGGGAAGTAGGACTATGCGCCGCGGTAGCCATATGATCGGAGGTGCTAGCCCGTGAGCTGCAGTCTTCGTATACCTGTTCAGGACCAGTGATAGCCTTCAGAACTCGTGCCCACGACTGTGGTGTTCGGCGTTGACATCTGCGACAGAGACTTTCAGTGGCGTCAGACAGTAATTGGACGCAGCAGAACGCGAGGATGTCAAAATATATCTGGGTGAGTGCGACGACTGGTCTATTCTTTGCTGTGTGTAAGTTATGTGGACCACAGAGAAAGAGATAATCTGGTCAAGCACGGTGGAAAGAGATCGAGCGAAACGAAACCTCGATCGGAGGACGTGCCGCGCAGATCTGGGATTTGCTTCACGGCCAAGCACTTTGTACAGATGCGCAATATACCAAAACCCAATGTCGAATAGAGATGATTACCGCCCGCAGTGAGATTTGAATGGATTCTCGACAGCAACTATTCACACTCTTCTATGACCCCTTCCAGCAGCCGTAAAAGGGTCCTCTGAAGCCGGTCGACGAAAGCGCGACTGGGATCAAGGGCACGTGACTCCTAGGTCTCTTATTAGGCAATCCTCGTTTCTCTTTTCCTCTTTCTTTGCCTTCTCCACGTTCCTGCGTTTACTATCATTAGAAATCTATTAACAAGAGACAAGTGCTTTCCCTTCGACGTCACACCCTTGTGGACTGGCCCGAGAAATCGCCCCTTGAGATACAGGCTACCTACAATTGGAGACCGCGAATCCTACGAGTGGGAGATGCTGAGGCATGGCGCCGTTCGCCAGGGCATTCGTCGGTGCGCAAGGTCGTGTTTGTCTAGAAGAGAATATGCGTCGGTGACAGACTTGGAGAGTTATCCTAAGCCTGGTGAGAGCATACACGGGTTCACGCTGAGAGAAATAAAGCATGTGCCGGAACTGCACTTGACAGCGTTGAGGTTGGAGCATGAGAAAACTGGCGCAGAGTATCTTCATGTCGCCCGGGATGATAAGAACAATGTCTTTGCCATCAACTTCAAGACAAATCCTACCGATAGGACAGGTTTGCCGCATATACTCGAACATGTTACGCTATGTGGGAGTGAAAAGTATCCTGTGAGGGATCCCTTCTTCAAGATGATGCCGAGATCACTGGCAAATTTCATGAACGCATTTACATCTTCTGATTACACCTCATACCCGTTTGCCACGACAAATCTGCAAGACTACCGCAACCTCTCCTCGGTATACTTGGACGCGACTCTCCACCCGTTGTTGAAACGTACGGATTTCTTGCAAGAAGGGTGGCGGCTTGGGCCCGAAGACCCCCGGGAGCCGGCGACAGAAGACAATATCAAGTTCAAAGGGGTCGTCTATAACGAGATGAAAGGGCAGATGTCCGATGCTAGCTATCTTTTCTACATCAGATTTAGAGAACACCTTATACCGTCTCTACACAATTCTGGTGGTGATCCCGAAGTCATGACACAGCTCACGCATGATCAGCTCGTCGACTTCTCTCGCAAGAACTACCACCCCAGCAACGCAAAGATATTCTCTTACGGCAGTCTGAGTCTCTCCGAGCAACTTCGACATGTGGACGAGACCATATCGAAATTCGAAAAAGCGACGCCGGATTCAGAGATCAAGTTGCCAATCAGTTTCTCCAACGGTCCCCTAGCTTTCGAAGTCCCTGGCCCCGTCGATACAATGCAACCCCCTGACCGGCAGTTCAAGTCTTCCCTTTCATGGATGGGCTGCCCCTCATCGGACATCGTCGAGACCTTTTGTGTGAGCATAATGATGTCGTTGTTGATGAACGGCTATGGCTCTCCACTGTACCAAGGACTGATCGAGTCGGGCTTGGGAACCAATTTCAGCCCGAATTCAGGATACGACGCCTCTGCAAGGGTTGGCGTATTCTCGATAGGGTTAGACGGGATGAAGGCTAAAGATGTTGTTGGGTTGAAACAGGCCGTTCAGACAATCTTGCAAGAGAAAGCTCACGAGGCATTTCAGACAAATAAGATCGAAGGCTATATGCATCAACTAGAGCTTTCCTTGAAACACAAAACAGCCAATTTTGGAATGGGTTTACTGGAAAAAACTCTCCCTGGGTGGTTTAATGGAGTCAATCCAATGGACTCGCTGTCGTGGAACCAGATCATCGACGCCTTTAAACGACGAATGAACAAGGAGAAGTATCTTGACCAACTCGTGCAAAAATATCTCATGAATGACAGCTGCATGCAATTCACAATGACTCCTTCAGAATCTTATGCTGTCACCTTAGACATGCGGGAAGAAGAGCGACGGAAGAACATCCTAGACAACATCAAGAAGACCGCCAGCTCACCGGAAGCCGCAATCTCCGAGCTTGGTCAACAGGAACTCGAGCTCGTTGAGGAACAAGAAAAGGCCCAAGACAAGAATTTGGAGACCCTCCCGACTCTTCGCGTCAGTGATATTGCCCGGGAAAAAGAGAGGAAGCCACGGTACCATTTGAATATTGGTGATGTGGACTGCTTGTGGCGTGAGACCGAGACGAACGGCATCACTTATTTCCAAGCAAAGCATCTTCTGAAAAACCTTCCGAACGAGCTGAGGCTACTGCTACCGCTATTCACCGACTCACTGATGCGGCTGGGAACGAAGACAATGTCCGTGGGAGACCTCGAAGCCGAAATTCTCCTGAAGACCGGCGGCGTTACAGTCTCGTCCTTTGCGGCGCCGGATCCGTGGAGCTTAGACAAGTGCAACGAAGGACTCTTGGTTGACGGATATGCGCTCGACAGGAATGTCCCTGCGATGCTTGACCTCATCCGGACCCTACTGTTGGACATTGACTTCACGAGTCCGGGAGCCATTGCTGCGATTCGAGAGCTCCTTGAATCCAAGGCTTCGGGTGCACTCGATGCAGTTGCAGAAAGCGGTCACCACTTCGCCATAACAAGCGCTTCTGCCGCCCTGACGGAAAGAGGGCGGATCCAAGATCAGCTTTCTGGTCTTTCGCAAATAGAGTCTACCGCTCGAATACTGGATGCAGCCAGACGAGATCCAGGGAGCTTGGAGCAGGTCATCCAGAAGCTACAGACCATTCAATCAATAGCAGTCGCCAACTCGGCGGATTTGTCGATGCGTGTCGTGTGTGAACCCGGCTCGGTTAAGAACAATCGAGATCTCATCGAGAGATTTCTGGTGCAACTGCCTCGAGGGCAGCCATCAGTGAGTAATCCAGCTCCATCAAATGCTGTACCAGGATCGTCGCTGTCGAGGCGGGCATTCTTCGACTTGCCATTTCAAGTCTCCTATACGGGAACATGCCTGCAAACTGCACCTTACAACTCACCGGACAAGGCGCCACTCACGGTCCTTGGTCAGCTCTTGGTCCACAACTTTCTCCATCCCGAAGTTCGAGAAAAAGGCGGCGCTTACGGTGCATCGGCGAGCGCAAGCCCGATCAGTGGACTGTTTACCATGTCTTCATACCGGGACCCAAATCCCCGTACTTCTTTAAGCGTCTTCGAGCGCGCGGGGGTGTATGCCCGCGACAAAGACTGGAGCGGTCGAGAACTTGAGGAGAGCAAGCTAAGCATCTTTCAAGGTATTGACGCCCCCAGAAGTGTAAGCAGTGAAGCCAGTAAGGAGTTCATGTACGGCATCACCGAGGATATGGACCAAGAGATGCGCGAGCGCCTCCTGGGTGTCACAAAAGAGGCCGTTCACGCGGTCGCCCAGAAGTATCTCGTGGACCTCCCTTCGGATTTGAGGTCCTCGTGTGTCCTGGGGGAGAAGAAAGACTGGATCGAGCAGGATCCGGAACGATGGCAGGTCAAGACTCTGAAAATGTCTGTCGAAGTTTAGACATTTTGGTGCAGTAAGTGCTGTGAAACATTGTACAATTATTCCACTCCTCAAAAGATACCCCAATAGAGTCCGACGAGTCAACTGGTTATCTCAAGTCCTTCGTCTGTTTCTTTCTCTTCAACAGCGCGACTCAGAACAGAGCAATTACGTCTGCGACCGCAATCAGCCCCCATGGTCGGAGATCACAAGTCTCGAAATGTCATAGAGCATTTCTTCCGCGCAAGATTAAGGCTTAGTGGTTAGGTGATACAGCAAACTTTGCCTTCGGGTTGATGTTCGCTATGATTACTGGACTGCTGAGTTCAAAGGCATATCTATTTCAGACCTGTCGTGTTCTTCGAGATTCAGGAAAGGCAGACTAGAGGTGTGCGTACATACCTTTTCAATTCTCTCACATATAAATCACTTGAGGTCACTCTGAGCAAGATCAACAGCACGCTCAACTGATACTGGGGGCCTCCCTGCGTCCTTGCCACAACACTCATTTTTAGAATCTTCTACCTTCCGTATTCTACCTTGGCTTGACTTATTTCCTCGTCCGTGTTCATCCAGGCTATGTCGTTGAAGTGAGGTGAAATCTCAAGCTTTTCCACTTCTATTCTCACACTGGCACTCTTCCTCACTACACGTGTATCTCTCCTTTCGTTCTCGCTTCTCATCCTGCCCTCTCTTTCGATTTGACCATCGTAAGTACATCTTACTCACAACCACGCGGACTACTTGTGGAGAGTCAGTTCGAAGGTAGATTCGAACTACACGACATGGAGATAACGGAGAGCGACCCTAGGACGTATGTGTGATTTACTCTTCCACATTGATTTAATAACCTGACAAGGGGCGCAGCTTCGCCTCTGTCCTCAAGAAGGAACGTCAACCTGATATTGATGTCATTGTCAAGAACTATCGTTGGCCAGTCCACAGTCATATCATCTCCGCCCATGGATCCTTCGGAAAACTCTGCAACGACGCACGTGAGGTATGCCCTGCACGTCTTCAGGACTTAATCAGCCTGACATGAGCTAACGGTGAGCCCTCTCTAGCGACAGAATGGCGAGCGACGCGAAGTGCATCTCGACGACGAGCCAGTCATAATCGCACACTTGGTCCGCTGGTGGTACATCAAAGAATACGACGACGCAATAATTTCAGCCGAAATGACCGGCCTTGCCATACGAAGTCTTCTCAAGCATGGCAAGGTCTGTTCGTCTGTTCTCTCAGAACGAGACGACTCAGACCCTGAACCAGGACTTGATAATGCTCAGGAGGACGCTGATTGGGAGGATCTTCCTCCAATATCACTGCACGCGAAGATGTATCTCATTGCGCGAAAGTACGGAATCACTGAGCTGAGCGAGAAAGCAGTGTATGAGATCACTGAAACCCTGGGCTTCGAGAAAGAAGCATTGCTGCCATGCTTGGCTCACTTCTTTGCCACTAATTCTCCAGAATTTGGTTCTACGGACAGCAATGACGGCAGCAATCCGACCGATGACAATGTTAATGGCACCACCACTGCCACGACCCGCAACAAATCCCCGGCAGAATACATGATTTCGGAACAGCAAGACCCAGAATTGTGGAAAGTTCTCGCCAAAACCACAGGCCAGCACGCCTTCACAGTTCACACTGACCCATTCTTCCGACAAATCATGACGTGCAACCCGCTCTTCCATTGGGCTGTGACGTGCAGGGTGATCACCACGTTGGACGAGGTTTGTAAGAAATTGGAGAATACTCCTGTTGAACCGGCGAAGGTGCCGAAGAAGAGAGGAAGGAAGAAGCAGGAGGATAAGGAAGGATCAGGGTCTGTCGATGACAACAACAAGAAGAAAAGAAAGAAGATAGAAGAAGGCGCTGTGCATGCTCCGAAGAAGACCAAGAAGGAGCCACAAACGGAGAGAGGAAGTGAGACGGGCCTTTGAAGGTGCATTTGTATCGACTCCAGGCAGGGTCCGCTTCGAAAGTCCCATCTGTCCCTCCCTCACCCCAAAGACAACAAGCAAAAAGAACGGTTCTTTTCGAAAGAAGATCGAGATTTCCATTAGTCGCCTCGCCGTCAACATTCGATAATGAGGAGCTGGTCATCTCCTCTTTGTTTTCAGGAAGTTTACATTGGACCTGGACACGTTGCTACGAGCGAGCGAGACAGGTTGTGTGAAAGATGGCATGTTTGGAGCGTCGGACATGGAAGCTCCAGAGCAGATTTGGATACCTCCCGAACGACAGAGCTACTCGGTGGACCACCCTTTCAGGGTGCAAAGTTTCCTTAGTGCTACGCTTCCTGCGCATCGTTGTGCCCGCCGGGGTAATGGTGCTCCCATATTATCGTCAATAGTAGCTATATCTGAGCTGGTGGTCACATCCTAATTGTTCACTGGCTCTGGCTTCCTTCGTAGATGGCGTCTATTCATTGTTCTGACAGTACCACTTATGTCCTGCACAAGGCATGACTTTGAGTTGGGCGAGGATCAGGCCCTTGAAACGCCAATTCTCAGTAGACAACTTACACTCAACTTTGTATGTGGGAAAAGCATAGAGCACATATCTTGGTTATTTCAATGATGACAATAGATCAATCTTTTTCGAAGAATCCTCCGGAACGAATCGGTTCCATTACTGTCATAGAAGACAATCTCGGCTTTGGAGACCAAACTCTCGTCCCTTCAAGGCGAGAGATCAGGCTGCTGATCCTGGAACCTAGCGAAGATGAGAATGCCATGCCCAGTATAAGACTGAGTACAGCCTCATCGAAGCAGCGACTATACTATGACGCTCTACCGCATGCTTGGGATTCCACCTCCGAGGCTCACTGTCTTCATATCAGCAATGTCGACGTGGGGATCACAACAGGAGTATTGAATGTTCTGCAACGGCTGGGGCACCCTGTAGGCGAAATGGCAGTTTGGATTGGCGCTCTGTGCACATATTCCTATCGAACCGTGATGAAATACCTCAGAATTCTGAGGTTTGAGCCTCTGTGTTATGAGGGGGTTAATTGACGATAGTACTGTAGGAGCCCGGTTAGCGTTCCTGAGATAGGGGCCCAATCTGGATTCCTGCTGCTCACAACACATGAGATTGATTGCTTCGAAGAGCTCGGCGACGTTGTTCGATGCAATATGGGTTCACCTTGCCGTGTCCTCCAAGCGACATCCAGTCACGGTTTTGGGGAGACCGAGAGGAGTCACATCGATGCGAGCGCTCAAGGTGAGGGGTGGAAATGGCATTACACCGAAGGAGCGATGACCCCTTCGTTATACTTGGAGTATACTGCCATTCATGGTGGCTTGGTTTTACATCAGCCGTGTTCAGTCCTATTTTCGGGCCCTGCTCTTATTGGCTAGCATTGTTGCGGTCCCACCAGTCATTTGTGGCTTTACCAACAGGGTTTAGTGTAGAAAACTCAGGCCATCTCGCCGGACGTCTGCCCTCCCTTTGAGCTTCACCAGATTTCATCCTCTCGATCCAACATCGTGAGTGTCTTTAAGGAAACTTTGCTCGTGAAACGGGTTTTCAAGGTCCTCTGAGATAGGCGGTTGCCTGCCTTACCCATCTTCTCCCGCCCGAGCTTTTCCCCTGCCGAGTTCTTCTCAAAAATACCCAACAAAATGCGACTTAGAGACGTACAACGTCTAGAATTACCGCCATCGGCGGACATGCATGTCCATTTGCGGCAGGACAAAGTTAATCTCACCGGCCCTAGTACTGGATCGGACTAAAATAATTTCTTCCTGCCTACAGGTCATGGAATTAGTGGCTACCACAATTCTAAATGGAGGAGTCGATACGGTCTTTGTTATGGTATATAGATCTTCAATGTTTCATTCTAACATTAGCTAATCTATTTTACAGCCAAACCTACAACCGCCGATTACAAGTGTAGCTAAAGCTTTAGAATATCGGTCTCGTCTTCAATCCATCGAACCAAAAGTCCATTATCTCATGTCACTCTACGTGAGTAATCTATTTCTTACGAAGTTACCATGCCGTTTAACGACACCAGCTTCATCCCTCTGTGACCCCCGAAGTGATCGCTGAAGCCGCAGCCGCTGGTATCACCGGAGTCAAGCTGTATCCTCAAGGTAAGGCATCAATAACGAGGCTTCTTTCCTCCATACTCGAGTATTGATGTAATTTAGGCGTGACCACGAATTCCGAGTCAGGCGTGCCAGCCGATTTTCTGAAAGCCTATTCTCCTGTCTTCGCGGCCATGGAACAGCATGACCTGGTCCTTAATTTGCACGGAGAGTGGCCAGGCCGCCCTGCAAGCGACGACATTTCTCTCGAGGAAGCGTTCCTGCCGGAGCTTATGAAGCTCCACGAGAAATTTCCACGCCTTCGGTGCGTCCTCGAGGTCGGTTCTTCCCATGATCAACTGTGAATCCAACAATAACACTTCGCAGCATTGTTCTACCGCCGCAGCTCTGGATGCCGTACGAGCTTGTGGTCCATCAGTTACTGGTTCGTCCGTTTACAGTTAATCCTACTCCCCGTGACTCCCGATCCCACCGCTCTTTTACTATTCTTCTTTTTCTAAACACACCAATACTACAGGAACGATAACAGCACATCATCTTTACCTGACGGGTGAGGATAGCCAGACAGATCCTCTGGCTTTTTGTAAACCGATTCCCAAAAAGCCGTCGGATCGAGATGCCCTAATTAAAGCTGTGTGCAGCGGCGACCCTAAATTCTTCTTGTGAGTCTGTCCACATCCTTCTGATTATAGTCTTTCTTGATTAATCTTGCGTGACTTTCAGCGGTAGTGACAGCGCACCGCATCCGTTAACCTCCAAGGTCAAGACCACAAGTGGCCAAGCAGTCCCAGCAGGCGTATTCACACAGCCTTTCGCTACCCAGCTTGTGATTCTAGCGCTTGAAGAGGCCATTGAAAGGGGGGTCCTTGAAGAAGATGAGGTCACACAGGACCACCTCGAGCAGTTCCTAAGTCGATCTGGACGGCGCTTCTACAAACTGCCTAATCCTGATCCCGAACGAAAACCCAAGATCGTGTTGGAGAGAAAAGGCGAGACAATTCCCACGAGCATAAAGAGCGCCGATGGCACTGTGGAAATTGGCTTATCAAAATCCATGGCTCCTGTTTTCAGTTTAAGCTGGCTTACTTAGGATGGCGTCTGATTCCCACATATTCCGGATTACGACAGATAGATCAATATGTTAAATCAGTTATGCGGTCATCTCTTCTTCGGCCTGGAGAGCTGCGTTCTCCCGGATTTCTCTCTGTGGATCTTTCTTTCGTGATCGCGCTTCTTTAACTCGTCCAACCTATGGTCATCATTGGTGTCCAAGATCTCTTCAGCTTGAGCTATTACATCCTTCTTTCTTTGGTGGAAGACTTTGACCCTTGACTCGTGGGAGTTGATCCATTGTTACGAGTCCTTTTTGGCCATTTGCTGAAATTCCTCCCGGACATAAGGAATTTTTGACACTCTTGCCCGATGATAGTCTGCGCTTCTTCATTTTGTTTATGGAGCCGCTTTCCGCAGAGTCCCATGTCTTTTGGGCGAGAACCAGTACTCTCTCGACGACGCCTTTTCGCGCAATAGCCAGCCCATGAAGCATGAATGAATGATCAACATTTAGGGCTAACAGGGTGGGGTGACTATGGAAATCATTTCGTGTCTATGGTGGGTGTACCTCTGATTCAAACATAATACTACCGGTCTTACGACATGCAGGGTCGTTCTGTTCACTGTGAATCCTTGCTCTTTTTAACCCCAATTCACCCATACCGACACAGCATTTTGTGTTCTCTGTTTAAACTCATTTGGCAAATACGAACGAGGGATACTTTGCCTCAGTCTCCTCGGTCAATTTGGCGATATAATTCTGCAGGCCGGCGAGGAAAAAGGCGCTGTATTTCTTCTTGCCGTCCACGTTGTCGTTCTGGATCCACGACTTGACCTTATCGAAGACGGTCGCTTTGGAGATCTGCTGCACTGTCTGAGCCCACTCTGCCTGGGCTCGGGCGTCCGCCTCCACCGTCTTGTCCCCCCTTTTGCGGGCCTCCTGGATGAGCTTGATGATGAAGTCGCCCTGCAGCTCGATCGACGGGAGCATATTCGCGAAGGGACCCCCGGGCCCCGTGACCGTGAAAAAGTTGGGGAATTCCGACACGCTGACACCGTACAGCGCGTTCGCTCCTTCTTTCCACGCGTCGGTCAATTTGAGTCCGTTGCGGCCCGTGATGTCGATGTTGTGATAGGCGCCGTCGACGCCGTCAAAACCCGTCGCGTATACGATGATGTCAAATTCGAAAGCTTTGCCGTCTCGCAGTTCTAATCCAGTTGGGGTGATTTTGGCCACGGGGTTGTTGGAGATGTCGACGAGAGAGACATTAGGTTCGTTGAACGCTTCGTAGTACCCATGCGTGCAGAGTGGGCGGCCGCCGTAGTGCCCTGTAGGCTGGAGCAGTTTTGCCGTCTCGGGATCTTTGACAATCTCTGCGATCTTTTCTCGCACGAACGCGGCGGCTGTCTCGTTCGCATCCACGTTGGTTCCGAGGTCGTTGAAGGTCTCGAAGAAGAAGCGGAAGCCGCCCCCTTTGTTCCAGATGCGCTCATACACTTCCCTGCGCTCCTCCTCCGACACCTCCAGCGCCGATTTCTTGCTCTCGGTGAAGCCCATGGCAAAAAGCGAATGGAACACCGTGTCCCAGATCTTGTCGTAGTTCTCGTAGATCTCCTTCTTCTCCTCCTCGGTCACCGGTCGATCATTCACGGGGACAATGTACTGGGCTCGTTGCTGGAAAACGGTAATCTGCTTCACGAGGTGGTGGATAGACCCGGTGATCTGGCTTCCTGACGGGCCGGTGCCGATTACGGCGACCCGCTTTCCCGTCACGTCGAGGCCCTTGGGCCACCTGGCAGAGTGGAAGGAGAGGCCCTTGAAAGAGTCCCGCCCCGGAAATGCTGGGGTGTAGGGGTTCGTGAGGATGCCTAGCGCGGTGAGGAAATAGGTCGCAGAAAACTGCAACCCTTTGTCCGTGGCGACGAGCCAGCGGTTCTTCGCGGCGTCGTAGTGCGCCGAGACGACCTCGTTCTCGAAGACATAGTTCTTCAAGACGTCGGACTTCTTGGCCGTGTCGACGATCTGCTCCTGGAGATCTTCAGCCTTCAGGTACCGCGTATGCCATTTTGGCGGATCGCGGTCGTCGGAGAAGCGGTACACCCAGCTCTCGGTGTCGGTCTGCGAGCCCGGATATTGGTTCCAGTACCAGGTCCCACCGAGGGCGCTGCCTTTCTCCACGGCGACGACGTTCTGAAGGTGAAGGCGGTCCTTGAGAAGGCTGACGAGGCGTATCCCGCCGAATCCTCCGCCGACCACGACCGCGTCCACTTCCTTTGGGCTGGTTGACATTTTGTTTTCTGGTCAGAAGGATCAGATAAGATGCGTGATCTCTTGGATGACCGTAAATCCGGTGAGATTTCCTAGAGGGCGATCAAGTAAGCCGCCACTACTATAGGAACGAAGGCGGCCAGAGTTCAGCCCAGCTGACTAGTGTACTATCTCACCCTTTTTTCGAGAGGCAGTTCTGCGGGATGGAATGGCCGTTCACGATGGTCGAGACTCACTACAACTCGAACACGGAGTCGTAGTTACAGGAGGTAAGCATGAGAAGATATACTCAACGCATCCAGTATCCAGAGGGCAACTTCCAAGCGTGTTTGCGCCATTTCATCCATCGATCCTCACTCATAACACTTCAGCTCGAGCTTGCGTTCGCCGCTAAAATTGCGCAATCAGCAGAAGCAAGCCGGACAAGAGACCAGCCCTCGAATCGATAAGGCTTCCAATGTCTGTGAATGGAGGAAGAGGAAGAAGAGGTAGGCCGAGGGACGACCGCAGTTCGTATTCCCATCACGTCTTTCGCGAGCCGGATTTGCATTAAAGCTTGGGCGAGAAAAGCGGGGTTGCCTGACACACTAGTTGTTTTATGGATTAGTCCCTCCACACTGTGGACGAGCATGTGGAGTGTCTTGCTCTCCACCCGCTTCTGCATCGGGGATAGTGCAGGGAGGTGTTCAGCCTTGCTAGAAATCCCTCTCACTTCCGTCCTCTACTGTCTCCTCGCCTACTCCTGTCAGTTGCAACTCCTGCAGCCGCTAGCGGAAACATGCACAGTCACCAAGCGGCGGGGCAGAGGCACACTTCTCAATGGGTAACCCATTAGAATCATCTGAGGGAATCGAAACTGGGTCGGCAGAATCAGAGAATGAAGAACTTTCTCCTCCGCTCATTGCTTCGTCCGGTTCTACCAACCCAGGGCAAATATCAATACGAGAGTGCAGGGTGTGACGATGACCCCCGATCCTGACATGCGAAGAGGAGATGAGACAGACGAGATACTAGCGGCAGCTGCTTTGAAACAGATGCAGCATCCGACGACCATTTTGGATACCTCACAGAACAGCTTCGCGAGTCCTTCTACGGAGAGTGCCAGCGCATGGCCAGCAGTGGGAAATTTTCCGCAAAAGGATCGGGTCACTCCTGGGTCAAAAGAGGTAGAGAATGGTAAGAGTTCCCTTGAAAACGAGGTGCTCGAGATGCAGTGAGAACGGGTGTGCTGATCTGAGCAGGTGTAAAATACTGGTACTGGAGAGACGTGCTGAAACAGTCCCGTGGCATCCAATGAAGTTGGAAAGAGCAGTTCTTATACCCAATGGTCCCCTTTATCCTACGTTCAGGTAAGTACATTGCTCTGGCTTACCTCCGACTCGATGGAGTCAAACGACTCAATCAACACCCCTTTCTCGAGACACTCCACTTCCTAGCAGGAAATCGTGTACCCTGTTGGTTTCTCCTAATTCAGCAGGGCTCTTGTGGAGAATCTCAAGAGCGTCGTGCATGTTCGCGGGATGCATGCACTTCTGTCTGGATCTTTAATAATTGTTCATGCCTCGAAACCATTTCATAACATCATCTTGTTTAAATGTCAACAATGGCAGATAATCGCAACTCCATCACATCGTCAACTTATTCCAGCGAAAGCACATCAGCCGCGACTACTACGACACAAACCGTCACCAGCACCGGAACCAAGGTTGACACTGCAAACATGATCAAATCATCTGAGGAAAGCAGGAACAGGAGGAAAGTGAATGCAGCCCGGCGCGCTAAGGAAGAGGAAGAATCCAAGAAACCGTGAAGGGAAGTTCAGGCCGGTCTGATCGCTGCTGGACCGCTGATGGATCGTAGCTGACAGAGATAGTTGTTCCAGTCACGCCTTTTCTGCTCGGTAAATTTCCAAGTGTCGGCACTCCAGTATTTGGCCATGACGTCTTGAAATGCGATTGCTCCCTTTCCTTCGGAATGGGCAGGGGCAAATTGAGGTTGTATGCAGTCGACAAAAAGATTGTACGCGATCCGTGGGATTTTTAATGCAGCGAGATACCAGTGCCTTCTTATCGAGAGAGACTCTCTCATTGCTTGGGCATAGTCGCGAGGGTGGACTGGAAACGATTCTCTTTCTTCTTCGAAGATTTGAAGGAATTCTTCACACGCAATTTCGAACTTTTCTTCTTTCGCTCCTGTGCCTTCTCCGTAGAGATCATCGAATTCGTCTCCATTCAGCCAGAAGGGTGGATGTTGCATATCCCTTGGTAAAGCACAGCTCCACTCAAGGTCCATAACGCCTGTAATTCGATACTGGCTATCCACTATGAAATTGCTCTCATGAAAGTCCGTCAATGTAAACATGAACGGTCCGTGCCGCGATCTCCTGTCGATAAACTTTGGAAGCAGTGCCCGTAGTGCGACAATGGTTGCCATTTGACCCTCTAAATCATATTCACTGATAGCTGCATTTGGTTGATGTATCAATCTCTGGTCATGGCAGTGTAGAAGATCAAGTAGGTATGCGTCGGTGGTTGAGTAGCAGCAGTCCCGGGGGATTTCCGTTGGGATGCCCGCGTTCTCAAGCATAGCCAGTCCTTTTGTCAATGGTCGATTGGTAAGGCTTACTTCTCCAGAGTCGTGGACGGTGAAGGAGCCAATTTTCGGTAGTGGGTGCGATAAGTCGAGAAGAAGCCTTCGCAAACTGCGAAAAAATGTTTGCCGATGATCTCGAGGGGGAAACCCTACCGTAGAGAGCATTTGACCTCGCTCCTTCTCAAAAAACTCCTCCACTAAATACCCGCTCTTTAGTGAAACACGGCTTTGACGGGGAACGAAGGGACAGAAATATGACTGGCCAAAAATCCAAGCCCAGCACTGTCTGAGATATATAAAGGCTCGCTGATACCAGGGCGCATACTTTAGAGGAGAAAACTATGAAATTGTGAGTAAACCAATAGCTGCCTAAACCAGTTTCAGACTCACGTGCAAGCCACTTGGAAGTCCAAATCCCCATAAATATGGAATGGGAACGCGAGGGGAATTCCAAGATAGCCAAGCGAATGAGGCTGCCTCGCAACGGATCTTCTCCTCCATAAGCATGTTCGTGTGCAGACCGCCCAGCCGGTGAGGAAGCGGACACCTAATCAGTACCCGTCGTGCACGCCAGTTGTTGACAGAAACAGGCACACAGACATTGAAGGTTCCGAACAGCCACTGAGATCTTTCTGCAACTCTGCACGATTGATGCACTCCGAGGTTCAAATGTTGAGCGACGATTGTTTCGATAGTGGCGGTTTCAGCTTCAAGGTAGCGGAAAAATTCTTCTTGTAACCGCTTCCAATGAAGGTGTATAAGCATGTTATGATCTTCTTTCTCAAGCTCCAGTATTGGCTTCACCCATCCTGTTGGTTGGTCCAGCTGCGGTAGCATGTCGTTTGAAACTTTGACAGAGGGAAATCTTGGCTGAGTTCCGTGTACACAGTGGAGATAATTGCAATGTAATCAGAGACATTCAACGGTTCATCAGCGCTGAAGTATTGTTGCACTCGTTCAAAGGTTGTCGTTGTTAACGCGTCGGTCGCAAGTTGTAGATTTGGGGTGTGTCATTTAGGAAGGTATGACGGAAAGACTAGGCGACTTTCGTAGATAGGGGTCGAGCGGGTCCACGAATCGGATATCGCAAAGAACCCTTTAGCGGTTGGCCGCTAATGAAGCACCTATGTATGTAGTACGGTCGGGCTTAGTGAACTACGATAAAGAGAGACTCTTGAACCCACTAACTTTCCTCCACCAATTCCGCCGAAGTTACACTACCCCGGCGAGCGCATAAGACAGTCACAGTGACGAGCCACGACAAGGTTATATTGAAATGCATTCCTCTGGCGGTAGCAAGTTAACCGCAGCCTTTGAGAGAACACAAAGATTTCCTCCAGCTCAGGTGGCTGGAACTGCGAAGCTGACGAGTGACATGCCGTCCTCAGTACCTGGGGCATTACATGCAAATCCGATATTTCCTCGCTCGGGGCAGGCTGGAGATAACAGTCTTCACAGGCCATTGTTGATCACAAATCTGAGCCAAGCTTCAGGAACTACTTCCAGAGAACACAGACCTGGAAAATTAACGAGTGGAGAGAGCTCCAATCTCAACCGAAGAGTGAGAATATTAGACTGTTTAAGATTGAAGGCAAATGGGAGGAGCTTCCCATCAAGGGTCTACGGAAAGCAGAAAGAAATGGGAAACAGGCACTGGCTTCAAGCGAACACTTTATTTATACATTTATCTGAATGAGATAGAAGCAACGATATTACTGGTTGTTAGTTCAATTCAGCTCTGTCGAGAGTGTTTCCTTGCGTCCCAAACCACCACAGAAGAAGACCATTTCTAGGTAATTCGATCCAAACCCCTTCATTCATATTCCACCCTTTCAATCTGAAATGCATTTGTGATTTCCCATCTACGACGGTCTCTCGGAATTCGCAATTCTCCACGGCAAGATCCTCTGAAAGATGCATATCAGGCCGAACTTGTCCAAGAGCTTCCTCGCGGCCGTCGTCGTATCGGAGGATAACGCCAATATATGGGCTAAGCTCGACCGAATCGTCCTGGCATACTCTCAGAGAAACAACGTGTTCCAATGGCGTGGTGCTCAGATACCAATCTCGGTTACGAGCCCCGAACGGAGGGCAGTGAACGAACATCGGTTTAGGGATGCTTTCGTGAGTTGAGATAGAATGGTTCGTTTTCAATAGGACGCCGAATTCTGTAAAAGTTGTTTCCGAATTGTTGATGAATGAGTGATAAATTCCTCGGACTGGAGTTCCATCAGTTGATAGAATGCTATCGTAAAGAAAATATGGTTCGTCTCCTGGCTCAAGGTGCGGTCCAAAAACGACGCTTCTCCCAAAATTCGTACTCATCTTAACCCCAGGAGTTAGCCCCTGTAAGTAACATCGTAGTTGCCATCAGCACTTGCCTCTACAACTACACCTGTTCCAAGTCCGTCTCGTCTTCGGATGTACACTCTTTCAATCGCTTCACCCTGATGAAGAGAAAAGTAGATAAATACAAAGGTATTTTGACTAAAGAGCGCCTCAAGTCGTGCCACGAAGCTTCGGAATGATTTTCCATTGCCGTCCATGAATATACCGACCGTGGAGTCACCACGCGCACATCCGATGATAGTGTTTGATCCCGTAAGTGGTACAAACTGAAATGTCGGTGATTCACTGCGAGTCGGTTTGTTCGATATGTTGATGAAATCGCTCCGTACAGGATGAACAGGAGTGTTCCACCACTCGACGATATTTGGCTTTTCTCTCCATCCAACCTCCAGCGATCGGAGAAACAATCCCTGTTTTCCTTAGCTAAGTAATGTAGAGTCAGAGGCAAACCAACATTTGTGTGGCCAATAAGTTTCGCATCAGGAGATAGATCATGGATGTCGACTTGCCCATAAAAGTATAATCCTTCGTCTTTTATCTCTGGCAATTCTTTTACGTCGACTACCATACCGCGTACCCCCAAAATAATCTCTCCAGAAATAGATATGCTCACTGTCTGAACAATCAAATTTCCCATCCAACAATCGGGTATTCGCAATCAGAGAGATGTACACACCACCCCAGAATTCAATGGTTGCAAGGTAAAGAGATTTCTTTGGTGAAAAGTAGAAGATGGTGTCACTTGGCGCACTTCGAAGACGGACCTGGTCGACGAGTTGGCGTGTTTGTGCAAGTGTCACTGCCTCTGGCCATGGATGGAGGAATTCTGCGACAAGTATCTGTAGGTCGGAATTAAACTCTGGAATATTGTATCCAAGCTCTCTTAGTGATTGCCGTAAAAGGTTAACACTTCTTTGTTGGGGGAAAGGTTCGGATTCGAGCATTAAGCAGAGAGTCAAACGAGAGATATCATTGATTGTGATATCCGTACACCATTGTCGGACTGTGCGGTAGCATCGGATGTGGCAATTGATCCTTACTCGTGGGGTCCTGCGACATCGAGGGCAGGGCCATATCACGTTGATTTCGTTCACTTTGGATTCGTCAGATGAGAGCGTGTCCAGTTCGGGACGACTTACGCGAGTAATCCCCAAATGCAGCCGTATAGCACAGGACACATTTCCTGCGATGCTTTGGGACCGACAGTACGGACAGAAGCACCTTGTGTCGGTCATATGTTAAGGCTGCGGTGTCGCGCCTCGCAATGTGATGGGGAATTTACGAAGGCACGGAAGGGTAATTCACGCTATTAGGTCGAAGGCCTTCCGCCGAGGACTAGCGGGGACAGTCATTACAATGCTTGGCGACTCTTGTCAGTCACGGATGGTTGATGGCTACATGGGCAATGACGATCCTGAACCCACCGTGACCTTAATACGATGCTCCTTCATCTAGACCTATTACCTTCGAGGGGGAAGATGCTGTTTCGATTCAATACCAATTATACGCGCTGCGAGATCCATTCAACGGATATTTATCCATTCAACGGATATTTTTGCATTTGGTTGTGCAATCTACGAAGTTATAGCTGGAAGACCTCCATACTGTGAGCTCGAGGCATCAAGTGATCGATAACAACAGATTGAACGGCTATACGCAGACAATCGATTTTCCGATGTCGCATCCCTGCTTCTTGCACGGTTAATTCATGGCTGCTGGCATGGTGATTTCAACCCTATGAGTGAGGTCCTTCGAGAACTGGAACATTTCGCCCACATCCCATCCTCATGACATGGAACGGAATATTAACCGGCAATGCGCATGGGCTTCCACTGGGAGCCTGATCACTTTCCCGGAATATCTCCATTCGAGGGGGAGTTGCGTCGACGCATCCTGGACCACAATCCTACAGCTGGGTCTCGTTCTCTCCTTGGAGATGGGCGGTCCTCGAAGTGCCACCGATACCCACATCGATACCAAATCGCCCCGTAATCTGCACGACTGTGATTTCAACGAGGACACGACCGAGATGCCGCCGCCCAGGCCAGAGACAGAATGGACGCCGGTACTCCCTCTAATTGTAAGAGGGCCGACTGATATCGGCTCTCGGCGTGATTTGCAACATCAACACCGACACCAATTCCCCTTCTTAGGACGAGGTCGTCAAGGTTGACGCCTTCTGCAAGACGTGCACAGTCGTGCTATTCTACCTGTGCTGCGCTGGGGAACCATGTCACACCCCATCACGCGTAGTTCCATCATTGTGGTACAGCAAGTAAGTGTCGAAACGACTTACCACAAATCACGCACCCTCCTGTACCGGAGAGCTTTGATCAGCTACCCGGGTTCGGCAGCCTCAAGAGCTAGGACAGGGGGCCGGTGCGGGTCTGTTTAGATTCCGTGCTCAAGAATCTGTCCTTTCAACAGATGCTCCACGTAGAGTCTCAGCCATCCGGTCGTCTGTGTCAGCTGAGATGAAAGGTCTCATGTGCTTTTTGACCATGATGTTCTCCTCGCCATGAGCGTGCTCCGTCTATACCTTCAGGACCTCGATAATTTGAAGTTGCCTGGGACTGATGCTGCAGGGCAGACAACAAGAACAAGAACAAGACCAACGTGGTCTCCTCGGGCTGGAAACTCAACAAAAAGACGTCACAGATTTTCCTTCTGGCTTCTACTCTCCTTTCTTTTTTTTTTGATAACGTCCTGGACACTTTGGGGAACATGAAACACCAAGGACAACTTTGCTGGAGCATGGACTCAATGGACATTTCTGGATGAAGTTTACTAGAGCCTTTCCTTGAGAGTCTCGCGAGGGTAAATGTCTTGCTTGTATACTGAGACTGAAAAACAACACAAATAGTGATTTTTTTTCTTATTTCCTCCCGTCGGCCCAGCCCGGCCAGATCTCCTCGGCCAGCCTCTTGACCAGCTCGAGCTTCTCCCACATGCGCTCCCTGGTCATGCCGATGCCGCCCTCGGAATGATCACTCGCGAAGCCGCACTGCGGCGACACGGCCAGATTGTCTCGCAGCGCATCCTCCCGCGCCCGCCCGTTCCCCTGCCCCTTGGCCACGACGTCCGCGGCCTGGTAGACGCGCCGCTTCAGCTCGTCCAGATCCTCCATCTCGGATGACTTGGTCGTCACCACACCCAGCACCACCGCCTTGTCCGCGGGCAGGTACTGGAGCGGCGTGAAGTCGCCGGCCCGCGGGCTGTCGAACTCGAGATAGAACAAGCGGTAGCCGGTCTCGGTGAACAGCGTCCGCGCGATCCGCTCGTAGCTGCCGCTTGCCAGGCCCACGCCGTTGGGGAAGTTGCCACGGCAGATGTGGATGCCGACGTGTAGGTCCGCGGGCAGGTCTGCGATGGCGTCGTTGTGGGACTGCACGTACAGCGCGAGCAGTCGCTCGAGGTCGACACCTTCTCTCTGGCACGTCTGGATCCACTCCTCGTCGCAGAAGAACGACAGGTTCGGGTCGTCCACCTGCACCACCCGCAGGCCGTGATCGTACAGCGTCAAAATCTCCTTGCGTACCGCGGCGCTCAGGTCGCGCAACAGCGCCTCGTCGGTCTCGTAAAGCCGCCGGTCAAAGGGCTCCTTGAGCTGGATGTGCCACCACCCCGGCGGGGGCACCGTCATCTTCGCATCCCGCCACTTCTCCTCGGGCAGGAGGCTGCGCAAGTAGAGCCAGTCATCCAGGTACGCCGACTTCTCGAGCGTGACCTTGTTGGAGGTCGGAAACCCCGCGTCGCGACCGGGCAGCCCCCACTTGATCAAAGGCCGGTTCGTGGGGAAGTCGACCTTGAACTCGGACATGGGCGTGTACCGCATCGTGAAGCCCGAGAGGGACTCGAAGAAGTTGCCGTAGAAGATGCCCCGCTCGTATTCGCCCGTGGTGATGGGCAGGATCTGGCGCGAGAGTTGCTCGCCGACGACGTCCTTGATGGCCTTTGCTTGCTCGGTTCGTAGGACCTCCGTTGGATCGGCCCCGTCGGTCGAAGGGCCCGTGGTGGCATCATCTTCTCCCTCCTCCTGAGTGGCAGGGCCGTTTCTGAGCCGCGCACCCTGAAGATTCAGGTTCTTTCTCGCTTCGACAAGGCTTTTTGGGCGCAGTAGCGAGCCGACTTGATCAGCTCTGAACGGTGGTGCCATGGTGGACTTCGTGGATGTTGACACTTAGGAATGCGCACGATCGAGCTGGCTGGATACAGAGTCAAGTCTCCTCTAATCTTTCGTGAAGTTAAGGCTTCTTCACCACATAATGGCGCGGGGCGGCAATCTCAATCGCTTTGGTATGGGGGGCTACATGAGGGGAACGTGTGTGCCGTGCCAGCAGCACATCATGTGGGGCCGGCATACCCAGGTATTGATATACTTGACAATATCACCTCGGGACGTGGCTCTTTTGGGAGCAGGGAACCGCAAAGGGTTCTGTTGGAGAGATTCAAGCGGCATTGACCGAGTGAGGAATTCGGATGTCAGGGCAAGAAGAAAGCTGAATACGCTCAGACGAGGACAAGACTTGTGTGCAATGAAACTGTTTGCTTCATGATCGAGCCCGCCATCCCATGCGAAAGAACTGTTATGTCTCAATGTGCCGGAGAGGGATGTCAATATGTACACCTTTTGACGCCATGCATCATCCAGAGAGGATTTGACCCTCTGAGCTTTCCGTCCAAGCAAACTTCTAAACGCAAATATTCACTTTTGTTACAACGGACGTGACCTGAAGACATACATGTATTATAGAGTGGAAACCGTTCGTGACAGTCGTGTAGCATCAAGCAATGTTCCCAGCCATTCCCTATTGCTCACTTAGTCGAGAGGTCGCCAGAGGGCAAGAAACAAGCCGAGGCAGTTCAAGCTGAGAAGATCAGGCGAAGTGAACTTACCAGGAATATGGCCTGCACAGCAAGCTGTAGACTCCACAATCCGACTTTCTTGAATCGTCTCAAGCGTGCCTGCTCATCTGTGACATCTCGTGCAAAGGCGTCGTACACTTCCGCCGACAGATCGTCCATCAATCCGGAATCGAATACGGTCCAGCTTCCATCAAAATCAGACAGACGCTTGACAACCCGACAATTGATCGGAATGAATGTCCTCCGGGAATTGATATAGGCGACGATGGGACGGATGAGTGCATTGTTGATATATGATAGATCGCGGGTGAAAATGGGGACGACGGCGCGGACGTCGTTCAAATGAATTCGGAGGTCCATGACGATAAAGCGCTTGTCCTCTTCTCTCACCGGTTGGGAGTTTGGAGTTGTCAGCACGACTCCGCCGGACGCAATAGGTTCATCCTCAGGAGAAACTTCGCCGTAACGCTGCTGCTCCAGATGTTTCTTCGACGTCAGAGTGGCTTCCATCCGTTCATAGAAATCAGTCACGACTTTGATGACAGATTCCTCGCTGTCGTTAGGAATCATAATGTCCGCCACAATATCAACATTGCCCTCGTGGATCCAAGATAAGGGGCCAGCCACCCCCCGATTGATATGGTCGATATTTATGCCATCGATGCGGATGCGTGATTGTTTCTTCCACGGTTCATTGGATGGATCTTGGGGATCGTTCAGTGTTGTGCCGGTGTACGAATGTGTCTGCCGCGGATGGATGGTGAAGAGAGATTTGTCGAATTCGCCGGTGATGCTGTTGGCACAGAGGAAGTCGTAGAACAACCACTGCTTCCTCAGCCGCGGCAAGTCAGCATTATAAATACTGACCGGGAATGGCCGAAAACCCTCCGGCTGGAGGATTGTCAGTAAAAGATCCTCAATTTTGAAGGATTCGATCTCGAAATCCCCCGGGGTGTGCTCGTGTCGCAGCGACTTTGGGTCAATTTCTTCACCGGTGGCAAAAACGTGGGTGCGGTCGACGACTCCTCTGACATGTTTCACTTCCACATTTTGCAGTAGGCCTTTGGAATTCCACCATTTGCTGAACGATAGTGTGACATTAACTTCCCCAATTGTGATGTCGAACTGTGTATAGTTCTGTTCTTCTGGAGGCACGGGATCCTCCGCCGAGGATGCCTGAGCGGCTGCTTCAGGAGATCCTTTGGTGACGCGCGAATGCGCCCGGCCGGGCCTCCTGGAGACGAAGACGTTCTTGAATGTGATGACCCCATCACCCCATTTAGGAACAATCGCGGATTCGAAAACGACCTGTAGACCAGATGATTTCGTCAAGTAGTTCCCGATCCAACCAGCAAGAGTTTCTTGTGCAAAGACGGTATTGATGGCTAGGATGGCCAGAGAAACGAAGGTCGTAGTACCGACAACAATCCAGATGACATGGCCCAACGCGATCCACGAGATGAATCCGACAATCTCATCTAGATTGAAAGGTCTCGTGCTCTTGATTGTGAACCATTTAAAATGCACCTTGAGGCGAGACCAGAAACCCGTGGCCGCAGCCAGAAGTTCTTCCTTTGTGGGACGGTGGAACTGCGGCATGTGCAATCTATCGTAGAAACGACTTTGGTAGGAGTGTTGCTGTCCTGAGCCAGAGTGCGAGGAGTCTGATTTTGAGGCATTTTCTACTGTTTCCTGTTTTGTGTGTCCTTCTCTTTCTCTTTCTCTCTCGGCCTTTTGTCCTGCGAACCGGGTAGTGTGAAATTCTCGCCACCGGATCAAGGGCGATTCTCTATGCCAGGTGCCTCTGACGTCCTTGGGTCCCTTCCGGAGTCCTAAAATAACGAGTTCTGATATCTGTCTCTCTTTTCTAGCAAAGCATTCTTTCCAAGGTGGACTGGGTCTCGACGTTGATTGTGCACCCTGCCCGCCGGGAGAGTAGACCCAAAACGACCGAGGCGTGGTACGAAGCTTGTCGGGCTCGCATAACCGGCTTGCGGTGGGTTTGGGGCCCGTTAGGTTTGATATCCGTCTGGGTACATGGTATCTGAAGCTCCGGTCGGCGGAAGCTGGTAGCCTGTCAACGACTTTTGTCGTCCGTGGTGGCGCGCAAGCAGCAACCCTCGAGATATTGCGCATGCCCTGGACAAAGGCCTCTATCATGATTGAAAGACCATGACGGCCGCTGGATGGATGCAGTCCTGGTTGGACAGAAGTGGTCGTGCGTGGGAGATGGCGTGGTTGAAGGTGAGTGCAGAGACAAAATGACAAAATGCATGTGCAGCGGAGACCCACAATGACTTCTTCGGATGCGGAGAAAGTTGCACTTCAGCATCACCAGCAGCCATGAGCCATGACACATGCCTACGCCCTATCAATTAATACTGTGAGCCCAGGCTTCTAGTCATTCTCGTCAAGTGTACAGTCCTATAGGACTCCCCCTCCCCGCAACTGAACTCCTCCTACGCATCGTCATGGTTAACCTCCCCGTCACTAGACTCCCGTCGCCCGAGGTAGAAACCGGCCACCAAAAGCGGCCCTGATTTACACTGTGGAAATCCTAACAGGGTACAAGGACTGAGAAGGAAGAGAAGAAACACCACTACGAGGAGAAAGAAGCCAGGCAAATGTGACATTTTGACAGACACGCAGCTAACAATTTCTCGTTCAAGGTCAACGCATCCTATGGTGTTTTTCACTGATAAGCCCCTGACATCCCCCTCTCATTCTAATTGTCTCGGGAATGAGGGTAATTTGACAATGCTGCCGCTGCGATCCATGGTAAGGCTGACCCTGCAAAATCGGCGTCGAGCTTTTATGCCTGCGACCTGATAAGCGATCAAACAGCGAGACCGCTGGAAAGCAGTGAACCAATCAGCAGCTAAGCGACGCAAACTAGTCCTCTCTCTGGATACCGTACCGAGTACTTATCGACAACTCGCGTGCTTCCATGCTTCACACGGGAGAGAAAATGCTGCGGCTTTCGGCACGCTTCGCAAAGTTCTGGACTCAAACGAAGACAGCCGGGGCGCTCAGCCTCGACCAAGAAAATGGATATTGAGTTTGCATCGTCTGATTTTCTGTTCTCCAGACGGGGCTAAGCTGCCTACAAGTGCCAATTAGCAACAAGCCAAGAACAGAACGCCGGAACGGCTCCAGCACAAGCATCAAGCCGAGGGTCGTAGGCCAATTACGACCGATGTCCATCTATCTTCAAGACTTCGCTCTTCTGTCCAAGCGAACAAAAACGGGCATACTAGGGGCCAAAAGAATGCATCAACATCATGTGGCGCAAGCCTCGCCCAATACACTGTCACCATGTCCCTGCGACGGTTGCCCTGTTCGCACCTCACTGCCTTTCAGCCGCAGTAGCCGGTGCAAGCGACTGGGAATAAAGCTTTGCAGCCTTCCAGTATGAGGGCCGTTCGGCTGTCAGTTTGCTCTCCCTCAGGAAGCCCTTTCTCACCAAAACTTCCGCGTTGACCTAGTATACGATGCTCTGGATAACGTTTACGGCTTTACTAGCCGTCGGCAGCGTCCAAGGCGGGCTGTTGCGACCTACGATCTCCCAATGGTTCTGGCAATCCTGTAACGCGCTGTCTCCCCGCAGTTTGTTGACACGTTACTGATGTTTCAGCTATTGTCGTTGGCGATTGGCTCTACATATCGGATGGAGAGGCTTGGGAATGGACTAATGGGTCACTGAGGTCCTTCTATCGTTGCGTACACTCCCCCAGCTCAATGGAGGCCTGACGAGGCTGACCGTCGCAGTCTGGCCTACCATCTCGGTCGACCTTTCTCAGTCGTGGACCAATGTCTCCGTCTATATTTCCAACAACTCCGATCCTGCCCCGAACATGCCACATCGCAGATGGCCCGTGACTTGGTACGACGAGACCACAGGCAAAGTGTACAAATATGGTGGTTGGGCATACAATAGCACGGACTGGACAGCCGACCTGTGGTCCTATGAACCCGGTGGTCTCACCATCTACTGGTCTCAAGAAGTCGCGCCTGCATCAGATGGGCTGTCGTTTGGAGCGAACGCGCCCTTCGCATCAGCCTGGGCCGTAGGCAACTCGACGTTGTACAGCTTAGGAGGCTCCATTGCCAACGGCAACGGAGGCGACCCGAATACCATTATCTCAGGCTTGGTGCAGCGTGATTCATCAAGTCAGAGTTGGAGCAACTCGACGACTGACGTTCCCAACAGCTCTCCATATTTCAACCAGGCACAGGCAGAGTTCGCCCCGAATTTTGGTCAAGAAGGTTTCGTGGTTGTTGTTGGAGGTACTAATCCCAACGTGCAAGCGTTTACATTTGAGCAAGACACATCATTGCGTGACATGGCAGATATTGTCTTGTATGACGTATCCACGAAGACATGGTATGTCCAGCGAGCGACTGGGGATATCCCTCCTCCACGAACAGAGTTCTGTACGGTAGGAAAGGCTTCGTCTGATGGGAAGACATACGAACTGTAACGTATACCTCTTCTGCGGCTGCAAATCCAGGCTGACGCGAGATGTATCAGGTTTGTTTACGGCGGCATGACGAATACAACCTACGACCTCAACTATCCTGACGAGCCTGGCTACCTGAACGTCTATGTCCTGTCTCTACCTGCATTCAGATGGTTCCAAACCCCGGCGACAACCACCACCCGCCGCTGCAGCCATACTTGTTCCGTCATCGGCAACCGGCAAATGGTCTCTATTGGTGGCCGTCCGCCTAGCACGTTCAACCAATTCGGTGCCGATTTCGATGAATGGGCCAGTGGCATCGGGGTTATGGATATGACCGAATTACAGTGGAAGGACCACTACGACGCTGGGGCTGCACCGTACGAGCGATCGCAGCTGGTCCAGAAATACTACGATCAAAGCTACGTCAAGCCCGCGTGGAGTGATCCTGCATTGGCAACAGAATTTGGTAAGTGGGCTGGTCTTCTCTGAGTGCACCGATCATATCATTAACAATACTCTGCAATCGCAGCATTTGCCGCCGCGACCCATCCCTCTACTACCACGCCCATACCTGGCCCGACCAGCCCAGCTCCGCCTCAGCCCCCGGAAACATCAACACCTCCTCACCACACATCCCACACCGGTGCCATCGCCGGCGGTGTCGTGGGCGGCGTGGTAGGCTTAGGACTTATTGCTGGCCTCGCATACTTTCTGGGAACCCGTCGGAACCGCAAAACCACCACCCCGAGCGATCCTGTGCCTCCACCGTCGGAACCAAAGCCTTCGCAAATACCCAATAGTCCATCGTCGGTACAGAAACAGTCGCCAGAGCTGGCCGAGACCCCAGTCTTTGAACGAAGTGAGCTGGAGGGCGAAACCCGACGGGTCGCCGAGTTGCCAGGCTATTATGGGAGTTTTCAGCCGGCACAGAGATGAGATGTAAACTAGGAATTGGAGGGAGGTTGGGAGACTATGGTGGAAGGTCCCATTCCGAAACTGGGTATTATTTGACGGTCTTGAGCTGGCATGTCTCTTGACTTTTAGTTGCTATAATGAATAGGTGTGATGATTCGACTGTTGGTTTTTCACAGCAGCGATTTGCACCCAGAAGTGGTGCTACTGTCTTTAAGGGGATAGAATGTTGATACGAACAATGAATGACAAGCCATTCGCGTTGCCAGTGAAGATAACCGCCAGCAGACCGTTTCAGCATGTCTATTCCATTGCACGATGGATCTGGCGATTACATAAAGTCGCTGCCCCCCACAATTGACGTGAATTGTTCAACGCTGCGGAGAAAATTATTTCTCGGCCGAACATCAACCGCCAAACACAAAAATCGCCCTGCAACCTGGAACATCGAGACTCGAGCACAACGCAGGCGACTACGTTCTAATCTGGTACCTTTACCTGCACGAAGACACTCCGCCCAGCGAAGATATCGACCATGCCTGCCCCGACGGCGCTGCAACGCGCTCCCTCAGAGACCCTCGCCGATTCCATGTTATCACAAGAACCCCACGACATCCCTCTCCCGCTCGAATCGAACGAAGAAAATATTGAAGTGGACATAATCACAGCGCCTCAACCCGCGAGCGACGTACCTCAGACACAAGAAGGAGCAGACGCAGATGTCGCCATGCAAATCGACGAAGAAGGCCGTCCGCGGTTCGCCCCCGTGTCGACACAGAACGCCTCGACGACCGCTGTCCGAATACAGTCACGCAAAGTCCCCGTACCGCCGCACCGCATGTCGCCGCTCAAGCAGAGCTGGGCGAAGATCTACCCGCCGCTGGTGGAGCACCTGAAGCTGCAGGTGCGGATGAACGTGAAGGCCAAGGCGGTGGAGCTGCGCACGTCGCGGTTCACGACGGACGCGGGCGCCCTGCAGAAGGGCGAGGACTTCGTGCGCGCCTTCACGCTGGGCTTCGACGTCGACGACGCCATCGCCCTGCTGCGCCTGGACGACCTGTACATCGAGACCTTTGAGATCAAGGACGTCAAGACCCTGCAGGGCGAGCACCTGGGCCGCGCCATCGGCCGCATCGCCGGCAAGGACGGCAAGACCAAGTTCGCCATCGAAAACACCTCCAAGACCCGCGTCGTGCTCGCCGACTCCAAGATCCACATCCTCGGCGGCTTCCAGAACATTCGGATCGCCCGCGAGGCCGTCGTCAGTCTCATCCTCGGCGCTCCCCCGGGCAAGGTGTATGGGAATTTGAGGACTGTGGCGTCGAGGATGAAGGAGAGGTTCTGAGGACGGTGTCTTTTCTCTCTCTCTCCCTCTCTCTTTTCAACTATGACCCATGGCGTGGTGCATTACAGGGCTTTTTTGGTTGGGAATCACGAGAGAGCATATGAACATGTGGTCATGATAAATGGAACAAGGCGTTTTGAGACGACGGATGGGTTTGCAAGATGGCAGTTCGTTCGAGGTAGGGCAAGGCGTGGTTTGTCGCTGATCAACCAAGAAACCTCGGTCATATCCCTGCAATGAGAAATGGAAAAGGCATAAGTAGAAGAACCCAACTGAATGACGACCCCAGGCAAACTAGATTAACCTAACCCATGTATGTGGTTTCGGGTCTTCCAGCCTAATTCCATTTTCGCCGAGCTATGCATACAGAGCCAAAGCCTCCCCCAGAAAGACGCAGAGTCTGCAGTTGTGGGTGGTGGTAAAAATGTCTAATCTCTCTTGAGGGGGGTGAACGTCTCCTCTATCCCGTCCTTGGTGATGACCAGCATCTGCAACCCATCACCCACCTCGATATGCCGTTCCGTGGCACTGGTGAACGCATCCTTGACCAATCCCACGACCACGTCCTTCGGCAGACTCTCCACCGCCCTCTGTTTCAGATCGTGTCCCACGCCCGATGCCGGGATATACTGGTTCTTGTAGTTGACCTGGTTGTCCAGGAACGGCATGATCAGACTCGCAGCCGCGCCCGCCGCCCGGCACTGTTCCCGCTCGTAGCTGCCCACGGGGTCGTACGAGTACAACGCCCCCTTGCCGTCCTCGTCCAGCCCGCCCAAGATCGCGTGCACGTAATAGGGGAAGAATCGCTTCTGGTACAGGATGGTGGACAGACGCTGCGCGCACGCCTTGACGCTGATGGGCTTGCCGTGCTGGTACTTGTACATCTTGACGATGGCGTCGAGGCGTTCTTTCAGGGCGTTGCCGTCGGCGGCGAAGCCCACCACCGCCAGCACGATTCGCGCGGACTGCTCTTCGGACCCGTCCTCGCCAATGCGGAACAGCTTGGGCACGAAGCGGGAGTTGATGTTGTAGCCAGAGGTCGAGCGCGTGTCGCCGGCGAGGATGGCAAAGTCGGCGCCCGTGATGCCTAGCGTGGATCCGCCATTGTCGGTGTATCTGTTTCCAGGTCAGCACGATTGTGGGAGTTCCAGGAGACAGTGATGGACAAACGGATAGAAGGCATGTTGCCTGGATCCTGAGGCTTCTTGTGCCGCTGCGGCGGTGTTTGTGAAAGAGTAGCCAGGCTGATCTGATGGTATTTGCTCTGAATGCATGAGAGACGCCATGGCTGCGGACAGGATGGAATGTTTGAGGGTAGATGGGCAGAGGAATTCAGCTTGAGGTGTTTGGTCTTTAATTCCTCGATGTCCTGCGTGTAGATGGTTGTACGCAACTGCTCTCTCCGCCTAATTGCACCGCCGCACATGTGGCTGACCACGCCAAGATGAGTAAAAACGGCGCGCTACTCACCCCGGATTCGGACGGAGGTGATGCCGCCCTGTGCTCACCCCCGGCTCGCGCCAAGCGAGGCGAGCTGGGTGAGCGAGCACCCGTGTCTCACCAATCATGGGGGCTAAAACGCCAGGTGCCTCGGCGCGGGCTGTGCAAAGCCCGACCTCAGTGGAGATTCACGGTAATGGTGATGGCCGTAATTGGCCCCTTCGAGTCTGTCGTCCCAGCGCCCACCGAGGTTCTAAGTGTGTCCAATGGAAATACGGGCCGTTTCAAAAGCAGCGTCGCCGAGCCTACCCTTTAAAACCCTGCACAGCACGATGCTCCCACTCAACAAGAGGCCAGCAGATATTATTGCGAAACGAACCCCCTCGCTGTTTTCGCGAGTTATGATCCTCCTTTGACGTCTGAGCGGCTATGCTCACGACCGGCACTTTCTGCGTCTTCGTTGCGGCTTAGTCTTGGGCTGTGGACCGTGACAACGTCCACCTATACCAGCGGAGTTACCACCAGGACGTGTGACTCCTCGTTAAAGACCGCATTATGAAGACATGACTCGGACTACCTTCTGTGATGGAAAGGGTGCCTGCGCCTGTCTCTTGATCAGCGCTTAGCCTCCTTTGGGGTCCGAATCGATTTCGAGGACAACGGGGACGATGCTGCCTGCTGCGTTCCCCCTTCAGTCGTGCTATTGGACGACTCAAATCGCCTGATCTTCGATTCAATGGTAGAAATGCCTCACCGCCAGGTCTGCACACAGGTCAAACAGTGGGAGGGCGGCGACGTACGGCCTCACCTAGACGCTGTTACCCACTCATAGAGCTCGCCACCAACCTAGAGAGGTCAATGTAAAACTCCGAATCCACCGAATGCTTAGCCATCTCCTCAGTCGCCATTGCCTCAAAGGCGATCGGCCCTGAGGGCCGCTTTCCTGCGACGAAGTCTGCCACATGTGATCCAAACAGCTCGTCGATCTGATTGAGGAAATATCCGCAGTGGTCGCGCAGAAAATCAAAGAACATCGCGACGAGCTCGAAGGGCAGCTCTCGAAATCTGCCACTGTTCAGCTGGGCGGCTGCGCGAGGAAGCCGCCGACTTACGTCTTCTCTGAAACGTTTTTCGGGAACAACCAAAGAGTACTCGAGCACCGTTCGTGGGCCACATACCAATTCTTACCATTCTTCACACCTCGCTATACTTGTGCCTTCTTTTTTAAGGTTGACGACGCTCACGGGCAATTCGTGTTTCCCGTTCGCGATCAAGGTCCAGTCCGAGGTGGACAGCACGTCTGCCGAAATGATGAGCGTTTTCCATGGCGGCGAGGGCTCGAACACGACCACCGATTGTCGTACAGTCGCTTTTCTCGGCGCGACACAACGCTGAAAATGCGTCTCTAATTTGTTGAAAAGCGTGAGGACCGCCAAAGTAGATGTAGAGGCTGGTCAAGTATCGCATTCGATCCGTTTGTAGCGCGAACTCTCTTGCCTCAGCCGTCAATTTCTGACGCACGTCATCCGGCAAGCCTCGCGCCTTCATTCTCTAAATCAATCTTTCTTTGCAGACACCATTATACGCTCCCTTCACGTCAAAACTGATCAGGCTCAGGATCTTCCTCCCGCGCTAGGCGGTAAGGATCTGTTCTTGTAGGAGTAACAGAGCTTACTCCGCCGACCGTTATTTCCGCGCCCCGAAATGGTTCGTGGGGAGGAGGCCGTAGGTCTCGACAATATACGAAATCCTCTCCGCAATCACCGACTCCAGCACTTTACCTAATGTCGCCAGAAGTGAAATCGGTCTCCAGGCTTTGGCGAGTGTGTAATCGTCCTTAGCCGGCTTTTTCAAGGGAATAATCTTTACGTGCCTCCACTGACGGGGTAGTATTCCCTCGTCGAGAGACGCGCGGAACAACGCCAGCATATGGTGCTTTACGGCGGGCCACACTTATTTCCAGACCACGACCGGCAAGCCGTCTTCACCTAGTGCTTTCCATAACCTCGCAGCAAACGATTGCCGTTCTACCTCCTCTATAGTGAGGGCCGGCACCGGTATAGGTACTCGTTAGGGTATCGGGCCTTCGTCTTCGATATCTTATAGTAGGGGAGGAAAGAACGTAAAGAGTAGCTCCTCGGCCTATTTGTGATGGTCGCTGGTGACTATTCTACCCCTCTTGACCAGCTGTGGAACTTTCCCAAACGCTATTTCATCGCTCGACTTCAAATACTTCGCCGCTTGCTAGATATTGTCGTTGTCCGCTAGAAATTCGTTCTAGTGCTTCTTTTTCTGTTATCGGATCGTATCGTGGTACTACCTGGCGGCGGCCTTGGCCGTCTTCTTTAGGTTTACTACGAGTCGACCGGCTCGTCGTTCACTTCGGGCGCGGTTTCCCAGTAGGTATATATATATCTTTGCTACGTTAGGTCCGTCGTCCACTAACGTTTAGTATATGGGGATAGCCGAGCCTTCGGTACGAGAGCATAAACCGCTTCTAGTACCGCCGATATAAGCGTATCCGTCTTAGTTTATACTATCCCCTCGAAAGCACGAGCTTTTAGCGTCTTCGCAATCCTGGCCTTGATTTTGTCATGAATGACAAGCATATAAGCTAAGAGGTCCAAGATCTGTCATGAAATGACAGGATTCTTAGTCTTTTTGGGCGATCCCAGAGTACTTATTCGGACCTGCCTATGCGACTCGGGGGCGAGCCGCCTAGGAGGAGGGGATAATTGTCATGAATGACAAGCATATAAGCTAAGAGGTCCAAGATCTGTCATGAAATGACAGGATTCTTAGTCTTTTTGGGCGATCCCCAAGGGGCTGTGGACCTCTTCCTGACAGATTTCTTTCCACGGTGTATTCTTAAGTAGGAGCCGTTCTTACCGCTTTGGAATTGGGGCGACAATATTACAGATTGTTCTATTGCCCGGTAGTCAGATCTATACTCAGTCCAGTATATCGAGCATTTAACTATCGACACTGCCAGTTCCTCCGAGGCCAGGACTAGATCAATTGTGGTTTCGTACGGTCCCTCCTACCACGTCTTCGTCCCCCGTGGAAGTAAGCTACTGAGAGCAAGATCGCTCATCAGGTCGATAATCTAGTTAGCCTCACCTTATCTCACGAGGGACACCCCATCTCCTCCCCAGAGTTAGTCATGCCGGTTGAAATCTCCCGCGAACACCACCTCCACCACCGTGCCTACATCTCCTCTCACCTTTTCCACCACCTTGTGCAAGTGGTCACACGTCTCTCGCAGTGCTTGCTAATCGCCTAGTGGGACGTAGACCGACGCCACTAGAATCAGCCGCTCCGCAAGTCTGACCACTACCGCCGTCATATCTGGAGATTCAATCCGGACCTGCTCCGCCTCCACCTCTTTGTTCACCCACAGTATACTCCGGATTGGCTATCTCCCTTCTCTATACGTTGAAGGGACCAACTTCGTCCACTTGTGATGCCCCAGGGGTGTTATCAACAACCGCCCTTGGATTCTCCGTGCGTGAGGTTCCTGAATCGCTAGGGCCGTTACGTCTTATATTCCTTCGTCGTTCATTAGGCTGTCGTGGATTTCTCTTTGTTTCCTCATATTGAGCTGGATCATGTGAAACGTTCTACGCATGTGGAGATGGGTAGAGTTTCCGGCAGTTTCGACTAAACGATTCATGTGGACCTCCGTAGGGTACGCATTTCAGGACGGTGGCAGTACAATCATTATGGCGATGGCCTTCGTTAGCGCACTTCGCGCACTTCTGGGCATTCTTGCACTGGAATGCTTTATGCCCTAAGGCTTGATAATTGAAGTATTATTCCGGCCGTGGTCGCCGCTTAAAGACCCGGGCGTACCCGGACTCTCCAGCCACGTGGAAGAATCCCTCCCTCAGAAAGCGATCCGCGTCACTGCCTTTCGTGAGGTAGACCACCATAGAGCCATAGGCCGTTGCGGCGGTTTTACTGCTTAGTCACCCGATCTTTGCCACCCTTGTCTCGTTCTCTTGACTGAGGGCCTCTGCTGCCCCGGCCTGAACATCTCCATTCGCATCTAGAATGGCCAGCCTGTTGACACTGTCCACCTTGACGGGATAGAGCTCGTCCCGGAGGATTCTGATGCCGGGTGCTATCTTCGTTTCTGCTATCTATTTAACTATATGCAGTTCGGTCTCGTCTCTATATGCAATCCTGACACGGCTTATATTCTTCGCATCTCTAGTCACTGCCTAGCAGCGCTAGTTATTTCGTCCTTCACTAGCTCGGATCTCTTTCTCTACCGTCGCCCTAATGGCACGCGGGGAGGTCTTGTCCATATCCTGTTCTGGGACACGGGAAGCGTCGATCGTGCAGTACAGCGTATCTATTGCGGCCCAGTAGCTACGAGAGTGGCTTACGAGATGGTTAACGCTCGCCATCATTCGGTCAGACGTCCCAAGCATTGAACCTAACCCGTTCCAGCTTGCCACGATGGACGCCCATAACTGTGTTGAGGGTAAAGATACGGACAGACTACCGAGTTGGTTCCGGAGCATACCGATTTCATCCTTAAGCTTATTGTTCTATTCTTTCATATATTGCTGTTCTTCCTTTAACTCCTTTAACTCGGTTTGGGCTTCTAGGAGCGCGTCGTTCTGTTAGTCAATTGTTTTCTTGAGCTCCTTGACCAGCGTAACTAGCTCCTTAAGGCTGGCTACGGTGTCTCCGTTCTCCTCCTTATAATCGTCGTCGCTGTCTTCGACATCCCGAAAACGTAACGGTGGAGACTTCTCCGCTCGAGTCGTTCGGCGCGTGCGGCGCAATGCCTGGTTTTCACGGACTTTGGAGGTCGGTGCCGGTTGAGGCCTGCTTCGAGGTGCTCGGGCGAGCTTTTCTGGCGATACGGTGATGATCGCGTTGCTTGGAGTTCGATTTATTGTGGTCATTAGCTGCGGGTGCAGCCGGCGCTAAGGACACGTGTCCTTTGCGGGTGCGCGCTTACCCCCGGAAGCCTATTCCCTCGATGCGATGGAGTGTTCAACAATCCAAAGTTGACCTCGAGGTTCTTTGCTCGCGAACCCTATAGTTCGGGTGCCTTACAGCCTCGCGCTCATCCGGTAGCCTCGTACCTTCAGCCTTGTCTCCTGACAGCCTTGTCTGCAGTGCCTATCCTGCCCCTGCAGCACTTGTCCTGTCTTGCATACATTTCCCACCTCAGTAGGATAGGGAATGTATAATAGCTTGGGCAGTTGTCTGTGACACCCTCATTCAACTATTTGAGTCTTCCTTCTCTATAAAGTTAGCGGAAGAGTCTAAGACTATCAAAGATATCTTTGGTTAAATCGACGCGAAATTATTCTACTTATATACCCGACCTATAGTTACGACTCTGACGTAAATTATTAAAGACGGTATAAACTTCCCGAGTTGAGTACCTATAAACCCGAAACCAGATTAAGTTAGACTATACGTCTATACCGCATTAATAAGACTAGTAATAATCTATACGGAGGTTTCCACGACTATCCCAAGCACTATATGTAAGGGTTTGGAAAGAGTTCTGCAACTAGCTAGCCAACCTAGTAACAAGGAGGACAAATCTGAGGAGAGGAGGAAAGAAGGAAGAACAATCCCCCTCTGTCATGAATGACATGCATATAAGCTAAGAGGTCCAAGATCTGTCATGAAATGACAGGATTCTTAGTCTTTTTGGGCGATCCCCAAGGGGCTGTGGACCTCTTCCTGACACCCTCCATCTCCTTATATTGTACGCCCTCCTGTAAGGGGCACTTGTTTGTCTCATCCCCCTTACCCCCTTATCCCTACGTACGCCATCCGCTCCTTGCGTATAGTGTTTAGCTATCGAGGTCCCTCTTGTCTGCACTTCTTACCTAGCTGCCGTACGGCTGACTATTCAGGGAGCGGGGATTTAGCTGTATATAGTACAGTCAAATCCAGCCAATCAGAGCTCAACCGAGGTGGCTTGGCGCTGGTTCCTCTGAACCAAGCCTTCTTCAGGGTTCAACCCATCACACACAGAGTTGGACAAGAGGACGACGAACGAGGTAAGGACGAGGTTGCAGTAGGTATTGGGCGATATGCGGATAGTGTTGAAAAAATTGAGAGATGGGAGCCGGAATAGCTTTGGCTGTTTCAAAAGGTAGAGGAGTAGTGATAAAGACAAGGCGAGACAGCAAGTGCGGGCGTTGGTCTAAGGGAGGATTGTAAACATGAACACGGGGCAGAAAGGGGTGACGTGGTTGATGATATCGCCTGCTTTGGTATTTGTTCAGAGCGCCTGGTGCGCAATCAGGTTTGCATCTCTGGCTGGGGAGCGAGTTCACCGAAAGACCATTGTAGTCACTGGACGTTTCAATGGTGTACCCTGACAATTTATGCCGCGATGTTGGCTCGAAGTGGGTGTCCCTTCCATCTCATTCCAAATGAATGGTCGTGCCTATTTTCCTGCGGGCTCAGGCCATGGTCATCTTCCCCCCCGTTTCCTAGCTCTTCCTCTGCGTCCTCCGCCGCGTCCTCGCTTTGACGGACTGCTCCTCTTCTGCTCGGCTTCCTCTTCCTCGTGTTCCTCGCTCTCATCCTCCTCATCTTCCTCCTCGGCGGGTGTACTCTCCTCCTGCTCGGCTTCTTCGTCGTCGTCGTCGTCGTCGTCCTCGTCCGCATCCTCCATCACCTTGTCCTCATCCTGCTCCTGCTCTACGATGCTCGGCGCCTTGCTCGTCCTTCTGCTCGCGCTCCGCTCGCCCTTGGGCGTCTCAAGCTCGTTCTGCAGCCGCGACGACAGCCTGGCACTGCCACCGCCACCTGCGCGGGCCGAGGCGCGTCCTCCTCTGCCTCCTCTCCCCGACGCCCGACCTCCTGAGACGCTCATAGGCGAGCTCCGCGGCTCGTCCGTGTCTGCGACGGTGCTTTCCCGCCTCGTGGGCGCGGCGGACTCGGCGTCCGGGCTCGGTGGCTGCGTCAGGGGACTGCTCTCGGCATTTTAGCCTGGCGCTAGCCGTCGGTCCCACATCATCTCCTCGAACTCTTCCCGCGGCAGCTCGAACTCGCGCCAGTACTCCGCGGCCCTAGAGTTACTGACACTTTTCCGTAACTCGCTACCGCCGCCGCCGCCGCCACCACCACCACCACAACCACAACCATCCTTCTCGACCCCGCTGGCAGCCCCTACGCCAGATCCGTTAAAGATGATCGAGTCTTCCCGCTCATCCTACTTCTCTAGATTATACGGGCTTGCTAGTTTCCGCCATATCCCCGCCGTAGAGGTGTGGCTGTCCTCTGGATTAACGGCACCGCTGGACAAGAGGTGGTCCCGAATGGCTATCATCCGGAAATGTTTGTGCATCCCTACCGTTTCCTAGCGCACGATGGCCTGGAGGAGCGCCGACTCTTGCGCCGGTGTCCAGAGCTGGTATCATCTAGGAAAGAAGGGGCGTTTGCTGTGGAGTGGTTGGGTGATGCCTCCATGACCGGGGCTGTGGTCGTTGCCATGGACGAGCTCTAATTTTTATCGCTGGGATTGCATGGAAATTGTATGTCTTGTAGTTTTGCCCTAGAGGAAGGCAGAGGAGAAGGCGAGAGTCGTCCGTCTCTGGCGATTCCCCAGCAGAAGGCTTTCTCGACTCTATTGTTGCAACCGCACGAAATCGATCGGCTCGGCCGAAACAAGCAGACCGAGATCAGGCCCTTTTTTTCTGCACTTTATGGGCACTCTCGCTTTTGAATTCAGTGCTAGATCTTGGTTAATTGCTTTATTTCTTATCCTTTTTCTCGTTGAGGCCCTCGAAGCCGTGTTGGCTTTTGGAGGTCTGCAAGGGTTTGACGAGCGATGTTGATTCGTTGTGCGGCTTAGTTTCCTTTTATAGACTCGGTCAAGTCAAAAAGAGTTAAGGTAAGGCTGAGCCGACGTTCTCAGCCTCGCCAGCATGGCAAGCATAGTTACTGCAGACACAAGAAGATGCGCGATTTAATTGACATAATATGAATATCACGCCATGCAGTAAAAGCCCCCTATATTACACTGGCCTCGAAGACCTTCTTGTCCAACACTACGCGGTAAGTAGCGTGGATTGGAAGCCTCAATTGTTCTAGCACTCCAGAGACGGTACCGTAAACTCGTTGATGACACCGTATGAACCAAAACTCAATGAGGAGATGAAAAAATATCTTCCTGTCCATGAATACACTGTCTGGTAACTCGCACGAGGCTAGAATTTGTCAATGAATGTTGTTGCAAGCGTGTGCTTGGTGCCCACGAGAATGTTGCGCCGCAATGAGGGCTCCTTCTATGTCAAGCCTGCATTCATTCCCTACTTATACTTCTTCGGAGTCTAGGAGGTGGCGAGTCAAGGTTTGAGGACGACTCTTTGGTCTTGGAACATAAGTATTTCATCTTCTACTTTGCTATATCTTCCCCTGTTTCCCTTCCTCTATCGCCCTGCCCTTCACTATTCAAGGCATATCTTCCCTCCCTAGAGGTACAATACGAGCGGTATTCACCGCATGGACTAGAAGATTGTCGCACACTTGGTCTCCCCAGCTCTTGACTGCCTCTCACCTCCTCTCGTCCCTGAGTCTTCGACATGTCCACTATGATCCTACGGCTCAAAAGTGCTGATGTTTACGTTAACGAGGAGACTGGCCACATGGTCTACTAAGCGGACCAGCCGCTTCAATTCCCAAACCGCCCAACACGAGCCCGATTCGTAGGTCGCACGAGGAGTTTACTGGGAAGGAGTACGATAAGCTGCTGACATGAATGAAGGTGAGCAAAGCCGCCAGAGTTCCCCAAATGAGAGCATTTCTGAAGTCGTCGGCTACAGGAGGTTGCCCTCCTTCCGACGTCCAGCAGGGAGATTGATCGCCATTCGCGTATAGAGACCTCGCCACTTCCCAGCGTCGTTCAAGAGTTGACTCAGACAGCTGAACCAGGACGGGAGAAAGCCGTCTGGCGCTTTCAACAGGAAACAGCTTTATGATTCCATCTACCGTATTCAGGACTGCACCACCAGGAACCCTGGCACGTCGTGTAGGATCACGCCGCGAGTAATTCCCCTTCGCTATCCGACAGAGCCGAGATCAGCTCTCTTACCTTGTCCGTCGGCCAAGGAAATGAGTTCCAGACCAACCGGCCTAGGTTGTGGCGCCAATCGACAGCCGTCCACCATCCCTGCTGCCACCGAGGTGACTGGCCCAGTGCCAACTTATTCTGTGCCGACATCTAGGAACAAAAATCAGTAGAGAGGTGTCACTTGCTGACAGAATAGGCCTGGAACATCTTCCTCAACAACCTCCATTGACGGCCACGGTGCTAGGGCGTGACACTGTCACAGCAGGGCGTGCGTATCTTGGTGCCCGGCGAACGGGCAAATACTGAATCTGTGATGATCCTCGACTCGTTCACCAGCGACAATGCCCCGCCCGACGAGAAAATCGGCATGAGACTGGTGAATTTCGAGGTACAACAGGGGCTAACGTGGGGTAAGTGACCATATCCCTAGTCCGAGTCCGTATATGCGGGCCCAGCTTTTACATTACTCTCAGACGGCTAGATACCTCGGCCGTCCATGTTACGTCTTGCCAAACCTTCCCTGGGGTCCACTATGTAATTCCGGGAAGTACTAAGAGCGGACGCCCCACTCCTACTCATCGCTGGCCGGGAGCAACCCACGGGATGACTCTCCTAACTGTCTGCATAATCTGTGGTATACAGCTCCTATAGCTGTCATCTATCAGTTGGCTCGCGACCTATAAAGCTATATCTATAGGTGGCATATAGGGGGCCTTCACGCTTAGATTTCATGCGTTAGATCGCGATGTATGTCATCTTGCTGTAGGCACGCTGGCTACAGAAGTTGCTGGCGAGAACGTATTCCCAATATGTTAAGTCCAGGCGCTTTGAGGTGCGATCATCCATTAAAGGTGGGGCATAGCGTTCAGAGTCTCGCCTCGTCTTCTAGTCCAGGGCGTTCTGGGTCCAATTGACACGGCCTTGTCACCTCGTGGCTTGCGCTTTCATTGCTCTGCTTAAAGTCCAGAAACCCTAACTTCTTAAAGGCTTATAGGAATCCACGCTACACAATAGGTGCAGATCAGGAGGTAGATGGCTGTATGGCGTACTTGTAAATCCTGTTGAGAACGACTCAACTCCCAAGAGAGGCCAGAAATGAATACTGCTGGAGTCCGTTCCGGCTCCGGCATCCGAGGTATCAGCGCATGGGGCAACTAATCCCAACATATTTTGCTTTGCAGCTTATGTAGCATTGGATATACCTATCCGCTCTTCCTTACGTCGCTCGGCTAATTCAGGTTGGTGTCTTAGAACGCTTGAAGCAGTTCAGGACAGGGCTCCAAATGTAAAATGGTCTCCAGCCCTTATATTCTTCCCAGTCGACCCCAGAAGCTCAGGGATTTATGGGTTAAATTACCTTGTAGTATGTTAACGCTTGAGGACGAAGGTGAAAGCGGGCATGAGTGAGCCATTCAACGGTCACAAACTTACAACGACTTCCGATGATAAGCTTGTTCGTTGAAGAAGACCGTAAATGAATATCCAAGGACCAAGGTACGCACCGATCAGCGCGCCTTTTTCGATTCAGTAGTGCCATGCTCTCACGGAATACGTCCGTAAACTGCACCAACCACCTCCCCTTGAGGTCATAAACTTTGTTGGACCGAGACACTGCCACCTAGCCCCGGACTTGGGGGAGAAGACAGGAGGAGAAAGAGCCCAGGCGGTTGAGAGGAACGGGGCGGCAGGGAAATCAACAGCCAGCCCCTTGACCCTAGTCCTTTCATATTGCATTACAAAGTAAAGATCCTTGTTTCCTGGGTGTGTTTGACATATATCATGCATGGGTTGTGTCGATAATGCACTGAGCTATGACGAGGATATGGGGCCTTTACAGCCCGTGGCAAGAACTCAGAATGAATGGAGAGGAGGAAAGAAACAAGATCTTTCACACACCTATATGAAGCTCGTGATACCGAAGTGGTGGGAAGAAGTTCGTGATTCTGCATTGTCGTGACACCGACACCCTTCCTCCTTTGTGTCTCTCCGGTTGAATACAAGATGGCCACTCAGGCTAACTTCGACCCTTTGAACTGCGCCTATTTGGCCCTTGCTATTATCTGGACATTCACCCTCGCAGGTGGATCATACATACTACTAGAGAACCGTTTCTTACCCTTCCTGTATATGAGACGAATCCCTTTGACTCTAACGGCCGTCTGGACTCTCCAGATATACTGGATTCTCACCATGATATACCGACTCACAGGACCCATGACCCCGTGTGCAGTTGAATTCTGGGTCATGAGTACTCTCTTGCCCCTTGGCATCGCGATTTTCCAGGCTGCCAACAGTCAGTTCCTCTATGTTGCCTTTACGCAGCGTAAATACGCGCATCTGTCCCGCCAGACTAAAGAGACGGACTCGGAGCACTGGACATCGATTCGAAGCAGACCAGAATCATCGATCGCCAGATCCAGTGGGCTATTCCAACGCTTCAAAGTCTCAAATATTATCACCCGAGTGACCATTGTCATCGCCGCGGGAATCGTCTTGACAGTAAGTCCACACTCGAGATTTCACCAGATACAACAGCGTTACTTTGCTTCAGACTGATTAGGATACTATAGATTATCTCGACCTTTATCATCTACTTTGGCTCTCGTAAATTCCACCCTCATTTTGGATTCATCCCAGACAACTTCCGAGGGAATGACACTCAAAGAAAAACACACTGCAAAAAGGGATGGGAATGGTAGGTTCATTCCACAAAAATTACTCTCCTCAATCATCCATCTACATGATAATGGGATATTCTAACTTAATTATTCTACCAGGAGCCTCTCTATCACATGGCAGTTTTTCTGGTCCTGGATCTACGCCCCATACGTGCTCTGGAAAGCTCGAAATATTCATGATACACACGGTTGGCGTGTCCAAACAATGTGCTGTTGTATAGTTGGGTACGTATCGAATGGATCAGCGTTGTTCTTCCTTCCCGAAAAACCCCACCCTTTGTGTTGTTCTCTGCTGTGCGCAAATCGGACTGTTTCAATCTAATTTTGCCAAAGTCTTCCTGCTTCGCCTTTATGGCTCGCGGCACTCTACATTCCCGCATTCGAATCAGTCAACAAGTATTTTGCGCCGCCACTCTGGTTCGCAGTCTCCATCTTTGTCATGCAACTCATGACTGTCCTTTCCCCTTGTTTCGAGATATGGAGGCAAAGGAGTCTCCAGGCTCAGACCAAGGCCTGCATTCAGGCGTGGGATCACGGCAACAGCCTCAGTGGCTCCTTTCAATTTCAGGATCCAAAGATTTCTACAATTTATCGACAGTCGTTCATCACCTCGGTCGAGGAGACCACTCCAGAAGATATCGCGATACCGGAGCCTTGCGAACCCGTTTCCCCGGACATGCGACGTGGAGGATTATTCACTGATCTGGCACTTCAACACACCCTACGGCTGAATCCCGCGCCCCTGCAGAAGTTTGCTGCGCTACACGATTTCAGCGGAGAGAACATCAGCTTCTTGGTCCATGTCGCAGAGTGGCAAAAGCCCTGGGTGGCAGTACGCTTCCGGAAACAAGCTCACGCCTTCATACTCCCAAGTGAAAGAGCCGAAGAGGAGCGGAAATTACGCTACCGCCAGTTTTGGCGAGCTGTACACATTTACATGTCCTTCGTGAACATGGAAAGCGCCGAGTTTCCCATCAATCTCTCATCAAAGATCCGGAAAGGCTTGGATGCTGTCTTCGGTGACGCTACCATTCTACTTCTACATCGTCATGGGCAAGGGACTCTGCCACAACTGCCGGAACTACCGCCGCTGGTGTCGGACACAGACAATGCTTTCATCGATCCAGAGCAGCCTCGCCTATTTTCCCTGGACGGAATTGATGATAAAATTACTGAGCCAGGCGCCACGTCTGCTTCTGCGCCGTTGTCCGTATCAGCATCCCGCGTTGTCTCACCGGCCCCGTCAGAAGTCAACAGCAGGGCCAACATTGTCGTGAGTCGGGGTACCATCAGCATCCCCGAAATATTCGACGAGAATGTCTTTGGAGAGGCCACATCCGTCATCAGGTATTTGGTGCTCACGAACACGTGGCCCAAGTTTGTCAATTACACTCTGCGCTCCAACCAACGGACGTCACAACCAGGACGACCGCAAAGCAGAATTCAAAGATGGTTCCCCTTGGCATAAAGAAAGGAAACTAGTACTATCAAGTAATATAGTCGTGAAGAATATGGAAGTTCTACCACTGGACATACCATTTGCGTATTGATGAATAGCTCTTCAGCAATCAGACACAGCTAGAGACTGAGTCGAGTTCACATGCCGTACCAACACTCAGAGGTCTTCAGCAATACCCGCTGGAGGTCATAGCGAAGTGGAGACATCTGGCTTCAGCTCTAACACGTGATCCCGACACGCTTTTCTTTCGCTTGTGCCTGGCTCATACCCCGGTCAGTGGCTTTTTTAACTATCGAAATTTATGTTCGAGACTCTGTATGAATGATGATCAACAGGTGAGTGGGGCGGTCAGCCATCTAACTCCTCGCCACACTGTGATCCACCCAAAAACCATATCCCTGATTACTTGCAGGTGAAGGTGACAACCATAGAAGCTTAAGTGAAAAGCCACAGACGCAATCCAGTGGGTTTTGGATGCACTTTCTGGCACAGTCGGGTCATTGGATAACGAAGACCCATCCTCTCGGCAATCCATCGACCCGATTTTCCATGGATAAATGACTTCATTCCCACCGTCAACGGTTGGGCAGGCAGGTAGGCAGGCGTGTGTCCACCACCCCTTTACTTGAAGAGGCTACTTCTCGATTATATCGAGGATTACAACAGGCCATATCAATCCTATTCATCTGCTCCCACCCTGGTCTGTCGGTGACATTCACGGGCTCAGGGACATTTTTGAGAGAGACTGGCGCAGAGCGACGAATTTCTCTGGAACAGCAATGGGGTACGAGGCAGAAGAGGCAGAATTTTGGAAGATCTGCTCTATGCTGATGATCTTGCGCGGGTCGCCGAGACAGGGGCATGACCTCTGTTTAGTCTGCCCCACAGTGCGCCAAAGAAGCGTCTCTGCATAAAGGAAAAAGTAGGCGAAAGGTGGTCACTTCACACATCCCCCAGCCAGCAGCTCAACTTCCCCTGACACCATCAACCTGTCGGAAATGTTCTCCAAATAGGGCAAAATCCTCATTGGGACTCGCATAAATAGCTGGGGGACTGGATAGAAACCCCTTGTGGCGTTCTTTGTCTGTGGAGAGCGAATTTGGGCTGGGGTGATATGCCATCCACAAAGCTTTCGTACGTCTTGCTTGGTCCCAAGACGGAGTTGATAGAGAGCTACGTAGTCTTCAGGTACTCTTTGCCCCCGACTTTTCTGTTGTTACCACGCGACAGGGCCCCCTATCTTAGTGGCCCTTCATTGTTTGTATATAGAGAGTAGTAAGACTGCGCCCCATGCATAATAGTCTTCCGGGGAGTCACCGAGCGACAGGTGTGGTCTCGAGAACGTCAAGATCTAGTTGGTCTCAAGCCTTGTGGTGGAGGGAGACGGCGGGTTGACGAGATCTGGAACGTCGTGAGCTCCAGCCACATGTGAGCAGGCGCGACACATGGCAAATGAGAGGGTATGAAGAGCAGCACAACTCAACCGGGGGCCAGGCATGATCCACCCTCGATCGCAAATTCGCAATACCCATCCTAACGATTCCCTAGGCTTGACGATCAGTGACGATCAGTGGAATAGTGCGAGACTCACTTGCGTTCCATCACGTCAAGAAATACAGCCACTTTAGTGCCAACCAATCTCAAAGATTGAGGAGGTCTCGCTAGCTAGATATCTGGAGACTCTGTGGGGATGTTATCGGATGGAACTAGAAAACCTCTTTTGGAAAGGTCGGAACTGCTCGTCTGATTTGGACTGGTGGTCATCAAAGCGTGAAAGCCCAAATGTGGCTGACATAGGGAGAAGACTCGACTTTATCACTGGTGTTTATGACGAATCTCTTTGTGGAGTCTTGGAAAAAAGAAAAACACAACTACAACTTCAACGGTAAAAGGCGGAGCACCGCTTATTGGGCATTTTAAACTTCAGCCATCTTCACCTTCCCAAGTTATAGCGGAGACTATACACACAGACCGCAACGGGTACCTGTCCCGTATTGAATAGAATTCGAGGCTCACCGTGGTGATAAAAGATGAAATGAGTTGAAACACCTTAGTAATGGAGTTCAAAGGCCCACCTTCTAAGCGACAAATGTGGCCTATCACGCACGTCGATGAAACTGCACGAGAACTTCTCTAGCAATGGCGAAAGTTGAACCGCCTGAAATGGTAATGATGTCTTTGCTTGTAGCTCTCACTTTTTTCTTGTCCGCCAAGATCAATCAGAATTCATTCTCGCTGGCTAACTGAGCCTCTCTCGCCACTCTACGATACCATGTTCGTTCTCCTCTCCAGCACGCTTGACCGGGAAAATGTGTCACTCTCAGCATCTAACCCAACAAGTCGAGGATACACCAACGACTTGCAACCTATATTTTTGCCCGACCAGACTTTCAGCCAGACTCAACCCTTCTTTTTCTACCAGCCAGAACTGTTTTGTGCCAGCCAACCGTCCTCGCAAAAACCATGATTGTCCAAACATGATGGATCCTCTAGCGTTTAGGTTGAGGATCGAGCGACACGTAAAACCAAATGCACAGTGTGTTTCCGATGGATGGCTTGATGCAGACGCCTCAGGTACGTGCTCTTGTATGCCCAAAGTTAGCATGAGAGGTTCACTCTTGAAGATGATCGAGACGTACCACTGGCACTGCAGGTCCGCAGCTCCACTCCACAACGCCATCTGCTCACCAGAAGGTGAACAATAATTGGGTTGGGTGAAGCGTTCGAAACAAGGCTTGGATCAAAGGCCTAAAAAAAAGTTTCTAAAAATTCCCGTCAGCCTTAAAGAGCTGACGGAGTTACAAGAGCTATTAAAGCTCAGGGCTTCAAACATGTCTTGACCTCTTCATCGCCGAAGCTCCAAAGATCGTAACAAGAAATTCCTCATAGGCGTGAGTTGGGAGTTCTAACTCACCAAATAAGTTCCGGAGCCCTCGAGCACCGAAGAATGCTAAGTTCTTCAAGTGGGGTCTACCCACGTTTTCTGACTTCGGGCTGTATCGCCAGGGAGTTGAAAGGATAGATGGTTGTAAACAACGACGACGGCAGGCCGTAAGGTGGTGGTCCACACCTACGGGCCAAATTAGGAGAGCAGCTAAAACTCGAGCTGATACTTTGCTTACCAGTCTCCAAAGGCAGCTCCTTGACGGCGAGCAGCGTGGCACAACCTCCATACTACAAGGAACTAAGCGATGGTATAACTTCGGAGGAAGGATGGCGAAGCCATTCAGGACGACAGCTTCCAGCAGGGAAAAGTACAAAGCACAATCTGAATGCTGCAAGACTGCAGTGGAGTGGCGGATCAGGAGTTTCTTGAGTGGTGAGAAACAGAGGGACGCAGGCGAGAACTAATATATTGGTCCAACAGGGACAACTATCTGGAAGGTGCTCTGGATGTTTTGGCAGGTACCTCTACACCCTCCCCCTGGGAAGCTACTCTTACCAAGGCTGCCCATTTATCGATTATCTGTTGCCCGATTCGTGGAAGGAAGGAGCAGGAGCGTTTCTAACGCAGTGTTTTTTTGTGATTATACCACACAGAAGCCATTTCCTTGTTCACCGGCGTGCCATCTTCACTTTCTACGGACTCGGGAAAGGCCCATGAGGTTTCAAATGCAGTGGACGAAAGGCAGGCCGTAGGTTCAGTTGGCGGCTTCCTTCCAAGGCTCGACTATGTCACGACAGGTACCACGAATTAATAGGATAGCAGAACAGAGAGGAAAGAGCAGGAACGTGAAACTTTCGGGATTATTTCTCGAGGTAAAGAATTTTTCTTTATTTTAGGCCTAAACCAAATGTCCACGGCTTCACAGCATTCAGGTCTTGCCTGCCCCAGTCGGAAGCACAAATCTATCAGAAGGCAGCCTGCGACTCGTACGCTTATACAGTAGGTCCGCAAAAGTCACCGGACAAACCCCATTTCCCACCAAAACAGGTAGTTTCCAACAGCCGATATCTCAATAACTTATTATGGCGACCCCTAGTTATTTATATGGTAGAATATACTGGATTATCTTGGCTTTCTCTACGTGGTATTTATATATCTAAAAGCGTGGTGTACGAA